CCTAACCCTAACCCTAACCCTAACCCTAACCCTAACCCTAACCCTAACCCTAACCCTAACCCTAACCCTAACCCTAACCCTAACCCTAACCCTAAGCTAGACATGTTTTATGTTGGCCATACCATATAGATGCACCAACTCCTCCAGTGACTACTAGGAACCTAGGTAGACACGAACCGGCATCAATCACGTCATTCATCCTCGAGGCACAATTCAAGTGTAGGAATCACAGCCACCGTCCAAGCCAGGTCAGGACCTGCGTGACTGAGTCCACGAGACATTTCTTCTCCTGTAGGCAATCCGGGTTGCCTCCCACGGCGAAGCCATGGCGACCAGGTTTATACCCATGATGCGACATTTTCCGGCACCTCCTTCCTAGGCTTTTGAGCCTCCGCGTGGACACCCTGCACCAGACCCATCTGCTTAAAGTCCACACAGCTATCTTCCACTCCTCATCCATATGAAACAGGGGTGACGAGCTCCTCCGCATCCTCAGGGATATCCAAGTGACTCGGATGAAGCGGCATGATCGCATCAACAAGGGGACCCATGTCGCCCTCGACATCAGTCATATTCCTCTTCAGCCCAGCGCGAATAGCATACTTTCCACCGGAACAGAAACCAACCATCCCAATTTGTCGAATGTCGGTGTATCCGGGCGATAGTAGCCCGTAGCTGGTCAAATTACATTACAGCACTGTGTCCCTGTATCACCTCAAGGTCTACGCTAGGACTAACAGGCCAGACAGTCCAGGAAAGTGTTGACCGGGATACGGAATATACCTGTTTAGTAGTATAGTAGGGGACTGTATATAAACCACGGCTATTATGCAGTGTTTAATTGGTCTCGAGCCCGCAAAATATATGACTGGTTGATTTTATATGATTATGAGGCTGAACTGTAACCAATCCTACTCGCCAATACTAGACGCCAAAATTATCATCGCGGCATCTGAAGCCGCGCTATATCGATAGTTAATCTCCATCCAGTACTACTGCGGTAGTGGCTCAATGACTATCATATTTACCGGGTGATACCATGATGAGGTCGGTAAATATTATACGGTACGTGGATAACGGGCATGGAGCAGATCGAGCAATATATATTCAGTACTGGTAGCTTTTGAGATTACAGAACACTGGGATAAATCGAGTACAGCGTCAGTATATATCCCATATCAAACCACTTGAGTATGGCTTTAAAAAGGTGACGACCAAATGATACCGCTCCCTACAAATCCCTTGTCTTCAAGTACTGAAATAAATATCAATATTATCAACAACGGCGTCAGCACCATGAATAGGATCTCTTCCCTCAGCTGCAATCCAGTCCCCATTGCCAAGATGAGGAACGTCATTATCTTTCCCCTCTTTCCCACCGATTTCGAAATGGCGGTGCTGGTTCGTGTCGAACTCGAAGCCATTGACGAAGCCCTCACCATCTCCAGCATGGACATGCATGGAGGAGATCTTCTCGCCATCCCGAAACTCGAATTCCCCTGCATCGTTCTCGTTGATGTGGCCGACAAGCGGACCCTGGTGGTTGTCGTCAAAGGTGAACTGGAATCCATTCAATACGTCGTATCCTGCATAGCTGCGGCCCCAGGCGTTTATTTTCTTGATCTTGTGGGATCCATGCTCTGCGTTGTAGTAGCTGCCTCCCATTCCGCCGTATGGGCCGTTCATAACTCTGCCTTTGGGAGCCATGGCGTATTGAACTAAAGTAGAAAGGATATATTTGTCTGAGATTGAAGAACTGGAACTGTGAATGTTGAGAACAAATTGCAGCTTACAATGGAGCAGTTCATCTGTTATATAGATCGACCGTGGTGGGGAATATGCAGACAACTGCCCCATCGGAAGCAGCGGAAGCTCGTAGCATACTAAGTGTACTAGCTAAGTGGCGCCTTGATCGTCCCAGTGCTCAGGACTGTACGGATCTCTTTGTATGGTAGTTTCTAAAAGAGGCATGCTGCTCGTCAGAACGCCGTAACCGTTTGTAGGATGATATCAAACACTCGGTTTTAGACCAGCCCAGCATTTTGACATCCATCGAAATCCAAACGCTAAAAACCGCGTTGCCCGATAATATCTCCGCAAGCAGGCATATCTGACGAAGAATGGCTGCTCGGGTGACGTTTCGACTTCCCGTCGGGTTACACAAGCGCCGCGGACCGGATATGCAGAGCGATCTATGTATATTCCATCCATACAATCAGATGGAATTTGGGTCAATGCAACCTTGCTTCTTCGGTTCGGCGCGCAGTCGATCATTTCCGGCCAAGACAGTGTGGCTCTGCGAATGAAATGCCGCACCCATAACTGCGGTCCCATTGTTATAGTAGACAATTCTATAGTCTGGTCCATTTATGCAACTGAAGTTCGTTCACAAAGCTGATATACCCTTGGGTATAACTGCGTTACCTATGACAAGGTTAATGACGCCTAGATATTGAAATTATTCGAAATACTAGCTGCGGTCTCTACCGGCACGGTAAAGACACCATGTCTCATTTGTGTTTGCATTGGCATCATTGTGAATTATTGTAGTCGTACGTTCGCCTTCTCAGCCTCTTCCTGGATTTCTATTAAACCCTTATCCGTAGCCTTTAGGAGCCCAAGTCTTTCCTCGACCTGACAGGCCAGCACAGCAAGTGTCGACGACTTCCACAAGGGAATACCGCGACTTCTCCGATTACTCAAAATAGTCAAGATGGCAAACAGAATTGCAAACGCCTCCGTGAGAATTGGAACAACAAAGTAAGCCCAGCGGATGGAGACAAAAGGAACGCTCTCGACTTTCTCTCCATATGCAGTCCTCGGGTTTGGACCATACCGCAGATAGTTCGTCATTGAGGTCGCCATCCCACGGAACCGATCGTTGAGGTCCACATCGCCGGAGAGAGCAGCAGCGACACCCAGGTTGGTATTGTCATAACTCCCCTCGACCCACTGGGAGACAATTGCCGGGGACATGAAGAATGTCTCCAGTGCAGAGATGAAAGCGTAGCTGATTTCAAGGCCGGGGATTATGGAATTACCATCCGTCGTCTCGTTGGTGTACATGCGCGCGAGTATCATTGCTCCTGGGTTGGTCCCGTAGGTCCAGGGGTTCTTTACGCCGAAATCGACCTCCCGCCTGCTCGCAGAGAAATCACTGCCGTTGGCCTTTGCACCGGAGTACTCATATGCTGCGAGAAAGAGAGAGCAGTCCGTGATATTGACGTCGTTTGCTAGGAAATTGTGGTCCGATGTCGCTCTGTAGACTGCGAATCGCGTGATCTCAGGCCATGTATCGGGCAGCTCTCCCTCCGACGGCGGATTCAGCAGCGAGGTCGCATTTAAGGCGAAGGTCGTCACCGCGCTGGTCGCTGAGTAGCGAGTCGAAAGGCTGAGCCCGCCCGGCGTCGTCATGTTGCATATCTCCCAACCATCTTCGTCGTCGAAACAGCTCCTCGATTGTATGACTGTCTGGCTGACATTGCGGCACTCAGTCTTGAACCCGAGCGATATATATGAGTTGGTCCAGCGACATGTCCCAGGGCAGCGGAATTGTTCTGGGGTGTCGATGCTATACAAGCCCTGGAAGACGGCGGACTGCATACCGGGGTCCTGGGGGATGCTGTCTAGTCATCGAGATGTTAGCTACTTTTGTTACTTGTTGCGTAGGGAATTGCCAAACCCACTGATGTCAGAGTTTGCCAGCGACCCCCGGAAATCCCGACTGTAGCTGTACGAGTATCCGAACGTGGCGGTGCTGTCTGCGGTGGTAATATTGCGCTGCTCAACTAGAACGACCTGCTGTGCGAAGGGCGAGAAAGCAAGTCGCAAGATAGTGATAAAGGCCCCAATGGTGGCTAAATTCCACTTGACTGTGGTAAGCATCAGAATAGATCCCCAGACCCCGCGGCTTGCTCCATCGAATGTTTCGAATTCCGCCAACTTGCGAGGCCCGTTCTTGAAGTGAAGCCATTTTGACTGTGCTATGAATGTGCTCACTCCGTGCATGAGGGCGGTGGTGCATGCAGTTGTTAGGATGGAAATTGTCGCGTTAAGAGAGACACGGCCCCGCCAGGCAGAGAGAGGCTTGTTATCCATGTACCAGAAGATGATCGCGATACCAATAAGGAGGCCCAAGGCCAGAATCGAACTGATGGATTCTAGGAGCCATTCGCTGGGGGAGTACACCGGATGCCGCTTGTATCCAGTGCTGGGCGTGCTCTGTGGCTCGGAATCTACCTCGGAAGACTGGGCAGGCTGCTGGTACGGCTTCTCGTTGCTGCTATCTACACCCATTATGGTAGCCTGTGTCCGCGACTGTGTGTTGCAGACGCCCTTTGAGGGATACAAACCGGAGCCAGGATAAAGACGAACAAAACAACGCAATCAGCTGGGCAGCCTCGCCCGTAGGTGGCTGGTTTGATTTATGGCCAACTTCCGGCCCTGGCATGTTTGATTTCAGAACTGTCCTCGGCCCCTCTAGATGATGGGCCGTGTGTGTCCTTGGTCAAAACGAAGGGCTTCTGGTGGGGCCTGCTGGGATTCGAATCCTTCACAGGGTCTTCAGCTGGCTCTCGTGAACCTCCGGGAAAGCCTCTTTCCTGTGCCAAAGGATTCGCTCTCTCCGGTGTTTTCGGTTAAACTGATGCCGCTCATGCCTTCTGTGGACGTCGGCCAGCAGGTGGCCATTGGAGAACAGGCCCAAATGACCAATGTCGCAATGTGGGCTGTGAGCGCTCCCTTCGATTATTCTGAGAAAGGGGAAAGGCCCCGACAACCCACTGTCGCTGTAGCTGCACTTTTAATTGGTGGCAGGATGCCCCAAGCGGGCGCCACAGGCGATGTGAAGATGCAGCAAGATTCTCCAGGAAAACTGCTGCTCATCGAGGGTCAATCCCCAGTGTTTTGGGCCTGTGATATCCGTCTATTCACCCCCGGAATATCAGACCCAGCACTGTCATCTGGGGCGTTAGTATTGTTGATCGATCGGGCCAGGAAAGATTTGAGAGCCCCAAAGACGCAATTTGCGGCTGGAAGACAAGGCTAGCGAGATTTCCCTGTTCTCGTATTCCCCACCCACATTCGCACCACACCAGAGACCGCGGCGCGGTCTCTTCTGCCCTTACAACCTATCACCGATGATATAACAACCCTTGCCAGGGGGCCAAAAGGCGTGGCTGGGGTCCTGCATGTCATCAACCCCGATATTTCCGCAAGACCTGGTCAAAACTCTGTCCTCCCTCTTCAGCTCTCCCCGGGCCCAAGACTCCCTTGGAAATGTAATCCTTGCGGCTGCGCAGGAAAGTGTAAGCAGCCGTCAGGTGAGCACTCAAGAGGAGCGTGTGAATTAACTTTTTAACGTTGTTGGTGATATTCGCGACAGGACCAGCAGCCCGATAAAAGCAACTAGTAGAAGGTCGGTGCATACAGACAGGAGCCAGCTGGCGGGCCTGGACAGCAGGTATGGGGCGGCGAGCTGAGTCGCAACGAGGCCTGCATTAGTCCATGAGCCAACCTCATTTCACCCGGAAGCAGCGCTGCTGCCATGGGACTTTCCAGTGATAATGTGCCACTGCAGCAGACAAAGTCCACGACGCTAGCGGGGCCGGACCGCGCTCCAAGCCCAAGCCTCAGCCCTAGTATTGGATGGGATCCATCTCAACCATGCACTCGCTTGACTTCTTCCACTGTGCCTACCCCAATTTAGCTTGCTTACGCCGTGTGATGAAGTGCGAGGAAAACGTTTGCTCAGCCGCCAACTGACTCAACTCAGCCCTGCTTGGGTTGCTCGGGCCGATGCAGTGTTGCTTGGCCAGACTGCAGGATTTAAGCCTATACAACAGGCAGTCTCCAGCGCAAAGTCATGATCATCTTAGATTTACTCTGAAAAGCCATGCTGCTGCTTTCGCACTATGTGGCGGCGTGCGTGCTGTGCTATCTACAGCATGCTGCCGCGCTTCCACAGGGAGTTGCCCCGTCCCAAGCCTTGAGCGTGACATCCGCTACACCGACAGAGACGTTAGTGTTAGAAGGTGACAGAAACTGCGACTTTAACACGATGGATGACTTTTTCAAATATGCCCACAACAACGGCCTGAACATCACTGTGGAGGTGCAAAACTGCCAAAACTTATGCCTGCTCACATACGGGGTCGGAAACCCTGATCTCTCAGGAATCGGTGTAAGCCCCGGACAGAAATTGCCCACATGGAAACAGGCCTAATCGCTTACTGCTGGACTTACCATAGATGATGTACGCATACAGCATTCAAACAGGGCTCACCATCCTCGTCGGCCCCGTTTATCGCATCCTCTATCTCGCCTTCAGCCCAGTGAGCGCGTTCATCCGCGACCTGAAAGACATCCAAGTCAACTTTTTCTCCTCAAATGCCTTCTTCGTGGGTTCCTCTGCCCTCGCGACGCTCGCACACCTGTCACAGAGCCCATCCACCTTTGAAGTTGCCGAGATGCAAGCCATGGCCTTCTTACAAGTCAACAGCATCCTTGTGACCTTCTTCTGTCTGGTCGTGACCCAGCCAGTATCGCGCTGGGCGGCGCGAGTGATCCTCTATTTTGCCGTCTTTGTGCTCGTCACTGTCGCCCTCGGCAAGAGCCACCTAGGTAGCGACAGCAGGAAAAACTGGCAGCTTGCATCTGATGGATGCGCACACAGCTCAACGGACTACAGCGTCATTAACCCGGTCCCGTATCCGGGGTGGACTGCCGCGATTTTCGCAGTGGCTGGCACGCTTGCGTTCTGGCTACAGACGCTGAAAGGGAAATTCCAGGACAATGTGCTGCACAGGTCAGCCTTTAAGGCCCTGATGCTGCTCTGGGTCTTATTGATTGGACTTTTGACGGCGGGTATGGTGGTTGGCGTGGTGATGATGTGGCGGCAGCGAAGACACCTGCGCAGCCTGGCCAGGGATGAATTCGAGGATGATGAGTGGGGGTTTGGGCAGATCGCCGCTTTGACCATTTGGGCCCCGATTCCGGTGGAACTTATATATATTCTGAATGGTGAGGAACTCCTCTGTCGCTCTGTTCGGTGTGCTGTCAAACTCACAGCTGTGCTCCATTACAGACCTACTCCAAAGACAGTCCGAGCGATGGCACCGCTGGAACGCGAGCCTAAGCATCTTTTTCTATCGGAATAGATCCAAGGAAGATGCGTCTAGATCTAACTCTGACTCGCAGCCAGAGGTGAAAGCGAACAGTCGCAGTGGAAGCATCGTGGAGGTGTCCAATAGGTAACGATGTCGCACGCGATATAAACTTTCTCCATCAGCACAAACAAACTTGACAACAAAGAATGTATTATCAGCATAACATTAGCCATGACAGCACGATACAAATTTCAAGTCTGAAGTCATCAATTACCAACAAACCCTGGTAAACAATGTCAATCTCTATCAGCCAAGAAAAGCTTGTGGGCAACTGATAAGAATAAGCGCGTTATATATAATTGCACAAACAAATACGAAGCCCCGGCCAGAGCCGGGCACCATGGTAGACCCTATTTTCACGTCCATTACTGCGGCGCCCCCCCGCTTGGAAGGACATCGGTATACAGTGGCTTCATTATACCTGCGTAGTGTGAGTGGCGAATGATGTTATTCGTCTCTTAAATAGGCTCACTAGTAGTGAAGAAGACTGCAGCATCCAAGTACTTCGCCCACAGAAGGGCCATGGTCGGCCTGAGGGACAGCAGCTAATATCTACTGTACTTGTTATATAGGGTGGAGTCTACAGTACGGAGGAAACACGCAACGCAGAAGGAGGCTCTAGGCTACCGAGAGTCCCACGCAATTGAGCAGACCTCGGCAGCGTAATTTACTGGACTTGAATATCTATAGAAGCAAGACGAAAGCCCAGGAGTTGCTAGGCTGTTGGAATATAAACCAGGAAACTGGCTGTGGCGATTTGCCGATCTTTTTGTCCTACGGCGCGAGGCCTGGCGTAGACAGTTGAAGATGGCCAGTAAAATGAATGGCAAAAACAATTCAGAATGACTAGCGAGAAGTGTGGTATATACAGCAAGTTACCGCGATCATCCGACACAAATTAATTAATATTCCAGGTAAATAACACAAGCAAGACATAGCAATCAAACGTCCTAAATAGTAATCTGCCCACCCTGATTGAGCTCTTGCAAAGCCTCGCAGAACGCATCAAGTAGATACTCCACGCCATTAACTGAGACCCGGGAGCTAGGCCCTACGATGGATACATGAACTGCATGCGGCAAGGGTAGGGTGTCAACATGGAGATGTGGAGGCACGCCATAATTCTCCACGCGCGAGGGACAATCTTGACCGGCCAGCGAGACGGTTGGAAAAATGGTCTGGGACTGCGTGGCGTTATTATGATGCGTCACCACGCTGTTGAACTGTGTGGCTGGATCCCAGCTGGTGGCATGCTGGCGGATGTGCTGGAAATCCAGGTGGGCAAAGGCCATTGCGCGGGCGTACTGGGTCTGCACGTGGTGTAGGAGGTCCGAAGCAGAAATTTTGTTCTGGCTAGGTGGAGGGAGGATGATGCGCAGGGGGGAGAGGGTCACGCAGGGTCCGATGACGGCGTCGACATTCGGCATCGGTGCATCGCGGCCGTTAAGTGTATGGCCAAAGACGAGATCGCGGCACTGAGTGACCCGCGCCAGAACCAACGCCCAGGCGGCTTTAGCCATGGAGGCCGTAGTGATGCCGTCTGGTGGGGAGAGTAGCGGAATATCGCGCCGCCGGGTGATCTTGAAGCCTCGATTTGGCTCCCCCTGCGAGGAGACGCTACAAGGAGTGGGGCATGGACCACTGCCCGTGTTCAATATCTGCCTCAGCATATTATCGAGGTCTGGCATTTGTGCACCGTGGAGATACTCACGCCAGAATCCGAAGGCCGGTTGAGTCTTTTGACGGTCACGATAACGCAAGTAGACCGGGTATGGAGGGATTTGCGGACGAAGGGGGCGGTTCTCACAGGCCGCTACCAGGTCGTCTAGAACCAGTGGGAAGGAGTACCCATCATAGTGAGCATGCGTGGTACGCAGAATCAGCATATGCGACTTGTCCGCCTCTGATGATATGACGAGGAAGGGCTTGAAGCACGCTAGTCCATCCGACGTGCCGGTGGCGTAGTCCTGTGCGCAGATTGAATCCGCGAAGGAGTCGAGGTCGATAGCAGAACAATCAAGCTGGGACAGTTGAATGTTGAGCTGGCGAAGAACCACTGCGCGAGGGAGGCCGTCATGGTGAACGAAGACTGTACGGAGCATGGCATGATGGTGGACCAGCCTAGCGCAAGCAGCTTCAATCTGACTAGGGCTAATCGTCTGGGGAATAGAGAGACAGATATAATGGAAAAGGTTGTTATCCAGAAACATGTGCTGGAACTCGGTGATTGGGAGGATATCTTCCACTTGTTCGGCATGCAATGGCCAGGGCGTGTGTGGCGTGCCCTGGGCCTCCGCAAGGAAATGTCCTATGTTGTCAACACCGAGAAGCGAACCAGCGTGATAGGGCTCTTCGGCATTTGTCAGATCCTGTCGCTCGTTCATTTTGGCTGCTTGGTCAGCGAGGACTGGGCTGTTGGAAATTTGGACCGTGGATAGGCAGACACCGCGGCGGCGAGCAAGACTGGCAAGCTTCATTGCTGTAATAGAATCGCCACCGAGTTGAAAGAAGTTATCATTGGTGCCGATTTCGCTGCGGGGTATCTGCAATGCAACGGCCCAGAGCTCGACGAGAAGTTCTTCTTGCCGGGTGCGAGGGAGCTCCTTGACGTCGATGGACTGCCTCTGCTGCAGAGACGCAGCAGCAGCCAGCTCGCGCAGCCGGCGACGGTCGACCTTGCCGCTCATTGTCCGCGGCGCCCGAGCCAGTGGGAGAAACAGAGCTGGAACCATGTAGACTGGCAACGAATCCGTCAGCCTGGCAGTGGCAACACGGGCTTGCTCCAGGAAGTGAGCATCCGGGGGGAGAAAGACGCCTTGGTCGCCGTCGGAGCCAGTCCCAGTGCCACGAGGAAGCCCGATCATAGCTATCAGGCTAGGAGCAGCAACTCCTGCAGAACCGTCACGCATGACAGTCTCAGCGATTACCTCACTGGCCTGGGGGAAACACAGACGCAGGTGGTGCTCGACTTCAGACAGCTCCACGCGCTGGCCACGCATCTTGACCTGGGTGCCCTTGCGGCCCACGAACCGGATGGACCCGTCTGGCATGTACGCAACCAGGTCGCCGGTGCGATAGAGCCGGCCTGGCACATCGTTACCGCGGAATTGAACCAACCAGGAAGGCGTTGTAAGATAGCTATCTGCAGTCTTCGCAGGGTCACTGAGGTATCCGCGCGAAACAATGGGCCCCTCAATCAGGAGCTCACCCACTGCGCCAACCATAGCAAGGCGCGAGGGATCAGAGGGCGTGGTAACCCATCCTTTACCACCAGTGATAGGGCCAATATTGCCCCTGGTCCATGTGCCCGGGCAGACCTGGGCCGCGGCACAGACTATGGTTGTTTCCGCGGGGCCGTATATATTGATCAGGGTCACCTTGGACGCCCATTTTTCAACAACATCGCGAGTCAAGTCTTCTCCGCCCACTAGGATAGTCCGTAGGCTTGGAACGAGTTCCGGCTGCATTAGTCGGTTGAGCAGCGAGGGGACAAGAAACGCAGCGTTGACGCGGTGGCGCGCAATGAATCCCGGCAGGTCATTCATACGATCCTGTTCTGACGGAATACAAACACACCCGCCCATGCAAAGGACGGTGAAAATGTCAAGCAAGGTCCCGTCAAAGGCGTGGGAGCAGAAGTGAAGAAAACGCGTCTCGGCCGTGATGTTGCATGGGATGCTGTGGTGCGAGATGCTAGTGCAGAGGTTGCCATGCTCCAGCAGAATCCCCTTAGGCTGCCCGGTACTGCCGGAGGTGAACATGATAAACGCTAAATCATGGGTGTCAACAGGCCGAAGTGGCGCTGGGGTGACTACCTCAGGTGTGCCCTCCTCGAGAGGGAAACTCAGGACGGGTAAACCACAGTCGGCCAGCACACCGCGCGTTGTCGGAGAGACCAGTGCGATGTGCGGCCCTGTTTGGCGTAAGATAGCTCGAATGCGATCCAGGGGATGGCCTGGGTCCAGCGGTATACAGACACCCCCAGCGCGAAGCACGCCTAGCATGGCCACCACCACCCACTTCGAGCGGTGGAAGCAAACAGGCACCGCACTGCCGGCGTGGACTCCATGGTCTCGCAGCACGCAGGCTAGGTTGCCCGACAGCCGGTCCAGCTCCGAAAAGGACAGCTCGCCATCCCAGGCCGAGATAGCGGGCTTATCTGGGTGCTGAGCTGCAGCAGCAAGAACCATGTCTTGTAGAGATCCCCCAGAAGTCGTGGGCAGGGTGTCGTTCCATTGCTGGAGTTGGTGCTTGTCATCGGCGCTCAATAAATCCAGCCGATCCAACGGGAGCTCCAGAGCGAGAGGCAATTGCTGGAGTACATGCGAGAATTGGGAGGCCAGGCGCTCTGCTTGTCCCTGTGAAATGATCTGGCTGTCATAATTGACCGTCACTCGGACGCTGGCCGTGTTGCGGGCTTTGGAAATGTCACAGACGATCATCAGGGCGCGATCACCAAATGCTGCATAGCCCTTGCTATCCGAGGCCACTGGCTCGCACAGTTCATTACTCTCCAGTTCGGTCTGAGATTGAATCACTAGGTGACACTGAAAGCCGCAAGCTCGAGCCGCGTCCTCTCCCAAGTGCCGGATGTTGTGTAGGCCGAACTGCTGGGCAGAGGACAGTGCGGCAGATTTGGCCTGGACTGCAGCCAGAGCAGCTCTGACAGTATTCTGGCTCTCAAGCTGCACCCGGAAGGGAATAGTAGCTATGGTCGGGCCTGCGATATCTTCAATGCCCGGTAGGGGAGCGCTGCGGCCGTTGAGGGTGAGTCCATAGACCACATCTTGGGAATCAGTGTAGCAAGACATCACAATAGCCCAGGAGAGATGGATCAATGTGGAGGCCGTGAACTCTGCCATCACATGCTCCAGCTGGACTGGCCGCGTGAGGGACGAAGACAGGGTGGGCGTGTATCGAGGAGATGGAGGAGCCGGCCACACCGGGGCTCGAAGGCCGGCCAGCTCTGAGCGCCAAAACTGGGCGGCACTGTGGTCGCCTAAACAATATTGAATAAAACCACTGAAGGGCCGCGGGGCGAGAGGGTTCCCACGGTACGCAGAGAGGACTTGGCTCCAAAGCAATGCCATCGACTCCCCATCATATAAGGCGTGGTGGATGGTCAGGTAAAACATCCAGTGTTTCGCTTGCTGGACCATAGAGAAATTGACCAACTCTGTACCCAGCATCATTTCTCGAGGGAGATCTTTAGTATATAAGCGATGGGCATTGGGGTCCTCAAAGGTATGGAACAACGTGGGCGTCTGGAGGACCACTTGATGGGCACCGCGCAACTCCTCCAATTGAACTATCCGCGTACGCAGGATGGGGTTGGCAACAGTTGCCGCACACCAGGCCGACTGGAACCGGCTTAGGTCGACACCATCATGGAGTTGGTACTCAAAGGTTGCCACAAAACGGCCGGGGGCCTGTTCTGTCAGAGCCATAAACCCCTCTTGCAGCACCGTACAGGGGTAAACATCTTCGACCTCTCCGGGGCAGGTGCCACAGGCCTCGGCGGCCTTTTCTATCAGGGCATCACGATCGAGTTCCGTACGAGGCAGACTGAAAGGAGGCACTGGGAGTGTCGAGGTTGGGTCGTTGCTGCCCATAGGTCTCGAAGCTGTTGCCAGGTCGCACAGGCGGGGGTGCTTGAAGATATCGCCCGTGGTGATTGAAAGGCCCGCCCTACGCGCAAGGGGAATCAATTGCATGGCAAGGATTGAGTCCCCGCCCAGGCGGAAGAAGTTATCCTCTCTCCAGACCTGGTTGATATTGAAGAGGGACCCGAAGAGCTTTGCGAGTTCCTGCTCAGCCTCTGTTACTGGGGGGGTCTTCGCGCCGGTCGTCGCCGTAAATACATCCATCTCTGTGCTCGAAAGTGCTCGTATAGCCTCTTGCAGGCAACCGCGATCCGTCTTGCCGGATTTGGTGAGAGGAATACGAGAGACTGGGATGAATACCGTTGGGACCGCGTAAGTAGGAAGGAGACAGTCCAGCCTGGAGACCGTCGATACCACTGCCTCTCGGAATGCAGTATCCGGCGTGTCAAACAGATGTGTTCGACCTGTTCCGATGTCCAGCTTGCCCTCACTCTTCTTCTGTGCGGTGGAGGGGACGATGAAGGCGACGAGTGCCGCTGATTGCGGGCTGTCCACCGGCGTGTGTAGCTCAACAATGGCATCATCAGCAGCGGGAAAGCACTGTCGAAGGTGATACTCCACCTCGTCGAGCTCCAGCCGCTGCCCGCGCAGCTTGACCTGGTGATCTTTGCGCCGCATGAATTCGAACGAACCGTGATCAGTCAGCCTCACAAGGTCGCCCGTTCGATACAGCTTCTGTGATGCATCGGACTGGGCGCCTAGCCAGGCCGGCGCGTCAATGAAAGCATGCGCTGTCAGATCGGGCTGTTTATGATATCCCAGGCCGACGATGGGTCCGTGGATGAGCAGCTCGCCGACAGCACCGATGGGCAGCAGGACATCGACGTTGGCCGGGTCGACCACCCACCCCTGACACCCAAATGGCCGCCCGATGTCACGGCCGTTGGCGTCAGGGGTAACGGGGCGTGAGAGGCCGGTGCTGAAGATCGTGCACTCTGTCGGTCCATATGCTATGAAGACGTCGACCACCGGCGCCCACCGTTGGATCTCTTTATTCGTCACCGGCTCGCCCCCTAATACCAGGGTGCGCAGCGTCGGATAGTCGGACGGCTGCAGGACGCGAGCCAGAGAGCCAGTGGCAAATGCCCAGTTGACTTCCATGTCGGCTGCCCCTTGCGCGAGATTGTTCTGTCTCTGGTCCTCGGATGGAATGCACACGCAGCCGCCAACCATCAGCGTGACGAGGATCTCGGCAATGCAGCTATCAAAGGCGTGGGATCCAAATTGCAGAACGCGTGAGGAAGCAGTGATCCGGATGGCACTGGCAAAGCCGCTGGCGGTTGAAGCCAAGGCACGATGATCGATCATCACCCCCTTGGGCGTCCCTGTTGAGCCGGACGTATACATCATGTAGAGGGGCTTCCGGGGGTTAAAAGGATGAAGGGTCACTTCAGGCTCTCCATCTTGCCCATCAAGGCTATCCGGCACATGGACGTCAATAGGGACCACTTCAGGACCCAGCCGCTCGGCATCCGATACCTGCTGCTCGAGGGTGAGCACAATCGGGGCCTCGCAACTAGCACAGATATCGCGTAGTCGAGACATGGGGTGCGTGGTATCCAGCGGTACAAATGCCGCTCCAGCCAGCGCAACGGCGAGCATTGCAACCGGAACCCAGCGGGACTTGCTGGCGAAAATGGGAACAAAGTGTCCATTTCCGATCCTATATTGCGTTCTCAACCGCCGGCAGAGGGCGCGTGCGACAATCTCGAGCTCTCTGAATGTCAGTGCTCCGTCCCAGCTGCAGACGGCGGGTGCTTGTGGTCGGTCACGGCTTTGCGCCAGAACGATATCCGTGACAGCCTCCTGCACGACCGTGGGACCCGGCGAATTCCACTCCCAGACGAGCTTTTCTGACGGGCTTCCCGCAAGGAGCGGTATGTCTCGCGCTGACCGGCCGGGGTCTCGGACGACTTCCCTGACAGCCTGGGCGAGTGCGTCAAGGACAAACCCAGCTGCAGAATCAGTCAAGGTCGTGTCTCGGTAGTCTAGAGTGACGTCCAGCATTTCGTCTGATACACCAATGGAAAGAACCAAATCATACTGTGAGACTACTTGTTAGCGCTGACCTTGCTAATTGCCAAAGGGACCTTACCTCGGTGGGATTCCCTCCGTCCTTTTCTTGGATGATGCACGAGGAGTTCGGTCCAGAAATATTGGGCGTTTCCTTTTGGATTGACAGGATGGAATTGAATAAAGGACCATGGCGCGCTGGATGCCGCTGATGCTGGTGCAAGATGGCCGCCAGGGATCTGTATTGAAACTGCAGAGACTGGGAGAACTGCGTCTGGCACTGCCGGAGAAGTCGGAGAATTGGAGTGTCAGTTCCCAGGTGGACTCGACAGGGGAGAAGATTGAGGAATGGTCCGACGGCATCCTGAATGCCCTGGACGGGGGTGTCGCGCCCAGACGTCATGTAGCCAAAGCAGGTGTCGTCCGTCCGGCAATACGCCCGTAGGACAAGAGACCAGGCGAGCTGCAAGACCAAGGACACGGTCAGCTCGTTTTGCCGACAGAAACGAGTCAAATCGTGGATGTTGTCGATGCACATGTGTCGATGGCCGATATTTATATTGTCCGTGGCAGTGGAGGCGGTGCTCATGGCTGGGAAGATGCAATGTTCCATGTCAGCAGTGTATCGGTCCCAGTAGTCCCTGGCCTCCTCTTGCTCCTGCTGATGTATATACTCAACATATTTTTGATACGCTCGGCACCGCGTATGGTCCAACTTGTGCTCGTACGCCCGCGCCAGGTCGCGAAGAAGCACAAGCCGAGAGCCACCGTCCAGCAGAGTATGGCTAATTTCCAGTAGACAGGCCACGGAACCATCCGGCGCTTCAGTAAAGAGCAGCCGATGCTCTGGGTGTGCTCGAGGGAAACTCGAACGACGATGTGATCTCAGTCGAGTCCACGGGTCCTGAGGGGACGGAGGCAGCGCCACCACCGTCGCACGCCAGCCCTGCAGTACCAGTTGATGCGTCGTGCCATCACCGCACGGTGACGCGCGGAAGACCGTGCGCAGAATGCTGTGCTTGTCAACTACCTCTTGCCAGGCCTGCATGGCGCGAGAGACATCGATGGGCTTCCCATCGCGAGAACGCATGGTCCATGCCAGATAGGACAAGTAACTGCCAGCATCTTTTGCCTGGCTCAGCAACATGCCCTCCTGGATGGGCGAGACCGGGTAGGCGTCTACGACGCGAAGCGTACCATCCTGGAGGGGATTTACAGTGTTCCGGATGAAGTCCTGATATTGACCTTCTGTGAGAGACATCAACGGCAGATCAGACCGAGTTAGTTGTCGTGGCAGCGCTGGCAACTGCTGGGCCAAGTCACACAGAACCGCCCTACATGTATCCACCCAGATACGGGCATCCTGCTCCCGGGCCATATTGGAAGGGTAAATAAAGTCGAACGAAAGCTGCGAGTCGAATACGCCGGCCAGCACGTCGAAAATGGCAAAGCGGGATACTTTGGGCCCAATATCTGAGGACGACAAGACCTTGTCGGTCAGGCTAACTGGGTGCAGGATCGACTCCGCGTGCTCGCCGTGCCCTGATGCTCCACTGTAGTTGAACATGATCTCCAGACCGGTGTCAAGCATCGCCTGGTGGTGTCTTGCAAGGAACTGGCGGGATTCTGCCTCCACCTCGCGGCGCCTGTCCTTGATCCGCCGCACGGAATCGAGCAGAGTATCTGATTGGGGATCAATGTTGAGGTCCAGGGGCCATATGTTTGTAAACCAGCCCACGGTGTCAGTGACATCTACTTGCTTCCCCAGGCTGTCACGTCCATGGCCCTCGCTGAATATCACCGCCGGTTTCCGGTCGCTGAATGTTTGTGCGAACGAGTATGCCAGGGCGGCATGAAGAAGCTCGACGGGCCTGGTTTGAAACGCCCCATTGGCACAGCCCAGAAGCACAGCTGTATCCTCACGGCTGAGAGTAAACTCGCTCTGGGCCGTGCTGCCGTGCTGGTTGGATTCGTCTTCCAGTCCCCAGTAACCCATTTCTGGCGGGGGCAACGACAGTGGCCATGACCCGTCGCAAGTAGCCTCCTCGCTTTGCATCTGGCAATAGCGCTGGAACGACACGGATACTGGCGGTGGAATACTGCGCGTGACTAGCAATCCTGCGAGGTTGTCGAGAATAATCTGCCAGGAAACAATGTCCACGACCAGATGGTGAACCACCAGCGAGAGATATTGCCCGCCGTCACGGAGAGCCATGGCATCAGCAGCCACTAACGGCCCAGTCTGAATATTGAGGGATTCCTGAGATTGCAGGAAGATCTGTCGGACGGCATCATGGGTGACGTTGCGATGCTGCTTGAACCTGTAACTGCCGGCGGTATCAGACTTGATGACCTGCCTCCAGGCTCCGCAGCCCTGTCGGTCAAACCTCGCGCGGAGCATCGAGTGGTGTTGAACGAGAGTTTCGACCGCCCATTCAATGGTGTCCACATCAATTGGGTCTTTGAGAGCCAACACGAAGCTCTGGTTGAAGTGCTGGTGGTGTGCAGGTACCCGGTCCAGGAACATCTGCTGTATGGGACTAAGCGCAAAGGCCACGTCATATTGCTCTTCGTCCGGCTCGCGTTGCACCTGATGGTGGAGTCTCTGATTCTGGCTAAGAGCAGATGATAATGTTATCGCTTCTGCCAGGCGTGCGATAGTGGGATGGTCGAAGATGGCTGCGACTGTGGTCCGGACGCCGTGGCTGTTTAGTTGCGAGACTAACTGCATTGCACTGATTGAGTCACCCCCAAGGTGGAAGAAATTGGCATCAACACCAAGCTCTGTGTAAGGGCGATTGAGAACATGGGCCCACACTGTTTGGATAGTAGTCTGCAGCTCCGTCGTGGGCTGGCGGTGCTCCAGGTGAACAGAGGCCTGATGGTAAGTCGCAATCGCAGCCGGTGACAACAAGGACACCTCGTGGCGCAGGCGACGGCGATCGATCTTCCCTCCTGTCGTCTGGGGGAACTGCCGCAATGGGAGGAACAGCGATGGAACCATATATGCCGGAGCAGCATTGCGCAGCAAGTCCTCGGCGGTCTGGGCTGCACGGACAAAGTCCATTGTCGGGCTATCAAAGACAGTGGAGGAGCTGTCCATCGCTATCTCTGAGTCGCTTTGACCACTGAACCCCATAATGAAAGCCACCAGAGCTGAGGATGTATCGGCCCCAGGTAGCGCAACACTTTCTACCACCACGTCTAGGCACTCGAAGCAGCGCCGGACGTGGTATTCCACCTCTGCCAGCTCAATCCGCTGCCCGCGCAGCTTGACCTGCGTGTCCTTGCGGCCAATGAATCGGATCCATCCATCTGCTGTGAGCTCGACTAAATCGCCAGACCGAAACACCCGGCCGGGCTTGCCTTTGCGATATTGTACCAGCCAGGCTGGAGCACCGATATATCCTCTTGCCGTAAGGTCTGGCTGATTGAAGTAGCCACTGGTGACCACCGGCCCTTCGATCAGCAGCTCCCCGACTGCCCCCAGCGGTGCGAGACGGTCAGGATTGGAAGCAAGCGTTACCCAGCCTATACCACCCATTAGAGGCCCTATGACCCCTGTCTTCCACTTCGCCGGTGCGACATGGCCAGCGGCACATATGGTCGTCTCCCCAGGTCCGTACGCATTGATCAGAGATACTCTGGATCCCCAGCGCTCAACAACATGTCGCGTCAGGGCCTCGCCGCCAGCGACCACTGTCTGGAGGCATGGGACACGATGAGGGTCGACGAGAGCCAACATGGAAGGCGTTAGAAGAGCCCAGTTAACGTTATGGGCAACGACAAATTCTTCCAGCGTGCTCAGGCGTTGGTCCTCCGAAGGGATACACAAACATCCGCCGTTGACCAAGGAAGAGAAGATCTCATAGAGGCTGGCATCGAATGCGTACGACGCAAAATGGAGTACTCTTTGAGTTGGTGTGAGGCCCAGAGCGGCCGTGTGGTCCCGGATGCTGGTGGCCATATGGCGGTGCTCCATCACGATACCCTTGGGCTGGCCAGTGGAGCCGGATGTAAAAATGATAAAGGCGCACTTTGTTGCATCCTGAGTCCAGATATGTCGACCTTGAGCTATGTCACAGTCGTCGCCGGCTGTGAAATCCCGCGGGCTGGTCAGCACACTGGCCCGGCCGCGGTGTGCTTCGAGCTTCTCTTCTAGTCCAGGCGACACGATTATGATCGATGCGTCCACTTGGCTGAGGATGCTGCGCAGGCGCTCGTGAGGGTACTTTGGGTCAATACAAACTAGAGCGGCCCCGATGGAGAGCACGGCCAGCATTGTCACAATCCCCCATTTGGACTTCTCGAAACAGATGGGAACAATGGACCCTTCCTCCACGCCTCGCCGGCGCAGTTGCCTGGCCAGTCGGATCGATGCTATTTCTAGCTGCTGGTAGTTGAATTGGCCGTCCCAGGCAGAAATTGCCGGACTATGAGGATGGCTTTTGGCATGGCTAAGGATCAATTCATGCAGCACTCGATCATGCGACTCCGGGAGGGCAGCATTCCACCGGTTGAGCTGATGCCTATCTCGCGGACTGAGCGCTGAGATGTCCTGGATCCGTTGGCCAAACCCACCCACTAGCTGCCTGAGGATGTGCTCGAACTGCTCGACCATGCGCTGGGCCTGTGGTGTTGGTACAACGTTCGAGTCGTAGCTGGCGTTGATCTCAATCGATGTCCCTCCGTGGCGTTCAGCGCACACTCCGCCCCCTGCCAGCTCGCAGACGAAGACGAATGCGTAAGGGGAGAAGTTTTGGTAGTTTGAATCTCTAGACTGAACATGGGTAAACAGCGAGTTGGGTAGATTTGTCGTGGCGGGTTGCACGGCGAAATGGGTCTGGAAATCACAAGCCCGAGCGGCATCTTCACTCAGCTTTCGAATGTTCTGCAGGCCAAACTGTTCATAGGGTGTCATGGCCGTGATTTGCCTTTGCACCTCATCAAGTTGGTCTTCGACCGACCGCGTACCTATCACACGCACGCGAAACGGGACAGTGGCCACTGTAGGACCAGTCAGACCCTCGATCCCGGATAGTGGTGCACTGCGGCCGTTGACCGTAAGACCAAAGACCACATCATCAGAGTCTGTGTATTGGGAGAGCAGGATGGCCCAGGCAAGGTTCAGTGTAGTCGACAGTGTGTATTCGCGATTGGTGGCTGGAAGAGAAGTGATGTGGTGGTGGATTGCTGCGTCGGGCTGTGTTATATAGTTCGAGGAGGGCAGTGTAGGAAACGCTGGGGCCTCCAGGTTCTGCAACTGGGACTGCCAGAACTGCGAATCCCCGTATGATTCAGCGATATAGCGTGTGAAAGGCGCAAACGGACACACGGGCAGTGGACGAACGTCGGTAGATTCATACGCCGCACAGACTTGGTCCCAGATCAGGGGTAGCGACTCGCCGTCATACAGGACGTGATGGATAGTCAAGACTAGACGGCGTTTCGGTCCACTCGCGATTATCCCTGCTCGCCAGAGACTGGTCTCAAGCCCCATCTGCGCTGCATGGAGACTTTTGTCCTGCTCGAACTCTCCGTCCGTCTGGTAGAGAGGGATCATCTCAGGCTTGTCGCGAATGACGACCTGCAAATTACCGTGAGGATGGCAATGTGTGATGCGTGTGCGTAGAATCGGATTGGCTTCCACAGCGAGGGTAAATGCTTGTTGGAGCTTCTGTAAATCAAGGTCTTCTCGCAAGGTATACTCCCAAGTTGCTATATACTGGCCGGGACTTCTCATCGCCAGAGCCATGAGCCCATCTTGCATTGGCGTGCAAGGATATATATCCTCAATCTCGTTTCGACGGATCTGGCCACGCTCTACGACGGCAGTGATGATCTCCTCCTTGACTTCCGCTGACGGGAGCGAAGTAAAAGCCCCGGGTGTCTGGTGCTCCACGGTCCTTGTGGCTGGCACAACAAGCTTGTCGTCGGCAAGATCAACAAGTCGGGGTCGACGGAAAACATCTGCGACTGTGAGCGATAGCCCGCCCTCTCGCGCGAGGGCAACCAGTCTCATTGCAAGGACCGAGTCCCCTCCGCGGCGGAAGAAATGGTCATCTAGCCCAACCTCCTCCGGGGACACCTGCAGGACCTCGGCATACAGGGCTTGCACCCGCTGTTGGAGGAAGGTTACAGGAGGCCGTCGTTGCTGCGTTTGCTCCAGTCGTAGCGCAGACAAGGTGTCTGACGACAGCCCAGCGGCCCACGAGCACAGTAGGCGCCGGTTGACTTTGCCTGTCAGGGTGAGAGGAATTGCGTCGACGGGGATGAAGATATCGGGAATCATGGAGCCAGGCACCACTTTTTCCAACCGACGCAGGGCTTTATTGACCATCCCGTGGAATTCCACTCCATGTCGAGCCAGGACTATGGGACTTTGCTCTGTCGACTCCTCGCAGTCCTCCTGTTCTCCTTGTGGCTTTGAGATGACGATCCAGGCCGCCAGTAAGGGCTGTCGACCAAGAGCGGGCGGTACAATATCGGCGACTGCATTATCAACACCAGCAAAGCATTCTTTGACGCGTACTTCCACTTCTCCGAGTTCTACGCGCTGGCCTCTAACCTTAACCTGCGTGTCCTTCCGTCCCACGTACCGCAGTGAACCGTCGTGGAGATATTGCACGAGGTCCCCGGTTTTATAAACGCGGCAAGTCGCTTTCCGGAACTGCTGTAGCCACCGAGGTTGCTCGATAAATGCAGCAGCCGTTTTTTTAGGGTCCTTCCAGTATCCCTGACTGACAGTGTGACCCTCAACCAGCAATTCTCCGACAGCACCGATGGGCGCAAGACGCTCATGGTCTTGGCTATCAACCACCCAGGTTACTGCGCTGTCTGCACGGCCAATAAGCCGTGGGTCGTGTACTTGGGGAACGTGTGACTGAAGTGTCACAAGGGTAGCGCATTCGGCTGGGCCATACCCATTCATTACCTGGATTTCCGAGGATAGCGAGGACCAGCGTTGAAAGTCCGCAGCTGTTGGTGTCTCACCGACGAGAACAAGGTGTTTAAGCGTATGGGCTTTCTCTGGATTGAGGATGCGTGCAACCGAGGGCGTCAAAGCCGCCCAATTTGCACGAAGGTCTGTCAAAGCCCCAACAAGATTGCTGTTTCGATCGTGGTCGGATGGCACGCAGAGGCAGCCTCCAGTACTTAGCGTTAACATGGTGTCTATTATACTCACATCAAAGGCATATGCAGAGAACTGGAGCACGCGTGAGCAGGGCCCCAGTCCTAGCCTTGAATAGGTGGCTACAGCGCCGCTGCACCACCCCGCATGAGACATAACCGCGCCCTTTGGCTCCCCAGTTGAACCCGATGTAAAGACGACATACATGGGATCATCACAGCTGGGTTCAGACCAGGTGATCTGAGAAACATTGCTGTCCGCTTCCTCATCATTCCCGTCCTCAAGCATCTCCGGATTGAGGACGACCACCGGTGGGCCAAGGCTCTCCGCAGTAACCGCATGAAGTTTGGAGGTCATGATCAGTGGAGCCTGAACCTGACGGCAGATGACTTGCAGCCGGGCCTCAGGGTGAGACGGATCAAGGAGTGTAAAGGCACCCCCTGCCTTCAGGACCGCCAGTATGGCAACGCTAGTCCACCGGGACTTGCCAAAGAAGAGCGGCACTACGACATTGGCAGTCACTCCGAGGGAGCGCAGGCTACGAGCCAGTGTTACAGCATATGCGTCCAGCTCTGAATAGGTCAAATCACCATCCCATGCGCAGACGGCGACGGCATTGGGTCGTGAGCGCACTTGATCAGCAACGAGATCGTGAGCGCAACGCTCGCTTCGTGGTGGCAAAACCCCGTTCCACTTACGAAGGCTATCTAGGTCAAGTGGGCTCATTGTGTCCAACTCCTTGAGCGCGAGGAGTGGTTCGCGGTATATCTGGCACAGTGTATGCTCGAGCTGGTGCAGCAGGCGTTGTACTTGACCTTCCAGGAGGACATGGGGGTCGTAGACGGCCTCGACGGTAACCGAGTCGCCAGATGGCTGACAGAGGAGCGTAATGACATAGGAGCCAAAGGCCAGGGCTGACTTTGCCTTATCTCCACAGCTAGCAAACATCTCAGGGACTTCTCCGTCTTCTTTCTCTGGCTGAATAACCAGGAGGCTTTGGAACTGGCACGCCGCCGCCGCATCAGAACTCAGCCGTGCAATTCGCTGTAGTCCCAGCTGCTCATACGGCATCATGAGGATCACCTGCCGCTGCAACTCCGCTAAATTGCTGTTGACTGTCTCCTCCCAGTTTAGCCTTGCCCTAATGGGGACTGTTCCGATTGTAGGTCCCGTCATCTTCTCAATACCATGGATGGGAGCCCCGCGGCCGCTGGCCGTGGCACCGAACACAAGGTCGGGGCTATTGGTATATTGCGAGATCAGGATCGCCCAAGCCAGTCGCACACGTGTGGACAGCGTGACGTGTTCATTATCAGTGAGTCCGTTCTTGTGCAGCTCGATTGTGTGCACCGTGCTGGCGCTGGGTATGGGCCTGTAATCCGGTGCGGGCAGTTTGGGAAACGGGGTTGCTTCCAAATTAGCTAGCTGCTCGTTCCAAAAATCTATACACTCCCCTGTCCGGGCAGCGAGGGTATGTTGGATAAATGAACTGAATGGGCGGGAGATCAGAGACTCTCCTTGGTACGCTATCGCGACTTGGTGTAGGATCAAAGGCAACGCCCAACCATCAGTCAAGGAGTGGTGCATAACGAGCGTGAAGTTGTGGTTGACACCCCCTTCGGCTGGACGAGGACTTAGGGCAAGCTTCAGGAGAGGCTGTCCAACTCCCCAGGTACCATGTTCAGGTGCTCGCGTCTCCCATGCAATTGCGTCGCCACGTATCACTGCCTGATAGAGTCGGCCATCCTCGGCCTGCACAATACGTGTGCGTAGAATAGGATTAGCTATGATGGTGGCAGCCCACGCCGCCTGAAACCGCTGGATATCAATGCCCTGGTCCAATTTGTATTCTTTCTGGATAGTATAAGTCGTTGGACGCTCGCTCGACAATGAGAACAGACCCTCTTGTAGAGGAGTGCAAGGGTAGATGTCCTCGACCTCAGCCGGTGAGTGCAGGGAACACTGTGCTTGCAGCGCAGGAATGATTTCCTTGCGTTCGACAAGAGAGAATGGCGTGACAGATGTCGGCTCTGATCGAGATGGCCCTGTACACGCAGTATCACTGCCCATCGCCGACGCCATATCCTCGAGCGTCTCGCTGCCCCAGATATCTTGCATCGCCACCTTGTGCCCCAGCTGGCGGGCCGCCGCAGCCAACTTCATGGCTCGAATTGAACTCCCTCCCAGAGACCAAAAGTTGTCCTCCAGAGATATGTCATCAACTACCATATGGAGCACCTCGGCCCACAATTGCTGCATGGCTATCTGGAGCGCACTGGAAGGGGCTCGTTTGCCTGATTCTTTGGTCCTGCATCTTTGGAGCAGCTCACGGCGGTTGTTGGAGCCGCCAATTTCCCGCAGGCGTCGGCGGTCGAGCTTGCCACTAGCATTCAAAGGCATAGCGGTTAGAATCAGATGAGCTCGGGGGATCATGTACCTGGGCAGCTGCTGCTGGAGCTGCAGCTGGGCCGCCGTAAACTCGTCCTGAAAGGCACGTTTGCTCGCCTCGTCAAGAACGGTCTTGAGCAGCGCGAATGCCACCAGAATGGGCGAATCCTCGTCGTCAAGGGGCGAGACTAACTCTACGGCGACATCCTTTGTCGTAGTGGATAAGCACTGCCGCAGGTGATGCTCTATTTCTAGCAGCTCCAGTCGCTGCCCAGCAATTTTCACCTGGCTGTCCTTTCTGCCCATGTACTCAATTGACCCATCGGCATGATACCTGGCTAGGTCCCCTGTGCGATATATCCGCGGCATCGCCCCTGGGAAGCGCTCCTGTAGCCACGTTGGCCGGTCGATGAAGGCGGCGGCCGTCGCTTTAGGGTCGTCGAGATATCCTCGTCCAACAATAGGTCCTTCAACTACCAGCTCGCCTACTGCCTCAATGTCGGCGAGCATTTCTAGGTTGTCTTCTTCTACAATCCAGCAGCGGCTCCCCGTCGGGCGTCCAATTTTGGCCGGGGTGTCAGTCGCAGACTGGTATTCGTGGACAGATGTTATAATTGCACATTCGGCCGGCCCAAAAGCGTTCATAAGCCGCACGTGCGGTTTCCATCGGGCCAGATCATCTTGTCTAGGTGCCTCCCCTCCAAGAACCAAGGTCTTTAAAGATGGCACCTCGTCGGGGGCAATCAAGCGGGCCGTGGAGGGTGTCAACAGGGCCCAGTTGACCTCTAGTCGCCTGGCAGCGACCGCGAGATTTGTCTCGCGGTCAACATCAGATGGAATGCATATACATCCTCCGTACGCCAACGCCGTTACTGTCTCGACCAGGCAGGCATCGAAGGTGCATGCAGCGAATTGCAGAACGCGTGACGCGGAGTTCAAGTGAAGAGCCCTGCCATGCGCTATTACCGATGCTGCAATCGACTGATGTTCTATCACTACCCCTTTTGGCAACCCTGTGCTTCCGGAAGTGAAGACTGCATAGGCCGCATGCTGCGGGTGTATCCTATTTTGGGTTACACCTGGCGATTTAATGCCTTTTGACAGTTCGAACTTCTCGTCGATAGTGACCACCTCCGGAACCAGCTCCTGTGCAGCAGCCTCTTGCTGCGGCGAAGAGATCACAATCCGAGCTTCAGTTTTGGCGCAGATAAAATGTAGACGCTTTTGTGGCTGCCCAGGGTCTAGGAGAACCAATGCTCCCCCAGCCTGTAGTACCGCCAACATAGCTACTACTGCCCAGCGCGATTTCTCCATCATTATTGGAACGAATTTGTCGGGCCCTACCCCATGGGCTTGAAGCACGGTAGCGAGCCGCGCGGCGTGCGCCAGGAGCTGCGAGTAGGTGAAGCTTCCATCCCAGGCACAGACAGCTTCAGTATCGGGATGAGCCCGACATTGCTGCTCGATCAGTTCATGCAGGCACCAGGCGATTTCGTTGGGAAAATCTTCGAGCGGTAGGTCGAATTGACTGAGAGCTTTGCTGCAAACATCTTCGGTCCCTCTGGCGTCTAGGCCGGTGTTGTTAATGGTCATGGTAGGCTGCTCTGTATTAGATTGTCAACTGCATGGTCCGCAAATTCACTGACTTTCCTTGATCTCACCTTATGTCTGTCTGTGACTCCGTTGTTATTTTATTTCATTGATTTTTTTTTCTCATTCTCTCCTGTCCTTGTCTGGTTTCTGGTGGCGGGATAAATAAGCTGGCCAAGGTAACATTGTGCCAGCTCAGGAATTTGGAATTGAGATGTGGCAGATACAATGACACAGCACAATCCACGCCTTCTCTTTGCTTTTTGCATCCATCCAGGAGGAATACTTACTGCAGAATATTACGCTTCTGAGAGGTCCGAGCCCAAGGTCGGACCACATTCGTCCACGTCAGCCCCGTGTAACACCGAGAGACTGAATGATACTGGTCATTAAGATATGTCACTGATGGATAATGAGTGGCAGAGAAATATCGAAGTCAATGAGATCGAACGGTAGGCAATAATGGAAGCAAGTATTGCCGCTGTCTCTGTGTATAAAGCTCGAGTTGGAAACCATTGTCTGACATCCTCCAGGTCTCCTGCTTCTCTCTTGCTGCCACTGCTTGATTATCCGTCTATCCTGTGACAATGACGGTCTCTCAGAATTGCTCGCTAGGCGGCTGCAACGTCCCAGCCATTGATGACATTCGATCTCCTACGAACGCCATCGAGCCCGATATGCGAGCCCAGATTGTTTTAAGCTTGAAGCAGGCGGAGCCGGTCCTCCCATCAATGCTCATATGGGACGATACCGGACCGAGTCTATTCGAGAACCTCACTCAACAACCAACCTACTACCCCTTCCATGAAGAACTCGCCATCCTGACCCGATGGGCAGACGAGATGGCCCGGCAGGTGAAACCTGGAAGCCTTCTACTGGAGCTAGGATGTGGGTAAGTGCATGCACTAAGCTTAATCCCTGACAGAGAAAATCCAACTCTCCCATCTATATGTCACGTCCTCATATCGGGCAACTCACCAGGGACCTCACAAAAACACGCGTCCTCTTGTCTGCATTTGAACGCTGCCAGCGGCCGATCACATACTATGCATTAGACATCTCTGAGCGCGATCTCACCCGAGGGTTACGTCGTCTGAGCCAAGTCTTCCGCCAGTCAAGGTATGTTCAGGTGCATGGCCTACTTGGTTCCTATGAGGATGGCATGCAGTGGCTGGCTACCGATGCTGGTGATACTGGCGTTCCTGAAGCAGTTAAAGCACAAGGTGTGACCGTCCTCTGGGTAGGCAACAGCCTTGCCAACTACTCCCGCACTGAGGCAGGGGCTCTCCTCGACGGTTTCGTACGCAGTTGTGGATTGCGCCACCTCCCATGTCAGTTCTTTCTGGGGCTTGATTCGTGCCAGGACTTGGACAAGATGGGCGCCTGCTATGATCTTTCACCAGGTTCGCCACTCGAGACGCTTATCATGCATGGACTACGGACTGCCAACAAGTACCTTGGCAGCAAAGTCTTCGATTTGCGGAAGTGGAGTGCACATGCGCACTATGAATTGAGGGACCATACGCTGTATATATATTATGTGCCTACCCATGATAAGCGCCTCCTTGTGGACGGTTGCGTCCAAAATCTCGAGGACCGAATCCTGGCCATCACCAGTGGGAAATGGCTACTGAGCGACATTGAGGAGATGTGCTCGGCGGCAGGTCTGCAAATCTCGAAGAGCTGGTGGTCCGAGAGCCAGCACTATGGTAAGCTGATCTCTGATCCTCCAAGTAGAGCGCTTGGCTGATAGACCATCTAGGCTTCCACGCCATTCAGCCAGCCACTACCGAAACTGGCCTGATGGCAAAGACAGGGATTTTGCAACCAGCTTCGCGCGGCTAGAAATCACGCTGGAAAACAGTGAGGTTAAACTGCATATAGTGACCGCTAGTAAAAATAAACTTCCACTTTCTATAAGATACATACGTTGATGAACCATCGGGTTTACCCTACACCGACGATACAGGAGACGTGGCATGGCACAGTGGAGATTACCAACCGCTTTTGGTCGACTTCTGGTCGTTGGAAGCGTTGTAACATCCCTCTAGTGTCGGTGCCTCAAAATTAGGTTAGACTTGGCTGATCAAGGTGCCGATCGCTAGTAAGGTGTAATACAGTAGACTGCAGATCCCAGTGTGGGAACTACATCTTGATCGTCGTGCTGTCACCCCTGTTCTCTGTCCATGTCATATGTCACCTTGTATCTAGACACGTTGTTGCCCTATTCAACTGGCCGGGGGGGATTAGGGTTGCCGGCTAAAAGCTTTAATTCCTATTTCTATACCCATAACATATATAAATGTAAGTATGGCCATGAGAGTGGCAGGGGCACCCAGATCCACAGGTTACGCCCGGGGGGGCTTGATTAGGACATATTGCAGCGTTCGACTCGGTAATCGGACATACCTAAACGTAATAAGCTGGCTGGGAGAGGAATCTGATGGAAGGAAAGGGAGGGTAGCACAAGGACTCCTAGTTCAGTAACCAGGCAACGATCTGCATTATATGTGTAACCTGCAGGCCGCGAAGCCCAAAAATAAGAGAACAGGGATTACATTCCTCATTTCAATACTGCTCTCGGCTTTCCAGCGCCTATCACATTTCACTGTATTGTATTCACTCAAGTCCAACTTAATGGCACCATGGCCGGATCCGCTCCGGGCCTCGACGACATCACTGATGACCACAGTGAAATACCATTCATTTCGAAACCTTGAATCCAAATCCGTAATTAATCTTGTTATATCACCTTTCTCTCTCAGACTTTCCCCCTGGCTGAGGTTCACAATATCCCTGATAGAGTTGCTTTTCTCATACAACGGAGTGAACGATGCTGCCATTGCTATTGGTAATCGAGGTATCGGGGTGCGCAGAATAGGACTTCCGCATATGTGTTAAATCAGTTTTGTCTCCAAGTAACTTCCATTTTATCTAGCCATTTCTTTAGCCATTCACACTATCTCTGCTACTATATTATATTCTCTACTTTTGAGAATATGCCGAGATTTCTGTATAGACTATGTGATATTCCCCCGTATCATGGTTCACCTAGGCTGCGACCATTGCGATTTAAGATGTCATCGTGGCCCAAATTCAAGGGCTACACCGTCCCATTCAAGCTTCCTCGCCGACATATCTGAAATCTCAACCAAAATTATCTGCTTTAGTCGTCTAGTACAGGATGCTAAGCACTCATCATGTCGGAACCGCAGTTCATGCCTGAGTAAATAACCCTCTCCACATATCCCAAGTCAATCTACTAACAAGCCCAGGGTCGCCCTAATCACTGCCGCAGCATCTAGCATTGACCGCGCAACAACACACACATTCGTCAGAGAAGGCTGCACGCGCTTCGTCCTCGGTGACCTCAACGAAGAATGCCTACAGGGCACATCAGCCGAGCTCACGGCCATGAACCCTGCAGTGCAAGTCTTTACAGGACTTATCGATATCTCTTCGGAGAGCCAGATTAACGATTTTATCCGCAGAACAGTCGAGACCCTCGGCAGCATTCATTACGCAGTCAATAATGCGGGGACCACGAGTACCCCCCGCGTTAGGAGTCATGAGCTCCCCGTGGAGTCGTGGGATAAGGTTGTTGATGTGAATTTGACGGGCAACTGGCTCTACCAAAGGGCAATTTGGGGCAAATGATGAAGCAGGAGAGAGAATTACAGACGAGGTATATGATTTGTTCGTATATACACTCTGTGGCGTGTGGAAACTGATACTTAGAGGACTGGCTCGGGGCCACAACGTGGAACGATAGTGATTATATCCTCGATCTTCTGTATTAGTTCATTTACCTCTGTTGGTGCAGTAAGTATAGTTAACATTGTTATTATTCATGCACGCTCATCATCCTAGTACTCCGCGACCAAGTCCGGGATATTGGGCATGACACGAACCGATGCAATCGATTACGCTGCTGAGGGATTGCGGATTAACAGCGTTCTACCAGGCTATATAAAAACCCCGAGTACGTGATTCACGAGACTTCTCGCATCCATTACATATCAATACTGACGATTCCAGTCGATACGCCGGGGCGCAGACTACGAGCCCATCATCGACACTATCCCGGGGAAGCGATGGGGTACTCCGGAAGAATTGGCCGAAGCGGTAGTATTTTTAGCGAGTGGGAAGGCAAGCTGGATGAACGGTACCGAGCTTGTTGTTGATGGTGGGAAGGTGATATGCCGTTGAACTGGGTTGCATGCTTAGGTCTGTCATAGAGCTAAACTGAGCAGGTGGATTACAGCTCTCGGCAAATTGGTTTGTTTACTGTGGATTTATAAGCTGTTCGGCATTGCGTCATTACCGTAGACCGGAAGATATCTTCCTTACTGAACGGGGCAAATAGATATATCCGCTTCCCACCTCAGTTTTCGCTCTCGTGCTGGGTTGGACATTCAAAATGACGGGAAGTAAGATACTCCTGACAGGCACCACGCTCTATATGTAGAAGAATCCCCCGTCTATGCAGGGTGATTACTTACAATATGATGGGACAGAGGCGGATCCCTTCTGAGCGCGCTCATAAATTCCGAAGCTGGTGTTGTCGAGGCTGCTGCAATTTCAGTCCTTGTGCGCGGCGAACACCAGGCAAGCGTGCTGAAGGATAGGGTACTGGCAACCATCGATTTCAAGGGGTTTGACGATGATGCTACACTTAGGAAGGTAGCTAGTGAACATGATGGTATGACACACCAGACTCCAGGCTCGGTGCAGTCAACGTGCTAATCTGACACCGTAAAGTTGCCGTCAACACAGCGTCTGGATTCGAGGCCGGCCTTGCAACATCCCTGATTCGAGGGCTGGCCGACAGGAAGCAGGCACTAGGAGCTGACACCCACTATATTCACGTCTGTAACGTATGGGTTTCTTGCTACGGTAGACCTACTGATTTGAAAAACAGACATCCGGGACAACAAACTATGCTAATAGCCTAATCCTCAACCTATATTTTGGCTATGCCGCTGATACTATATCCGACAAAGACGCCAGAAACATGGTATCAACCCTCCACTATCTAAAAAAGCAAAACAGCTATACCTCGTATACCACAGACCTTACTATATTATTAGTAGGATAGGAAACCGGCATCAGTACCTATATTATTATAATTCCCATGCTCTTTAGATTTAGCACGGGCTTCTTTTACAAGCTATTAGACTAGGTCCCGATCTTAATAGGTAAAGCACTCCAAGAAAAGTAAATATAGATTGTTAGCAATAAGAAGGGAATAAAGTAATATATCTATATAAAGGATGCTGCGGCTGTTTATAAGCTGGTACTCTAACAAGTTCTTACTGGGAAGGCCGTTCATTTACAATCCGGTAAGCATCCAAAGCGAGTTTAAAATTGCATTCTAATGCATGTTATAGGACCTCGTCAGCCAACTCAAGCGGGGTGTCCCTTTCGCGTGGAACAGTCGAGGTGGGAGAGTCAATTATGGACCGTTTCAGGATCCGAATGAGAATTACAACGACTGGCCCGCTTTGGGCGAGGTTGCGGCAGGAGCCTAGCATAGGATAAATTAGTTTATGAGGATAAGTGTCGAAGAGACAGCAGGAATGGGCTAGAGAACCCCATTGGCTACAAAACCAAGCTTGAATAGGAATAGATCGGGTTTCTCAGCTGTGAAAGGAAGGAGAACGCAGGTCAGCCCTAGAAACCTCGGACCACCGGCGCCGAATTTTCCGGAATCACGTGGCGCGCTTGGAGCTGCGGCACGTGATGGTAATACCAAGTCCCGTGACCATAGTGTGCGTGTAGCCAATAGGGTGCGGGTGGGGCCATCGCGCCCTCCTTGGAATCTGGCCAGCATCGAAAAAACAAGACAATCCATTTTGCGTCCTGGACTAGCCTCCCAACATTATACCGTAGATAATTAGGTAGCAATATATAGAATACCTTGTACTGTTCACGACCATTCTGGGACTAAGCGATTGCTCTAGAGACTGACGCCCGTGGAGGTGTCATCCTTGTTGGGCAAGAATATATATTTCGAACACCGTGGCCACTGACAAAGATTACCTAGAAATGACTCACCACAAAAAGCGAGAGGGCTAATATTTAGCTTTTGGAAACATTTCCAAGCTCTTAAAGGCGAATACGATTGGAGGTGTTCGAATGTTGAGGAATAATTACATTGTTGGTATTACGTCCCATCGCTGGGTGCCTCAGGCATTATATCTATCGATCTCTAGAATTTCTATCACAGCACTGTATTGTAGTTCAGCTAGTCTATCGTGTCTAGTCCAGCCCATCCCAGTCTAGTCTGTAACCAAGCCCATATCCAACAGCATATTGCCAAGCAAGAGGAAGTAATAATCGGCGTAGACAAGACCATGGTCAGCCCAGCGCCTGGCGGCAAACTCATAGTTGCAGACAGTCGCGCCGTTTAGTATTGTTTCAGGGCATTTGATAGCGTCGGACCCTCCTGCGCCAGATGAGACAGCAAGAGGACCAGATTGTTTCTGCTCCTCATTCGGAGGGAAAGTAGGATGGTTCAAGCCTACACTCTCGCTGAACCTAACAGCGGGCGTTGTCATGAACCCTTCAACTGTTCCATCGAGGATCCTCAGAGCACTGTCTAGATAGCCCTGAGCCGCCGTCGAATCCACTACCCGCAGGGCTTTATACAGCAGAACCAGCCCACAGCACGCGACCATCCCAGCGGAGGTATCTCTTGGAGTATCATTAGTCACAGGGGCATCGAAATCCCAGTACGGCACGCTGTCTGCCGGCAGCCTGGCCAGGAAGTAATCCGCCAGGTCTCTGGCTGTATTGAGGAACTCGTTTTCTCCAGTCCACTGATATGTCTGTATGAAACCCAGGATCCCCCAAGCCTGACCACGGCTCCAACAGCTATCGTTGCTGTACCCCTGATGTGTAAACTTTGCCTTCGGGCTCCCTGTCGCGGCGTCGTAGTTTACAACATGCATGGTACTCTTGTCCGGGCGAATATGATGCTTCTGCGTCGTGCGCGCGTGGGCGACCGCGATATCGTACAATGATTTGTCGCCGGTCTCGCGAGAAACCCAGAATAGCATGTCCAGATTGAGCATATTGTCAATGATGACGAGAAAGTCCTTGGACGGGTCCGTGAAGGAGTATAGCTTTGTATGGCAGATATCCCACGATCGAATAGACTGCACGCGGGCATCGTACCGACCGGACAGCGAGTGGGCTGCCAAGACTAGGCTGCTGTATGCCTGGGGATCACGGTGCAGAGTCCATGCCTTGAGTGCCCACGGTGCAATCATGAACCCGAGGTCATGGGTATCCTTCTTGGCGGCGTTCTGGTGCAGGTTCGTAGACCACCACTGGCAGAGGTGTTGGAGTAGGACACGGTGGAGGAAGGGATGGCCCCTGTCGTTCTGGTTCAAGGACGGTTGGTATAGTGTTTGCCGCTCGAGGAGGAGGTACAGCGAGCCCGGAAAGAACCCAGATGTCCAGAAGTCCAGGTTGCGGTAGACGTAGGCATCGTCTGTACCAGTGTATTCGGGGTAGAGCACGGGAGGGCTGGCGCTGCCGAGAGCCCTGTGAGCGACGGTCCATAGCTTGACGACAGTCGACGGAGAGTAGAGGGCATCGATCAGGTGTTGCGGAATATGGGCTTCATGGGTTGTGACTTTGGCTCGCTTCGTGCGAGACTGGCCGTTAGCCGCCGACTCGAGGGCATGTTTGCTGGCACCGGTTGCACAAGGAGTCATGACGGCAATCAATATGTGCTGGGAGAATACAGCATTGTAAGCACTCGAGTGCGCCGAGTTCATATAGAACCAGGGTGATGCCTGGACCGGGGGAATGGCCGGGCAACCTCCGGGCATATCACCCGCTAACAGACACTGCAGACTTGGACCCAACAGCCCCCGGCCTGGGCCACCGGGCGCGACCGGACAACCTCCGGCACAGATCCCTGCACAGGATTGCACGGCTTCCTTAAGTTCACCGGCTCTGCCAGGAGTTCTCTTGTTGCAAAAGGAACATACTTCTCCACTCGCCATGGCCGACATCACGGATTCCCGTAAAATCGACATGTCCACACACCAGGAGTACGGGGAGACGACCCCTGAAAAAGGTCTCCAGAATCATGCTGCCGACGATGAAACCGCAGCCTATACGACAGGCAGTCCAATCGAGATTGATAAGGCGACAAACCGTCGACTCTTCTGGAAGATCAACCGCCGCGTTCTGATTTGCATGCTGGGGGTTAGTTATTCGTCGTTCTGTCGACTTTGGTACTGACACTGCCAGACCTACTTCTGCCAGTCGCTCGATAAGGGGACGCTGGGATTCAGTTCCATCATGGGCATCCAGGAGGATGCTGGCCTTGATGGGGACAAGTATAACTGGCTGGGTGAGTTCATCGGTTGATTTTGGGGGGTTTTGCTGACTTGCTGCAGGGACGATCCTATATCTTGGTGTCTTGGTGGGCGAGTATCCAACCAATCTTCTCATCCAGAAACTTCCTGTTGCCAAATACTTGGCTGCAAAGTATGTACATGTCCTCGCTGGGTGAGCGTCACTGATGAAGTAGTGTTTTTCTCTGGGGAGTCGTGATCATGGTACGTACATACCCTAACCAGCAAATAGCGAAGTTGCACTGACATTAGTACAGTGCAGTGCGGCTGCAACTAACTTCCCTGGGCTAATGGTTGTCCGGTTTCTCCTGGGGTATGTTTATTTCCTGCTCTTGTCCGTGCTCTCGTGAATACTGACAAGTCTAGTGTATTCGAGTCCTGCGTCCAGCCTGCATTCATCGTCATGACATCCATGTGGTTCACGCGCCGGGAGCAGGCAGTACTGACTAGTCTGTGGTACTGTAGTAGGTCTCCCCCTGCAACATAGCCCGACCAAGCTAACATCTGACCAGTGACTGGGGTCCAACTTATGGTACGTGCACCGAGCCACCACTTCAAATCATAGCTAACCACTCAAGGTTGGTGGAATACTCGCCTGGGGCACAAGCCACTATATCGGCCATCACATCAAATCCTGGCAGCTACTCTTCCTAGCTCTAGGGGCCGCAACATGTGTCTGGGCAGCGTTCTTAGGCTGGTACCTCCCGGATAGCCCAATGAAAGCCAAATGCTTCTCTGAACACGACAAGCAACTCATGGTCGAGCGCGTGCGAGCCAATGACACGGGTATCCAGAACAAGACCTTCAAAAGGTACCAGCTTATAGAGGCTCTGACAGATCCAGTGACCTGGCTCTACGTTCTCCTCCAGCTCACCAGCACGCTGGTCATCGGCGGTCTGGGCGTCTTCTCGAATATCATAATCAAAAGCTTTGGTTTTACAACTCTGCAGACTCAACTGCTCAATATCGCACAGGGAGGCGTTACCATCCTTGTTATGGTTGGTGGTGCTTCGCTGGCGACTTGGACTGACAGGACTGTGCTTGTGATGCAGTTGTGGACTCTGTATGCTTCCAATCCCCCATTTCAATAGTATAGAACGGTATACTGAGATAGGTACTACAGCCCAGCAATTGCCGGCACAGCAGTCATTTACTCGATCGCCCCTACTACTGCCACGCGCGTCGGCCTCCTGATCGCCTTCTACTGCACACAGTTCATCCTCGCCGAGGGCAACCTGCTCTTCTCGCTCATCTCGCGCAACGTTGCAGGGCAGACGAAGAAGGCGACCGTGCTTGCTATTACTTTCATTGCATGGGCTGCTGGAAATGCCACTGCTCCTCAGGTCTGTCTCTCATCTACCTACCAGCGTCCTCAAATTAACCCATCCAATCCCGAGTTATATGCTGAGTACACCCGGACAGATCTTCCAATCATCCGACGCGCCGCGCTACAAGAACGGCTTCATCGCGCACTTCTGTCTCTACGCGCTGTTTAATATCCTTCTTGTTGCACTGCGCGTAATTTACGCTCTGCGGAACAAGCGCAGAGACAGCAGCGCAACGCGGAGGGAGAGGAGCCATGTCAATGCGTTCCTGGATATGACTGATAAGGAGAATGGGGACTTTTATTATGTTTCCTGAGAGTCGCAGATAGGGGACTCGCGGTCGGGAGGACGGAGAGATGAGAAGGCGAAGGCAGGGTATAGTGAAGGGAGGTGGCATACCTGGGTAATTTGGTGGGAGGGGCGTTGTTTTGTGAAGCCAATGTTACAGATGTGTCATTAATTGGGTCATGATATCCAGGTACTGGAGGATTATCACACGACAGTGGGCTCACTACAAAGAAATTAATCCCATTTTGTTCACCTGAAGGCTACGTCCCAGACCCCATGGCTGCCCCCTGCTCAACCCCTTGGAACTGACTGGTTCGCCGTCCTGGACTGGGAACATGCCCAGAGCCCGCAGAGACAGTATCGTGTGAATCCTGCACCGGTGAGTAAAATGGGACAGGAACCCCATTCCACGATAGAGGATTGTCCGTCTGGTTTCTTACAGTAGAGGGAATGGTTGTTAAAGAATTCCCGGGGTCCAAATGTGGGTTAAACGGCTCTGGATCCGGGAACGGGGCAAAGCTATGATGGAAGGACAGGGGCAGAGGGGGAAATGCAAGTGTAAGCGAGGAGTCGGAGTTTGTATCATGAAAGTCAGTGTATAAAGAGTGTTCTTGGACTCCTTGCATGTTGTCGACCGAGAGCCCTCCCGGCATCTGGGGTAGTGACGCAGCAGTGACACCAGAGGGGGTTTGATTTGCAGTAGCAGACTCCTGGTTTGGAATGCGATCCTCGGTGGCAGCTGTTTCTGAGTACACTGGCTGCCGGATATCGAGGCTTCTTGCTGTCGGGGGCAGGTTATCGCGAGCGTGGACTAGACGTCTCGCAAAGACGCTGGCTAGATTTTCCTTCTCTGGGCCGCTGATGTCGCGTGGGCCAGCCCACCGCGTGGAGATCTCGAGCAGGCTTGCAATGAGGGTATCCAGAGCTGGAGGAATGGAGACGTTGTTATATCGGGCGTGGGTGAGAAGCATGCGGCCAGCGATGAACAGGCAGAACGAGAATTGCGGGTTCGTGAGCATGGACGAGCAGAGGAGGAACTGGCTGCCAATGGCAGAGATCTCCGAGGCAGCCTCGATGCAGGTTTCTGCAGAAGAGGACGAGTGCAGCTTGACAGGCGACGACTTCCAGTGGTGCGGTGGATAGGCGATGGCCTGGTGCAGCAGGATCACCACCGTATTATGCGTCATATGCGCCAACGTGAGGTTCGAGTCCATGATGCCATCCGCATTGAGCTTCGATGCGTCGCGCCATTTCGAGGGTAGGAACAGCTTCCATCTGCATAGTTAGCAACAGTCCAGCTCTCTAGAGTAAGTGGGAGACATACTGGACCAACCGCAGGTCCAGCTCCTTGAACCGCATCAGCCAGACCTGGGTTTCCTCCACGTTGCGCACATCCAGCGGCTGATGGACGAAGAAATTCGACACCAGCACCAACGACTCTGTTGCTTCTATGCAGTACGCGAACCCGCCGATGGAGTCCTGCTCCGCCGGGTCGGTGGTCAACTGCCTATCGAGCGGCAGTGGCTGATACTGGGACATACTCTTCGTGATCGAGGATCCAAAGTACGGCGCCCTCACCTCGTCTTCATTCTGCCAGAGCGCGCCCTCGCAGGGAAGCCTTCGCTTGACGTCCGCGGAGGTGAGACTGACATTCCAGCCTGTGGATACGCTGCAGAAGCGGTCCATGAGGAAGACGGTCCAGAACACGCGTCGACGCTCCTCTGCTTCTCGCCAGCAGCTTGACGGTTTGAGGAAGGCCATACGTCTGATTAGGGTTTCTCCAGCCTGGCCTCGGTCGTAGAGGTGGTCTTCTTCGACGCTGAGCTGGAGCTGCTCGACGGTGCGCGCCATGCCGCCGACAATCGACCATGACGACGGGCCCCGGCCGCGGGCAATCTGCATACGTTAACATGAATTCATACAAAGAGGGCCGGATATGGAATGCACCGTGTCAAATGCGACGATGACCAGGGCCTGCAGGTTCCCAACAGAGAACGACTCCATACCGGATAACAACACTTTCTGCCGACAGCTTTCAGCGACTCGCGATACCATTTCCTTGTCGGCGAGTCGTGGATCATTGACGAAGCGGATGCAGGCGGCGATAATTGCATATAGTGTATGGGTCGCTTCTCTTCTTCCCTCTGTAGACTGGATTTGATGTCGGAATCTTCGCACATGCAGGATCGGAATCCAGTGGTGGAAATTGTCAAAGTAGAACTCGACCAGCCGGCCCAGCAAGTCCGATTCGATGATGTCTGTCGCAGTCAAGCTGGCGTTTTCGAGATCTGCTGACGGGGACCGAGTGCGCCGTCGCTTCGTAGGCGGCTCGCTCTCCTCCTGGGAGGCCACCTGGAGCAGCGAGCGACGCAGGGTCTGCTGAACCCCAGGGACGCTGTGAGGGTTAATGTCGTCCTGTCCAGGGAATTTCGCGCCCGGATGCAGCGTCTCCCACATCTGCTTCCACAGGATCTCCTGGCCCAGGAACATGTTCTCCAGCGTCTCGATCCTGCGCGACAGACTGTCGACCACGCCGCTGCGCAACCCCGGCTTCATTCGTTTCTCGTCGTAGGTGCAAGCAGTCCCCGCGCGGACGCACTGCGAGCACGGCTGCTCCCTGCTGCAGCGGGCCTTTTTGCGGCGGCAGGACTGGCATGCTGGGATTTCGTCGTCCCGCTGTTCCTGCTGGGTATCGCGACCATTCGTTTTGTTGCCCATGATGGAATTGACATCCTCAGTTGCGGGGATGAGAACCTTTGGCATGATCACAGCATCCCCACGCCAAGTTACCCCGTGGAGACTGTCCTTGACGTGCCACGCGGGGATCGGGCGTCGGGTCAAGTCGCGGAGCTGGTCCGGTTGCAGAGGATTACGAGCCTCGGTAAAATGGCTAAACTGGCCATTTGTAGCGGATAAAAGCCTGCTATCGACTCGAGCGTACCTCTGGAGAGACTCGTTCTGTTGATCGGCCGATTGTCGCATGTCCCTCCCACAGTCGATTCCCCCCCCCCGTAGCCTGTTCTGTAATGCCTTCTTCCGGTGGGTGGCTTTGGTTTCTCATGTCCGTGAGGCCGTGAGTATATCGGATGCATCTGATTGTTGCCCCGTCTCCGGTCACTCTATAAGGGTCACTACCGACCACTATTCGTTAATTATCATTATGCCCCCCTGAAATAGTAGCACTTGTACAAGTCATTCGAGGAATGAGAAGCCGATCAGCTGTACCTGCCTCCCAATCTCTACGTATCCCTGTAATATCGACATGAAGCCTATTCTAATTTTGGGTGCACTTTCTACTGCCCTTGGATGGGTGCATCCTGGAATCGGCAACACAAAGGACGACCTCGATCGCCTGATCCATACGGCAAACTCTGGCCTGGAGCCCTGGGACTCCGCGCTGACGGCTTTCGCTGCCGACGTACACAGCACCACAGACTATAAAATGCTGGGTCCATGCCCGATCGTCACAAGGACCAAAGAGAATAGCACCAGCGTCTGTGTCAACGAATTCGCTGAAGACGCCGTAGCAAGCCTGCAACAAACGTTGATGTGGATTATCACCGGTGACCAGATATACCCCGACAACAGCCTGGCGTTACTCAATGCCTGGGGACACACTCTCACCAAGGTCAATGGTTAGTTGATGCAATGCATGCGAGTTGAATAAGATTTGACCTTAATAGGCTCCGACGCTCAGCTTGCTGCTGCCCTATCAGGGTCTAACTTCATCAATGCCGCCGAAATCGTCAGGTACAGTACCAACCTCTGGACAGCTGAAGATATCGCTGCCTTCTCAGACATGGTGTCTACCGCAATGTACCCACCGGCTGCACAGTACATCCCATCCGCCGAGCAGTCGATTCCGTTCATTGCCAACTGGGGAACGAGTGGTGCCAAGTTCATGCTCGCAGCGTCCGTCTTCCTGGAGAACCAGACTGCATATGATACAGCCAAGCACTTGATGCTGCATAGCCAATGTGCAAACTTCACGGGCAGCATTTCGCCGACAGGCCAAACAACTGAAACTGGGTGAGTAGTAAGCCCCTGCAGTTACGCATTTTTCTGACCATTGTAGACGCGACCAAGCTCACGGCCAGCTTGGTATCGGCAACTGGATCGAAGCCTTTTATACTCTGCACAATCAAAACGACAGTATACCCTGGTTCACAATGGAAAACAACCGACTTTTCAACGCGATGGAATACGAAGCTAGAGTTATGCTCAACCAAACAGACGGGCTACCATACGACCCGGCTTTCAACAGCGTCACTTGCAACTCAAGCATTACGCCCGTCGACTGGCCCGTCATCAGTAAGAAGGCTATTTGGCCCGTCAGGCCAACGTGGGAATTGGGATACGCCATCGCCAGACACATTTTTGGCATTGAGCTACCCAAGACCAGGGAACTGATCTTTGCTGTCGCACCAGACGGACCAAATCCGCCCAAGGCTATTGCAGATGGATCTGCTTTCCAAACACTACGATTTCGCCGGTTGGCTGATGCTCAGCCCCTGAATAAAACCCATGGACGAACGCCCAGTGGACTCGACTCAGGTTATAGGTCCTAATCATCGCGTAACATCCACACATCCAATACCATGCTTCCATTCATTGACTTGCCACTTATGTTGAACTGCCATTATTATTTAGGCTGGAGGATCCAAAGTCGTTACAAGCCAAGACTCAACCCGTCCAGCGATCTGCTATACGAGTAAATAAAAAAGCAGACACTTCAATCCGCTATCACCCTGCAGGTCTTTTCTGGGAGGATTGCCATATAGACGACCAGTTGCTTAGTGATACTTTAAAGGAATCTATATTCAGCCACCACATTTTTACTCTCTGTCCAAGGTGTCGAAAAACCCTCTTGGCAGGTATTGTAGACACGGCCGATTCCTCGGATGCCACACCCTGATCGGTGAATAGGTTAAATAAATTAGGGGACTTTCCCCACAGCTCCACTGCTGTCAATCTGAAGCACAGATCGTCGGGCCATCAGCCAGTGCCCCTGATGTCCACGCGGCCACCGCGCGACCGTGACGGTGCATCTGTTCGCAGAAGTGTCCCTTGTCGTGATCGACGCTTGACAAAACAAGGATGTAGAGAGGAACACAACCTTATATTAAGTCTACGTCAAAACTTCAACGATCGGAAGAGGTCCCGGACGAGGGCCGTTTCTGCTTCCTGCCAGAACAATCCAATTCTTCCTCCGCTGGATGTCCGGTGGGGTGATCGTGGAGTATATAACAGGAGGCATACCTCTGCCGGATTCCTTCACAAATCCAACTTCAAGCTCCCAAACAAGCATCTCTTTCCAAAATGAAGACCTCCTGTGTGTTCAGCATCCTCAATGCTGCCCTCTCTGCAGCAGCAATCACCCACCCTGGTTTACTTCACACCGAAGACGACTTCGAACGCATCAAGGGCTTTGTCTCTGCGAAGCAGGAACCCCAGTTGACTGGCTGGAACAAGCTTGTCGCACACGCCGACGCAGCCTACGAACCTGCTGCTAAAGAGACCGTCTGCCGTGGCTCTGACTGTGAGACCGAGAATTATCCATCTTTATACAAAGACGTCGCCGCCGCCTATATCAACGCCGTGTATTGGAAAGTCACCGGAACCGAGGAAAACGCGGATGCTGCAGCAGCTATCCTGGATGCGTGGAGTAGCACCCTCAAGACCATTGAGGGTGGCTCTGACCGCTTCCTTGCGGCCGGGATTTACGGCTATCAGCTGGCGAATGCGGCCGAGATCCTAAGGACATACGAGAAATGGACTGGGCTGGAAGATGTCGCTGCATTGTTGCAGGATGTCTTTCTACCGATGAACGAGGACTTTCTGATCCGCCACAATGATGCAGAGATTGACCACTATTGGGCCAATGTAACTATATTAATATACCCAGCATGGAAGAAGCATATGCTAATATGAGCCTATAGTGGGATCTGTGCAACCTTGCTAGCATCCATGCTATTGGTGTTGTCGCTGACAACCAAACCGCCATCGACCGGGCAATCACCTACTTCAAGGAAGGCGAGGGAAATGGCGCCCTGGAAAAGGCCATCTGGAAGATCCACACCGAAGAAGACACGGGCAAGGCTCTTGGCCAGGGTCAAGAAGCAGGTCGAGACCAAGGCCACAGTCTGCTTGATTTCGGGCTCCTCGGTGCACTGGCCCAGCAGGCCTACAACCAAGGGGAAGACCTTTTTGCGTTGAGTGATAACCTCATTCTTGCAGGGTAGGTTCAACTATCTGATTCTTAACATAGAAAAGACAGTGAAGACTGACAGTAACAGCGCGGAGTACGTTTTCAAGTACAACACCGGCAACGACGTCCCCTACACCGAGTATACAAACTCGGATGAAACCCAGTCCGTGATCAGTGAAGCCTCGAGGGGAGAACTCCGACCTATTGCGGAATTGCTGTACGCCCATTATAACGGAATCAAAAAACTGGATGCCTCTTGGACCAAGGCATACAGGGATCTGCTCATCGAGGACGGTGAAGGCGCTGAGGGCGGCAGTGGTGATTACGGGACTACCAGTGGTGGTTATGATGTGTTCGGATTTGGCACTGCCTTGTACAGGCTGGAGGAGTAAGCTGGCTCGGCCAGATATTGGTCTCACGGACAAGGTGCGATGTTTACATTAATTCCATGTGTATTTACTTTGAGAATGCGAGATGCTGTCCCTCGTATAGTGTTGATCGGTGGGGACAGCAGTGTCGAAAGCTAGCTGAAGAAGTACTTATCGTGTTTCGAATACGTGTGTTGTCTCCGTACTGCTGTACCACTCAGGTGATCATTAGGACGAGTATTAAACGACAAGTCAGCCACAGGGGAGTAGTTCGATACCCGCAAGGTAGGATGCCTTATTAATTAAATAGGACTGACTGATGATAATATCAAACACTGCGGCTTGTATCAAAGCATTGTACTTGAGAGGAGCTAAGGAACGAATGGTACTGAATTAAGCTAACTGCTCTTGATAAACTGTACATCTTCTACATGCTCGTTAATAAACACCGGCACCATGTCTGCAGTCATATACCACCGGGGCTTGTCCATCTGTTCGTGGATGATTTTCCCATCAACACGGAGATCCTCGAAGACGACGTCCTTGACCAGACGCGCCGTGTCATATCCCAGAATCATGGCCGGGTTGACAACCTTTGAGTCCCGCGTATCCAATGATAAATTCCTGATTGTGATTCCTTGGATACCTCGTCCCGGAGCTGTTGTCCACATTGCATTCTGCATAACTCGGAAATTGAGTAGTTGACCGCGCGTAATACGCTCGACACGAACATCCTCAATCAGGATATCGCGGAACAGATTCTCGTCAGCAGCATTGATAGCGATACACCCTTGATACCACAACTGGTACTCCTCGTGGTCCAAGATATCAACATTCCGAATCACAACATCGCTCGTCGTCTCCGGCTTCTTTGGATTCCCATGCGTGCCCATGTTGATCGCATGTGCGATATCAGGAAGCAAAACACAGTTCTGGATCAGGATATTGCGCGAGTCACCATACCACTCCCACCGGTGCGAATACAGGGCAATCGTATCGTCCGAGTTGCGCAAGAAGCAGTTCTCAATCGTGACGTCGGATGAGCAGAAAATGTCGACCCCGTCTCCATTTCCAGCATACGAGAACGATCGGTACCGGTCTATGTGGAGATTCTGGCACTCGCCTGCAGACAGACTGAACCCATTTGCACCTAGTGAGGTGACGCCCTCGACACGGATGTTGGAAGCGCCGCTCATGTGGATAGCACCGCCGTGTTCGCGATACTTGTAGCCGCCCTCTGGACCGAGAACGAAGCCGTGCCCGCGGACGCCACTGTTGGAAACACCGATAAAGTTTAGGCGGCAGGTAATGAAAGCACCGGGGGCAATGTAGACTGTCGTATTAGACGGCACCATTAAATTGACACCGTCAGAAATGCGGGCGTAGGCTGCACCCCGGTTGACGCCCGGCCCAAAGTACCAGACACCGTCGGAGTCGCCGGTTGGCGCGGACAGGTCGATCTTGTTGGTGAGAAGATGCAAGGCCGTCCACTTGTTTCCGTTTATTTCTAGCATCACATCCTTTGGTGTATCAAGCGAGAAGAAGACTGTGTTGTTCTGGACCTGAGTCTCGATGCTCAAGGCTCTCGGTCGGATTTCTGCTGAGCGTATGGGCCCATTGTAGTCTACTTTGACTTGCACGGGGCCATCAAAATCGAAGGAGGCAACAGCGACGGTGTGTCGATTGAATGTATTGCAGGTGGTGCTGGCGTTCGCCACGTCTACAGCATATGCAGCAACAGGGAGCCATTCCTGGCCATCTGCCTTGACAGCGACGGTGAAATCCGGGTTGACCGGGACGTTGGGAGGAGAGCCATACACTTTGACAGCCATTTCACACTTTGTCATGGAATTTTGAAACAAAAGCATACGATAAGCCGTTCATATTTAATACCCGAGCGACATATTAATCCCATGGCCGAAAGACACCGGGAGTGCCGGTGGACGGAGTGTCTCTCGGGGATGGGCCGGCCTAACGTCAATTGTCAACAGGTATAAAACATGATCTAGGCATAGGTTGTCCATGAATGAGAGGTTCTAATAGCAGTATATTTACCAGCCCAGGTCCCTGTCTATCAGCTGCATCATGGCCATCTCAGCGGGCCACACTTGAACGAACTCCTGCACTCGCCCGGCCCAGTCTTCATGCCAGTCGAAGATAAGGGGGTACGATGCACAGAAAAATCCCCAGAAGTCAGGGAGCCAGCCAGAATTCTCCCAATCAATCAGGACGACGTCAAAGGATCGACCGCCTTGACTGTTGGATAGGCCCGCTTTTTCTGCGACCATAATATTCTTCTGCTGAGCATCCCCATGTGTCAATGTAGGCCGGTGCCCTTGAAGGACGGTGGCGAGATATTTTTCATAGAAGCGAACCTTGTAGTCTGGGCGCTTGTTGAATTCAACCAGGGCTCTGTAGTTACCAACAAGTGCTGCAACGAAGGCAGGCTCGCCAGAGAAAGGCCCTAGGAAACCCTCGCCTTCATGATGTTGGCTATAGAATAGGTAGTGAGGAACAGGGCCCCCGTCTAGGCCTCCGAAGAAGTCGGGCCATGGACACTGGGCCTTTCGCATTGCGTCGAATGCGTGTTGGAGTTTGGTGACAATGTCGTCCTTCTCCGACTCCGCCAGCGATGGCCAAATGGAATTCAGCGGTACGCCAGGAGCACGTTGCATGATCAAGAAGAGTTGCTTGGAATCATGGTACATCGCGTACAGTCGCGGGGCCGGGACTTCTGGGACATGTCGCTCAAGGTAGACCAAAGCCTGGCCTTCCCAAGTGTTGATAGAGCCGCCGTATTTAACCACAATATCGTCATTGAGCGCCACAACCTTGGATGAGCTGGTCTCCCACAGAACATTAGTGCAGGCGCGGATTTCCTCCGTGGTGGGGAGAGTCGGCAGCGGCGCGGAGTTCTGAAAGGGGATGCCTACTGGTTCCCACATCGTGAACCGAGAATACTAGAAGATGAGGGTGTGAGGGGAGGGAAAGGGAGCGGTCAAGGAAGATCACAGAAAGTAACTGGATGTCGGACTGTCACTGCTGATTTTCCAGGTGCGCTGATTACATCAGACATGCAGGGATTCACATACTGATAGGGATAATAACGCGAACATTAATTATGTTAACTACAAGGACCAGCTCAACGCAATTTTATTCCCAAATCTCCTAGTCCGACCGGCGTCGAGGTGCGTCTTCTCAAAGGGCAAGTCCTGCCATATCGGCGGGCGCGCTGTCAGTTGTATGCTCTCCATCTCGCGGTGTAAACACCAAATTGAACGGGGCGGCGCTTGCAGAAAGGTAATCGGAGAATCCCCCAGGCTGATCAAGGAGCCAAATAGGATCAACCCCATCACTGTCGCCTGGCGGGAAAGAAAAACTCAATTTGCGGACCAGGTAGTACCCCAGCAGCCTCATCTCGAGATACGCCAGGTTCTTCCCGATACAGGAATAAGTCCCAATGAGGAAAGGATTAAACGCGTCTTTGTTGCGGACAAGGGAGGGCTGCGACGACCACCGCTCGGGAATAAAGCTCTCAGGCTGCGCAAAGTATCGAGAATCTGTAGTAGTAGAGAGAGGTCAGCCAGGAGCCACAGAAGAAGCTGACGGTGACAGGATGTACCTCGATGCAAGCCGAATGTAGGAGTTGAAATCACCGTGTCACCGGGGATCCAGTGGCCCGCAATGCTGGCGCCCTCTGGAGGTGTAACTCTCTGGAGCCCACCAGGCACAACTGGGTATAAGCGGAGGGTCTCGTTGATGCACCCGTTCAGAAAAGGAGCGTCGGTGGCCAGGCGCCGGTGTGACACCTCCTCGCCCGGGGCGAACAGCTGATCAAGCTCCTGCTGTAAGCGATGTAGCTTCTCTGGATGGCGTGCGAGGAGAAACAGCATCGCCGTGACGCTGGTTGCAGTCGTATTACTGCCTCCGATAATGGCCAGCTCCGACTCTAACACTAGGTCGCTCTCGGATAGCTGTGCTGCCACCTTGGATGTCCCGGCCGCCTCGCCCAGTATGAAGGAGAAGAGGTCCTTGCGAGATCGGTCGGCCTAGAGGGCTTGATAAGTGCCTGGACAAGGACCGAAGAGAGGGAACCGATCACTGACCTTGCGGCGCTTCTCCATTTGCTCAGCGCACCAGCCGATCCAACTCGACTGTACCTGGCCAACTCCGCGTAATCGCAGGAATAGGATGAATAGCCACGGAATGGTCAGTAGTAAGCCGGTGGCAACCTGCTGGTTTTCAAAATGCTCGAAGATAAAGTGATCGCCGGCAGTCTTAATCATGTCGAACGGCTTGCCAAACACCAGGTCCCCCATCACGTCGTATCCAAAATAACTGATCCAGCGGGGGACGTCAACCGGCTGGCCTGATCTTGCTAACAGCTGGCGGACTAGATCCATGCAATGTTCCGTTACACGTGGCTCGTATTCTCCAAGAGCTTGATAACGAAGTTAGTACTCCGAGTCGTGATAAGACTCGATGTCACTTCATCTTAGGGACACTTGCAGCCTACCATTGGAGGTAAAAGCTCTAGCCCAGAGCCGCCGTCTCTGGGAATGCTCGCCCTTGTAACGGATCGTCAAGAGAGACCGAGACGGTGCAGTCACATCGTAAAACGGACCCTTGATAAACGGGCTACCCGACGCGTGGATCTCGTTGACAGCGTCCGCATTGCAAATAGAGATCTCGCGAGGTCCTACACCTCATATTAACCTTGTGAAGCGTCCAGTTCGAAAACAGGCTGCTCACTGATTCGAACAAAGTCGCCGTGTTTCTTGTGCAGTTGCTGCACGACCCGATAGAATTGGAAGTGCGGAACAGTCTTGTATGTTGACCAGATCACACTCAACCGCGCCGGTACTGGGCCAGGGAATGCACGAAGCCTGTGGAAGCAAAGCCGATAAATAGCGATGGAGCTCATGAGTCCGCCCATATAACCAATGTTCACAGCAGCCAGTGATAGCCCAAACTCCAGCGTCCAAGCACCGGACCACCGCACCAAATACAGGGCCACTGTGGCCTCTAGCAGTGCTCCCACAAGCACGAGCCCTGGTAGCTTTGCCTCCCACTCCCCACGTACAAAAAATGCCCAGTGGGAGCATGCTCCGAGCAGAGCACTGCCGGCGAAGACAGTTGTAACAAGCATTGCTGGAGGCCTTTGAGGAGCCCAGACAATCCTCGATTTGCTTTCAAGGTCGCATTTCCAAGGGAAGTCCGCCCGAGGGACACTTGTTTTTAATGGGGACTGGAGGATGGAGCTGTGCCATAAAGGCATGACTGCACCCTTGCGTCAATCAGGGTGTATTGCCTCCTCGCGTGTTAGGTGGCAGGCAAGGAGCCATCATACCTAACCTTGACCGCTAGTCATTTTCCTGTCGAAATCCTCGCGTACCGACAGCGAGTATCAGGTCCTACATATAGTACCTCGTTGACTCGTTGTCCCGTGTGAAGCCGGCATTGCCATTCAGATTCACAATGGCCCGTGACCAAGAGCAAGAGGCAGCACTGCAAGGTGGACATGGCTTGGTGGACCCTAGGAAACCCTCAAAGCAACTTCCAGTTCCATGGCAGGTCTTGGATCGACTTCTCACCTTCCAAAGCGCTGACCAGAAGAGCTGGTGGGAGCGCCTGGCTCCTGTACTGGGCGCCACGCTCCAGATTACTGGCTATAGTCTGGAAGCGCAATACCGGTATATGATGGTGTTCTTCGCGGCCATAATGCCAAACATTGGCCCTGTTCCGAATGCCACTGCCTCCAACCTGACATGGACCGGGGTGCTCCCCACCGGGGAAGGCCTTTTAGAAGCCAGCGTCAATTACCAACGCGACGACCAGGTTCTGCTCCGCTTTTCTCTCGAACCCATTGGCGAGCATGCAGGTACCGACGACGACCCGATAAATGAGATGGCCACCCGCCAGGTGATGCAGACGCTCTCTCGTGCTCAACCGGGCACTGTCGACCTTACGCTGTATGATCACTTCGCTTCCACCGTCGCCATCGACGGGCTCGAAGCTCGTCAGAACTGGGAGGCAATTGCACAGATGCCATGCAAGTCGCACTCTTCCCTGGCCCTCGACTTGCATCCGACGGCGTTCAAAGTCAAGGCCTACGCTGGGCCCTGGGTGCGAGCAGCAATAAAGGGGTCGCACTCTTTCACGGTTATGTTTGATAGTCTCCGCCAACTTCAGGAAACATCTGGTCTTGAATTCGATTATAGCGCTATTGAGAGGTATATGTGGACACGGGTAGAGTATTTCAACCCCGAGAACACGTATATCTCCGTCGACTGCGCGGACCCTGCCACATCACGTATCAAAGTATACTGCGATGCCGAGGCCAGAACGTTGCATGACCTGAAAGATATCTGGAGCCTGGGCGGCATTCTGCATGACGAGGCCGCGAATCGTGGGTGGGAACTTGTCGAGCGCATGTGGAACGCGCTGTTCCCCTTGACGTTACCTGGTGGCCGTCGCCTGAGCGCCATGCCCGCTGCGGTCAACTGGGAGATATCTCTGACTGACGGCAGCATTGTGCCAAAGATGTACTTTTATGTGGTCGACTTCTTTGACCGAGACGTTTCGCTTGCTGTCGAAGGGCTCTTCCAGGAGCTAGGATGGCAGAAGCACATCCAGACAGCTCGTCAGCTCGACACGGAGGTCCAGTAAGTTCTAACCCACTGTCCCTTGCCCTTCCTGATTTCCAGGTTAACAGTATCTGCACCAGCAACCTGCCCGACCGTCCCGATAGTTCTAGCTGCTATGTGTGGGTGTCCATTGCCTACTCCGCCGAGCGTGGTGCGTACGTAACAAAGTACACGAATCTGGCTTGCAACGCCATTGTCCAGTAACACACCCATCGCAATAAATATATTTGTATCGTAAACTCAATCTTACTCCTCCTCTCCCTGCACGGGATCCCTACATGCCTACGTAGAAAGGGAATACCTAGGGTGCAAATGCTTATGTAGATATTAGATACTATTCGACTAAAAGCCCATTGGTTGTATTAGCCGTCTTTCTAATTGCACTATATGTCGACAGATAAATATATTAAACAAAGTGGCTGAGTATATCCTCAGTAAATGTTTGGGTTTCCGGGCCTTTTTAGCACAGCCGATGCTGGTTGTATTGAAGGAATCACTCTGGTATTATCTGCTTGCTTCCATCCTGGTCTATACCAGGGGCGTCCGTCGACCACATGTCTTCTCTAGCGCAAATTGTTGCCTGCGGGATGAATGCCGGCTCGGGATTGCAATTAGGGTTGACGCTAATGGAACCAAATCTGCACTTGTTTCTGTCAGTCAGCCCAGCAAGTGCTTACGCGTACACTCCTCTCAGCTGTTTTCCATCCATGATGATTCCACCGGACGGGACTCTCCGTTTGGCACGGTCGCAAAATAGTCTTTTGTGAAGGCAAACAGGGTTTAGACCCCTATCTGCCGGGGGATACTGACACTGACCTCCCACGAGGGGCCATCATCACCCAATGCAACACGGCCTGACTGCCCCACAGAACTGTTTCAGGCGGGGAACCAACTTGGAGACGCAGGCCTCAAAAGCGCCTCTTCTGCCCGGACTTGGCCTCTGTCCCTCGTCTCCCAGCCCCAATGTATGTCACATTCGACGCTGCCCAGGACCCCAACCCGACCCCCAACCGGGGCCCGCGCAACCCAAAACAGCCACGACGAAGCCATCGAATCGGTCGCCAGGGAGTAGCCCCGCGCGCCTGCACTTCATGTCGGCGGCGGAAGACGAAATGTGACGGCCAGCAGCCCTGTGAGGCGTGCCAGTGGTACAAGAAGCCGGACTTGTGCTACTATCTGCATCGCCCCTCGCCGGCTCCACAACGGTAAACCAGTGAAAAATCCATGGCCAGGAGAACCCTTGTGCGTGAATTGACTGAGATAGGGAACCAGCGGCGCACTCGCGCTTTCAGGATGCCCTGGCGAGGCTCTTTCCCGACACTGCCCCAGAGACTCTTGTCAATCTCTCGAGGGAGCAAATGCTCGACATGGTGGCTTCCCAGCAGCAAGGCTCGCCCGCCACGGCCGCGTCAATTGGCACTCACGCCTCGGCGCTGTCAATTAAGCGCCCTGATCTGGAGGGCCTGCATTCAATGCCCGGTGACGTTGAACAGCCGGACCATAACCATGGCATCCGGGGCTCAGATCCATCCGCGCCAATCTCGGACGACGTCAATGCACTGTCAATCACCTCTCGACATTCTACTTCCTACCTGGGGGTCTCGTCTATCCAGGCCGCTTTGAAAGTGATCGCGTGGCTCCATCCAGAACTCGAGACACACTTCTCCCGCACGTCCAAGGGCGACGACAGTCTCCAATTACTACCCAACTCGCAGCGCGCCAGTCCGCCGACGGAAATGGAAATGCTAGATGCATACTTTGTAAACTTTCACCCATTCGCGCCTCTTTTGGACGAAGATGCTTTCCGTTCCGCGTTCATGGCAGGCAGCCGCAAGGACGACCCATGGCTGGCATTGCTGAATATTGTTCTTTCATTAGGCAGCATTGCAGCTACGGGCGCAGAGGACCGGACTCACCAGCTGTATTTTGAACGCTCCATGAGTCGGTTGAACGTGTATTCTCTCGGCAGTCCTAGCCTCGAGCTGGTCCAGGCCCTCGGGCTTATCGGTGGCTGGTATTGCCACTACATCAGCCAGCCGAATCTGGGGTACTCACTGATGGGCGCTTCTCTGCGAATGGCTGTCACCCTGGGCCTACAGCGGGAGCCTTGCACCCCGAACCGCTTTGCAGTCGATATTACGGGGTTGGCATCTCAGGAACTCAGACGTCGTATCTGGTGGTCACTTACTTGCCTGGAGACCTGGGGCCATGAGACGCTGGGTCGTCCGAACATGGACTGCTTTGGCCCAAGCATTACCGTGAATCCTCCGCATGTGTTGGACAAGGTTCGCTTCCCAGAGAGATGCCGATGGCTAATGCTAACTCGATTACTAGGAAAGCTATCTCCGGATCCTTCCCTTGACTGAAAACATTCAATATGCAAAGATCTCCTCGAAGATCCAGGAATCTCTCGCAGCACTCCCGACCCTCACACCCACAGAGATGGGCGATCTGGACTCCCAATTACTGCAGTGGTGGGAGAATCTACCACCGATCCTCAAATTTCACCAACCCTGTCCCCAATCGCTGTACACGGTTCGGACTATTATGCGATGGCGGTTCTACAATCAGCGTATCCTACTTCATCGCCCTGTTCTTCTGAACTTCGCGATGCGGCGCGTGCCCTTTAGTGCCGTGCGAGGGGAGGAGCGAGGGGCTATTGGGAAATGCCACAGCAACGCCGAGGCGCTGATCCAGGATATCTCTGGAATGACCGAGCTTAATCAAGTAATCGGCTGGAATGCTGTTTGGTTATTATTCCAGGCCGTCATGGTCCCGCTAATATTCCTCTCCACCAGCCCTACCGACGATGATTCCCCCGGGTCTTTGGACACCTGTAAGGCCCTGGTCGAGGCGGCAATACTCACACTTGGCCGTATGCGATCGTACAGTCGAACAGCAGAAGCTTCTCTGAATGTTGTGACGCGCTTTTTCGGAGCTATCGTACAAGGGCCTGACCAGTCGTCCGGCATTCCCCAAGGCAGCAGTACCTCAATAGACCCTTTTCCTCCCTTCGACACCACAATCAGCCGTGATGCAGCCACGGCGGCATTCTTTGATGACTTTTGGCCGCAGCATGTGGTGGACTATCTGAGCTGGGATGCCAATAATAACCTTTGGCCGGAATTGCCAAATCTGAATCCTCAAAGCAGCGAGGCGTTGTCTCTCTTCAATCCAGTGGCCGAAGGGATGTAAACATATAGGCATACATTAGCCCTGCTCAGTATTCCCATATCTCAAATACGTCTTCATGAACATACATATATATGTAAAATGATCATTACACAAACCTAGGATTGCTGACCTATACTAAGTTAAAAATCGAGCTATAGACAGGAATGGCTCTTGGTGGTAATCTACAACCACAAACATAAAGCGCGGCTGTAGGTAAAGTATTTCAACCCTTCGTCTGCAGACACCTCTGGATACGCCTATCAGATAGACTCCTGATTCTTAACCTCAACAACCTCATTTCTATCCGACACCAGGACCGCCTTCGGCTCTGTGCTCTTCTTCCTGGGGTTGGGCGCGTCGAAAACCTCAGTCAGCTCTTCTAGAGTCCGCTTGTTTGTTTCAACGGCAAAATAGTAAATGAACAGAGCTTGCACCATATTCCAACCAGCGAGGAGGATATACGTGTGCCACCCCATAGCATTCATGGCGTTTCCAATGCCGAACTGGTTGACGAGTAGAGCAATGTTAGTGAAGACGGAGAACACTGCCATACCCTTGGCGCGAGTTTCGTATGCCAGACACTCGACGGAATACATGGCTTGCAGGGGCGTCCATCCAAAACTGTAGCAAAAGCCAATCAAGAATATAACAACAATGGACCCTGTCGCAGCTCCTGGCTGCTGGGACTTTGAGTAAACACCAGTGCTTGCAGACAGACCTGCAAAGAAGATCTAATATACAAGGGTTAGCAGATGGAGAGAAGATAGACTTAGCAATGTACATACGCCACAGGAAATACAGGCACCGATCATCATGGGCCTTCGACGGATCTTGGGACCAAAAGCACTTCCCAGGTAAGCACCACCGGCCGAAAGAACAGTGTTTCCTAGATTGATATCCAGTACTCTTGTTGTATCGGTGATACCAGCGCTCTCTAGGAGTCCTCCAATGTAGTAGGTGGTTACCCCGGCCTGTGACCACTGACTGAGAAACGCTGCGATGCCTACACATACCAGACGCCATCTCGCTGCCTTTGAGTTGACTAGTCCCCTGAAGTCCCAGGGACGTTTGTCTGAACCTTCGAGACTGATAGCTTCTTCGTACTCCCGGATTTGTAGGGCGACATAGGCATTCTCCCGAACGCCTTCCCCGTGGTACTGCGTGATGACGTCCCATGCCTTTTCACGGTGACCGTGGCTATACAGCCAGCGGGGAGACTCTGGGATAAGCCAGACAAGAAGCACAACAAAGCCAGAGGAGATCAACTGACACCATATTGGGATGCGCCAGGCAAGGGAGGACTCGTATTTAAGACACGCTCGACATGCACCGGCGGCAGCGATGGCCCCGACAAAGTACTGGCAGTTATACAATCCGGTCATGATGTCGCGATAGGCAGGATGGCTCATCTCAACCACGTAGGCGGGAGCAGCTGAAGCTGCCATCGAGTATCCCCAGCCTAAGTTCCAGTAAAGAGTCAGCTGCGGGCTTGAAGGCTGTAAAAACGCCCTGGGACTCACCAAGGAAGAACCGGCTGGCGAGAAGCTGGCCCATCTCGTTGGCAGTACCTCCAAGAATCGTTCCAACGATAACGGCCAGAGATCCAACGAACATGCCCATCCGGCGACCCCATGTGTCCAGCACGAAGCCGACAAATGGCAGCGCGCTGACGCCCCCAATGGTGTACATGCCCTGGATCAGGGACGCCTGCGAACCGACCAAGCCGGAACCAAATGTGTCTCTGAACTGCTGGATGGGCAGCAGAGAGCCCATGAGCGAGCCATCAAAGCCTACTCCTGTCAGTGGATTCTTTTTTTCAGCCGGTTTGTTGATGCCTTCATACCATTCAAAGCGGAGCAAAGGTATGCAACAGTCACCACTGCGTACAGCTTTCCCATCTGGCGACTCCACGGCTGTGGGGGGCTGGTCCGCCGTGCAATATCAAGGGCCACAGACCCCTGGAGCACCTCCATTCTAATGCCATCGGCATTCTCCTGGTGGCTGCTGTCACCCATCACAGCCTTCTCGGATTCTAAACCGGTTTGCGTATGCTCTGCCATGATGGAAATGTGATAGCCTCTTGAAGACCTTTACTTCGTTCACCGTGTTGGCAAACTAAGACATTTATCTATTTACGTTCACACGAATGTTTCAGGGCCGCCCATCCTTGGGGCTTATTCGTGGTGACACCTGCTGCGGACCTCCTTGGCCAAAGCAGAGACAACGGTCATGCCATACCGCCGCACCCTGGACCATGGATCTTCATCGACAATTGTGGAATCTCTACCAGGACGTGCCATTGTCCGTGAACCCTAGTTCCGGTCTCTGCTAGGCAAGGCTTGGGGTCGGTACTCAGCTTGGCGCTGTGGAGAGTGTCCCAAAGAGGTGCAAGTCCGCCTCCTCCGCCTGCATTCTAACTATAGCCGGCCTGGTTCCGCCTCGTACTGGCGGATCCAGCTCTTGAAAATCACATGCCAGGCGTTGCCGAACTCCAGAAGGATGCCAGAACAGCCCAGTATGGAGGCGACGCGTCACTGTGGGCCTTTGAGTTGGGGGACGACGATGAGATCGTGCAAATCGAGCAAGACGCCTGTCAAACTGCGGTGGAGACACTACGGGCCTCTTAACTTGCACCAGTGTCAGAGAATTCACCCGTACCTGGTACCGAGTTATCCCGTTTGCACTACGGAGTACAGATGGTGTAGATCGCTGCGGAAAGAATTTCCTATCGCTTTGAGCGTGGGAGCTTCGAGGAACTGCTAAACCCATTGTCTAAAGGCTACTGCGCTATTTTATTATTTTTATTCCGGTCGAACGAGAGCATGTTATAGTAGAAATGGGGAGCATGATCATATTTTGTTCGCGACTTGTATATCTTAAATAGAGCACTGTCTAGTCACCGAGATAGCGGTAGGTCAAACGAGGCGCATCGGCTGTGAGCCCTGTCACTACAATCGTCTGCTGGTCGCCTGGATAGATGTCGATCGCATTGTCGCTCAATCGTACACCGTCTCTCTCTTCGAAGACGAGGCACTTGACCGGCTTGCGTGCACTGATCTGAAGAACGTGCTCTTCGCCCGTTGTCCCAGCCCTTGTTGTCACCTCCAGACCACGGTCAGCAAAGTCCAAGTATTTGAATGGCTGCGGCCAGTCAACATCCCGGGCCACGACCTGGCCATCTACCCATAGACGCGCAGCAAGGACGTGAGGGTCTGGCACTGCTACATGGTCAAGCAACCCATCCGCAATGACAGTGGTTGTGCCATTCGCAGCGATGGTGATGTTCTCGCGCACAAATGGAGGGCGCAAATCCTGGCCTGTGGCCACTGATATGTACCGCAACTCGACAGTGCCCTGGACTGCCTGTTGCTTGTCACTGACTGCCCACAGCTCGTACCGACTCTGATCCTTGGGCTGCGCGTGCACCGCACTCCAGTCGTGGTGTTCACGGCGCACGCCGATTGCCAGAGAGCTCATTACCCGCTTGACAGTGTAATAAGCTGGCTTGGGTCGTAGATAATAGTCGACAATTGCCCACGAGATGGTCGGCCAGCAGTCGTTAATTTGCCATAGTAGGGCACCTCCGCAACGTCTCGCGTCGCCCCATTGCTGCCGCCAGCCCCGGTATCCAAACATCATTGCCTCCGCCTGGACCACCTGTGTCAAGTATATATAGGTCTGGATATCAATATCAGTAATGATAAGCCCCATCACGCTTTAACGAACGCACCTCGAGATCTGTCGCCATACGTAGGTTCTCCACCAGATATGTCGCGAGGCGCCGCTCATGGCCGTCAGCCTTATTATGGAAGTCCATAACATGAGATTGAGGATGCATATCAGCCTCGTGCTCAATGAACGACTTGATGGTTTCCATATGAGGGAATGCCTCCATGCCAAACTCGCTGTTGAACCGGCCGCCCAGGCTGTCGAAAATCTGGTACTTCTCCTGTGTACCGTGCCATACTGGTAACTGTTAGTCCAGGGTCTGTACGGCATATATGGTGACTAACCGTTCCACTGATGGATGTCCCCTACGGTAGGGTCAGGTGTCGGTTTTCCATCTCCCCAGGGACTTCCTGGATGGTAGTAAGTGTCTGGGGACACCTCCGCCACGACCTCCGGGAGTAGTTTCTCATAGATATAGCGTGCTGGAAAGTCTGATTGGAGCCAGCTGTTGGGGTCTTTGTCTTCATAGTTATAAGTCAGTCCCGCCTGCTCCTGGACCTGGTAATCCTCGTTGTTCCCCACGTATATCACGACTGACGGATGGTGTCGCAATCGCCGCACGTTGAATACTGCTTCTTGCTGTATAGATTCACGCAGTTCAGGCCATGCCGGATAATTGCCACAGCCAAACATGAAGTCTTGCCAAACAAGGACACCCAACTGGTCGCATGCCTCGTAGAACGCGTGGTCTTCATATATTCCACCTCCCCAGACCCTGACCCATCAGTGTTAGAATGAGAGTGAAAACACCAAGGCCCAGTGATACATACCTGACCATTTTCTGCCCCCCTTCTGCCATCAGTTTGACCCAATTCCGGTAGCGCTCTGCGCTGATATTGGGAAGCAGACCGTCGGCTGGGATCCAGCAAGAGCCACCGCAGAAGATATCCACTCCGTTGATTCGGAAGTAGAACGACTTGCCGTGCTTGTCTGCTTCCTGGACAACCTCCGCAGACCTGATGCCAAATTCCTTGGAGGCCTCATGGTGCACCTCGTTGCCATCACTCACTAGTGACACCGACACCTTATACAGAGTCTGTGCACCATATCCGTTGGGCCACCACAACTCTGGCTGGGCGACTCGAAAGGTCCCCGTGGAGGTACCGTTGCTGTCCACGGGAATATTCTGGCGTTCAATTTCGCGCCCACGCAGTGTCAGACGGAATGAAGCTGTGTAGGCACGCGGGCTAACTGTATCAATCTCAGCGACCGCCGTGACTGTCGCCGTACGGTGATCTGGAGCCAGTTTTGTCTGCGGCCACAGATCTGCTATGCGAGCAGAGTACACCTCTAAGCGGGCTTCGCGCCAGATGCCGGCTGTCATGATGACCGGGCCCCAGTCCCAGCCCCAGTGATACTGAGCCTTTCGCACCGCGAGGCGCGCCATGTCGCCATTGAAACCTTCCCATTTATGCTGCGGGTCTTTGCTGCGCAGCTCGCGGGCTTTGAGTTGAGCACAGTCAAATTCGATCTCCAGTATGTGCTCCCCTCCAGATTTCACGGCCTCCGTGATATCCAGGCGGTGACCCAGGAACATGTTGGTGCTTTCAAGGATGACCTGGCCATCAAGGCTGACCGTGGCAAACGTGTCCAGACCGTCAAACACGAGGGCAACTCCTGCGCCAGCAGGAACTTCTAGCTTGGGAAGTGCGCGTCGGTATACCCACGTCTTTTCGTTAACCCAGCGCGCCTTGAGTTCATTGAACCCTACGTAGGGATCTTCTAGCCTGAGAAAGGTCAATCGTTTTGTTCACATCCAGGGACTAATTGGTGGCGCACTTCTGATTTGCAATGAGGTCTTGCTGCACCACCGAAGGCACTGAAGGCACACTCATCCATGGGTTTTGGGCGTTGTCATCACGGTCTTTGAACTCCCATCCCGTGGACAGGCTCTCTTGGAAAAGCTTCATTTTTGATGAAGTAAAGGACAAATCGGTAAGTTGAATCGTAACAAGGCGTCGCGTACAATCCGTAGGATGATACACTGCCACTGGGTCTCGAGGAGTGATACTGGAGCCACGGTGCAAGAGATATATGAACACACAACCATAGTGCAAAACAGCTTTGCCAACTGTGCTTGCACGCATACTCCTGCTTTGGGCTCCGTAGGCAGTGGTTTCCCGGGCCCGAAATGACACGGGCCCACTAACATCGGTCCGCGAGGTTACCTAATTGGGATATCTTGAGGCGGAGGCCCGACGCACTGGCCAACCTTTTTACTTGAGGTCCCTCTCAGAGGTAAAGTCTCAGGAGGATCCACCTCCTTGAGCAGAAATCGACATGTTCCGTGTCGGGTCCATGTTCCACCAGCTAGTCTTGTCTGAATTTGCTTTCGACTCCCGTCCGGGGTAAATGAGGCATGATCTGAGTCTGGCAGCCCGTGAGACCACACGACCATGGAGTCTTGTCTCACTAGCCGCGTCATTCGCATCCAGAATACTCGTATTATGGAGGGATCAGCTCATCTCTCGTTTCAGAATGGCAGTTTTCCTACCTGATCATTCTCTCATGGGATATACGAAAAGTATAAAGGGCTGGAACAACTCCTTTCAAGGGCATTACTATTCCAACATCCTCAATATCACGAACCGTGACAAGAAACCGAGCAAACAGAAGCCACTCCACAGCAGAGTTCATCATGAAGTTCCTCTTTGCACTCCTTCCTCTCGCTCTTGCAGTTCCTCACGAACCATCCATGCAGCGTCGAGCGGAGGATCGCGGTAACTCTACTGTCAGTGGCCTGGGTGCTCGCAAGCAGGAGATTATAGCCGCTGGCGGCACCTCTCAGGATCTTTCCATTGCTATGCTGGAAACGTGAGTTTGCCAATTGCATTTGCTTTCACTCTGACACAGGCTGACCTTCCCAGCGATGAAATGACTACTGACTACACCTATGGTTGGTTTCTCTCGTGAAAATCAAAACCTTCTCACCACGACGCACTAACACGGATGTAGGGGACGGAAAGACCGGAGATTCAACCAACTTTGGCATTTTCAAGCAAAATTGGATGATGCTCCGTACCTCCGCTAGCCAGTTCGAAGGTTTATTTGCAGCAGATGTCGACCAGGGTGCTGTCTTGAAGTAAGTACACGCAGCTAGATTCTTCTGGACAGGAGATAACAGGGTGAGCAGCAAGGATCTTGCAGCTGATATCACTGCTCGCCATGAGAGTGAGAAACACTACGGATATACCACCTGGTGCGCAGGGCACCGCAACGGTGACAGTGGCCTGAAGAACCCCAACACCGATGACATCGACAGTAAGTCCATTAGCAATACACTGGTTGAGAGATACTAACCTCCCATTAGCCTACAAAACCGCAATTGAGTGGATACAGGAACAGATCGACAGCGATGAGAAGTATCTCACTGATGACACCCGTTTCTGGGTGGATGTCACGGCCATCTAAAGTTAGAACTGCCGGTCCCAAGCTGTATATGTATTGCATGCTCTTGTAAACAAACATAGAGAGGACGGGGCCCGGTGCTCCCTCTTCCTGAAGACGTTTCTTGTCTGATTATGTATCTCTTGAACTGCTGTCTCTCGTTTATATCCCGCAGTTTCAATCAAATTGTCTTGCTTATCAATGATACTATAATCCTGAGAAATGGAGTCTTTCGGTATCTTCCAGACCAGTAGCACTCACCTTTGACGAACTTGCTGCCAAACTATATATATTGCCCCAGCTCAACAGGAATGAACGTTCCAAGATCCAAGGTGTTTCACATTTGGCCTTCCAGATAGGTGGAAAACTCCAATGATGACTTACCTCAACAATATAGCTGCAGTTATAATGCTCATACTCAGCACATTCGTCGTTTACGGTGATCCTGGACGGTTGAATTAGAGGGCTGTTCTATAACTTTGCAAGACAAGATGTTTGGCTACCTGAACGCAGCGAGTACACTTAGCAGTCCCATAAACCGGGACTCGAGAGAGAAGACTACTTAGACAGTCGACATTCTCTAAAGTTTATTCGGTATATAACAGGCTATCATATGCTCCCTGCACCGATTCCCACGAAATACACTTGTAGGCCTGGAGTCTGTGCTCACCAGGCAAGATATATTTTGGTCACCAACTTAAAATCAAACATTGCAATTAATACTAATAATCTCACACTCTGAACATTTAAATCATCTGTAATATCATATACTACCCACTTAGTGGATATACTGCCTCTATTTGTCGAGTCATAAAAAGGGTATACCTTCATTAATCGCCCCTATGATAGCCCACCAAGCGCCAATAGCTTCATGAAACCAGGTTCAATTAATCTGGGACATGCCTTTCATGCAACGGCGAGGATAATAACCTTAATTAACCCAAACCTTACTCTCCACTGTTTCAGCGTACAGACGGGTTTCCGCCTCCCGTTACCTCAAACAGGCACTCTTCGGCCAATATTATCGGGACTCCGAACCACTACAGCTATTCGGAAGTACGACCAGGGTCTGGCGATCGTCAGCATCATGAGATCCAGGACGTTGCAATCTACGCCGTCCAATCGTTAGTCCTTAGAATATTGACCGGCAATTTATCTGATGGTAGCAAATCCGGGGTTGCTACTTTCGGGGCAGTGGGAGTCGTGGTGCGGGGGTGGATATCCTCAAGGCCGTGCCGATCTTGTCGCCTGGGCCTGCATGGGTACCTGCGTTGTATGCAAGAGACGTGCCCTTGAGTGTACATCTCGTATGCAATCCTCTCCTGTCCTGAAGCAATAGCACGACTGGCTCGGAAATTATGCTATCCTGTTTCAACAGGCGGACCTGATGGCTTGACAGAAGCAGCAGTCTGGCTGCTGATTGTTTCACCTGAAAAGATATATAAAGCGCCGAAGAATGGCCCTACTCCAGGCTCTTTTCTGTATCAACAAACACTACCATCTTGACAAGGCAAACAACAATCAACATCATGAAATACTCTCTAGCCCTTCTCTCGGCCATCGCGCCGCTTGCCCTGGGAGCTCCTCGCGCCAACCAATCCAGCTCCAACCCCTCAGTTGACGGGCTAAACTTTGTCATTGATGGCGAAACTGGTTACTTTGTTGGAACAAACGCCTACTGGCTCCCCTTCCTTACCAATGACGCCGATGTCGACCTCGCAATGGGCAACTTGGCGGACTCCGGTGTCAAGATCCTCCGTGTCTGGGGTTTCAACGATGTGAACACCGTTCCTACCGACAATGCCACCGTTTACTTCCAGCTTCATGAGGGCGGCACTTCCACCATCAACACTGGGAGCAACGGCCTTCAGCGTCTGGACTACGTTGTGTCTTCCGCAGAAAAAGAAGGGATCAAGTTGATCATCCCTTTTGTGAACAACTGGGATGATTACGGCGGCATGAATGCCTACGTTAAGGCGTATGGCGGCGACAAGACGAGCTGGTATACCAGTGCTGAAATGCAGAACGCTTATCAGACGTATATAGAGGCAGTGATCTCTAGGTATGCCGATTCGACTGCGATTCTGGCGTGGGAACTCGGAAATGAGCCGCGCTGTTCGTCATGCAACACTTCTGTTATTAACAAATGGGCGACCGAGACGAGTGCGTTTGTTAAGTCTATCGATCCCAACCACCTCGTGACTATTGGAGATGGTACGCTCTTGACGATTAGTACTCCGCTCTGAGGATAATTGGCTAATGTATAATTAGAGGGCATGGGCCTTAAGGGAGCCAGTGATTACCCCTATACCTTCTCCGAAGGTACTGATTTCGCTCTCAATCTGGCCATCCCCGACGTCGACTTCGGCACCTTGCATCTCTACACTCAAGACTGTACGTTACAATAATCGATATCGTTTGTGCTCGATACTGACCAGGGGCGAATTTCAGGGGGCGTGTCTAACAATTCCTGGGGGAATCAATGGGTCAAGGACCATGCCGCGATCTGCGAGTCCATCGGCAAGCCATGCGTGTTCGAAGAGTATGGAATCAAGGATGATCACTGCACTGACGAGTTGGACTGGCAGGACACGGCACTTGCGGCAACCGGGATCGCAGCTGATTTATTCTGGCAGTTCGGCGATACTCTTAGCTCAGGCGAGTCACCGGATGATCACTACACTGTGTACTACGGGACTGAGGATTGGGACTGTGTTGTGACAGACCATGTTGCTGAAGTCAATCAAGGCCAGAAAGGCAGGAGGTATTTCCGTCATTGAACGTTCGAGGTGGTTGCCGCTGGAACAGTGCCAGGCTACATAGCTTCGTCTGTATAGTCAATAAGCGACAGTCCACAGGAGAATGATACCGAATCATCAGAGGGGGAGCCTACCCATCTGACACTTATATACCAATTCTTGACTATTTGCTTACGCAGAGGGGGCAGCAGACTCCTATATAGTGTGGTGTATAGTAAGAGTATGCTAGAGGCTGACAACTACTAAGCACTGAACGGATTAGGGTCGGGATTGATTAAATATAATAAGAGACTGCACTAGTCCCTTTGAGGCAATTTTAATGTTAAACTAACGAGAAAAAGCAGTTCCGATTGCATTATCTGGCTGAAAGGGCGCCCAATGAACAGGTTCTGGTCACATCACAGTGCGAGAGAAGCCGTTGACTGCATGTACCTCGTAGACGGGTCTGCACTTGCTTGCTGAGAAGAGTATGCCAGATGCTATCAGTCAATGCCAGTTACGCAGCTCCCTTTGTTGCTGCATTCTTTCTCTAGATTCTGGAGTTCTTACTTTCGAAATGCCCATACGTGCGAGATTGACACCAACCTTCCCATCAAATCTCCCTGGAGGGCACCTTAAGTATACCAGTGCTACAATGTCCACTGATAGGCCATTCGGATAGTACGCATATAGAATACAGTGTTTTCTGTACCTCCTCAAACCCCAACTGAGGCCACCCTGCAATCACTGCGAGACAGAAAACATCTACCGAGACGTCAACGGTCTGTTTGCCAAGCACTTCGAGGGGCAGCCCTAATCTGGAGATGGCGAGAGCAAGCTAGTTAGTTACAAGACACCACGTTGGCTAAGCTTGTTAGTAAGCTGTGTGCGGGTGTTCCTGGCCTTTCCCATCTAGACGCCGTAGTAGAATGGCTTGCCGAGGCGTACAAAGCGGAATGTCGGGCCACTGAGATGACAGCCAACACAATTCTTAATCTGACCACTGAACAAGCCGTCAGAGGTGCTGAATATACCTGGATGCTGTTTGCTCTGCAATGGCCCAGATGTGGCTCCATAGCCTTTCTACTCATACCAAAGGGTTTAAGAAGGATGTTAAGAACAAAAGCATCTCCTGCAAGACCTGGCTGATGAGGAATATTGGTTGGGTTTGAGGCTATCAAAAAATCTATAATCTTAGATGGATCATGGCAAGACAGGTTAACGAGGACCTGGTGAAGAATGCAGTTCATCTGGCCTCATATTGACTTCATGCCAATAACTGCGCCATATATGTCTGAAAATAGAGCCCTTTCATTCGGAGTAACTGGTCATGATCTCCTGATTCCACAATTCTACCGTCCGCCAAAACGTAGATAGTGTCTGCATTTCGAATTGTGGATAAACGATGAGCAACAGCAATGGTAATCCGGTCTCTTTTTTGACTCGCTCGCTCTAGGGCTGCCTGAACCACTGCTTCAGATTGGCTATCTAATGCAGACGTCGCCTCATCCAGCAAGAGAATCTTTGGGTTTCGGATCAGGGCCCGGGCAATCGCGATTCTTTGTCGTTGCCCACCAGACAAAGATAGGCCCCGAGATCCACAGTCTGTGTTAAAACCGAATGGCAGAGACATGATGAAGTCTAAAGCGCCAGCCTGTCGAGCCGCCTCCTCGATCATAACATTTGTTACTTCCATACCGGCTCCCAGGGCTATATTTTCTCTTATAGTCCCCTGGTATAGCACAGTATCTTGCTGAACCAAGGCCATTGAGGAACGATGTCTTCGAAGCGACGACTCTAGAATATTTTGACCCCCGATACGAATGTCGCCTGAGTCAGAATCGTAAAATCGTTCAATCAAGGATATCAATGTAGACTTGCCGCAACCGCTGTGACCTACAAAGGCAACAAATTGGCCGGCGTCAATCTATAACGGTCAGCTCCGTCGAGCAAAATATAGGTCCAATTTTTTCAGACAACTCACGTTAAGGGAGATCCCACTCAGCGCATTCATCTGGCGCCGAGGATACCGGAATTTGACATTCGAGAATGAGAGCCCTTGACCCCCATCGGGGTCAGTGATACGACTGTTTTCACGTAATTGACGAGAAAGCGTTTCCTGTCGCATTCGAAACAGATATGTTGCAGCACTCCTCGCCCTTGCGATGCTGCCAGACACGGTGAAGAATTGGGCTGCGGCTTGACCTGCGAAGAGTACGCTTGTGAAAATGACAAAAAACTGGTCTGCGGTATATTCACCAGACGAAATTAGTCTTGCCCCGTACCAAAACCCAAGAGCCATGACGAGAAAATCAACAGACTGTGAGAATGCGTAAGGAATCAAAGCAAGTGACAGAGACATGATCGAATGCCTGACGATGTCCTCAAGTGCCGATGCATATTCAGCCAGTATATCATGTTCTGATGTTAGGGATGCTACGGTTCTCAGAGCGGCAACTGCTTCAGCTGCCAGGGCGGCGCTTTCAGTAAACCTCGTGTCGTTTCGGTTATTGAGATCTGTTTCTAACCGGACCCGGATATATCCCGAAGTGAGTAACAGCGGTAGCCCTGCAAATATCATGATTAAAGCCAATTTCCATCCCCAGGCCAGTGCTAGGCAGCTGCTTGCCACGGTACTGAGAGCCATGATAAGCATAACAAATATGTTCACCGAGATCAATTCCTGAATGCTGCTCGGAACACCTGTGAGGGCAGCTGTCAATGCCCCTGATGCATTCTCCAATCGGTCGAAGAACTCAATATCCATGTTTATCAACCTCTGAAAAAGTTCCAGCCTGTAAAGGTAGGTCACTTTCTGCGAGATCAGATTGGAGAGGCTTCCCGTGAAAAAGTAGGCCACCAGATTTCCAAGCGCAATGCCGAAGAACATCAGCGAAAGGATTCCAATTTTATCCTTCTGGGGTGAACTCTCCTCTGAAAATGTATGGATGACTTTTGATAAAAGCAAAGCTTGTATCGGATATGTTCCAGCCGCCATGCAGCAGAAGAATACCAATGCTCCCATTGTGGGATATAGCGGCTTCTGTTCCCATAAAAGTTGAAGAAGTGCTATCGCGAGTGATTGACTCTCGGGGTTCATATCGCAATCTTCACTCGTCATAGGTTTTCGACTGCCATTCGCAATAAGGAGGGGCTGTGTCGAGTCATTGCTGCCGCTATCAGAAGGAGTGTACTCTGAACCTTCCGCATGGGTGACAGCTACATGTTCCTCGTCATTCTCCAGCCCCTGGGCTTTAACAAATTGAGAATAATGGCCGTCAACTGCGAGTAACTCTTCATGAGTTCCTTGCTCTGTCACTTTTCCCTGGGACACGACAACAATATTGTCCGCATTTCGGATGGTCGAGAGGCGATGCGCGATAACGATTGTGGTACAGTTTTTGGATATCCGACTCAGTGCCTGTTGGACAAGCATTTCTGCTCGAGCATCGAGCGCACTTGTGGCCTCGTCTAAAAGTAGGATGGCTGGGTTGGAGACAAGGCTACGTGCGATCGCAATTCGCTGTCTTTGGCCGCCACTTAAGCTTCCAGCGCTGTCGTTAAGGTACGTATCATAGCCCTATGATACTCGTTGGTCACTGACAATGATTTTCACGAGAAAATTATGCGGTTGGTTACTTACTAGAGGGAGAGATTGGATGAAGTCATGGGCATAGCTTGCTTCGCAAGCCGTTTGGACAAGACTCAGCTGCTCTCCATGTGAGAGATTTTTCTGGTCGTCTGTAAGCCCTTTGGCAACATTCATGAACACTGTCCCCCTAAATATCGTCGCATCCTAGAAAGCAATACGTGAGCAGGATACCGCAAAGAATCTTGCGTCTCTTACCTGCTCGACAAGTCCAATCTGTGTTCGAAGCCATTTTATGTTTAACTTGGAGATATCAATACCGTCTATCGTGATTTTACCAGAAATTGGCTCGTACCAACGCTCCAATAAGCCGATGATGGTGCTTTTACCACCGCCGCTTGCACCTACAAGAGCCGTGGTCTTCCCTGCTGGAATTGATATACTAAAGTCTCGAAGCACTTGTGTTTCTGGTCTTGAGGGATATGCGAAATTGACATGTTGGAGTTCAATGGCGCCGTGGCAGGTTCTTGGTTTGTATCCAATATGGGACAATGGATCAAGCTTGGACGGTTTGTCCATGAATTGAAATAGCTCTGAGGCTGCGGCTGCAGCATTTGTAATTGCTGTCAGCTGAGGAAACAGCATACTGAGCGCAGACGATGCCATCATCACAGAGAGGACAACGCTGCATCAATAGCAATATCGTAGTCAGTAAGGCCAAATGCTTTCAGGCTCAACTAGCTAACTGTAACTTACGTGAGTACCTGGCCAATGTCCTGGATCTCGCCCGTTTGAAACATCTGGTATCCTTTCCAAAAAGCCAACCCATTTCCAGAATACACACAAAAGTTAGTTATTCCGCCCAGAACGCCATAGATAACCGATTTCTTCTTTCCGTGGTGATAGGCCTCGCTAAGATATTTTTCATACCTCGAGGTCATTACTTCTTGAGCCCAGAAGACATGTACTGTTCGAATTGAGGAAAAGGCTTCTTGAGCTAGAGCGGCTGCATTCGAACAAGGTCGGGTAATCTGAGATTCAAGCTGGACCTCATACTTCATGCAGATTGCCATCACAAGGAACATGATAGGAATAACGCTCATTGTGATCAACGTGAGCCGCCACTGAACGAATATCGCGACCAAGAAGGACGAAACGAACATTGCCAATGCCTGGATAACGAAAACCAGCTTTTCTGCAATCCCTTGATTGATGCGAGTTGCACTTGTGGTAACTTGGGTCACATAAGAGCCACGTTTAGCTGTGTCAAAGTACCATATCTCAGTCCGAAGTATGTGTTCAAGAAAGGCTTGTCTCAGTGTTCTGGTAGTTCGAATTCCCGAGATGGTGATTCCGATCGTCGCAATGTAGACAAGGACGATTTTGACTGCGAAAAGACCCAAGTACCACAATGCAAGCCGAGTGGTATCTCTCCGGAACTGATCCAATTGCGTCCGTCCCTCAGCAAAATTGCCAAACTCGCTTGCAAATTTTCCGAAAATGATGGCCATTAAAGGCATGGCCGAACCGCTGGCGATTGAGCAGATGAAGGAAATCGCGTTCAAGACCCAATCGATGCGATCTGCATACTGAAAGATTCTCTGAAAATTTCACTTAGTCGCTGTTCAAATAGATGCCTTGTGGTAGAATACCCTGAAATCTTTCAAGCTCCCGCTCGTCGCTGCTTCTTCCATTCTGGCGAATGTTTATGATGATGAGAAGGAAAAGAGGTTGAGCTTTCATGGCTGCCTGCACGGAGGGTTGAACAAGTCAGTCACTCCAGCGGCCGCACGGGCCCGAGAGTCCGTTTCAGCGAGTAATTTCAACCCAAATCTCAGGGTGCAATTCATATATCTTTGCTTTTAGGCCTTCCTTGACCAAGAGAGCAGCAGACAATCCTGAGAAGGCAAAACCGTACCTTGGTAAACTCAAAGCCCACTCATCTCCCTCATCGCCCTGTTCCAAATAATCCTTCCGCCACCATTAACACCCTCCTGGTCCCCTGGTAGACTCTCACCATTGCCCATAGCCAACCCCGTTATAAAAGACCCAACAACTCGCGTGGGGAAAACAAACGCCGGCGCCAGTAGCCGTAAAACCGGCCCCATCAGGCCGTATGTGATACTTGTTTCGAGAGCGTGCCAGTCAGGACGCAAAGTGATAGTTTCCCATGCACTTGGGTCATTCGCTGGGTCAACATAGCGTAGTCGGACGGAGAAGGGCTTCAAGGATGGATGCCCCGAGGAAGGGAGCAAGAGGAGCGTCGTCTCCGTGCGGCCTTGGATGTGCCCGTAGAAGGGGGTTAGAGAGGTAGGAGAGGGATTTGCCTGGTTTGATTGGAAATTGTCAGGGTGCATGGATGCATAGGAGGACGTGTGAATGTAAGTAAAAAGGACATACACCACCGCCTGAATCATTGATTGATACGTATCAGCACAACGAACTCCAACGTGAGTTCCATAAGGGGTAGATAATAGAGAAAAGGAGCGAGGTGGCTAATTCACTCGAAACATAAACAAACTTAAATAAGTCCGACAGCCCGGAAAGTGCCTTGGCCGCAGCTAACGGATAATCCTGAGTGACCTTGACATAGTCCCTAAAATTGGTCAGATATAGATAAAAGACGCTCGCTCTTGTCTTAATGTTGTAAAGTTGCCACTAATGGATTTGACTGTCATATACTCATGGGACACCCTGTTTTGGGAGACACCCATTGCCCAAACACATGCCTGGGAGCCCTTGAGCCGTTGTAGCAGGGTCTCCGGGTATACTGAAAAACCCTGATACTCGATTTCAAAAGCTGCAAGGCGCCGAAGCCAGAGAGTCTCAAGAGGAAAATGTTCTTATCAACAATATTCCCGCTGTCTATGATGCTCTGAACAAGATCCGTCACGAAAAGGGGGCTGCAGCAAGAGTTGACATTGTACTGGATAATTCTGGCTTCGAGCTATATGTGGATCTCCTTCTGGCCGCCTTTCTGTTGTCAACTGGGCTCGCATCCAAAGTTTTTCTTCATCCGAAATCGCTCCTATGGTTTGTGTCTGATGTCGTGCCCGCCGATTTCACAGATTTGCTCGTGGCCTGACTTGGTCATTTTCAAAGGTGACCCGAACTACCGGAAGCTCACAGGTGATATATGGACTTTCCCTATATCTATTTCAAAACTAGGATTCCCGTTGGCCACAGGCTAACTTGCGTTTTTAGGTCAAATGGGATCCCACAATATCATTCTCAAAAGCGATAGGGGCTCTAGGGAAAGGGTCGGGCGTATGCACCTTGGCCTTAAGGACCTGTAAGGCCGATGTTATGGTCGGCCTCGCTGAGGGTCAAGACGGAGGTCTTCGGTATGCGCATGATAGCGAGTCTGCCCCTAAAGCACGTAGATAGGGATGGACAGGGAAATGGGCGGTGGCTTCCTTTTACAATGGTAAACTCATATAGAAAATGAATCTATTTTTCGTTGAACGAAGCCATCCTGAAGAGAAGGGAGGTGAAATAGAAACGAAAAAGGAAATAAAGAGAAAGTAAGGTGATTAGATATAGGTTTATTTTTATCTATTCTTCTTAGATTGCCACTTTGATGAAATTATGGAATGATGCTAGCCCTGTACCGTATTGGGCGACGGAATGCAGTCTGATCAGCTAGACTTTCGCACGCCTAAGCACCTAGCCAATCACTATAGAGCATAGTAGACAATCATCTCATTTGCCAATTTTATGTCAACAATTTCCAAGTTTTCCTTCGGGCAAACATCTCAACTGCTCGGATAACAGCAACTTCCTAAAGCATCCATCCCTCCGTATAACGCACCCATAGCCTCCGAGGGCCACTCCTCTCCCGTTATTCCGCTGCTCCTAGACCGATTACAGTTGATTTCTTTCGCAAGAACTCGAAAGGTATTCACGTAAATCAGAACACGTCTCCAGATTGCATCTGTCACAGTTATCCTAGAAAGGTATAGTATTGAGCATGCAGATCAACTCACATAACACAGAATACTTACCACGCATTCATCCTGGTCTGATTGTTCTTTATCACAGGAACGTTGGCAAATCAGACGCTGCACATTACATACGCAATGTTTACTGTTGTCCAAGACGCACTCCTCTTCGCAGAATGTTGCATCAACCTCGGCTTGAAGCTGGCAAGCTACAACATCACTAGACATGGAAGGCTGTTGGTTACCGGACGCGGCTGAGGCGTTGATGGCAAGTAGAGCTAGTGTAGAAATGAATAATAGGTTCATCATGATCTGTGACTGAAATTTGGTTTGTCTGTCGTATAGAATAAGCTATAGGAAAACAATCCAAACCAGCCCCTTAAATAGTTTTTCGTGTGCTCCGTACTTCGAGACTGGTCAGCGAGAGAATGCGCCTGCCCTTGCCAGTCGGGGTGTCACAGCCTGCCAAGACCCCTGCGCACCACCGCCGGTGCGCCTGAGCAGCGACGCCTGGCTGGCAACCACTCACCATCGCGCTGCCGATCCCCGAGCATCTCCGACGACCACTACCAAGGAATCGATATGTCATAATCCTGCAGAAGAAACCAAGGCCTTGCTTCTTCTCAATCAGGGAGGATCTACTACTAGAAGCTGTCTAACAGCCTGACAGCCTAATCTGGAGGGGTCAGGAACAGTAGGCATCAGGTCCGCCACCTGCCCGCCTCATAAGGCCACTCCCAAGGGGGATCTATATAAGACCTCTAGATACTCCAGTTTTATAGACATCCTAAGTACTGCCCGATAATAATATACTTGTACAGCCATAGAGCGGGATCAGTAAAGAATTCATCCAAAGTATTTTAACCAAGATCCGAAGAATGGCCTTGCCGTGTATTACAACAGACGGTACTACAGTAGCAGCTAACGACCTGCATTCAGCTGGATCCTATCTATGCGGCAACGCATACTTGCACTATTAAACTCCCCACTCTCATACCAAGGTGAATTCCCAGTGGCTCCACTACATCGCAGCTAAGTGCCGCTCTGTCCTTCAACATATTCTTGGCTCTAATAATGTAGCCAGTAATATATCATGTCCTCGCAGATCACCCAAGCGCTTGGTAATGATGTGTCCTCACATGGTAGTAGGGTATTACTTTAATACTAACCATATTATTAAGGGTTTGTTTCGTTCTCTTAATATAGTTCCCTATAGCAGACCACGCACGACAGACAACCGGCCAGATTTAGGGCACTCTTCCGTATTTCGGTTTCATATACGCCAATACGCTGGTAACTATGAAGGTGGGCTATCAAACCGCGAAAATACATCTTCTTGTGCTTGGCGATACTCCTCCATAATAGTCTTTCGCCTGGATTGTGACCTCGGGGTAATTCGACACGGAAATTCATTTGCGCATACTAGGAACCCTTCACTGTACCCCGTCTTTGGATCCACATCCGGCTCAATGGGCTTCCCTGTCTCATCACGGCCCGGCTCGATGGAAAAGGCCCAGATAAGCTTCGAAATTGCCAGGAACAGATTGCGCTCGGCAACATGGATGCCCGGGCAGATGCGGCGCCCGGTGCCGTAGCCGTAATGGTCGCGTGAAGAGTAGTCAGGGGCATTGGCGAGTTCGGGTGCCAGGGCCATCTGTCCCTTGTAGTGGTCGGGGTCAAAGACAGAAGGGTTTGTAAAGCGGGATGCGTCGTGGTGCATCCCCCAGCCGTTGATGATGACCGTACTTCCCTTGGGAATGAAGTGGCCATCTATCCAGTCATCTGCCCATTGTCAACATTAATCGCAGATTCAAAACGTTCGGGTTGGTACTTACCCTCAGCAGCTGCATGGGGAAACGCCAATGGGACAGCTGGCCTCCATCTCATCGCCTCCTTGACCGTTGCTGCAATATAGGGCAATTTGTCGTAGTCTGACCATGTCGGCGTCCTGTCCTCGCCAACAACAGCGTCGATTTCAACCTGCGCTTTCTTAAGAACGTGCGTCCACTTGGTCATGGCGTGGATAAACGCCAAAATAATTGAGCTCGACGTGTCCGACCCACCCTCCATCAGGACACCTCCAAGGAAATAGAGCTGGTGGCGCGTGAGACCAAGCTTCTCATTCTGGTCAATCACCGTGTCCATAAACGAGCCAGCACTACCGAGTTTCTTGCGGCGGTCGTACACAAGATCGAGGTAGCGACCGTATAGCACACACATTTCTTTGCTTACACCCTTTGCGCGTGAGATCCAATTACCGAAAACCTTTTGTGGAATATAGTGCAGGAAAGAGTATATGTCAACCGGGGGTGTATTGCCTGGCTCCATAACTTTGGACCATCCCTCCTAGAAACAACAGTCAGTCAGGTTCAGATGGACGGGGAAATACACGACAAACACACCATCATCTCATACAGCTGCGTCATATGTGCTGTCTGCACCGAAGGGGTGCGAACTCCGTACACTGTTATCATTAGTCCCTGCCATAACATCCTTCACCGGCAACAAGGACAAGCAAACCTACCCAAACTCATGATGATGCTGTTACTAAACCGCTTGGGATGTAGCATATGCTGTTCAGGCTGCACGCAAAAATCCCTCAGCATCTGCACGGCCTCGCATTCTGGACCTGGATATGGCTCTTCTCAACCATCGACTCCATGAAGTGCTGGTGCACCAGCTTACGCATCGTGCGCCACAGCGGCCCATACTGCATAACCAGCAGATGCGATCCACCGGTGATGGTATTCGCGACGAACGATTCAGGCCGGTTGCTAAATTTGGAGCTTTTCTTGTCGACCAGCTCCTTGACGGTGCGGCGGTCGGTGATGACAACTGCAGTTCCGGTGCCCAGTTTGAGGGAGTACAGGCCGCCATATTTGGCGGCCCATTCTGTGAATCTGTGCTTGTTAGAGATAGCCGTGGGATAGAGCGAAGTGGCTTACTTGAGATAGGACCCTTTTACTGGTATTTGATGGAGGTTTCCTAGGATCGGTATAGTAGGCGGTCCTGGGCGAGTTAGACTGGCCGCTATATTTAGAGAATGGCATACATACCAGGAGGGAGACCCTTTTCTCTACGGCCCTTGGTGAGGATCACGTACAGAGATCCTAGTATGGTGACAGCGAGGAGAAACGGGAGTGAATGCATCGCTATGGGAACAGTACAGACGAAGTGAGAATTATCTGAACATTCCAGGGTGCCTATAAGTATTCGATTCCATAGTGGAAGATCCCCAGCTTCCCCTTACCCCAGACTGAAGCTGAGTTCGTGGAGCAATTTCGGTGCAATTTCCCCGCAGTTCCCTAGGGGTCTGTCCGTCCGAACTAGGGTTCACGCTATGAAACAATGTGCCCATCTTAACCAACACAGGACCCTTTTTCGGAATATCATGACGTATAGTCTCCTTGGCTGAGGGCCTTTCTTAAATTTACAACGGTAGTTGCTTCACAGGTTGATGCTCACGTTGAGGTGGAATGTATTTTGACATAACCCATGTATTGCCAAGTAGGGAGGCATTGGGCATTTAATCGGGTTTGGTATATGAACTGACAGTTTAAATAGAACGTAGTTTCAAAGTCACTACTTATTTTGATATTTATATTGAATAAGAGCAATATTGAAGTGCATTGAATTGGTGGTAAATACACCCGCATACACATCGGGCTGTCCATAGCTAGCCAATTTACGCTAGAAATCCATCCGGAAGATCAGGTCCTTCCAGAATAATCAGCATGTAGGTTACTGATCAAATGAAAGGGATACTCACCCCAAACATGCAAGCTGTCCGGTGAAGCAAGGCTCCTATGGATCGGATAAGTCTCATCAACCAGATCCCCATCAACGTAGTGTTCGACAATGAACTCGGACGGATCGAACCTGAGCATCATCAGTAAACACTAAGCACTATCCAGTTTAGATATTCAAAAATCAAATTAAACCAACCAGTAATCGAAGATCTGACTTCCCATAATATGCCTCCCGACCCCCCAGCAATTCTTGTAGCCCTTCTCCCGCAGCCAATGGTGGCCTAGAAGTTGTGTGTCAAAGTCGTGCGTTTCGAACGATGAATGATGGACATGCCACTTGGGCCCCTCAAAGAAAAAGAAGCAGTGGTGGTCAACGAGCTCGCGGCCACGGTCGAGGTGCAGGAAGGTAGTTATGTCTTTGCCTTCTGGGTCATGGATGAGCTGGCCACAAATGAGCAAAAGGCAGAAGGTTTGAAATAGTTGTAGAGTAACTCATGTCGCTAGGTTTGAAGTTGAACCTGGTCGTGTAAAACTCGTAGGCGCGCGCAAAATCTGTCACACACATTCCAAAGTGCCCAAGCTTGTGCACCGGGGCTGGGCCTGTTCCAATATCAGAAGGCATCTTTTCTCCCGCCTTAAGCCTGGGAAATACTAGTAAGAGTATGGAGTTTCGCACCTGGTTTGAATCTCTGAGTACTATTACGCGGTCGATTCTTCTCGGTAGGCTTCAATTCATCGTCAGCCATTTCCTCCCGGTTTGACCAAACATAAGAGCGCAAATGAATATAAACAAACACACCAAGTTGTATTGCAGAGCCGGCAAATTGCCTTTGTCCCCCGCCCCCTCGATGCCTCTCTGTCCCCAAACCAGATGAAAGGGGAATCCGTCAATCGGGTCCGTAAAGGTGACACGAAAGCCACCCCCGGGGACATTCCCCTCGTCCAAATCCATATTAACAACCCCAGTTGCCCCAGGCAGGGTCTTAGCGGCGTACTCTAGGTCCTCGCGCGACTCAACGACGAACGCGGCGCCACCAAAAGCGTCTTCATGGCCTTCACGTGCACAGTACACGAATGGCTGTTGGGTATCTGTGCCATGATAAAAGATCGTTCTTGGTCCGGTTTGTGAGAACGCCTGGGCGCATTCCTGGAAACCGAAGTCTGTCAGGAACTCAGACGCTGCCACGAGGTCTCGATGTGTATAGTAGACATGGGCGAGTCGGACGAGCCGAATGCGTTTGTATTCTGCAGTCATTTTGGTTGTTTTTCCTTGTTACGAAGTGTTTGACTATATCCGTCTCCATCAGGTTTTTACACATGACACTACTGATATACTTTCATAGGCTCCCACATTTTCAGAGGTAATAATATCGGGATATCACTCGGAGCATCTTCGGTCGGATTATTGCAGGGATCATTGCAGATCGTCCGAGTGTCTCAGCGGGGTGAACACGTGTGAGTAGGCGGGGGATGCCCAAGCTGCGTTTAATCATGTTAAAAGTCTCACTGTCCTGTTGATGGGAAGTACTCAATATCCTGCGCATACATTCACAATGGCTCCTTCATTTCTTACCAATTCTCACACCCCAGGTGCCTCCCCGTTGGCAAATGGCAGTGCCAGTGGGATTATAGAGACGGAATTCTTAATCGTCGGTGCAGGGCCAGCAGGGGCTTCTTTGGCCTGTTTTCTAAGTTCATATGGTAAGCTATATATTGGGTGTACGACAGTCTTAGTCTAATTACAAAACAGGAATAAAAGGCATCATGATCAGTGCGGCGCACGGTACTGCCGACACTCCTCGAGCACATATCACCAACATGGCTGCTCTGGGTAATTTATTCTTGCTGCCACTTATTTTCCTTGGGCTGTAATAACCTTCTTTAGAATGTCTCCGTGATATCGGTCTCGACAGCGAGATCCAGAAGGTCGCGTGCGACGGCCAGGAACACATGGTTCATACGCGATGGTGCCACAGTATGGCAGGCGAAGAGTACGCGCGGATATATTCCTGGGGCAATGATCCCAACAGGAAGGTGAGTGGCCCTGCAAAAAAGTGTGCAATAATTAATGATAGCAGGGAGACTATGAAAGAGCGAGTCCCTGTTCGCCAGTCGATCTCCCCCAGACGCTGCTGGAGCCCATTCTCGTCCGGCACGCAACACACCAGGGCTTCACCACCAGGTTCGACACCTCGCTGGTGTCCTTCGTCCACGACGATCAGCAGCGCATTGTCGCGACTGTCCGCGATAATCTGTCTCAAGGCGAGTACTGCATCAGGACTAAATATCTGTTTGGCGCCGACGGGGCACGCAGTCAGATTGTCAAGCAACTGAACCTGCCTCTGGCCGTGAAGCCAGGACAGGGCCTCGCAATCAACGTCCTGGTCAGGGCGGATCTCTCACATCTGGTGGCGTACCGCAAGGGGAACCTGCACTGGGTCATGCAGCCGGACCGTGAGCATCCTGCGTTTGGGTGGATGGCCATCGTCCGCATGGTCAGGCCGTGGGACGAGTGGATGTTTATCCTGTTCCCAACTAGAGACTACGACCCAGCGAAGACCCCTGCCCCATCTAACGAGGACTATCTACACCGAGTTAAGCAGCTTATCGGCGATAGCACACCAGCCGAGATCATCAACGTCTCCAAGTGGTACATCAACGAGATCGTGGCCGAGAAGTACTCCGACGGCAACGTCTTCTGCCTTGGAGACGCCGTGCACCGCCACCCACCGCTCAATGGGCTGGGATCGAACACTTGTATCCAGGATGCGTTCAATCTCGCATGGAAGGTCGCATACGTCCACCATGGAATTGCCGGCCCATCGCTGCTCTCAACATACTCCGCAGAGCGCCAGCCTGTGGGCCATAGCATCATCACTCGTGCCAACCAGGCGCTCAGGGACCACCACCCCATCTGGGAGTCACTCGGCATGCTGGAAGCATCCCTCGAAGAGCGAAAGCGCTCGCTAGCCGAGCTTAAAGCGCCGAATGCGAATGGTCGGGAGCGTCGTCGGACACTGCAAAGGGCCGTCTCCGAAACCAGCCATGAGTTTCACGGCCTAGGCATTGAGATGAACCAGCGGTACTCGAGCACTGGAATCTACAAAGTAGACGAGACAAAACCTTTTGTATTGCCTGGCCGATCGGCGGAGGATCCAGTATTGTATTATGAGCCAAGTACCTACCCCGGGCGTCGGCTGCCGCATGTATGGCTTAACAAGGCTATTCCTGTTAAGCCAGTATCAACAATCGACCTGGCGGGACGAGGTGCATTCACGCTGTTCACTGGTGCCGGTGGGGATTATTGGAAGGAGGCAGCCAGCCAAGTGAGTGTCAAGTTCGGAGTCGCTCTACACGCCTACTCAATAGGGTTCCACCAAGACTGGCACGATTCGTACTTTGAATGGGAACGTCTGCGTGGAGTAGACGACAGCGGCGCAGTTCTGGTCCGTCCGGATCGATTCGTGGCGTGGAGAGCAAAGGAGGTACTGAATAGTGTTGAAGCCTGCGAGGAGAAGCTGTCAGAGGTTGTGACAACTGTGTTGTGTATTGAGTGATGTAGAGATAAAGATACCGTTCTATATATTGTCTGATTACACTGCCGGCATATCCTGTATGTCCAGCGATGCCTCGCCCAAAGGTTCCATTTCCCACATCCGGTTAAAGTCAAGAGACGGTGTATTCGTACCAAACAGGAACATTGGGTCGACAAGAGTAGCGGAGATCAACTGGCTAGGCATCGTCTGATCTATTCCCTGCAACGGCAGGAAATCAAGCATCGAAGGGTTGCTCGCATCGCCGGCCCTGTCCGCCCAGTCGTCAGGGGGCATAATGTGACTCTGGGGAGGGCTGGGGAGGGCTGCAGATTGAGTCGCAGTGGGTGGCGTAGGACCATCAGGTCCTTTCAAGCTTTCACTGCCTCGCAGCCCTGAAGACATGCAGTATTGCCGCGCAGAGCTGTTACTACCTGACGGCCCAGGTGTACGTCTTTCTGCCTGTTTGCAAGCCTCCAACTGTTCCTCGAGGGTTTCCAAGTTCTGCTGAACGGCACTATTCGTATCCCAGAACCGACTGCACCTCTTGTAGGTGAGGTGAAGCACTTCATAGCGAGATTTTATGGCCGACTTGAGTGCCCCCGGCTGACAGAGTTGGCTATGCATGAGTTGAACCGCAGAGCCCAGCCAAATGGTGCTCAAGAGGAAAGGGTTAATGTACTGAACATGATCGTCGCTACTGCGATTGATAATACCAAGAATGTTATCCGCTGCGTCAAAGTATTCCTTAATGCTGGACTGCTCGTCCTCTTTCGGGTCATCACTGCTGCGTTCGCCGTCCTGGGTCGGAAGCGCGACACGGAAACGGCCCTTGAACACATCGTAGCGGTAAATCATCAATCTAGCAAGCTGCGTCCTTAGGTGAATATTGTATATAGAGCAATGCATCTGTCGCCAAGACGTTGTCTGGCCGGGGACGCGCGCATCGAAAGTCAGATGCTGGTGATTATACTTGAGATGGCCCGGCAAAGCGAGCTGGAAGCAACGGACTGCATTCGCGATGATCTCCAGGCGATGGCGGGCTTCATCGATATGATCCGACCGTGATCGACTGGGAATCCCTCGAGGGCTGGATATCCGCTGGGCCTCCTTCATCAGAGAGTTGATCACGATAAACCACGCTTTCGGCGAATGATTACCGCAGCTATCGAGTGCCTTCCAACGACGCATAGGATCCTGTTCAAAAAAGCAGCTCTGCTGTGGTTTGCGCTGAAACCAGGCCTCATCTTCGACCGGTAACAAGATCTCTATCTGGGACCAGTCCAGGGCTGTGGGTGTTCGTCGGATAGTGGTTGCAAAGACATCCATTTCCCATATCGCCCACCACGCGCGCCGTTTCTCTTCGTCCTCACACCACTTTTCCACGTCCACGGAACTTCCGGTCTCCTGGCCTTGCACGTCCACTAAATGGAGGTTCATTTCGTACGCCAGTCGAACGCACATTCCAAGCGTGCGCCACGCCTTGCCGAGAACCCCTTGTGTTAATTGGCAGTGGGCTGCTAGAATACACGCTTGTAATAGACATAGCGGCGGAGTATCGTCGCCGCACTCGTCGAGTGCCTTGTCTATATGCTGCAGTGCGAGTTTGAGGTACCTCGTCGATTGATGGTTGATGTCCGCCTCCCCTGGACGGAAACGGACGGAAAAGGTGAACATGGCGGCCGCGAGGGCAACCACCAGCGTCGGAGACGAGATTCGAGAGAGTTTATCTGAGAAGGTCGGCTCATGGAAGAGATTAATGGCTGTCATGTTGTCGAAATATGCCGCCAATCTATGAAGCGTTGTGATTAGAATCCATTTGCTGCCTGCAATACGACTGACTTACAATTCCTCAGCCTCCTGCACCTCGAGGTCCAAGGTCCTGCACGCTTGCTGGATAGCACCTCTGGTATTCGTATTACCTGATGAATTTCTTCGCCCCAGGTCCCCGTTATCTGGCGGAGATGCCGCGTGGGCAGGGTGCAGGATGAATGAGAGATCAAGTGCCTTGTCGGCCGTGGAAGAGGCATTGTGCCCGCCGGTCGTCACCAATACTATGCCGTCGTTGGCAGTGTCTGGCAAACCTGGGCTATCATGGCCTTCTTGATATGATGCAGCAGTCGCAGGCTCCGGTCCATCGTCGATGGCGGCACGGGACCGTTTTCGTTGTCGCTGCGAGCCGACCTTGGGTCCTGGTTTCAAGGGACCATCAGGGTATGTGCATGTCTGCATTGTCTGCTCACAGACCTGGCAGTGCGGATAGCTTCGGTCACTGCGATCATCAGTCTTGTTTGATTGCTATCCTATATCAGCGCAGACGCACCACTTGACCTTTCGCCGTCGGCAGGTACGGCATGAGATTTCTGATTGCTGTCCAGGAGAGGCCATTTGGCAGTACACAGGTAAAGGAATTCAGGAGGTTAGTCTGGAGAAGGTAGTAATGAGGTGAGATGATTCTACCCCACGATCCACTGGTTGGTTCACTTTTGATTCTGCGGGGTTGAAGTTTAATTTGAATTCGACCGAAATTGCTCCGAATATTCAATAATTACATCATTTGATACTCGTTCTGGCTACATCATTGGATCTACTCGTAGTACACTTTGTTACACAACGTGCCAATGCCCTGGATCTCAACCCTCATATCATCACCGTCCTGCAGAACCACCTTTGGGCTGCGCATTGCCCCAATTCCTGGCCCAGTCCCCGTCATAATGACGGTCCCCCTCTCCAGGGTAGTGCCCTGCGACAGAAACGCGATCGTCTTGGGAATGTCGAAGATCATTTCTCTGTAGCTTGTCAGCGAGGACGTGGTATCTAATTCGATTGTCGTACCGTGTGTTTGAATCCTGAACAATAGCCCCGTTGTGAATGGCCTTGATATCCAACCGATGCGGATCGACTTCTGAGGGCGCCACCAGCGCTGGGCCCAGCGGACACGAGCCGTCAAGTCCTGCAAAATATCAGTCACAGCCTCATATAAATACAAAATACGTACCCTTGGAAAAACTCCATTGGCTGTTTTTAAATTGCTGCGTGCGGGCGCTCACGTCGTTGCTGCAGGTGTAGCCCAACACGTAGTCCATGGCTTCGGACTCGGGGATATCACGGCCTGTCTTGGACAGGATTACTGACAGCTCCGCTTCGTAGTCGCTCGAGCCATCCTGGGCGATCTTGGGTACGTTGATCTTTGCTGGGTGAGGACCATTAAGTGCTGTCCGCGGCTTGACAAACAGGACGGGCACGTCGGGGATGGGCATGTTGGCTTCTCGCGCGTGGTCGCGATAGTTGAGGCCCAGGCATCGAATGATCGGGACGTCTTGCATTTCAATTGGGGCGAGAAGCTGTTCTCATTAGCTGTGACCGCATTGATTAGGGAGGAGGCATACCCGGGCAACGTGCAGTTGCTTGTCAGTAACAACCCCGTCAAAGACAGAGCCCTGGATCAATCGTGCTTTTATTCGCTCCCCTTTGACGACAGAGAGTCCGACATCAGGGAATTGACGCGCATCGACTTGGCCAATATGCGCCTGTCCGTCTTCCTCGGCAATGAAGCGGATCAATCGGGTCCAAGTTGGGGCCATTATACTTAGTGTGCAGTTGGCAGTTACTGATCCTAGCATACTTCAACAAGCAGCGCTATTTATATTATGATTACTGGCGTTGTTGGGTTGTCGGACCATCTTCGGTGCAATTATGCAACATTCGGGGAAATTGGCCTGGCCAGCAATCACGGTTCCTTTTCCCCCCGCAGACCACAGTTGGCTAAATTATTGAAGAGTATCTCTGGGTTGCTTGTCAACTCAATGATTGTTTGTTTTATTTATTGCCCCGGTTACCAAGTTCATCGGCAGATATATATCTTACAACACCTGGTAGTTAAATAGCCGGGTAGCCAGTATCGTAAATTTAAATTTCCCCGAGGAAAGTTCCATCTCAGCCGGGCCAGGATGAAAGCATCTTTGCATATGGTTCAGCCAGGCATGGCACTTGGATTTCAAATAAATAGCCGTCATATCTATACGTTCCGGTGGCCATGTATAACCGAATGTAGCGGGAATTGGAAGTCGGAATTTGGGAAAATAAACAAGAATCAATGCGGGAGAATTGCAGTTAACATGCATACAGAACATGATCTGGCCTTGAACTGTAAGAGTAAGGATAGCCAGATCATATATAGTCTTAAAGATTGATGCGAACCCTACGCGAACCCTAGCTTCCAGTACGCAAAGTACTTCATACTAGTATACTTCGATATACTCAATTACGTGCTATGGCAGCCACTTGAACTAGGATATATCCAGAGCCTAAAACTAACATAACGGTTTGGGAATGGGCTGCTTGATCAAGGCATACATTCAACTCTCAGAGGACAAATATTAGGGATCAACGGGAAGACGATCACGGTACGACGTGTAAATACTCAGCCCACGCTTCCAGTCCTTTCACGGGAATAATATGAAGGACGAGCATTCGGACAAGCCGCTTGGCAAGATTAACGACTTACTCCAAGTCTCCAACCGAGATAACATATCTCGTCTCTCGTGCTAAACTGCCGACTCGGAGCTTGAGGTACCACCGAGAATGCGACCCTATTATGAGAGCCTTGAAATGACTGGGACGTGAACGCCGGAAGTGGGGAGATCGCAGCTTGGCTGCGAGGTGATAAGCCACCGCAGGAATGTCACTGGCCGCATCGGCAAACTCGAGTTTCCACCGCCGCTCTTGGCGCAATACGAGGACTTGGCGGGGAAACGAAATGAGGGGATGCAGGAGGAAACAGGCAGAGTTGGAGAACATGGATGAAGATCTGTGACCACCGCGGCGCAGTATGTAAGGGATGCAGGAACCCAGGGTTGCAATCTGGCAACTCCCTCCCTCTCCCTCCCTCTGCTAAACGGTGTGCAGAAGCATTCACACAAAGATGAGACTTGTTTCTGTTGGTCTCTCCCTCGGCCTTGCCTCAATGGCAAGGGCTGTTAGTTATGGGTATAACCACGTTCCTGTGGTGAAGGACTCTGAACTGGTTGCTGGCGCGTTCGAGGACGTCGACATTAAGCTGCTATCCCCAGCTTTTACGACTCCCGAAATCCGGCTTCCTGGGTTCAAGAATGGCACGCAGGGGCCGTCTTCCCAAGACGATATGGGTGAGTAGGATTGGGGACGCAGCATAGCGCAGTGAGACTGACACATAATTAGAGACTTGGATCGAGCAACTGGCCGAACGCAACGACCAGATGACCTATCACATCGCCAACTTCACCTCAGAAGAGCACCGCTCATTTCCTTACGTCCATCTTTCCGCCACGCACCGCGGAACCCGGCGCCGCGCAGACTCTGGCTCAAAAGTGCGTGTGTGGATCCAGGGCGCCGTGCATGGCAACGAACCTGCGGGCGACGAGGCCACACAGGCCCTCTTGGGCAAGTTCGACGACGACTCGGAGTGGGCGGCCGCAATCCTCGACAAGCTCGAGCTCATCGTTCTCCCAAGATGCAATCCCGATGGCGTTTTCTACTTCCAGCGCACTTTGGCGACCAACTTCGACCCCAACCGGGACCATATCAAGCTTGCGCGCCAGCAGACGCGGGATATCAAACAGCTCATGAACAGATTTAATCCCCACGTCATTGTCGACATGCACGAGTACTCTGCTTATACGCGTTTTGGCGGGGAACGGTACGCGCATGGGGCCGACGGTCTCTTCTCGGCGGCGAAAAACCTCAATATCAATGAAGGCATCCGCAGACTTTCCGAGAAGCTCTTCGCCAAGAACATCGCCGACGATATGGAAGCAGCCGGCCTTCGCGCGGAGCCATATGTGACCGGCTCCTCTGTGTCTAACTCTACTGTCGTCGCCGACTTCGCTGAGGCCGGGACAGACGGCAAGATTGGTCGCAATGCGATGGGCCTCACGCAGGCCGTCGTCTTCCTTCTTGAGACGCGTGGCATTGGGATAGCGGACCAGGAATTCCAACGCCGCACCGCCGCTGCTTTCACCATGCTGAGTAGCATCGTCCAGACCGCTGCCGACAATGCCGAAAAGGTCTTCACGACCATTGAGGACGGCATCGAAGAGTTTACGCAGTCCGACGATGAAATCGTTGTCACCGACTACAGCGAAACAGCCATTCGGCCATTCGCCATGGTCGACGTGAAGAACGGCAGTGTTGTCCACCCGCCTGTTCGCTTCGCATCAACGACCCCCGCCCTGGCGAACCTCACTCGCGCCCGTCCAGAGGCCTATCTCATTCCCGCGGCCTGGTCCGACCTTGCCGAGCGTCTTCGAGTTTCTGGGCTAGAGGTGGAGACACTCGACAAGCCATTCGAGGGAACGGTCGAGGTTCTCACCGTAACATCCGCCGAGGTGGACACCTCCTATTACGAGGGCGTCATTCGTGTAACGGCCACCACAGAGACCGGTGAGCAGGAGGTTAGGCTACCGGAGGGGAGCTTTCGTGTCAGCACGAGGCAGAAGAACGCGGCGCTGGCGATGGTGGCGCTGGAGCCTGAGAATATTGACTCGTATGTATCGTTCAATATTGTGCCGGTGGAGGAGGGTGATGAATACCCCATCTTTAGAGTCATGTCTTCATAAATATCTGTCCAGCAGGGATCATAACAGGACAGGAGGAAATGAAGGAAGTCGTATGGGGATTGAATACCCTGTGGGGTTTGGACCACAGGGTGCTGTTATATACACTGCATGCATCGCAAATTAAAATATAACATGTACATTCTTCGGATACAAAATAAACAAGCAGAATATGACAAGCAAACACCAGCTCAACTTAGCAGTACTCCTCGAGCCACGCTTTTAACTCCCCAATAGTCGGACACTCCAGGAACAGGGAGCTCTTAATCTCAATACCCAGTTCAGCGCGAAACTTCTCCGACAGAACAAGTGACATCAGCGAGTCAATGCCCAGCTCAACAAAGCTTGCGTCCGGTGTCAGTGATTCCAGCCCCAGACCTGTCTCTCGTGCCATCACCTGCAGGCATTGGGCCACGACTCCAGTATCTGGACTGCCTTGATCAGACGACGCTGGCGTGGAGATTTCAGTGTTGTCAGAGGACTTATCAGAGACTTCCTCCTCAGATGAAATGTCAGGTAAATGATCATCCTCTTTCTTTTGGTTCGTCGTGACACTAGGCGCCCCAGCACCATGACTAGCGGGAAGTGGACCGGTATTCAGTACACCACACTGGTTCGCAGCTGCTGGCTTTCGCGGCTGGACACGATCCAGCTCTGGCTGAGTGACAGTATGGGTAGTCGAAGCCGCGGGCGAGAAGAACCGGTCCATCAGAAGACGAGGCACACGGCGGAATCGAATCTGGCCGACCATGCCCACAATCCGCTGATCCTGCAGAATATACACATCGCCTGCGTACATATTCGGCTCGTCTGGCATGGGGAACATGCGAACATAGCTGCGGTACCTGCCCCCTGCCTCTAGCGGATTCAGCAGGCGGAAGCTCGAACACCCCGGCGTGACATAAAAGTAGTCTCTGGTGTTGGAGGCATCGCTGCCGTTCATGACCAACCCAGCCAGGTGCGACACGCTGTCGATCCAGTGCGGCGGAGTATGCCAGTTGCCATGGCGCTCAGGATGAAGGGTCACGTCGGCAACTGCCTCGTGCTCGTGCAGCACGACCTGGTCCATTCCTTGGTACCGCTCTGCGTAGTCGACGACATTCTTGAATAGGGCGTATGCGAGCGGCTTGGACAGTGTGCTGGCCTTTCCTTTTGCGGCTCGCTCTTCAAGCGTTTCAATACGACCGAGGACCAGATGCGAGAGTCGGTCCCATTCGCTTGTCCACGCAGCCGCATCCTCGAATCTGACCACCGCGGTGGCGAAAGAGTCAGCAGCGCACTCTCCTGTTTCAGCGCTCGCAGTGAACCAGGACAGAGACATGGAGCTGGTGGAAAGGTCGAGATACGCCTTGAGCACAAGCGGCTGGATCGTGTTTTTGTCCTTGTTCGCGACCTGTGCATGGAGGACTTCAAACTCAGAGAGGTTCATGTGTAGGTCTTTGGCCTGAGGAACGAGGCGGCGGTATAAGTACTCGCCAACCGTAAATGACATGTCGGACCAGATGGACTGCAACTATTAGCATGAATATATAAGGGCTGGGGCTTTACATACAGAAGTGGCGACACCACAGTTGTTCATTTTGTGACCGTGCAAGGCCTCCAGGAAATCAGGGTGCCGCATGTCGGAAAGCACTTCCAGCGTTGCTGTTGTCGCCTCAATGGACTCGGCTGTAACCTGATGGATCAGAGACGTTCGCAGCGTCGAGGGACGCGACAGCGATATAGAGAGAGGGTTCTGCTTTGTCTCCCCGTACTTGAGGCGCGCCTTATCCAACGTCCAGGTCCCGATATAGGGAATCCAGTAGTCGGTCTCATTCCAGCTGTACTTGGGCAGCTGCAGCAAGGAATACTCCTGCTCGCGCGGCTGGAAGTATTCCACCCACGATGGTGTTATTCCCGCCAGCTGCAGAGTTACCAGTGTCTTGGACATGGTGGCCAGATTGTCTTCATTACGGCGACATGAGGAAGCAACCTGCGCATCACGATCGATACCACGAACCAGGCCAGCGCAGATTGGGTGTGGGCCGACATCAATCCAGAGAGTTTTGGCGTCGACCAACCCAAAGTCCTCTGCAGCCTCGATCGCCGCGACAAAATCGACGGGCTCGCGAGTAGAACGACAGAGATACTGTGCGTTGATGGACTTGCCGTCGAACACGACTCCTCCGAGGAGAGGAGACAGGACAGGGATGCTCGGGGCTTTGAACGTGATTGGTCTTGCCAGTGCTCGGAAAGGCTCGAGTATAGGGCCCATTTGCGCCGAGTGGAACGCATACGGCACGTCCAGCAGCGTGCATTTGATACTCTTTGCTTCAAGAGTCCGGCGGATGGCGTCAACCTGGCCTTTCTTGCCACCAATGACAGTGTCCTGGTAAGTGTTCCGGCAGCAGAGCTCATAGTCAATGCCAGCTGTCCCAGGGTCGCCTGCGATCAGGTCCTCGATATCACCCAAGCGGGCTCGCACCGAGAGCATACTGTGGCTGCCTTCAGTGCAGTGCTCCTCGACCAGCTGTGCACGTCGTCCTACCAGGTACAGAGCATCTGCAGCGGAGATGACACCGGCAACAGCGAGGGCAGCATATTCGCCCAGGCTATGTCCAACGACGGCACCAGCTCGCACGCCGAGGAGTGACCAGAACTGAGCCAGGGCTATCTCCAGCACCACAACACTCAGCTGGGTCAGTACAGGAGACACCGGACCATCCCCAATTTCCCCGCTAATAACAGGGACAACGGATGGGAATCCCAATCGCTGTCCGATCTGGTCCAGCTGAAGGACCTGAGTCCGGAAATTCTGGAATTCACTAAACAGCTCCTGGCCCATTCCTCGATAGTAAGCACCCTGGCCAGTGAAGGTGAGAACTACAGATGGCACCTCATTGGGAATTGGCCGCAGCTCAGTAGATGACTTTGGGCTGTCCAGCCAGGATCGTATGTTTTTCTGCAGCGTTGCGACACTGGAGACCGCTGCTCCAAAGCGCATGCTATGGTGCATTCGGCGTCCACAGAGCGTGTACGAGAGATCTGCGAGATCCGTTTCAGGGTGTTCGTCCAGGTATTCCAGCAGCCTTTCTGCGTTGGCCTGTAAGGACTTCTTGCTCTTGGCTGAAAGCACTACCGGATGCGTTTCACGGGGATTATCGCCAGTCTCCTTTGCTCTTTCTGGGGCGTCTGCAAGAAGAACCGTTGTATTGCCACCGTGCGCCCCAAACGAGTTGACGACTGCAAGGCGTGTCTTCCCTGGAGGACGGGGCCAGGGTGTATTCTCCATCGCCAGGCCCACGTTCCGACGTTCGAGATCTTTGGGGATAGTAGGGTTGATCTCTGTTTTGATACCAATGTGCTTGGGGATCATGCCTTTCTGGTATACTAGTAGGGCTTTGAGAAGAGAGGCAATCCCAGCTGCAGCCTCACCGTGCCCGATATTACTTTTCACGGCGCCCAAATGCAGGCGTTGGTCTGCACGGCGACGGGGCATAGACGGTGCAAATACATCAGACACCGACTCCGATTCCACCGCATCGCCTGCCTGGGTGCCTGTCCCGTGAAGCTCGACATAGCTCACATCTAGGGGATTGACGCAAGCCCGCTGCAGAACTTGCTGGTAGTTCTCCTTCTGCGCACCAGCATGGGGATGGGTGATCGAGACAGCCTCAGCAGAATGGTTTGTGCGCGCACCGAGCACCACTGCCAGTATATTATCATTGTCGGCCTCAGCGTCCTCCAACCGCTTGATAACGACGGATCCAATCCCGTCGGAGCGACAATAGCCGTCTGCGTCCTTGTCCCAGACTTTACACTGCCCTGTTTTCGAGAGGAAGTGTCCATTCCCTAGCCCAGCGTAGTTGTCGGGGTCTGTAATAATATTAAGACCCCCGGCAATAGCAGTATCAACTTCCCCAGCCCACAATGCAGAGCAGGCTGTCTGAACTGCTGCGAGGCCACTTGAGCACGCCGTGTCGATGTTATAGGAAGGACCAGAAAATTTAAAGAAGTAATTGATCCTTCCATTCGCAAAGGCCCGCTCCCCACCGGGGACTGCGTACGTGCTTATATTTTGGGATGCGTTCAGTTCTCGCCAGTCATCGCTCGCCTGCCCGTAGAATGTCCCAATACGGTCCTGCTGGGTGGACGGCGTGCGGCCGGGAACAAGGCCTGCCATTTCCATAGCCTCGTAGGCAGTAACGAGGGCGAGTCGGTGCATGGGGTCTGTTTGCTCTGCCTATCCGTTTCATGTTAGTGTTTCATGCCTAGGAACGAAGGTTAAGGGGTATATACCTCGCGTGGCGACATGTTGAAGAACCCTGCGTCGAAATAACCCGGTCTGTCAATGAAATTACCAAACGGAGTTTCTGTCGCATTTTCTGTCTTGCCAGATGGGTCATAATGGGTTTCCAGGTCAAACCGGTCTGGGGGTACTGTGGTAAGTGTGTCACGTCCTTTCTCAAGCAGCTCCCAGAAGAGATCAGGGTCATTAGCACCTCCAGGTAGCCGGCATGCCATTCCGACAATGGCGAGTTTAGAGGCAGCGTAGGAGGATGGTCGATGAGCTCCATACTCTTTCTGAACCCAAGATACTAGATCGTTTCTTGACAGTGACAGCTGAGAAATGCTGGCTGCAATGGCTGAGTGTATACCCTGAAGCACAAGTGAGGTGCGGAAGGTGTCAATGCGATAGCTCCCCATTTCTGAATGCAATTTCGCATGTTCCACGATGCCAGCCGTGACTTTGTCCAGGTATATTGTGCCAGTGAGTAATTCGGTACCGATCTCGAGGAAGAGCTCACGGGCTGTCCTGGCCTTAAAAGCTGTGCCGGTCTGGGAGGAGATCAAGGGCAATCGAACAGGTCGGGAGTTGGAAATAACAGAATCACTGCTATTAATTACACTCTCAATATCGCCTTCGCTGTAGAGATGTGAGGCATGGCAGAGTCCATCGTAGACCGGCAATGGGAGCTGCTTCGAGTATCGCAGGACAGGAGAATACTGAATAGCAGCCTTCACGCGCGATGGTGGCCCACTGACACTAACAGACGTGCTATCGGCAGCGCTGATGAAGACCTTGGTAAGCTCGGGGTTATTTACGCCTTCATTGAACTGGGAGAGCTCGTGCTGCACCGCGTCCTGCGTCATTTCTGTGATAACGTGCGCCCAGCTTTGGAGCGTCCCATCGGACTGAGGTGCCTCCAGCTTGGACGATATACCGGCAACGTAGACTCCCAGTCGGAAGGAAACTCGGACGCTTTCTGGTCCGACTTTGGCCACGTCCGCCACATTGCTGGATAAGGAGACAGCAGCGCCAGCGAGGATCCCAATGCTGAGCCCGGCGAGAATAGTCTTCGACGGATCCAAATCCCATTCACTGTCCTCAGCCTCGTAATGACTGGAATATAGTTAGCTTCACAGTATGTCAAAGGACTCAAGGCACGCACCCTATAAAGAGGGCAAGCTCCAATACAGTGAGGAGGGCGCTCTCCATCGCGGCACCGAGAGGCCCCTGTCGAAAGTCGACATCGGCTAGCGAGCACACTGTGTCAAAATGGGGGATCAACTCTTGTAGCTGCTTAGGGAGCTTTGCGGCCTCTTCTTTGAGAATCGCAGTGGACTCCTCGAGGAAGATGGACAGTAGCCTGAACCGACGGTCCTTGCTGTGCTGGCGCAGTCGCCGGAATAGATCCTTTGCGCCATCGCTTGGGACCTCATTCCCGAAGAATACTAACCGTGCATGCCTCGGATCCATATTCGCTTGTTTGTTGTTCGAGGATTGTGTCCAGCGTTCAATTGTGCGGCCAGAGGGGATATCTATAAACATCTCCCTTCAGCTCAATTCCGGTGCTTCCATAGGCCGAGATGGATTGTACGCCCTTTGTCAAAGTCCGACAGATGCAAAATCCGAAAGATACGAGGATAGATGTCTCGCGGCCGTCAGCTCGTGTTGGCGTCGACGGTGCAGAGGCCGAAGAGCGAGAATGACACGCGAGTCGCAAACTCCGATGGGAACAGGCAGTAGATAATAAAATGCCTGCTGGAGAAGGAAAGTATCATGCAGCTTTGTTTAATTTGAAACTAAGATTTACCTGAAATCGATTCACATTTGTACCGCAACTCGTCTGACCAACATGTCGCCCAGTATTGTCAATGGCAGCAAGGCCCGTATCCCATCTCCAGGATACAGCAAGCCGCTGCCCATCTTTGATGCTCTTTACCGCTCACTTCCAGCTGGTACCGATGATGAACAGTTCTGGTGGAAGCTCACCGGACGCCACCTTGCCCGCATGATGCTCGAGGCAGGCTATCCAGAAGCCCGCCAGGTGGAGTGTTTGCTATTCCATCGCTTCACCATCGTGCCAACCTTTGGTCCTCAGCCAGTCTCTAGCGAGCCCTGGTACAGGAGCCGCGTGGCCGCGAGCGCAGGAGACGGTGCCCCAATCAGCTACAGCTGGCGCTTTGGCACGGCGGAGAAGCAGCCCTACATTCGCAACTACATCGAGCCTCTGGGTCCTCTGACAGGCACTGCCGCAGACCCAAACAACGAGGTTGCAACAAAGTCGCTTCTGAACGACTTCGCCAAGTCCCTGCCGAATGTGGACATGTCCCTGTTCTGGACCTTTGAACCCCATCTGCGCAATCAGTTCTCCAGCAAGGCCGAGCGCGAGCAGTACGCAGGGCCATCAGTACTCACCGGCGTGGAGATGCTCCCCGATTCCAACGCTATTGATATCAAAATGTACCTGTACCCGCGCATCCCCGAGCAGATCAACAAGCTCCTCAGCACAACCCTCCCGCTGGCAATGCAGGAGGCCTACGGGGAGAACGTCTCGCTTGAAAGTCTGAACGTGGTCAAGGATTTCCTGAGCAATCACCCAGACGGGCGTCAGCTCAGCCCTCGTGGAACTACCGCCATCGACTGCTGCAAGATTGACGAGTCGCGGCTGAAGTTCTACATGGCGACGCCCAACACTTGCTTCGACCACATCGCATCCGTGATGACCATCGGCGGGCTCCGACCACTCTCTGCAAAGCACCTCACGAGCCTGCGCGAGCTGTGGTACGAGCTCAATGGGCTGCCAGCAGACTTCCCTACGTCGGAGCCCGTTCCCACGCCGGAGGGCCAGGACGCAAATGCCATGAGCCACAAGGGTGTTGGCTTCTACTATGATATCCAGCCAGCACTTGCTCTTCCGGACGTCAAGATATTCATCGATGTCCGCAAGCACACGAAGAGTGACATGGCCGCTGCAGAAACGGTGGTCAGCTTCCTGGAACGCCATGGACGCGGGCCAAATCCCCGAGCCTATCTGAACGTTTTGCGGGACATTGTGCCAGTCGAAGAACTCGAGGCTCGCACGGGTGTCCAGGCTTTCTACTCTGTTGCGGTTAAGAAGGACGAGTTTGATATTACTGCGTACTTTATACCGCAGATCTATCGCCGGTTTGCGGCGGTGCAGGTCGAGTTGAATGGGCAGCGCCGGAGCAGGTTCGAGTAGGCAGGGAAATAGGATGCGGGGTTAGGATAGTTTAGCTCTTCAATTGAAAGTGACACTTTATTTCGTACTCTGGAAGTAAACCCAACGGAAAGAAGGGGGTTGCATCTACTTGCAGCAATATATACATGTCTACGCCACGTCGATGAATGAACAAGCAGACCAAGCCTCACTACCTTTAGCCACCAATAAATATTTTCTATTGTCTCTACTTCCTTGGCGATAGCCGACGGAACGACGCAATGATTCGAGATCTAACGGAGTTCTGTCTATTATTGCTTGTAGTATTCCAGCAGGACGACAGGTTCGACAGAGCATCGAGGCCGGGAGAGCCCCGTGCTGATCCGGCGATAATTATGCTAACTAGCGAATTTACAGCATCCATTGCTAATTATAGCTGGTATTCCGCATAGCAAGGGGGGCCTTTGGCCGGCGTTGGTCTGTGGTTGGCAAAAGCCGGTGCGTAAAAGCCGATTACGCTCGATTAGCCAGCGGCTTTTAACAAGCAGACCGGTGTTATAGCAGCTCTGTGATGTCTACCACGGCAATATAGCAGTACTGCGGCTTTGCATGTCTTGAGGTGCATTCACAAAGAAACTGCCGCGACAATGACGAAAACGCACGAGACATCGCAGCTCCCCATCCTCATCATCGGGGCCGGGCTTTCAGGCCTCACTACCGCCCGCCTGCTTACGAACAGCGGCATCCCAAACATAGTATTCGAAGCTTCCAGCCCAGACCGCAGCCAGGGATTCGCAATCAGTCTTCGAGAATGGGGGTATGAGGCCTTGCTGTCCGCACTAGGGGGGCTGCCACTGAGGAGTCTGCTTCGGGGCGCAGCGCCGGATCGCGAAGTTGGCGGACAGGGCTGGATTGACCAGATTATGTGGGACAATGGTACGGGCGACAAACTGTTTGTGCCAGACGAGGCGACAAAGCAGGAGATTGTGCGCGTGAACAGGAATGCGCTGCGCAGGTGGATCAGCGACAGCGGCGAGGAGGAGCTGGATGTGCGTCATGGGCATCGACTCAAAACTGTCACTGGTCGACTGGGCGATGTGACCGTGGTCTTTGAGAATGGGGCATCGTATCGAGGGGCCATGGTGGTTGCTGCCGATGGAGTAAATTCGACTGGTGGACTAGCCCTAATCCCTCCCCCCTACACCCACAATCAAACTGACTGGCCGCATAGTCCGAGCGCAAATTCTCCCCAACGTCGTGCCCGAGACGGTCCCAGCGATTCTTTACCACGGCGAGTGGCAGCTCCCCAGGGCCGACTTTGACCGGCTGTTTCGACCGCTGTGCGGAAACTCCAACATCCTCGCGGGCATTGGCGACGGCTTCAACGCCCCGTTCGCCGTGTGCAATATGACAAGGAATGTGATTCATATGGACTGGTCGTACTCGCGCCCTGTGTCTGCTTCCAGCGACCAGGACACGCTGTACCGGCCGAATCTTTCGGCCACGGAGGCGAAACAAGCTCCCCCAGCGCTACTCGACGAGCTAGAGTCGCGCCAGCTTGCTGAGCCGTGGAGCCTTTTCCTCAATCGAGAAGCCATCGAGGGCCACCGCGTGTTCCACTGGACTGTCCGATGTGTGCATGTGACGCGTGCTGAGATGCAGCATGCTGCTGAGCAAGGGGTCGTCTTCGTGGGCGACTCATGGCATGCGATGCCCATCTTCGGTGGGGAAGGGGGCAACCATGCCATTGTCGACGGCGTCGAGCTTGCGGCTGCGATGGCGGATCGCCCTAGGTCGGATATCGATTCTGCGATTGATATTTACTACAATCAAGCGTGGAAGCGATCGCAGGACGCCGTTCGGCGGTCTAAACAGCGATTCTATGCACTGCACCAGCCGATGGCTCACTGGAGGGAGATTCGTCGAAAGAGGGAATCTGCCACTTGATGAGACATAAACAGCTCACCCCTTGCACAGACAAGTATTGCCACCAGCTGAAGGCCTCCTTTGGTCTGACGCAGACTGGTCGTGCCGAGAAAAGGCTGAAGGAGCCAGGACGTCGAATTGCTGCCTGGGAGATCGTATTCACTAGGAAGGGCGGGGCGCTCGTATTCGACTCAAACAAGGAAATCCAAGAAAGCTTCCAGCTGCTCAAGCTCCCAAGATAATCAAAATTAAGGATTTTACTGGCCCCATCCCCGTATTGGCAGGGCTTGTCAGGCACGAGCCATTCACACGCGACACTTCTTTTTCCTCTTCGAACCAAGATCGGACAAAAGCTATTCATAGATCTGCAGGCAATCTGATCCTGCCCGTCCCGTCGATCTTGCTATTGAAGAATGTAAGACAAGATAAGGATGTAGTGCTGGTGATGGCGCGGGACATTCCAGGGATGCCCTCACATCTCCACGGGCGTCCGCACTCCACATCTGAGAGCTATCATCTGCTTCCATTTTTAGTTCTCACTTGTTGCAGTGGATCGAGGCCTCGCAAGGTCCCACTGGACTAAATCGTGGAAGACGTCCGGCCCTGTCGTCGGATGCTCGCTTGCATGGCCTAGTTACATTGCTAACGCCCCCTCCTCGTGTTCGCTACATGCTTACCCCGTGTTCATATATACCCCTTGACAGTGGAAAGCCTATATAGATACTCATGGGGGCCAGCGGCTGGTTGACAAACCTAGCTTAGGGTATTATAAAAATGGAGAGGCGCAATCGGCAAAGACACGCCGAAACACCACGTCTGACCTGCGAGCTGTGCCGTACGCGCAAGGTGAAGTGCGACAAGGCCAATCCATGCAGTAATTGTGTGGCTGTTGGCGTTGTGTGCGTTCCTGTCCATCGGCCACGCCTTCCTCGTGGTATCCATGCGAAACGCCAACGCCGGCTGTCGCCTACACCTTCACTTGACACTGCAGAGACAATGGAAGCCAAAGCAGGCCCGTCGCCCAGTGCAGTAACTACGGATGATAAGGACTTTACGCAGCGTATTCGTCATCTTGAGGAGCTGGTTGACAGCATGCGTTCGTCAATTCTGAGCCCATACTCGACACCGCTTGAGAAGGTCAGTTAGTCGAGCTGTTGCAACCAATTACGCTGACGTGATGCAGCCGGTTGGTGGCATTGCCCAGCCGTCATCAGCAGGGGAAGTACCATGGACTCCATCTTTGGAGACAGGGCTTGAGGAGAAAGCCCTCGCGGAAGACCTCGGGTGCTTTCGGGGGAGTCTGGATGCTGAGGTAGGAGGTGTCATAGCCATACTACCAATTCAATCTAACTGACGTTATTGCAGGCGATAAATGACTTTCCCGACGTAATGCCTAATAAATCACAGACTGCAGTGGAGATATGTCCAACGTCAAAGACCTCCAGTCTAGACAACAGCATCCAAGGTGGATGGCTCCGAGTCCTGGGCCTGGCCAGCAATAGCCTCACCTGCGACTGGCCCTCCATGCCCGAAGATAGGGAGATGACACGGCAGCTCTGCGAGGTCTATCTTCAGCAAGTAGACCCCGTTATTAAAATCTTGCACCGCCCATCTGTCGAGAAGTGGATGATTCGGGGCCAACAATACCTCTCATATATGCCCGGTGACGTGGCTGTCGACGCGTTAGGATTCTCGGTCCGCTTTGCAGCTGCAGCGAGCTTAACAGAGGATCAATGCATGGCACGCTTCTGCACAAGCAGGTGTCGCCTCGTGGCAGATACTCGAGCAGCCTGTGAGTCTGCGCTGGATAAAAGCGGCTTGTTGGCGTCACCCAGCGTTGCAGCGCTACAGGCATTCGTCTTATACCTGGTGAGTCCCTTTGTAGTAATGAACTAGTAACAGTGGGGACTGATTGATTCTTTTCTGGTAGATTGCTAGAGGGTGCACAGACAACAGTCAGGCCGCCTGGACCCTCTCTGCAGTAGCCGTCAGGCTGGCAAAGGCACTGAATCTCCACAGGGAAACGGACACGAACCAGACATTCTTCGATCAACAGATGTGCAGACGACTGTGGCTCACAGTCTGTCTTTTGGACCTGAAAGCATCACTCAAGCAAGCCTCCGAACCGATCATTAGCCCTAACGAGGCAGCATCAACCTTCTCCCTACCTAAAAACATTAATGACGCAGACTTTGATCCAAGCACAGCCCACGAGGTACCAGAAAGAGAGGAACTAACAGATACCACATTCGCATTGGTCACATACCATCTCCAGTTGGCAGGGCGTGCCCTGAATTTCGACGCTGCCGTATCAGTTGAAGGCCAGCAAGCCAAACAGAAGCACGCGGAGCGATTCGAAAATAATGCACTCCGTCTCTTGCACTTTTGCGACCCGGAGTCCTCACTCTTCGCATGGTTCACCTGGCACGGCACACAATGCCTCGTCTCAGGGGCACGCCTCTCTTCTTTACGACCGTTGAAACGGCCGCAGGCTCAAGGTAGCAACCATCCAGCGCAGTGTGCGTCCTCCAACCCGAGTGAAAGCAGTACAAAGGTTCTCCGCCTCACCCTCAAAGTGCTGGAGAAGGCGCAGCTGATGCATACCGATCCACGCGGTGAAGGATTCCGCTGGTATGTGACGATTCCGTGGCATGCGGTGGCTACAGCCGTGACAGAGAGCATGGCTTGCGGCGATGAGGGTCTTGTTCGCCTCGCGTGGCCGATCATAGAAGCATCCTATGCCCTTTTCCAGACTGAAACAAGTCACAATGGCTTAGGCAACCACGGAGGAGTCCATAGTCAGCTGGAGACCTTGATGGCCCAGGGGCGACAGCAGCTAGGGCCTCTTTTACAACAGCAAGCCAGCCCCTGTCCGTCATTAGCATTTGGTGGCAGCAGTGCCGCAAATTCACCGCGATATAGCGACAGTTTAAACCTATACCAACCTCCAGCTACCCGCAATCGCGCGCCGAAGCCGGCACTCGATCCCTTGCTGCTTTTTCCGTTTGATGGTAACGAACAGCCAAATCCATTAGGGTCAGGCCGATGCCCGGGACGGGAGTGGATTGGCCATGATGAAGCTTGCTGGTCATGCATGTTTTTATGTTGAGGCCAAATACTACGCGGGATATACGGTCCCAAATGATGGCCAACTCTGCAGCCTGCTCTGGACTTTATGTATAAAGATAGCATTAGAATAAAAGCATCATGGACGAATTTAATATAACAAGAATCTTCGGAAACATTAAATCTCGGCCACGATATGAGGTCTGACTTGAAGCATCATGGCAACCTGGACGTTGCGTGCCTACCACGTAATCCTTATTGCCCTTGTACTTTTCTCCTGTCGGAGAGGAAGGTATTGGACGACAGGCAGAGCAGTCATGTTCGGGTTTTGCACCCCTGTTTTCGGGTTTTACCACTTCGATAGTGTGGCAAGAGGGCGCCGAATATATCACCGGGTACACAACGCGTTACCATCAGCGCCCTCAATACTCCGCAGCGCAATGAAATGGCCCTCCGTATGCCTTTCAATCAAGACTTCTGGCAGGAATACCTCGCCGGCCAGGAAGCTAGCCTCCCTGTGTTACCTGACATTTCAACCCTCAGCAATCGAGTGACTCGCATCCTGGGCGGCAACCCAGGCGCGATGCATCTACAAGGCACAAACACGTATCTGGTCGGGACTGGTCGAGAGCGGATTCTCATTGACACGGGACAGGTTAGGCTCATCGTCTTGGAAACAGAGAACTGGTAATTAAAATGGAATTGAAGTTGACTTATGCAGGGGCTCCCCGTCTGGCTCAACCGCATCGCCGACCTCCTCAGCAGCCACGACATCTCAATTTCTCACATCCTCCTTACGCATTGGCACGGGGACCATACAGGTGGTGTCCCCGATTTGATTTCGCATGAGCCATCCTTAGCTAGACACGTATACAAGGCGCTGCCGGACCGTGACCAAAATGGGATCGACGACGGCCAGATTTTCAGCGTGCCGGGGGCAACAATCCGTGCGATCTTCACACCTGGACACTCGATAGACCACATGTGCTTCCTACTCGAGGAGGAAAATGCCCTCTTCACGGGCGATAATGTGCTGGGGCATGGGTATAGCGTTGCCCCGGATCTCGGGCAGTATATGCAGAGCCTGGAGCGGATGAAGGGCTTGGGGGCTACCCTGGGATATCCGGCGCATGGCGCGGTAATCGAGGATCTGAACGCAAGGGTGGAAGAGTATATCCACCACAAGGAGGTAAGGGTGCGCGGGGTTTTGTCGGTACTGGTTAAGGAGAGAGAAAGGGTCAGTAATGAAGGTACGCCTGGGAGGATGAGAGTCCGGAAAGGGGGAATGACACTGCGCGAGATTGTGCGAGCGGTATTTGGGACGGTTCCAGAAGAGGTCATTGAACAGGCTTTGGCGCCATTTCTGCTGCAGGTTCTGTGGAAGCTGACAGAAGACCGCCGAGTAGGCTTTGAGCCTGGGGATCCGTGGAAGCGAAAGTGGTTTGCTGTTGTTTCTGCCAGGCAGTTGAAATGATTGCCAGACTGACATACCCATGCCTAATTAAGCTTAAGTCCAACTAGATTGGTGGCTATGATGATGTAGGTGAATGACTCCGATCTTTGGAACAGGTCAGTTTTCCAGGCCGTGGACCTGGGTGTATAGTGAATAGAGCATTTGTTTACCCCAAGTCTAGACCCTTGATGTTTGCTTTTGCTGTTTATGGGCCCATTGTGCGTTTATGTAGGGTTACTCCTCCACTTTCTGAACTTCCTTTTCAGAAGCTTTTGTGTGTGTGCTGTGTGTGTGCGTGATGTACAATGGCAGTTTTGACAACTCTCCCCGAGGTCCTTACATTCTCCCTTCTCTTGCTGCTTGTATGGACTGCAGTTGATGTCTATGTGACGAGATATGGTCTTATCCCCGCCGCCAGGCCCTTGACTAGAGTCCATAACTGGTTCTATGCCGCAGTCTCCCTCGTTATGCTTCTTCAGATCCTCCACGATGATGCCAAAGACAGCTTCACCATCCGGTATATCTTCCATCTCTCCAAGTTCTACGAATCTCTCGACATTCTCCTCGTCTGCGCGTCAGGTAGTCAAATCGGCAGACCACTCGCCTTCCACCACTTCACAACGCCGTACCTCACCTACATGCGATACCTGAGTCACCACGGCGGATGGCGCCCGTTTGCCGCTCTGAACAACTTGCACCACTTTCTTGTGTACACATTCTTCGCCCGTGGGATCAAAGCTAGTGCAATTCTGAGATCTGTTTTACCATGCACGGGGATTTTACAGCTGATCGTGAGTGTCTGGGTTGATATGATGTATGGGCTGGACAAATACAATGGTGGATCGGAGCCATGGTGGCCGAACCTGGGTGCAGTGATTCTCGTAGGCGGATACTTTGTGCTCTTCTTCCAGGGATTTGGCTTTCGTGTGGGACAGAAATTATTTCTCTTTGGGGGTGTTTTGGGCGTGTTTTTGATATTAAGGGCGTTGATAGTGTAGACAGCATTGCTGCCTGAGGCTGCGTAAGAAAAAGCTCGATCCGGTTAGTGTGGAACGGTCTCGGCGTACCATGGAAAACGATGGAAAGCCTTAAAAAACCATGAAATATCTGCGTTGCCATTGGTTTTACCGGTAACTTACGCCGGGGAAGGAATCACGTGCATACCACCGTTTTCAACAGGAGTGACATAATGATGCTGGATCGGACAAGTTGGAGCTTCAGTTAATTGATTAGACGAATCGAAACAATAGCAACACTCGCAGCAGCCCTGCAGCAGCCCTGCAGTATACCTGCGTCTTGTTTGAGTCGGTAGTTGCGACCACCATTGTTGCCGCCGGTGGGTCAGTCGGTTAACTCGGCCTCGCCTCAGTTTGATCTGGGCTGTTCCCTGATTTTTTGGCTGTTTCTCTGTCGCGACTGCACTGTTTAACCTGTGATAAGTCTTGTCGCTGGACATACTGCATTATCAAGCTGGGCGGAGAAACTGAGATTGCCTGCAGCTCCATCCAGAACTGATATACCATATCAGATCCCCGCAGGATGAGCGCCAAGAGCGCCGAGAAGCAGCAGGTCGACGCAGATGGACAGGCCCAGGCGCAGGAACGATCATCACAGTATGAAGAAAAGTCTGACGACGCCGGGAGACCCTCATCCACAGGCAGTCTGAGTTCCTCGTCGGGCTCCAGCAGCTCTGTCGACTATGACCCCCAGTTTCGCCGCCTGCAGTCGCGCAATACCGAAGTGGATCTGGAGCGCCAGAGAACCAGTGCATCGCAGGCACTGAGTCGCATTGAAACCCAGCGGCTGCAGCATTCGATGACAGTTGGTGAGGATGTCACTTCACGACCGTCAAAGCTGCCGCTGCCTCCGTTTGGCGCGGGCAAGCCCTATCCGCCACAGCTGCCAAACCGCGAGGATTTTGTCGTGGAATTCGATGGGCCAGACGATCCTTTATATCCCCAGAACTGGCCTCTGAAGAGGAAGTACGTGCTCGTGATTTGTATATTTTATTTCGTGGCTAACCCTGGTAGAATCTACACGAGCGCCATTCTGGCATATACCAGTCTGTGCTCGACTTTTGACTCCGCCATTTTCAGCGCATCATCTACAAACATCGCGACCTATTTCGGCGTCGGTCTCGAGGTTGCTGTCCTGTCCAGCACCATGTACATCATGGGCTATGCCACCGGGCCCCTAATCTGGGCCCCCCTCTCTGAACTCAATGGCCGTCGTCCGGGCATCATTATTGGCATGTTTGGATTCGCCATCTTTAACACGGCAGTCGCCGTTTCCAAGGATATCCAAACCCTCATGATCTGTCGCTTCTTTAGCGGTGTGTTTGGCAGTGCGCCTCTTGCAGTCGTGGCTGCTGTGTTCTCCGAAATCTACAGCAATCGCACCCGCGGCGCTGCCATCTCCTGTTTCTCTGCTACGGTCTTCTTGGGTCCTCTCCTCGCCCCATTCATCGGGGGCTTCATTAATATGTCTTATCTCGGATGGCGCTGGACGGCCTATGTCCCGGCATTCATGGGATATGCCGCCTTCGTCCTGAACCTGCTCTTTCTTAAGGAGTCATACCCACCTGTCGTTCTTGTCGCAAAGGCTGCTGAGCTCCGTCGTCGTACCAAGAACTGGGGTATTCATGCCAAGCAGGAAGAGATTGAGGTTGATTTTAGAGAGTTGATGGTGAAAAACTTCTCTCGCCCGCTTCGCATGCTCTTTGGTGAGCCTCTTATTCTAGCTGTGACGATATACCTCAGTTTCATCTACGGGCTGCTCTATTGTTTCTTGACCGCATATACCATTGTTTTCCAAGGGGTGTATTACATGAACCCTGGTGTTGGCGGCCTCCCCTTGTTCGGCATGGTTGTTGGCTTGCTCATTGCTACAGCATACATCATTTACTCTAGCAAAGGGTACAACAAAAAGCTCGACGCGAACGGCGGCGTTCCTATTCCCGAGTGGCGCTGTCCTCCTGTCATACTCGGCGGCGCCCTCTTTGCTGCTGGACTGTTCTGGTTCGGATGGACTGGATTCACATCCTCCGTCCACTGGATCGTGCCAACATTGAGTGGTCTGTTCACTGGATTCGGCCTATTGGTCATCTTCATCCAATTGTTCAACTACCTGATCGATACCTATCTTATGTTGTAAGTTTCCTTTCTCATTGACACCCGTTCCTGTCTAATGCCCTCCATAGTGCCGCCTCTGCCATTGCTGCCAACACCTTCTGCCGCTCTTTTGTCGCTGCAAGTTTCCCGCTCTTCTCTCGCCAGATGTTCCAGAACATGGGTGTCCAGTGGGCCTCGACTCTCCTGGGCTGTGTTGCGGCCTGCCTTGTTCCTATTCCAGTAGCCTTCTACTTCTATGGCGATAGACTCAGAATGAAGAGTAAATTCGCTCCTTACTCTGGGCCGTCCTCAGAGAACCATGCACCGGAGGGAGAAGCAGAGGCAGATACTGAAGCTCATTAAATACCTTGACGATTGTATAGTTTCAAAGAAGCCTAGAAAATAATATAATTAATATAGATGGCAACTAATTTTATATTTATGCATTAAGAAAAATCCAAAAGAAAACCTAATTATATTCCATATTAAAGAATAGTAATAGATACCAATCTTGTTTTAGTAGAATAACAGGCAGATAAACACGCAGGACTGATCCTGCTCCAGTCACTCGTGCGGGTATGGCTGGAGGGTCGTGAGTTTGAGTGCGCGAATACTGTCCCCCAGGCTCAAAATAATGACGGGCCATCAACCCCGCTGATCTGAGCGAAAACGTGATCGATAACACGAGCAGTCGTATCAACAATGATATCTACTTCCGCCTTGCTGACGTTATAGGGAGGCGCAAGGAGGACATGGTGGCCGTGCGTGCCGTCCACAGTGCCCGATGCCGCATACAGAGAGATTGCGTAGTTCGGCGTCAATCCTGTGTCCTGGATATACGTAGCCACAGGGATCTCAGTCGGCCAAGGCTGCTTGGTTGCCTTATCCTTCACAAACTCAATCTAAGCACCCTCGGTTAATTGTGCACAGCGGCTTCGCCAAGAAAGAAAGACATACTCCCCAGAACAGTCCCTTCCCCCGGACGTCGCCCACGTATGGATGCGAACCCAGGCGGTTCCGCAGCTGCTGTCCCAAATAAGCGCCCATGCTGCGCACATTCTCCAGCAGGTTATCCTCCTTGATGATTTTCTGTACCGCCAAGGCCGCCGCACACGACACCGGATGTCCCTGGTACGTGTGGCCATGTCGGAAGGCACCCGAGCCCTTGTCAAGCGCCTCGACGATTTTCTCACTGATCAGGACCCCAGACACGGGCATGTACCCACCTCCCAGGGCTTTTCCGATGGTCTGAAGATCGGGCACGACATGCTCCTGTTCCCAGGCGTGCAGGGTGCCGCAGCGGCCCATGCCGCACATGACCTCGTCGAGAATGAAGAGCGCACCGTATTTGTCGCAGACAACCTTCATGGCCTTGAGGTATCCTGTCACCGCAGGGACGGCGCCGAGAGCCTGTGTAACAAGGAGTTGTCGTTAGATTCTACATGTAGGACGGGGACGGGCATGGAACAGGGCGAGTCACGTACAGCACCGACGACGGGCTCTGCGATGAAGGCACAGACAGTGTCGGGCCCGACGCGCTGGAACTCGGCATCGAGTTCGTCGGCGAGCCGGCGGACGTACTCCGTTTCTGACTCGTTCTCTTTCATGCCGCGGTAGGGGAAGCACGGAGATACGTGGGATGTGTTCTGGGAGAGAAGGGGTTCGAACGGCTGGCGACGGGAGACATGGCCGCCTGCCCCGAGCGCACCAAGTGTGATGCCGTGATAGGAAGGAAGACGTCCGATGAACCGAGTGCGCTGGGGCTGGGGGATGGGCAACTCGAGGAAGTACTGGCGGGCTAGCTTCAATGCGGCTTCGACTGCTTCAGAGCCTGCGGTGAAGGGTTAGCGGTGGTTCTTCGCATACTTGTATGGGCTTTGATACCGGAGCTGACCACGTAGAGCTTTGTCATTTTACCCCCCGTGGAGTCGCAGAGGAAGGTTGCCAGCTCCTCGGACACGTCGGTGCTAAAGAACGCCGTATGACAGTAGGCCAACTTGTTGATCTGGTCGATGACCATCTGGCTGACCTTCTCGTGGCCGTGTCCAAGACACGAGACAGCCGCACCGCCGGTGGCGTCGAGGAATTTGGTCCCATCTTCCAGGAAGAGATAGCTACCCTTGCCCCTGACGGCTTTCTTAGGTATAAAACGAGTGTCGCGGTGGAGGACGGCACTGGTAACTTGTATCCTGGTGAGTAGAAGGCGTCAGAGATATTATACTGTACGTACTGTGGGTCATGGTGGAGGAAACGTCGAAACCAGACAGTGATGAATGAATTGGTCAGGTAAGCAATGGCTCTTTTAACAACCAAAGGACCTGTGGACCTTATCTTCGTTCAGCTCCCAGTTGCCGAAGCATCCACCAACGTATACAAAGACATCCCGATTTGCCACCCCGAAATGCGAAAGCCGAGATGCGAAAGCCTGATCCCGACGCCATTTGCGCCTCAGGTCTGTGATGACAAGACTATTTTAACCGCCGTGATCACCCATCTAGCTGCTCCAAGTCGCTCTCGCCTTGAAAGACAACCCAGACGGTAACCACAATCTCAACTCTAAGCCCGTTCACCCGCACACACCTCCGAACTGGAAATGACCATGTCAGATATCACACTCTCCTACTCCGACGGACAGCCATCCACGACCGGCATTGAGGCTGTCAACGAGGTACTACGCGCTGTAGGCGTCCACATCAGCCAGCCTCCTGTTCCCGCCGAGGCTCGTCCGATCCTAGAAGCGTCTAAGACCCGGGCGCTCTCAGAGGACGAGCAGGCCGAGCTGCTTTCAATGTTTAGCCTAAGCCGCAGCGACCTACTAGCGCACATCCAGCTTTCCGGCCGCACGCCCGAGGTGCATGACGGCGGCCTCGATACCTCCGAGCACGGGGTCGCTCCGTACCCAAAGGTCTATGCGCGTGGCCATGCCGTTTGACGTCCAGGCCCGGGAGCCGTTGCCGTTACCCCAGTCATACAAACTCAGCATGAACAATGCCTGGCCCGTACTGATATCCATGGCCGTTGCAGCATGAGTCATGATGGTCCGGCGAACATGATTTGCGAAAGTTTCAGACGCTGTCCCCGGAGTTCCATACATTTGGACCAGTTCAGGGATAAACCTGGCACTCAGAGACAGAATGCCACAGAGTAGCAAGTTAGAAACAGCCTTGCTGTCGAGAAGTTTCAAGAAGGTAGGTTGATGGAAGAACGCGAATTCAGGGTACTGTCTGACATATATATGGAATGCCTTTTCGAGTAGCTCTTGATTCAAGTTTGTCAAAAGGTCGTGGTCTTGATCTCCCCTGGAACCCACATCGCCCTCGCCTGAGGCCGGTGGTGCATTTGCGACGGGGGTTGTAAATGCATCGCCTATGTCTTGACGTCCACATTGTCGTTCAGTGCTTCTGGCCGAAGCATCTCTTCTGGGTCGATTCGACCGATGTCTTGGTCTGGTCAGGATACATTCTCGGTCAGGATTCTGCGAGCAGGATCGACATGGCGGGGAACCGGTGTGGTGGCATTTGATTTTGGCTTTTCTGGGTCCGGTTGTCTTAGCAGGCTATCAAGATCTGCATCCTGGCCATTCAAGACGCAGCTGAGAGCGCGAAGTTCCTCGGTGGACGGGCAGGGATGTGAAAACTCACCGGCACCATTGACAGGCGAGTGTCGACCTCATTTGTCAAAGTCACCGCGTTCGGTGGATGGACTGGTGCGACCTGGCGAGAGTAGACGGTCGGGCGAAGGCAAAAGGAACTGGCCTGTTGGAAAGAGGGTTAGACTGGGCTGGAATTGTATCAGCGTCAGCCCGAAATGCGAGATGCGAAAGCCGCCACGGCCCCACCATGGAAAGAAACCCTTCTCGATGACGTTGACAGAAACGATTCGGTTCGGACGGCCGACCGAATTTACGCATTTCATTGGCTTTTCGCATCTCGCATCTGCTTTCGGATCCATTAATCCTGTCCGGTTGAATTGTTTTCTGGCTCACTTGAGAATTATAATAGGTCTCGGGTTGTCTTTCTTGATAATCAGGGTGCTTTTGACCCTGAGATACACGGGCCTGGCGTGTAAACTAGTACATCCGGCGTCGTTTACTCTATAGTAGTGTGATTCTATACCAAGATCCTATGTGGTGGTGGCAGGGATCGATGTCACCAGAAAGTATGGAATACAATGGATATATATATTTAATGTTCTCCAAATGGTTGACGCGGATTGACCCACGGTCGTATACTGAACAAAGAGGATAGCACCAAGCAGATAAATTAATATTACATCTGGTTCGTCCAATCTTTATCAATAAAAGACATTAATATTTAAATGAATGTTTACCAAGTGTAGAGCCAGTCCGCCCGCATTGTTTGGTGGCGCAGGCTGGTCCCGGATGAACTTCCATCCGATCAGGGCACCATATTTATAACAGTCGCAGTAGAACAGTAGGGAGTGTAGCAATTTATATGAGTATTAACGAGAGACACAGTTGGAGATATGCAAGTAGTACTTGGCAGTTTGGGTTAATGGCTGTGGGAGATCTGATATATACCCACACGAGGTATTGTCTAAACAAATGAAAGAAATATTACAATAACTAACAATAACAACCACGATAGGAAATTAGGCTAAGCAGTACCCGCTTCTATAACACCGTCGTATATGAACCGCTGCAGGAATAATGTCTGTTTCTTTGTCAAATGAGATATCATGCACCGGTGCCCTGTGAGGCATTCAGTGGTACTTGTTTCGGTCAGAGAGGTCTGTGTTCTCGAGGTAGACCTCAATCTGTGTAGTTGTCAGTAGTCTGTCGTACTTATTGATTTCAGTTAACGTACCTTGTTGGTCATTTTAGAGTCCACATCCTTGCAGCAAAGACAAGCTCCCAATCCGAGGATACCAAAGGCCATGGATACCATAGCAACCACGCTAGTACATGTCAGCATTCCATCAGGTAGAGATGGAAAGAAATACTTACAAAATGGCTTTGCAGTAAGCATTGGCAAGGGCAGCTTCGGCAGCAGCAGCAACGGCTGGACTGTAGTCCTTGAGAGCAGCAGCTCCACCAGATACAACGCCCATGAGCTCTTCAACCTTGCCCTCATCCAAGCCAGCGGCAGTCACTGCGGGCGGGATGTACTTCATCATGTACTTGGTAGTGCTCTTACTGTAAACGGTCTGGTAGATAGACGTCGCAACTGAAGATAATTAGCTGAGAGTCGATTAATGCCAAAGTTTACAAACATACTTGCACCAGCTGCGAATCGAATACAACCGGAGATACCCCCACTGACACCTAGGTTCTTGTGCTCGACACCCATCTGCGTAATGGCAATACTCAGGTACAGACCCCAGCCAAAGCCAGCCTGCGAAAGGAAGATGAATGCAATCATAGTTCCCTTGTTGTCAGGCGTGACGATGCCTAACAAACTGCCAAAGAGGACCATAACAAACACCGACCCGGTCAACTGCCACTGCCAGTTGCGGAGCTTGCTGCCAAATGCAGAGAGCAGAATAGCACCGAAGAAAATGGCAAAACCCTGAGGAAGGGAGAGAACAATCGAGTACTTCCAGTCTGCGCCACCGTTGGTGTAGAACAGAGTGATCATCTGGGGCCACAGAATGCTAGACGAGTAGTAGAACATGTTGACAACGCCCAGGGCGATAACGGGTGCGGTGAAGTCGCGGCCCCAGGAGCTGGAGAAGACGTAGGTTGGCGTAAGGGGGTACTTGAGATTGCCAAATGACTCCCAAAGGGCAAATACGACCAGCACAGCAGCGCCAACGACGAGGGGAGCGACAACGTGCGCATCGTTGGAGTCATAAACGCCAGCCCAGACAATGCCCATCAGGAAGGGAACCGCACCACCGATGAAGAGGAAGGCCCCTGTGTTCTGGATTAGTGGAGTCCGGGGCATGCATGGCGTATAACATACCGACGTAGTCCAGAGACTTGAATGCCTCGCTGTAGGAGACTCCGAGACTAATCATTTGTTAGTTGAATGTTAACGGTTGAGCAAGTCTGATACGTACGGATGCTTGGGCGGGTGGTAGAGAACGAGCAGGCCGATGAATGACAGACCCTGGAAAATAGCGATTCCCCAGAAGTTCCATGTCCAGGTTCCCAGTTCATAGCCGTAACGCGCAGTGACCGGGGCAACAATAACGGCGATGTAGACAGTCAAGTCGGCAATGACCACGCCAATGTGGCGCCACTTGTTTGGCAGAAGCTCAGGAAGTGCAAATGCAGCCATCTAACGAGACCTTGTCAGCACATTCGTGTCAAATAATTAGGTCCAGTGCCTACCTGGCAGTTCGCTCCGCCGAAGCCAGCGACAGCCAGTCCGGCGATGATCTGGTTCGTATTTTTGGCAGAAGCCACAATGACGTGACCGGCGAAGCAAACCAGATTGCCCAGAACAAGGAACCAGCGTCGGCCCAGAAGATCGGTGTTTGGACCGCTGTAATGATGAGCACTGAATCGCACAGCAAAGGGGTTGAGGCGTACAAGATCAGGAAAGCACAGGTAATTGAGATAGTCCAAGCCTGATACACATTAGCCGTTGTCCTCGACAGATGGGAGAGTCTCATACAGGGACAAACCAGATGTATCCAGTCGGATCACCCATGTCTGTTGAAATCATGGTGCCAATTGCCGACACCACAGGGACGGGCCAGAAGGACAAGCCATAACCGCAGGAGAGAATCTATACAGCAATTCATAATCAGTCTCATCTCCAGAGTTCGGCACTTGGAGAACGTACACACGAGACTATCCATGTCTTCAGCGTCACGACCGGGGGAGCAGAGCTGGGGTCGTCGACAGTGGACGGTGACTGCGGATCATAGCGAGCAGTGTCCACTGGGTCTTTCTCGCTATCAGTCGCCATGATTAATGAGAGGCAATGGTAGGCTGAGGCAAAGAAGTGAAGTTGTTTGAAAAAGACAAGTTCGAGAAGAGGAGAGGAGGATTTCTAGCAGCTCTGCAGCGAACGGCAGGTCATTAAGCTCCCTTGCATTGGGAGGGGCACTAGGTGGATTCGGTTGAACCCCCCCATAGCACATGGCTACTGGGAACCTGCTCAAGCCCCAGATGATAGGGAGGGCCAGTCCATGTCCAGTCCATGCCCCGAACCGTTGGCGGATCCGAATTACGGGGCTGGACCTGGCACGACCCCCTAGCGGCCAAACGGTCTCCTACCGGGGACAGCAACTGACTCGCTGATGCCGATCCACATTCGCTTTGGAATGAACTTACTGGGCCGATAGTTGACTTCGTTATTGGGCTCGGATCCTTCCTGACTAATGTCGACACGAAGTGTTTATTATTTGTGTGCGAGGTGATCGTTCGGCGACTTTTTAAAAGCTACCAATTGAGTCTGGCCTTCTGATACCAAGCAAGCATTTACCAGCGTCCGCTGTACATTCAACATGGGCTCGCATGTAGAGGATCGTGTTGCCATTGTTGTCGGAGCCACAGTTAGTACACCAAACGCGCGGGGCAATGTCGAGCTGTCACTGACCACCACTGCAGTCTGGCATCGGAGTTGATATTGCCCGGGATCTAGCCACACGGGGATGGAAGATTGCCTGTGTAGGCCGGCGTCGTGATGTTGGAGAGGCACTCCTGAAGACCCTCCCTGGCGACAATGCTCGGTTTTTCCCTGCCGATATCTCCAACTACGAGGAGTACGCGGGTGTCTTTAGGGAAGTCCACAAGCTATGGGGCCGTATCGACGCACTGTGTGCCAATGCTGGCGTTGTCGACACCTCTTCCGTTTACATATACGACTGGAAGAACAAGAGTGTCGACGATGTGCCCCCGGCTCCCGAGCTGAATGTCGTTGATATCAACTACAAGGGAGTAATCTACGGCACTCAACTGGCGACGCACTTTATGAGACACAACCCTCAGCCTGGCGGTCGCATTGTCATCACAGGAAGCATTGGGGGTGTCTTCCCCCACAGGACCTATCCTGTATACTGCGGCACAAAAGCGGCCGTCAACCACTTCGTACGCGGCATGGCCCCGCTACTGAAGCAAAAGGAGAACATTTTCATCAACGTCGTGATGCCTGGCATGGTGGACACCCCGATCGTCCCACCAGAGATGACTGCAGCTGTCACTCCCGAGTGGTGAGTTTCCTTAGTCTGCCGTTTCGAATAGATGCTTACCAGCCCCAGCCTGACCCCCGTTGAGACTGTCCTGAAGGGATACCAGGTGTTCCTTGAGGATAAAACAGGACTGACTGGCCAGACGCTCGAGTGCTCCGTGGACAAGCTGATCTACTACAACCTGCCCGAGCACGGCAATGGGCATTTCACCAAACGGGCAGTGACTGTGTGGGAACCCTTATTCCGCATGATGCACGGAGAAGACTCCCAGCTCCCGGATGCCATTCCGTAAAATACAAAGTGAAAAAAGTCGTCGGTGAAGGAGCGAAGGAAGTGAAACGATCCGTGTCGGCGTCGAACCAACGACCGGCAAGCCCTAATTCGCTTGGCTGCAGAACGGGCTCCGTCTTGGGGCGCCTGCAGGGCCGATCGCAGTAGCTAGAGCTAGTCGCAATTAGACCGTGTCAATCCCTCTTTTCAGGTTTTCATCTGTCAAATGTCAGCCAGTTAAGCATGGCCTCTCTTCCTGCCGAACCCGAGTCGTTGGATGCGCAGTCTCTCCACGGAACAGCGGGCGAGTATCCGCGTGGGCCTCTCTTGCAGCCAACTGCCAATCGATCCTGCGATTTCTTCACGGCTCGCTGCTCCATTGTCACGCGTGATCCTTCGAGAAAGTCTCGCCCGCCTTGGGCAATTCCGCCGTCGCGCGATGGATGGTCTGATGGCAATCGCTGCCGTGGTCGTGAAAGCGTCAAGGTCAAATGTCAACAGCCCGTGTGGAGCAGACGGACTTATCCTTAGTTCTGTTCTTAGTGTGCTTGGCTCTGCATTAATGACACATTAAGTTCATGAAGTTCATCAAGTTCAAGGTCCCCTTTTCCTGTGCTGCTGTTTCAACTCTGGTTTCCTCCAGAGTAGTCTGTACACTGAATATCCATAATACTCAGCTGACGAACCAAAAAGAAAAGAAAATAGCCGAACTGCACTGGAATTGACTCTGCCGATCTGAGTCGACAATAAATTCCCCGTTTCTGATTATTTGTCACACTACTTGGAACTACTTGTTCAAAATGGCCCCAACCTGGTTCTCCAGCACTGTCGCTGCCATCACCTCGCGCATGCCGTCATCACAGAACGAATGCTGGTCCCGGAAGTAGACGCCAGTGTCCGAGATCTCCACGGCCTGTCCGAAAAGTCTGTCGGTGGGTACGTGAGTCCCTAGTGTATCTGTCAAGCCCGACCCACCCTCGCCCTCGCCCTCCCCCGCCAGCTGCAGCACCACTTGGACCACCGACTGCATCTCAAGGAATCGATGCTGCGGGAAGGCGTTCCATCCCTTCCGATCAACCAGGTCGGTGCGTACGATTCCGGGGCAAATGGCATTGGCACGGACGCCCCCCGCGTGGAAGTGCTGCGCGATCGAGCGCATAAAGCCAACCACACCGACTGTTATGAAACGGTCGCAGTTAGAGTATGCACGGGATAATAGAGAATAATGTCTCAGATTGCGAACTCACATTTTGCCGACGAGTATAGTGGGGAGTAGAATGACGGATAGAGCCCGCCGCAGCTAGCGGTCATGACAATACTCGCCCCAACCCCATGGCCCGGGGACGCGCGGAAGTAATGCTGCGCTAGATAGGTCGTCAGGATTACCCCTTTCAAGTCTGCATCGACTGATAGCAGATCCGGTTCTGGTGGCGGCGCCACCATCTCGCCGGACCCGAAGGGGTGGGACTCGTAGAAGTTGAAACGCTCGATCATGCCGGCATTTGCAAACACGAAATCGAGTTTCTTGTGTGCCTGGAACGATTTCTGGAACGCCTCGCTAAGGATCGGGTACTTTGTAACGTCTGCATAGTGGAAGGTGGTCCGGGCAAGACCGTCAGCTGCTGCTGTCCCCCGGTCTGAGTTGATGTCCAGGATGTGGATTTCCCAGTCAGGGCGTGTAGACAGGGCAGCAGCAACTGCATATCCCATTCCACTAGCTAAACATGAATGCTCTGTCAGTCATGGACGATTTGATGCATCACTTGGAATCGATAAAGAGTGGCAAACGAACGCACCTCCACCCGTGATCAGGGCAACCTTGGGCGCCATTTTCGATGCAATTTGTCAGGATGTTCGTGCCGGGGTTTCAAGGCGATGTCACCCGGAATCGCCCTGTGAACGGCTGGTCTTATGTATATGCAATGTGGTGATCATCTTCCAGAGATGGCAGCAGATGCGGCGTGATAGCCCTCTTTGCCATTTTGATAGCGCAACCGACTCTTCTATTCAGACCCATAGGACAGTGGGCTCATCTCAACACACAGTCCAGCCGTGGATGCCTTCTCCGTTCGGTAGGAGGCAGAGCCCATGCCAAAATTCTGTGACTAGTCTAACGGTCCTCATCATGACACTCGGCCAGGTCCGTCGTCGAGTCAGTTAGCGCGCTGCTAACTGCCTGCAGGTTCCACCGCGGCTGATCCTTCGTGTCCCTCTTCGCCTGTTCCAGTAAATCACGAGGGTGAGACCATTCCAGTTACGCACCCCTGCCTCGGATCTGACTCGACCTGTGTCGGATGGTGAGACCCCTGCCACTCCTCTGCCCCGAAACGGACCATAAGGCGGGGCCGTTGCGCGATGGAACAGTCTGCCAATCCCAATCTTCCATCTGCAGAAAGAGGGCCTCTTTAACAGGTCAGTTGTCTCACAAACCTTATGCTTCCAGCCAATGGATGGTTGACGACCCGTTGCAATATCAGGGATGTCGGAGTATCAGTTCCATATTCGGCAGCATTCGTCAGTGGAAGACCCCGTTCTGGTGGGTGGATTTTACCGGAAACACAATACGAATGTCCCTGATATGCCTTTGCGAACGGACCGATGCTGTTCCTTGGGTCTGGGACGGTGCCAGGAGAAAGCAGGGGTAATACGAGCCATCGAGAGCTAAGCCCAACGATTTGCAGGAAACTTGCATATCTACTCTTCTGACATCTGTCCAAAGTCAGACCTGCAACGCCCTAATCTTCTCCACGCCTGTCGCTTTTAACAATCGTCCAGACCCCGAAGTTTCAGGTTTTCCCCCTTCGGAATCCTCTCCCTGGTGAAAGTGCTGCCATCTGAGGCCGTTCACTATGGCATACGACCTGAATACTGAGACATGGTGCGAGTATGGCATTGGCATATTCTTCCTGCTGCTGCGGCTTATAGCACGCCTGAATATGGGAGGAATCCGTGGGCTGCGACTCGATGATGCCTTTGCAACACTGGCCATGGTAACAAACCCCGTTCAGTATTGAGTTGCTATCGCTGACCGGTGAAGATATTCTTTACGCTTCTGACCGTGAATATCTACGAGATGAGTGAGTATCTGCCAGCTGACAGTGTCTTGGTATCAGAACTGACTCACCACAGACATACTCGGAACCAACATTGGACTCAACGCAGAGACCGCAATGGCTGTTCCGGAGAGCCAGTGGGATAGTATGATCCTGGGCTCCAAGCTGGCGTTCATGAATTGGATCTGGTACATTTGTTATATATGGTGCTTGAAGGGAGTCCTTCTCTGCCTTTACTGGAAGCTCACGTACGTCCCTTGATATCCCTGGAAGTGTCTCACATCCTGATAGATCAATAGTGCAGGAACATGGCACCGACACTTGGTTGTTGGTTCTTCGGGCTTCTGTGTTGTTATCTGGCTGGCATGCCTGTTGACGCACGTCTGCATGTGCACGCCAACCTACCGCAACTGGCAGATCCAGCCATATCCAGGAGGTAAGCTGTAGTTATATATACAGCCTGTCCTATTCTAACATGCATATAGATCACTGCACCCTCAGACAGCCTCTGTATGTTGAGATTGCCGTCTTCAACGTCTTGTATGTCACCCTTATCCCCTTGTGAATCGATACTGACAGAATCCTTGATAGATCCGATGTTTGCATCATTGTCATCCCTATTCCCATCCTCATGAAGCTCCAAGTCCCCGTTCCACGAAAGATTGTCCTGGCACTCATGTTCTCATCCGGTTTCTTCATCATGATCTGCACCATCCTCCGTGCCTACTACTCCCTCGCCAGTATCACCAGTCTCCCGATTGCCCTTGGCTGGGCCAGTCGTGAATGCTTCGTCGCCGCCATCGTCGCTTCATTGCCAGGCATTAAACCATTATTCCGCAACACCAAGATCCTGGGGTCGTCGAACCGCAAGAAGTCGCACAATTACTATAACAGCCAGGGATACAACAACTTTGGATCGAAGGCATCGGCAAACACCAAGACATTTGCTTCGAGACGCCGCGGCAGCCGTGGGGGGAACTTCGAACTGGACAGTGTCCTGAAGACGGGGAACATGGACACTCGTGTCTCGACCGGGGACAGTGAGGAATATATCCTGGAGAGCGCGAAGCATGAAGGCAATTCCACACGGCGACAGCCCAATAATGATCTGGCTATCCATGTGACGACGGAATACTCGCTCCAGACAGAGCACCAGCGATGAGTTTAAAAGATACCAGGTACTGCTGGCTATGAGTTATAATTATGTGGTGTTTGTCTACTGCAATTCGCAGTCTTACTATATCGTAATGTATTCTAGGAGTTCGAGGTTTATAGGGTCAAAGGTTGGATATCAAACAGTACCAATAGCTAACGAACGGGCGTTGGGTATACCTCTATCAAGTTCAATGCATCCTGCCAATTTCCATGCATTACATACAGTCTCGGATTCAGTTCCTTTGATTTGCAAGCTATAGCTTTCCGACGCCAGCAGCTCCAGCAGTGTCTAACTGGTATTCCCTGATCAGCTTATCCGCAGCTGTAGCCCCAGTCACATACGCCACAGCCTGAACGTGGCAGTTCGACAGCACCGGAACGACACTCATATCGGCAACTCGCAGGTTCTCAATCCCGATCAAGCGGAAGTCCTTGTCGACGACCGCCTCTGCATCACCCGGCTTGCCCATCTTCACCGTTCCCGTCATATGCCAGCTGGACGAGATATTCTCGCGCCAGTACTCCAGCAGATCCTCGTCCGAGTCAGACTTTGGCCCAGCCAGCTGCTGCACATTATCCTTCGTGTAGCCATCATACTGCGCGATACGCAGCGAATCACGCAGAGACTCGATTGCCGCGCGGCGGTCAAAGGGGTGCGACAGGAACTTGGGGTCGAACTTGAGCGGCGTATTAGGGTCTGCGGACTGCAGGACAGCCTCCCCGTTAACCTGGCTGTTGAAGAGGAAGACAAGCAGGCAGGAGTAGTTGAGAGCCTCCTTGGCAAACCCAGGAATGAACCAGTGGATGGGGAAATGCGTGAGGACCTCGTAGTGCGGGACTGTCGTCTGCAAGAGGAAACGCTTCTGGTCTTCAGGAAGGGCCTGGAATTCAGCAGACGAAGTCAGGCGGTCGAGCTTGAACCACCCAATGCCCAGTTCGCATGCGAATTTTGACCATGGGCCTGATCCGTCCTTCTTCCATTGCTCCAGGGCGCTGGCCATGGCTTCCTCGTCGCCGTAGAATTCCTTGCGCTGGGTGCTGTTCTCGACGCGAGTGTTCACGATGGGCACGAAGCAGTGGTCCTTCAAGGCCTGTCCGATGGCAGGGGCGTCCTGTACGACGGGGATATTGAACTCTTCAAGCTGCTTCGCAGGCCCAATACCAGAGTGCATTAGGATCCGGGGGTCCTCCAGCGATCCAGCGCACAGGACGACTTCTTTTGCGGCGTAGTCTGATATACATTAGCTGCAACTCCAAAAAGCAGGGAGAGGACATACATTTTGTTCCATCCGCTTCAACACCGACTGCCTTCTTCCCCTCCAGCACCAGCCGCTGCACCGGCGCATTCGTGATAACCGTCAGATTGGCCGGCTGGGGCTGCAGCAGATCCGCCGCCGTCGAGCGACGCCCATTGGCAGCCGAGTTAATCAACACCGACATCCCAATCGGATTGCCCGAGTTATGGTCCGGGTTGAGCGGAAACCCAGCCTGCTCGAAGACATCCAGCAGCTCGGGCAGGTCGCGCTCCCACTCCTGCGCAAAGCCCACATGCAGCGGGCCCGCGCTGCCATGGTCACCGGCCGCAGGCGCCGCATACTTCGCATCCAGACCAGCTGGGACGCCTGAATGGAACGTCTCGAGTGCCTTGAACCGCGCCTGCACGGGCTCCCAGGCGAAGCTATCGTCGTCGACGAGGCGTGCCCACTCATTGTAGTCGTCCCGGGCGCCGACGCTGTACACGCCGAAGTTGATGGCGCTAGAGCCACCCATGCCACGGCCGCGCGAGTAGTCGATCTCGCGGTTGTTGCAGTGCTCCTGCGGTGTGGTCTTGTATCCCCAGTTCATGTCTTTATTCTGGAAGGTTAGCCAGCGCTGGCCGTCGACGCGGAGGTTAGGGTCTGCATTAGGTCCGCCGGCCTCGAGGAGGAGGACTGTTGGTGCCTTGGGGGAATTGGCGAGCTTGGAGGCGACGGTACTGCCAGCCGGGCCGCCTTGAAAAGATTAATATCTGGATTGTAGCTCGATTGGTGATGTAGGTAGGATGCTTACTGCCGACGACGATGAAGTCAAATGGGGAGGCCATCTCTGGAATCTGGTGAAGGGTGAACTGAGTCTGAGGACGAAGCAGACAGAATGAGCTCGAGGACGAGCTCGCACGAGAAAAGGAATTCCAAATAGCTCATACCGCTATCTCGACCGCGGGGGACCGTTTGGAGCTTGGATTCCACTCTATCCCGTCTTCCCCCCCGACACCCAATGGCTTCAAACAACATCTGAGGTTTCTCCACTTGTGAACAGCGTGTGCATCCTCGATTGGAGTTTCTGGCCCCTCGGCGACCGTTTTGGAGCACCGAGCGGACGCCCCGCCCTTGGTGGCATCTTCCGCCTGCCCAAGGCAGCTAGAGTGAGGCTATCCGCACTTGACGCAGAGTAAAGGTGCCCCAAGTGGAGTCCTATCGTCTGCTAAACTCTTTCCAGCATGGCTTGAAGAGGGAGTCGGGGCCATCCGATGTCTGCGAAGTCTGACAGCCAGTCACCGGTGTGGTTGTGTGGAGCTGTTATTGAGATGTGCGACTCTCTGCCGTCCCACTGGCGAAGCCATCATTCTTCAATCCTGGAAGGATCACGATTCACGATTGCATGCTATCGGCTGAACTTCGGATCTCTGCTCGATCTCGCCCAGACTCCTGCTTGGGCTGTGCTGTTCCTATCCAGGATCCACTCGATCGGAAGGATTCCTTAACTCAAACAACCGTGCAGGAGAATGGGATTGCTGCGTATCTTGCGTCTCGAGGTATGAGACGAGAGCTTCATTTACCTAATGAAGACCTTAGTATTACTCGTCGTCATGCATCCGCATAATGAACAATGTAAACTAGCCTATATTAACTGCCGGAGCAATGATGTGGCTGATATATACTTTAATCACGGCTGGGATGTAAGGATAAATATCCGTCCATACTGAGCGAATCCGCCCAAATCCGCCATCAAACCCAGGAACTCCTGCTTTTCCGCATAATTCTCTAGCCACCGCATTATAAGTTCGCATATTGCACTGAATGTACCCCTTCTCTCCGCATTTTAACTGCCTTGGCTTCCCCGCGCTCCCCACCCCTCCTCTGTCAAGAGGTGGGGACAGGGCATTATCCGCGGTATGCCCTTATCCTGAATATACGCAGGCAATCTACTTCCTATCTGGTCCTGTGAGATCGACTGAGGTAGCCGGCACCGGATATGGGAGCTCTCTTAATAAATAGACCTCATCCTACCCGGCTGAAGCTGGGATATTACAAAACAAACTGTTGAACGTTGGCTCGTAGATATCCTTGTCTAGGTCACACATCATGAAGTTCTTCTCTCTTCTTCCCTTAGTTACTCCAGCCTTTTGTTGTCTCGAGAAAAGAGCGTCCGCTGCCGATATAACCGAAGGGCTTCGGCAGGAGTATTACTTCACGGATTACACGAACTACACGTCTTTCCCAGATGAACAAAAAGCCAATGTGACAAAGTATCTGGCTGAGGCACGAGACCTGGCCCAGCAGGATATATGTACGCAACTCACTGCGTTTGACTAGTAGAGGACTGACCGTCACAGATCCATACTTCGCCCGCGACTGCAGCTCCCTACCCGTGTATTCCGAATCGGACAGACTCTCCCAGTCTAATGGGTTCGTACCGGCGACTGAAGTATTTTCTGGCCTTTATTTTGTCGGCCAGGTAGCGTGGTCCTCCTGGGCATATGACACAGGCGACGGGCTCGTCATATTCGACACACTGGCTTCGGCAGAGGAGGCAGAGAACATAATAATCCCCGGAATCGAAAAGTTCGGCTACTCTGGAAAAGATATCAAGTATGTGCTGATCAGCCATGAGCACTTTGACCACTACGGCGGCGCCAAGTATCTCCAGGACAAGTACAATGTCCCTATTATGGCTTCAGCAAAGGCCTGGGAGGCAATGGCCGAGGATGACCTGGGCCCTCGCAAGAACGAGAAAGCTCAGACTGTCAGCGACGGAGATCGTCTGACACTGGGTAACCTGACTCTTACTTTCTACGAGACCCCTGGCCACACGGAGGGCACAATCTCGTGGATCTTCCCAGTCAAAGACCTCCAAAGCGGCGAGAGGTTTGTGGCAGCATTATACGGCGGCATGGGCTTTTCGAAAACGGAAGAAAGCCTCACCCAGCAGGTGGCCTCGTTCGACCGGTTCAGCGGGTTGGCGGGTCAGCACAATGTCGAGGTTCTCATAGGGAACCATCAAGGGAGAGACCGTAGCCTGTATCACCTTGATCTTTTGGCGCATCGCGAGTGCGGCGACAGGGGATGTAATATGGCCAACCCATACGTGATCGGTGCTGATGCTTACAAGCGGTGGTGCAAGGTTCAATCTCTCTGTATCCGGGCCTATGCAGCTAGAACGAATATGTACCTTAGACAGTAGCTTAATCAACAACTAGAAGGATGATGAATTACAAGACAAAAATACGATTGCTAACAAGAAACCTCGAGCCAGTCCACATCCACTTGAAGAAGGACCAGCTCGTTATCCAGCCCCTCGTAGAAGATTCCGAACTTGTCGCTTTCTAGTGCAGTGATTGTTGAATAGGCCGTTGCTCCAGGGCTAAATACCTTGCCAGCAGACCAGGTGTTCCCATCGTCACACGAATACCTCACGGTCCCATTTACCCGCGACTCCTGGTTATTCGCATTCGTGAAGAGGAGTATTCGAGCCAGGTCCGATCCTTGCTCAGCGTTAGGGTGCATCCGCGTAATAGCCCCATTGCACCCCGGGTCCGGCAACTGAGTCTCAGTCCTTAGGTCCGAGTAGGTTATGCCTCCATCGTTGGATAACGCGACCTTGCGATATCCACTACCGTCACCTGGTCGCGAATTCAGCATCACCGTTCCATTCGAGAGCTCAACTACCTTGTTCTCATCCATGCCTGTACCGACAGGTGTGCCCATCTGCCACGTACCGCCGCTGTCGTCGCTGTAGACACTATACGCCTGAGCAGCAGTCGATCCATCCGACTGAATTACACGGCCAACAAACGGTACCACCAGTCGTCCAGCATATTTGCCATATTTGAGCTGGATGCCTTGTCCAGACGTAGCGAATGCCCCCAGCACGCCGCCAACATTGTCAACACCATCGACGGTGGCACCGACAGGCTTTATAGCGGTTGTAATCAACGGCGGAGCCCCATCCTTGTCGGACGCCACCGGTGGCAGGTTAGGCTGATTATCAGGGTCAGTCGACCAACTGAGTCCTCCATCGGTGGACAAGGACACCTCGGCGCTGAGCACATCAACATCCGTGTCATTATTGCCGAGGACACTGTTCGGGAAACCCTGATCCTTCGAGAAGACGTGCAAGTTGAATACTGTCCCCTTGCCGCTATCGACCACGTAGCTTGGATCGCTGAATCCGTACTTCTGGACCCCTCCTGAGCCGGGCTGGCCTTTCGCAATGTAGGTCAGATCTCCCCAGGTCTCGCCATTGTCTGTGCTGCGTCGCTGGAGGATTGAATTCGGTGACGGGGCGTCTGCGCCGTCTGGGCGCCCGTCGAAAGAGGCCAGCACAGTACCATCGCCGAGGCTGGTTAAAGCTGTGATGCGATAGTACTTGAATGGGCCGTCACCATTGCGGGCCAGTGTCTGATTGCTAACTGCTGCATGGGAGAGTGCGAGGATAGACAGGACTGAGAGGACAGTTAGAGCGCGGGCGCTGTACAAGGAGTGTAGCATGTTGACGATGAAAATGTATTCTATTGAGGATGCAAGACTAGCTGGATATATACAATGATTCAGTGCTATGCGAGCATCATCGGCTCGGATAACATGAACATCAAGTGCTGGATCCGATGAGCGAATCGCTTCCCATCGCTTAACCGCACTCCAACCGATCGGAAGAGGGTGAATCACCTTTACATACAGGATAGACGCTGCATACAAAGAAATACCACACGCCCAGATTCAAGCACATCCAGTGATTAGGGTTTCTGCTTGGCGTCGAGGATAAACCCTATCAAACAATCGATGATTCATGGAGTCCTATTGCAGATGGAGTGCCATCGATTTCAACAGCAGACAACGTGTCATTTCTTGTGAACGACACGCGGAATGAACTGCATGCAGCAGGTTCCACCAAGTGATCCATTCATAATGCCGCCATCACGCCAAATCCGGACAAGCAGACGCTATAAAATATAAGGTCCCACTGAAAACCCCTTCTATCGCTATTCCTCCCTGAAATAGTGACAGCACTCTTTTTCCGTTCCTAACAACGAAAGCCGTGCTGCCACCTCTAACCATGTCTGTTACCGTTATCGAAAGGTAAGAGTCCATAATTCGCCGGTAAACACCGACTGCCACTGATACTCTCCTGCAGTTTCAAGCAGTTCCAGGACTTAATTAATTCAGGAAACGTTGTTGTCATCGACTTCTGGGCTTCCTGGTGCGGTCCCTGCCGCATGATCAGCCCCGTCTTCGAGAAAATGGCCTCGGAGTCAGAGTTTGCCAGCATCACCTTTGCCAAGGTCAATATCGACGAGAACGACCAAATCGCCAGTGAATTGGGAATCCGATCCTTGCCAACGTTTGCAACCTTCCAAAACGGAAATAAGCTGGACCAGGTTGTTGGAGCCAGTCCTCAAGAATTGCGGCAACTTCTTCTGAAGGCCGTATGAATACATATTGGACGTATTCTGGTGTTGAGAGCGATAATCGGAGAATAAAACTATAACTTTCACAGTCCCTGGGCAGCAGGCGTGGAGGCCACAAACTATATTTTCATTCCACTTGAACTGTTGATTAACGCCACACCACAAGAACTACTAGGCCAACCGTGCGTGGGCCACAGACCGAAATGCGAGGTTACTTCGTCCCCGGATTTCACGTCGCCATTAGGAGGCATATAGCATATATGCAATAGCTCATGCTCAGTCAGCGTCCCTCATGGGCATGCAGTTCTGCTATTTCCGTAGAGCCCAATTCTTGGGGAGGTATATTGGCAGTTGTTTCCACGGCATCCCGAGCCTCGAGCTCATGCAGTTCCCGTGGTTCGGCTGATAGCTCCGATTTTCCATACAAATAACCAATTCCCTTATCGGCAGTTGTAACGGTGTTTATATTCTGGCGCCGGTGGGCTCTTTTGATCGCGGTAAAGACGGCGATGACAGCTAGGGAAACACCCGCAATAGGCCCAGCGACAGCGCCAGCAATCCATGCTCTGCTATTTGAATGTGGGCTCTCATCGGCAGTGCTACCAGAAGACGAGTCTGTTGGTGCCATTGTCACCGATGGGCTCGTGGCGGGCATAGTAGAGTGTCCAGCGGCAGTCGTCATTGTTCCGAGCCCACCATATTTACTAATAACAGACATGGCCGAAGCTAACACAGTGTAATTCCCCGGGAAAAGAGTTTGACACGCTGTCACCAGCTTCTGGACATTTTCCGCGTCGCTTCTATTGAATGCCAAGCTGAGCCCGCCATTCTCTCGGACACAGTCGGCGCAGGATTCGAAGTTGTCAAGGAAGAGGCCGCCCACGGAAGCCGATTCGTTGCAGAGCCCCTGTGACCCGACCCCTAACGATATGAAGCCTAATAGTGCTGAGTGGTAAGTTCTACTATTTTGGTCGGTTGAGAGTGCGTGTATTAAGCGTGGGCAATAGTGAATACGCACGGCAAAAGCTGTAACAACCTGGGTTGCTACCAGTAGAATTCGAAATTGATGCCTGCGCACCAACGTTGGTGACGAGTATATAGATTCCAATGAAGATAGCTATCCACATTCGCTGAGATGACATGGTAGACAAGAAGCTGCTCGTCTGCTAGATCAATGAAATTCTAAAGGGAGAGAAACGAGAAAAGCGTCCTGTGAATGCGTCGGAGCGGGGATTGAGGAGGAAACCAGCCTCTACACAGCCACAAAACAAAAAAAGAAAAAGAAAAAGAAAAGAGCCCGATACCCCCACAGCCTCGTCTTTTAAGCGGCATAGATTAACATACCACGTCCCTCAGTGGCCTTTAATACACCCCGGACTTGTAGCTACAACAAGACTGGGTAAATGTATGGAGTATCCAGTAACTAGAACTTGTCCCAATTTGCCGGAATCATGCACTTTCAGTATGCAAATAATACCGCCGAATATGCTGTAATACAGCCCGGGCTTGGGACTGCTTTAAGAAGTCAGCCTTGACAAGGCTTAGCTGTTTGCAAGGATTGTGATTCCCTTGTGAGTGGGGCCAGGAGGCGGCTGAGGCTCAGGGTGGTGGCACAATTTGTTTGAGGAGAACATCAGAGAATGCAAAAACAAATAATCTTTTATGACCATGAGCCAGGGCATCCCCTTGGCGGACAAAGATGGTTGCTTTTGAGGGTTTTTGCGGTTCTCAACAGTTCACCCGTTGATAAACACCACTCCATGCTGAGAGATCCAACACACCATCTGCATGTTTGGCAGCGGACAGGGCCTCGCAGGCATCATCGGCAAGGGAAGGATGTCACAGCATAATCCAGAAAAGCGGTCAATCAATCCCGCTCGCTGCGGTGTGAATTAGATATTGGGCACTCTGCAATTAATGAAAAGCGTGATGCTGTTTATGAGCAGCAGAGACTCGGACCCCCAAACTCCCCAACTTCCTGCCCTCGCCAGCAGATTCTCTGTTTGGACTAGCAGACACGCCGTGCCAGCTGACCAGGCAGGAATACGCCGGCCGTTATAGTATTGTCATTGGTGGTAGATAATGCGGGGAAATATTGGAGTTACTGTGGCTATACCAGATATAGTAGCGGTTTCCTATCAAGGCAGATAGGATGCGATGGTTAAAAAGGAACCTACCGCAGAAGCTGTATCCTGACACCTATTCTCTATTCTATTGTATCCTGCTAAGAGCCAACATGGATGGGCCATTGGTTAACGAGACCCCAGGCACTGTCATCATCCGGGACGGTAGGTTTCGCAGGGTTTGATAATGAAGTGATTCTAACTTGGACACAGAAAATGACGAATCTAATGCTATTCTTCCTGAGCCCACTCCAACAGACGACCCAAATGATCCTTTGGTACGTGGTACGTGTCCAAATGCTGTGAAGACGAGACTGACGGGCTTAGAACTGGTCAAAACCCCGCAAGACAGTCAACTTTGCCATTGCCAGTTTCTATACTCTGGCAAGCTTCGTCTTGCTGGATATCGGAACGGTTGTATGGATTCAGATGAATGCTGAAGTCGGTCTCTCCTGGGCGAATCTTAACAATTCATTTGCTCTCAACCTGGCCGGCCTGGCAGTCGGGTGTATATTCTTCATCCCATTCGCGATCAAGTACGGTCGTCGTCCGATTTACATTCTCAGTACAACAGTCCAGTTCGCTACGGCCATTTGGAATGCCAGGGTGAACTCAACTGGAGAGCTGCTCGCCGTTAATGCCGTGAGTGGTCTTGCCGGTGCCGTCAGCGAGGCGCTGGTGCAGATGACTATTGTAGACGTCTTCTTTGTACACCAGCGGGCCTCTGCCAATGCCTTCTATAACATGATGGTAAGTGCCGGCGCATACCTTGCCCCCGTTGCTGCCGGCTACTGTGCCACCGCGCAGGGCTGGAGGTGGATCTGGTGGTGGACAACTATTATGCTGGGCATCAACCTTGTATTGTTTGTTTTCTTCTTCGAGGAAAGCAAATACATCCCAACTTTTATTTCCCAGCCGGGAGAAGCCACAAAAGAGGTAGAAGTAGACGCAGCCTCTCCTAAGAAAGGCAAGGTCCAAGGTGTAGCCCTCTCTCCGAGTGTAGAGTCGGGGGATGGCTTCAGGAAAAAGTCTTACCGCGAGCGAATGGCATTCATAACCAGGACAGACAACTCGCTGATGGAGAACGTGAAACGCCCGATACTCGTCCTTGTGGGCTTTCCTGCTGTTTCCTTCACAGCTCTGGTCTGGGGCACCTTCTTGTCGTGGTTCTCCGTCATCGTCACGACTCAGTCGTCGTACCTTTCCTACGCCCCGTACGAATACAACTCTTCGCAGATCGGCCTGTTCAATTTACCCCCCTTCATCGGCGGTATATTTGGGGCTGCCTTGGGAGGGCCCATCAATGACTGGTATATCCTTTGGCGGGCGAAGCGAAACAACGGGACTTTTGAGCCAGAAACGCGTCTACATCTCTGTATACCGGCGATCTTTGCGACACCGCTGGGAATACTTATTTTCGGCGTCGGAATAGCTAAGGTCAGTCCACTTTCACTGTACTCCGATGTTTCTAACAGATGCAGGGCTGGCCATGGTGGTCCCTCGCTTTAGGGAGCGGTATCTTTGGCTTTGCATTCTTCTGCACCGGGGCCTGTGCTCTTACATACGTCGCCGACTGCTATCAAGAGGTAATGCCCTATACTACTGTAAATGAAGACTACGATAAGCTAACCGGGGTAGATTGTCGGAGACGCCCTGGTTGGCGTTGCATTCGTGCGCAACGCCCTCTCCATGGTTATCGTGTTTGTGCTCACGCCGTGGATCGAGGCCACAGGGCTGTTGAATATGTTCATTGCAGTGGCGTGTATTGCAACGGGGACAATGTTGACAAGTATTCCAATGATCTTATATGGAAAGAGGATGCGTATGTGGACAGCGAGTCGGTATCGCAAGATGGCTCTGTTGCAGCCGGGGGCAAGGAGGATCTGATCGGCATATGTTCACTCTATTTACCGATAGAATATCCGAATTTATGCAACACTGGATCCGTATTAACCAGTAATCTGAATGTGACGTGTGATCGGATGGTCCGAACGTGATATTGGAGCAACCCCGCATACTGCTGAAGATGTCCTGCTGCAGCCACTTCTGATTCGCCTCACAGCCGGCGTGTTTTGAATGTGGCTTTTCCTCCAAATGCCGAGCAGGGATTCCAGGTGTTTGCGTCGTACAGCCTTTTTTGGGCTGCCTTGGGGTTTAAATCGGGCACGAGAGCCACCCCTTGTTGGTAGCGACAACAAAACCAATCCACAATGACTATCTCTAATGCCCCGTCTGAGCCATGGCAGGCAATAGCCGCCAAAAAGAGAGAAGAGGCTGCAAAGAAAATCCCGGCTGAGTGGAAATTGGCGTCTAAGTATACAGAGGGCGTTAGCGAAACATCCACCGCCAGCGTGCTCCATGTGCCTAGAGAGTGTGGCCTTCTATCTGCCAGAGAACTTGAGATCACCGAGAAATATGACGCTGTCGAGCTGCTCAAGGCTATATCTACGGCCAAATTCACTGCCCTGGAAGTTACGGTGGCCTTTTGCAAGCGAGCAGCGATCGCGCAGCAGCTGGTGAGTTTCGATTTACCTAGATATGCGTCGCTAATACTTCTAGGTACAATGTCTAACTGAGACATTCTTCGACGAAGCAATTGCCCGTGCTAAAGAGCTGGACGAGTACTTTGCAAAGACTGGCAAGGTCAAGGGACCCTTCCACGGCCTGCCGATCAGCCTCAAGGTCAGACTCCTGCCAGAATAAACGGGCAAAAGCTGAATGAACAGGACGCGTTCAATGTCAAAGGACACGAAACCACTATCGGGTTTGTCTCGTATTTCGGCAAGTCCACAGCAGCAAGCAACGCACCGTTGGTGGACATTTTGCTCGAGCTCGGTGCCGTTCTCTACGTCAAGACCAACATCCCCCAGACCATGATGGTACGTCTCTAAGTATTTCAATCACAAGTATCTAACAAGTGTAGTCCGCCGACTCGCACAACAATATTTTTGGTCGAGTCCTGAACCCGCATAACCCCAGCCTCGGAGCCGGCGGCAGCAGCGGAGGCGAAGGCGCCTTGATAGCCATGCGAGGCTCCATCCTGGGCGTTGGGACAGACGTCGCCGGGTCAATCCGCATCCCAGCACTCTGCTGCGGAGGGTTCGGCTTCAAACCCACGGTCGGTCGGATTCCAGATAGCGGCCAGGGGTCTGGGGCGCGCAAGGGCAGTCCTGGTGTCGCTGCGTGCGCGGGGCCACTGGCGACTACGTTCCGCGATCTGAAGCTGTTCATGGATACGGTCATGGCGGAGAAGCCTTGGAATAGGGATCCGACTGCATTGGCTGTGCCTTGGAGGCCGTCTCCTACTGTAACGGAGGGTCCATTGACCATCGGGGTCGTCGGAGAGGACCCGGTATATCCATTCCAACCGTCTGTGCTGCGCACACTTAATGCAGCTGTCGAGGCTCTGAAAAGGGACGGCCATACAATCAAGATACTAAAAGATGTTCCATCAATCTCTGATGCAGCAGCACTGGCCTTTAATATGTTCGCGTTGGACCCGAACAGTACCCATTACACGCATATCCATGCAAGCGGTGAACCGGAAGTTCCCTCCTTGAAGGACAGTCTGCCGGATCTTTGGGACAAAAAATATACAGTAGACGATATCTTCGACCTCAACGCTCAGCGCGCTGGCTTTGTTTCTCGATGGAAGCAGATTTGGCGGGATAACGGTCTGGATGCGATCGTCATGCCGGGGCATCGAAAGACCGCCGGTGCTCATGATACTTACGGCCATCCGGCATATACGGTTGTGTGGAATTTAGTCGATGTAGGTTGATATCTATCGTTTCTGATTGTTTGCTGACATTGCCAGTGGCCTGCTTGCGTGATTCCGTATGGAAAGGTTGATCCGGTGTTGGATTCGGTGGATGCAAACTGTAAGTTGGGCTCCATTTGAAGCCGAACGGTATTAACAGTGTCCAGATGATCCCGGCCAGTTTGAAAATGCACCGTGCTCGATTCAGGTGGTTGCACGGCAATTCGAAGATGAGGAGCTGCTCTCAGTAGCCAGTGTGATCGGAGCCAGGTTGGTTTGATAGATAGACTATATAACGGAGTAACTGTCTTCAATCTATATGTATACATCAAATGGGCAGGTTAGAAAGTAGTTCATGACTTGCAGCCCGTCTCCTTTTTATCAGCATTCCAGTTTGCTAATGAACTATGAGTGCCTCGATCTTGGTGATTCTGCATTCCTGGTATCTTCATTGTCTATTTATAAAGATGGAAGCAACATCTCGTCAAATTAAAGTTAATTTACTGTTACATCGTACATATTTACATAAATCAAATAGTGTTACTCCTGGGGTGCATGGCCGCCTTGCTTTTTTGTTTTCTTTCCTTCAGCATCAGGGTCATACATGGCACTGCAGATATTAGCAACAAAATCAACTGCTGCATATACAGAGAGACGTACGCTTTCAATCCGGCGGTCCTTCTGATGGATTCTTTATCCTGGGCGCCCTGGGCCGCCTGGTTTCCCTCCAGGTCATCAATAACAGACTGAGCGTGCTCCCTGGCCGTTTGGGAGATGCTGGGCTTGCGCAGGGCACTATATTGTTAGCTACGTCCCATATTAGAGACTCAGACTCACGCCTTGTAGGGACCCATCTGGTTGAAAGGGTCCTCGGTCATCGCGGTGAGTAGTAATGCGAATATTATATTCTTTGGGTTAATTCAAGTTATCCCAACATGATAGAGACTTATATGGAGGCTTTCGGGCTTCTTATAGCCCCTGATGGCGATGCAGTCATTCTCACGTCAGTCCCCCGCACATCCGCGAAGATGGTTCCATGGTACAGCAGCATACAATTAATTGTCCGGTCTTGTTATGCTCTCTATAATTATTGACCCCTTGTTCAATTAATCGAAAGTCCGTGCAGGAATCCAGAACAGGGATGGATTGGCATGCATATCTGTGACCCAAGAATGCAACATCGCCCCGCAATCAACACCTGCTCGTATAAAGTAAACATCCCCGCCGAAATATTGCAGACGGGGTCTCGCCATGTTATCCATCGTTCTCCTGGGAATAGCTGCGGTGGCATCAGCCCTGCAGCCTCTTCCTCCAGTAGACTGGGTTCCATCTGACAGTAATGGCTTCCATATTGCGTCTGTCGACCACACAATCTACATTTACAATGACTTTGCACAGCATCGCGACGAAAATGGGTTGACGTTGATCCCGCCCTCTGCCATCGAATTTGCCGATACATTCAGCCAGGACCTGGAAGAGGTGACTGGACATCCATGGACTGTGCGCGCCGTCGACGCCTTCCCAGAACACGGATCGGGCATCTTCCTTGGCAGCTCTGACGGTGCATTCACTTATGAGAATGGCGAGCCGACCGAGGAAGGATACGAGCTCGAAATTAAATCGAATCGAGTGTTTGTGCGTGGGACTGGAGCTCGAGGAATGTGGTGGGGAACTCGCACTCTACTGCAGCTGTTGATAATCAATGACGGCCACATATCTGCCGGCCGAACTGTCGATGCGCCCTCATTTGCGACAAGAGGTTTCCTCCTCGATGCCGGACGAAAGTGGTACTCTCCCTCATTCCTAAAAGACCTCTGTACATATGCCTCGTTCTTCAAGATGTCGGAGTTCCATTACCACACCAGCGACAACTACCCCCTGAACCGCGGGCACAACGAGACCTGGCAAGATGTCTACGCCCAGTTCTCTCTTCATCCTGAGAATCCTGACCTGCAGGAGCTCGTCCAAAGAGCGAACGAGACCCTCTCGCGCGCCGAGTATGAGGATCTCGAGCATCACTGCGCGCAACGGGGCGTGACAGTCATCCCGGAAATCGAATCCCCCGGCCACTGTCTCTTCCTGACAAAGTGGAAGCCTGAATTGGCCTTAGATACGAAGAAGGATCTACTGAACCTGTCGCATCCAGATACAGTACCCCTCGTCAAGTCCATCTGGGCGGAATTCCTCCCCTGGTTCCATACCAAAGAGGTCAACATCGGCGCCGACGAGTACGACCCAACTCTAGCAGACGACTATATCGACTTCGTGAACGAACTGGCCGAGTTCGTGAAACAGGAATCTGGAAAACGCGTGCGCATCTGGGGCACATACGAGCCCTCCGAAACTCGCACCATCTCTAAAGACATCATCATCCAGCACTGGCAGTACGGCCAGTCCGACCCGGTGCAGTTAGCCAACGACGGATACGAACTCATCAACTCCGAGGACTGGTGGGCGTACATGTCGCTAAAGAACGACCACATGCCTATCCTTCCAGCGCCGTACCCTGCTTTCTTCAACAACTCGCGCGTGCTCGATTTCGCTGACCGAGAAGGCTGGCAGTGGTCGCCGGCCCTGTTCAATCCGTATAACATCACCGAGCAACCGGACCAGAAACCTGTCAAGGGCGCTCTTCTCGCTGCTTGGAATGATAATGGGCCTGATGCGACTACTCAGCTTGAAGCCTTCTATGCCATCCGCAATGGCATCCCGACAGTTGCTTCGCGGTCGTGGTCTGGAAACCGCGGGCCAAAGCTCGACCTGTCCAGCCTTGATTCTTCCATGGATCTGCTCACATCGAAGGCCGTTGCACAGAACCTTGACCGGAACTTGAATGTTAAGCCCAGCGAATCGAAGGCCCACGTCCAATGGAGATCAGCCGAGGCTGGTGAAGAAGGCAAGGTGCATCTTGGATACGGCAGCAAGGGGATGAACTACACCCTGGAACTAGACGTGACCGGACCATTCGTTCTCTCTTCGAACGATTCATCACTAGCCCTGTCTTCCGATGGCGCATTGACATTTATTTCTGACGGCTGGGACTATCCGCTTCGTTCTGTTGACGAGACAGATGGCTTTGACGCAGGCTTTCCTGGTCGGATCTGGACGAACGAGACATCGTCTACGCATGAGCCTGTGACCGTACCGCTAAACAGCCATATTACGGTCCGCACTGATGTGATCGGGGGTAGTCGGGTCTGGGTAGACGGGGACTTTGCCGGACGCTTCGAGGTTTTTGTCTTCGGTGGTAAAAACACCTTATTTTCATGGAGCCAGATGGCGTTTGTTGCGCCTCTGGAATGGGTTGAGGGGGGTATAAATCAGCTACAAATTAGTGGATATAATGGACAGCATTAACAGGTCTGGAATATATATGTATTTTACAAACTGAATATACCGCTCCTCGCCTTTTTCCGCATTGGATATACAAGCAGCACGCTGATAGACAACCCAACCGTAATAGCGATCCCAATCTGAGCCATCGTATAACCGGCATTCAGGTCTGAAAAGATCGTTTCACGGGGGGCATCCGTACTGCCTTTCTTATTGAGCGCGTCCGCATTTATCAGTCCACTGATGAGACTCCCCGACGCAGCCAGACTGCCAGGCACCTGCAGGTAAATTGCCGGGTGCATCAGAGCAACCGCCATTCCATGCTCAATTCGCGCATAAAGGTTCGCAAGAACGCCCACAGTCAACGCGCCTAACGCCTGTGAAAGCGTAGGCACGGCCGCGAAACGCTCATTCGAGAAGTGGTTGACGCACCATCCAGCCAGGGCGATACCAAGCATAGGTGGCATCTGCTTCCAATTCCCTTTATTGACGATGACGTAGCAGAAGGTAAACGGTAGCACGAAGGCGATGGGCCACCAGACGGGGTAGTTGGTTCGGCACTGGGTCTCGGAAGTGGCATTGGGGTGGATTGCGCCGTAGATGGTGATCCCGATTGTGAAGCCAAAGGAGAGAAACAGCGTATATACAATTGCATACACCATGCGCACAGCGCCGGATACCATGTTCTTGGACTGGAGTTCCAGCGCACTGCTGGTTATTGCGAAGCCAGGCAGAATCAACACGATGGATGCTTGGGAAATGGCCGAAAAGCAGAAACTCTGGTCTTCGCCCCAGTGGATCGAACCGAAAGCGCGACCGATGAAAGATGCCAGAATTGCAGCGCATGTTTCAAAGACGTAGCCATACAGCTCTGACCTAGGAGCCAGCACCAGTTCCGACAGGCCTATCAAGCTCCCCAAGACGAAAATGATGGGCAGATCAACCGGCTGCGCATTATAAGACACAGGGCCGATGCACATCGAAGCTAACCCGTAAACCAACACTCGAAACCAGAGGGGAAAATACTCTGGCTGGTCAGTGATCTCATCAATCTGCATTATGCCATCTTCAACAGTCGTCTTCTTGTGGATGACATTCTTATACACCGTGTGCAGATCATGCAGCTTAGCGAGATTCAGCGCCTGCGTGCAACGAACGATCTGAAGATCTATAGATTCCTGTGCCTTGTTGTCGAAGGACATGATCATGCAGCCCGGCATGTAGAACGACTGAATATGCAGGCCAAGGGCTTCGCCAGTGTGATGGACATACTGTTCCAGCCGGTGTGTTGGAGCTCCAAACAGAATGAGGGCTCGGCAGACTTTTAACACGTATTTCCTGCAGATGTCGGCTCTTGCAGATTCAATAGAATGGCCGGTGCAGTTCTCAAGGTCAGTCTGGGACGGTGTCTGGCCATTTGTCGCGCCCTGTTGCTGCTCATGGCTCTTTTCCGCAGAATCGGTTCCCCTGCTGGAGGACGAAGTGGCAGTTGGTGATTCTGGACCGGGTGAAGCTGCAGCATTCTGATTCTGACGCTGCTCGTCAGGCACTTGAGGGTCAACTCCAGGATTTGCCATGTCTCCTGGACGAAGTCAAAGATCCCGTAGCAAGTTGATGATGTGGATAGCACAACGATTAGTCATCTGGCGATGATCGAACAGGGACAGCGACATGTGGAACTCGTTTATACAACAAAACATAGTTGAATTGAATAGAATTATTGACCATTAATATTAGTATCTATAATGGTCCTCACATAATTTTTTGACGAGTATTCTATCAATTCCCGCTTGTATACACCGGACTGTATAGGATTCATTTTGCCTCCCGGATGACATCACCAAAGTAGACGCAACCGGTAGAAACGCTTCCTACTTTTATCCTCCCTCTGGGCTTAATGAATAAGTAGTCTTTGCATGGTCTCTATAGCTGTATATCTCTCTGTCCGCTTGCACTCCGCCACGTCCATTTTCCTCCCAGAATACAACTAAATAGTGCCGCAATATGGGTCCTAGTAAATCATTTCAGTCCATTCTGGACAAACATCGCCCAGATATGAAGACATATGAGTCCATCTACCGCGACTTCCACCAAAATCCAGAACTGTCAACCCTCGAAAACGAGACCTCTGCAAAAATCGTCAAACACCTAAAGTCCATATCCCAGGACCTCGACATCCGCACAGGCATCGGGGGCAACGGTCTCATTGCCATTTACAAGAACGGGTCAGGCCCAACTATCTTACTCCGATCCGACATGGACGGTTTGCCAATTGAGGAAGAAACCGGGCTAGAATACGCATCGAAGAAACGAATGACTGACGCCACCGATAACGTCGAGAAACCCGTCATGCATGCCTGCGGACACGATGCACATATGACGTGCAACATCGGAGCCGCTGAGACGCTCCTCAAGGCCAAAGATGAGTGGTCTGGGACAATCATCTTCCTGTTCCAGCCCGCCGAGGAAATCGCGCGCGGTGCACAGGCTATGGTCGAGGATGGCCTGTTCGGCTCCAAGCACAACTGTCCCATACCAGATGTACTCCTCGGGCAGCATGTCTTCCCTCTGCCCCCAGGCAAGGTCGTTACCAAGGCTGGCACCGTCATGTCTGCGGCCGATAGCTTCAGAATCACCATCTACGGAAAAGGAGGGCACGGGAGTATGCCTGACCTGTGTGTCGATCCCGTGGTTGTGGGTTCTTCAATCGTTATGAAGCTTCAAACGATCGTCAGCAGAGAGATGCCTCCAAGCGAGTCTGCAGTCGTCACTGTTGCTAGTTTCCATTCCGGTGCGACAGCTAATGTTATAAGTAACCAGGCCGTGCTGCAACTGAATGTCCGGACAGTCAGCGAGCACTCTAGGAAGGTTGCTGTAGACGCAGTATATCGGATCGTCAAGGGTGAATGCCAGATGGCAAGGTGCCCGAAGGAGCCGCTCTTTGAGCGTCTAAGCCAGTATCCTCTAAGCATTAATGATGCTGGATTATCCGAAAAGGTGCAAGAATCGTTTACGAATCATTTCGGAGATCAGCATCAGGTACTAGAAGCTCCCTTCGCGGGCAGCGAGGACTTTTCAAACCTGGCCACCGCTATAAACAAACCGTCTTTCTTCTGGGGCTGGAGTGCAACGCATCCTGACACCTGGAAGAAGTATGAGGATGGCACCCTGGATCAGCTTCCAAGTAACCACTCGTCCTCTTTTACTACAGGCATTCCTGGGGCCCTGGTCACTGGTATCGATGCGATGGTTGTGGCAGCATTGACCTTCGTTGGAAAGTCCCCGTGACGGTATAAACTACATGTCTGTACAGTGATAATACTGTAGTTATAAAGTAACCAAAGGAATGAAACTGGCATTCTTGTTGACTCTGGGACGTTGATATGCCTCCAATCTGCCATATTGAGAACCCTCCATATAATGGATTTTCGTTGGATGTCCCCATTATTATCACAAAGTACTCCGTATACCGCACTTTAAATGGAAATACTGATCGGACTGGGTTCTGCATTGTTTTGGTGTGGAATAAAATAGACACAGTGCCAGGACCACTTGTCCCACTTTCCGGACGATCACACGTCAGCACGAACCAGAATGTTTATTCCACCCCCCAATGCTCGGATGACGGCCTATCAGGCTGTCTTGCTGCCTTTTCTCGAGTCTGCCTGCACAAACTCAGCCGTCCACTTTCAACTCTCGAAGACTAGGCCACCACGGACAACCACCACCTCATGCCGGCAACCAATATCCACAGGCTGCGAAGGTTCCTATTATTCCCCCAGTTGCCGGTGGAACTCCAGGACCACATATGGGATATCGCCGCACAGCCCTTCGGCAGCCATGGACAGCTGCATACATTTTTCGCCGCGGATCATTATTGCAAACAAGAGACTGAGGCCTTGCGAGTCGGCAGTGATCCCCTTCGGTTTGGTCCTAGGGGAACTGTGAAGGAGAGGTCGTTTAACCTGCTTGTGCCATGGGACGACGAAGACGGCCATGTCAACACATCTGCATACAACGCAATCTGCGGGCTGTGGACAGCCTGTCGGGCATCGCGCAAAGCTCTTGAGCGACGCCACCCAAGAAACGAGTGGTGGTCAGATATTCCAGGGCCCGAGTCAAATTGTCCTACCCGTAATGCTGGGCCAGGAGGGTATCTCAACGATCCAGACGCCTCTCACACCGCTTCGTATATCGATCGAGAGGAAAGAGCCCAGCACATCACGATATGGCCTGAGAGAGATATCGTGCATATCGCTATCCCACGGGGACGCGACCTCGCCGATTGGTTCTACCACTACGCCGGTGACCACGTCCCCCTGCTTGATAAGAGATCCGATGCAGGAGATTCAGAAGCCCACCCGAGCTTCGTGGGCATGAACGTTGCGATTGACTATAATCCCAGGTGGTTCTCTTGGCCTCCTGCGTATCTTGCTGATACCCTTGAAGTATTCCACGATAATACTTTGCGAAAGGTGTGGTTCATCGACCGCCGACTGCGCCAACGCCAACCTGTTCGCGACTGGCCGGGTGATTTGCAGACGTTTTACTCTTGTGGCTACGTCTTCACTGAGGTCCGTGAGAATCAACAGAATCTGTGGGTGATGCAGGGCGGCTCTCTCGGTGCGTCTGTCTTTGACTTCTTTAGTCTCCTGGCACGAGAACACGGCCGTGTGGTGATAGAGGGGTCTACACGAGTCGGGGTATTGGCGTGCGAGCCAGATCCCAAGTGGTAGGCAGGATAGGATCATCAAAATTGCATATATAGAAATAATAGAACTAAATAGGTATCTCAAAAACTATTCATAACTTCATTACCAGTCTGAGTTGCTATCCAATTATAGACGATACCGCCTGGACGATATTCGACGCAGCTTCTGCGTAGCTCGGAAGACCAGAGTCATCTTGATAATCCGCGCCCTCCACTCGTTCTGGCGATGCTCCTGGAAGAACGACCAGGTCTGTTTCACCGGATATCTCCCGCAAAGTATCTCCACACAGCACCTCGGCAGCCACACGCATGACATACGTGCGCTTGATATTGTACGTCTCGAACGTTGGAGCCGTGTCCTCGAGTGCAGGACTGAAAATTTCCTTTTTATTTCCTTTCTCTGGCGATAACGCGACATTCAAATCGGTAGTTGCCCCGTTGAATAGCACAGCAGACTCGCTCTGTGTTTCATCCGATCCGGTATGCGCTGTACCCCAGACCTTGGTTTTCCTCTTCACCGAGATTCTGAACCCTTTCAGGATAAAGGAAATGTTCTCCAGGCCTGATGCAGCCTCTGACGAACGTATAATCGATAGCGAGCAGGGGATCTCTTCCCGAGGGTGGATTTTAGCGGGCACGGTGAGTTGAAGCTGAAAGTCGACAGACGCTCCCTGAGACAAGCGCAAAAGAGACTTGGCCCTGCTTCCAGGGCTCTTTTTACTCGGAAGTCGTGTGGTCAGTCTGACTGCGTCACCTTTTGTAGGAATCTGATTCTCAGGATCATGTCGCGGCCGGTAAGTGATAGGCACGATTTTCTCAGAGATGCGCCGCTGCGACGGGCCAAACTGGGACTGTGTCCAGACCGATGTTCTAATCGTGTACTCCGCAGACGCTTCAAACTTTTCGTTCCTGTGCTTGAATGTCGGGGGAAGAAGATGGTTCGATCGGATTGTCGTAAGCTGCTTCGTCCAGTGGGTCATATTTACAACGCTTGGGTCCACTGGCGAAGCTCGTGAGGGGAACGGAAAGGCGAACGGCAAGACGATCTGAGAGCCATAGACCTCGCCTACTCGCGTGCAGAACAGATCTGCCTCGCCGCATGCATCACCGGAGTTGCAGACGACTGCGGTCTTGGTGCGGCCTGCGACTTCAACCACGACATACAGCGGGCTTGTTAAATCGGTGCGCTCGAAGCTGACCTGGCCGCTTACGGTTTCTCCTTGCGAATAGGTTGCGCTGGGATTGTCCAGGTTCACGACGAGCATGGTGGGGTGATTTGACTGTTGTGTGTAGGTGCAAGTTGTCCGGAAAGTAGGGACAGCCCGCTATATATCTTCGCCTACACAGCCTCACCCCGCGCACAGACTCATTCCTCTTTGGGCGATGCTTGACTTCAGCCTCATGGCTTGGAGTCAGCCTCCAGGCACTGACTCAATCTATGTCTTGGTCTGCAAGAACACCCAATAGATATCCTTCCACCGGAAAATATCGTTGGTTCTTCACTGTATGTATTATAAACACATTCCAGCCGTCTAATTGGCTGTCTATCGGGAATATCACGTGCATTCTGTGTTAGTCATCAGCCTTCACCAGCACTGATCCACACTCACTCAACACCTCAACATCACCATCAATCACGACAAGACATCCAATGACTCCCTCACAGCCATGACTAACGAGTCAGCTGGCTCTGATATACCATGCCAAATTCCATACCGACGCTCAAAGGACGGCTGTCAGGCTTGTCGGCGCCGCAAGAAGAAGTGCGATGAAGTCCATCCAATCTGCGGGGGCTGCACCAGGAACAGTCTATCTTGCCACTGGTCGGACGACGATGCAAACCAGCCCATCACACGCCGCAGGAGACGTCTTTGCCAAAGCGAACTGTGGCCCCGTTCGTTGGATATCCCACGAGAGCTCGGCGGAATGGTTACTGTCTTTGCCGTTCCCAGTCGCCCAATACTCCGCCGTCTCCTAACTCACTTCACAGAGGGAAGTGCGTTGTGGATGTCGATTAGTCCTCACCGTCACAAGAGGTTCCTACACCACGTGGTTTCCACTGCTGTGGGGAGCTCTTTGACGATGAGCTGTGTTCTTGCCGTCTCGGCTGCCGATCTGCTCAAGTACGAGACACAGGAGCCAGAACTGAGAATGATATCCCTTGATCTATATGGTAAAGCGGTCTCTGAGGTCAGATCTAACATTAATCATGAATTGGCCTGCGAGAAAGACCGGCCTCTATCGGGTATGCAGTACAAGCTTCGACCATCACATTCTTTGGCAGCAGTTTTCTAACTGGAGGCAGATGATATTGTGCTTGCCGTACTACTATTATGCGTACACGAGGTGCGACCTACACTCATTATGAGAGAACAGAACTAACCGCCTACATTAGACCCATAACTTTTCGGATACCAGTCGATTGCTACCTCATCTCAACGCTGCGGCTTTCCTTTTGCAGCAGCGACTATCCTCAACCCCGTCCAATGTCCAACTGCGAACGTTTCTCTTCGAGCTCTTCTCGTACTTCTTCGCGTTGACTGCCTTTTCACATGGACCGAGCCTCGCACTCACTCCAGCCGGCGAGGTATTCGACCTGATTTCAGCCAGTTCCAACCATCTACTTGACCAGGGAATGCTTTTAGGGCCATCTCAGGCGCTGATCACCACCATATTTCAGGTCACTCGGTTTGTAGTGCGCGCGCACTCCATGATGTACGGGCTGTTCCGTTCGGAGCTCGCAATTATAGAGCACCAACTACGGAACCCTCGCAACTTGACCGACCGTGCTACGGGTGAATCAGACGATCAGCCTCATCAATCGGAAGGAAGAATTGTCTATTCTCAAGAAGACACGACACTGTTTGAGCTTTACCGACTCTCGTGCCTGGTATACGTCAAGCAAATTCTTGATCCCGATGTCCACCCTAGCGACCATGAGCTTCAGCATCTGGTGAATTCATTTGTCGATGAACTCAGTACCCTTGAGGGTGACTCACCCTTAAATGGGATCTTAACGTGGCCGCTGCTGGTTATTGGTCTTTGCGCAGTGACTCGCGCCCAACAGTGCCTCATCATGGCGCGGCTGCGCCAAACATACAAGATCTGGAGAACGGACATTTTCACTACCACGATGGATTTCCTCCGCCAGCGATGGAGTCTCTTTGCCACTGAAATAGAGTCACAGCAACACAAGGATACTCACCAAGCAATGTTTCAATATGATTGCCGTGGGCCTTCGGGATCACATTACACCTTCGAAAACCTTCCCCTGCAGGTCGTCCTTGTTTAGCACGCACCTATATTGCCTATCTCAGAGCGAAGTCTAGCTGCTTTTACATTATCTGTTGATCGTGTACTGCAGCGAGTGAACAAACCAATTTGTCAGGAAACCGCGTGCAGATCGGGGCTAACCTCTTTGGGCGCTGTAGTAGCCGCGCTGCTCCACCGTTCCAGCAACAGCTTTATACAACGGGAATATAAAAACTCGACTTACCCATATTACAGCCCTGTGAGGAGCTTTATTTAAAATTGACCGATCCCTATTTGCAGCCCTTGCAGCCCACGCCAAGGTACAATGCTGTCCAACATCGACGAGCGCGAGAACCTGGCTCACATGGAGCGCGGCGAGCTCTATTACGCGTTTACACCAGAACTTGTTGCTGCGAGGAAACGATGCAGCCGTGCTGTTAATCGACTGAACAGTGCTGGTGAACTGAGCAGGCGAGAAATCGCCCAGTTCTGGAAAGAGTACGATACCCTGCAATCCCTCGGTCTCCTCTTCCTCGCCTAACTAACGGCCACTCTCAGAATCACCAATGACCCTCGAGACCTCCCACCACCGGCTGCCACAGAAGACGAAGAGGACACAGTATTGCATGAATATCCCTGGATCGAACGACCGATCAACATTGACTACGGCACGAACGTCAAAGTCGGAAGCAATGTCTTTATCAACTTCAACTGCACAATCCTGGATACATGCACAGTATCCATAGGATCACGGACGCTTATTGGTCCCAACGTTTCTTTCTTCAGCGGGACACACCCAGTTGATCCGGACGTCCGCAATGGAACATACGGACCGGAGATGGGTGGCTGTGTTACCATCGGCCAGGACTGCTGGATCGCCGGCAATGTCATCATCCTGCCTGGAGTTACGGTCGGCGATGGCTGTACCATTGGGGCGGGGAGTGTTGTGACAAAGGTAAGAAGGATCCAGATCTGGACCATGGGAGGCCTGGCTAATATAAGGGCCATAACTAGGACGTCGCGCCTTGCCACGTTGCTGCTGGAAACCCCGCCAGAATCTTGCGCAAGATTGAACGATCTGGCAGTAAAATCAGCAGGACGGATGGTTCTCTTCAGGGGTCGGTATAGCGGATTAGAGACGGCTGAGCGCCTTAAATAAATAAATAATAGACTTGTTTAGCCAATGTTCACCCATGCTTTCTCAGCCCCAGCGCTATTCCAGATATCTCGATATGCTGGCTCGGGAATGTCATATTCTTTTAATTAGCAATGGCCATTTTTCTTTTGCTATTATTGCAGCTCTTGATCTAATTTGGAATCCTATACTGTATATGTTGTGTCTAATTCGGCTTCTGGCCTATAACTGTCCCGAACCGCACGTCTATCACCTTCCCAGCAGCAAAATATTCCTCAAGATCTAGTTTTATCACCGCAGCCTTTCTGTTCGCTTCATCTTCGTCGGCTGCCTCGCCTATTCTGAGCAAAACAACGTGCATCATAGCAGAAAAGAACTTCCTCTCCCACTCTTGCGCACGTTCCGTCAAGTCCGTCCGTCCGCGAATAGTGGACGATCGGTTAACAACATTCACGAGTCCAGCACTGGTGTAGGCATTATACAGCGCGTCCGGGGCGCATTTGCTGATTTTCGTTACCTCCGTGAACTTCATCCAGGGTAACGCAGATGCTGGGCCTTTCGGGTGGTCGACGCTCCCTGCCTCTACATGGGCGAAGTCGACTTCACTCCACTGCAGGTAGCCACCAGGTTCTGTATAGGCTCTAATTAGCGGGGTCTCATACTCAGCTCCAGAGAGGTTGTCACCGACTTAGAATGGTAAGTAGGTTTTCCACTGCCTTTTTAAACTCTGACTCCGGAAATGCAGTGACCAGTAGCCTAACATGGACCAGGTCGTAGCGGTTAAGATGCTCCGCTGGGAAGGGTTGGAAGATGTCGTGCTCGGAGAACGATATCCCAGCGGGAGCTGGTGGGAACTGGGCAGCAGAAATGTCGAAGCCGTGGAATTGACGCTCAGATTCGCCTGCGCCTTCATTCAGCTGCTTTTGCGCATCCCAAAGCCAAACCCTGCACCTGTTAACACCAGAATTTCTCAGTCAGCAAGGGTGATTGCTCACCCAGTCCCAGTAGCGACGTCGGCGACCGTGGAAATATTGTCCAATGGCACATCCTTGTCTATGGCGCCGCCGACAATGTCTAGCAGGAGTTTGTGTTGTTCATTCAACCTGGAATAGTTAATACACGCGAAAGCACTGGAGTATAAGAAGTTAAGAACTAACCGGCGTGACTCAATCTCGTCACGGCCGAGAGGATACATCTCTTGTGCTTTAGTCATGGTTGGTAAATGGCGTGAGGAGAATTACGATGTCCGGAGTGAACCAGCGCGGTGTGGTTGAAGCTTATATAGGCAAGGCATTAGGCTTCCAGCGCCGTGCTATTCGTGACGAATAAGCGCTAACAACGTTCAGCCCGGCTATTCGGCTTGATTTGGATCACTACGCTGAAGTTTGGCTTACGGGGCGCCTGACCAAGAGTGACCCACTGCGCCCCGGGTTGCGGTGGATTCCCACTGGCACGTCGGTGAACTTGTGCTCTGAAAGTTTGGAACCGGGTGGGAATGGCCGATAACACCGCAGTGGGATAAATTCCAAGGAAAGGGACCGAATGGATTGCCTTCTATGGACTGGAATGGCGTTCTTAATTTAACCCGCCGTCGTCGTCAAAGATATCAAAGGCGAAGGCATCATCTCCAGGAGCAGCGATATGTTCATCCTCTGGGTGAAACAAATCCCATCCTCTTGTTGCGATGTCCAGACTGTTGGCGATGCTTGACCATGTGCTCGCGGGGTGATCAGCAACTATTGACCTGCGGAGAAGGTCAACCAAACGGCGAATATATTCGGTAGTTTCGCCAAAGTCGAGTCCCGTAGTGGACTGTTCCTGACATGACGCCTTCAAAAGACAAACAGATGCAAATGCCGTCATCGTTCCGAAGTATAAAGGGAGCTTGTGTAGCCACACTTCAGTGCTTGCATGTCCATTTACAATACACTGAATGATACCTAGGGCACTGCCCAGGGCAGACGACGCAAAGGTATCGATGCCCTCCTTAGGCAACGAGTATATCTCTGCCGCTGGACCCCGAAACACATGCGAGAAGAGGAACAATTTTGCTGAATGGTAGTACATGCATTCCAGCCTGTTTGATAATGATGTCGCCGACTCGCTGATTGACAGTAAATCCGACCATTCGGCAAACCACTGGTCGTATTCTGCGCCAAAACTTTCCAGCTCTGTCGACTTTTCGCTCGCCATCGGGTTCTCAATATCCGCACCGAAGTTATCAAACACTCGGCCGCTGATAGACCAAAGCTCGACTTGAGCAATCAAACCCAAGTCGCATGATGTTGAAAACGGACTCTGTAAGAAATCTCGCGGCGCTTTCAAGGAATGGAAGTCGCGAGTGAGTGGAGGCCGTCCATGGCTCAGCGAGTAGTGTCGGTCACACAGGTAGACCAAAAAGTAGAGTCGTGTGCGGTCATAACAGGCTCTCTTCGTATGGGGCATTTTGGTGATACATCGGTGTAGGTCAAGCTCTGTGGATATACGAACAGCTTGAATTTGTCAGAAAATGTGCAGTAGTATCCTGGAACAGCCTCACCTAGTCCACTCAGTGCAGAGGTGATTTCGCTCAGCCAGAACGCTCCAATGCACAATGCTCGTACATCGTCAAATTTATGGTTCGTCGCGAACATCTTCCGTGAGACTTCCGTCTTCAACGCGTTGAGGCATGACGGGTAAATGTTGGAGCCCGCGCAGAAAGCAGACACAGTACAGATTGCTGATATTAGAAGTGAGGATCTGGAGCGTACTCGGGCCAATGTATCATCAGGCTCGAGGATGTAGTGGACGCAGTTATCAAGGTGCTCATGGTAGAATCTAAACAGAGCCTCGGCTGTCTGGTGGGAGATCACGCCGCACGAGATCAGATCTGGTCGTCGTTGCCCTTGAAATACTACCTGCTGGCCACTGAAGGTGAGATCTATCATGGATGATGCGGGAAATGCTCCAAGACTACAAGATAGATTCAAAGTAATCGTGTTTGGCATGCCGGTTGATGCGCGGCTCGCAGGCGTCTTTCTGGGCCTGTTTCTCTCTCCTGACGTCCCACCCTCAGGCGAAGCGGTCAAATTCTCGGTTGAAATTGCGGCTGATTCCAAGTTTTCCAGTCGACGTTCGATGTTTTCCTTCCATCTATCAATTTGTTAGGATGACATCCACATTATAGAGTCAGTGTTCATACGATGCGTCACTTTCAAGCAGCATTTGCAGGCTCTTGTTGACGGTACAGGAGAGACCACGAGATTGACACCGTGTGCAAGGTGGATTTCCATCGCTCATATTACATTTGATCTATATATATCAGTGTCTCGTTTTATACAGTTGTTGTTGTGTCTGACCTTGAGTTTGCGACAGGCGACGCATGCCGTGATCTTACGCGTAATGTCAGGAGGCTTTCGGTCCCCAAAAGACTCGCGCAAGGCTCTTACGGCAGAAAATGAGGATGATGACATGATATATTCGGAGAGATGGAGTGGGATGGAATGCAAGAAGAGAAACCTCAACAGGAACAGAAGGGTGGAGGCCGTTGTCTTTCTGCCTTACAGCCTTACAGCCTCGCTTCGTTTATTAACCGTATATGGCTAGCGCTCTGCTGTGATCTTCGCACTCTTCGGCCATCAAGGCAAAAGTGCTTGTCCCTTCATTCACTACTCTTCGAATCCATCATGCTCTGATGGGACCTGCACTATAGCTCTGCCGCTTAATGTTATTTATACACCCACCTTCCGTCGCACAGTCCCCATGAACGACCCAAGTTCCCCTGGCGACGGCGAACCGGAGAATGACGTCAGCGCCGCCCGGATATCGCAGTCTGTGTGCTTGATCCAGGTACGACTTCCTCCAGACCCAGGAACGATAAGCTAACGATCCCAGCGTGTCTATCGCGGTTATCGGACGCGACGCGAACTACGAGGCAGGTACTTGCGCTCTACTAATCGGTGGATCGATGTACGTCAATGTCCAACTATGTGATCGCTAGAAACTGACTACTATAGACGTTGAGGGAGGTACAAGCACAGCAACGCCAGAGCTGTCCCACACTGCCTGCCAGCTCTCCAGTTGTGCAGGCCCATCGGAACTGGAGTCATGCTGTCCGCGTCACAAAGCTAGCACGTGGCGATAGTAATGGCCGGCAAGCTTCTCCAAGGGGTATCAAACCGAACCCGGCCACGATAAGCAAGGCAATGGACTTGCAGTACTTCCTCGAGATGATGGACCTTAAGCACCGCCACGGCAGCAATCTGCGCAAGTATCATGAACACTGGAAATCGACTGATTCTCACCAAAACTTCTTCTACTGGCTTGATAACGGCGCCGGCAAGGAGGTCGAACTGCCTGCTTGCCCTCGCGAAAAGCTTGAACGAGAACAAATACGCTATCTTTCGCGAGAGGAAAGGCTGAACTATGAAGTTAAAGTCGATAATACGGGAAGACTTCGCTGGGCCAAAAACGACGAGCTGGTGTGGACTAGCAATGCGCGGTACGAGGACAGCACAGACGGGATTTTACCCCTTAGTAGTCCAAGGCCGAAGGGGAAGCCCAGTTCTGGCCGGTCGCATTCAATATCGAGTTCGGATTTAGATGGCGAGACCGTAGATATGGATTTGAAGTGGGAATCTCATGTTAACGCGCCGGTCAGTCGCACGCGCAGCATCATCAAACGCATCAAGGACAAACTACTGGACAAGGATGACTGGTGGATATTTGTATGACCCCTGCCCATCAGGCTCCAAGTGAGAGTGACTGACTCGCTAGGTCGCTGACCCCTCATATCGTCTGTATATTGGAATTAAAAAACGAGGGTCGTTTCAGCACTCCTCGTTCCTGCGCGGAGGTCGCATTGCAGCCGCAGGCATGATCAAGGTCCGAAACGGCAAGTTGCGCGATCTTGCTCCATTAAGGTATGTTCCTTCTCCAACCCCAAAGACGACGCCAACAATAATAGTGGTCACTATCGCCCGCGGTCGGCCAACTTCCACGCGTTCGTTCATGCACTGCAGGGCCAGGGGGCAGATCTCTCGCATGTGTCCGTCACCAAACTGTATGCCACTCTTGCCGGCATGGAAGGCTATGTCGGCACCAAGCGGAGCATAATTCGGGCTGGTGAGAAGATGGAACGCAAGGTAGCCAGCGCGGGGCAAGAGAAAGGGCCGTTAGAAATTGATTTGTAAGGCAAGATGGTGGGTGAAGACGTGATTTCTGTATCTCTGGCATCATCCAGTGATGCCACCACCGTCGCCGTTACGCCGATCGCACCATCGGCGATAGGACTGTTGGAGACGACTACAAGAGGGATGTCCTGCCCCTCGCAGGGAATATTTTCTCTGCTTACCTCCGGTAATATTTCCTAACCGCCACGATGCCAACCGAATTCATCAGTCTCACGTTTCCAACACAGTCCACGGAGCTCAAGCCGATTATCAATGCTCCGATTGACCCGGCATTCCTAGAGCGCTATGCTCGCAACCTCGATGACTACGGTTACAATTACACGCTTGTTCCATATGACAGCTCCTACTTCGACCCTTGGACTGTTGGCGCCACCATCGCCGCTCACACCAAAAACCTGAAGATCATAATCGCGCTCCGACCGAACACCTTGTATCCGACAGTAGCAGCCAAGGCACTGGCAACTCTAGATCAGCTTAGCTCTGGCCGCGCTGTCGTTCACTTTATCGCCGGTGGCAGCGATGTTGAGCAAGCCAGGGAGGGCGACTTCCTGACCAAGGAACAACGCTACGCCCGCCAAGAAGACTACATCAAGATCCTCCGGCGTGCATGGGAGTCAGATGAGCCATTTGACTGGGACAGCCCCTACTACACCTTTAAGCAATTCAGTAACCGTGTCCGTCCAGTCAATGGCACGATCCCCGTCTCCGTGGGTGGTTCTTCCGACGACGCCTACCGCGTTGGCGGCGCGCTAGCCGACATCTTCGGCCTCTGGGGCGAGCCATTAAAAGAGACCAAGGAACAGATCGATCGTGTCTATGCCGAAGCCGAGAAAGCTGGTCGCACCGACCGGCCTCGCATCTGGGTCACTTTCCGGCCCATCGTTGCTGAGACAGACGACCTAGCCTGGGCCAAGGCACACCGCACCCTCGATGCCCTGCAAACGCATCGTTCTGCTTTCAATGCTAAAGCTCCTGCCAATGCACCTCCACCCCAGAATGTTGGCTCGCAGCGCCTACTAGACATTGCTTCTCGGGGAGAGGTACAGGACCGCGCCCTGTGGTATCCAACCGTGACGGCAACAAACGCCCGCGGTGCATCCACGGCTCTTGTGGGATCGTACGATACTGTTTCCAAGTCGATTCTCGACTACGTTGATCTAGGAGCGGATCTGATCTCTATCCGAGGGTATGACAATCTCAACGATGCAATCGACTATGGGCGCTATGTCATACCGCAGGTCCGTGAAGAGTTGCAAAGACGAGGAGAATAAGTAAATCCCCTCTGTTAGTACTATGTAGATACTTTATTGTACATAGAATATTACACTTTCAGTGCACATACATACTTGGCTTTCTAGCAGTGTTGATGGCCTTTCCTTTCTATTTTAGTGCTCATCCCTTGCCGCTTTTTACTCGCTGAGTAGATATCAGTATACCCTGAGCACGCCCTGAGCAGCCTGACGCAATTACTGAGTACTAGGTAAGTAAGAGGCTGAGTACCCTGAGTAAGTAATCTTAATAAACTATATACTTATACCCTAACTAATAATCCTTTTCTTGCCTGATTCTCCGCTCACACTCAGCTTTTACCTGCCATACTCTCCTAACACCCGGCACTGCTATTAGGAAAGAGATAAATAGGTCAAGCTAATATTCTTTCTAATACCCACAGCCTTTTTGCCTAGTGGGACTCTGCTGTAGTTAAACATACTATACAATATAGTAAAAGATTTTTGATAGGCTTTCTCAGTTAAAAGACAGTTATTATTAACTAGGGTAACTAGGGTAGCTTTAAGCTCTAGTTTACTTGGCCTAGCTTGTTATAAAGGTCCTTAGCCTTTGGAGGGGTTTGCAAATAGTGTGAAAGAGTGTAATACACCTGATCAGCAAGACAAAGGCGTTGCAAGTAGTATATTTCCAGAAATAAGGATAGTTAATAGATTAACACTGAAGTTCTAAACGAGGCTCCAAATTCGTCTAGACGTAATGGTTTACCATACATAGACATAGATAAGGATTGGATAGGGAGCTCCTGCATACCTCCTTAAGGGGTTAGAACTCTGAACTGAGGTACAATTGTGATAATATTTCATAACTATGAGTGGGAGCAGATACAGCTATTTCTAGCTCTGGGAGCTGTCCCCTACTGCGTCACACATTTTCCTTATCAAGCTACCGCTGGTAGCCTGACAGTTCTATGCAGGACACAATCGTATATCCTGATCATCATGCTATCTGACCTGGGATCCAACTTAAGGGGAAGAATACACCACCACGACGACTGCAGCGGAGAAGTCGCTATCTTCAAATTTAGTGAAAAACTACGTTTGCATTCAATGAGGAGCTACCAGTATCTTGCACATCGCGATTATATACGGATTCAGCAGATGGTAGAATCTGAGGCTCGTTCGTGCGAATGCATCATATTTTATGTTGGGCTTGACCTTTGCTGATCAAGTCGATGAGTTCGTTCAATAATCTGGGAATGGATGCTTTGATATATCCTGGTATTTTTATTTTGCTGGCTAGCCTCTGAAGAAAGCGTAGGCCACAAACAGGGACGTCTTGGCTCAGACTTGGATCAGGCCAGCCATCTTATACTTTGTCTTTCTTGGGCGTAATCAAACCCCTAGAGTCAATAATTTCCTCTATTTCCATGCTGACAGGAATCACGAGCTGGTGGGGCTGTGCCACCGTGAAGGTGAGAATTGGTAGGGATTCTCATCCTGGAGCTGACCTTAAGAATGCGTGTACTGTAAGCTATTAGCTATCTCGACAAAAGATTAGGCGTGCTGTCTCTCGTCTCCTCTCAAAGAAACCATATTCGGAGAGACGCTGCGCTCCATATCACGAGCCCGAGTAATAAAGAGGAATGCTCCCTTTCTCTCTCCTTCACTCTCTATAAATAAGCCTGATAACTTGTCCCTTCTTCTCTTTTTTACTTTCTCTTTCTCCTTTTCTTTTCCTTCCGAAGTCACAAACCCCTTATCTCCTCCCCATCATACATACAATATCCCGATACTTCTCGCATTCAAGATGAAGCTTTCTCACACTGCCATTCTACTCTTCACAATCTTCCAATCCAGCCTCGCGATTCCCGAAAAACGGGCAGACGACCCAGCCACAATTGCCGCAATCAAGGTCATGGCGCACCGAATGGTTAAAAACGGCGAATCGTATAACTGCTTGGCTGCAATCATTGACCGCCAGAGCGGGTGGGACTATGAGGCCAAAAACCCCAGCAGCGGCGCCTATGGCCTGTTCCAAGCATATCCGCCCGACAGAATGGCCTCGGCTGGTGGGGACTGGAAGACCAACCCTGAGACCCAGCTGGAATGGGGCCTTGATTATATTCGCAGCCGCCATCGGACCGCCTGCGCCGCCTGGAAGACCTTGAAAGAGACCGGGTCGTGGTAACTAGGGTCTTCGTGTTTCATCGGAGGTTGGTACCTGGTATTTATGGAGGGGATTGGTGGATAGTTTACGAGTAGAACAGGCCACAACTAAATAATATTCTGCGCCCGCAACAATTAAGCAGATGTGTCCGCCGCGCCGTTAGATATCATGCGAAGATAAGGGCGATCTTGACATCACTGTCTAGATCTAAAAGATATCTTCTAACAGCAATCTTCTAGAGCACCTGGCTTATCCTTATCCTATGCCGACTAACCAGGTCCCGAATATGAACACTGCGAAGTATCTCAGCCTCTAGGGATTCCTCCACGTATCCCACGGAGTCTCTCGAGTAGATAATCTGTCAACAGAACAGGAAATCTTCTATAAGCACAATCAGCGTGAGGCAATTTTACAGGATTTAATAGTAAAGGTATAGATTACACTTTAGCCTATAGAATTTGTTCTTATACTAGAGAAAGGAATTATTCTGCATTTAGCTGGCCATGATATATGTTACCCGAAAACCGACAAAATAGGAGCGGCGGCGGTAAATAATAAGAATATAGGATATCATGTCATACATGCTAGTGGTAAGTATTTATCGTATATAAGCTTGCCATTTATATAGCACTTCCAAGTCCGTATTGCGTACATATATGTAGACATTCAACCCATCGGGACCTCAAACGCTCAAGGAATACGGGAACATGTAATGAAGATGGAATCCATAGCCAACTGTTCATGGGACGAACTCATCTACCTGGTCCATATATAGGCGCCTTAGGCAGGTTTGGGTTCTTTGTTCATTTGTATGGTCCGGATACCTCAGGGTCTTCAAATATGTCCGTGTCCAGTTTCAATGTCCACGGTTCCAGTTGGGATTATTCGATCCTCTCTGAATTCGCTGCGTCCAGGGCGCCATTCATTGTTGACAGAAGGCCTCCCCTGCCTTCTTCCAGCCATTAAAAAGGGAAGCGGGTGTGGATTGGGAAAGGGCAATAAACCAAAGAATAGGGCGCCATACCATAGCTTACAAGGTGTCCCATTAAGCTGGCCATGCCCATCAGCTCACTCCCGCGATTGGCTGTATGTAATTGAGTCCCAAGATCGACTACACCTAGAGAGGGTCCGTTCGTAACACGTTCTTCTTCCGCCAGCCCTTGGTCCATTCCTGCTGTGCGACTGTGGACCAGTTTGTCGGTTCTTGTTCTAAAAATTGATTCCATAGCCGGATTCACGTGCATCTCCGGTCCTTCATAGTCATCTGATTGTGGGTAGAGGCGTAATACGATTTGTAGTGAGCACCTTGTTGATCAAGTCCTTTCCTCGCTTGGGAGAGTGCAGGACTCGAAAGTGTCGAGGCTTAGCGGGCCTTGAAGGGTCCACTGGGGCCACATTGGTTTCAGAGTTGGGACAGTGCCTGTCGCATGGTTACCATCCATTCGAATACATTTCACCTGTGGGGATGTTTATGGGGGGAATGATGTTTCCAATAACCGGAACAAATAGTATACACTCACTGTGCGCTACTTAGTACGCCGCAATTCCCCTTGTCTACTTCGTGGGCTGCCACCTGTAGATGGGTCGGCTGGGGCTGATATGCAGATGGATCTTCAGCGCTAGGAATATTGACTTGGCGGCTCGAGATGAACCAAAGAATCTAACCGAGGCCTCTTGTTACAGCCAATAAAGGGCTTTGCAAGTTTCATCCGCTTGATTTGAATGCCTCAAGCGTCTCAATGATCAACTTCCTATCTACGTGACTAAAGAACCCACACAACCCCTCATGGCGGTCAATATACACCCCGAGTTGGATAGCTGAATCGATCGTACCTGGAATCATCTTGGTTGTTCTCCACAGCGCCCCGTGCACAAGGCCCACCTCGCCTTCCAGGGCGAGTTCTCGCTGTGGAAACTATGAATTTGTCACAGAAAGGCACGACCCAGTAGGTGGCGCTATGGATCTACACGGTGTACTCTTTGTGATGCGAGAGTCGAGAGTGGAGGCGGCCGATGTCTGAAGATCAGATCAACTATACATCCTTCGCTTCTTGGTGGCGGATAGGGTGTTGCCATCACAATCACTTTCCCAGAACACTGTTAGCTACGAAGAATATGTAGAAAGTATAGAATTATTTCATGACTTAGAATTGAGCCAGCCCACCGGTAGGCTTTTCAAGGCCCACTGTGCATGAAAAAAAAAGGGCTTCCAGAGAGGATGTTGCGGATTGCACGTAACCTAGAGATGGAAGCCTTGTTTTTGCGAGCTAGGGTTACGTTTAGCTTTCACTACGGTCTACGATCAGCCTGAGATCGTCACGAATGGGGTCCTTCAAGTTACTTGTGCCCAGCATATACCCACAGGCTCGATACTGTGTTGCTGTTTACCGAGGTCTTCGTCAGCTGCAAATCACTCTTGTTCATGATCAACCTGAACAGACGTCATGGGCCTTTGAGCCCAATCTATAAATACTTCGTCCATGTCTGCTCGTCTTGCATCTATCTTCCTCACCTTCAATTACTCTTTCAGTTCAAGCATTCGAGCTGCATCAAAGTACTATATTTGTATTATGCGTTTGTCAATGACCCTTCTTGGCCTCGTCGGCCTCCCATTCACCTTCGCAGTCTACTGTAACAGTGGTTGCAATGAATATGACTCAACGTTTATTGGCGGTGCGAACTGCCCTGGATCCTGGTGGCCTGTTGGTGGGGACGGGGATTGTAAGAGCCACTATCAGCTAGCCGGGGGATACACATGCTGCTGCGACTGTCCCGGTGTCGCAGCATAGTTGGGCCAACACGATTCTTATCTACAGTAAGGTCCCCCATTAGGCGACTCGGCTTAGCAGGACACTGATCGTTCTGCTCGCAATTGCTAGATGGATCCTACCTTTAAAGCGGCTATGAAAATACGAAAACGGGGGCATGATGAAGGAGTCTATCCCAGAGCGTCGCAGTGAACATACAACACTGTTGCCTAGATTTTTGATCATTCATATTCAATAGAAAATATAGAATTCAGAAAACCCACTACCAAGTCATGCTCTCTTATTGTGCCTCGCCATTTCCTCCCCTTATCAATAGATTCTGAACCCCGCCACCTCATTCGCAGGTTTGAGCAGATGGTCCGAACCATATAGCAGGGATGGATATGAGCTATGGGCTGTGGCGCCTCTGCCTAAGTGTAAAACTTATAGCGATGCAGCCGCGGATGAAGCAGAGAAGGATTAAAGGCCTAAAGGATTTACTATCTATTATCTCTATAGTAGTACACAATATATATTCATAATTATTATGTATTAAGACTTATATCTTAAAGTCCAACTACTTATGAATGTTTCTCCTAAATCGGCGTTTGATACCAGCCACTCCGAGCAGCCCGTCAGTAATTACTGGGTCTATAGCCAATTATGAGAACTCTTACTCCCCTCTGTCTGTGCGGTCACAATACGATCCATATCCAATAACATCACGATAATTCAGTGAGGTGGCTATTCGGTGGTCAGCGTGGAGACCTTAACAGTAACCCAGGCTGCCGGCGAAATGAACCATCAGACTAACAAGTTACCATGCATAGGGGAAATAAGGAGAAGATTACCAAGAAGAGTCACTTGCTCAAGCAGTAATGAATAGGTTCATGTCATCATGTGCAGTTGCCGATCCCAGTGCGAATACCTCCGGCTATCACAGCGCATGCATCCGACTCAGGCAGCGTCGCTTGGCCATTAATATAGATACAACCTAGGATATTACAGTCCTCCACCACCAGCAAGCCATGACGGGATCAATGAACACAAGCTCAGCAAGGTCCTTCCCCGCAGCCGGCGATTTCACGGCGATCTGCCACAATGGGACGTCTCCAATCGGCCCATTGTGGGGTAAATTTGGGGTATATAACCGGGGTGTAGATATCGGTCGATATTTTCAGTAGTTTCAACCCCTGTAATCACCGAAATCATTAAAATGATATCCTCTTTTTCTGAAAAAGCGGCGGCGCTGGAGGCCGAGGGGGTATACATCGGGAGTTGGAGTGCGAAGAACGTCCTCTCTCCACGAAAGGACACGCAAGGAGAATATGGTAAGACATCTCAGCTCTTTTCCCCAGGTTTCCTAGCTGACTAGTGGTAGACACCTCCGAAGATCGGATTGAGCGGCTCACTACGGTGAGAAGCGACTGGACAGAAGCAGAAGAAAGGCGTCTCCTTCGCAAGCTCGACGCCCGCGTTGTCCTGCCGTCCTGTAGGTTCCCAGACTACTCTGGTTTGAACCGTATTCTAATCAACAGGCATCGTCTATATCCTGGCGTATCTTGACCGGTCGAATCTCGGAAACGTGAAGATTCTCCAATCTGACACCCCCGATTCCCTGGAGACAAACCTAGGGCTAGAAGGGGTAGAATTCAACTGGGTATGTCGTTCTCCTACTAACTGGACCGAATACTGACAACTGTAAAGGCCGTCTCTGTGTCTTATTTTGCAGTCACTGCAATGCTGATTCCTGCGATGTTGATGCTGAAGAAGCTGTCAGCCAAAACCTTCTTTCCCCTGTGCATGGTCACTTGTTAGTCTCTCAAAAGACGTGTTTGCTCTCGTTACTGATAATATAGGGGCCATTATTATCATGACAATGGCAGCTTGTACCAATTCTGCTGGATTGATTGCTTCTCGGGTCTTCCTCGGTATCCCTGAGTCGGGAGTCGTGACTTGCGGCGTTATGTATTTCAGTTTCTGGGTATGTCTCTCCATGAAAGTCCTACCTGTTCTAACGTCAGGTGTAGTACAAACCCAGGGAAAGAGCTGTGCGGATCGGAGTATTTTACAGTTCCAACTCCATCGCCCAGGCCATCTCCGGATTCCTTGCGGTTGGTATCGACAATGTAAGAACATGCTTCTTCTAACTGGGTCACTGCTAATTGATATAGCTAAATGGTAAAGGCGGCCTGAAGTCATGGCAATGGGTTTTTATCATTGAGGGTGCTATGACGATAGTCGCTGCTATTCCGATATACTTCCTCCTACTGTCGTTTCCAGAGACATCTACCGCACTCTCTGCTAGAGGTATGACTCGAGTCACGAGTGATAAAATTTGTCTAACTTTGGATATAGAGAGGCACATAGCAATTAATCGTTTTGGCCGTGGAAGTACCCGCCATACGGACGTGACTTGGAATACAGACGCCTTCATTCAGTCAGTGTCACCCGGGACAGCTCCATTGCACATCACGCTGACCTTAACAGAATAATGACACGCCCGTCGAGCTATATATTCTTCCTGTCGTACATCTGTATCGCCATCGCCGCTGTAGCGCAGGCTACCTTCTTACCAACCATCCTCCACACCGTAAGTACCCTATCTACCTGCCAATGACTGCTCAACTGATATAATGCAGCTCCTGCAATTCCCAACCCAAAAGGCAAACCTATACACCGCGATTGTAAACCTCGTAGCCGTGCCTCTCTACTGGATCTACCCATTACATTCCGACTGGACACGCGAACGAATGTGGCACTTCATCATCCCAGTCCTAGGCTCCATTCCCTGTTACGCCGTGTGGACCTACACAAGCCTCCACCCAGGCAGACACACAATCAGCTACATATCGATGTACGGGATGGCTTTCCTCGGACAGCTCCTTCTAGTCTCACAGCCCGTCCTGCTATCCTACCGCAGCGCAACACTCTACGGTGCCGCCGAGCAGGCCGTGGGAACATCCATCGCTGTGGCTGCGCTATCAATCGCCAGTATCATTGCTCCGCAGATGTATCCCAACTCAGATGCACCGTACTATCTGAAAGGGTTTACGGCTACTGTGGCTTTGCTGGCTGGGGGGATCGTTTGTTATCTCACCGTCCCGTTCTGCTTGTATTTCGAGGCGCGCAGGAGGAAGGCGAAGACGGGCCATGCCATGCCAATCCAGGCTGTGGTTGATGCCGAGAGGTCTGAGGTCGAGACGAAAGCAGGTGAAACGAAAGAAGCTGCTGCTGTTTAGGCTTCCTGACCGCGTGGTGTGTGGATCGTGGGCTTGACATGGGACGATTGGCTGGATATCCGGACATTTTGGTAGACGAATATTATATATGGGGTTATTCTTAGCGATAGGGGAGGCTCATGATTGTTTATACTACTACGAGACAAACTTTTGTCTTTTATAGAGGCGGTACTTTGTAACAGCAAAATGGACATTTCCAAATACTACACAATTTAATACTTTATATCATCGCCATTAGCCACCTTTCTTTGTTTGTAATTAATGGCGGTTCTACCTAAATCCCAGGCATAGTCTTTGGCATCGGCACAGTACCCTTTCCTAGTATTTAGCCTGATAAATCTGGGAAGGACCCATCGAGACGAATACATTGGAGGCAGATCCATCGTAGCTGGTGAGAGATCTGTTGAATCGCCGAGAATCACCGAGAATCACCGAAAACAACCGGCACCTCCACGGCAATTAGATATCGGAATACACCCGATGGACTCGGAGGAAAGTATATTTAAAATATTGCAGATTCCAGCTGCTACATTCAAGGGACAGCAATACAGATCCAGCCATGTCACCACCACCACAGCCCATCTGGACTCCGGTCCTACCAGCCGAGCAGATCCCTATGAACATCTATCGCGAACATGTCAATCGCAAGTTCAGCCAGAGTCTTCGATCCTCGCACGATCTGCATAGATGGTCTGTCACCAACCCGCATGATTTCTGGATAGACCTGCATGCATACACTGGAATTGTCCCGTCGCTGCCGCCGACAATGACGCGCGCATATGATCCCAGTGTCCCCATGAGCGCTGTCCCCAAGTTCTTTGAAGGAGCGGTCGTCAACTACGCGGAGAACGTATTCCATGGCAAGCGTCTTCATCAAGCTGCGCTCATTGGGATCCGCGAGAAAGAGGACATTGCTGGAGATGTCTGGACCTGGGCGCGGCTGCGGGAAGCTGTGCGGCGGCTTCGCAGCGCCTTGCTTCAGAGCGGAGTACAGGAGGGAGACCGGGTTGGTGCTATCATCTCGACGAGTGTATGGTCTGTTGCGCTGTTCCTGGCTACTGCGTCGATTGGGGCTGTCTGGAGCAGCATTGCGCCAGATATTGGAGAGGAGGTACGTTGATTTGATACTGCGTCAGTATTCATTCTAATAGCTTTCAGGGCTGTGTGTCCAGATTAGACCAGATTAGTCCCAAGGTCCTTTTTGCAGACGACTGCTCGACATTCAAGGGCAAGACTCGGTCGAATGTCGACAAAGTACGGAATATCGTGGGCAGACTCACCCACAAGCCTGAACTGTTTATCATACAGCTGTCCAAGACTGCTCCCCCATTTCCCACTCTCGACAGCTTTCTCGCACGGTCCAGAGATGATAAACTGGAGTTCAACCGCGTCTCATATTCGCATCCTCTCTACATCCTTTACACCAGCGGCACAACCGGCGTACCCAAGTGTCTTGTCCACGCGCACTCGGTTATCATCCAACACAAGAAGACCTCCCTCCTCCACAACTCACTGACCCATGACGACGTGGTAATGCAGTACAGCAGCACCTCCTGGGTCCTATGGAACGTCATGGTAGGCCATCTATCCGTCGGCCCAACACTGGTTGTATACGATGGATCACCACTCTGGCCGAGTCCTAAAGCCATGCTAAAAGCCCTGGAGCACCACCGTGTAACCTACTGGGGAATATCCCCCGGATTCCTGCACCAGCTCGAGATGACTGGATCCATTCCCAAGGACGAAGCAGACCTAAGCGCGCTCAGGATGGTCCAAACCGGGGGATCTCACCTAGCTGCAAGCCAGTACCACTGGTTCTATCGCACGTTTCCAAAGTCCGTTCACCTCACAAGCGTCACTGGTGGTACAGATCTGGTTACGTCTTGGATCGGAACAGACCCAGCAGGGCCAGTATATCCTGGGGAAATCCAGCTCCCGATGCTCGGACAAGACGTCGACGTTGCCGACCCCTCCACAGGACAATCTATCAGAGAAACCGGCCAGCATGGAGAGTTCGTCTGCCGGACGCCATTCCCGTCAATGCCGGTATTCTTCTGGGGAGATCAGAACATGGCCAAGTACAAGGAAGCGTACTTTGATCTGTTCCCTGACTGCTGGGTGCAGCATGACTGGGCGAGTTGCAACCCGTCTACGAAGGGGTGGCAGATTCATGGACGAAGGTATGTCCTTATTCCTATTTACATAGTAAGTAGTCTAACATGTGTAGTGATGGTGTTCTGAACCCCCACGGTATCCGCTTCGGTTCGTCAGATATTTACTCTGTCGTCGAGGCCGAGCCCTTCAACAAAGTCATCGCGACAACACTTTGTATCGGGCGTCGTCGTCCGGCTGACAATGATGAGAGCGTATTCCTCTTTGTGGTCATGCATCAGCCGCATAAACTGACTGATGAACTGGTCCGAAAAGTCAAGGACGCAATCCGCAGCGGTCTCAGCCACAGACACGTCCCACGGTTCGTGATAGAAGTGCCAGAGATCCCAATGACAGTCAACGGCAAGAAGATCGAGACTCTCGTCAAGGGCATCATCTGCAAAGGACAGCTGCCGCCCAAAGTCAGCAACACAGTCACGAACCCAGACTGTCTCCCCTCATTCCTGCAGTTCTACACCCTAGAGGAACGGCACGCAAAGCTTTAAATTTCGATAGAACTACATAGATGAAAACAGATTCCCATCCAAAAGCCAGGACCCCCCTAAATCAAACCCAACCCCTTCCCAATCCCCCACCATCGTATCCGGATACTCCACCGGCAGCGGCGGCATATCCCACGCCTGCGCCTGCGCATTCGCATAAGGCTCCAGTAGACTCCCCTGCGACCCCTGCAGCGACGACACAGACGCACCAGCCTCATTCTCCACAACGGGTCCCCAAATGCGACACCACTTCGTATCCAACCCAGCCAAGAACGGGAGGACGTCCTCGTCCAGGCGTGCTGTATCGTGGATCCTGGCGCGCCTGCGCGGACTATCTTTGCCCAGCTTCTGGAGCGTGCGCAGAGCCCCAGACGCAGACCCCCACTGTTTCGAGAGGATATGCAAGGCTGCTTTCAGGATGATTGTGTCTTCGTCGACTAGTTCCTTGAGGCCGTCTATCCGCGCAGCAGGGATGAGCATTAGCCCCGCGCTGAGGACGTAGAATGTAGATGCGGCGCCGAGGCGGCATAGTTCATCGCGCTCGAGGAATTCCTTGAACAGCCCCGCGATAAACGACGCAGCGAGCAGGGAGCGGGCGGAGAGCGCACCGTCGGCAGGGGGTGAGCGGTCTAGGATGATGAGGTTGGCGAGGTACGTAACGAGAACTTGACGCTCTTCCATCGTGTACCCTGGGAATGGGCCGACGACGGCGGGGAAGTCCTGCTTGAACCAACGGAAGAGCGAGTTTTCGAGGCTTTGTTGGTTGGCGGGGGTGAGATCGCGGCGGAGACAGCGCTCGACGATATCGCCTAGGCACTGGCAGATGGAGACGTAGACAGGGAAGAGGCGGGCGTGGGCGTCTGGTTCGTCGAAGTCGTCGATAGAAAGAGGCGATACGTCGCTGTCGCTGAGGTTGATTGTTCGGGGGCGCCCGGTGCCTGCGGAGATGATGCAGTCGCGTAGCTAGATAGTTAACACTAGGGACTTGCACCATTCAATGTCAGGAAAACTTACCACAAGCGTCCACCATAGTCGCCTCCTTAGACCTCTCTGGCGATCCTTCACCGAAGGCTCCTTGTGCAGTCCAATCTGGAACGCGATCGATTCAGCAGCGCGCAGCCAGAAACCACCGGTATCAGTGGAAACCGTCTCTGGTCCGACCGGGTTATACCAGTGCAGCAGGATAGCACTCGTAACGGAAATCAAGGGATCTCGCTCGACTCCAAAGAAGAACAGGAGCTTTGCTCGGCGGTAAAAGTCGGAACTCAGCCCGTACTCATTCGGCTGGGTGGTCATCCTGCTCGCGGCAACAAAGATCGACTGTAACAGGAGAAACGAGGGCGTCGTGCCGGTCAACCAGGTCGGATCAATTATCGGCGTCCAGACCTGTCCGAATTCCATAAAAGTCGTAATCAATTCATGCTGGACCGGGTTGGACGGCAGCGTGAATGCACCCTGCTCCATCAGCAACTCCAGGTCGGCGCTGGACACAAGCGGGTGCTCTTTAGTGAGACTTGGAACGACCATGGCCTCGTCGAAGGAGGCATGACGGCCGAGATATCTGTCGCGCCCGCGGTATGTCGGGGCAGAGTCGGCTTTCTGGATGGCTTCGAGGTCCTTGAGCAGGGCAGCGCTCGGTTCAACACGCTTTTTCTCCCTGTCCTTGCCTTTATGTTTGTCGACCTTGTCTTTGCTTACTTTTGTCGGAGCTGAAAGATCATTTGTATATTCTTTTCGTTTTCGCGTATATGGCCTACACAGTTAGCACAGCGGCAATACTGCGGTGGCAGACTTACAGGCATTCAGAGCCGGCTTTGGCGCAATTGGAGCACGGCCTTTTCTTGTGGAGGTCGCATTTGACCTATCTTGTCAGAAGTATTCTATGGCAGGTGTGGAACTATTACCTTCTTCTTGTGGCAGATGATGCAGGAGTTCTGCATTGTGTTGGCTGGTTTGTTGGGAGCCATGTCGTTGGAGTCGTTTCTACGGAGATCAAGGAAGATGGCGGTTAACCGAGGGTATGCAGAATATATATCCGCAAAGTTATTTTCACGACACTCTTTGTTTCCTCCATTCTGCCCTTTGTTCTACTCTTGTCTTCTGTCTATTTCTCCCTCGTGTCAGCCTTGTCCTGTTGTAGTTCAGCAGACAAAGACTGCCGGCCATTTAAAATATACAGATCTAATCTGAGGCCATAAATCCTATTGGGCGAAATCACAGCACGTGATAGCTCCCACCGGAATTACCGTCCGGGTCATTTACTTTTAGATGACTTGGGCGACACCTCAACCAGTCGACCCTCAGTGGTTAACGGAAATGGTCTCTGCGTCCTCTGCAAAAGAACATGTCCAATGTTAGAATATCTTTGTGGGTACAAGAGAGGTGATCTAGTAGCCAAACTACCGGCATGAGTATATGTATGCTCTGAAACATTTACTATATATATATATAACAACATAGAGTTATGTAGTAAATACCACACATCACACTGATGCCGGCTCGATCAGATCCATGAACAGACTGGCAGACACCTTGAAATGGCCAGTTGAGCACGGGCCAGGTTAAGCATACCGCGTACTACGGACTGAGCTGACGGTGGTCAGCAAGGGGCGTGGTGTTGATCCAGTTCCAGTGACGACGGAGTGATGGCGATTTCCGTACGCAGCACAAGACTGGCCGGTCGCGTTTGTAAAATAGAGAGATCTAAGCATCTGTCTGAATATCCGAGACGAATCGATCGCTTTTTAATATTGGAACCTGCCAGTTGGGATCCGTGATCGACAGCATTGCCCGCTTGGCTATGTTGTCATACAGGGCGCAGCACTCTTAGAATAGCTCTTATGAGAGGACAGTTATAAGCAGCATGTCCCGCAGTTGAAGAATAGACAATAATTTGAAGGCTCGATACACTCTCTGGACGACATTCAAAGAACTTCTGATCCATCTCACCGTAATAGATATGGGGTTGACATCGCCGATCCCATCGTGGGTCTGGGGTTTCCTGGGTAAACACCATCACCTCTCTACAGCCACAACCCGCTAAGTACTAGCAGACTACAACAGCAGCAGATTGCCCGCCCTGATCGGAACTGTGTGCATCATCCGCGGCATCCGCAGCATCATCACCCCCGGGAACCAGTACTACGAATTCGGGGTGCCCCGCGAGGGCTCCGACGACCCGGTGTCAAAAGAGGGCACGGTCTCCCCGCTCATGTATGTCAAGGGCATCCGCGAGATCGGATACGGGGTCAGCATGGAGGTCGTGGGCAGACTGCACGACCCGAGGGGCGTGACGGGGATGCTTGCAGTGGGGGCCGTAATGAGCGTGGGGGACGCGGTGGTGGTTGCGGTGTTTGGGCGGGGGAAATACCAGATGGTTCTGTGGCATCTGCTGGTTGCGCTGTATTTCGGGGCGATGGCCTACTTGCGCTGTTAGTTACGGCCTCGGATGAGAGATGTCCGGCTTGAACAAATTAAGCCGACTTCTTTAGATTAAAACAGAGGCAAGCAAACCAATGGAAAGAGGTGGCGTTTCCAAGGCGCGAGGCGTATTCAAGCTCTCTCGGCAGCCGGCACTTGGCGAGGCGGATGTCCGTATCAGTCTGTATTGTTGTATCTGCAGTCTCCAGTTTTCTCTCCAGTTTCCCTCCAGTTTTCCTCCAGATTCAGGTCCACCCCCAGATCTCTGCTGTCAACCATGCCATGTGCCAACCATGGTAACCAGCCCACCATCTGCTCTGTCCACCATGTCTTCCATGTAACTGCCTCCCATTTTAACGTCGCCTCAATGTAACGTCGTTATTGCTGACAGCCCACTTTCTCGCCCCTATTCATCTACGCGACCTCGCTACCACACTAACCGTCCAGCTAGGACTACTCGGTGCTAGAGCCCTCGAAGGATCTGGCTACAAATTGACTCGAACCAGAAGAGAGACAATCCGCCGATTGGACCGCATTTGCTGGTAATGCGACGCTGCCGCCCGGCGTCCTGACTCGTCATCTCCAGGACAGCCAATGGGCGCTTTGTTGCTTGTGTTGCTGGTCAGATGCTTGTCATCCCCGCGTCGCCCTCTTTATTAGACTCCATCCCCGGCTTTTTCACTTTCTTCTGTCTTCTGTCTTCAGTCTCCAGTTCCTGTCCGGATCAGCGTCAAGATGGGCTACGTCTTCAGCAACATCTACATCATCACGACCATTGCGGTCATCGGTGGTGCCCTGTTTGGTTTTGACATTGCTTCTATGTCGGCCATGTGCGTCTAACTCTCACTGTTGGTACTGACTTCTGGTGTCTAATGTGTCTACGTGCAGTCTCGGCACCCAACAGTACAAATGCTTCTTCAACCAGGGCGGCCTCGACCAGGATGGCAAATGCGCCGGTCCCACCTCCAGTAACCAGGGTGGCATTTCTGCTTCTATGCCTGGTGGCTCGTTTCTTGGTGCTTTGGCTTCCGGAATCGTCACCGATGCCCTTGGCCGTCGCCGGGCTATCCAGGCCGGTGCCGTCATCTGGTGTATTGGAAGTGCCATTACCTGCTCCTCCTTCAGCATCGGCCAGCTGGTCGTCGGCCGCTTCATCAACGGTGTCTCCGTGGGTATCTGCAGTGCCCAGGTTCCTGTCTACGTCGCCGAGCTCGCTCAGCCCAGTAAGCGTGGAGCTGTCGTCGGTGCCCAGCAGTGGGCCATTACCTGGGGTGTACGTTTCAAGAGATTTATAACGGATGCACGCTAATTCCCGCAGATCTTGATCATGTTCTACATCTCCTACGGCAGCAGCTTCCTCACCGGCCCCGCCGCCTGGCGTCTGCCCTGGGGTCTGCAGATGATCCCCGCCGTGATCCTCTTCTTCGCCCTCTTCTTCATGCCCGAGAGCCCTCGATGGCTGGCCAAGAAAGACCGCTGGGAGGAGTGCCACGAGACCCTGGCTCTGGTCCACGCCAAGGGTGACCGCAACGCCGCGTTCGTCCAGACCGAGCTGCGCGAGATCCGCGAGATGTGCGAGTTTGAGCGCGACAACGCCGATGCCAGCTACCTCGACCTGTTCAAGCCCAACATGATCAACCGCACTCATATCGGCATGTTCACCCAGATCTGGTCGCAGCTGACCGGCATGAACGTGATGATGCTGTAAGTTCCATAAATCCACAGTTACTGTAATTGTACTAACGGTTGCAGGTACATCACATATGTCTTCGGTATGGCCGGTCTCTCTGGTAATGCCAACCTCGTCGCCTCGTCCATCCAATATGTCATCAACGTGGTCATGACCATTCTGGCCCTCTTCTTCATCGACCGCTGGGGCCGCCGCATCCCCCTCCTCGTCGGCTCCACCCTCATGATGACCTTCATGTTCGCCAACGCCGGCATCATGGCCACATACGGCAAGCCCGCGCCCCCAGGCGGCGTCGACAACGTCCCCGAGGAATCCTGGGACATGTCCGACGCGCAGTCCGCAGCAAAGGGCATCATCGCCTGCACATACCTCTTCGTCGCGTCCTACGCACCAACATGGGGTCCCGTCTCATGGATCTACCCACCCGAGCTCTTCCCGCTCCGTCTGCGCGGAAAGGCCGTCGGTGTCACCACCGCATCAAACTGGATTTTCAACTTTGCTCTCTCGTACTTCGTCCCGCCTGCCTTTGAAAACATCAAATGGAAGGTTTACGTCCTCTTCGGTGTCTTCTGCGCTGCCATGACCCTGCACGTGTTCTTCTTCTTCCCTGAAACGGCAGGAAAGACACTCGAGGATGTCGACGCCATGTTCCAGACGGACATCAAGCCGTGGCAGACCAAGGTGCAGTACCAGCACATCAAGAAGGCCGAGCAGGGCCAGATCGCCTTCAACAAGGCCGTCGAGGAAGAAGGGAACCCTAGCGGCCGTAAGGATTCTGCTGCTGAGGCTTCCCAGGAGAAGCACGTCGAGACAGCTGCCTCTTAAAGGGGTTGCGTAGTTAGAGTGATTCACTTCGTTCTTTTACAACGCAAGGAAATTGCAAGTTTGTTGGGTAGTTAACTGTCCTGGATAGTGAGCGCAGACGATAAGATATCATTGATAGTTTTAATGGAAATCCTCTCTCATACCGAGTTATAATCTGCTCCGCAGTCAATCATGTAGAGCAGCCTTAGACGTGTATCGGATCAGCGAAGATTCCCCAGTAGTTCAAAACCGCTTCCAACGGTTCACGCACAGACCGTGCACCGGGGTTTCTTCGGGCTTAGCATCTCCAACTGCAACTCCATCCCCGTGGGGAATCCATCTCCACCCGATTTTCTCTTTGTATACCCCGCAGTTAGCTATTAACTTATCCCGCATCGTCCAACAATTACCCAATGTAGCAGCAAACCGACGCTACTCGGGTCATTCATCCCCGTCGCCAGACCTCGGGAAATCCGACTTTGGGGTATAAAGAGCCACTCGTACCTAAGCAAGATACCCACCATGTTGGTAAAGTGATTCTCCGTACAAAATGGACGTTGTACTCCTTGCCGGCCTTGCGGCTGTAGCGCAGGCGCAGCAGATCTACGTCACGACGACAGGGTATACGGCGCGTCCGGAGTGTACAGCAGGTGCGAAGCCGACGCCTAGTTATCGCTTTGAGGAGTTCTCGTTTACGCAGAGTGAGACTGTTCGGTGAGACATCCTGCAACTTATTAGTGGCATCACTGACTATATAGGTATGCTACCTCTGTCCCCTCCCCGACAACGACACACACGTTTGGACCAGGGTATAGCGATGCCCTGGATAAACTAGGGACTATGCTGTCCACTACTACCTGGGGCAGCTGGGTACCGGGAAAAACAAGCATCTCAGCCACAGATACAGACGATAAATATGGCCAGGCAGCATGGTCGTCGCAGTGGGAGGCCGCCAGCCTGGCGAATTATACAGCTATCGGCCTCTACACAACCACCGCCAGCCCTACCCCTATTCCCTCGTCTGAGCTCGTCCTCCCACCCCGCGACTACTTCGGTCCGACCGACTGCTACAATTTCCCGGATGACTTCCTCTTCGGCGTTGCCGGTTCCGCAGCGCAAATCGAGGGCGCCATCGGACTGGAAGGCCGTGCCCCGACTCTACAGGAGAAACTGATCCAGGACGACTCCCCGAAGAACTACGTCACCAACGAGAACTATTACCTGTACAAGCAGGATATCCAACGCCTTGCCGCAATGGGGGTGAAGTACTACAGTTTCTCCATCCCGTGGACGCGCATCCTCCCTTTCACCGTCCCCGGGAGTCCAATCAACGAGCAGGGCATCAAGCACTACAACGATCTGATAAATTATATCCTAGAAGTTGGAATGCAGCCGGTCGTGACGATGCTACACTTCGACTCGCCGCTATATTTCCTCAAGGACGCGAATCTCTCTGCCACTGCTGATATCGGGTACAGCAACGGCGGATACTGGCATCCTGAATTCGTGGAGGCATTCGTCAACTACGGAAAAATACTGTTTACGCATTTCGCCGATAGAGTCCCCGTCTGGACGACGTTCAACGAACCGTTGCTTTATGCATTTAACTTTACCGGGATAGATAATGTGGTTCGCGCACATGCAGAGCTATACCACTACTACCACGACACCCTCGGCGGGACAGGGAAAGTCGGATTCAAACTAAACAATAACTTCGGCGTACCCAGGAATCCAAAGAATGAGAGCGACGTCAAGGCGACGGACAGATTCAACGAGATGCAGCTGGGTCCATTCGGGAATCCGCTGTGTCTGGGCGAGCAGTACCCTGATTCTATCCTTGAGACTCTCCCCGGGGCAACGGCGCTCAGCGAGGAGGATCTTGAGTATGTCGCCAATACGACAGACTTTTTCGGTATAGATCCGTACACGGCGACAGTGATCTCGGTCCCAGCTGGTGGGATAGAGGCATGCTCAAGCCAGAATATGGAAATCAACCCGTTATACCCGTACTGCGTGACGCAGGAAACAACGAACATCTTCAACTGGGACATTGGATACCGCTCGCACAGCTACGTCTACATAACACCGACATATCTACGCTCATACCTATCCTATCTATGGAACACATTCCGCAAGCCAGTGATAATCGGCGAATTCGGGTTCCCCGTTTACGAAGAATCAAAGCGTGATCTGGTAGATCAACTCTTCGACTCGCCGCGGAGTACATATTACCTCTCGTTCCTATCCGAGACGCTCAAGGCAATCTGGGAAGACGGGGTTCATGTCCTAGGTGCGTTTCCATGGAGCTTCATGGATAATTGGGAGTTTGGGGACTATGACAGCCAGTTTGGGATTCAGGTTGTGAATCGCACGACGCAGGAGAGGTTCTTTAAGAAGAGTTTCTTTGATGTTGTTGATTTTGTAGGGGCGCGAGGAGGATTGGGGTATTAGCAGTAGCAAAATAAAGTCGTTTCTATCGTGGTATGTCTATTTTGTGGGATGGCCGAGTGCTTCTGTAATAGTGTCAAAAGCCTTGCCCTTCCCCCCTTGTAGGTCCCGGTTCGTGACTTGCACCACAACCCGTTTGTATGTGATAAGACTAGGGATGCCGTTGTCTCGGACTTCGAGGATGAAGTGCAGAGCTTGTCCTTTCTCGAGAGCCTGGCCGGAGAGGATGCTCACTGCGCTGACCTCTGGTGGTGGTAGAGTTACCTTTACTACAGATCCATTGGGAGTTCCTTCAACGGGCCTGAATTCGACGTCTGGGACGACATGCCAGTGGATGTGCGATTGTGCTGTTGTTGGCTCTTTGTACTGGCACCAGGAGAACGAGATATCATCACCATCAGGATCATACGATTTCGACGCATCGAGAGTAATTTCAGTCCCTGCCTCAGCGTCTAACAATAATGGCTCAGAGCCAGCTGTACTGTCGTTAACAACGACTACCGGGGCATGGTTCGCCTTCGCCAGATAGCTGCTCAATGTCCACTGCATGCGCGCAGCAAAGTCGTTCTGGAATGCGTCTCTCCACCGCCAGATGGTAGCTTGATTGGAGGTGAATTTGGCGCCGTTCCTCCCAGTCACTGTATCCTTTGCATCCATGTAATGCTTCGAAGCGCCCCCAATATCCCCCAGGACATATCGACCACCCCAGCTTCCCCAGTGCGGGTTCTCCGGCGACCCCAGGCCATTCTGGATCAGATATAGCAGCGTCGGAGTGTCCCCCTCCATGATAAACGAGTAATCAGGATACTCCTTCCCCAGAGGTCCAATCTGGATATGCTCCTTCAACCAGTCCAGCTTCACCTTGGTCACATCAGGTCCGCCCTCATCCAACGGCATGAGCAGATCACCCGATATGCCCACCCACGCAGCCATCCCATACTCCTTCCACCCATGCACAGAGCAGATATAGAAGATATCTGGATAATTGACGCGGATCCACATCCCCGTATCATCCTGGTCGCTGATCGCATAAACCCGCAGCCTCGAGCGCAGCTCAGCCGCCGTACCCGCCCTCGTCCGATCAATCTCTTGCAGCGCCTGGGCAATAACATTCGTCCCTCCCCAGCAAAGCACCCAGAGCGGCTTATCCTCCGCCTCAAGTCGCTGTATCAGCAGTTCAGTGCCCTCAGCCAGCGGGACGTTGTCACGCAGCGCTTCACGACCATAGCACGCCGGGCCGGCCTTGATAAGCGACTTGAGATACCCCGGATCAGGGTAAGAGTTATCAGGATGAACGTGTGCGTTCAAGTTATCGACAACCTGTGCGTACGCCTGCACGATGCGCGTCATGTCCTCTGGGTGCACTTTATCGCGCATCCAGGTCGATGTACACGCGACCAGGCCCTGGACGTGGAATTCATTTCCATATAGGAGGAAGCGGACGAGGGATTCGGCGTCGTCGGGCTCGTTGGAGATGTCGGATATGACGAAGGCGCGGTGTTTGGAATTCACCCGGCGGAGGAGTGTTTGGGCGGGCATTTTAATATCTTGGTACTCGTATGTTCTCGCTTTGTAGGCTATGGGTAGGGTATTTATATCGTCGCTGGGAGATATTTATTACGTCCCTGCACTTCTTCAACTACGTTGGCAGTGGTTTGGCAGTGGACTGGACACCGTGCTTCCAACTGCCCTTTCAGATAGTGGATCTGCCCAGTAAAGTCATTACTTAAGCGGGGATGCAGTTGGATCCAGAATTCAGGCTTCTCCGGGCGTGTCTTACTGGTCAATTCCGCCTGCTGGCATGCCCCATTCTGCACGGCCGAAGATTTGCCGGGCCAGATCTCCATGACAAGCCCAGGAAGCAGTTAGACCAGGTTCATGGCGGCTAATCTTTCTGGTGATGGCTGGAAACAGCAATTGCAACCTTAGCCAATCCGTAAATGGAATCTCGAAGCTGCTAGCGGTCCCGACAGAGTGGACTCGGCACACGAGGCGTCATTCCGTGTCCCCATGGGGTTCAACATCAAGTCCTGTATAAGTACCGGGATACCCAGACACAGGCTATACAGAGTAAACGACGGAAGTACACAATACATTCAAGATGGTTACAAACAAGGAGACTGCTTACCACGCAGAGAGCGTCCCCGTCGAGGCCCCTAACACCTCGACCAAGCTGACCTGGCGGGAGCTGTGGGACAGCAAGCGGGTGCTCGCCTGGTGTACGACCCTACTCAGAGCAGCCAGTATACAATTGGAATGTCACTGACACAGTGCAGGCTTCTTCATCTTCCTCCTCCCCATCAACTTCGGCTACGAGAACAGTACCGTGGGCAACCTGCTCGCCGTCGACCCCTTTCTCGAACAATTCGGCGTCGAGGTCAATGGCACCCGCGAGATCCGCGCCAAAGACCAGCAGATCCTGAATGCTGCGACGACAGTGGGCCTGTTCTGCTCGGCCTTTGCAACAGGTGTCATCTCCGATTTCCTAGGGCGTAAGAAGACGATCGTCTTCGGCTGTGTGTTGTGCGTGGCCGGCATCCTCACGCAGTACTTTAGCAACACCATCATGCAGCTGTTTGGGGGGAAGTTGCTGGGCACGTTTGGCTTTGGGCTGGGACATTCACTAGGCCCTGTGTTTGTGGCAGAGCTGGCGCCTGTTCGTGTCCGTGGTCTGTGTCTGTCGCTCGTCGTATGTTCTCCAACTTATCCAGAAGCACCTGTCTCCAGCTCTAATCAATATATACCTAGAACACGATGATCGTGCTCGGTCAGTGGCTCAACTCGGCGGCCGTTCTAGGCTCGCAGAACCGTACTGACAGCTTCGGCTGGCGCATTCCCATCATCACCCAGATGATCCCTCCTGGGCTGTTGCTTCTCGGCCTGCCCTTCCTCCCGGAGTCTCCGTCCTGGCTCATCATGAAGGGCCGGCCAGAAGAAGCCGCAAAGTCCTTCCTCAAGTTCAACGGTCCAAAGTTCGACGTCGACGACGCAATGGCCGTGACCACTGCTGCAGTCCAACAGGAACAGGAGCTTGCTCGGACGGGTTCCGCCTGGCTCGACTGCTTCAAGGGGAGCGACGGTCGGCGTACGCTCATTGTCTGCATGGTGTACATCGCGCAGCAGTTCGTCGGAGTGAACTTTGTCTCTGGATATCTCACGTACGTCCTCAACGTCATAATCCCATCCTATGCATCTCCTATACTGACGAACGAACTAGATATTACTTCAAACTCGCCGGCGTCCAGAACGCACTCGGCGTCGCACAAGCCGCCTTCGCCATCCAGCTCTTCGGCAACATCTGCTCCTGGCCACTGGTCGATCGCCTCGGTCGTCGACCCATGATAGTCGGGGGTACATTCGCCATGACCGGCGGACTGCTCCTGATCGGCTTGATCAGCATCAGCGAGTCCAGCCAGGCGCTGAAAGCAACGGTCGCATTCATGACGCTATGGGGGTTCCTGTACCAAGCGACACTAGGCGCAGTCTCATACGCCGTCGGCGGCGAAACACCGAGTCCGCTGCTGCGTCAGAAAACATACTCGATCAACATCATGTCGGCGACTGCGGTGTCGTGCGCGGTGCTGCAGATCATGCCGTACCTGCTCAACACCGACGAGGCCGATCTGGGCGGCAAGATCTGCTTTGTGTTCTTTGGCCTGTCGCTGCCTATGTGTGTGTATCTGTTCTTCTGCCTGCCCGAGTTGAAGGGGCGATCGGTGGCGGAGATCCAGGAGATGTTCCAAGCAGGCGTTGCGGCGCGCAAGTTCAAGGATTATGTGTGCCAGAGCCCGGTGGAGATCGAGATGGAGAAGAAGGACAGGAACCTGGAGGCTGATTCGTAGACGGAGGGATCGGTAACTCGTAAACTATCCGGAAGAAGGGGATAAGATCGGTAATCGAGGGCTTATTTCTATCTCCGTTGTCCGTTGTGTTGTTGTACTGATGTTGATGACTGGAATTAATTGGAATTAATTGTGTGGTCCTGCTTAATTCCGCTATAAATCCACTCTCCCACCAACACAACACAACACAACAACCAACAACACTCTTCTCTCCACACTCTTCTGTTCTACTCTACAAAATGGTCCAAGTTGGCTCGCAGACTGTCGGCCCCATTGGCTTCGGCCTCATGGGCCTCACCTGGCGCGCTACTCCCCCTTCCCAGGAACAGGCCTTTGAAGCCATGCGCGCGGCCTTGAAAAATGGCTGTACGTTGTCCACTGTTTGTCTTGATTTTGTTAACATTAACAAAAGGCACCCTCTGGAACGGCGGCGAATTCTACGGAAAGCCCGACTACAACAGTCTGGTCCTGCTCGAGCGCTACCTCGAGAAATACCCCGAAGACGCCTCCAAGTTCGTCATCAACATTAAAGGAGGATTGAATTTGCAGACATTCCATCCCGACGGGTCTGTTGAGGGCACGCGCCGCACGCTCGACGACTGCATCAAGCAACTGAACGGGCGCAAGAAGCTCGACCAGTTCGAATTTGCGCGCCGCGACCAGACCGTCCCCATGGAGGTGACGTTTGGCGTGTTGAACGAGTATATTAAGGCCGGCAAGCTCGGCGGCGTGGCGCTGTCGGAGGTCCGCGCCGAGACGATCCACGAGGCTGTCAAACATACCAAGGTTGTTGCGGTGGAGGTTGAGCTTTCTCTGTACGCCCCCCTACCTAGTCTATAGTATTGTATCCCACCTAACTAGTTTCAGGTTTGAAACCGGCCCCCTCGAGAACGGCGTCGCGGCCGCTTGCGCCCAGTACGGCATCCCGCTGGTCGCATACTCGCCCATGGGCCGGGGCCTGTTAACCGGCCAAATCCGCAAATTTGACGACCTGCCCGCGGACTCGATGCTAAGAAGGTATCCCCGCTTCCAGCCCGAGAACTTCGAAATCAACATGCAGCTGGTGGCCAAGGTGGAGGAGCTGGCGCGCGCAAAGAACTGCACCCCGGCGCAGCTGGCAATTAACTGGGTGCGCTCGCTATCGCGGCGCCCGGGGATGCCGACCATCATTCCCATCCCTGGCGCGACTACTGCAACTCGCGTGGAGGAGAACTCCAAAGTGATTGACCTGGACGACGGCGAGTTGGCGCAGATCGATGCCGTCCTGGCCAAGTTTACGACTGCGGGGGAGCGGTATCCTGCCGGCGTTCCTACCAATACCTAGCCTGCTATAGCCTGTACTACTATGCGCCTGGATAGAATCAAGTTTTATTACATTATCCTTACCTATTATCCGCTCGGTGCTCGGACACGTAATTGTGCCTGGTGGTGTGGTCATGATATCATAGTGGGAGCCTGTATGATATCATATCAAGGTAATTCTTATTAACACGAAAGCTGAACAAATTTAAGAAATAGATAGCAGCAATTCCACTTCCAGTTGTTCAATAAATTCTTCACAATCGTGACTATGGCAGGCTATCACCTCCCCGTCGACCTCAAGCAGTTCAAGAAGCTCAAGCTCGATCCCACGAGCAAGCAGCTCACCGACCAGCAGAAGAGCGACCTGCTGCACAACATCAACGTCTTCCGCGATGCCATCGTCGCCTTCACAGCGACCGGCGCCGCCCGAGGCCAAGCAGGCCACACCGGAGGGCCCTTCGACACAGCCCCCGAAGTCTGCATCCTGCTAGGCTTCCTCAACGCCAACCCGTCCGGCTTCTACGACGCCATCTTCGACGAAGCCGGCCATCGCGTCGCAACACAGTACCTCCTCGCCGCACTAGACGGTAAAATCGAACCAGACCACCTCCTCAACTACCGCGACGCCAACTCCAAACTCCCCGGCCACCCCGAACTCGGCCTCACCCCAGGCGTGAAGTTCAGCTCCGGCCGCCTCGGACACATGTGGGCCATGGTCAACGGCATCGCCATGGCAAACCGCGACAAGGCCGTCTTCCTGCTCGGCTCGGACGGGTCCCAGCAGGAAGGGAACGACGCCGAAGCCGCCCGCATCGCCGTGGCAAAGGACCTGAACGTCAAGGTCTTCGTCGACAACAACGACGTCACCATCGCAGGCCACCCATCGCAGTATCTAAAGGGGTACGAGCTCGAACGTACCCTGTCCGGCCACGGACTCAAGGTCCTACGCGCCCAAGGCGAGAACATCGACTCGCTCTACAGCGCCATGGTCGAGACCATCAACACCCCCGGCCCAGCGGCTGTCATTGTCGACCGCAAGATGGCGCCGGGAATTGAAGGCATCGAGGGCAAGACGCACGCGCACGACGTCGTCCCCGTCGACATTGCACGCAAGTATCTCACCAAGCGCGGGTACGCTGCCGAGTCGCTCGCCTTCTACGACCAGATCAAGGCCGCCAGTAACCCGCACCAGTATCTTGGCTCGACGAAGGATAAAGGCGGGAACCGGGTTATCTTCGGCGAGGCCGTGAACGGTGTACTGGACGGACTGAGCAAGGAAGAAGCCGCGAAGCGCGTTATGGTCATCGACTCGGATCTGGAAGGTTCAACGGGTCTGAAAGGTATCCACCAGGCTCACCCAGAGGTATACGTTTCGTCTGGAGTGATGGAGCGCGGAAACTTCAGCGCCGCGGCAGGATTTGGTTTTGGAAGTGACGGCTCGCGACAGGGCGTGTTCTCGACCTTCTGCGCGTTCATCGAGATGTGTATCTCCGAGATCACGATGGCGCGGTTGAACGGGTGTTCGGTGCTCTCTCACTTCTCGCATAGCGGCGTGGATGAGATCGCTGACAACACATGCCACTTTGGGCTGAATGCCTTCTTCGCTGATAACGGGCTGATGGATGCCGAGAGCACGGGGCTTTACTTCCCTGCTGACGGCGAGCAGATGAAGGCCGTTGTGCGCAAGGTCTTCTTCAACAAGGGGCTGCGGTTTATCTTCTCGACGCGCTCCAAGGTCCCTTACATCCTGAAGGAGAACAGCGAGGAGAAGCTGTTCGGTGGGGACTACGAGTTCGTGCCTGGTAAGGAGGAGTACATCCGCCGCGGAAAGGCCGGGTATGTTGTCTCCTACGGTGACATGCTCTACCGCTCTCTGGACGCCGTTGAGCGTCTGCGCAAGGACGGTCTTGACGTGGGATTGATCAACAAGCCAACTCTGAATGTGGTGGATGAGCAGGCGATCAAGGATTACGGATCCAGTCCGTTCGTTGTGGTTGTCGAGTCGTTGGCCCAGAAGACCAGTCTTGGTTCGAGGCTGGGCAGCCACCTGCTTGACCGTGGTCTGAAGCCACGATACCGCATGATGGGTGCAGTCAAGGAAGGCTGCGGTGGTCTGTTTGAGCAGATCAATGCCCAGGGCTTGGGACCTGATGATATCGTGCGTGTTGTGAAGGAGGCTGCTGGCAAATAAACGTTTATGAAAGACAAAGACTACTTCAATAATGAAGGAATGATAAGAATTGTACGTTAGATATGAATATTGCTGTTATCAGAGGTAGCTAGACTATCTAATTCTGATTTGCGTTCACAACATTCTGAATAACCTGCTTGATACCCTCTTTATCCAGCTGCTGGATACCCAGTAACTCATTGTCCGGCTCTTTAAACAGCCCACCTGTCTCAGCTCCCCAGATAGCCTTGTAAATGAACGGCAATATAGTCCCATGGTTAAAGACCCCCTGCTTAATCAATCCCAACGCCTTCTGAGCCTCGGCCTCCGTATCCGGCTCCGTGATTGTCCATCCATCGCCCCCAACAACCTCCTTCGACAGCTCCAACACGTCCTTCAGCGTCGAAACCGCCTCACTGACTCTAACAACCCGATTCTTCGTCTCCTCGGGCTTACTCAACACACCTACAACGGCCTTCCCAACCGCAGCCAGTGTAGTAGTACTATAAAGCCTCTCTCCCCCATCATGCAGAGCCGCGACCTTCTTCACAGGCGAAATGGGAAATCCAGCCTGAAGGCCCCAGTCCAGGAACGCCCCATTATACACAATGGTATAGGTAATCTTGCCCTCCGCAGCAAGGGACTTCAACAATTCCTGGGCTTGCACCTTAGGCCCATACACCGGAGCAGCACGGTTAATAGGGTTATCAAGGTCCGAGCCGAACTCAGACGGGAGGAAGCGCGAGACGCCAGCTGCCACGGCGGCGTGGATGAGGTTCGTCTGGGCCTCGGCGGCGGTAGGTGGGATTGCGGAGACGACTGCGTCTGTTCCTTGCAGGGCTGTAGTGAGGGAGTCGATGGAGGTATAGTCGACGGGCACTGCTTTGACGTTTGCGGGGAGGGTGGGCTTGGAGTCTGGACGGCTGAAGACGGTGACGTTGAAGCTGGAGGAGACGGCGGAGAGGAGTGCTGGTCCGAGGTTTCCGCTTATCTGTTTGTGTTAGAAGTGTCTTCATTGTAGATGAAGTACATACACCAGCGAGGACAACGTTGCGGATAGACATGGTGAAGTATATATCACGGAGCTTGAGTGTATATCGATAGGTGTGCTTGATTTGAGTCCAGTTGCTTTCAAGAAATTAGATGCTTCTCTGATGGGCATTGTTCAAGACAGCATCTTAAATACCTTTCCTCTGATTCCGTCATCTGATGCGATTTCCGTCTTTGTTTGCTGTACTCGGAGATACCGGGCATCCCGCTCGGCCTTTCCACTCTGGGCCCACTCGGCCCCGAGTGGGCGCCATTGGCTGAATCAGCGGCACAATTCCTTCATTGGTGAGTTATGCAGGGAATCGACGCCAGAACAGACCGATTTCTATCTCGTTCGGATACCGTGTCTGCAGTCAGCTCATTCAAGCAGGTGGCTCAACATATCCTAATTGGTTCAAGAAAGAATAGCCCGATTGGTGTCAATTGCATCCCACTCTGCCGAGATATCCCACCGGCTAGCCATCCCACCGGCATTGCTGCATCCCACCGGCAATCCCACTTCGCCCACCGGCCTTTTCTATGCCATTTCCCACCCCAATTGCCAAACTATCCCTCCCGATCAACATCAAATGATTGCGTGCGACTATCCCGGCTGCACGGCTCAATACCGGCGCAAGGAGCACTTGACCCGTCACGCCCGGAAACACTACCCCGCTGCCCAGAGATTGACCTGCGACATCTGCCACAAGAACTTTGACAGGACGGATTCTCTACGGCGACACCACCAGGTGCATCTGCGAGAGCAGGGCGAGAGTATAGCACCGCGCGCATCAAAGGCCTGTGATAGGTGCCACAGTAGCAAAACGAGATGTAATGGCCAGGAACCGTGCAATGTGTGTTCCCGGCGGGGGCTGTACTGCACATTCAACCGACTATCGAAGAGGGCACTGGCTGGTGACGACAACTATGAATATCACACAGACAACATTTCCAATAATATCCAAGATACAGAAATGCAGAACAACAATGCATACGATGGCTTACCAACGGACCCTTCCCTCAGCGCTGCACCAAATCATCCGACCTCATTCTCCAGCAGCGAGATCCAAGATCTCCTGCGACAGCACGAAGACCGCCTCCGTGCACAAGGACTCTTAGTTAACCGGGATGCCGAGCCGGGGTGTGGAGAGTCCCAAGAGCCAGACAATGCGGAGCTGGACTTTGACCACTACGTGGATGTGTACTTTGGCCACTTCCACCACCACTGGCCTATTGTGCATGCAGGGTCGTTCCGACGGAGCAAGGAGCCGCAGATCCTTCTTCTAGCAGTTGTGATGATTGGGCTTTGGGTTACCGGCGAGACGGGCTCGCAGACTAGGGCTGTAGCAATGCATGAGAAATTGCTAACTCTGCTAGAAAGTCGAACGGTAAGAGCACTCCGTCCCAGACATACCAGAAGCTAATGATGCAGGATAACTGGAAACTGAACATCGAATTCAAGGACAAAATGTGGCCCATGACAACACACCAAGCGGTAATTCTGAACATCATCTTCGCGATAATGCGAGACGCGCGTGATGATATACTCCAGCGGTGTCGCATTATGCTCCATGCTGTAACAGCAACCTGCATAACAGGCGGCTTATTCTCGTACCAGAACATGCGGGCCCAGGTCAGCCCAACCGACTCTGTTCTATTTGGGTGGACATATATCGAGGAGCTCAAGCGCCTTGCACTGGCTATCTTCAAACTAAACCTCCATTTCGACACCGGGATGCTGAGTTTATCCGACTTGACTTTTCCGCTGCCCGATAGCGGGTATCTGTTTGACGCACCGGGAAGTAATGAATTCTATCGCCGGTATAATGTCCAGGTTGAATGTGGGACTTGCCCTGGGAGTAAGCCGCCGATTCGCGAATTGGTAAAGGCTGTGCAGGAGGGTAGGAAGGGGGGAGGTTTACTATTTCATGTTGATCCATGGCTTTCGTTTGTGGTATCACAATATGTGCAGTCTGGGGTGTAGTAAGGGTATGTTTCGATAAGGACTTCATAATTAGCCAGATGTAGATAAATCTAGTTTAATATAAATATCGGTCTGAATGTTGCATCAGTCCTATCCTCTCCCTAGTAAGTGGCAAGGCTCGCTCCGGGAAGCAAACACCTGGATTCTAAATAAAATCTTATATCAACAATTATACTGAGGAGAATCTACGAGGTATGCCGCAATTTTCTAGGCATTTATGCACCCATCCACTTCCTGCCCACCGGCACATTAATAATCAATGCAGCAAGGAGTGGGCCTACACCAACAAAGTCTATATAACACGGGCAATTCAGCTCCTCCGGTTCAGGACTTAAACAGCTAGAGGAAACAAGACGGTAATGACGGCCACAGGAGAAGGCTCAATGCCGCGGCCATCCCAGGCACTGGAGAGGGTATTGAGATACCTAACAGAGCAGATGTGCATAGGACATGGACGATGCAGTCACCACCAGAATGGGACTTGGTTCCTTGAGATGGATACGTGGGGCCAGCTGGGGGTGCTACGACACCTATTGTGCCAGCGCGACCCAGACTTGCCATTCACAGAGCAGATATTAGACGACATCGACACGGTCCTGACTCAAAAGCACAGCCATACATTGATAACACCATCCGCATCAATTACGCCGAGAATCACTCTTACCCATGGTGAACAGGCGACAAGAATCTCGCTGTGGAAAGGCGACATCACTACTCTAGGAGATACTACGGCCATTGTAAACGCAGCCAATTCTGCCCTGCTGGGCTGCTTCCGTCCATCCCACCGGTGTATTGACAACGTTATCCATTCCGCGGCTGGTCCTCGTCTCCGTCAAGCATGCTATGGCCTGATGCGAGAACAAGGCCATGAAGAACTCGTCGGACGGGCAAAAGTGACGCCAGGGTTCAATCTGCCAGCATCTTATGTCATTCATACTGTCGGACCGCAGCTCAACGGTGATCGAACGCCCAGCCCCAGCCAGAGAAAGCAGCTGAGCGAGTGTTATGTTTCGTGCCTTGAGGCAGCAGAGTCGCTACCGGCACTGCCAGATGCACGCAAGGTTATTGTGTTTTGCTGTATTTCGACGGGACTATTTGCCTTCCCGTCAGATATCGCGGCAGACATCGCCATAGAAACAGTACATGACTGGTGCCTGAAGAACCCTGGAACAACCCTGACTGATATCATTTTTGACACCTTCCTTCAGCGGGACTGGGAATTATACAATGCTAAGATTTCAAAAATAACCACTGGTATCGATAGAGATGCCCGAATAACGACGGCTGCACAACCCCCAAGCACGGCTATATCTTCTGCAGTTCAACAGGCCCAGTCCTGGCTCCACGATGCAGACTACCTCATAATCAGCGCCGGTGCTGGCCTTTCAGCAGCAACCGGACTAGAGTACACCTCTACAGACCTGTTCGCAAAATACTTCCCAGCTTTCCTCCCCCTCGGTCTCAGAAAGCTCTACGACGTCTTCGGATTCAGCCAGTGGAAATCTCCAGCCCAGAAATGGGGCTACTACTTCCACCACCTCGACATGGTCCGCAAATGGCCTGCATCTCCTCTATACAAGAAATTATTAAAAATAGCCAACCGCTTCGGCAGTCGCTGCTTCATCCGCACTTCAAACGCAGATGGTCTCTTCGTGGCAAACGGGTTCCACCCATCGCGCATCTCAACTCCACAGGGGCAATACGCCTATCTGCAATGTTTCGCGAAATGTCGTCGTGAGGCTGTATTCCCCTCTGCGCCGTTTCTTAATGCCGCGCTTCCGTTTCTGCACCCGGAGACGCAGATACTTACAGACGAGTCCAAGATCCCATCCTGCAAGTACTGTGGTGGTGAGCTGACGCTCTGCGTTCGGGGTGGGGACTACTTCAATCAGGCCCCATTTGTGTCTCAGGAGCGTGAATATGCACGGTTCCTGCGGCGGGTATCTACAGATATAGAAAGGGGTGTCACTGCAGAGGGAGCAGCGACGACAAGGGCTGTTGTCTTGGAGCTAGGCGTCGGTTTGAACACGCCCTCTGTACTACGGTGGGCGAATGAGGAGTTAGTCGAAGAATCACCGAAAGGTGGGATTCGATTGATTAGAGCGGGACTTGAAGCCGCTGGATGTGCGCCTTGGGAGCTTGAGGAAGAGGGCCTAGCTGTTGGGATAACAGGGGATTTGAATAGTGTTGTTGATATGCTGGCTATTGAGTAGATGGTATAAATTAACGCCTGCTGGTTTGAAAGATATTCCCATTCAATTAACAGCAGAGAAAGAGGCGATGTCTTAGCTTAGTAGTCCGCATTCCATAGAGGCTTAACAGACCACGCCATAGCCTTCGGCTCAAACGCCACACACTGATCATTCTCATCAGCAGTGAAAGTGTGCACAATCTCGCTGGTACACTCCTTATCTGAGTACGCCGCAATCTCCCACCCGTTGTTACCGCTCTGAACTCCGGAGGTGAACAAGATATCCTGGACGCCGGGGTTGACATAGTAGCAGTCCGTCGGCAGGTTCAGGCTAAGTGTCATACCGACGCCGCTACAGTCGTCATTCAGTGTATCTAGTCCCAGCTGTACTCCAAAGTCCAAAGGGACCGGGGTGTCGGAGTTTTCAGGGACTGTGGTAATTTCCCCGGTTCGGTTGGAGAGGAGGTGACCTTCGTAGTTGGCGATGTGTTCCTCTGCTCACGATTAGTTCTATTTGGATAAACTTCTGGTAACAGGCTATACCAAGGTTCAGAGAGGTCGTTTGATAGCTGGGACCTGTTGCAATGGGGCACGAGCATTGCAAGGTGTTGCCGTCAATGAGGGTACATTCCCTGCAGGACTGGCGGTATTGGCCACTATACTACTGTTAGCTGAATTTCCAAATGTATATTTATACATACTCTTCCTTCCACTATGAACATATTAGCGTTGTCTACTTCAGGCGGCAATGAATACGTACCGCGAGATCTCCACCATCGTTTCCGACGTTAGAATTCAAGAAGACACTGCTGGTAATATCGTCGCCATTTCCAGAAGGGCAAGTAGCAACCAGCCAGGAATTGTTGAGCGAGATATCGGTGCACTCGGTCGAGAAGCCCTGGGCAGCAGCGAGGGATGCACCGGCGAGGGCGAAGAGGACGGAAGAACGATGCATTCTGAGTGGTTGGATGGTATGAACAATTACACAAATAGCTATGGAATACAGTGGCGTCGAGCCCATATTTATATCCTTTTTTGTATACACAGTCGATCTAGGCTAATCAGAACGGGGGTATCTTGCATTAGGGTGTAACACATCGGACATCCCCGACTGCTACATCGTCGCAGCTCTGTAAATATGAGTTGCCTGTCGTCCAGCTAACATGACTCGTGAAGCAAAATCCGACAGGAAACTTACTGTTCAATTCGCGGGACTAAAGTGGTGGCTGCGCTAAAGGCATTCTGCAACGGGCTGAGCCACATCAGAGTTCCTCACGGAAGCCGGGCATTTGATCATTTGAACTTGCCAGAGAACCAAAGAGTGCCTAGGTTAATAACTGAGTTACTGGCTATCTATGCTTGGAACAATCTCCACAATGCGCATCCCACCTGGGCCGGAATGAACCTTCCGACGCCATTTTCTATAACGTCCTGCCCTAGTACGCAGTGCAGAATCTATCGCGTTGCCAGGTCTTTTTCGCGAGGTACATGTAGCTCAGAGATACTGTTGCATAAGTAGAGTAGGGACTTAATTTTGTAATTGTCAGAGCCAATATCGCTCGTCTCCAGGCTCTAATTCAAGGCAATGTAGCAAGCCTGGGGACGAGGACTACAGGGACATGGTCGATATTCTTCGTTGACCATTCTCATGGCATTCAGTAAGTCCGGAGCCAAGGCCGAAACTGCCTAATATCAAGTAAGAATAGGGCTTGGTCTAGAACCGGTAAAGGTGGCATGGTCAAATTACAAAGCATTTGCTCAGCCCCCGCAAATATACAAGTCTTCCTTCGCGTGGTCCTGAATAATTCAACTAGCCTCATTTGTGCCCATTCTGTCTGAATGGTGGATGCCTATACATGGTGGTCTGTATGATCAACTGATAAGATGGAATAGGGTCTTCAGACGCCACTAGTATAAATGGTTTGCACTGGTCTCGATCCTATTCGGTGATCTAAAATGTGGGCAGTAATCCCCATACCTAATATGGTGGAAGCAATCATCATCTGGTACACATAATCAGCCTATGATATGGTCCATCGGACAGGTGAAAGGTAATCGTTGATGCTTTAGCCCCTTAACAGCCCCACGGTCCCACTACGCATGCTCACGAGCTGGGGACGGTTCAAAAGTCGCGCACGGCTTCATGATACCAGCGAGGCGGTTTGATGAATCAGAATAGCCAGACACCCTCTAGACCATATAAAACAAGCCAAGGACATTTAGTACAGCAGACACAAATAGATTAACCGAGCGCTAGTAATCTGTAAAGTATAAGACGATACCGTACATAGAGCTGATGCAATAAATCTCGCAGAAAATCAATGACTCTCAATCCCTCGTACCGATCTCCAGGGGCCCCTTGGGCACTGGCATGGCTCTCCAAGGTCCACGAGGCAAGTCAATCGCGGTGTAAATGTTGCTCCTTGGATTGAGACGACCCCCCATGGCCCTCTTTATCTGGGAAACCCCCGTATCCAGAAGCTCTGTAACGGCAGCTCGGCACCTCATCTTCATGGTGACAAACACCAGTCTCCCAGACGTAGGCGGTACCAGGACCACATGTCTTCCTAACCGGCTGGTGTCCGGCATCGCACTCGAAGAAGCTGTGGCAGTCACGGTGATCAGGCCAGTAGTGCCCAGGCTTGCAGGGGGGAAGTTTGTTGGGGTGTCCGGTAGGCGGGGGTCGCGCAGACACAGCGGCGAGGACAGAGGCAAAGACGATGGACATAGTTGAGAGATGCATTTCGACCTGCGTATTTGGTGAGTCGAGAAGGCCCAAAAATACCTGAACTAAAACGTACTGTTTGGGTTGATACAGACGATGATATAGCAGATATAGATACTTGAAGACCTTGTTGGGGATTGCTGTTGATGATATTGTAGGGAATGAGTAGAACAACCTGGATTTTTATATCTATTAAGTCTCTGCCATCAAATATAGATCCCTATAAAGTTCTGCATGCGGGAAATAATTAATTGTGCATGGACATTGGATGTTCGCACTCGGTGTTCAAAACGTCAATGTTCGCCACGCATCGGAATGCGAGTGACAGGACCCCAGAATTCCGGGCCGCTGACAGCTATCTGACCTGCAACTTTAACACATACATATTCTAACCCTTAGAGTAATTTATTTCGTTGGAATGAGTGCTCCGAATGCATGATCTTGGGCAAGGATAGGGCACAGGGGGGGCTGGGATGAGTGCCCGAGAGCATCTCTCCCAGCCCTTCTTGTATACTCTCGTATATAACATTGTAAGTGGCAATTACGCGAGTCCAGATAGAATACTTACCAGTTTGTTGCTTTTCTATGGTAGTTTCGTGGCTTGCGCAAATAGCGCCAACCCTCCTTGCAAAACCGAATATGACGGGGTCTGGAGAGTATATAGTTCCACGAATAATGAAGGAATTTATAATGCATAAATCTAAGGCCCACCACGTGAACTCTCTGTTCCATTCACCTCCGGTTTTGAATTGGTCAACAGGGCCTGCTAGGTATCCAAAGGCCGGTCAAGAGTAAACTCCTGTGTCCAAATACTCAATATGCCTGCTAACCCCGCCAGCCCACAACACGTACCCCACAGTACCCTCAGGCTATCGGCATAAGCATGGATCAAATGCGTCTTTGCCTCCCCTTCCTGCATCTTGTGAATGACCTCCATCAGAGATGCAGCGTCTTTGCTATACTGTATCGCATAAGGGCTGAGCTCTGGATACGATCGAAGATTGACCCGCATCCGATTTTGAAATATCGTTCCTCCAATAGCAACACCAATGGTCTGGCCGAGAGTTCGGAAAAAGCTAAACATCGATACTGCAATACTGACCTCACTCGGTTTGACAGATGCCTGGATGGCAAAGACAATTGAAGAGAAGCAGACGCCGAGTCCGAAGCCGGAAACTAGCATGAATATTACATATTCAGCCTTTCCAGTTTCCGGCTTGATAAGGCAGCAAAGTCCAAGGCCAATGGTGGACGCTGCCCAGCCGATCCAGATTGTCCACCTGTATCGACCGGTTTTTGTTATAAAGAGGCCGGTGATCACTGCACCAGGAGCAACAGTGAACGTGACAGGGAACAGGGCAATGGCCGAGTTGATAGGACTGTATCCTTTCACAGCTTGGAAATATAAAGGCAGGTAATATAGCCCGGCCCACAGAATAAAACCATGTGCAGCTGTCCCTATATAGGTAACAATGGCGGTGCGGGTCGTTAGAATCGACAACGGGATTGGGGGATTGCGGGCAAGAAATCGTTCGTAGCACAAGAATGCAGCGATTCCTGCAAGCCCGAGTATCAGTGGTACAAGGACTCTCCAAGTGTCCCAGTCATACATCACTCCAGCCCAGGTAATGGGGATCAGTATCGAAGTGATTCCCGCAATGAACAGGAACGTCCCGACGTAATCGATGTCTCGGAAGCTCTTCCTTAGCGACACTGGGAGTGGTTGGAATTTCACAAGAAAGAGCATAATCCCTGCACTGATAGCAATAAAGGGGAAATTGATGTAAAAGATCCATCGCTGGTTCCGTCAGCAGTGGAAAGGCGGTGGTTAAGGGGGACTTCTTACCCAAGTGGCTTTCTCAGAGAAGCCCGCACCGAGGATGGGGCCAATAACCGATCCAAAACTCCAAACACCATTGAATATACCGAAGTATAGACCCCGAAGCCTTAACGGTATCAAGTCCGCTAAAATGACTTCTGTGGTGGTGATAATCCCTCCTCCTCCAAAGCCCTGAAATGCGCGGCCGACCAGCAACGTTGTGAAGTTCGTTGCACAACTCGCTACAACCGTCCCCGCGAGAAAGAATGCTAAGGCAAGAAGCATGACTGGCTTTCTTCCAAGAATATTAGAGAAAGCAGCGAAGGTGGGCTGGAAGACTGTGCGTATATCAGATTTAGTTCGTGCAGTCTGGAAACAAGCAAATCCTACCTGTAGAACAAAGAAGGAACGAAGTTCCACTCCAGAAGGCTTCAATAGCTGTGCCGCTTAGGCTATGAGCTAGGATCTGTCCAGAGTAAATACAACGTACGTCGCAAAAGGATAAAGGAGAAGCTTACCGGTAAAGCCACTGCGAGGGAGGTTGCATCCAAAGCTACCGCCATAATTGCCATTGACAGGGAAAAAACAACAATATTGAGTGAAAAGGACGCTTGAAACCCATCTCTTCTACCTGCTGGAGAGGGATCCTGGATTTGGTGAGAAACAACGAGTTCTTCATGAGGTTTTCTGGGAAGCGATGGCCGTCCTCTCTGAGGAGGGCTCTCTTCGGTGTCCATTATTTGCACCGACGATAAACCCATATTCGATGGCGAGCGAACCTAGGCTTATGATTAAAAACCAGGCGGCAGTTGAGATGTTAATCATGGACCCGCTGGGCTACATGTTGTGTAATGTGACATGTACTCTTCGGCTGACCGCAGTTCAGTTCCTTCGATGGATTGGGCATATTTAGACAGGTCTATTCATTGGTGAGCGGATGCTCTGATCTGACGTTTCGCACGCTATATAATGTGTAGGACTCCCTGAGCACCAGGCCAGACTCTAATCTACTATTCGATTCAATATCTCAGTCGAAGGAGGACAATACCCCTATCGCGCAGGATGGACCATCACATTGTAAAGACCATGCACCTATATGGCCTCGCAGTGGTCCCATATAGTCGCGAATTACTCTCCTGAATATATTGAGATCGTCGGCACCTTTGCTATCCATTTTTGTTTCTCCTGGCTCGTTTCGCTTTTTTTTACCGTCGTCGATCTCTCCGCTTCTGAATCGATGCTCGAAAAATATAAGATTCAGCCCATCTCCAAGCAAGCCACCCGCCATGCGCTCCTCCAATATATCCCCAGCGCCTTTCAAAACCAGGTTCTTACTACCGTCTTGCATTCCATCAAAATCCTCGTTCTCCGCAGGGTCACGGGCCGATTCGTCGGCTATCGCATCGAGCATAAATTACCATCTCTAGCCGAAATCCTCGTGGACATTCCTCTCTGCTTTCTTGCACGGGACTTCCTCTACTACTACGGCCATCGTCTTCTCCATCAGGCGTGGTTTTACCGACGCTTTCACAAACAGCACCACAAGTTTACCACACCCGTGGCTATATCAGCAGAGCACATGCACCCATTTGAGCACACCCTCGTAAATATCCTGCCGATTTTTGTGCCGTAAACGCTGTTACGGGTACATGTCGTTACCTTTTGGTTGCTTCTGGCATCAGCAATTGGGCAAGGGGCCCTCGGCCATTGTGGGTGGCATTTGCGGAGTGTGTTTGGCCGGAAGACTACCACTCATGATGCACACCATGAGATGTCTAATGTCAATTTTGGGACGCTGGGCTTGATGGATTGGATGCACGGGACAGCCGATGTGACCAAGGCCCGCAGGAAAGGCGAAGAAAAGACGCAATGAGACCGACCTACCCAATATTTGGGTCCTGTTCTTGTGTCACACCTGCCGCACGCATGCCTGAGCTGGCAAGCACCATGTTGATCAAGCAACATACTGAATCATGGCTTCCCTACCTGACTAGGCTAGCTACATGCTTGTAAAGGAACTTATAAGAATCACCTAAATTGCCTCTACTGAGATTCTAATTCAGATTCCTTAGAATCCTTAATTTGACCTTCTCAGTCGATCATTGAAGTCGTGGCGGTGATTGGTCATCAAATTATCGAGTCCGACGCCCAGATCCGACACAAATGTAGTAAAAATACAACCCCTGGCATGTTATGCATGTGACACGCGTTTCTGATATATAGAATCTGCAGAGCCAAAAATGCCACAGTCTGTCATGATTTTCTCCGGGAACATGGCATATAAATGGTCCAGGGTTGCTGGGCACAAATTCCGCAATCAACCTCTCATTCATTGACGCCATGGATGCCACTATCGTTGACAGGAAACCGAACCCTCTTTTATCATGGCATATCGGGCTGCCAAACACCGAGCTGTACCAATTTCCGCCCGACCCTCGCCCGTTTCCATTGGAGCTCTTGCGAAGCTCTCACCAGCTGTCATGGGAGAGGCCCGTCGGTATTTCGCGAGCTGTATATGAGTATACCATGCAGCCCAGATTCCCGCTTTTTATTGTTTTCTCGTACATTGTGGCGGTGATTATTGGGAATATGATCAACGAGCAGCGAAAAAATCGACCAGCAGCATACGCCCAGACTCCTGGCTTCCGCAGATTTATCCTTGTCCATAATACGACTTTGGGAGTCTTTTCTGTCTGGGCACTTATTGGCCTGTCCAAAGCCATAAAGCATTCATGTCCCGAACATGCTGAATTCTCATCTATCACATTTGTGGATGCAATGTGCAAGGTCCATGGGCCGCAGGGGGTGGGGAACGGCTACATGGGCGTGTACAGCCGATTTACGGATGTATCGGAGTTTCTCAGCACCCACAGTGGAGGAAATAGGCTATGGGACCAAGGACTCGGATATTTTGGATGGATTATTTTCATATCCAAGATCTACGAACTTGCGGATACATTCATCCAGCTGTCAAAGGGAAAGAGAAGTTCTTTTCTCCACACATATCACCATGCCGGTGCTGTTGTGTGTGCATGGATGGGGGCCCGCTATATGGTTCCCGCAGCCATTGTGCCCTACTTGATTAACTTGGCGGTTCACATACTGATGGTAGGCAAGCTTCCTCCTGGGTACGAAAGGACTAATTAGCTGATACTCTATAGTACTCTTATTATGCGATGTCTGGGCTACAGTTTCGGGTTCCTGTGAGGATGAAACAGCTTTTAACAAGACTTCAAATCGGACAATTCTTTGTTGCGCTGGCCTTGTCATGGGCATACTTTTTCGTTGCGTATGACATCCCAACCACTTCAAAGCTTTCTGAAAACCCTCCACGTTCGAATATCCCTGACCAATCATCTGGACTCTTTGTTGAGGACCATGTGCCCTACAGGACTGTGCACTGTTTAGATAGCAGTGGCCAAGTCTTCTCATTTTTCTTTGCTACTGTCTATGTCATCCCTTTGATTATTCTTTTTATGGACTTTTTTGCCAAATCATATTTTAATGTGAAGAAGGCAAAGGTTACATAATGGTGACCTGCCAGGGCGATATGCGAGTCAGGTTGGATATCCACGAAATGGAACCACAGTTCTAATGCCAAGCTCTTTTAAGAACCAATGGTTATTCACAAACGGATTTGAGGCCTCGAACAAGAGGAATTGACGGGCATAAAACATGAAAAACGGCTTCTATACCGAAAATCGTGGTTCGTTAGCCCATGGTATGGAAGGCAGGATTGAAATCAATAGACATACAAATGCGAAGATGTATGTGCAGCAGGACACAGCGTGGAACAGTGTTTGTACACCAAAAACCTTGAAGTGGACAGTGGCCATGACCAGGTGGTAGATAAAATACCCCTGCGCCAATGCCGTAAGCAGCCCTAGAGCACCTGTGTACACGTGTATTCTCTCCACTATGTCGGCGGGCTCCCTACTGATTGTCCTCCATTCTTTGTCATTGAAAATGATCCAGACAGCGACCGTACTTATGAGGATGCTGTGCACAGATGACACGACATGGGTATGCCAGTTGAGCTTAGTTTCTGGGCAGAAACCTGGATAATGGTGGGGGAATAATCGTCGTAAGAGAAATGCGGAAATATATGAGTGGGTTAATTGATAGGTGACTAGTGTAAGGACACTCTCATGAACATGGCTTGAAACAGGAGGGAGCTCGAGATATAATGCCAAAGGAGTTCTCAAGGTATCCTGACGCCAGGTTGGTGGAGGGAGTGGGCCCAACATATGGTTTGTCCCTTCTATCGGTGGCGACGACACCCACAGATAGCTGGAGGACAAGTAGGAGACTACCGTGAGGATATGTTTCGAAGATGAAAGCGTATGAACAATTATGAAACACGGGCTAGACAGGGACTTCATTTTTGACTGTCAGCAACTACCGGGCCTCCTGTTTCCCTTTCAGTACTGTTTACAATTGCATATGAAACCTGCATGCGTACGAGCCACTGCACCTTCTTCCTTTTCGGACGGTCGAGACAACTCTTTTTGCAATGGCTTGCCCCCAATATTCTTTCTTTTGCTTTTTGCCTGATATCACTCTCTTTCCGAGGTAAATTAGGCTTTATATCTTGGTGTTGATCAACACCTGAGCATATATTCGCCGCCGCACATTCCACGTCTACGTGACAGGTAGCTTCGATTATAAGCAATCTCGCCTGCAAGTCGTCTATCAATGCCGGCAACACCTCTTATACACACTGGATACTTATTCTCGCAGGTCAATTATCAATGATTCATGTCGCTCAATCCGCTCCAATGACCGCTGCAAGCCAGCTGGTGACCTTGCGAGAATGGCATTTACTTATTTGTTCACATGGAACGCTCACCCAATCTCGCATCCAACAGTCTCACATCCTTAATTCCTCTCATGAGTCGGCATAGCAAAGGCTGCCCAACCAAACACAGTATCATCCTCGGTGAAATTCGACACCCTCTCCTACTGATTCGAATTGAAAACTATTCACTCTATATCAGATGCAAATGGCCCTCGTAGGTGTTCTTTTACGGGTCCTGATATTGCTAAAGCCCCTCATCATGGCGAGCGATCCTTAGCAGTAGTGTCCAGGCTCCTGGACAAAGAGAAAGGGGCTTTAAACCACCATCAAATCATTAAAATTAAAGAATCAGTGGTATTGATAGCTCTAAAAAAGTGCAGGAGTTGAAGCCAGCAAGAAGCAAATATTATTATCTATTAATTATGTATCAATTGTTACGGTTTCTATGGTGACCACATATAATTCGAAATATTTAATACATTCCTTAGCAGGACCACCTGCACCAAAACTTTTGGTGCACGCCTCCGTAGCTCATCTCTTAATGTATTCCAGCCATAAAGAAGTGGGATCTTCTCTCGCTTCGCCTAAACGTACTCACGTACCGAGTTGACACCAACTGTCAGATCGCAGCTATTTATACCCCTCTCCTTGACTTCAAACAAAGTGGTTTAATTCTCTGGGACTGACCTTGACAATGGAGCCTTTGTACAGTGCTGGATGTAGTTATTATTATTCCCTTGCAGGTGTGCCAGAAATCGGCACTGACTCCGTGTACCTGACCTGCCTTACGCTCACCAAGTCCAGCAACCACTCTGGCCTTCTGACGTCGAGCATTCTCATTTTCTGCGCTCTTCTGTATAGATACACTATAACACCCGCTTTCCTCAGCAAGGTATACGGATCCAGTTACACACGCCTCCAGCCATCCCAGCAGAAAAAGTTTCGCTTGCATCATGTCGGCTTGGTGTTGAAGATGATCTCCCTGATATTGATTATATTGCCTATATTCTGGGTGTTTGTACGAGGCTTCCACTGGAGTGAGCCATTATACAACAACTCCAGGATAGACCTTGGAGATCTAGCTTTCATGTCGATTACCACCGTTGCTGCCTTATTCATATTCCAGATGTTATTCGAAGAGGAAACAAAGCTCGTCCACATTGTACATCACATATGTGGCATCCTAGCTATCCAGGGAATCCAAGTTTGGGGGGTCAGCATCCCTGTTAATAGACTGCTTTCCCTGGCTAGCTTCGCTAAAGTCGCAGAGATGTGCTTATTGTGGAGTAGGTTCCACCACCTTTGAGGTCTGTTTCTACATCTGACGTTTATAGTACTGTTTTCCGGTGTGTACAGTGTCCTCACGACATCCAACAACATCCTCAGGAGGAGTCTTTCTCCGGGAGGGGCATTACTTCATCGACTGTATTACTTTACGGCTTACAGTACCTCAGCCATTACTGTGGTGGAAGCATTGGCGGTCCTTTACCCGACACTTTCGGGATCCCCCCAGTCTGATCTGTCTCTGAAAGTGGTTATTTTCCTACTCCAGGTGCTATTTACAGGGAGCAAGGCCCTGACCACTAGAACATTTCTTTCGATGGGCAAGGAGCAGAAAAGGCAATATGAGACACACCCCATAAAGACTCTTATTGCTCGCGATGGCGATGGGAAAACTAAGTAACGAGCTGTTTACGAGTTGATTTTAAACCCAACACATTTATTTATTGATTGCCGAATGGGACGCATCATTTATACGTTCCGATGTCTGTTGATTTCAGCAACGGGATTGTTTATCAAAAGCAGGGCCTGAATTAAACACCATCGCCCGGATATCATATCTCGTCGAAGTGTGGAAGGCAGCTAGCCGGTGTCTTGGGGCTTGTTTTACTTTACCATGACGTGTCTCAAACCACCTAATATGCTACCATTCTATGTAGAAATTATGTTTGATTGCTTTCAGAATACAATAGTTACTCCGTCAGTAGCGGTAAATATAGCTCTCCACGCTTTATTCGTCTGTACTTTCAATTACTGGAATCGAAAGCGACAAAACTGCCCATGGAAGCTGAGTCGAGGTCCGTTATTCCATCAATTTGTGCTTGTCCATAACGTGGGATTGGTACTCTTCTCCACATGGGTTGTCTTGGGCACATATCAGACGATTAAATCGTCTCTCAGTCTACCTCTAGCACCTGCTATAGAATGTCTTTGCAGATTTGACAACAGCTTTGACAGTGTTTATCCTGGAGTATTTGAGTCTCATTCATTATGGGACCGTGGAATCGATTATTACATGTGGATGTTCTATATGTCGAAATTCTATGAAGTCGTCGATACCGTTCTGATCCTTGCAAAAGGAAGGAATAGTTCCTTCTTGCAAACCTATCACCATGGAGGTGTCATGTTATGCACCTGGGCAGGCGTGAGATATGCGTCTCCACCAGCAATTGTCGGCATGCTTCTGAATTCAATAATACACACAATCATGGTAACTAGACCTTCCCAAGTTCCCTGCCCAGGGCTCTGTTAAGTGATGTCGATGATCAGTACGCTTACTACAGCCTTGTCACACTCAAGGTCGCGATACCTGGCTTTCTCAAGCGTAAGCTTACTGGGATGCAAATCACCCAGTTTCTTCTGGGGTCGATTCTCGCATGGTCCTACCTCTTTATTTCATATGATATGTCTACCGGCCACCGATGGCTATTATGGACAATAAAACCGAACAGAATGTCAGCTGGGTGGGCACTTCCCCTAGTGGGGATAATGTCAACCTGGTCCCCTGCTTAAACAACAGCCGCCAAGTCTTTGCGTTGCTCTTAACGACAGTCTATCTAGTGCCACTGACTTACCTGTTTGTCCGGTTTTTCGTCCGTTCATACCTGTCAGGATCAAAGCGAAAGCCTGTGAAATAGGGCATACCAGGCCATGAAGATTGTATCTATTCTACTAAATTTTCTTTCAGGTTTAAGATAGTCTATGGCTATTTGTATCTATGCGGTTCGGCGAGAAACTACGATAATCGAGCAGCGGGATCATTTCTTATTTCAACATTACTTGGTGTTGTATTATGCACTATGAACTGTTGCTGGCGAGGTACCCTGCATCTTGGAGGCGGCGGTTCAGTGTATGTTGCAGGATTCGTAACGAGGCACTGCACTCTGCACAGTTCCAGTCCGCAGCCGCAGCGGAGAAAAGGCATTGGCGTAATTCGTCGAGACTAGCACCGTTTAGACACGGGGTATCTAGAACCTTTAGAGCAGCCAGCGTGGTCACAAAAAAGCTGTCACGCAGTGAGTCTGAGGAGCTAGCTGTGGAAAGGCAGTTTACTCACGTAATCGAGAGCGTCCACTTGTAGATCGGACAGATATTCATAGCAACGCATATCATCGGCTGAAGCTGCACATAGGAATCAATAAATCGCTGGCAGTGGCCGCGGAGGTGGGCGCTGACGGCACCATCCTGTACGGCCTGGTAAACGGCTGGCCAGTAGATAGACAGCTTGCAGCAGTAATACTGAACATTTAGGAAATTGGACGATAATAAGTCGGCACCGTCCGCGCGGAGTTGGCTGGTTTCTTTGGGGAACCGGATGTTCGCAGGGAGATATTCGTACCATTCGTCCACTTGGCGTTCCAACTCAAGCGCAATTCCGGGGGCGTAGCTAGGCCGGTTATCTGGCGAGTAAGTAACGGCGGAATTACAACGATGCAACAGTCGGCGCATTGCGATTTCAGCGAGAAAGAATGATTGCGTCTGGTCTCCAGTCGTGCTAGTGCTATCGCTCGAGTGGGCGCTTGCCGGGGAGACGCCGGCGAGACTGTTGGAGGGCTGTGGTGGTGGAAATTGCCAGGTGCGACGGCAGTTGGGGAGAGGTATGCATTCATCCAAGTTCCAGATGTCGCTTTTGGCAACGTCTAGCTGGACGCTTAGTTCGCTTGCGGAGAAGTGGTTGGTTAATTCAAGCCCTAGGCTGTATTTGCTTGGTTGCTTACCTCTCCCACAACAATATCGCCCAATACGTTCGATGGGCCAGCTCAAGAGCATCACTTTCCGTACTTTGTAGTCCACTGTGAGACAGCTCAGCTGAGTTCATACCTTAACTACGCCGGGAAGCGTTGGCCTACCACTTGAAAAGATTCTGGATCTTAAAAGCAGCTATCAAGCAGTAGTCGTGCGCTTGAAAGGGCTTAACAAGGCAGCAGTAGTATACGCTCAAGAAAACAAGACATTGAATGCTCGTCAGCGTGCATTCCGCAAGCACGACAGGGAGCGATGAGAGAGCTGCTTCATAGTATGGGCCTCCGGAGCTCTGGCCGCGCACGACGCCACCGATTGCTGCCACTAGTAGAGCCAAGCAGCTGTGAGACGAGGGCGTTAGCGGCTCTGACAAGAGATGAAAATATCCCTCGGTAAAATCCAATGGAAGGATGGGGTAATAGCCATGAATACGATCCGAGAAGGCAGCCAGGGAGTCCGCGAGTTGGTGATGGGAGCTAAAGAAGATGCGCGGCGAGGCGCCCGCGCCCACGATAAAGTTCGCTCGTTCAAGCCGAATGAGACCCTGAGCGTAGTCGGCTTCGAGCCCGAGAACATGCATGATAGACCGAGTTGCCAGCAACCGAAATGGGGAGTCCTCGTGCGAGCCCAGCGCACTGCCCGGCACGACCTTGGGCTGTTTGGAAAGCAGCGCGGTGAGGTAGTCGAGACGCACACTGACATTCGCCAATTCTGTTTCTACTCTGCATTATCCAGTTAGTCCATCTCGAATGACAGCCCGGCACAGCAAGCATACCGGTTTGCTGGGCTTTCGGGGAGCTTTGGATAGCAGCAGTCCAGCCCCCGAATCCGACACGGGGCGCAGGACGGCCGCTGCCCGCCGCACTTGACTCTTCGCGATCTGCAGGTGTTGCAGGCGAGTAGGAGTCGTCTCCGAGTGTTGGTCATGTCTGATAGTGCTGGCTGAGCAGGGGGGGTTGAGGCAAGGGCAAGAAAGTTACCGCAGCGCGGAGGTAAGTTGAAGTACCGCGGGGCCGATTGTTTTCTGACCGGCTCCCCGCATTTATTGCAGCTTTCTTTTATGGGGAAACGATGCAGAGTCCAGGTGGATCATCGATGGGCTAGCAGGGCGACGCATGGTGCCATCTGTGCAGCCACCACTCGGAAGCCGGAACGATGGCGTCGACGGAAGAGGATCAGCCCTTGTTGACCAGGGACTAACAGGAGAACAGCATCATCGGGCGCTGAACGACGTGCAGCGGAATCCCTGCATGCAGTCAATGCCGACAGACGACACTTCGACCCACCTCGATCGGGCCAATAGGCCCCAATTCGGCGAAATCCCGGAGGCAGGGCTCCAGGTGGGCCTGTCGCGGAGTCTGGCTTTGCTCCGCGGAGGCCTGTGCCACGGCTACCCCGACACAGCTGCTCCCGCTGTCGAATATCATGATATCGTACTGATTCCCCGGCCTGTACATTGAAGAGTTGAACCGCTCGTACCTGCGTTATGCCAATGTTACCCCACACCAATGACACCGGCACGGATTCCACCTCGGTAGACTCCCCCAGACGGAGCAAGGAGGATGCTGCTGCGGCACAGGCAGTAAATGCCATGCCGGCCGAAGCCGACTTGACTGGTGTTGACTATTCCGTCGTCGACCCAGGTCAGAGATGGCGGATGCTGAAGTCTCAGAAGCGGTTCTTCCTTTGGTGTTAGTAAAGATCAAGGTCCCATACACAAACAGACACAGACACTAAAGGAAACTTGCACCAGGCCTATGGGTGTCCAGCGGTGTCATGATGCAAGGCTTTGATATCGTCGCCGGAGGCCAACTCGCTGCCCTCCCGGAATTCCGGAAGCAATTTGGATACCTCCAGCCAGATGGCTCATACCTTATCCCCGCTAGGTATCTGTCCGCGTGGAATTCGATTGCTCCGGCTTGCGAGATAGCATCCACTCTGATCTATAGCCCATTGCTAGAGAAATATGGCCGTCGGCCGGGTATCCTGGTTGCGTCTGCAATTTCAGCCAGCGGGGTTCTTCTGCAGCAGTTGGCTGCAGATTGGCGAGTTCACCTGGCAGGTCGAGGCGTCAATGGTTTTATTGAATCTATGTCTGGCGATGTCTTTGCTGAGCGAATACTGATGCAATGCAGGTATTGCGATTGGTATGATGTTCACCATCTCGCCACTGTGGATCGGGGAAACGTGTCGGCCAGAACTGAGAGGCTTTTACCTATGCTTCTTTAATACTAGTATTGTTCTGGGGCAGTTTGCTATGTCCGTGCCTCACTATATCTGTGAGTATTTGGCTAATATAAACGTTTGTAGGGCAGCCGTGTCGAGAGGAAGCAGCTATCTCACTGGCAAATGGTGAGACCCCACAAATATACTACGATATAGTCAGGAACAGTTCATTAAACTGGTGCTTTACAGGCAATGGTGGGTACCAGTTGTAGGGATGTACATATTCCCAGGTACCACGACATCAACCCTGAATGAAATTGCATTACCATCTGACCTTCCCACCACTAGCCATTCTCACCTGCGGTTGGTTATTCTTCCCTGAATCACCTTACTGGCTCCTCCGCCAGGGAAAGAGCACGCAAGCCCGGGAGTCTCTGCAGCGCGTATACGGCATTAATGACGAGACCTTCTACACCATTGAAGTCCGGCGTATGCAATCCGAAATCCTCCAATCCCTCTCCATCCAGGGAAGCAACTCTGAAAATAACCCGCGTGGTTTCCTGGGTCTCGACCTCTCCCGCGAAGTCGAATGCTTCAATCGCCTCAATAGAAAGCGCACCCTAACAGCCATCTTCACAGCCAGCGGGCAGCAGATGATCGGCGCGACGTTTGTCATCGGCTACTCGACGTACTTCCTGGACCTTCTCAAAGTAAAGGACTACTTCAATGCTTCTGTAGTCCTGTACGTGGTTATGCTCCTAGCAAGCATGGGCGCGTTCCCGCTGACTGAAATCGTCGGCCGCCGCACAATGCTCGTAATCCCCCAGTTCGTGCTCTGCTGCATGCTCCTTTTGATTGGGATCCTAGGCTGCGTACCCGACCAACGCAAAGCAAATTGGCCGATCATAGTCTTCATCTATATCTGGGCAATCATCTACCAGCTGTCCATCGGGGCCGTGGGGTTTGTGCTCGCCTCTGAGATTGCCACTGTGCGCCTGCGGAGTACAACCCAGGGCCTTGTTACCATCACCAACGCGGTCTGGGGGCTCATTATGCAGTTTACAATTCCGTACATGGTGAGCCAATCTACATTAAAATCTGTTCATTATATACGTACTCATCTGGCAATTCCTCCATCTATAGATCAATCCCGACGCAGGTAACCTGGGCCCGAAGGTCGGTTTTATATTCTTTGGGACTGGCCTTGTCGTTGCCATTGGAGGATGGTTTCTGTATCCAGAAACAAAGGTAGGGGAGCCTAACCCGAAGCCAGAGACAATAGAATAACGGGCGCACAGGGAGTCTCTTTCGAAACCATCGACGAGCTGTACGCCAGCGAGACCGCGCCCCGACACTTTCGGGCACTGAGTGAGCAAAGGCGGGTGTTTGTTGAATAATAGCAACTTTGAAGCTTTATTACTAGAGGGAGTTGCACTTTGTTATATTAGCCCTATCCTATTAAAGTAATGAAGTTATCATGTGAGGTTTAATGCAGGTTCTACGCATTTGCGTCATACAAATAACTTTTAGTACACTCAATATATATTAATCACACCAATCAGGAATTCGGTCATCGGCAACAATATTATCACATTCTACCTCACCAACTTTATGAACCCCTCGAAGGTATACAGTTCGTAGTTGATATAACTAGATACCATGGTGTATACCCTCTGTTAAGCCAGCCCTAAGAATATAAGTCCTAATATATTCATCCTCAAACTATCCTCTCCGTCACACTACCACTTATATACCACTTATCTCTATTAGAACTCCTCCACCTCCACCCCACTCAAGCCGAACCATCAACACGGAGCGGAACCTCAGAATGCTCCACAATACCACCCTGCGCCTCAGCCTTCTCTATCATCTGAATAGACGGAGTGCGTGGCCGCCAGCCCACACTAGCACGAGCAGTTGGAACCTCATTATACAGCTCATCAACCTCTTCCAGCGTCAGCCCCTTCGTCTCGTAGATCATAAAGTACACAAAGCCAACGCAAACAAAGCAGCACCCAAACCAGATGAAGAAGATCTTCGACTGCAGGTTCGCGTTGCCGTCGCCGTAGTTGACGAGATACGGAGTTGAGAAGCTCAGCGCCCAGTTCAGCAGCCAGTTTGTGGCAGTCGTCATGGAGAGGGATTTTGCGCGGGCTTTGAGGGGGAAGATCTCCCCTGTGACAACCCTTTATTTATTCATTAGCAAGGAAGCACGAATGAAAAGAAACAAGAACAGAAACGGGGATATATATACCAGGCGACCGGACCCCACGAGGCGGCGAAGAAGAAGATGAAGAAGCAGATAAACGCAATGGCCGCTTTCTGAGCCGCATAATTATACACGATGATAGTCCCTTGGCTATCCTGGCCTGTTGTCGTGGTCCCCAGAACAGCAACAATCAACTGCGAGACAGCCATCCCGACAGCCCCAAGGAGCAGGACAGGGCGCCGCCCCCATTTGTCAATTGCGTAGAGCCCCGGAATTGTAGAGCCCACGTTGACACAGTTGATAATCAGCGTGATGATAAACTCGTTCTTGAACCCGGAGTTCTTGAAGAACTGCGTCCCGTAGTAGATGATGAAATTTATCCCCGTTAGCTGCTGTAGCCCCTGCAGGCAACACCCTGTTACGAGGCGCTTCAGCAGATTACCCCGGAAGCAGTCGATGTATCCGGACTCGCCGAGGCTGGCTTCGTACTGGTGGTTTGTCTGGATGTCGCTGAGCTCCTGGCGGACTGCTTCATGATCTTCTGGGAGGCGGCGGAGTCGCGAGAGGCTGTATGCTGCGGCTTTGTTGTTGCCTTTCTTGACTAGGTAGCGTGGTGTCTCGGGGAGAATCAACATGCCTACGACAATGATGATGGACCAGGCAAACTGGACGGCTATGGGGATGCGGTAGGAGCCGGAGTCGTTGTGGTTGTGCGTTGCGTTGTTGATAACCGATGCGAGGAGGAGACCGACGGTGATGGCGAATTGGTACGAGCCGACGATGAAGCCTCGGATCCATTTGGGGGCAGTCTCGGACTGGTACAGAGGGACTGTTGGCGATACCACAGCTGTCAATACAATGAAGTCACGCAGAAGGAGAAAGAAACATACCCAGCGCAGAGATCAGGCCAACCCCCAAACCGGCAAAGAAGCGCCCAGCAAGAAAGGGCGGAATGTCGGTTGCGATTGTCTGCAGGATCACACCCAGGACAAACACAGCGTTAGAGGCAATCAGGCCCCAGCGACGACCGATTATGTCGCCCATGGGAGCGGCACCGAGAGCTCCAAAGAAGGTCCCCGCGGATAGGATGGACACAATGGCAGAGGACTGGCTCGACGTGACGTTCAGCTGGCCGGTGTTGTCCCTGTAGCCCGTGGAGAACGTGCGGGCCCAATACGGCATGGCAAGGATGCCACTGATGGTACCAGTATCATAGCTAGAAGACCAAATCCAGGTCAGAGAGAGCTTCTATTCGATGTAGATGTCTACCTGGGGCCAGGTCTGGTACTTACCCGAAGAGAATCCCCCCGAAGGCAGCGAAGCCACTGATGACAATGGCAGGCCATGCCTTCCCCGCGGTTTCTGCGGGCTTTTCGAAGAGAAAGCCCATGGTAGATCTGAGACGGCACAATTGCAAGGCGGAACAGTAGAGACGCTTCGAATTGTTGGTTGATGACCTCCTGGGAGCTGTGAGGAGAAGACAGTTATTAGTATTTATACCATGCCAAAGCACCCCTGTTGGGGAGAGCTTCACATCAATACTTTCTCCATACCGTGCCCTACATCGACGAGGAATACGCCCGATTCCGATGCCCAGTCTCCAGGGTCTGGTCTGGAGCGATAAGCTCGCGGAGATGTGGAGGTTTCTCCGCGACGTCAGCTATGGGGCATCGGGCGCAGCAATAATTGGGGGACCGCTAGGCAGGATTGAAGTCTACACCGTTGACGCTTTGGCACTAGCCCTAATTTCCCAAGTGTTTGCAGGGTTACGCCGCAAGATGGGCAGTGACAATTAAAAGTAAAATAATATTAACCAGTAAGATCTCTAGGTTTACATGGGTATGCGGCGAGCTTCTAAATCGCGGAAACGTTTCCCTGAAGGACCCTGTCGTTCAACATCACACTCATTTCCCGCAGCGAGGGGCTCACGTCCGCCATATTCGCGAGCAGCTCAGCAGCTAATCTGAGGCCTCGGGAAACGCTTGGAAAGTCTGCTCCTTCTGATAAACTTGGATCTTCTAGCGCTGCCGATGTTGCCATAGAGATGGTAAACACACTGCATCCCGAATAGACCGGTCAGTCAATCTTTACAGCTCAAGGGAGGCCACGCTCACCTCGCATACAAAGTCCATACATTCGGCTTACATACCGTCACAGCAGACGCGGCGCTGGTCGCGAATTCGGCGTAGCTGGTGAAGAATTTACGGACATGCAGTAGGAGGTCATCGTTTGCCTTTCCTGCACTGAGTGCTTCATAAACTGCGGGCCAGTAAATTGACGCCTTGAACGCGTAATACTGCGTGCGCAGAAACGTGCGCCGCGCTGAATTCGGCCACGAGTCGCCCGTGCATGAGCTTGAAGCGCCGAACGATATCGGCTCTGGCAGCATATGCAGCCACTCGTCTAGTTGGCACTCCAGCTCGGCGGCGACAATGGGTGCGTAGACGTGCTTACCCTGGGACAAGGTGCTGATCGACCAGGTGCAGCGCTGTAGCATGTTGCGCATAGCGATCTCCGCGACGAAGTAAGACAGGTCGCTGTCGCTGTCGCTGGTACTGTCTGGACTGTTGGGAGACTCGAAATGCTGTGGTTGGTTCCACTTCCGAGTTGCTGAGCTTACTGGGCCTGGAGAGTATGAAGCTACATTCCAGATTCCACTGTTGACGAGGTCTAGTTGGACTCTGATCTCGCTATGAATTGGTTAGCTCCTCCTGCCATTTTCGCAACAGATGGGGGCAGTCGAGTAGTGAACCTTTCAATCAGCAAGGCTGACCAGAAGCAGTTTCGGAAGATTGATGCTTCTATGGTATCATCATCGGTGCTCAATTCACTGTAATGTCGAAAGGATCAACAGTCATTTCCATTTCTACCTCGAAATGAATTCACTCACTTGATCAAATAATCCTGCAATCTGTACGAAGCCATGGCTACATAGTCGTGCGCCTGGCAGGGTTGCGCATAGCAGAGGTAGTAAATACCGAACAAGAGCAGGCACTGCGCGCTTCGCGGACTACTATCTGCAAAGACACATGGCAGCATCTCCATACTCGCTTGGATGTATGTCCCTCCCGCACATGTATGCATGGCGTCCATGATGGTTTCACACTCCGCCACACATCCAATGGCTAAGACGAGAAGAGTGAGGCAGGACTCAACCGAGGGCGGAAAACAGGAAGTTATCGCCTGGACGAACTCTTTGCTGTACTCGGCATGCAGGACTGGGTACCAGATCTGAATCTTCTCCATGAATGCATTCACAAGGCTAATGAGAGCAACCCATGTAAGTCTCTCTCTGCTTTTGAGGGTCCTGTTTTGCGTTGACTTACACGGACGCGCGCTGGTGGTCGATTATCACAGTGGGGATTCTGGGTGGGTGAGGAGATATTTCAGGTCTGCTGCGCTCCAGGTCTTCGAGAAACACAGGTAAGGACTGGTTGAGGTGGAGAAGGTTCATGAATGATGTGTTTTGGATCACCATGATCGGAAATTCAATGGACGAATAAACAGATGGTTGCTGGGCCTTGGGCGAGGGCGAGCTATTCAGAGACTGGCCTTGTACTACTTCAGTAATACGCTGCAGCTGTTCCCATATTCTAGATAGTTCCAGCTTCTGGCTAGGATACAATCAGAAACGAGGGGATTCTCGTAACTCGCGATGTAGCATTCCACTCACGGATCGGGTGCAAGACCTTGAGACTCCTGATAGAAGCAGTCCTTGCTGCGCTCAACGCAAAAAGAGCATTTTGGTCGCTGCCCGTCGCATTTCGTCCGTCGTGCTCGACAAGTGTTGCACGCCAGGGGACTGCGTCGTCTCCGGCTCTCATGGCCTAGGTTCATTGCCTCCTTCATACGGGCGAGCAACCCTTGCTGGTACAGATGCCTCGCGGGTGTGCAAACTCCATAATAACCAATTCGGGAGAGATTATGACAGTTGTTGTACTCAGCTCAACTAGACCGCAGTGTCACATACAAACTGTGGCTAATGCAGGGGCGCCCACGCAGGTCCCTGGTTGGGTGGAAGAACCTTACTAGTGTACTTCAGCCAAGCCTGCTTCTGCGTTACAACGTGCCCCAGCCCATCACACCATCCTTCCAGAACACGCGAAGAATATCTCTATCTCATTAGGGCGGGAGAAGGCGGGGGAAATGCGGCAAGAGGTAAGAACAACCGTCGAATGGGCGCCCAGGGTGTCTACACTAGGCAGGGCACCGTCACACGCACCTTGTTCTTGCCAGGTGAATAGTATGGCTCTAATACTGTAGCCAGCCACTATAACCCTGAATTCCCCATGGTATCGGGCAACGGGAGTGGGGACAGGCCCATGTGAGTGGCCATTCCCCGGATGCCCCGGAGAGGAGGAGTCCGAATGCTCACCTGTGGGCCGTGTTTCTGGCCCAACTCTGGTCGGGACACCGATAATCGTCTCGCTTATACGATTTGGTTCCATGAGTTTCGCCGATTAGTCGTTTATATCCGCATTAGGGTCGAACTTGTATCCAATGAGCTGTTCTTCCTGATGAGAACCTGATAGCCGGAGGACATTCCGGGCCAAGGGCAAGAGTCTGAGCACAGATTTGCCGTGGAGCAAAAAGTACATATTATGGGTATTACGCAAGCCTATCTCGTACATTGTGTGGTCCAACTAGCGTATATCCACTTGGCCGCCGTTCAAAGCAAGGAGCTTTCCCATTATGCAATATGTACAGCGCTGACAGGATGTTTTAAAGACATAGTATCGTGGTGTTTGTCCGGGGCACGCTCAACGGTGAAACTCGGTTGATTCGTGAAATCTACGCACATTTAGACTCCAGATGCAGGGGATAAGGGCCGTAAGACAATAAAGGGGAAAGACTGACCTACGGTGTGGATGTCAAGCATTCCATTTCGTGCGAGCCATCTAGTACTGAGCTTGTCAAGTGCGCTCTTGAAATCATCCAGAATGATAGTATCACAGAGGCATTTGAACATGAAACATAGCTGAAGGGCACCATTTGTTAACCCCGGAGGAGACCAGCGGCAGGTTGCCACAACGTGGAGCGCTCACCTTCCAGAAGGGGTTTATTCCTGTGGGCATTGCAGTGCTAAGGACACCGGTAACACTGAGAACATCGGCGACACTGAACAGAATGGAAAGGCACATTGAGCCCAGCATGAGACCGAAGCGAGGGCATTCGCGCACCAACTCAATGAGTCCGAACTTGTAATGTTTCTTTATCACCCAGAAGATATTACAGGTTGTGTAGATCCACCAGGGGTCGCTGGACAATGCACAGATATCAGCGAGAGAAGGATGCTGCAACAACGCAACGGTGCATACCGGAACAGTGCTTCCCATGGGCGGATCTTTTGGTAAGCACCGAGATTGATATTGTTAAAGTAGGCGAAGTTGGCGTAGATCTCAGCCGCCCAGTAAGGCTGAGCTAGGATAATCGTGCCGATATAAAATAGAGACAGCCCACGGCTCATGAACGGCCTATTCTTCATCCACGCAATCACATTGTGTAGGGACCACGATATGATCAGTCCGATTGCGGTTGACGCCAGGTACCATCCGTATACAGGGTCTGGCGCAAATATAAAGGTTCCGTGAGCGATAGCCAAGATCAACTATGGCACCTGGTTAGCAGGCACTACCCGTACTGATGTCTCTGCGAGCTACCTCTAGTAAAATCAGTTTGTGCAGCAAGACACCCGACCGCATGTTTGCAAATGTGACGCCGACCATGATCACCAGCGAGCCTGTCATGAGGCCCTGGGACCAGGCTTCCAGAACCAACGCTGCAGGGTCATCGTCAGGGCGATGAACACTTCTCTTCGAATGGGTCAGGCGGGCCCGCCCGGACAATACTGGGAGCTCCCATAATAAAGTCGCAGTCATATCTGCTGGAGGGACAAAGCAACAAGAACAAAAACGGAACCACAGGGACTGCTGACCACGAGCCATTGATATATATTGGCCCACTACAAACCGTCTTGAGCGGGGAACGGCAGGGGCCAAAACTCACTCCGCATTCCAGGATGACGACGGATCTGGGGAACGGCTGAGCGAGCGAAATCACACCAACCACAAGTTCTAGAAACCTTCCTACTCCGTGCGAGCCACAGGGCCGGGCACCGACGCCCTCGCGGAGAGGAGATGCTTCTCCGCGATCCATGCTGAGGCGACCTGTGATTGGCTTTGAAATACGAAAGGCGACCAAGAAGGGTCCAGCGGTGGGGTATGGATGTAAGTACCTGATAGGCGCATTATTTATAGTGCGAAGTGAGATTGTATTTGCTCCATCTCTGTGTTGGTTGATCTAACCAGAGATCCAATTTGCTGAGCACCGATCTACAGCACCCCCCGTTCAAATACGCTTTTCATCCCGTTTCTGCACCGTTTACTAGCGAGAACACGGTGAGTTGGGCGTCAGTCGGCACGACAGTGTCCGTACCCTTGAACATCCCCACATCACATACATCATTGTTTGAGATGTTGCCATATAGATCTGCGGCTTCAGCTTGCGAGTACTGTCGCCTACACAGGAGGCGATGTGACCGAGCCAAACCAAAGTGTTCATTATGCGTCTCGCAGGGCTCGGAGTGTGTATATGAGCAGTCTCCTGATCCCCAACCATCCCAGCAAGTCCTTCCCTTCTTCAGGTCTTACATTGGCTAAAGTACCTGGCAGGTTGGTGCAAGAACTCATGAACGTCCGAGAAAGACTGGAGCGGATCGCTCCACTGGTAGAGCCGCCATCGCGTCAAGCCAACTTATACTGCCCGGCCCTGGTGATCAAATCCACTCACCTCATGCAGTTCCTCGGGTTACCGTCAAATCTAACGAATCTACTGTATATTTTGGAGCGTCCCTCTGCAGTATTATCAGAGCAGTTCGTCGAGCATATGGCTGTTGATTCTGCTGATCTGTGAGTCTGGCACCAACGAGCCAGCAGACCGATGCTTACGGGCAACTACTAGGATTCTCCACAGGTTCTATGATCAAATACATAGGTGGTTCCCTGTTCTCCATTCGGAGTTTCCTATCCACTTTCGCGAGTCAAATGCTGCGGGTTTCCCTCCCTCTACGACATCTTGCGTGTCACTTCTTGTCGCCGCACTGGCACATATAAGCTACGATAACACCAGGTCATCATCATTCAAGGCCGCTCTTTCGATGTTGCCAATAGTAATTCAAGAATACAGCGTGACAGGCATTCAGTGCTTGGTCCTTTTCAGCCTGTACTCGGCGTGCCTGATCCAGCCCCGACAAGCACATGATTATATACAAAGCGCGTCTCTAAAGATGCAACCGTTTTTGAAAAAGTACGCTTCTATTTGAGCTGACTACTGTGTCGCTGAATATTGGCATTATCTAACTGAGTAAAGCACTGTCTGTGGTCAAACCTCTCCTGAATCTCAGCTTATAAGGCGTTTGTATTGGACTATCCACATGATACAGAGGTCGGTTCAGCTACCTGCCTCGTTTTGAACGTCCTAACAAATATATAGTGAGCTTTCTATGCATCTGACTCTATCATCCTTAGGCGGAGGCATGCGTGGCCACTTGGATCCGACAACCCTACCTACCAATACAGATTTGTGGGACTGGTTCGACGCTTCGCACTCTCCCTCCAGATTTGCGTCGCCCGACGCCTCACAGGCAGAAGAAGCTTACTCGCCAACGGAAGCAAATTTCCACTTTCCTACGGAGATACAAATGCAAACGCTGTTGAACAAGTCCACCAGCTGCACAAGAGATGGGCCAAGCATTGGCGGGGAAATTCCAGACCCTGGCCACTCTTTAGGGCCCGCACTGGGCATGATCTGGTCGAGTATTGTGCCGGAATCGCACCCGACCGAACAACAGATAGACGGTGCCATATGCCGAGCCAAGTTTCACTTGTATGAAGTATCAACCTACTGGCCGGCGATATATCGCATCATAATGACCGGTTCTGCGGACCCCGAGCTGCTACCCCACGGGCCACTGTTCTTCCAGTCCCTGACAAGTTTCCTCGGTTCAGCGAACCTCGCTCTGCAAGTATGTTTGCCGAAGGCTTGGTTTCTCTGTGCGAAGTAGGTCCTACGGAATTTGGCTCTAGCCCATACTTACGCATCTCAGTATATACATCGTATGCATTGCTGCAATTGAGGCATCGGAAGTGCATTATCTTCGGTTGCTCTGCCAGCCACAGCTCTGGCAACAGATAAACGGGTCAGTTGATGCTATGAACCGGCCGAGTATGCTGAGTCCGTCCGTGCAGTATATGCGCGAGTCACTGAAGGCCCGGCTGGAGGGGGTCAGATTTAATAGAGGTCTTGAGAATCCTACGTGATGGCATGAGTTTTCCTGTATTCAATTTGTCCTCGAATTCGGTGCTAATCCGTCTATGGAAAATAACTGGTCACTCTTCCGCCACTACTCGTGGCTCAAATGTCCCGCTCTTGTTGCCCGTAACACTTGCTGTAAGGCCCTATTCCCACGTAGAACGCAATTCTTTCACCCCCAGCGTCACATTGCTCGTTGCACCGCCAGAAGAGAAGAGTCGGCCATACACAGCCTCAGTAGAAGGGAATATCTGGCTGGTGATCGTGGCTTCACCCTGCCCCCCGAAGACTTCGACGCTAGACCAGTCCACATAGACCCGCAAGGAAATAATCCCGTTTGATGGCGCAGACAGAGGCGCATAGTACGTACTTGCAAAGGTATCGTCGAAGGACACCTCTCCAGACTGGGACCGGTCAATGAAAACTTCTTGCGTGCCGAAATTATATCCGACTCGCGTTTGCTCGGTATAGTCCTGGGTTGCAGCAACGACAATTCCAAATTCGGAGCTGTTACCTGACGACGATTCCTGTCTACTGGAGAATGTCAGATCGATCTCGAGCGTCTTCCCGATACGGCCGAGCTCGCGAACACCATCCACGCGAGGGAAGGTGGTGGAATTACCACCAGGAGTGATTGATTTCCACTCTCCCGCTGGCTGCTGAACCAACGTGGCCTTGCCACCGATCGTCTTCAGGGCAAGGCGTCGAGGAACTGTCATGGCACTGCGCCAGGGATCTGTCGGAATGGCAGCGCCATACTGCCAGTTATTCATCCACGCGATAACCGTTCGCTCAGCGGTAGGTAGACCATTCCACCCCAGCGCTGCGTAGAAGTCTGGGCCCCAGTCGAGCCAGTTTGCTTCCTGGTCAGTCGAACCACTCCCGTCATAGACACTGTCGGGATCTGCGGTAAACGTGGTGCCGTTGAAACTACCCACGATATACTGCGTGCCGGACCCGACAGTTCCTGGAGGGCCGCCGGGGTTAAGGCCAAGCAGAAGAACCCATTTCTCAGAATTTCCGCCGTCGAGACGGAGTGGGAATATACTCGGGCACTCCCACACACCACCAACAGCGTTGACCGGACCGAACTCACTGGCCAACTCCCACTCCTTGAGGTCGTCTGACGTATAAATAAGGATCTTGTGCAGTTTTGCAAGACTAATGACTGCAACCCATCGTTCAGTACCCTCATGCCAGAAGACATTGGGATCCCGGAACTCCGGGAATTCATCTTGGTACGGAGCAGGAGGGTCCAAAATAACGGGATTGGCGGCGTCATATGTGGTCCATGTAAGCCCTTTATCAAGGCTATAGGCTATAGACTGGGCCTGTTGGTTTGCGCGGACGAGCTTCCCGCTAGGCAATGTCTGCTCCGTTGGGTACTACATAATGTTAAAATGATTCAATACGAAAACATTTCACGTCATGGACACTCACATAGGATGTATACATGGCAACCCAGGGAACCGTCCCATTGTCACCAAAACCGCTAGTATTGCCCTCGTCAACGACGGCGGATCCAGAGAAGAACATCTCGGTGATCTCATCTGGGTACCCCCTGGCTTCCAGAGCAATAGGCTGCTCAGTCCAATGCAGCAAGTCCTCGCTCGTTGCATGGCCCCAGGACATTGCACCCCAGGTATTACCGCCAGGATTGTACTGGTAGTAGAGGTGATAAACACCCTCATCATACAAAAGTCCGTTTGGATCATTCATCCAGTTTTTCTCCGGGCTGAAGTGGAATTGAGGACGATATGGCTCTGTATAGGCCCTGACGGGACTGTCTGCGGCAGCTTTGGCGGCGGACAGCCCCAAGAGAAAGAAAGTACTGAGTTTCATGGTCGCCAGCTTTGCGAGGTCGCGAGCAATTCTCAGATGTAGAAGAACGAGTGTGTGATTAGAACGTTTTGAAGTCCGGCTGGTCCTTGGGCTATATATAGGCTCCAGGGAGCAGCAATTTCAGCGAGCACGGATTCAGGCACGTTGAATTCAGGACGAAGTAAAGTTTCATCTACACGACCGTCGCGGAGAAACAAGTGCTAACCGACGCCCTGTTGCCCACAGTTTCATCCACTGGAGGTTACCAGGTGCCCTGTATTCCCCGCAACGGGGCGCCGGTGAGACGGCATCGGCATGGGGTACAGTGGAGCCCCGGTATGCGTGGGGTCTCCGGATATTCGCATCGGCAGCGGATGTTGTGAAGACAGGACGTCTCGCGGAAGACGCCACTCTCTCCGCGAGGTGGAGCGATGAGTCTCGCCCGCAAGTTCGAGGGCGGTTTTTACCCTAAACCCATCCCCGGCAGTTGTTGGCACTGTAGATCTGTATTTCCCCTGCAGAACTTCACTTTAAATCCTTGAACAATGGTGCGACATTCTATACAACAGCGAGCAGGGCGTAAATGCCTCATACATTGGGTGTAAATGATGGTGTTTTGTTGAAGAGTTGCAAAGGCATATAAGGTCGAATATCCAGGGAGATCAGATACATCATCCAAATCAATCCTGCCTTCTTTCCTAAGTCAATAACAAGAATCCTATCATCATCATGATTGTTCCGACTCTACTCCTTCTTACTGCCCAGGCTTTAGCCGACGACTATCGCCCACTGTTCCACTTCGTCCCGGAAAAAAACTGGATGAATGAGCCCAACGGGCTGATCAAGATTGACTCTGTCTGGCATCTGTTCTACCAGCACAACCCAACCGAGAATGTCTGGGGAAACCTGAACTGGGGCCACGCAACCAGCACCGACCTTGTCCACTGGACGCATGAGCCCATCGCAATAACAAGCGAGGACGGCGTCGAAGCCTTCACCGGGACTAGCTACTACGATGCTGAAAATACATCAGGGCTAGGCACCACTCAGAGCCCGCCCTATCTGGCCTGGTACACAGGATACTTCCCGTCGAATGGTACACAGGACCAGCGCCTTGCGTACAGCGTGGATGGAGGCGTGACTTACACAAAGTTCGCTGGTAACCCAATTATCTCAGCGGCACAGGAAGCGCCCCATGATACAACCGGGGGGCTGGAGACGCGCGATCCCAAGGTCTTGTTCCATGAGGCATCTGGGAAATGGGTCATGATTCTTGCCCATGGTGGCCAGGACAAAGTGACTTTCTGGACCTCTACTGATGCCAAGCGTTGGACCTGGGTGAGCGATCTTGGAACAGCCCAGGTACCAGGCCTGCCGGCAAATATCACCGGCTGGGAGGTGCCGGACCTTTTCCAGCTACCTATTGAAGGCACCGATGAGACTACCTGGGTGTTGATTCTGACTCCGGCAAAGGGTTCTCCAGCCGGTGGGAACGGCGTCTTCGCCTTGACAGGTTCATTCGATGGCGAAAGCTTCAAGCCGGATCCTGTGGAATCTGGGAATCTGTGGCTTGACTATGGGCGTGATTTCGACGGCGCGATGAGCTGGGAGAATGTTCCTGGATCGGATGGGCGACGGATCCTCGCGGGCATCTCAAACAGCTACGGCGCCAGCCCGCCAACTAACACCTGGAAAGGGATGCTCTCGTTCCCTCGCACTCTGGCGCTACAGCAAACAGGTTCTGCGCGTTCCTTTATTCAGTGGCCTGTCAGTGAACTTTTGGATATAGGCTCGCCTCTGACAACTATACAAAACAAGACAATTGCCCCGGGCCAGACCCTTCTGTCGTCTGTTGGGGGAACAGCATTGGATATCGAGCTTGCATTCACCCCACAGAAAGACGCGATTTTGTCACTGGCAGTTCGAAAGGCCGGATCACAGCAAACAGTCATCCAGTACAAACAGTCCACCGCGACGCTGTCAGTTGACCGAACGGCTAGTGGGGATACAACCTACGACGCTGCAGCAGGGGGCGTTCACAATGCTTCTCTGCAGCCCGATTCTTCGGGGCTGGTCCATATCAGGACACTGGTTGATACCTGCTCTGTGGAGGTTTTTGGCGGGAAAGGGAAGGTTGTTATCTCGGACCTTATCTTCCCAGATGACACAGCAGATGGCCTGGCTCTGCAGGTAACTGGAGGGTCCGTCATGCTACAGAGTGTAGTGGTCAGGGAGGTCTCTCTTGAGTAGATTGCTGGAAATTGCCATACTTTTTCCACATCGTCGGAGGACGCTGCCCGGAATTCTGGAACTCGTACCTTTGTGTTCTTGGTTTTTATGCTTCATTTAGTGATGAGGTCCGCGATAGCTGTAGGAACATAAGCGTTCTCTATGATATTGAAATAAATTGAAGCATTGCAGGTCGATTTACAATTGGGGAGGCGATCCCTGGAAAGTATTTCTGTAGCTTGTGGTAACTGGCAAAGAGATATTGACATGCTACCTACCCCGTGGGACATTATAATGCAGGGACTTTTCACCTGGGTGGGATAGTGCCACCCTCGTAAAACTGTCCCATCACAGGTACGAAATTCCACATCCTTTCTCTGAATGGTGCTCCACTACACTCTTATCAACGGGTTGGTGGTTGTCGGCGATTCTCGGTGTTGTATATTTGGTAATTGCGGCGATTCGTTCTCCACCTGGTTCCAACGCAGGTATCGGAGCGTGGAGGTTTGCCGTGGGAAAAATAACAACGTACTGAGTTTTTACGGGTGTGTCTAAAGGCCAATGCTAACGAAATGGTCGACTTTGTGCATAGCCCATGGTTGTCAGGTATATCAGAAAAGTCTCCGGGTCATCGGCACCTCGGCTTGGGATTGCTGATTATAATAGTAACAAGCTTTACCCACTGGAACCTCTCTACCCTGTTTACTCACTCAATTCTCGCAGAAGATTCCCTGATTCAGCATGGCCTTCATAGTCACGGAGCACTCCCTACCATGTCAACATTTGAGGGAGTACGATCATGCTACCACTTCAGAAGAAACAGTCCTGCGTCTTGCGGTCAAGGAATATATTCCAAGAGAGAACCTCAGTCCAGCACCCGGAGATGTGACTATCATTAGTGCTCATGCCAATGGGTTCACCAAGGTCTGCTAGACAAACACAACAATGAAAACGTGGATAATGGCTGACGGCAGGTCTTTTGAAGGAACTGTATGAGCCCTTGTGGGAAGACATGGTCAAGTCTCTCAAGGATATGGGTATTTCGGTGCGAGCAATATGGATGGCCGACTTTGCAACCCAAGGTGCGAGCTACGTCCTTAACGAGGACAAGATCGGAAACGAGCGTAAGACCTTTTCCGATGTACCGAAAATCAAATATGTGAAATAACAAAGAGAACTTAGCTTCCTGGAATGATCATTCCCGCGATCTACTTCATCTAGTGAATACATTCCGCGACAGGATGCCTCGACCAATTGTCGGAGTAGGGCACAGCATGGGGGCTTGTCAGATTGTGAACCTGGCTTTGATGCACCCGAGTCTCTTCTTGACCCTAGTTCTTGTTGAGCCGGGCATTATGCGACATCACACACTCGAGCGTAACTGGGTTCCAGCAAAGGCCTCTGCTGATCGCCGTGACATCTGGCCCAGCAAGGACGCAGCAGCTAACAGTTTGCGAGCTAAGGCTCTGTACCAGAAGTGGGACCCTCGTGTGTTTGAGCGGTTCCAGCAATACGGACTCCGACAATTGCCTACTTTGCTATATCCTGAGAGCACAGGGAACGAAGTGACACTGACAACACCGAGGCACCAGGAAGTGTTGGTATATTTAAGATTGATATCCGATCAAGCCCAACCAGACCGACAAACAGCATTGGACTTTGATCATTCAGCCGACCAGATTTCGCCGTTTTATTGTCCTGCCCCTGTCATGGCCTTTCATCAAATCCCACACCTACGACCTAGCGTTCTGTACATTTTAGGAAACGATGTCCCTAATGCTGTCACCGAGATGGCCAAGGATAGACTTGAAAATACGGGAACTGGAGTTGGTGGTTCTGGCGGGACTGCCAGTGGGCGTGTCGAGTCCATCACCCTTGATGGAAGCCATCTGCTGCCGCTTGAGAATGTACAGGAGACTGCCGAACAAGCATCGTGTTGGATTAGCAAGGAGGTGCAACATTGGAAGCGTCTGAGCCATGAGAGAGAGCGACAATGGGCCCCTCTCACATTGAGGGAGCGGCAGACATTCAGTCTGGCATTTCGCGAGGCTTTGCAGAAAGGGCCTACACAGCGTCCCCATAATAAGCTGTGATGATACTCCATTATATATATATAGACATAAACCAGTTATAGTAGCACTATAGACCTACTAGGATTATATCGAGGTATTCCTTGGCTTATAGCTTGGTCCGAGCACAGAAGCGCCTATATATATTTGATAGGGATGTATTATTTGTCCATGGTTAAGCGCCGAAGAGTTATAAGATTCAAACAATTCCGAAGTACACCACAAACCTAAACCTATTGCTTGATGTTGAATCACAGAATATTGCAGCCAGGCTAGAGCTTGGACTCGTTCAACGATCTATGTCCAAAAACCTGTCTCGCCGGTAACTCAACCCCCCAGGCAATCCTACAATCCCACCGCGCATGCTCATCCGCCGAAGACGACTCAAAAGCTGCATAGGGCTTCACGATATCGCGGAAGGCAAAATCACCAACGCCTGCCTCACCGTACAAAGTCCACCTACGCGCCATCTCCATCTCGGGGGCGTTCCCATCCCGCTCGCCATCCACCGCCAGCAGAGCCCCAGCCAGTATCCACGTGAAGGTAAACATGACCCTCCGGGCATCAGAAAGCAAGTTCGCATTCGGGGTAGACTTGACACGCGATAGAAACGACGCAAAGGCCTGTTTAAGTGCATCACCCAGCTCAGGCGTCCGGATCAACGAAAGAACCCTGCTAAACCATCCCGACAGCACGGCCAGAGTATCGCGTTTCATCAGGAACCGCACCAGCTCACTTGCCAGGACATTTGTCGTGCCCTCCCAGATAGGATACACGGCCACACTGCGAAGAAGTCGCGAAACGTTGAATTCAGGCTCGTCCGGCTCGTCGATGTATCCGACGCCGCCCATCGCTTCCTGGCACTCCTGCACGCCTGTCATAGACATCTTGCTGACGGTGCCCTTGCAGATTGCGGTGAGTACACGGAACACGACTGCCGCCTCGCCAGGGTCTTGCGGTAGATGCGCCTGGTTCGCAGTAGCATGTGGTGCATTTTCAACAAGCCCCATGACCGAAATAGCGAGGAAGGCGAGGTTAATGGCGCCGCGGTGTTTAAGTTCCAGATCAGCGATGACGCGGAGATGCATGGGGATCAGCCACAATGGTTCGCCGACGGTGGTGCGGCACCTGGCGAAATTCTTGGTGATGTCGATGGCGCGGCGCCATGTTGATAGTGTTCCCAGTAGGGTCTGGATGCGGGTGACGTTTAGTAGGGGCGCGATGGTGCGAATACCCTCGTCGAGGTCGCCGACTAGATGGGCGCGCATTCCTCTTAGCTCTAGCTCAGCTGTTGGTAGTTCTTTGGTGCCGAGCTTGTTTTTGAGTCGGTGGATGCGTACACCGTTGGATAGTTCCTCTGTCTTCCCATCAGGCCCAACAACTGTCCTCCGCAACGGGGCGATGAAGCAGCTCAGTTTGCCAGACTCGGTTTTTGCGAGCAGAAAGGCGACGTTGGCATCCGTAGCAGAGGAAAAGAACTTGAATCCGTTGATCAGGTAGTCGCCTTCGGCAAGGGGATCAGTCGACGTCGATCCCTGCGGCAGAGGAGAATAACTGGCCCATGTCTCGGTATTTTGGACATCACTTCCGCCAGCTCTTTCTGTCATCCATTGCCCGGATGTCCAGTTGTCCTCTCCGGTTGATGTTAGTCTTCGGAATACAGTGTGCAGGATATGGTCGCTGGGCAAGTCTTTCAGACGCTTCGACAGTATGAATGCCGCTCCGTCAGTCATGCTCAGCGGACACCTATACATGGCCGATGACGGGGCAAACAGATATACACTTAAAAGTCAGCTCATGAACCATAACAAAGGTACGAATACTCACGCAGCATATTGAACAGTGCGCCGGTCATTACCATAAGAGCGATCATACCCCAAAGCAACAACCCTAAACCGTCAGTTCAGTTCTAATAAAAGGAAAGACAACTCACCCATTCGAAGCACCCCATCTCCCCAGCTTCTTCCATCCATCGGTTGTGATCAATCTGTCATAGCCATACCTCTCGCCCCAGACGTTGTATTTCTTGACATACGGCTGGTTGACCTCTGCGTCGGCGTTCCAGGCGTGGATCTGCGAGGAAACAGCCTCTTCGCCCATTTTGGCCAGATGGGGCTCAGCCCGCTTCAAGGTGTCGGCGGGGAGGTACCCTATATTTGTTAGTACTTGACGAAATACGAATCGAAGGCTTACATTGTAGCATTCGCTGGAGACCAGGGTCTGCAGTGTAGGAATTAGGCAGTGGGCCCAGGCGGGTGAAGGTCCCTGACTCTGCAGAAGCCGGTGCTGGAGTGTTGGTCATGATTGCGTATAACCTATAAAACTGTGGAATGTAGCAAATGTCCAACGGATGCAGGTTACAGGTCCATATATTAGTTTGCAACCGGTTCTGTATCCGAGAGCCTAGGTCGCTGGTTGTCGATGTTATGAGGGGTTCTGCCCGCCAACCGCCGTAAAATCGCCGAGAGAGCAGCCATCGGCGATTCTCGGTCTCTATCTCGTGCCCAAAGTATTATACTTTGCATTTTCGCCCCCAGGATATTTATCCGATCCGTAAATGGACTGTCTATGTGGTCATGCTTGATCGGGTCGATGTAGCCGCTGGTTGCCTTGACTCGGTCCATGATGTTGCCTCTATATATTAGTTATGCGTATTGACAGACCATTCATGCCACCACCGTATCCACAACTTGAGGAAATACAAAGTCCTTCAATATGCCAGTTTCTTCCACCTTCCCCCCAATCGACATTCCCAACGTCGATATATGGAGCTTTCTCTTCGAACGAAAAGACAGACCCTACCCAGATGATAAGAGTATGTCGCCGTTTATGGCTAACAAGAGTTGCTATAACTAACTACTACAAGTCATATACCAGGACGCCGAGACACAACGCCACTACACCTACCAGACTCTGAAGCAACGCAGTCTTACGTTTGGACACGGCCTGCAAATAACTTTCCAATGGAAGCAGGGTGATGTACTCGCGCTGTTCTCCCCTAATAGCATTGACACCCCGGTCGTAACATGGGGGACGCTGTGGGCCGGGGGAATAATATCTCCTACGAACCCTGTGTACACAGTCGATGAACTCGCATTTCACCTGCGCGACTCTGGCGCGAAGGCACTAGTTACTTATATGTCAGTGCTATCAGTTGCAAAGGCAGCTGCTAAAAAGGTGGGACTGCCAGAGGACCGTATCCTCCTCCTTGGAGACCACCACGACCCGGAAAACAGAACCAGGCACTTCTCCTCAATCGGAACTCTTCCTAGGATGAGCGCAGAGCGCCCGATTGTCGAGCCCTCGAGAACATGTGCCTTCATCGTTTACTCGTCAGGTACAACGGGGCCCCCGAAGGGCGTTGCGTTATCGCACCGAAACATCGTTTCCAATGTTCTACAGGCGAGCGCCGGCGAGGGAGGAAACCTTACCTGGAACGGCGGCAGCGACGGACAGGGCGATCGAGTTCTGGGTTTTGTGCCTTTTTCTCACATATATGGTTAGTTAAAATGTCGTTGCCGGCTTCCCGCATGCTAATACTTTTCCAGGGCTCCTGCGTCTCCTCCACGCCCCCTTGTATACTGGGTATCAGGTATTTGTAATGGAAAAGTTCGAAATTGAGAAATGGTGCGCGTATATCCAAAACTACCGCATCACGTTCAGCTACGTCGTTCCCCCAGTGGTACTGCTTCTGACCCAGCACCCGGCCGTGGAAAAGTACCATTTGTCGAGCCTGCGGATGCTAAACTGTAGCGGTGCACCGCTCACACTGAAACTTGTTGAAGCCACATACGCGCGCTTAGGTGTTGGGATCAAGCAGGGATACGGCTGCACGGAAGTCAGTCCAACAAGCCACAACCAGTCCTGGGAAGACTGGCATAGCACGATTGGCTCAGTGGGTAAATTGCTGCCGAATATGGAGGCCAAGTACATGAGTATGCCAGAGGAGGGAATCGACTCGGAACCAGCAGAAGTCAAAACAGGCGAAGTGGGCGAGCTGTTTCTACGCGGCCCAAATGTCTTTTTGGGGTATCATAATAACCCCCAGGCCACTGCCCAGACGCTTTCGGCAGATGGGTGGCTTCGGACTGGCGACGTGGGCTACCAGGATGAGAATGGGCACTTTTACATTACTGATCGTGTGAAGGAGCTGATCAAGTACAATGGGTTTCAAGTTGCTCCGGCAGAGCTAGAGAGTATTCTAGTACACCATGATGCCGTTGCTGATGTGGCAGTGATTGGAATTCAGAGCGAAGAGCACGGTACCGAAGTCCCGCTTGCTTTTGTCGTTCGCAGTGAAAATAGCATTTCTTCTGGAACCCCAGCGGAAGAGGAAGCTCGGAATATTGCTCGATGGTTGGAAGATAGGGTTGCGTACTACAAGCAGTTGCGAGGCGGCGTTCACTTTGTTGATAGCATTCCAAAAAGCCCCAGCGGGAAGATCCTGAGACGGCTGCTCAAGAATCAGGTACAAGAGACGTTCAGCAAAGGAGTTAGTGCGAGGTTGTAGATATAGCTCATTTAGCTCGGTTGGATATCTTCGCGTTTAGATGTTCCATCAGATAGATTATGCCGCCAGTGTGATGCTCAAGACGACATACCAATCTACCTAGACGACGAAAAGTGGGCACTTTCCGCCAGAATTACATTGATGAAATTTTAAATTTTGGGCTCGTTGGATGTATTACTTAATATGTCCAATAAACCCATATATCAGTAGATACTAGATATCTCGGTCTAGCAGTACTTCCGGCTATGTGTATACTCCCCAAGGGCATGTTAGATACCACAAAGTACGGTGGTACAAGGTACAAGGAACCCTCCAAATAGGGCCTCCATGCCTTATGCCGGGAGGAAGTCATGCATTGATATCAGTATATTGTGTACGCTGCTTAGATATCCAAGTTGATTGGTGATGCGTCCTCCAACATATACCGATGAACGTTGGCGTAGCAAAGCAGAGGACAAAATGCATCTGAACTCACGATGGCTGGTTCGGGCGCTTCCAAGCAAGGATAGCCACTACGAGCTGCGCAATTCCGATAAGGCAAGCCAGAAGTCCAAAAAAGGCACTCAGAAATAAACCGATGATAGCAATGGTCAGTGCGTTTCTCTCGGAGGTGTGCCGCTCTATCCACCAGGTGAACCGATTCCTCGGGGGAAGGTCCTGCACGAAGTTATACAGCTCTTCTAGGCGGGCGTTCCAGTAGACATATACGATGGGGTCGTTTTCATTCCTGATGTATTCAACAAGCCTAGCATCTCGATCGAAGCTTCCCTTGCGAATTAAGCGAGAGAGTAGTTTGTTTGATTTGCCTTTTGGGTCGTTTGCCACTGGGAAGAGAATGGAGTAGATTGTGTAAAGAGTTTCGAGAAGTAACTGAGGAGGGAGTGTCCCACTGTACAGAGTCAGACAGTTTGCAGGTAATGGCAGCAGCATGAAGGCTTACAGCTTCAGGCTCTCGCAAGCTTCTTGATCGAGAGGCTGTTCTTCAGACCGCCGAAGGTGAGCCTTTAGATACGCTGTGTGGTGGAATATATACACGGTTCTTGTTGCGGGATCGCAAAGAAGGTGTTCTGCGATGTTGCTCGTCGGCCGGAGCTGTAGGTGGTATCGCTTCTTCAACTTCCATGCCCTGAGCTCCTTTCCCCGCTCTTCCCAGCTAACAAACGGCGTGCCTTTGTCGACTGGGACTCGCGGGAGGGCGCGTTTCACGTAGGCGACAAGTGACTCCTCTGCCTCCCAGGATATTGGTGAATAACTGCCGATTTTGAATCCTGGAGAGTGCATCCGCTTGAGTGAACAATTGAGCATGAACATAACATAGATGACTGATCTAAGCGCATAGTCCTTCGTTTCTGGTGGAATGGTCCTGTCGGGGAATAGGCTGTTCGTCAACTCTTCGCGGGTCGACGTGGGATTCTCACGGAGCCTCCTTGCGCATTCAAGAACGTCTTCATGGGTGGAAACAGCAGGAGAATACCGCTTCACAAACCCCCTGGGATGGATAGAAGAGCAGAAGACAGACTCGTAGTATGTAAAGTACGTTGAAAGGTCAGCAGGGGGGTCGGCCTCACCCAAGAGCAGCTCCCGGGCTATGCTTGCTTTTTGTTCGTCGTTGAGAACGCCCATCGATGCCAGGGTCAAATAATACCTTTAAGACAGCCATCACAGCAGAGCTGGTCCATTACGAAGGTAGCCCGATCAAGATATAACCCCTCAGCTGCCAGCGCCTCGCGCGAGGCTGAGGAACAAGGGCCTGTGATTGGGACCACGTCGCGCAGCGCTTAATATTGCGCGTCCAAGCAAACGATCGACCTGAAGCTGATCCCCGCAGGTTCCCCTTCTGCCAGGACAACCCATTTTGATCTGGCTGCCAATGGAGGTGGCTATATCGCGAGATATCCGTGGCGGGGAGGAAACTCATCGGCAAGAAGAAAGCCCTATATTCAATTCTTCTGCTAACAACAACAGCTCGCCACACCAGGTCGATCGCCTCTTCTCATCTGTCTCCTCCCCATCCCGTACGATCCCCAAGACACGATGCGACGACTCTGCGACCACTACCGAAGAAGTGCTGTCGACCTCGAGCTCCGTTCGAGCGCCCACTTCAACACCGGACACCACGGCGGTCTCCTCGAGGAGCTCATCGGTGGAACTGCAAACCCCTCAGTCGATGTTCAAGAAATACCGTACCCTCCCATTTGTCAAGAGCACCGCAATCCGTATTTATCCAGACGCCACCGGTCAGATCACACCAGCACATTGGGATAGATTCTATGAGATCGCTCGGATGTTCCAAAAGGCCGTCGAAGAGCACGAGACACTGAGACACTATGCCCAAGGGGTTGGTTATCTGTTGAAGCAATGCGGAACATCGCCGTCGAAATCTTGCCCTTCCATAGTTGTCACTTGCACGAAAGAAGTCTGCCGGGCCTTGGGGAAACTGCTGGTGCGACCAGACTTGAAGGAGCAATATGATCCCCCAAGCCCACAGCGTCGCCGCAAACTATTCAATTCTCAGCAGAAAAGCCACCCCACCCAAGACAAGCCAAGATTCCAGATCTATCTATGGATCCAGGAGGGGCCACTACCCTTCACTCTCCTCTGGCGACGCAGGGTCGCCGAAGGGCTCCAAATTGAACCGCTCCATGACACCGACAGTCTTCCCTGGTCAGACCTAACCATGTGCAGCTCGAGGGTTACGTATAGTGACGGGTCCTGTACGACCTTGTCCTGCCTTCTAGAGGTCGACTCCAAGGTCTATGGGCTAACAGTCGGGCATGCGTTCGCACACTTGATGAAGGATCCTCAAAGAGCAGATGACACTAAACCAGAGTCCAACCATGCACCCAATATGCTAGATGAAGGCCAAAGCAGCCCGGCTGGCGAGCATTTTAATTTCACGGTAAACGATGTCGAGTACGAGATCTCTGAAGACGACAGCACCCCGAGAGCCCCTGCTACGCCTCGCCCTACATCTGCGCCCAATGGATCTGACAGCAACAATGGACTCCTTCGGACTTTCCAAGGAGAGCTGAACTCTGCGGCTTTGCATTTATTCACGGAGCCAGAGAGCACCAACACCCCCGACCTTGACTGGGCATTGGTTGAGCTATCCGATGAGATGAGTGCAAAGCCCAATTTCTACCTTTCTTCCGACAACCCGCAGGAACCCATAATACTGCGCGATGTCGCGCAGCATAAGCCAGAGAGTGAGGCTGAGGTGGTTATTCTCCGTTCGCTGCAAAGTCCCGTCCGAGGCACTTTGCTGCGCGGGAGCTCATATATTGGTGGCATAAACCGACCAGGCCATGCGGAAGTGTGGAATATCTCGTTTACTGGGCCCGATGGTAAGTTCGCTAGTCATAATACAGTTGAGCCTCATTCTCATATGTGGATTACAGGACTACAGAAGGGCGACTCCGGTTCCCTGGTCGTAGATCTCATCACACATGAGGTCTACGGTTATGTTGTAGGGCTCAACCCATTCGGGGAAGCCTATATCATGCCCATGGGGGCTGCCCTGGATCAGATCAAAGAGGCATCGAATGCACACAGTATTTCCCTGCGCAATCCGGTCACTGCCCTTAAGGAAATGGTGGATTGGTTTATTTTCGATTCAAGCAAATCCCGAGCTGTTTCCATGCTTGAGCAGGCTATAGGACAAAGCTCATCTATACGCCCGTTTGAATCGTTTGAGCCGAAGCCGGAGCCCGCAAGCAAAAAGCCACTTGAAAGCCTGCAAATGTCGGCAGGGGCACTGGATTCCGCCTCGAAGCGAGTCCATCGTGCGCACGATGGAGGCCAGCCCTCATTCTTTTCCAAAGCACTTGTCATGCCGCAAGAAGAAATCATAGCATTTGAAGAAACGGGTAGGTGTAATCTTATCTTCAGGCTAAGTCACCGTATCCGCTGATTTTATTTTCAGAACCTGACATATGGGAGCGGCATTCCTTTGCGTGGGATTCGGGGTCCCTGGATGTATGTCTACATGCCCCAAGTGGGAAAAAAATGCTAACGCAGCGATACCATTGTAGCAAAGGACAGCTAGCAATTTTGTCATGTAGGGATATATCTCGCTCTTTCTTCACCAGCCAGAAGCTAATATGATCTGCAGTTTTCTCCCGGAAGAGTCCAGCATCTCAGGATATGGAAGCCGTTTTGACGAGACGTTCCGACAGATAATAAAGCAGGATACCAATGGTGCTTTTAATTGCAAATACGGCTTTATGGACGGCCATGCTTACCCTAAAGGTGGGCCATATCTGTTCTAGTTTCTATACCTTTCTAACGAACGCAGTGTCCTGGGCTTGTTTCAAGATCAAAACCGTAAACAGCCCAACTAAATACCACTGGCAGCAACCCTGCATTTATGTGGAATGGGACTGCAAAACAGGCCGCCAACTGGTTTTCATCTTCAGCCTTCGTGATTCCTGGGTCTCATCTTTCGTCGACCATATCCCAGACCATGAGAAGCGAACGGTGAATCCTTTCGCGTGGCACCACGCATTTGCCAAGGAGGTTCTGCAGATTTATGATTCTGCGCATTGGAAATTGCGTGATATAGTCCGGGCTGAAGAAAAGGCATGGCACTATCATGGCATTCTCCTGTTCAATTCATTGCTAACACCAGCCCGCAGCGAAACCGAGATGAATTACAGAATAAGGCAGATGGTCGTCTCCCACACGACATTTCTCGACATCTCTATCATTACCAGGAGACGATCGAGGTTGCCGATAACACGCTTCAAGCTCTTCTTACAGCACAAGAGCGTTGGCGGCAGGAAAGTCCACGTCAAGTCTTGCATGTTTTACCCTCATGGTTGGACACATACTCGGGCCTTCTCTTCGAGAAAAACCGAGTGTTTTCCTTGATATGCAGGATAAAAGGTCTAAATGACAGACATATAAATGAAATAAACCTGGTATGAGGGCGCCCGGAGCCAGATATAATTTTGCAAACTAATGAGGTATACATCTAGTCATTTAATCTCATCTCTGAGAGGTCTAGCCGAGCGTCTTCATCAGGCAACCCTATGAAGGCCGTTCTTACCCTCTGTCTTGTCTATCTTCCAGGCATCTTTGTCTCAGTGAGTTATCCCACCCAGTACAAGTACACATTACCTATCGGAACGCATACTAACGTCAAGGGCTCGCCAAATAGACATTATTTAGTACGAGCTTTTTCAGTAATCAGTCAGACATATTTACCATTTCGTCCAGTTTCTGGGTATATTGGGTGATCGCAATTCCACTGACACTCGTCACGTTTCTTCTGTGGGCGACGGCCAATCCCGCAAACGTTTTACGAAATATTGCAGGGGTTAAGGGGACAGTACAGACACAGGACAGTCCTACGGTCTTAGACAGGGAGAAGCAAGCAATTTCAAAACTGCAAACTCCCTTGAAGGGCCTTGGTTGGAGGAGAAGCGCTGTTGGGGGTCACGAACCGGTTTGAGGGCTACTGCTTCTAGTGTCATATTCACGGTAAGTGTGATTTTTCTGGTGGGATAAAGGTACAGGCTATTTCGTAAATTATAATATCAAACTAAGGTCTACTTTGTTGCCTCTTTAAATCGGACATGTATTGCAATATACATTGAAGACGTCCAGGCCATGAATATTATCTGGACCAAATATCAGCAAGCACTTGGCTAGTTCTATTCCTCAACTGGCTATGCATGCCAACCCATGAATATTCATTCAATATCCCCACCCAAGTCCTCTTATAATGTTCGATCGGGATACCCAGCGAAGACAGATATTCGGTACGTGGTTGCGATAACCTGCTGAGAATCTATTATACTAGAAACTTTGTTCAAGAAAGACTTGAGAATTATGTATATATTAGAATCATTCTAAAAATAATTATTTAACACTAAGGCCGTCGTGGAAATTTATAACCGAGGTAAGATGAGCAGGCACGAAATCTGTAAGTATATAGCCGCGAAGTTAGAAAGGGTTCAAGTATATATACCCTAAGCGCCACCTGCCACTTCCTGGCCTGCTTGCACACAGGAATTTGAGAGAGTATCTTCCGGATGAACAGTAATACTCATCATCCCTTAATCTTCGACGCGAGACTGAATAAACGAGACATCAGACAAATGTTGGAGTGATTCCGGCAAATCTCGGCGAATTGCGGCGTATCAAAATTACGCCCAGGAACGAGTGGAGAGGGGAATCACCTTCCTCATGGATCTAGAGTCATCTCAGTAAATCTCCCTTTCGCAACATATATCAGACTGACGCCGTATAGCCGTATGGCCTGGATGGAGCTAAGTGCTAGCCTCAACATCAAGCCCTTCCTGATGGCCCCGTCTTCGCTGTCGGGCGAGTGTGGATTCTGTCGGTCCAACAACATCTGTTGCAACGAGGACAAACCTGGGTGTCTCACATGCCGCGCCTGGGGCATTAAATGTCCTTTAATTGAAAGATATAGAGACTCCAGTGGAGATGAATTGACGGTGGGGAATTATGATGGTGATAGCCCGCCATTTAGCGAACGATCAACTGCTGTCCACTATATGCAACCGCTGGACAATCTGATATCCGCTGCTCACGACCTTCTGGGTACTTCCACCTCATATACGCTCCCCAGCACGCTCCCACAGTATATAAAAAAGCCTGACCATGATATATCGCTGGAAGACGTCCAGTATCTTGACGAAAACGGAGTTTTCACTTTCCCCGACGAAGAACTACGCAATGAGCTGCTCACGACATTCGTGATTAATGTGTATCCCTATATGCCGTTATTAGACCTGGAAGAGTTTCTCCAGGCAATTGCCATCAACAATGGAAGTTCGCCTCTGAGCCTCCTTCTATTCCATGCCGTTATGTTCGCAAGCGCTACATTCATCAAGCCACACCATCTCTATCGTGCTGGCTACTCGTCACAGAAGGAGCCTAGAAGGGAATTCTTCCTAAAAGCAACTGTATGACAGCTATGTCCTTGACAGGAATGTTATCTAACAAGAGTAGATCGCCTATGACCTTGGTCTCGAGACCGACCCGATAGTCATCATCCAGTCTGCGCTACTTCTGACTTACTGGCACGAAACGCCTGACAGCCCTAGAGATTTCCATTACTGGCTTGAAACGGCCTTCTCTCTGGCAACGTCTATTGGACTCCCGGACCTTGCTGAAGCGGAGCCATCTAGGGAGCTCAACCGTCTCGGGCGTCGTCTCTGGTGGTGCCTCTACACGCGAGACCGCCTCAATGCAATGAATCTTCGGCGAAACACCATCATCCCTGAAGAGAGCTATACTACCACCTTGCCCACGCTGGATGATTTCACGATCGGCGTATTTCCGGCAGCTATCACCCGAATGCTTGACAGCTGCGATGTTCTCCGCAGCCCCTACCACCAAGCCCAGCTAGCTGCTATATTTATCGAAAAGGCCCGCCTTTCCACCATTATTTCACGGATAATTACTCCAGATCCCGACGCAGCCACCATCTCGCGCTGCACCGACCTCCTTCAAGCCTGGCGAGCCGATCTCCCCTACTATATTGAACACGAGTCCCTACCACCAACATCAACTCTCTCCGATATCGAGAAGCCGATCTTTACATATAGAGCCTGGCTGAATCTTGTCTTTCTAAACGCCTTGAGCGCTGTTTACAAGCATAAAGGAGACCGGTGTGGATCACATCCTACGGAGGCCTTCTCATCCGAAACTACGCGACAAGACACTTCCGACAGACAGATCCAACCAGCGATCCAGTCCATCGCCGCCATCGTGGAGGAGTTGTATCGCGTCGACGTGATACACTACTTAGGCACCACAACAGTTGGACTACTTCTACCTGTATTGGCAACGCAGATGTTCTATATCAGGTCCGGCCAAGGCCCAGATACCTGGATTGCAGGGTTTCAGTCATTCTATGATTGTATGAAGGTGCTCCGGAAACTCGGTGAGGTGTACTTTCTTGCTGAGTCGATGGCGGCGTTCTTTGAGTCTGCTGTGTGTGGGGACCAGTTTGATACCCCAGAGTATTTCGATGGAGATGGGGGCTTGAAGACAGCGCCGCCGCCACTGTTGGAGGAGGTGTTGACGAGTACGGAGTTGGAATGTTTCCTGCGTGTAATAGGTGAGAAATGTGAGAAATAGTTGTGTCCATTACATTGCGTGAAGGCCGAGTATGCCGTGTAAAAGGTCCGGCCCTTTCGGCTATTCAACTAACTTTCTCGTGTTTGCACAGGCTCGCGGGGAAACACTAAACACCCTCGTGAAGTGAGGCGTGGTACAGGAGTATGACTATCATAAAGATAACCGTTCGATGGGGGAGGTCCGACTGGTGTCGTATCCAACATTTTCATGTTTGGTTAGCTCTTTCAGGATCTGCATATTGCAAAACCAGGCATGACTCAAACCGCGGATGATTCTCGTGATGAGGCTCAGAGGCTCAAGGCTCCTTTGACTGTGAAGGTTGCCTCCAACCACAATAAAAAGAGTTAAAGATCAGCAGAGCAGGCCTAAAAATGGTTTGATTAGGGTTCCTTGGTGTGTGCCCAGCCCTATCCAGGCCAATCCGGAGAAGCAGTTGCCCTGAATACGAGGTGGGCCTCGACGGCTCTCTTGGCCTCGTGTTGGGGTTATCTCTGTGTCTTTCAAATAACTGAGCTCTCCCCAGGGAAATGATCAACTCTTTTTTCCTTTCTTCTCAGCCTCAAGAATTGTCGCAATGCGATTCTCGGTTTCCCAACTGCTGCTAGGCCTCTCGTGCCTCAGCACCGCGCTGCTGGCCAGCTCGCAGAACCTCTTCGTCCCACACTCGAAGGCGATAGATGGCGACTCCGCATTCCGCAGCAATGCGACCATCGATACTGGCAGCGATCTGTTTGGAATCAATGCGCTGGAGAAGCGCCAGAGAACGTACTGCCCCGGCGCCACCAAGCTGTGCGAGAGTAAGTACCCTCACACTGCAACTGCGCGTCACTAACAACTATTTCCAATAGCAACCGGCCGGTGCTGTCCCTCGACCTCTGACAGCTGCTGCAACGGCTCCGGATACTGTGTGCAACGCGCCAAACACAACTGCTGCTCAGCGGGCCATGTCTGCAACAAGCCCGAAGAGTGCTGCCACGACGGATGCATGCTGGAAGGCGCGACATGCTGTCGCACCGAAGGCGCCTGCAAGGCCGGATATACCTGCGTGATTCTCGACGGCGAACACGGCTGCTGCCCGAACGATGGCTGTTACAGCGCCACGCAGATCATCTACTGGTACTACTACGTGTACTGGTACATCGAGGTCTACTGGGAGATCAGGGTCGAGGTGACGACGAGTACGCTGTCGCTGACTTCGTCGAGGGAGACCACGTCGAGTACTGTGTCAATAACAGCCTCGAACTCTGCGTCCGCGAGCTCTATCTTCGAGAGTTACAGTTCGAGTCTGTCGAGTGCAGCGCAGACGACCCCTGACTTGTCTGATATTTCTACGTCGACGACTACGTCTAGTTCTTCTACGCGGTCGTCTACTAGGAGCACCTCCACCTCCACCTCGGATTCGGATTCGGACTCTGATTCTGATTCTGACCCGACCGATCCCGGTGACGACGACGTTATTCCCAGTGCCACCGCCACCGCTGAGTCTGGAGGTGATGGGCCATCAGGGGACAATGACCTTCCACCTGGAGGCGTCGGTGCGGCCTCCACACTGTCTCGTAGTTTCTGGGCTTATATCGCTCTTGCTGGGGTCTCGTTCACAATGATGCTGGCTTTGTAAGGATTGCACAAGTGACGATATGGAATTAGATTACGAATTAGGATAATTATTGCGCATTAATTATTTGAATACTGCAGTTACTTTCGGTATAATATCCCAGATAAACATCCACACTTTTATTACTGGACGAGATATCCCCGGTTATTCCTTGGAAAGACAAGGCTGGGATTCTCAAACATCGATAATAGTAGCAAAATCCATTGCGCGATCAACTCCCACCTCCGGGGAGGTCTCGCAAGTAATCACCTACACAAAACGATAAGCAGCCGTAAATATAAAGGCGAGTCAATCATACCCGCCAAAGTCCACACATCCGCCGAATACTCCAGCGTCTGTTGCAGGGGCTCGATATCGATAGGCGGGTCGGCTGTACGCCACTCGCGAAGCCATACCGCCATTCGCGCTGCCTCACCAACACATATCGCTGCCGGCAAGGGCAAGATACGTAGTTTATCTTTCCGGTCCCGGGCGTTGAACTTGATGCATGTGTCACGGACCATATTTACGGTTGAGGTTAGTGCGAGGATTGATCGATCTTGTTTACCAGGCGGAAATGGTGAGGGGGTGTTTTGGGACATAGAGGAAAGCCGCTTGCGATGGAGAACGAGAGACGTCCTATGTCCGCCTGGTTTAGCTTGGTGTTTCTTTTGCATTTGGGAGTGACTCACAGCATGGCGATTGAGTTTGCTCCACACATCACCTTCCAGCTCTCTGGGGTTTGCTGGAGGAGGTGCTTCATGAAGTGCATCAGAAGGGCATCGGTTCTGTCGATGTTATCGTAAACTGATTCGTTTTGTTTAGGCTTAGACAGATTTTGCACATTGCCCAGGATGCGAGAGGCTTGAATCTCGCGCGCAAAATATGACTGAGGAATGTCTGCTGGCGTTGAGAAGGATGGCTGGAAGGGTCTCGGTGGTAGGGAAGCTGTGTAGCACTGCCAATACTCCTCGTTAATCGGTAGTTTGAAGTCATTGGCAGGGTCCTCTACGGCGTGGGTAGCCGTGATATCCGCGACCTGGTGGGTGAGCCTGTAGCGATAAGCATATGTCTTCTAGATGTTAGGATACTAACCGCTCCATCATATGTATTCCTAGCCAGACCCTTCTCCGCTCCTCGGTGATCGCCCAGCTCTCTGGGTCCGGCATATCGATGTTCAAGCGGAGCAAATACCCCATCCTTGCGCATATTCCGATGGTGATGAACGCTGCCTGGGAACGCCCTGACCCGGTCTCGTACACAGCAAGTAGCAGACCCCCCTGGGCAAGCTCAAGCGATGGACCTCGCATAAACTGCAGGACAGAAAAGAGATAGGCGGCCAGTGGATAGATCGAGCTTTCAGCACTGTGCTTGCTATATGCGCTGTCCCCTTTGGCGGTGATTAAAGACATTCCTAGCAGGATTAATGCGGTCTCTGCGTGAGGGCTATGCTGAAGCGACCATATGCGAGATCGAATTCTCTGTTCATGGATTGTTGCTAGCCATGTATGGATGTATTTAGAATATTCCTGGAGTACTGCTTCCACAGGCTGGCCCCGTTCAGCGAGGGTAGCAGTGACCAACTCCACAGCGAAGCGATCAATGTCAATACTCTGTATAGGGAGGGGGTGTAATACGCCAGGTACTGATAGACAGCCTGCCACCGTCGGCGTTGCAGATAGAAGGAGAGCAGATGATAGTCCAGGAGGGAGCTCGCTCTCGAGCCCATAATAGTAGTCGCATTCGGAATTCGTCCTACGCGAGTGAGCACCAACGGCGCGTGTCTAGAGAAACCACGCGTACCTTAGGCATCGCGAGCAGCTAGGGATGCGCTTGTCACATTTCCGTTTGTTGTTGGAACATTTCTGGCAGGCATTTGGAGCCGATGTATCGCTGGCTGAACCCGAAGATGTAGAGATTGTACATTGGATGGGCAAGTTGGTGGAGGACTTCATGCTGTCAAAGACTGTGTAATAACTGCCCATCTCCTTCTCAGGGCAAGCATTCTCTGAACGGCCGGGTAGAAGTGTGCAAGACCTGCCGTACATCTCCGGGGTTTGGGCAGCGGGGAGCTCTTCCGGCCCCAAAATGACTAGCTATATTTGGCCTGGTATTGCCTCACACTAGACAGAGTGGGAAATGCCGTACACTGGAGGTCCGTGGGCTGAGTGCGATTTAATAAGCATATCTCTTCAGCTCGCCCCCTGCAGTCCTCCCCCGATTTCTCACAACATAATACAAATGCAGCAGCACACAGCCCACACAAACAAACAACAGCAACGCCGCATTCGTCCAGTGCCCAGTCGGATACCCTATCTCCGCCTCCTCAGCTTTATAAATCCACACCCCCACAATCTGACCCGGCGCTCCAAAGGATATATTCAGTGCGATGGCGAGACCTGCACCGGCCGTAGAGTGGATATTAGACGATAACCACCCCAGCAGAGGAGGGATGCACGAGAAAGCACCGCTCGACCCGACGATCAGACATCCGTATCTCTTTAGATATGCGTCCGCAGGGAGGACAGCGGAGGCGAGGAAGCCCATTGCCCCGATAAAGGAGAAGACGGCTGAATGCAAACCGCGACTGCAGAGAGTTAGTTACAGTTAGTTCGTATCATTCTTTAAGAAGACGAACGCGTTGAAATGGTCCGCAGACCAGGCCACAGCCACGGTCACCACATATGCAACAGCATACGGGGGAACCGTCATGAGCTGCGCCTGGAGGTTCTCATAGCCCAGTCCAGCGGTGATGGAAGGCGTGAACAGCGATAAACTCGAGAACGGCGTCGAGATGCCAAAATAGATCTGCCAATTAGCCCATTACCTTTTGTAGGAGGTGGGTAACATACAATGTAGTGAACATACAGCCTCCACTCCATCAGAACCGGCTTCGCATCCTCCCAGCTCATGGCCTTCGCATCTCCCTTGGAGCCCTCAACAGATAACCGCTGTCTCGCCAACTCCCTCTCGTCCTCACTCAACCATTTCGCCGACTCGGGATAATCAGGCAAGAAAAAGAAAACCAGAATCGCAGACGCACAAGATGGCGCACCCTCGATAAAGAACAACCACCGCCAGGCCGAGTGACCATGGTCCCCATTTAGATATCCCACGCCATATGCAATGGCGCCGCCGAATGCACCGGCGAGTGTAGCCGAAGCCAGAATCAACGCGACACGCAGGGATCGCTCGGACGTGCGGTACCAGAATGTGAGATAGTATACCAGTCCGGGGAACAGGCCTGCTTCTGTCACGCCGAGAAGGAAGCGGATACCGGTGACTTGGGCGTAGTTTGTGGCGCCGCCGAGTCCGATTGTTGTTGCACCCCAGGAGAGCATGAGGAATGCGATCCAGCGCTTGCATTGTCATTATACTGAAGCTGTGAGGACGTGAGGAGACTTACGCTTGGGCGCAGTTTCTTGAGGAGGTAGTTCGATGGCACTTCGAACAGGGCATATGCGATCAGAAATACCATCAATGCGATCCTATTGATCTTAGACCAGGATAATAATGGCTTCGAGGGACATACGTATACTCGTAGTTGGACATCTTGGTCTCGGTGAGCAGGTCGTTCCCAGTGTCTTGATTGAGCACCTTTGCATTTCCTAACAACTAGTCAGTAAATAATAATAAACGCGATAAAAATAAAGGATACCTATGTTCGACCGATCCAAATAGCAGAGCAGGTAAATAAACGCGGACAAGGGAACAATTCGCAGGTCCTGCTTCCAGACCAGGGCCGTGACAGCACCTGCATCATGCTCCTGGTGGTTATTGGCCTCGGTATCTGTATTCTAGGCTGTTAGCTGTACGTTGATACATATTAGATCTAATTACCTTGGGCTCGACATGTTTGTTGTCGTCCATAGCGTGAGCCATCTCTACATATAACGAGAGTCCAGCGGATGTGTACCCCAGATATTGTTAATCCGGGGAACCTGTACTAATTTATAGCTGCCCAGACGCACTAAGATGAAAGAAATAGACAAAGAAATAAATTAACACAGAACCCCTGGCAGCCAGGGGTGTTTGTCGGCTCGGCGGCCGAGGCCGACAGTTGGAGAATCCACAGTGTGAGCAGACTCTTCCCCCAGTATTTCCGTCGCGCAGTCGGTTAATGCCATCTCTCCACTGCCGATAGCCCGCCCCGCAGATTTACTGTGCATTCTGAAGGTACACCGGTGTACAACTGAATAAATGAATCCAGCCTGCGATCGATGCCATCGGCGGAAATCCCGGTGCGACAAGGCTGTTCCCTCGTGCGGGCCATGCAGGAAAGCAGGAGTTGCCTGCAAGTACGTGAACCACACCCGCGACCGCCAGAAAGCGCTCGAGAGACTGCAGCGGCGGATTCAGCAGCTCGAGGGTGAGAATCGACTGTTGACGGAGCGTTTGGGAAACCACAGGCCCACCGAGTCTGACAGTGTAAGTCATCGGCCACCGGAGCCGATCGAGACGGTGCAAGAGCGCGACGCCCTGAGCAACGAGCTCACAGAGGAAATCTCCTTCTTGTCCAGTCGCGCCGGGGGAGAGAATCAATTCCTGGGGTCGACGAGTGGAGTTCTGCTGGCCAGCCTGGTCGACGCCACTGTACACGCGCCCTCTGGGCCAAGAGTCGAGAGCAGGCCCATCGCCAGCCCATTGAATGGCATCACGCCAAGTACTGCAGTAGATGTATCGCCAGTTCCAGACGAGCGAGTTGCGCGGGCTCTGCACGATGCGTACTTCGAGCACGACCATGTACCGTATCCATTCCTGCACCGCGCCACTGCTTTGGCGATTCTGGACAAGACGTACCAGGATGTCTCTTTCGCTCAAGACGCTTTTTCATGCTATTCATTTAACATGATACTCGCCATAGCTACAGCGAGCGTATACAAGTTCGACCGCGAGTCGCTGCCTGATGCAGAGACGTATCATCTACGTGCAGCTGAACGCTTGAATGAGGTCCTGCAGCGAGGCGACACCCAGGCTTTGCAGGCGATGCTGTTACTGTGTCAGTATCGCATGGTCAACTCGGTCCAGGATACATCAACCAGTAAGTATGGAGTACATATACCACTCTGAGCACGCTAACAAACCAGGTATGTGGCATCTTGTTGGCGTTGCAGCGCGCATGTGTCTAGAACTTGGCCTGCATCGCGAGCAGGTCTATCAAGTCCCTAAGCATAGGGGTGACTCGAGTGTGGTTGTTGCACACGAGATCCGTCGGCGCTGCTTCTGGTCTGTGATCGCGATGGACAGGTATGTCGTTATTTATACTTCTATGGTTCTGCTCTAACGATTGCAGAATTGTCAGTATCACCTTGGGGAGGCCGTTAGCCATTCGCCTTCAAGATACAGACGTCGCTCTACCCAATCCATCTCTGGATAGCTTATTGAATGACACTGCCTCTGACCTCTGCATAACCGCCCTGTTCATCCACATCGTCCGGTACCGTGTCATCTGCGGCGACATCATGTCCGCTCTACACACCGGCTCAACACGCACGCAGACAGACGCCGAGTCCGCTCTACGAGCCCGCGACAACCTCGCCAATACTCTCGCCCAGTGGCACGCAGATACAGCAAATCTATCCCTGGAAGACGAACCAAGCTCGCAGCCTCAACACCAGTCCAGTTTCCGCACGCCGGAGTGGTACGCAATGTTATACTACAACGCCCTTCTCATGCTGTATCGTCCGTCGCCAGCATTATCAGGAATATCAATGCGCGATCCCACAGTCCTCCAAAGTATCTTCGTTGCCGCGAAACAGGCCATTACGATCTACGCCCAGCTGCACCGGTGGAAGCGGATAAACTACACCTGGATTACTTTACACGCTGTCTTCATGGCAGGTTTATCATACGTCTATGCAGTTGGTCGGCACTTCCGCTCGCATAAACGGAAGCAGGGCTCCACATCTACCCCAGTAGCCTTCCTTGAATCTGACCCGGCGATTATCGATATTGTGAACGACTGCAGAACATGCTCGAATGTTCTAGTGGCGATATCTGAGCGCTGGAATCTGGCAAAGAACTGCTACGACGTGTTTAATCGGCTGAGTGACGCGGTTCTCACTGATGCTGTCGAGTATCATACAAAGCCGTCCAGTTCCCAGACCCCTACACGGCTTCCTATTGAGACAGCAGATATGACCTGGGATAATGGTTTCAATGGGCCGTTAGCCGTTGACTCGGTCCTACGTGACTGTCTCGACGACCTGCAGCACTTCCAGCCATCTGCATACGGCGATGACCCCGTCGGCCAGCTCTCTCACGACTGGATGGGCGAGATTGAAGGAATGGGGTTTAATCTATTTCTATGATACAACTCGCAAGTCTAAATGTTTACATTCATATCCACCCCCTCTCTAAGAACTTCACCGGGACATCGACGACCCGACTGCGCAGGTACTCGCCAACGCCCTTCCCCAGGCCATCAATACGACTTGAGCTGGCAATCCCACCACCCAGGAAATCAAGGACCCTGAAATGTACCGCGAGGATATTAGGAAACTCGCACCTTTCAACAGCAGGCTCTTTCTCCTTCGGCCAGTCGTCCGCAAACAGTTCCTTCAGTCGTGGGATAGTCAGAAAAGACTGCAGCCATGGGTACTCATCCTCATTTCGTACGAAGAATCCCACATTCGAATTGTCCGCTTTATCGCCTGACCGGGCATGAACGATACTCCCGAGTGGCACACGTTGGGTAGGACCGAACTCCGATAGAGAGATGGGGCATTTCGTCTCGTAGGACGGTCGTTGGATAGAATATTTCCTTGTTTCTGCCGACGATGGAGCCTGTATAGTTCTGCCGTTGGATAGTTTCACCCGGTGGTTAATCCTGTCCAGGGGAAAGATGACAGGGAATATCTCCATGAAGGGCTTGGGGTCCATTGTGCGGAAATCCAGGTTCATATGGTATCCTATTTACCACCTTGTTAGAGTAATACAGCAAATACATGTTAGAAACGCACCAGGATAGCTCTGCATGCGCAAAGCGTAAATGGGTATTTTGAACTTCTCCGCCGCGATATCCTCTCTCTTGCGCGCCTGCGCAAAGACACGCAGAGACACCGTTCCAGCCTGTTGGCTTTTTGGGTCCACCGTAGGCGATCCATACAGTTCAATCGAAAGCTTCGAGAAATTGTGTCCCGTAAATATATGCTCGAGTTGGTTGCGCATCATCTCCGCCTTCTGGTAGATATCCAGCCCGTTCATGTAGAACGTAGCCTCTGCTTGATACCCTGCCTGTGCGGCAATCATGGCCTTTGTAGTTGGTGGAGGTGGCGAGCCTGATACTCCTCGTACGAGCACTCTATCTTTGGCGATTTGTTCGATGTAGATGTTTTTGAGATCTGCCACCACGTCTGAGTTCAGATATGTTTCGCCTTGGAGCTCGTAGAGGAGCTGGGCAATTGTATTCTCCTTTGTTACTGCGCCGGCGTAGTTTTCGCACTTGGTTATCACGCAAGTCCCGTCTGGACTGATCTCTGCGATTGGAAAGGACAGATCAACCAGGTCAGGAAGAAAAGCTTTGAAGCCGGAGAAGTTGGCACCAGTGACATATGCGCCGCATTCAATCAGATCTATACTGTTAGTCGTGCACATATAATCCTAGAAAGACTTACGACCAGCAGCCAACGCCCCAGCCAGCTCATCCCAGGCCTCTCTCGCCCATTTATACCACCACGCCGCAGCCCCAATCACCGGCGACGCATCAGTGACTCTACCACAGATCACAATATCCGCCCCGGCATTGAGGGCCTCCACGATCCCCCAAGCCCCGATATACGCAACACCACAGTGCGGCTCAAACGGCCAATCCCCCAGCCTCCACTCATGATCCAGATGCCTCAAGTCCCCCATCCCATCCTCCTTCAAACACTCCGAAATATCATCCCCAAGCACCTGCGCAACAACAACACCAGTATACCCCTTTTCCTTACAAAGCTCTTCTACCCTCCCCGCAAGCGCAGGCGTATTCAACGCCCCGGCATTGCTAACAACCTTAATCCCCTTTTGAACAATAACATCAAGGCAACTCCCCAATGGATCTAGGAACCCCTGCTCAAACCCGACCTGGTCATCCTGCGCCTTCGCAATGGCGTTCCACGCGATATTCATCTCAGATAGCCAGTCGCCGACTATCACATCGACGTTACCGGCGGTTGCCATCCGGTGCATGGCACGGGGATGGTCCCCTGTTGCGCCGGAGACGTTGCCGATGCGGATGGGGCGGGTTGCGGGCATTTTCTCTCTTTTTTGCTGGTTGTACATAGATAAAAGAGAGAGAAAGGAGTATCAAGAATAATTATGTTAGTCGGCATCCCGTGGAAATTTCTCACCGTATCGTCTCTTCTCCGATGCCGCATCGCATCGGCCTCGTCGCCGATGCACTACCTGATTCTGTGTCCAACAAAATATTTGGCGTCATCTCCGTCGAGGAGACTGTCCAGTGGGACAGTGTCTGACTCGTGTTCCGTCAAGTGGACCAGTTTCGTGGAGACTGGAATGGGATGGTCAGTTGTCGGCGACGGCGCCGATGGCCGAACCCCATAACTGCATTATGTTATATGCACGGCATACGGTGAAGAGATCCCCGGACGGTTGGATTGCGGGGTATACTCTCCAATTAGCTCCACGAGGAATGTCTCCAAGTTGAACTCAAGAATATGCGGGGACTTCCATCCGGAGAAACCCCGGGTATTCCAGTGGGAGGACGATCGCAAGGCAAGGGATAAAAGGACACCGGTGGTAGCTATGATGATGAGAGGGTACGGTGACCATGATGAAACTTTCTGCTATTTATATATTGGCTGCACTAAGCAAGTGTAGCCATGCCGGCCTGGTAAAAGGCTCCCAATGCACGAGTTTGTTACAGTCATACCCCGAAGGTCCTGTACACGTCCATACCGCGAGAGGAATTCCAGCAGGAGGACTGAACATTTCCTCCGAGGATGGATCGCAAGCGCAGAATAATATTCCGATCTGCCATGTCCAAGGAACACTCACGTACGCAAATGGCGAGAACGGCCACGTCCAGCCCAACGCAGACGGACATGCAACACTCACCTGGGAGGTCTTTCTCCCTGAACAGTCTGAATACAACGGTCGATATCTTGGAATCGGTATGTGCCTGATTGATCTGTTGCAGTGGGGATATGTTAATAGGTGCAGGAAACGGTGGATACGCAGGAGTTATCGATAATTACACCATGCTCACCCACCTCAACCAAGGCTACGCCGTCGGCGGCTGCGACAGCGGGCACCATATCAATGAGAATGGAGAGGATGGCGGGTTCGCTGCGTACATGGATGATACCGCCAAAGTAAAGGCGTGGATTCAAGACTCGATTGCCTTGACTACTGGAGTTGCACGAGACGCAATCACCACGAAATATTACTCACAGCCTCCCAAGTACAGCTATTACTATGGCTGCTCTACCGGTGGAGGACAGGCCTACTCACTCGCTCAGTTCTACCCTGAGCTCTTTGATGGGATATATGCTGAAGGGCCTGGGAATTACTACACGCATCTGGTGCTGAGCTTCCTATGGAACCAGCAACATACAGCCGGGGATGGATTTCTGGACCAGGATATTTTGGACTTCATGACAGAGAAAGTCCTCGATGCATGCGACGAGATTGACGGCGTCAAGGACCGAGTTATCGAGAATTCTCTCGACTGCCCTTTCGATATCAAATCACTACAATGCGGCCAAACAACCAACGAAAGCCCTTGTCTAACCCCAGCCCAAGTCAAAGCAGCACGCGCTATCTACAACGGCGCAAAAGACTCTCGCATCGGTAAAACAGTCTATCCAGGCTTCAACCTCGGCACCGAAACCGCCTGGCTCGATCAACAACAGACCCTATTCAGCACGTATGGCGCGCCAATCCTGCGCCAACTCGTCTTCAACAGCAGCTACGACGTAACCAGTTTCAACTGGGGCAGCGACCTCGACACCGTCGCTAAACGCGCCTCACCATTAATCGACGGCATCAGCACCAATCTAACAGCCTTCCACCGTCGCGGCGGCAAATTCATCACAGCCCAGGGCTGGGCAGACCCCATCAACGCGGCAGCATGGCCAATGCAGCACCTTGCTGATATCGAGGACGCAATGGGTCAAGATACTGTGTCCGAGTTCATGAGACTATTCATGATTCCTGGCGGTGGACACTGCGGGCCGAACCCGTCGTACCCGCAGGTTCCGGTCAAGCATGACATTCTGGATGCGCTGATCGAGTGGGTTGAGGGTGGGAAAATACCCGATGATGGTATAAGAAGCTCTGAACCCGCTGATGGGTCTGACGTGACGAGGAGACTGTGTCCGTGGCCTGCTCAGGCGAACTTTGTCGGAGGGAACCAAGACGAGTGGACGGATTACCAGTGCGGTGCTTCTTAGGGTGTACTTTACTAGTTCTGTACCTGTTGACTCATGTCCATATCTAGTCGACATTTTCATCACAGGCTTTTCCTCCGGACAAATACTATAGTCCGCTTTCATGCGCGTCATTTCGTATGTGAAACTTGGAGTATCATTTACGATGGCCCTCGTTTCGATAATTTAGTGACTGTAAAAGAAGTCAGCTGTCCACTTCCTCTCAAAATACTTCAATTCGACAGGACATCGGAGAGCAGAAGATCTCATCAAAGCAAGCCCCTCTGTGTTGTGATTGTACAGCAGACTATTAGAACAAAACTGCAATAATAAAAATTTCATGTAAGCGCTAGTAATAGGATTAGCAGAAAACTATATATATAATAGCCTGCTTAGTTTCACTACCAGTAGCTGGTAGCTACTTATCCTAAGTATTATAAAGAGATACAAGCCTTGCTCAGGATATTATATATAGAATCTATATAACTAGAGATACTAGATTACCTAAGTCTAGTAAATAAAGAAAATATAAAAAATTATATATATTTTATAGAATAATTAGATTTTTTTTTTTTTTTTTTTCTTTTCTTCTTTCTCCTTATTCTTTTTATTTAAATTAATTAAATTCTTTTTTTTATCCTTCTCTAGATCTAAGTTAATTAGATAATTAATAGTCTTTTCTAGACTATTATATTTTCTAATAGAAAGATTAAGTTTTTATTCTCTTAGTTCTATCTATAAATTATTTTATATAGAGTATTAATTAGCTCTATTAGACTATTTATAATTAATATATACTCCCCTAAATTTATCTAGTATATAGCAGTAATTAGAAAAAAATAGATAGTAATTAAGTTTATTTTAATAATATATATAAGACCAGGCCAATTAAATATCTCTTAATTAAATTAATAGAGTATTAATATATAAGAGATAATACTATTATATTTATCTAGCTAATATCCTGCTATAAATAAAAGATATAAACTATCTAGATTAGACTAGTAGTTATAAACCTATATTTATATAAATATAGAATATAAGATAAGCCTAATTCTAAATAAAAAAAATAGGATTCTATCTAGAAGATATAGCTTTATATAGCTAATAAAATAGACCCTCTAGAGTAATTACAGGTATATAGTTATTATTATTATTATTATTATTATTATTAATTCTAGAAATATATATATAAACCTATATAATTTTTATTAGATTTATACTAAATTTGATAAAAACTATATAGGTTTATATAGGAAAGTTAGTAGTAACTTTAGAATAAAGAGAAAAGAGACTTAATAAAATCTTATATAATATAGTAGTAGTAATAGTAATAGTAGTAATAGGTATTAAGAAAAAAGAAAGAAAAGTAAAAGATAAAAAACTCTAATATAGTCTTATTATATTATTCTTAACTAGTAATATATTAATTACTAATAATTTACCAGGTATCAAGGCCTGTATATAATAATTTAAGTAGAAAATTAAATAAGTAATTAAGTAGTAATTTAATTAGGTATTAAGACCTATATATAGTAATTTAAGCAGGTAATTAAACAGGTATTAAAGCCTATATATAGTAATTTAAGTAAGTAATTAAGCAGGTATTAAGGCCTGTGTATAGTAATTTAAGTAGATAATTAAGAAGATAATCTAGCAGGTATTAAGACCTGTATATAATAATTTAAGTAAGTAATTAAGTAGATAATCTCTATATATAGATATAAATAGTAGTTAAACTAGCCTAAATTCTATAGAGTATTTAATATCCTTAGATTAAAGAATATAGTACTTTTTTATATAAGAGACTACTCTACTTTCTTTATCTCTAAAAAGTAGTACTAATAGGGATAAAAGATTAAATAGAGACTAGAATTTCTCTTTTTTCTTTTTTATAGCTAGGATTTCTTCTAGTTCTAGCTTAATAGAAGTAATTAAGAATAAATACTTTTTTTATATAGCTAGCTTTATTTTAATTTTTAAGATAGACTTAACTTTTAGCTTTTTTTTAGATTTTTTCTTTATCTTTTTTATCTCTTTCTTAGTTTTAATAGGAATTATTATATCTTTCTTTTATATAATAATTATATAGATAGTCTTAAGCTCTCTACTTTTATTTTAAAATTAATTAGCTAAGAATATTTTAAGAAGCTATCTTTTATTAATATTCTAAGCTATATATATAGGCTCTACTTTTTAAATTATTTAAATAAGAGTATATTAATTACTATTCTTTTTATATTTATCTAAAAGCTTAGGTAAAAGATCTATATAGATAAAATTATAAAAAGATTTAATTATATAAAGATAGAGCTTAGTAGAAACTTAATCTAGTAGATATTAATATCTAATAAAGATTAAACTTAAAGCTTAAACTTATATAAAGAGTTATACTTTCTATTATATATATACTACTTTAGCTAATAGAAATAGATTAGAAGATTAAAGACTAGTATAGTACTACCAGGTTTATTTAGCTTTATATAAGTAATAGTAGTCTAATATAGCTACTTAACTCTATTATAATTATAATATAAAAACTATATTATCTATAGTAAGGATTTAGGAGAGGTAAAGATAGTAATTATAATTAAAGATAAAGTAAGAGAAGAATTAATAAGATTAATAACTTCTATATTCTTTATATAATATAGAGTAGTTCTACTCTATTAAATAAAATATATATTATAGATAAGAGTATCTCTATATACTTTATCTATATAAGGGTAGAAAGAGGACTAAGAACTTATTCTAATTATATATAAAAAAATATTATAGTTTTATTCTTATATAAAGAAAGGGGAAATATATATATTAAAATAATAATATAAAGAATTTAAAGCTAAAGCTAAATCTAGCTAGATATTATTTTTAGATATCTCTTAATTATATAAAATCTTAATTTAAAAGATACTTTAATTAGTTACTAGCTTCTAGTTAAAATCTTTAACTAGCTAGCTTAATAGATCTAGCTCTAGTTTATTTTCTTTAATAATATAGACTAAAGTCTAAGCCTATAAATTAAAATAAATTATATAATAAAAAGTAAAAATATTTTCTCTAGTATATTTTAAAGGATTTTTAGGATTAAAGTTAAGCTTTTTTAATTAAATCTTAGTCTAATTAAAAATAGTAAAAGATAGATATTTATTAATATTTTTAAGAATTAGTTAAGATTTTTTTTAAATAAAGATAAATTACTTATTCTAGTCTTATATATCTTCTAATAAAGAAAAAAGAAAATTCTTATTAAATTTAAGACTATAGTTAAATATATTATTTTTAAAGTAGTTAAAATTTATAAATAGCTTACTAGAGATAAGATATAGCCAGTTATTTTAAATATAAATAGAATAATTATTCTAGATTTATATAAAAGAGATTATCTTAAGATAGAGAACAGGTATATAAACTATATATAATATAATTTAATTAGCTATATTATTTTTAGAATAGATCTCTGTCTTCTAGAGAGATTAGAAATAAATCTATCTCTTTTTATTAGTATTTATATAAAGTAGAATAGAAAAGATAATATATATACTTTCTAGTAAAATAGTAAGTTTTTATTTAATTAATTCTATCAGGCTTTAATCTATTAATTAATAGTACTTATACTATAAATATAATAGTTAATTATCTAGACTTTAGAATATCTTAATTTCTAGAGCTTATATTAAGCTTCTACTAGTAGAACTATCTCTATTCCTTAATCTAATTATATAATATAAAGCTAGTATTTAATAACCTAAATAGTCTCTAGAAACTAATAGAGTATACTAACTACTATATAAAAGATAATTCTAATATAAATCTAGAGAATATAGTAAAAATAGATATTAATTATTATATATATCTTAATTTTATATAGAGTAAGCTTAAGATATCTATTTATAAATTAAATATAATTAGATCTAGATATAATATAAATACTATATTTTTATTAAAGATCTTAAAAATATTATTATATAATATTAAATATAAGTTCTTAATATAAAGAATAAAGATAATCTCTAAAAATATTAATTTTAAATATACTTAGATTTTAAATAATATATCTAGCTATTAAATAATCCTTATTCTAGAAATAGATATAAAATAAGATTTTACTATATTTTTTAATCTAGTTATAATTAAGCTCTATATAAAACTACTTAAAAATATTATCTATCTATATCTAAATAGCTATAGAATTTTTAATTTATTAATATAATCTAAGCTTTTAATAAAAATACTAGAGTATATAAATACTAATATTAAAACTATTCTATTATAGAATTTTAAAAAACTTATTTTCTTTAAGACTAATTTAGTAGAAAAGAACTTTAATCTAAGTATATAGAACTTTATTAGTTTCTATTATATAATTCTACTTTTAAATTCTCTAGTCATGAAGTTATATATAAAGTATATATTTAGAAATAGTAATATTATAAGATCTAGTAAGTTACTCTATTATAGAGTTATAGGATATATTCTTAATATAAAAATTAATAATTTTAGCCTTATAAAACTTAAGATTAATAGCTATATATAATATAATTTATATATATAGTTTATATAATAATATCTAGTAGTAGTATTCAGGAAGGTTAATATAACCATAAAAAAAATAAATATCTAAGTAAGATAAATAGTAAAGTAGTCTACTACTCTATACTAGCACTTATATAAAATTTTTATTGTTGCAGTTTTGTTCTAATAGTCTGCCGTAGATTGGCTGGACGTTCGCTCGGAGTATTAGTAATCAGTAAACCCTCCGAGGTGGATTTTGTTGTGTACACAGCCCATCTGGCTTCATGTTCATGATTATTATCATGCCATCCCAAACATGCCAAAGGTAGTGAAGCGCTCTGCCTGCGACCAGTGTAGAGCAAAGCGAGTCCGATGTCTTCGTCCCCAAGGTAGCACGGAACCCTGTGCACGTTGTGCCTCATCGAGAGCTGCCTGCGTCACCGGTGCCCCAGGCTATCCTGGTCGTCCGCGGAAGGGAGCCCCGCGAGAAAAGGACGAGCTCGCGTTATCTAAGAGTACGCCGGCGGTGGATGCGTCTATGCTGATGAACACGCCTTCGCCCAGCTGCTTCAGGCCCGAAGCGGCAAACTTGCTGGAAGCTCATCAACATCAATCAAAGGGAATATTGTTCCAGGAACAGTCAGGTCCCGGTCCAAATCCCCTACCAGCGTCAGGTTGTGGTGCAAATTTGCTGGACTTTCCTTTGAGCGTGGAGGACTTGCCCGCACAGCAGCTGGGCACCGCATTACAAGAACTACCGAGAGCTGACGGGGACATTTATACCAATCACGACTTTGATAACATGCTCGATTTCGATTTCCTCGGTTCTTCTGGATGTCAACTAAACCTAAATCCTACCCCGAGTGCAGCTACATCGCTTATACAATTCCGAGAGAACATCGACCAGCGCGTCTCAGCCATGGACGGTTTCCTCTCAGACCCTCGCAACATCGTAGACAACTGCCCGGAGGACACCACGGCCATGACGTCTGAAAACCCACTCGCCACAGCGATCATGTGCGCGGAAGAGTTCGTCAGTATCATCCAGAATTTAGCGCAGTCAGTCATCAACACCGAAACAACTCTGCTCGTCCTTTCGAGCTATCTCCAACTCCTCAGACTCTACGACTCTCTATTCCACGACGCCTACCGATGCCTGTCTCAGATACCACCGGAGACTATCAAGTCGATCAAGGTGAAGTCGGTATTCCGCGTCGCCGGCATCTCCTCACTTCAAGATATGCCCGGGAAAGCATATGCCAAGGGAATAGTTGATGTCATTCAAACTCACATTCAAGCTGTAGAGCGCTGCCTCGGACTCCCGGCGGTATACTGCCTCTCTGGTGAAGGGGGTGCTCCGCAGAAAGGGATATTCACTGATGCAGACCGGGCGCGGTTGCTTCGTGTTGTTATGGATCAGGAGGACGTTGGGTCGAGGGGCAAGTCGTATGTGGATTCGATTAGGGAAAATATCAACGATACTATCGCATTGTTTTGACGAACACAGAATAATCAGCACTAAATCATGGCTTTATCAGTATAGCCCTGCAATGACTGCGAAATTATTGATCTATCAGGGCGATTAAAGCGATACCTTGCATAATTACTATCCATTATTGCTCACTTCAGGAACTCTTAACGACAAAAGACGTGTCCACCCCGCCCGTCAAGCCTCGCCACTGCGCTTCTTCTCCTCCATCATACCGAATTCACTATCCAGCTCATTCCTCAGCGGAATCTCCTTAGGAATCACCGCAACAAGGAACCCCACAGCAGCGAACGCGATAGCAACCTGCCACGACCGGCGCAAGCTCCCATTCTGCAGAGCAACAACCTGCGCGCGCGTCTCTTCCTCAAGTCCATCGAGGAAATTTGCCGTAGCACGCTGGTAGGCGCCACCGTGCATGAACTCCGCCGCCACGCTCGCGTCTGTTATAACACCCTGCCCCGCCAGCTGTTCGGCTCTATTGTTGAAGATGGCGCCTGCGATGGCAACGCCCCATGTAACGCCGAAGCTGCGCATAAACGCCCATGTTCCTGTCGCCAGCGCTGTATCCTTGTCGGTCAATGGGGCTAGGAGGGCAGGGAGGAGGGTTGGTATGGCCAGGCCGGCGCCGGCGGACTCGATGATCTGGAACCCGACCAAGGCGCCTAGGGTGGAGTTCTGATCGAGCAGCGAGAAGAGGCCGAATCCGATGACGATTAGAGCTAACGCGACAAGGAGTATTGGTTTGTACCGGCCGAACTTGGTTAGCAGTAACCCTCCAACGATGACAAAGGGGATCAGGGCGAGAATGGTGGGTAAAAGCAGGATTCCTGAGCGGTATGGACTTGCACTGAGCACGCCTTGGAAGTATACCGGGAGGAAATACAAAGCCCACATGGTGACGACGCCGTGGAGAAAAGTGAGGACGAAGATGGCAGCCGATGTGCGGTTCGAGAAGAGATGCAGCGGCATCATCGGATTCGCTACAAAGCGAGAACCCTCGAGGACGATGAAGCCTGCCAGAGCGACCATTCCTATCACAAGAGGGACAAGCACGCGGAATGAAGACCACGAGTATTCGCCTCCAGCTCCAGCCCATCCGAGCGCAATCAGCACGGAGCACGAAGCTCCAACGAAGACAACATTGCCCAGCCAGTCTAGACTCCCAAGCTTAGTCGCCAGAGTATTCGACTTGTCGTAATTGACATGCAGGAACGCCACCAGCAGGGCCAGTGCCGGACCGCCGATAGGCAACGCCATATAGAAAGCCCATCGCCAGGTACTGTAGCTAACGATGAGGCCGCCAAACAAAGGGCCCAATGCGGTTCCCACGGAGATCATACCGAACACCAGCGCCATGTAGTTCCCTCTCTCCCTGAGAGGAACCAAGTCGCAGATGATCGTTTCGACTAGGACACTGATTCCAGACGCTCCAATGCCCTGCAGTACACGGCCGCTGATCAACATGGCCATGTTGGTGGATCTGTTTATCAGCATGTCTCTTCTCCTATAGTCTTCTTCTATACCGTCGTACTCACCCGCCACATATACCACTTCCAATTAGAAAGACAGCCGTTGACGCGATCAAAGGCCTGCGCCGGCCAAAGACGTTCGCAATTTGTGCGAACAGGGGTTGGAGAGATGCCCTGGGACTCATTAGCCACCAGCAGCGTCTTCATGAGAAAGAAAATGCCTACATGGTCAGGAAATACCCATTAGCCACCCAGATGTAGTTGTCGCCCCCGCCCAGGTCGGACACGATGACTGGTAAGACCGTGGAAGTAATGGTGGCTTCCAGGGACGTCAGGAGACTCGTCAACGCAATACCCAGCAGGATGAGCCAGAATCTCCGTCCCTTTCGAGTCTCTCTGGGACTCTTTGGGGATTGCTTGGTCTCAGAGGGCCCGGGGGTTGTTTCTGAGACTACGTCTTGTGACATTTTGTTGAAGTTGCTTAAAGTCCGTCTGGAATCAGCGCGAATCTTCCCTTATATATTATATTCTAGACGACTCGGGTATTTCTCGACTATTTCCCAGACATAAGTTGCGTCGCCATGTTGGAATTGGAAGCTCGGAGGGTTAACCTCTGGAGGGTTTCCAAAACCCTGCGAGATGGATCTCCATTACCTGGAGCACAACTGAAATGCAACAGCTTTACTAAAAACCACTCCTTATAAACGAGGGAAATGGTACGCAATTCTGACCCAGCCATGGGAGTAACACCGCCAGGTTGCTAGCCCTCTGCTTGCGACTATAATCGATATTGATTGAGGTCCTCAGTTCGAAAACGAAGTAGGTTTATTTACCTGCCCCTGCGAGCCACCAGGCTACCATTTTATAGCTAGCACTGTAGCAGAATTCTACTGTAAACAAGGTTGGTGGTCGGTGCCAGCCAGGAGCAAGCTGAGGAAATACGAGGTTTATATTGCTTCCATTACAAAGACGCTCACCCACCGCAGCTTCGCACACGCCAAATACCGACAAATGGCAGGAATGCCTGTCTGGTAATAGCAGTGGCCTGTTAGCTGCACCGGGAAATTATCTCGACTGATTTCAACCCCCGCCTCTCCCCGTTAATAGCGACCGCGGAATCAGCGCGGAAACGCCACGTGAAGAATGTAGAGGACCGCTGGAGCTTGAATGAAGACCTGGCCAGCTTAGACTCCTGCTGCAGTGGCTGCAGTTTATTGGCTGTCGATCAACAGGGGGCCACACCGTGAGACTGTTACCACTCTGCTGTTCTACACTGCAGATAGCTTGAATGGATGAATTCCGCGATAGAGACACTGTCGACTGCGGAAATCCGGGGTATTTGCCTGTTCCATGGCTCAAAAATTGGCCACTGCTCATATCTACCCATCATTGCTCGCAGATCTGAGATAGACGCAGTTAGACTCTTGATCAACCATGTGGGGGCTGCGGAACCGCATGCTCTCCCCGCACCGTGTCCCCCGCGGTCCGAGGACGTCTTTATAAACCCTTAAACCTGGCTGAGCAGCTGAGGCCAGTTATAATATATTTTTCAGTTCCAGTCATTTTCACCATGGGCCGCAACCCGCATACCGATCCCCAGCGATATGCTACGCCGCAGCAGCTCGTAGGGCCGCCGGCCACCTACGCATCCGCCCAAAGGGGCCTTCTCAACTATGACTATGGTATGACAGCCATTTTGGCCATTCGACGTGGCTGACTCCTGCAGTGATCGTGGGCGCCGGCGCGGCAGGCTGTGTGCTCGCCAACAAGCTGTCCGCAGACAAAAACGTCTCGGTGCTGCTGCTGGAAGCCGGCAGCGACAACACCAAGATCTTCGAGTCCAAGGTCCCACTGCTATTCTCCAAGCTCTTCCACACCCAGAATGACTGGGAATACTACACGGTCGAGCAGCCCGAGCTCGCCAACCGCCGGCTGTACTGGCCTCGCGGCAAAGTCCTCGGCGGCTCCTCCTCCCTCAACGCGATGATGTACCACCACTGCGCCAGCAGCGACTTTGACGAATGGGCCTCAGTCCATGGCTGCAAGGGCTGGAGCTACGATGATCTCGCACCGCACTTCCGCACCATGGAGAAATTCACCCACAATCCCAATCGCCCATCCATCAACCGCCAGCACCGCGGCCGACTCGGGCAATGGCAGACGGGGTATACATGGCTCTCGGAGATTGTGGAAAAGGGCTTCCTGCCAGCCTGTGAGGAGGCGGATATCCCGCCGAACCCTGATATCAACACTCGGGAGGGCACCATGGGCGTGACGAGGTTCCAGACCTTCATCGACCCCAAGGGCCAACGTGCATCGCTCGCAACGGCCTTCCTCACACCAGAGGTACTCGCCCGGCCAAACCTTTACGTTGCATGCAACGCCTATGTGACCCGCGTTCTCTTCGACCAGATCACCAACCGAAAAGAGCCGCGGGCAATTGGCGTCGAGTTCCAGATGGCTCGCGGTGGCGAGCGCTTCCAAGTGCACGCACGACGAGAGGTCGTCCTCAGCGGAGGAACAATCAACACTCCCCAAACCCTCTTACTGAGTGGAATCGGACCTGAAGATGAGCTGAAAGCCCACGGCATCCCAGTTGTCCAAGCGAACGACGCCGTCGGCCGCAACATGAAAGACCACCTCTGCACAACCCCCATCATCGCCAAGGCAAAGCGCAGCGCCACCCTCGATTACCTCGGCGATACCCTGTATGCGCTGCCGGCCCTGGCGCGCTGGATGCTCACCGGTGGTGGTCCCCTGACTAGCAATGTCGGCGAGGCCGCTGCGTTCATTCGGACGACGGAGTATAACTTCCCCCAGACGGTGAACCCGCCCAAGGACAATGCGTCTGGTCCTGCGTCGCCGGATATCGAGATCATTGGCGCCCCTCTCGCCTTCATCCACCATGGCGAGGAGAGGCCATCCGATGGAAGCAGTGTGTTCACTCTCGTCCCCATTGGCCTCCGTCCGAAGAGTAGCGGCACCATCACCCTGAAGACGCGCGATGTCTTCGATGCCCGTAAGTCCATCCCACGTATAAACACTGAACCAACTAACCCATCCAGCAATAATCGACCCGAAATACCTCAGCGACGAAGGCAACAACGACCGCAACGTCCTCCTCGTCGGGCTGCGCGTGTGCATAAAAATCATCCACAGCGCGGCCTTCCAGAAATACTTCGAAGCCGTGCCCGTAGACGACGACCCAACCTCCTACTGGTGGCCCTACTCCAGCAGCAACCCGGACAATATCAGCGATGAGCAGCTGCTGCGCTTTATGGACGAGAAGGCCTTCACGCTGTACCACCCCGTTGGCACGGCGCGGATGGGCCCGTCGGCGGAGAACAGCGTTGTTGATACGGAGTGTCGGGTTCATGGTGTGCGGGGGCTGAGGGTTATGGATGCTAGTGTGTTTCCCGAGCAGATTAGTGGGCATCCTACTGCGCCTATTGCAGCCATGGCGGCGAAGTTGGGTGAGATGATTAATGCTGGTAGGGGGCCTGCTCCGGTGACTGCGAGGCTGTGAGCTTTAACTGATTAGTGGGTTAATTTGACTTTACTGGCGTATCTATATCCCGTTGAGTAATATATCTAGATATAACATGACAATACTCAGTAATTTAGAAACGCATAACGTTAGAGTATATTCCCACTTAGTGTCAAAGGACAGGGTATGCGGTATGTTAACATGATGAGTACTGGTATTACATTTATTATATAACTTTTATTTCGGGGTATTCAACCCTGAATTATACTTTTCATATACTGAACGTCAATGGTTCCTCCCAGCCTCAAACACCATCAAACCAAGTCAAGCACCAGGTTGGGTATATCGGACTATCCAAGCCACCCTCGTATCATCAACACGCCAAACCAAGGCAGCGCTGAATCAAACGGCGCAAATCGCCAACGGCATCGAAGGTTTCATGGCGTAGAATTCCCCGCCTCAATCAAAATGGCCACCTCGCGTAACATCGCGTTCCGCCGAATTGCAGGAGCGACAGCTCGGGAATCACCACCACGTCGCGAGCCTTTTGCGCTTTGTCCCCGACTCCCCATGCATCGAGCTGAATACTGAAAACAAAGCCACGTCTTGGCCAGGAGGGCCGTGATCCAAGCCTTCCTGTTGGATTCCACTCGGTATCCAATCCAAGTATAGTAGAGGGCCGCACAAACACCATGCGGCTGGACAGGAAACAAAGAAGAGTAAGTATGAGGCCTCGCCAAGGGACACGGATTGCTGCATGTGTCCCATTCCGGCTATCTGACCATCCCAAAAACAGTGTGGCACGGTGCGATTTGTAAATGAGGTTGGATATTCTGGAGATGATTCCTCGCGGCCCCCTTCCTGTTCAGCTGTCAGCCTGGAAGTCGCCTGACCCATTGTTCCGATACCTCAGCCAGCCCATCAGCATCAGAAGCGGTTAGTATTATTTTTCTGTATATATTAAGACATCTCAACGTCGCTATTCCATACCCACACCAGCTGACACGATGGGGTACGGAAACCGGCTCCTACTGTTGATCGGCTCTGGTCCTGGTCTTGGACGTGCAGTCGCCTCATGCTTTGCTCAGCGATACTTCGATCGCATCGCCTTGATCGCCCGAAATGCTGAGCAGTTGCAAAAGGATGGCTTAGCTGTGGAGGAAGCAGCCGCCAGTTTCCACCGGGAGGTGGTCGTCCAAACATGGCAGCTTGACGTCTGCGACATCGAACGGCTAGAAGAAGCCTTGAAGGAGATCGACCAGTTTGGAAACTTGGAGTGCGTGTATTATAACGCCGCGCGCGTTGGGCCCAGTCTGTTCTTCACAGCTAGGACTGAAACCATCGAGGCTGACTGGCAGGTATGTCTAACACATACAACTTGATAGAATCCGCTGACAGTGTTGACTCAGGTAACCAACCTCGCTCTATATGTAACAGCGCGGTGGGCAATGCCCATCCTACTCGACAAGTCCCGGGCACTGCCCGACTGGAAGCCTTCGTTTCTGGTAACCAGCAGCGCTCTACCCGTCGACCCGATCCCACAGCTCTTCTCCCTGTCCATGGCCAAAGCCGCGCAGGCCAACATGGTCAAGTCGCTGGAGAAGACCTATACCCACCTCGGGATACACATTGGTCTAGTCGTGGTCGGTGGTGCTATGTCTGACAACGCACTTATCTCGCCGACACTCGTTGCGGAACAGGCATGGCTGCTCTTCGCGCAGAACCGTGAAAGCTGGACGACGCAGGTAACTATTCGGGAGGACCTGACTGTCGATTGGGACGAGACAATCTGATTTTCCTTCGTTTTTCCAATATATGCAATGAATTGGAGGTCTCATCAAAAGTCGTACCCCGACAATATCCGACAAAGAATAACCCTCGCACGATCTCGTGCACTCCGTAGAGTCATAGTACGGTAGAGCTTAATCGCTTCAACACAACGTATCAGAGTTGGTATCTCGCCAGAGCTGTGCGGCGCCTCCGGTATATTCTGGACAACCTTGACAACAACACACACCATGCCCTGCTCAGTCAGAAGCGGCCGTCCTGTCCGCGTGTCAAATCCAGTGCTGGCTTCGAAGAAAGCGTTCAGCCGCGACATGAATAGCTGGCTATCCTTGGCCGATTCGCGGAGGGCCCACAGCGTCCGCGTAACTAGGAACAACGCCAGAAATAACGCCACTTCATCTGGGAATCGTGGTACTTTCCGTTCTTCTGGTCGCAGGTAGAACCTCAGCCCACTGCGCAATACCCCCAGTCCCACCGCCATGCTATTCAACTGCGCAAGTCCAGCCTGCGGTGATACGGCCTCCACCCTCGGTGCATCATTCATCGTCGAGATCAAAAACCCAATAAACCGCCGCACCTGTTCCTCCTCAAGAGCTTCCTCCGCAGCAGGCAGGGGTTCACAAACAATATACGGCATCAGATGCGCCAATCTGGACGCCGGAATCTGACAATCCATCAAGCTCCTCTTAAGACCCCCTCTCGCCTGAATCGCCGCCTCATACCCCTTCAAATGTGCCTGGCAGGCCATCGGGTCCGAAAGCCGCGCCTCGGTAACCGCAGCCATAATAATCCCGGCCAGGATATCGTCGGTGACTTTCCCTGCATTCTGGCTGAGCGAGTACTTTAGTAGTCGATATGCCTGGCCTTTCCTGCCAGCTACGGTGTCCACGTAGTCCGCGCGGTCTGCGCCTGGACGTGCGAAGAGTCCATCGGCTGCGATGAGCACCCACCACATCATCAGGCTGGAGCCTAGTAACATGGGTAGACTGACATCCCGTATCGCGCTGAAGACTGCATCTGGGCGCGTTCCATACACCATGGCCGGGACTTGAAGGAGATCTAACTGCGTAGTTAGTCGTAGGGGGTGTCAGCCAGACAATTAACACGTACAGCAGTGAAGCAAATCCCGATTTTCCGGTGTCAGCACATAAGGAAGTTTGCAGAATGGGTCCAGCGAGGTTGTTATTTCATTAATCTCCGGACACAGAACTTCGCGGGCGCGCTGAGTTTGCGCTTGTTGTTGTTGTTGTTCTTTATCTTCTTCTAGCTCCGATGGATTCTCCGTCTGAGGCGGCGGCGGCTCCTGCTCAGCGGACAAGGGCTTCGATTCTTGCACAATGGCCTTGTTTGAGTGTTAGCCCTGGAATTGGTTGCTGAAGCGATCGCGAAATGCATTAAGCTACCTTGTTCCGTTTCGGTGGCGGGGCGCCAACCCTCCAAGTCAGCACTGGGGGTTTCCAGTTGCGGCGCTTCGTCTTTTCCCTCCCGTCGGGGGCCATATTATATTATCGCACGAGACAGGTTTGGCTGGCTGAGCGATGAGGAGAAATCGCAGTCCTTGGTTGGGTGTTTGGGCTGCCACATATGAGGTCCGTTGGACAGACCGCAGACCCTTACCTGAGACTAATGCAAGGATGACGACGAAGCGAGGACGCGATTTACGAGGCTGTGGCTGTGGCTGCGGATCCGCACAATGGGGGAGCAGACTTTATATACCTTGGCGGGCCCGCGAGGCTGGAGCTCGTTGAAGTCGGCGGATCCGAACTCTGTTCCAGCACTTGCATCGTGACGAAATGGACCAACAGCGCCATTGTCCTGATCTGTGGAAATTAGTTCCTGCCGAGACCTGCCAGCCGATTGGCGCGTTGTTATGGATCGGCCGAAATGGAGGGTCTGTGGCTGAGTGGGTCTGAGCACAGACTACGCTATGAGACGGGGTCAAGTCCAGTTGTCATGAATCATCTTATTAACGTTGCTATTAAAGGGTATCTCCAGGAATCTCCAATCGGAAGGTTCCATGTGAATAAACATATTTTAGGTCCCGAGATCAAGTATGCATTCTGATCAGTCACTGTCCTCGCTCTCTGTTTGCCACTCATGATTCGCCATGCCCGCCATCATGGCGGCGAACTGCGGACTGTTGGCCGCCACCATCATCAGCTGGGATAGCAGCTGCGCGCCATTTGGAGGACCCTCCAGTGCAAACGGACCGTCAGGGTCGTCCTCGTCGTCTTCGTCGTCGTAGCCATCGCCAAGGGTATCGGGTATATCATACGGAAAAATCTGGAAGTCGACCGATGTTCCCTTAAACAAATCCTGCAGGCTGCGAAAACATTCCGCTGGTGTCATTCCGAACGGGACAATCTGGCCAGGAAGTTTTATCGGTTTTGTAATGTCGGTGGTCAACACCTTGAACTCGGTAAGGCGAGGGTATTTGCCGCGCTTACAGTCGCTGGCGATGTCGGTGACCATGTCGCGGATCGACGAGTTGCAGTCAGTGATATCCAGCCGTTGTAAAGAAGGGGGGAACTGCGGGAAGTCCGGAAGCAAGGCGTGCTGGACGATGATGACTTCAAGAACGGGAAAGTCCTTGAGCGAGGGAAGCTTCACGCAGTTTTCGCAGTATTCGCGGTATGCATCGGCAGTAGGGGTTTCCCAAGGTTCACGAAGGTATTCAAGGTGGAAGTGCTCAAGTGAGTTCCTGTGAGGAAGTACGGCAGCATGGACCTCAGCGGCGTTGAATTCCGGCAGCTCCAGAGCTTCAGCTCGGGCTTCGTCTGCGGTGAGAGCAAAGTTCTGGTAGATGAAAGACTTGACCCTCTTGCACGCCTGCATGAGTTTGCTGATACCAGAGGCATCAATGCGACAGTGGTTGAATGCTAGCTCTTCGAACGCTAGGGTTCCCGGTTTCCAGCCGGCAGGGAATGTCTTGCCAGGCAGATCCGCAAACTCAAAAGTCGGTGAGGTTATTTTGCGAAGGCTAAGAACGTCGTTATACGAGCCAATGTCGTATCCAGTTTCCAACGGCTCGTAGCAGATCATCCACAGTCGGTCGAGTTTCGGCAGGAATTTCTCATCCCGTCTGCAAAGGGAGGTGAGTGCATCACGGATCACAGGGTCATGAGGCATGCGAAGCGCACGCAGGTTTGGAGTCTTGTGGGCGAGCAGTGCAACAACGGGCGAGAATTGCCAATTCTCCAATGCTTTCAACCACTGCTTCTCCAAATCACCCAAACGCAGATCTCGTATCGACTGCTGAACGAACTTCAAATCCTCGGGATCGACCTGGGGGCCGGTTGCCATGTCAGCGAGCTCGGGTTCTCCGTAAAAGTCTCCATTATCCAACGCAGCGATGCTGAGGGTCTTTAGGTGCTCTCCAAGCTCAGGCCGCCGATAAACGCATTTGGTGAACCCAATCAGCAGATTCAATGGGTCTTCAGTATCGTCGGCATTGAAACTGCGGAACAGAAGCGGCTGGGAGAGATTGCGAAATTGCTGCGAGACCAGGCAGACATTGTACAAATCGGCGGTGCCGCAGCAATGGTGTTCCTTGCCAAGGGATTCGCCGGAGGAGTCAGCAAGAAAGGAAAGAATGCGGTCCAGAAGCTCCGTGGGGAGGGATTGGAGGTGGACCATGACGACTTGCAGGCTGTCAGGCTTTCTGGTCGTGTGGGGATAATTTGGTTTGAGGATCCGGAGGGGCCGGCGGAGTTAGTGCACCCCCAATCGGGAAATAGGGCACGCGTGCTAGGGCTTGCCGTGTCATTACGTCACTCCTCAGCAGCTTCAACTTGGATTCTCCCACTCGTTACTTTTTCTTGACCTTGATACTCAATTCATTGATTTCGCAAATATGTCTGGCCTATTTCCTCACTCCGGCAGAGAGCGCGGCGACGAACTGCGCAAATTGGCCGACTACCACATCCAACACGACCTCCACCAAAGCGACCGCGATGCCTTGCACTCCGCCTCAAAGACAATCTCCTCCTGGGCGAGTGTTGGAGCAGCCGTCGGACTGGGACTGGGGCTATACACAGCGATTCGGTTGAGAAGATCGAGAAAGGTCTTCTTCGACGTCTTTCGCGCGGCCGAGAAGCCCACCAAGGTCGTGTTTGCCGACGGCCGAACCGGTACGAATATTTATCTTGATGCAGAATGGGGCTAATACAGAATAGAGGCGCTGCCGGACATTACACCCATGCTCAAGCCGACTACTCTCGGAGACTTTGCGACGTATTTCTTTGCCTCTGCGGGTGGCCTCTTTCTCGGTGGTGAACTCGGTAAGGCGACATTCTACGTTCTGATACCGTACTAACGTGCAATTTTTATTTAGGCTTGTTCGGCGGTATGGCGTACGGTTGCCGCCCTCTTGCGGCTGATGCTGAGAGGCGACAACGAATTGAGAATGCTCTTCGGAGTTTCCGTGTTGACACGCTGCGGAAGGAGGCAGATGAGGTGGAGAAGGGGAAAACAGTGGGAGAGTTGTTTTAAAATTTCTGTACGGCTGTATATTTAAGTTATTTGCTGGAAACTGGCCTAATACTGGGTGGCGTGGTATTATTAGTGGCGTTCGTATGGTGAGGTGACACGCGGGTATTATATATATGTGACATGTCTATCAACCAACTTATTGCCTTGTTACTCTGAACACCTGAACACCGCTCCAAAATTCTGAAAAGTACTAAAACCATTGTTTAAAATGCCATTGACACAGGTGCCTGTCTTCTGTCTAGCAGTGAATACTAAAGCGGGGCGATACTTCTGGAATGAAGAAAGTAAATTTTCACTGAACACCAGAATAGTCCGATGAATGATGCTATGCATAAATAAACAAAGCTTTTACATGAGAAATGGGAAGAGAATTTTTCCCGAGTTTACCATCTTTCCACCACCTGCATCATGTCGAAGAAACGCGCTCTAAGTGCTAGTCCGACACTAGAACTCGACCTGCAACACAGGAACAAAGTGCCAAAAACCGATATCCTCCAAGGAACGCTGCTTGATCCAGTTTATCATCTGAACGGGGATATTCTGAATATGGTTTTTGACCGTCTACCGATCGCTGATGCCTTCTCCTGTGCATCTTTGAACAAGGCCTGGGAGGCTGTAGCTCTCAGATGGATGTACCAGACTCGCTCACTCGTCGGCCAAAAGCTACGATGCATGTGTTATGAAGCAGTCCCAGTTTATCTGTGGCAGGAGCTGTCCATTGCTGAAATCAAATACTATGGTTGGTAGTTTCTGCACTCCCTCCTCCATTATCAGAGATCTGACTTCTGACGACCTCATCTAAAGCATCTAATCTGTCTCGAGCGCAGTCTGCCAAGGCAACCTCTCTATTCTCGTGCCATGGTCCGGTTGGGTTCGTGGATGTTGGAGACTTTGCCGCAAACCTGTCTAGGCGAGATCCCAATTATTCGACCTTCCACTCAGTTCTTCATTGGCGCCCTCTCCACCCATCAAATAAGTCCCAGCACCAGTCGAAAACGTATGAAATACCGGAAACATCCGAAAGGTTCGGCCGCGGCACTGTGATTGCATTGTTCGTGAATAGCAGCGGGTTGATAATGGTGAATTTGCAATATCTCGGAGCACAGACAAACAGGTAAGCCAAGCGCCCGTTCCTGTGGTGCATTGCTGACACTATATGAAATCATCAAGGCTGGTGGTGTATTCTCCTATCGAGGAGAAAAGGCTTTGGGATTATCCCTATGACAGCCATATACCGTGTCCTAACTCTCCTTCGGTCACAGTGCCAGTGCCGTTTGGGCCAGTCGCGCTAGGTCAGTCCTATGCATACTGCGTGAGCACCGAAGCGCATTCCGGCTGGGCCCTGATGGCGTACGATTTTCGAACTGGAAAGGAAGTATATTGTATCAGCAAGGGCGTGCAGTGGTTTCGATCCGCTAACGCCTGGCTGGCGGAAGGCAGGCCTGTGCCTGAACGTCTGGTCCAACTGGTGGAGGTCAATGGCGAAGAGCTCCTCATTTGGATGTCGGAACCGAAACTAACGGAGACCACGGTTGAAATCATCAGGGGCCGCGACGGACAGCCGGTGTACAGCTTAGAATACTCCTCATCTTGGAAGCTCAATTGCCTGGCAGACCCCTTGACCAACCAAGTGGCATTGATATGGTACAAACCTGCCGAAAGAGCAGCCAATTCAGGCCGGAGTATCACCCTGATACGTACGTTTTCATATCAACCGGGCCAGCCATTCACCCTGTCACCCCTAATAGCCGTGGAGCGCAAGACGCCCTGTTCGGAATATGAAACGCTCCAGCCCTTCACCATGACAGACATCGAGGTAGTTACCCTGGCGTCTGAGAAGCGTGGGAAGTTTACCATTGCCCGTAGCTGTCTGCTCCAAGTAGACAGTCAGAGGATACGCAATCTTGCTTTCCAGGCTGCCATCGAGCTTTTCACTCACGCCCCTAGGCATATCCGGTGCTACACCACCGACAGCCCAAGGACCGTCACCGTGTCTGAGTCTGGTTCATCCTTGCCACCGGGTTCCCAGAATAGCAATACCCTATCTGTGGATACTGTACCTACCCCGGCAGTCTATTGGCTGGACCATGCGCGGCTTGTAGTCCAGACCATGAATTATACCCGGGTTGTTCAGTTCTAGCACTTGTCTGCTATATCTTTATGTTAATCTTTCTAGCCTTGATAGATGAAATAAGTTGGATTATAATCCTTGATCGGTAAACAATCTAGAGACATATACCTCATTATACGTAATCCACCTGAATTAATATCACGGGCTCGAATTTATATCGCAATGCTTTTCCCTCCACATACGTGTCTCTTTCTTCTCACTCCATTACATCTCTGACTCCCTCAGAATCGCAGCAATGGGAAACATAGCAGCAGACACTACCGTCGCAAGAACTAATACTCGTCAGCATCCCAATCCCAGTCACTAGAAGTCCTTAGCATACGCGGCAAATACTGAAAGCTGTCCAAATAACTCGACCTCACAACCTCCCTCAGCGCCGAGGGAAGGGTATTCGCAAATCGCACCTCGTTGAGAATGCGGTGTATTATCTGGTTTAGCCAGCCAGTCAGTAACCAATATACGCTCCATTAAACAGGCAATGTGACTTACAGAACTCTTATCCTCCAATCCCTCAAGGGTCATCCCCAGCCTCGCCGCAAACAACTTCTGATTCAGCGCCGACCCAGCCGCAGGACCGATGACAAGACCGAGCTGCTGGCAGAGGTAGTACGTGCCAATGCAAACATGCAACTTCCCCTCTGGCGCATATGTAGACATCCCGACGAATAATGCCGGGAAGAGCATCCCCGTCGCGATGCCGAAGGGGATCAGGTATATGCCGTACCATAGTTTGAAGCCGTTCCGCCATTGGATGAAGATGAGAAGGGTGCAAATGGTCAGGTTGAAGATGGAGGCTAGGGTCATTGATTTGCAGCGTTTCGTACTATGTGGATTAGTTTTGTACAGTTCATGGCCGGGAATGAAGGGCGTACTATTTAATAACCAGGCCGCATACAACGCCTCCGATGGCCACGCCGATGGCCACAACGACAAGCGAGAGAGATGCGAGTAAGTTGCTTGTGTTGGTGACGCGGATGAAATAGGGCACGAGGTTGCTGAGGAACTGGGTGGGCGTTAGCATTGTCTCTCTGACCACGGCTGGAATAGCATACCGCGTAGCGACCACCAAGGAGCAGAACCTGGAGGAGAAAATGGGCCGAAATTCCAGATGAATAGATTCGAATCGGAATCAAAGGCTTCTCAGCCCAGAAAAGCTCGAGCGTGACGAACAGTATACACCCAGCTACAAAGCCAAGTCCCAGCAGCGCAGTCCGAAGGACAGTGTCTTCGTTCAGGGTCCCCAGTTCCTGGAGGAAGAACAACAGCGCTAGGATAGTTCCAGAGAAGGTGAATATCCCTGAAAAGTCCAGATCCCAGACGGGCGATCGCCTGTGCTCTGTCTGATCCGCGCGGTCTTCGGCTTCGTCGATCAGGGTATCGTTCAGGAAAGAAGGGAGGCGGATTCCGACGAATACCGTGCAAAGAAGGATAATCGGAATCTGGCCATAGAATGCCCTGACCTAGTTAGATGTGTAAAACTGCAAATCCGTGGAATGCTTACCATCTCCATCCGATGGTATCTGTGAGAAAACCCCCGATGGGACCCCCGAGACTGCGGCCGGCGACATTGACAATGTTCTGATAGCTCCGGTATAAAGCAATTTCATGCGGTGCAATGATATCTAATATCACTCAATACTAGCAAAGTAACAATAATCGACAGAAGGCGTACCGCTGAGGATGACCGAAACCACAATTATCATTCCAGCACCGCTCGAGCCAGCGAGCACCCTCGATAGAATAAGCTGGGTCATTGTCGCACTTGCGCCACTATTATCTGTCAGTAGACCTGAATAGACCCTCGATACGGAGGCAGCGCTCACCAGGCAAGACAGCTAACCGCGAACGTAGTATATGAACAGATGAGGACATTCTTGCGCCCATATGCGTCCCCCAGGACACTATACTAGAAGGAGTAAATATCCAGTCCGCAGCTATGCATTCCCATTTCTTACCACAGGCAGCGAGATGCAGTACCCAAAGTTATATGCGAGGAGGAGCCATGATCCTTGGGAGAGGTGGTGGAATTGCGACGCGATGGCGCTGTACGTGGAGATAACTAGGGCTTCGTCGGCGCTTGCAATGAAAACACCTAATCTGTCAGCGAGCTTGCATCGGCTAGATAGAATGACATGAAACACTCCATACCTATGAACGTCCCGAAGATTAAAATAAGGTCCGATCGCTTTGGTGTCGGCGGTGCAGCTGTGTCCTTCGTATCTGTATCGGACCGCGGACGCAGCAGCGGTGACTCCTCCGAAGTCACAGCCATGGTCTTGAATTCTGGAATGAACAGAAATCGCCGACCTGCACAAGATGAAGATGAAGCTGAGATTAAATTTAAAGTCGGGGTGGGGGAGCTGAAAAGCTGCATTTGACGCTAGGGCCGGGTCTTGCGGGATGAAAACTGGATCGCGGCTGGATCGCACTGGATCGCACTGGATCAGAGTCTCGTCTGCAGTCAATCCTGCAAGATGATCACAGGTTCGTGTGGGAATGGCCAATCCTCGCCGTCCAGCCCTTGCTCCAGTCGACGATCCCCAATAGTTCGGGTCGGACGCGCATGTCAGACGAACCACGGCGAATGAAATGCTGACATGTCTTTGGAGGAAATGAAAAGAAATTATAAAGATGTCAGAAAGGGATTAAAGTACACCCTCATGCTGTCAAATTATGCAAGACACTGCATGGCGTGACATTGCCCTTTATGCACGTTTTGAATTGGTGAAGCATTGTCCATTCTGATATTCATTGTTAGTTTGATGAATGGCTGTGTCTTAATTATGCGTATATCTACTATCCAACTAGCCCTCGAAATGGAATCCTGACAAGAGATCACCTATTCTATCCCGAGTACGCTTAGATTGGGTACCGGTTCTTGTATATAATAAACTTATAATAAACTCGGAAGACATGTCCGCACCACCTTTGCGGCAGGCTTTAGGTTTCAAGCCTGACAAACAGCAGCTCCAGACACCATGAAGTGAATGGCCCCTTCACTCCTGCAATCTTTGTGCAAAGAGTGAAGTCCCAGTGGCCTTTGTCGTGCCTTCCACATCTCAACATAAAAGAACCGGCTCAGCCTTCTTCCTTCTACCTTTCCGTTTGCACCTACGGTCCTCTTCTGCCGTCATGGAGCCTCTTGACTTGGAATCGCTCAATCCCAGCGTCGTGCCTGACCCCCACGATCCTGCGCAAAGGGTTTATGCTCGTGAGATGGGCTATCCCAAGACGGCCGCTCAGGTCGTTGTCAACCACGTCTCCGCCATGGCGAAGCAAGAGTACGATGCAAAACGCAACTGCGTCATTCTTGAACCCGGGTCCTCGCTCCTAAGCGTCCTCCGAGCCTTGCTCCGGCGAAATGACCAAGTGATCCTCACCGACCCGACGTCGCAAACCCTGACAGCTTCGGTCAAAGCCGCGAATGCAAGACCAGTTCTGGTTCCTCTGATATTCCGTCCTGGGCAGACATGGGCAGTAGACTGCCAGGGGTTCAAAGATTCCATCACAGAGAATACCAAGGCTATGCTTCTCCAGTCCCCTTGCACGCCGTCCGGTGCCGTTTTCTCCGAGAAGGATTGGGAATATATTGCGGAGCAGTGTGTCGAGTCTAACCTCCTGCTAATCTTTGAGACCTCGTTTGATACCGTCATCTACAACTTCTCTCGTTCCATGTGGACCCATCCGGCATCATTCAAAGGAATGGCAGACAGGACCCTGATTATTGGTACCGGCTCGGGGTTTTTGGATAATCGGCTACAAAAGTTTGAATACGTCGTCGGTTCTCAGGTATTTATTTCAAAAATACGATCCGTGGTCTGGAGCAAGCCCGATCGCTACACTTACTGCGAAGTGGCGTCCTTTCGCCTGTCCAGAGGTGACTTGATAGCAACAGCTCGCCAGCGCCGGAATATGATTCTCTACGCGCTCCGTGGGCTTCCAATTGGTATCCCAGCCGGAGGATGGAGTTTGCTTCTCCGAGTCAGCGAGTTCGGTCTAACTGCAAAGGAGGCTGCATGGCGACTTGCGGAGCAGGGCGTCACCGTGACACCTATGGATGACTGGGGGAATCTACAGGGAAAGTACTTTGTGCGACTCGTGTTTGCCCATCAACCGGTAGAAAAGTTGGCTTTATTGAGACCCAGGGTCATCAATGCTTCAAGATTGTAAGGAGACTACTTTCTAATCTAATAATATTACTATTCCATCTTGATTATAACTAGGCGTTGATCTATTGCAGCCGCTGCCTAATCTACAGGCCAGAATAAAAGCACGTAATTCCCAACACTTAACACTGGGAATGTACGAAAAACAACATGCCCGTACTCAGGCGATCGAAAAGATGCCATCCAGTCTCCGGTTCTATTCCGTACAGTAAAGGCCGACGGAGCCCTAAACCAGCCCCAACCTATATGCAACGATCACAGACCGACATCGACACAGATCCCAATATCAATATCACTCTTCTCCGTCTCCCACGAGAGATGTTCGACGAGATCGTCGCCTACCTCCCCTTGCCGGCGAAGGTATGCCTCTCTTTAAGCTGCAAAGCCGCCGCGCACGTACTGCACCCTTGGACCACAACCTGGTTCCTCCTCCGCCGGAGCACCCAGATAAACCATAGAACATTCGACAGGACTTTGTGTGACCTTTTGCAGCGAGATCATCCAGAGCTCCAGTTCTGCCCTCGCTGCGAGGTACTACACCCGCCACTCAAGCCACCGCACGCCCATCGCATCACGAAATTCACCAAATTATGTCTTGGACAAACAGCGTCAATGGATTACTGGCCGCAAATGCCAACAGGGGGATACAGCATTATATTTCCTCATATCGAACAAGCTTTTCAGAAACCTTCTGGAGTCCAAAGTACGCCAATTGACATGTTCGCCGGCGACTTCACAGCCCACCTTGAATCGACAGACTACCGTCTCATCTCCTCCGCCAGCTGGATAGAGCGCGGTCTCGTCCTGAAGCAGGAATACCGACTACGCAGCTCAACAGGGTTGTTGAAAGCCGTCGACGTGACGTCTCTCCCGTTTCGTATCTGCGCGCATCTCAGCACCACCACATCCACGCCACCGGAGAGCAGACACACGAAGAGACAAGTCCCTAATGGACCACTACTTACTCATGCTATATCCACTGCATTCCCTGAAAATCTCCGCCTCGGCGTCGCAAGTCCAAAAACATTCCGCCCTCCCTCTCCTGCCGAACAAGCCCAGATAGCAGCCTCGGCGCAGAAAGGGCATATCTGGCGGTGCCGAAGCTGTCCAACAAAGTTCAGGGTCGAGTATTCCGGTTCTAGTAACGAGTTACTTGTAACAGCGTGGCATTTCTTCGGAAAGGAACTGTACAAGGCGCTGGAATACTGGAAGATGTTTGTGCGGCGCGAGGGCACGACGCTGGGTCCCAAGACGCGCAATAGTGAGTTTTTTGTGCTGTCGAGGGGTATTCCGGATTTTGCCATTGAATAATAGCACTGCGTACTGAAATACTGGGGTCAGTTTGCGAGTATTGTGCATACAGACTGGTAATTACTCGGTGCTTGTGATGGGATCTCAGGTTGGCAGGGTTCGTAGTATAGGAGCTTTAAATCAGGACTCCAAAGAGAGCTACTATAATAGGTGCAGGATACATTATTATACTAGTATATGTCGTAGATTCTGGTGTAATTACATGTACTCTTAGTGGCGTCCTGTTAGGAGAATTCCGAAAAAATAACAAATCAAGACGCGTCTTTGACTTTCTCTCCTTTAGACACCATAACATCGTGCCTGACTATGGCTGACCCCCGGGAATTCAATATGCAGGAGCCGTACCAGGAGCAGTTAAGAGGGGTAAGACTGCTTATCTATTTTCTGTTCCCTGCTCACCATTCCAGGGCGTGATTTGCTCGCTCTGCCCTCTGCCACTCGCCATAGGGAGAACAAGAACCCCCGACGAGCCCAAATGCGACTCCTGGGGCCCAGCCATACCCCCCAGGAATCCAAACCCTGTGGCCATGTTCCACCGCAGAAACCGGATGCCTCTACGAGCTGCGACAACGAACTATGGTCGGACTGTGCCTGGGACGAGACCACTGGCTGGGCCATACCCAGCAAGTCGGCCTCTGTCCCTGGAATGAGCGGTGCTCTTTACCGGAAGTTGGTGTACGCCTCCCGATTACTCCCAAGCAGAAACCAGGAGTGAACACGCTATTCTTCGCTCTCCGCGATGTTGAACACCTTTCCGGCCCTGGCTGTCGATACCCGGGCGCTTATCACGGCCACCGGATCTCTATGCAGGAGATGAAAGGCTGCGACACGGTGCAGGCTCTTATTCCAGGCAGCGGGGATCGAGCAGGCCACTGGCCGCCGCCATATCATCTTCCATTCGAGCGCGACGGCGATGGCGAGGGCAGATTCGTTCTCTCCGGCCTGGCAGACTCACTGGGATCTCGGTCTGATGTGATACAAGTTTACCCTGAGCGCTACGATATCCGGGTGATACATGTGGCAAATCAATTTGTAGACCCTCCCAGCCCAGCAGAGGCAGAGGTCCTCTTCCACCCCTGGTGCTTTGGGGTCTTCCGCCAGCTGTGTCGCTCCAAGCTGGGCTACCTGCCACTCGACAAGTTCTACAGCTTCTTCCACAATCTGGAGCCCAGTCCACCATCAGTACTGCTGTCGATTTTCCCCTACGAGTACCGCCAATGGATTCACTATCCCGGAGACGAGTGGCTGGTCACGAACCCCTTCGGCGTGGACCAGCTTCGGAAGATCTTCAACAACGCCATGGATCCTGAATGTGACCAGTCTTCTGGTATACCAGGCCCAGCCCGCGGCCCATTCCCCAACCTCCCCATGGAGATCCGAACCATGATATTCTCATACCTCACCTACCACGATGTCCACGCCCTCCGCCTTGTTTGCCGGGAGTTCTCCCACCTCCCTCCCCACATCTGGTTCTCCGTCCTTTGAGAGAGATGCCGTGGATCTGGGAGCTGTGGAGCGAAGAGCCGCCCTATTTCTGGGCCACGGTCACAGTCCCCCAGATGAAGGAGGACCAAGAGACGCGCGAGGCCTGGGAGGCGGCTCTACGAGAACGAAAGAGAACACCGTCGCCAAATACGAATAGAGCTGGTTCGTCCACACCGGTGTCGAGTTCAGTGGACAGTTCGCGCCGGCCTCAAATCAATGTCGATAAGCATCTTTCCGAATGGACTATCCCCCGCCCTCCGCTTAATGGGACGAACTGGTATGCGGTTTATCGGGATATTAAGATGAATTGGCTGGAGCTTAGGAGTTTACGGAATCGGAAGAGGATCTGGGAGTTTCAGAAGGAGCTCCTACGGCGCATGCTGCGGGATGATTAACTTCAAGGCATAGGTGAGAACCGCCGGTCAAATAACCCCAACTACCTAGTAAATAGCTGCCTTGTTCAACGAGTATAAACCATTAGACTGCTGGAGATGATGAAATAATGCATATACCCCGCATTGTTTGCGCGTTTACCCCACGTGGTAATTCTCCGGTTGAAGATCATACATCGGTTATTCGGGGATATCGGAAGGGTATCACTATCCACAGGCTGAATGGCTCGTAAAGTTATTAGCCCGAGGAGTACATGTTCCCCTCTCTATATCCTCTATAAATAGGTTGAATACATGCTTACCCTCCACATGCCAAACTCGCAAATTCTTCAACATGAAGCTACTCTATCTCTTGTCAGGTCATATACTCCCCATTCTAGCTGCGAACACCCCCTTCAGCGTCTCTGGAAGATGGATCCTTGACTCTGCTGGGTCCCCCGTCACCTTCGCCGGCGTGAACTGGCCCGGTGCAGGCGAGGCCATGGTCCCAGAAGGCCTCCAATACGCCTCCATCGAGTCGACCGTCTCCAAGATAAAGTCCCTAGGAATGAACGTCATCCGACTGACCTTCCCGATTGAACTGGTCGACAACATCCTCGACACCGGAGACATCACCGTCCAGGACTCCTTCATCAACGCCTTAGGATCCGAGAATGGAACCGCCGTGTTTAACCAGATCACCGCATCCAATCCCCAAATCACAAACACCACGACCAGACTGGCTGTCTACGACATGGTCGCGGAAGAGTGCAACGCCCAGGGAATATACGTACACCTCGACAACCACATCTCCAAAGCAATGTGGTGCTGCTCCAACGACGACGGCAACGCCTGGTTCGGGGACACATACTTCAATGTGGAGAATTGGAAGCGCGGACTCGAATACATGGCTTCTCACGCAAGCTCCTGGCCTTCATTCACCGGTATCGGCCTCCGTAATGAACTGCGCGAACCGAGCACAGAAAACCCTGATTACCCATACAATTGGGAAACGTGGTATACGGAGATGACATCCGCAGCAGAGGCAGTGAACGCCGCGAATCCAGACGCATTGATCTACCTATCCGGTCTGAATTACGATACGACACTCTCACCCATCCCGACAGGCGAAGATCTCGGTTCCGGGACGAAATTCTCTCTCTCAGACTTCGCGTACGCAGAGAAACTCGTTCTCGAACTACACAACTACGACACCACCGCCACGAGCTGCGACGACCTCTCCGGCTCGCTCTGGAACGGCGGCTTCAACGCGCAAGACACCAACGACACATCCATCGTCAACGTCATGCCGGTCGTGCTGACCGAGTTCGGCTTCGCGCAGGATCAGTCCACCTGGCAGAGCGTCTACGCGAGCTGTATCCGGGAGTGGATTCCTGAGCAGCAGGCCGGGTGGATGGTTTGGACGATTAGCGGCAGTTACTATATCCGCGAGGGCACGCAGGACTCGGATGATACTTGGGGTGAGTTCTGCACTTTTATGGTCTGGTGCTGTGCTAATTCTAATTTGTAGGGATTTTGGATCATACCTGGTCGGACTGGCGCAATCAGGAGGCTATTGAGCAGGGACTGCAGGGTATGGTGGATGCGTCTATCTGAATTCAAGACCTGGCTTGTTAGTGGTCTTGGTTTGTGGAAGATAAGCTACACTATACTAGCTAGTAGATGTGATGCTATCGTCTTCCTCAGTCTCGCATGCCTAAACCAATACTCGTCATCACCATATTGTTAATGAACTTGGCAGCTCGCTTTTGGGAATGATCGCAGTAATGGCCTCTGCATGGCCATTCTGTTGTTCTTGATTTACTAATTTATTTTTCTGTAAGACTACGTAAACGATATAAGGTATGACTCTGCTGTTTTACTGTCAAACAATAATAATTCAATCTATACTCAGCTAAAGTGCGGTGCATTCAGGACAACGCCCATCAGGATACCTGCCATGGTGCCTGCAATGGGAATCGTCATGATCCACGCAATAACAAGCAGCCCAACACGCTGCCAATTGACTGCCTTGTACGTGCCATTGCACAGCCCAACACCGACCGTCGCGCCTGTAATACACATCGACGTGCTAACCGGGAGTTTATACTGCGAGAAGACGAGGACCGTAATAGCAGCGCCCATTTCCATAGAGCACCCGCGGCTGGGCGAGTGGTATGTGATTTTGTTACCCATGACTGCACACGTTAGTTCTGGTCATGAATAAAGAGACGGGGAGCATACCTTTCATGATATTATACCCATACGTAATAAGCCCAATAGATATAGTCGCAGACAGGACAGCCAGCTGCCACACGGCCACATCAGCCTCTGATTCCGCCGCACTGCCCGTCTTCCACGCCCCATAGAGCACAGCCCAAGGCCCAACCGAGTTCCCAATATCGTTCGCCCCGTGCGCAAAGGACGCCGTACAAGCTGTCAACACCTGAATGAACGAGAATGTGTGCTCCACCTCATTCGGGTACTTCTTCGCACAGGCATACACCCTCTCCATACGATCCCCCTCAGGCGTGCCATGGATCCCACTCTGCGCCGCATGGATATCATAGTGCAGCCCATACAGCGCGCCGACGATAATCATGCACGGAATGCGCTTGGCCAGGATCCTCAGATTCTTGAACTCGTATATCTCGCCAGCCCCCAGCGGGTTCTCATGCAGCACACGCAGCGCCCACGCCAGCGGACCACGACCTTTGCGCAGCTTTGCGTGGAACTTTTCCTCCGCTTCGGCCATCAGCTGCTTATAGTCTGCTTGTGCTTCTGTAGCGCTGAGGCTTTTCTCTGTGGCCTGCGCGGCTTTGGGGAGCACGGTGTCCTCGCAGAGTGTCTCAGGGGAGCCGATATCTGCCATGTCGAGTTTCTTCACCTCATCGGTGTCGCTATCGTGCTGGACGACGGCATAGTCGGGGACAACGGCGACAGCGCGGTCCGCATCAGCTGGGTACGGACGACTCCAGAGGAGCGGACCGAGGAAGACATGATACCATCTAATAGACCCATCGCGCTTGATAACCTGGGCATGCGTCCAGGGGACAAAGAAGATCGCGGAGAGGAGACAGACACCACCACCCGTCCCCATAGTCACCGCAGCAATATACCAAGGCTCCTTATCCTTGAGCCCCAAGTTCGGCGACCCCTTGTACACAATCGACAGCGTACAAACCGTCGCCGCAACAAGGAAGAAGAACGGCGCCGCCCAAACAGCCCAGGGGATAGGGTTCCGCCGCATATGAACAACAACCTTGATCAACATGAAGATTATCGCGCCGAAACAAGCCGCAATAGCCGGCGCCATTCCCAAGCCCGCAAAGATTGCTCCAAGCCCCTGTCCCCCATTCCAACCCCATTGCACCTTCGACGCGCCCACAGTAGCAACGCCCACCCCCGCAACAGAGGAAATAAGCGAGTACGTGGACGAAACATGCGCCGAGTGCCGCGTGCACCACATAACCCACGACGAGGCAGCAGCCAGCGCGCATGTGAATGCAAGCATCTGCACGCCCGCGTTCCCCTGGAATGCCTCATTCGGGATGATCCCGTTCTTGATTGTATCGGCGGTGCGGGCGCCGACGGTGATGGCGCCGAGCATTTCGAAGATCGTGCCGAAGATCATGGCTTGTCGGTATGTGATGGAGCGGGAGGAGACGCTGGTTGCCCAGGCGTTGGCGACGTCGTCTGTGTATGTTAGTATCCAGTAATTAACATAGATGGTTTAACTGGAAGGGGACGTACTGGCGCCATTGTTGTAGGCGTCTAGGAGGGCGAAGAAGGTGCCAATGGCAAAGACGTATGAGTACTCGGTGAGCACCATTTTGTCTGCGTGGAGTAATGAATGGTGTTGTGTCTGACTGCGAAGACGACCTCTGGGAGGGAAGGACCCTTTTATATCTTTAGAAATCTGGTGTTGCCCCCACGAGCCGTCTCACTGTCGAGACCGAGTGCAAACCTTGTCAAGGCCCGCTACTGTAACGGGAGCGGTACGGCCGATTCGAGTATCAAATGCTGTCGCGTGCCCCAGGGGTCTGTGGCGCTGTAGATTGCGCTAGCTGTAGATTCTAGCCTCATCTAGCCCTGATGCTGCAGAGATTTCTCATCAGAATCATCTTGATATCCAAACGCTTCAGTGTTCAACATGTCCATTCTATATGATAGCAATACCACAATACCTCTACACGACCATTACAGTATCATTCACCAAGACATCCATCATCATGAGCATCACTTGAGGCATATGTCTCTCCAATCGAGACAGATCCCAAACCACCACAGCCAGTCTCCCGCTCAAACAACGGGGCTAAGCACCCCACGAGCCAAATTCACCAGAAGCACGTTTACACATCAAGGCCTCTAATTCGTCTATCATGGAAACGCCATTAAAAACGCCCAATCCCCGTATTCGCCTCTTCACAAGTGGTAGGCTGGGAGCCCATCACCAACGCCTCTACAGCCATGCGCTTGGCACCGCTTGGCGGGAGTCTGGGCACACAATCCGCGTCAGGCCATTTGCTGCCACAGTGAAAAGATCACTTGGCGCACGGATCTTGCCTGCTTTCCCTGCTAATAAGCTTGCCGCAGCCGCGCACGTGTGTGGGTTTGTATATCTGTCTCGCTGCTGTCAAGTGCTGCCAAGGCTTCCGCGCGTATCAAACAAGACATTTTGCCTGTCTTGTCTGTGAGGGATTATCTTGACTAATAACAAGCATCCCAAGATTCCTCGGCATGCGATGCTTGCTATGGGACGTTTTGACATTGCTTCATGACATGCGGAGGAGTGCTTGAATGGAAAGAGTTGTCTGTACACTTTGGATAGACACCACCGGAACAGTATCTGTGACTGTGAAAGTGACTGTGACAGCCTCATCAACCCCCTGATCCACGCGGCAACCTGCTGTCGTGTGCTACGGCATCTGTAGCGTCACGCGTGGGGTGGCAATGACAATCGAAGGATTCGAATCTTTCTAGAATTTCCATGCAGCAGACTAGTCCGTCGTCTCACAGTCAAACTCAAACTCGCCCCGTCAGCAGTGGCAGATGGTACTCCTATCAACTCTCAGCTACTCGGCCCATTGCTGGCCATTGACCTCAAGTGTCCTAGAACTATTGTTGGACTCGGAAATTCCGTCTGCCTCGTCCAAGCCTCGAAGCGGGAGGATTTCCAAACGAGGCTACCTGGCCTCCACTGGGCCTGAGGAACTAATACCAGGGCAGTGACATTGTGATGAGATGGCATGAGATTAGATGATAGGTTGATTATATTACTCCAGTGCAGAATTGACCCACGTGCTGATTATATCCTGTATATTCGTTGTTTGAAGTGCTTAGGATGAGTCTAGGACTGGCGTTGAGCTGTTTATCCAGCCTATTAGTGGTGGTGCCGTTTCTTCAAATAGTAAACGGTAAGGTTATGTTTGTGATGTCTGAAGAGCTTTATCATATATCTGGTGACAATACGAGGATTTATTATCTACAAGCATGCTGGAGTTAAGTAAGACTTTGCAAATGAGCAGCGTACATTCTAGGGATTTACTTCGTTACTATCCCAATTAGGAATCTTATACAGATATATATATTCACTAACTGGGCCGTTAAATATGATCCTCTGGATTGATCTAGACCGGCATGGTTATGGTTCGATAGGCTATAGATAGTCTTAATACATACCCTAATAAAATATATCCGGTTCATCTCGGCTTGTCTGATACCTCACTGTCGCCATTTTTATATTGCAGAATTAATAGGAAATGAACCTCAGCGGAAAGATGTTCAGATGTAACTTATTAACCCAGGTATTGAGGACAGATAAAGGATATTCCTTCAGCAATAATACCAAAGTACAAAATCAAGAAAAGCTCAATTTGTTCTTTTCCGTCCATATCTAACCAAGTCAGAATACCGAGAGGGCCTGTCACCATCTCGCTGTGCACCTCTATACTGCGCAGGGCCATTCCTAATCGCTTCGTTGGTAAAAATCCAAGTTATTTACATTCTTGGCTAGTATTTACGCTATTAGACATGACATCCACCCTCTAACCCGCACCCGGAAACTCCCTGAACATAAACAACTCCGTATGCAGGCCATCCAAAACAACCACCCTCCCAACCTCCTTAAACCCAAAGCGCTGATAAAGCGGCACACCCGGCGGAGAGGCCTCAACATACATATCAGCCTGCATGCGCTCCGCCTGCTCAACGCCATACCGCATCAGCATCTTCCCCGCGCCCCGCCCCTGGTGCTCCTCGTGGCAGACGAGGGTAGCAAGATACCAGAACGTCCGGCCCGCCATGTTCTTTTCCCGGGTTTCTTGCAGATGCGGGAAGAAGAAGGAGGCCAGGGCGAGGTCGTCGCCGTCTGGCGGGTAGCGGGGATGTTCTGGCTCGTCTGGGTTTGGTGTGTGGGGTGCGACCCAGCTCGCGTATGCGATTATCGGGGAGTCCGGGAGGTCTGTATCAACGACGACGACTGAGTGGATGTTTGGATCGGGGATGGTGCGGCGGTATCCGGTGGCTAGGAAGGTCCTGATGGAGGGCCTGTTTGGGAAGCAGCGCGCTACGACGGCGTCTTTGGCGAAGCCGGAGAGGAAGACGTCGATCATTTGGTCGATGTCGGATTCGACGGCATGGCGGAGGTGCAGTGGCATGATTGCTGGGCTGAGTAGGATGTCAAGTACGTTGTTTATGGTGAGGCAGCGACGTGGACGAAGTGGGATCTGAAGCTCTGGCGGGGTACTCCAACTCCGCATCAGCCAAATAGCTGCCTAGAACTCGTATTCCTTGCAGTGCAATTTCGAAGAGCGGTCCATACATAGCTAATGGGAAGTACCATTCTGCATAGCAGGGCACGAATAGCACTTTGCAGCCATCAGGATGGCATGGGATAAGCCCACTCCCCATACGACCAGTACAGACCGTACTAGCCAGTCAGTTCTGTATTCCTACTACGGCCAAGTATGTACATACTGAAACACTGCGTTATCTAAATTTCACTATCCCGCTAAATTTGGTATTATATTAGTTGCCTATTCTAGATACCGTGAAAGGCTACTAAGAATCCCTTCGGGGCCGCAGATTGATCGTCGTTCCACAGTAATCTAGTTCTAAGACATGTCTCATGGAGATAATAAGGCCATTTCCACCGATTAATAGACTGCTCAAGGGGTAATCCCATAATTGTCCCACTTTCAGCCATTCGATACTCCGAGGTCGTATTCAGCAGAGCCCGTGAATGTCCAAGATCCACTTGTGGACGTCGGGCCGGCCCAGGTCACTCTTCTCCATGATTTCAATACAACAACTTTAATCTTCATGTGCCTCATTAATATCGAGCAGCCGAGGGCGGCTTCCCCTTTTATTTCATGGATGGTGCGCTGGGTCAGAATGCATGAGTCAGTTGCTAGGGGCGAGAGGGGAAAGCAAGTCACGGAGTCAATGCGTGCAGGACCAAGATCCATAAAAGATCTACAAAAGCTCTAAAAAGAAGAATTCTGGGGTAAAAGTTAAACTGGGCCGCCCGTCCTGATTCAACAATTGTCATATTCACTTCATTTGACGGCAGCTCGTCGACATGGCGTGCCGAGTTGCAGAGTTATTTGTATACTGTTTGGCTATCCTCGTATTCACAGCGCGTTCGCTTGCCCAAGATATCTGTGAAAATAGTCCTACCTCACGAGGCTGCTGGGGCGAGTACAATATCTCGACTGATTATCACAGTATCACGCCGGACACAGGGGTTACGAGAGAGGTAGGCATTCCAGTCTCTCGCACTCCCGTACTAAAATACATTAGTACTGGCTCGTCGCGACGAATACAACACTCGCCCCCGATGGCTTCGAGCGACAAGTCCTTACCATGAACGGGACTCTCCCTGGTCCCTTGATCGAAGCGGACTGGGGCGACGAGCTCGTAATCCACGTCACCAACGGCCTCGAGCATAACGGGTGAGCAACCTCCAACCTCTTCTTGCCGCTCTATGAAGTAACAGTATAGAACTGCCATCCACTGGCACGGCATCTGGCAGCGCAACACAAACCCCTTCGACGGCGTGCCAGGCGTAACGCAGTGCCCCATCGCCCCAGGGGAGACATTCACCTACCGCTTCCGCGCAACGCAGTACGGGACCAGCTGGTACCATTCGCATTTCTCGCTACAGATGGCTGATGGGCTGTACGGGCCTGTTGTTATCCATGGCCCTGCGACGGAGGACTATGATGTTGACCTAGGGCCTGTCTTTCTGACGGACTGGTATTGGAAGTCGGTGTTTCTTCTCTGGGAGGAACATACGAGGTATGGAGGGTTTCCGGTGAGATCGAATGCGGTTCCGCCGACGGGGTTGCTGAATGGGACGAATGTTTTTGGGTGTGGTGAGCAACCTTGTACGGGGGAGGTGAAGAGGTCGGAGACGAGCGTGCAGAAGGGGAAGAAGTATCGGATTCGGCTGATTGATCCGTCTGTGGATGGGTGGATGAAGTTTACCATTGATGGGCACAAGCTTACAGTTGTCGCTGCGGACTTTGTCCCTATTGAACCGTATGAGACGGACGCGGTGATCTTGACTTCTGGCCAGCGGTATGATGTGATTGTGGAGGCGAATCAGGATATTGGGAATTACTGGATGCGCGCGGTCTATCAGACTGCGTGTAATGGGCTGGATATTGATAATGACGATATCAGGGGGATACTCCGGTATGAGGGTGCTGATATCGCAGATCCAACGACGTCGCAGTGGAAGATCAGCAACTCGTGCGGCGATGAGCCGTATGATAAACTCGTTCCGTATGTCAAGAAAACAGTTGGCAATGCGGCAGCACAGAAGAATCTGAATGTGGGATGGAAATACGACCTGCCTGAGCTGTTCTTCCACTGGACGCTGAACTCGAAGCACCTGACGATCGACTGGAGCAGTCCGACGGACTATCTGGCGTACAAGAATGAATCGGCGTTTCCGACGGAGTCCAACGTCTACGAAGTTCCTAACAAGAATCAGGTTCGTCTCCTCGTCTACCTTGTCTACATAATTCTGACTGTCTAGTGGACATACTGGGTGATTCAGGACGTCGGCCTTGTCAACGCCTACCACCCATTCCACCTCCACGGACACGACTTCTTCATTCTGGCGGAGGGACTGGGACTGTATACACCCCTGGTAAAGCTAAACCTCGATAATCCCCCTCGAAGGGACACCGCCACGATGGCTGGGTCGGGGTATCTTGTCATTGCATTTGAAACTGACAATCCAGGGTAAGTCAGCATCCACTTTTATGGACAAGCTAACGTATCAAGCTCCTGGCTGATGCATTGCCATATTGCATGGCATGCGAGTCAGAGTCTCGCACTGCAGTTCGTTGAGCGCGAGTCGGAGATTGGGACGCTGATTGAGCCGATGGTGGATGAGTTTGAGAGCGTCTGTGACAAGTGGGGTGAGTATCATAAGGATTCTGTATATCATCAGGACGATTCCGGGATATGATATCAAAGTATATTAAGATAATTGCAAATGCTACTAAAAGATGTGACCATCAGTTCTTCACATAATCACATCCCAGCACGTCTTCTAGCCACTTGTACGCTGCCCCGAGACTGGCTGGACATCCCATATGGGGAAGGCCAGGAAAGAACCTACTACATCAGTACAGTCTGTAAACCGGGAGGCTGACTTACCTTCCCTCCTTAGGGCTCCCATAGCTAAACAGCAGATAGCAGTCTTCAATAGGCGTTACCCCATCATCGATACCCTACACCGTCAGCTCCGTATAGGATAAAAGACATCACTTACATTCAAAAGCAGCAGCCTTGTAGAAGGCAAGTCCAGAATCCCCGCCCCAAGAAGAGAGAACTTCTTCCTCGCCTCCTTGCAGAATTCAGCAGGGTCCTCATAGCCATACTTCTTCGCCCAAGCGCGGATGATCCTACACAGTTAACCACGGAAGCTAGCATCAGAGAGAGACATACGGAAACGGATACTCATGATTCTCAACCCTCGCCAACCACTCCTCATCCAGAAAATAATGCGTCCCGGGCCCATGCGCAATACACCCCTTCAGCTTTCCCCGGTGCGTATGCGCAGCCCGAACAGCATAATACCCACCAGCACTCAACCCCCAAACAACAATCTTCGTCATATCAAACGCGCCCAGCGACCGCATGTACTCCAGAATACTACTCCACAGCCGATCCGCGGATTCAGGGTCCGCGGGGTCAGCAGGGGAATCAGCCGTCCCGGGGATTTCAGCAACCACCACGCCCCATCCACGTGCGGTGATCTCGTGCGTCCGCTGGCTGTTATCGGGTCTGTACTCGTCCAGCCCTGTCATGATAAGAACAACCGGGACGGGATTGTGACTTCCAGGGCTGGTGTTTTCCGGAAGACGTATGTAGACAGGGATACGGGGCCCGTCTCGACCAGCGCGGTGGGTATGCGGTACAACATGCTCAGTTAGTGGATTCTTCCAGACGGATGTGGCAGTTAGGTATGCGGCTTTCTGTCTGGTGAATGCCTTTCTTTTGATATTTGTTTCTTTATCGTCGGGGCTGACGTATGGGAAGCGCGAGATGCGGTACACGACTGCTGCGCGCCGCAGAAGATCGGATGCTGTTTCGCTGTCGCCGTTATAGAATGCCATCGAAGCTTCTTGCTCGAGGGACTTCGCGATGGGGAAGAATCTTTCCGTGTATGAGTCTGAGTACGCGTCGTTTATGTTTTCCTACCGCAGTTATTAGTCGTTATCCCTGATATCCCTTAATAACATACGGCGATAAGAGTCTGGAAGATCGGCTCAAAGTCCTCCAGTTTCCCATCGTAGAAGGGGTAAATTGATTTCTCGCACTGCGCTATTAGTATTCCCTCTATATACTTGAATGGGACATACTGCAGCTCTCCATTTCGTCTCCCACAGCAGCTTGATGGACCCCTTGTGCGGAGCGACAGTGTCGAACTTCTCCCCTAGTATCCAGCGCCTGCCGCCTCCTCCCTGTGGTGGGTAAGTGCTCATTCCAAGTCCCATATTCGCTGTATTCGATGGACTTTGAATTCAATGAAGAGTCATCTTCTCGGGGAGTCGGGCTCAAATATCCAAGTATGAGAATGACGCTATGGCGTTCCGGAGCACCCGAGTCCACATCCTTAGTAAGGCGTTATATAGGAATGCTTGTGAACTTTATCACGGCGGTCATAGCGTGTCTACAGCCATCTAACCACCAATGGTGGTGTCTGTGGAGGTGTCAAACGAGGACCGTTGCATTGTGGTGCGGGCTCAACCATGGATACGGGGGAGAACCATGCGGAGTCTTCACCCGCCATACACTGTCATTATTCCCTGAGGAGTCGGTGGAGGGATGGCCATTGCGTTCCGTTGCAACTTGAGAGTTTAAGTCCCGTCAGCTCAGACGTCACCATGTAAGTCTACACGCTATAATGTTATACATATAGCTAGTTTCCACTATTAGAAACAAACAGCAAAATCAGATAGAACGATAGTTACCTAGTTAGTTAGCAGGTTCTAAATAAATCGCGCCAAGTATCTCATTACGTCCGCAGGCCACGCCGCGCAACGCTCGGAGAATTGACAGCACATATGTACACTGGACAATCTGACCGCCACTTGTCACTTAACAATACAAGCTCGCCCATCGACGACGGCAAAATGGTGTTGACCAGATGGCTTATTCGCAATGCTGGTGCTAATCCCTGTCTTCGTCGTCCTAGCCGGCGTCGCCCTGTTCTATACGCGTCGCCGGTATAAAGCTTCCAAGTCGAAAGAGCCTTCCCGGGTTGTGGTCAAGGGGCATACGTTTTCAGAAAGCGTTGAGCAGAAACCAGCGACCGAGGTGAGAAAGACAACGATTGATAATGTCCGGCAATGCTGTATTATTGGTGCTGGGCGAGTGGGTGAGTGGCTCTGAATCTACAGTTTATATCTTCTAACCAACTCAGGAGCCATAACGGGAATTGTACTCGCAATGCAGAATCCAGACGTCCAGTTCTGTATTGCTGATAGTGACGAACGCACGATAAATGCGTGGAACTCTGATAATTTACCACTATACGAACCTGGTCTAGAGGAGGCCCTTTTCGACGACCAGTCTCTCAGTGTGAATGGTACCGATACCTCGACCGAGCAACTGCATAATGGCAAGTACACGTACATGGGTATAGACACGGTCAATCATGTCCAGCGCTGCCGAAGGCTACCCAACTTGACCTTTTCAACCAATGTCCACGCCGCTGTGACCGCGGCAGAGCTGATCTTCTTATGCATTGATATGGCAAGAGGCGGAATTGTTCGTTCATCTACCCCGTTCTTTTCATTTACTAACAGAACAGCAGGATGAATGCGCGGTTACTCATACATACCTAAATCCCACCCTCCAAACAATCGCCCTCGCGTCAGCAGGGCATAAGATCATAGTCCAGCGCACAACGGCACCGTACGGGACGACGCAGTATATCAAGAACCACGTACGTCTACACCGTCATATCATAAAAATCCTGCTAATATAGCTACTTTTAGCTGAACCAAATTTCCTCCCCAAGCTCAGCATTCACGGTCCTTACAAGCCCGGACTTTACCCTCCCTGGGTCTACCCTCGCTGATACAATCCACCCGCAACGCGTGATAATCGGACATATCTTCTCTGCAAACACTTCAACGGAAAGCATAACCGCCTTGAAGAGATTATACACCCCCTGTGTCCCGGAAGAGTGTATTGTAACGATGGACGCCTGGTCCGCGGAGCTAGGAAGGATCGCTAGTAAGGCGTCGCTTGCACAGCGCGTTGTGGAGGCTAGAGCGGTTGGGATGCTATGTGCTGGGACAGAAGCGAGCGCAGGCAATGTAGGGTGGATGGTGGGGTGTGGTATTGATGGTGAGAGTGAGACTGGGACAGGCATGGGGACTGGGATTGGATGGTTACGGAGTGATGTACGGTGTTTTGTTGGGCTTGCTGGGGAGTTGGGAATGGGGGAGGTGGAGAGTTATTGGCGGGGTGTGCTGCAGATGGATGAGATGTTGTATAGGAGGGGTGTTGAGGGGTTGGTTCAAAGCCTGCCAGATGGTGGCAGGAAGGTTGCTGTTGTTGGTCTGGAAAGGGGTATTGCAGTTGTTACAGAGTTGAGGAAGTCTGGGGCTTCAGTCAGGGTATGGGATGGGTCGCTTTCGAAAGAGCAGGCTCGCGATATGCTGCAGGATGTGGATTTGGAGATTACAGTAGCAGCGTCGTTGGAGGATTCATGTATTGGATGCAATGCTATGGTTCTTGGGCAATCTGGTATTGAAGATGGGACCTGGCAGAGAATAGCTGATCAGATGGAGGAGCCAAAGATGTTGCTGGACACTGCAGGAGTGTTGGACCGGGCAAGGGTGCGGCAACTGGGGTTGAGGATTCTGTGAATATGTTAAATTCTAGTATCAACTGGCCTTTACATTGGTTAAATCTCCTTCTACCTACGAAGTAACAACTTCATGCCCGGACACCGGTCTCCGATTGATCCATCATACACACCGGAATCTATTTCCCCTATTCAAATCGCCAGTTTGTAAGGTCCGGATTGGCGCTAAGGAAATCCTCCAGACTCGTGGTTGGTCTGCCATTAATGACGGTTTCGGCACTCTGCAGATAAAGCTTCCCCGTGTATCCAAACCACTGTGATATCAGTGCGAGATATTGCTTGTACTGGCTGGGACCATGCTCTTGACGCGCCTGCTGAAGCTGCTGACCCACGCTGTCCACAGCCCCAGCATATTTCACATCCACACTGGCGCCTGTGACGGTTTCGTATGCTTTGGCAATATCCCGGGGGCTGCAGTCTCCTGATTTCACAGCAAAATAGCCCCCAGATCCCTCTTGGACATCCTTCCTGGTCAAGAGGCTGATACTGAATTCCGCTGCCTCCTTCATAGAAGTCCAAGACCACTTTGCATCTCCCTGATCCCAGACCTGCACGCTGGCAGCCCCAAATTCATCCTTTGAGAACATTCCAGGGCCCGCAGGGCTAAAAAGGTACTCCCCGAAAATTCCAGTGAAGACATACACAGGCTTGATGGGAGATGTCAACTCAACATGGCGCTGGAACGCAATGTGCGTATCATAGTGCTCAAACTCCCCCCATTCGAATAGCCGCCAGTCGGCATTCCATGAAGATGCATGGAAGATCTTGACCCCAGCCCGCTCAGCGGCGCGTAGTAGCAGCAAATGCCCTTCAAGGTCGAGCACTGGATCCGGCTTGTAGGCACACACTACCGCATCGACGGATGCGGCTGCCTTGTCCAGGGCGGGGATGTCATCGTAGGATCTGCATGTCACAAAGGATTCCAGTTGCGCTGCGATTGTCGGATCTAGATTCTCGGGGTTGCGTCCTAGACCTCGCACTTGGAAATCATTGCGTTGCAAAGCTGCGCGAGCCAGGTGGGTTCCCAGCTTTCCCGTAATACCGGCGATCAGGACAAGCATTTTGTCTGTGTTGGCCTTTCTGGAGAAGAGGGAGATAAAGAAAAGAAAGTAGTGATTGTAGACACAACTTGTCTATAACATATTTCGAGTCCGGGGCCGATGGCATTTATAAAGCTCTTCGTGACTGCTAGAATTCGTCATGCTACCTTTGGGCTGTCTATGCATGGCTAAGAAGTTAGTGATACGTAAGTATATTGTAATACCCTATGTTTATATAGATAGTTGTGTAAAATGTGTATATTATACTGTACTTCGGCGGCTATGGCTGATGGCGCGATCTACGGGTCGCGGCTAAGCGTATCCACATTAACTACGTTATTATTAATTGACCATTACTCAGAATTAATAATATACTATCGAGGAGACAGCACCGAGCAATCTTGCTATTCCTTTACACCGGGACCTGGAAGCACCGATGGCGATAGCACGGATGCCTTCATCCGACGCGCTTCCGGGCGGATGGTCGGGATTCCGAAGCTGTGTTGAACGTTGCCTATACTTTTAGTTTGGAATCCGATGAAATGGGCCATTAGCTGTAATTTATATTAGCGGCGGAAGCCAAAGTAAGAGCTTTGCTGGACAATATAAATCTGTTCTCTGCAACGACGTTCTACTGCCGCCATCCTGCGGGTATGTATTGATAAAGCATTACAGTTCAATTGCATCAATCCTACCGCAATTGATATTACTGAAGAACACTGTGAGGATTCTGCATCAAGGTTTATCCAACAAGGTCATGGCAATCAGCCTCCTGCTCATGGTTGTACTCTAGTGATTGAGCAGTTGAGGATGGATATGGGCAGGAAGTATGATTGAGGTATTGATACATTCCCGTATGACGCTATTCTAATATTTTAGATAGTGAATATCACACTACTGTATCCATTGGCCAAACCACCTAAGCAATTCTACTCAATTGAATGTTATAGAGACGATCTGGTCCGGATTAGTATAGCATCACGGAGATAGGCCCTTAACTCCGCTGTGGCAATATCCACCAGCCCCCCAGATTCTTCTTCTTCTTCTCATTCTTGTCAGTTTAACATCTTTAATTTCAGCTAACTTTCCTCTCTACTCTGCAAGTCACAATGCTCCACCCTCCTAGCGTAGATATCAAAATGCTCGATGATTGGAAAGGAGTCATCGATCCCAAGACCAGACGGACATTACAGAACCGTCTAAACCAGCGAGCCCGTAGTGCGTATTCCCTTTAAGCTTAATTATCAACACTAACAATCCAGGACGCCGTCTAAAGCCCAAGCCAGCTACAAAGGAAGTGGAGAACACAAACACCCTCACCCTCAAAGACAACACCAAGCCTGCACATACAAATACGAATACAATCACCTTCCCAGACCTCGACACCCTCTCCATCCTCGGCCCCCACGCCCCAAAATCCCGCCTCACCCTGCAGCACATCGAAGCCCTTCTCCACACCGAATTCCTCTCCCCTTCCCCGCGTACAGACCTCCTCCTGACCCTGAAACGGGTCAACTTCATGCGCGCCCTACACGCCAACATCGATGTGCTCGGCTACTCCGCCGCAGAGATGCACGACGATGCGCTCTCGCAATTCGGCACGGCGGGGCCACGCAAGCCTGGGGTAAGGAACTTCGCGCTCCTCCCACCCGCACTGCAGCCGAGCTCTATCCAGAAAGAAGTCCCGCATCATCCGTGGCTGGATCTGCTGCCGATTGTGCGGATGCGCGAGAATTTGATTCTGGCGGGGGAGTCGTATGATGATGTGCGGCTTTGTAGGGATTTGTGTGGGTATGGGACGCAGATTCAGAGTCAAAGCCAGAATCAGGGCTCGGGCGAGACGGGGGTTATAATCTGGAGGGACCCGTGGGATCCAGAGGGGTGGGAGGTGACGGAGACGTTTCTGCGACGGTGGGGGTGGGTTGTGGCAGGGTGTTGGGATTTGTTTAGGGCTACGGATCGGTGGAGGGCTGTTAGGGGGGAGCCGCCTTTGTTTCGAATAGACTAGAGATAGATATGTTTATTATGACTTATGAATGTGTACCCTACCCTAATAATGGATTAAGCAGTCTCGATCTGCTCTACGCCTAGGCCCTCGACTTTCCTGTTAACCTCTGTCTGCTCTGCGTGCTGGCCGGGCATGACAGTCCTTCCGCCCTTGGAGGTGAACACGCCACCTGTGAATCCTCTCTTCGTGAACAGCAGCGGGATATCCTCTAGCTCCAGCCCCTTGGTCTCGGGGTAGAAGAAGTACACCATGGGAATGAAGGCGGCGTTGAGGACAGCGAAGATGACGAATGTGCGCCAGCCGATGTTCGCTATACGTTGTTTGTTAGTAAGGGGGGCTTCTTGGTTAATTGCTTGGACATACCAAAAGAGATGGGCGTGATCTTGACGACCGCAAAAACAGCCATCCAGTTCCACCCCGACGCAATGGCCTGCATGCGCGTCCGGGTGCGCGTCGTGCTGATTTCACTCGGATAGAACCAGGGCACAGGGAGCCACCCGATGCCGTAGAAGATCTGGAAGATGAAAATGAACGCCGTTGCGCCGTACGCGGCATTCGTGCTCCCCGTTGAAAGCAGGATGGAAACCATGACGAAACACAAGCACAGCCCGACAGAGCAGACCATTAGCAGGGTGCGCCGTCCGAACCGGTCCATGAGGAGGACGGGGATGGCTGAGCCAACGAGGTACGTGCACTGGATTGCGCCACCGAGGATCATGGATAGGTTGCGGCCCATTCCCATGGTCGTTTGGAACATGACGGGCCCGTAGTAGTTGATCATGTTGGATCCGGTAAACTGCTGGCCGAGTTCGACGGTGATGGTTATCAGCAGCCGGCGTAGATTCTGCTCCTCGCCCCAGGTGAAGAGCTCCTTGAACCGGAATGGGCCTCCTTTTTTCTCTTCCTCGAGCGACGTTTGGATGTCGAGGATTGTACGGACGACGTCGGGGTCGTTGGTTTCTCTGTCTGCGATGGCGGCGGCGACTTGACGGGCTTCGTCGTGGCGGTCGTGCTGGACCAGCCAGCGGGGGGACTCGGGGAGACCGATGACTTGGAGGACGAGGAAGATGGCGAATATGGCCTGGAATGCGAGGGGGAAGCGCCATTGGAAGGAGGATTCTGTGAAGCTTGTCCCGTAGTCCATCCTACATTACATTATTAGCTTAGCATGGTATGACAGGTCCGAGACAACACACCAGTAGGCAATGACGACCCCCAGGATGGTCACCGTTCCTTGCAGGGTCAAGAGAGCACCTCGATATGCCGCCGGGGCACACTCAGACTGGTATACCGGCGCAGTCGACGAGTTCATGCCGTTTCCAATGCCAGTCACGATTCGACCTGACTACATCAGTATACTCCGATATACTCGTACTTTGAGCCTTCAAACGTACCGACAATCAGTTGTGCCACCGTCTCAGACGTCGCCAGTATAATAGCCCCGACAATCATAATTCCACCGCCATTGATCAACATGGTCCGTCGTCCCAGGCGCTCTCCAACAAAGTAGCACACAATCGAGCCCACCACACAGCCGATGTCGTAGAGAGCAGTGATATTGCCCTGCATATCGGCATCAGGATTGTTAAAGTCGCGGCCTAACAATCAGTACGTGGTCTTCACCGAATAATTGATATACATACCAAATCGATTGTCAGCCCCGATAATGCCAGCCATCACTCCTTGATCAAACCCCAGCAGGAGAAAGGCCTGGCAAGAAGCCATGGCAATGGCGAAGACCAAAGTCCTGCCGCGAAAATCGTGCTTCCATAAACGCATTGTGTCGACACTGCGATGCAAAGCTCCAAGCCAAGCTGGGGAAGCTGGGGAGGCAATTAAAATGCCCCGGCATCGCGCTGAATTTGCCCGAGCTGTCTGGGATGCAACCCCACCCGAGCCAGACTGTCGAATGGCTTTTGGATGGGTTGCTGATCAGGCATTGATTGAGTGTGGCTCTCGGGGGGCATCAACCCGGGGCCCCGAGTGTGCGGGGATCGCCACCGTGGGGAGACCACCTTAACAAGATTAATGTACGGAGTGTTCATGATTAATGCAGTCTCGGTGAAGCATCAGGACCCGGCGCCTCCCGTGACGACTCAAATTGCGGCTTGCTGCTATTCCTGTTGCAGCAGTGCAATTAATCAGCGATCCTTCGTGGCATTCGTCTGCTCGGATATTCCGGCCGCTACTGAGCACAACCGTGGTTAACGGTGTCTTTTTATCCGACTCATTTCTTTTAGCCAGTCCACCACAGGATGGCAGCCAAAAGTCTCCTTGACATGGTATTCCCATGCTCATTCCAACAACAGCTAATCGCGGCCAGAATCAAAATGATGAACCGTCCGCATGCTTGCGCCCGTCTTCGAGGCCCTCCCAAAGACAGACAGGATTCGGATAAATCAGGCTACAAGCCATGAATCGAGTGCTGTTTTGCGATAATCTGGAGTCGCTATCGGTGGTTAATATCCAATCGCTCGATATACGAGCTACGAAGTACCTAGCTACATCCCAAGTACACTCGACAAGTTGACTGCCACCGACAGCTGGCAGTTGCTCCTGCCATGGCAAAGACACCCACCCATAACTAGGTACCAACAACACCACCACCTACAATCCAACACCAGATCAAACCGAATCAACCCAATGTTCTACGGTCTATCCTTATCCCATCCTTACCTACTCTTACCTCCTAAACCTCAGTCCCAACAGCAGTGCCCACCCTTCTCAATCCACCCCCTCCTCCCACCAGACTACATCGAAGCCTTCACCCTGGCAGACACCGCGTTCGCAACCCTCAACAGCCTACTCTTCACAACATACCCCCCGTCTCCCGAATCACAGCGCATACTCACTGATACACGCCTCAAAGCACTCGCGGCAACGCAGGCAATCATGTTCAAGGCCGTTGATAACCACACTGGACGGATCGTGGGGGTTGCGCGATGGACTGTTTCCGCAGGAGAGAATGTCGAGAATACTCTGGACGAGGCAGTCGAGGAGATTCTGGCGCGGTCTATACCTGAGACGAACGAGGCTTGTGCGCGGGGCTTCTATAGTATGGCTTGGAATGCGCGGCGGGAGATTCTAGGGATTCCCGATGAAGAGGGGAATGTGGTGAAATTGGCTCCCCGGGTCGAGTTGGAGACGCTCTTCGTGCATCCGGAGTATAAAAGAGAGGGGGTTGCGAGGGCGTTGCTGCAGTGGGGGATTGAAGAGGCGAGACGGCTTAGGGTGGTTGTTTATGCTGAGGTGGCGGAGGGGAGGCCGGTGTATGAACAGGCTGGGTTTGAGGCTGTCAAGACGGTTGATTTTGATGCGCAGGGGTTTGGGGGTGTTGGTACGCATCGGTATACAGTGAGTAACCCTAAGGCTAACAGAGGTTATGGATATGCTAACTGTGTAGTTCATGCTTCGGAGACCGAGCGAATAGTACACCAGCCTGATTTAGTACTGTAGTCATTTATATCGTTATCAAACCTAGTGCACTGTGTATGAGTAAGTTAACAGCAGTAAAGTTATTCTTGATCCGCCTCCATCAACGTCTACGCAAGGTTCTCCAGGCGGACGCTCAAACCCTGAAGAGTGAAAACTCTGCTCGCCATCGACGCAAGTATAGAGTACAGGAGCGTTTCCCGACATACGGACCATATCGGAGCAGAGGCGAGGAGCTTGACAGATCCAAATAAGCCTTTTCTCGGACGAATTCCGCCAATAGATGCAATAGAAGCCCCCCTCTGCGTTGGACTATTGGCGTGCCGTAACCCTGGGATGACCCTTGATATCATAACATCACGACGGCGAGAACCTCCTCACTTCGCCGCAAAGACGGTGAGAGCTGAGAACGATGCAAGGGAAATCAAATCCGAGACCTCGTCCAACCAACATCACCACCGTCGCACAGAGTCAGCCAAGCCACTTTCTGACTTCACCTTGACGGCACGCCCAGCCGGACGTGTGTAGGACGGACACGAACAAGGGGTGTCTGCACGACGGAAAAGGGCGCCATCTCGCGATTATTGGTGCGCGACGCGAATAATAATAATATTTATTATTATTATTGCCAGTGATCGTCGACGCCTCGCGTAGACAAGACCGCCTTGGGTTCGTGGGGATCGTCACGATGTCCAAGGTGGGCAGGTTGCGCGAGTAATAATAAATAAATAAATAATTTAATCAATATGTCGCGAGCGAAATAATAATACGTAAACGAAAACGAAGAAAAGGAATATACAAAAAGGGCAAGACTATTGAGACTCCAGGGCTGTTAGCAGGCCGGCCTGTTCGAGACTTCGTTCGCAGGGGCCATATCCGGTCTCGAGAGTCGAAGCTTAAGACCCTCCTTTACTGAGCTATTAATAGGGACCATTCAGGGAAAACGTGTTGTTGGATGGGAACGAGAATGCTTCTTGGGAATGTTCCACCATCGAACATGTGCTGGAACATTCGCTGGACATTCGAACATTCTTGTGTCCATCTGCGTGGGACAAGACTCCTTGCTTAACAGAGAAATGTGGTGCGATGCATCCCTTACATCGATCGATCATCGTTTGCAGATTCCAGAAGCACGGGAATTCCGCACGGCAAGATATTTTATAGAATAAATCTACTGGGGAACCGCGGGGTACTCCATGTTCGTACATGCCCCATCGCCATCCCCATCCCCAGCTTCAGTTCCACACACACGATACAGCCCAACATACGCTGCTCCACCGCACATCTGGCCAGCGTCACCACCGCACGGGGTCAAACACTTGCCCATCGGCGCGATCGCCGGCCGTCGTGCATCCTCGATGTCGTTCCCGCAGTAGCACTCGCGCCCGAATTCCACCCCCGCGTGGCTATACCCATCTGCCTTGCAGCTGCTGATACACTTCTGCACGGTCATATCGTCGCCGCTGCTACTGGACTCGCTAAGAACCCGCTGGCCGTCGACATTGTCCCGCGCGCACCCGATCCACGCCCACCCCAGCTCCTCCGTCACGTCCGTGTAGTAGTGCTGCGGCTTGTCGATTGCTTTCGGGGCGTTGCAGTCGGTGGGCTTTTTTGCGTCCGCGGGGCCGTCCTGCACGGGGTTACAGCCTGGGAGGGCGTCGAGCCAGCCCGTGAGCTTTTCGTCGATGGAGGCCTCCAGCATACACCCCTCTGTCATGGTGTCGTTGTAGAGAGTCAGGGCACCGCACTTTTCAATGTCCCCGCCCTCATCGTCGCATGTGTCGAGTGCTTCCTGGAGGACCGGCACGTCCCAGCCGTTTATCTACGTAGTTAGTTAGCTCTGTAGTCCGTTAAAACCCATATCAGGCTGGCGACATACAAAATCCCCATGCAGCCCATACCCCGTTGGGTCTCCATTCGACCAGACAAACGGCTGGCCATCACCATACCACTCGTCCGCAAAGTCCTCAGTATGCCAGATAACCTCAATGAAAATAGACACAATCTTAACCGGGTGACTCTCCGGACAGGGCCCCGCATTGTACGTCTCGTTGGGGTACGCCATGTGCGATCTATGGTCGTCGCTGTCATAGTTCACCCCGTCCCAGCACGACGGGAAGAAGACCTGCGTGCGCAGCCCGTCGGGGCAGTTGTAGTTCGGGAACCCGTTTGTCTCGGGCTTCGCGCCGCCGGTGTAGTCGAGGCAGGCGTAGCTCCGGGCGTCCGCGGCGTGCGTGTCTTTGTATTTCCGGTCCATGGGGTCCCCGGCGACCATGCGGAGGTCTTGCGGTGGTGCCAGGATGCTGGCGTTGTTGGGGTCTTCGCGTTGGCTGATGTTGTTAGGTTAGTAACATATATAGATAGATAGATATGTACGGTGGCCGTACAGGTAGTAGATGAGAGCGCCCCCGTTTTGCTCTACGGCTTTGAAGCTCCCGTTCTCCGCTCTATAGTACAGCGTCGGGATCCAGTAGTTGGATTTATCGGCAGTCGGGGCGCACGAGCTACACTGCGCTTCTTGGGTCTGGTTGTAGTCCATGGTGAAGCCGAACCCGGAGCCACCCATGATAGTGTGGGCATGGCTGGCTGCAACGCCGGGTTCGATTATGGGGTCGGCGCGCTCGACGACGAGGGGATTGCTGCAGGGGACTTTGAAGAAGGCCTGCACCTGTGCAAGGCATGAGAAGAAAAAGAAGTGGCGAGGACCTGCTCGCATTTTGGTAGATATATATAATGAACGTACGGGTTAGAAATGAATGGAGTAACGAATGTATGCACCGCAACACCATCCCCGGACTTTGATATCGTATATATATCGACTTCTTCCATCTCGCGCTCACTTCTATAATGAGGATCAAACAGGATCAAACCGCCCCTTCGTTGAATGAGGCCTGCGATAGGCCTGGCGTTGTCCCAGCAAGCGCGGGAGTTGCAGAACAGCGCCCAGACCACTAATTAAGGGTCCTGAAACGCGTTCGAGACGCAGCGGCGCAGGCCTTTTCCTGACCTGTTCATTTGGTTTTGCTGCATCAGGGAATTTTATGGCGGCATCTCTGCGCCTGGAACAGCTGTTGAACTTACGCAGGGCTCAACGTTGCATTGCTTGATCGACAGGTGCAGCTGGCAGCACGGAGAAGCGGTGCTGCGGTTGACTGCAGGATCATTGATCAACTGCACTGCGTATCTGCGTTCCAGAACGGCAGTATCTTGCGAGTAGTGCCAATATCGCATACATGGTATTGATACCCCAGATTCAACATATTGCAGAATATACACTGTATACTTTACCCCTTGCGCCAGTCCTCTATAACTACGTGCACTATAATAGGGTAGTCCTAATTCGGACATGCCTTTGGAATCTTGGCACTCGGCTATTCCAGAACAGGAATAGATTGGATTAGTGTCAGTCAGAATATACCCGTCCGTACAGCACAGAGATTGCCTAACAGCAAGGGTCCAGGACTCTTAAATACTCTTAACTGAGAATCCTTAATTGAATGCGCCGATCAATCTCGCTATTCCTACTGCCATTCCAGCGGCACAACTCAGGGGCAGCAGTAATAACGATACCCGACAGACCCATGAATCCTTTGAAGATCGCTATGCCAGCCTGATCCTTCGCCTGGAACGGCATGTGATTGTCACTGCGTCGGACATTTTCATTTTTCACAAAGCGCCGGCTGAAAAGCCTGAAATTGCTGTGCTGGCGCTGAAATTGGATCGGCACGCGCCAGGTTTCGAATCATGCAGGGCTGCCTTTCCGTTGGCCGTTGGCGTTTCATGTTTTCTGGCTCGTGGAATTGCGCTTGCGCTGCTGCGCTGCATGGGCCATGTTCGTCGCCTTGCAAGTTACTTGGCGGCAGCAGCATCTGTATTCCGTAGCAGAGCTCGTTTGTTTTACCTTCTAGTCTCTCACTTGACTCCTTGAGGTGCGTTAAGCGCTCGTTACTCCCTCGCTATCCCGCGGCCTCCGTTAATAAGCGTGTCGGGAGCGAGTCGAAGGAATAGTGGCAAGCCAATCATGTCACATTTCACATACCACCGAGGCTCGAAGAGACTGTCGTCTTTGTTCACATCCCCGGCGAACCGCCACTAAGGAAAGCCTAGGAAAGCCTCCTCGTCATCCTTCCCCGTAGTAGTGCGCCACCACCGCAAAAACCCCATTGCGGGTTGTCGGTTAGGTTTCACCCTCAAAGCTTCTGTGCCTGAGCCAGAGCCAGCAATGCAACGTTAAGCCTTTTTCCACTGGTAAAGAAATTTGCCATCCTGAGGTTTCTTTCAACCTCCCGGCCCAGTTTCGGTTCCGAACCACACCCGGCCGGAGTGCCAGGTGGCCAACGATCGCTTCCCGAATAGCCATTCTGGCGACCGCGCATTGGATCCTGATTCGGCGAGTTGCGCTGCTGTCAGTGTCAAGGCGTGCGGCGGCTTTCGCTGCACGACATGGCTTGACGACTCAGAGCTCAGACCTGACTTGGCAACGGAGCGGTGGGATTCCACCTGGTGGGTCGTGGTTTTGTTCCTATGCAGGCGAGCGGATTATTGATTATGGGTATTTGGTTGCAGCGTTAATAATGGTGCAGTAATAATGGATGGCAAATGGATGGCAAAGAGGTGGTCTACTGGTCTAGCTTGGGTAGATGTGGTGTGGTAGCGAAGTCTTAGGTAGGTGTGGGTGTGTAGTATGGCATAGTGACTGGAGTATAGACTCGCGAGGTAGAACAATCTCCGGTTGTTTTAATTGCGTTGGGGCTCTGGTGACTGGTCACGGTGTAGGGTTGCGAGGGGAAGGTCCTTCCACTTTGGAGGCAGGGTAAACGTCGGGTGGTCGTTTCTAGGCGCCATGCTCGATTTCTTGTCCGGATGATGTACGGTGTATCGACTATCTACGGTGTATCTATACGTACAGATGGAGATCTGGCCCATGCGCATATCAGATCAACAGGTTCGCGAGCCACGTGGAACACAGTTGACAGCGACAGTTACAGAGCAGATCGATGATCCAGCTTGCATACAATGAGACCTGAAAATATTCGCGTCGAAAAAGACGTTGTCCTTGCGTGACATCACCGATCTGGCGGAGTATAAAGCAGTTGAATCTCGTTAACTAATTCGCCCCACCGGCTGGTGCTTGGCGCAGGGGATACCTTCTACTTCCGGCGCGGTTGTCGAGCAAAATCGCGCCCAAGAGTACCAAGACGCGCAGGATCCGTGGGTGGCATCATTTAAGAGTTAATAAGCGGCGGCACTTGCTCGGAAATGTTGCTTGTTCTGCTGTGCTGATGCTGACGGCAGCGGCGTTGGTTTCTGAGAGGTCGCGATTGGATCTGGACCTCAGCGCTACGAGGCACTCGCGGGGTGACCCCAGGAACCAGAGTAGGGACACGGCCCTGGTATATCTTACATTGCATGTGCATGGCAGCAGCTGACTAGGGGTTGCTGTGCTGCTCCACGAGTCGCATCCAACCACACGAGTACTGGGAGCAGCGGCTCGGCTAACTTGCTGCGCGGGCTGCGACTAGGCTTGGCCCCCGAAATGGGACAAACAGCCGGCAAGCTGGCACAACCTGGGGATGAAAACGGGGGAATCCCAGCAGAAACCCCGATCTGAGTAATTATTTGATACTGATCTGAATGAATCAGAACCGAAAACAAAGACCTGAATCAGCCTGAGTCAATAATGATCCATAACTGACCACTCCCCGTCCTCGGAGTCCACTCCGGCTCAGACCCGTTCACAAAAAACCCGTGCAGACAAGACCCGTCGGAGCTGCATCGGATTTGAGACTCTTGACGATCGGGAAGAGCCGGCTGCATGCAAAGAAGCAATAATACGAGGGCATTTCGCCGGACCGTAGCCGGTCGGCGAAGCAACGTCTCGGGTGGCAGTGGGTTTTGATTGGCGTGGTTCGGCGTGGTTAGGCCAGCCATGGTTGGCTCACTTGGCTCAGACAGGGACGCTTCGCCTTCAGTGGGATTGGAGTTCCCCGTCACGGAGAAGGAGGGGAGCCTGGAGATGTTATTGCACGGTGGGGCGCTGCCGATGCGGAAATGAGCCTTGGCCGTCGTCAGCGGCACAGACAGCGCGAAAACTCTGAGGGCCTACTCGCTTGGCACTAAGACCGCCCTGTGGAGCCGCCACTCCGAGAAGGGCTAGCGCCGTCGGCCCAGTTTCCCTCGCTGCATCCTCGCCTTTTCCTCGTCTTCTCTCGCGGTGCAGCCGGTGGGGCAGTGGTGGCTACGACGAGAACAAGCGATCCCCGCCTGGAGCCAGGCCAAGAAGGGCAACTCATGGGGGCCGGGGTCATGGAGGTTATAAGAGCGACGCGTTGCTCCATCCTGGAGATCTCAAGCTCTGCTCTCTTTCTTCCACTTTGCATTGATTGACTCCTCATCTGCCAACATGTGGACGTCAACTTCCGGCCTGACGGGCAAGCCCCTTCAGTGGGCCATCACCTTCACGGCCGTCATGGGTTTCTCCCTCTTCGGATACAACCAGGGTATGATGTCTGGTATCATCGCCGGTACTCAGTTCGTCGGCGAGTTCCCCGTCCTCGCCATGCCCGAGGGCACCACCGCAGACTCCGACATGGCCACCTACAAGCACATCAACGTTCTGCGTGGTGGTGTTACTTCCTGCTACGAACTCGGCTGCTTCTTCGGCGCGCTCTTCTCCATGTTCTACGGTGAGGCCATCGGCCGCACTCGCCTGATTGTCACCGGTGCCCTCATCCTGATCATCGGTGCTGCCATCTCCGCCTCTCCCTTCGGTTCCGAATGGGGTCTCGGCCAGTTCGTTGTCGGCCGTGTCATCTCTGGTGTTGGCAACGGTCTGAACACCGCGACCATCCCCGTCTGGCAGTCCGAGTGTTCGGCCTCGCACAACCGTGGTCTGCTTGTCTGCTTCGAGGGTGCTCTGATTGCCGTCGGTACCTTCATCGCCTACTGGGTCGTCTTCGGTCTCTCCTACGTCGAGCAGTCCGTCCAGTGGCGATTCCCCGTTGCGCTCCAGATCCTCTTCGCCCTGATTGTCGCCGCTGGTGCCCTGATGCTTCCCGACTCCCCCCGTTGGTTCGTTATGCGCGGCCACAACCAGGAGGCCTGCGAGGTTCTCGGTAAACTCAAGCGCGAGTCCCCCGACTCCGATGTCGTTCTCAACGAGTTCAACTTCATGAAGGCCGACGTCGAAATGACCCGCGCTTCCCAGGCCAGCTTCAAGGTTATCTTCACCGGCGGCAAGACCCAGGAATTCCAGCGTCTTCTCCTTGGTTGCGCTGGTCAGTTCTTCCAGCAGTTCACCGGTTGCAATGCTGCCATCTACTACTCCACCCTGCTCTTCGAGGAGAACCTGCACCTTAAGAAGCGCCTGGCCCTGATTATGGGTGGTGTCTTCGCTACCGTCTACGCTCTGGCTACCATCCCCTCGTTCTTCATGATTGAGAAGGTCGGTCGTCGTAAGCTCTACCTTATTGGTTTCATGGGTCAGGGTCTCTCCTTCGTGATCACATTCGCTTGTTTGATCAAGGAAACCACAGAGAACTCCAAGGGTGCCATTGTCGGTATCTTCCTCTTCATCGTCTTCTTCGCCTTCACTCTGCTGCCTCTCCCCTGGATCTACCCCCCCGAGATCAACCCCCTCCGTACCCGTACCGCTGGTGCCTCCGCCTCCACCTGTACCAACTGGATCACCAACTTTGCTGTCGTCATGTTCACTCCTCTCTTCGCCGCCACCTCCAGCTGGGGTGTCTACCTCTTCTTCGCTCTCATTAACTTCATCGGTGTCCCCGTCGCCTACTTCTTCTTCGTGGAGACCGCCGGTCGTGAGCTCGAGGAAATCGACATCATCTACGCCAAGGCCCACGTCGAGAAGCGCTGGCCCTTCATGGTCGCCAACGACATGCCCAAGCTTAACATGGAGGAGATCACCCAGCAGTGCCGCGAGCTCGGCCTCGACACCAACACTGTCCAGCAACCCGGTCAGAACGAGCTTGGTCTCGGCAGCGGCTCCTCCGAGGACGAGGTCCAGGAGAAGCAGGGTTAGAGGAGTAAAAAATTCACTCTTTCATTCAATTGACAACCTGCGCTCGGTCCGCCGGCGCCTATCGAATACCCCTGCTAGTTGCATGTATATCTTTCTAGCTTGTGCATGCATGCATAGATTGTGAAAGATAGATTTGGTGTATTTCCTTTACCTTTCATTTCTTTATTTTCTTTTCTATTTGTTTCCTTATTCCCCTGTGTACATCTGGTCGAGTTTCATGTCAGCTGGCCGCGTGATCTCTCCATATTCATGTTATGAGATTGGGACGTGCGATGTGCAGCTATGATGTTCGAGAGGTTTTATGATTAATTACTGGTAGAGAATATACCCATTCCTTCTCGAATTCGCTTTTTGTAATCAAACCACGTAAGACTTCTATATGTAACTAGTGTATCTCATCTCCCATCCAAATGATCGGCTCGTCTGCCGGCTGTTAACTGTCATATCGAACCTGCATAGATCACCCTTCTAGAAGACGCACTGTTTCTCGATAACGGGAAAGATTGTCTCTCCCAATTCTCTGGACGTCCCACCGGATTGAAACGTGCCTGAAACTGTCAATCCTCGGAACATGGTGTTGTGTTTCGCGACGATCCACCGTCGATACAGTTTGTTCTGGCCACCCACAAATATATATATCTCCACGACTGATACACCGTAGCCACCTGACCCGAAAACTTCGAGTTTGTCTGCTGGCAGGTACTTTCTAACAACTACTAGTAGCGAAAGACTAATTTATTATCATGATAAACCGGGACCTCGGGTGTTCCTGAACGCCTCAGTCCCTGACCCGTTCCAGCAATTTCACATGACACCCAACCACGTGAGATATATCCCACGTGACCTCAACTGAATCTGGCTGCTGCTCCACCAATCCGAATCCACATTCCATTCTCCACAGTCCAACCCACCACGCTGCTTTCAAACAAGAAGTGACGACACCGGCGTTTGAGACGACGGATTCATGGCTATTCCAAATACCTTCTTCTAATCTTGTCGGAATGTCGTGATGGGGACTGAGACGGTGATGGTGACGGTGACGGTGGTTTCTGCCCGGTTTGGAGGGGAATGGACCACCATGGCGACGTTGGAACTGTTCCGGGATTGCCCCGCAGAAGCGCAGGTGATGAGATGGTTGCAAAGTGACTTGCCAGTTGAACTTGAGAACGGAGAGGAGATGGATGAAATCCTTGTTGAGTCAGAGTGAGACTTGGGAAGGATAGCCGGGAAGGATTCAGCTTACAACTACATACAGAGTACGCCTTAACTATCTAGTACCTACTCAGCTACCTTAGTGGCATCTGCATACTCCGCCTCGGCCTCCGCCCTCCGCTCCCCGCACGATAGCTCGATCTTGTGACCGTTACGCCGAATCAACCGTTTTATACGTGCCGTTGGATCCGTTGGCTTGATATCCGGGATACTCGTCTGTATTGTCCATGAGTCACCGAGACTTGAATGTGATTATTGGTCGCCTACTCGGTTACTTCAAGATTGCGACGGATGCGGCACCGTTGGTTATTCGGTGATGCCCTGCCTCGATGAGCGAATTTCAACCGTCTATAGTTGACTGGCGCCTTGGGTACAATGGAGGTGAATGTGTAGATGAACAGCCAGGGAACAACCCAAAAGACGCGGCAAAGGCGCTTTGTCCGGGTTGATCATTAGACTCTGAAGTCTGACGCTGCAGCGGCGATGCTATCCAGGACGATTTATCCGTGTTCACCAGCACCTTTTCCGATCTGATATGCCCATATACCCCGGATATGTGTTGGGATCAAGTTGTCTACGGAGGTGGTACAAAAGAGCATAAACAAACCCCTGCCTTTAACTCACGTGGATAGGATTCGTATATTTGGCGCTACGAGGCGTTCGAAGCTTCATCATCTTCAGGGGGCAAGGGGAACAGACGAGTAAGAGGAGAAAGACATATACCATCCCTTTTTTTCGTGCCGTTCAGCAGTTATATGCACAATGGCGGTTGGCTAATTGGACCGGGCCAATTTCTCAAGTTCTTCCGATTGTCATTCCATTCGTCTCGAGTTCCGAGGGTTGGAGTCTGTTTGCCGTAGAATATGCGGCTCTGACCTAGTAGAGGATTATTAGACTGGGGAATGAGATTCCTTAGGCTCTAGTATACTATCTCTAGTTGCCTGTATGCTTCATATCAGTTTGTAGACAAGACTTTGCACTCCTCGAAATAGCGAATGTTTATTTTCGCGGTCGATCTGTAAGTTTTAATGAATAGTGGGTCCTCGAAGGGTAATATAAGGGCATATAAAGTGCTCTGAGTGCAAGACCAAAAAGCAGATGACGACATTAAGTGGCCAGCAGGAAATTGATGAGCCTCATCTTTCACAGTATCGATATTCATATATTCGCTGCGACGTCTTGATTATTTCCTATATAGAATATTATCGATATTTGAAAATGGACCTAGGATACAATAGAGCAGATCGCCCAACGAGATGAAGTATCTTAACTTTACAAGTCAAGCCATCTTCATTTGCGGATGTAATATTGATATCCGCAAGTTTAAGCCGTTGTCTAAAATCAGAGAGATACCATCTAAGAATACCTTAGACCGTGAATATATGCAAGTCTCACAAGACTTAATACCCAGCCCCTTTTATGGTCATTGCGTTCTTGATGGTTTTTTAGATAGAACTCAAGATTATCTGGTGTAGGGGAAGGCACAATCCTGTACCAATATTTAAAGTAAGAAATAATCCCTTCAACACTGTCTAGACATTTAAGATTTGCATCTTATTCTTCAGGGTCTGCTGATTTATTTTTATGTACTGCCCATCCTCGAGGTCGAAAGATATCCAGGTTGATATTACTTCGCTTTCTTTCTTTCCCATCTTAAGGACAACCCCAGTCAACCCAATAGTGATTATTGTAAGACCAAGATAAAGATCATCGGGAAAGGAACCGGCTCTGTTTTGTATTTGACTGATTGTCCGTGCCCGATTCGTTTGTTGGAAGGCTGTGGGCTGCGGTTCTGCAATATTGTAGGAATGACATTGCAAGACCACAAAGAGAGTTTCATTAAGCTTACTCTTCAGTTGCCACTTATAATTACAACTGTGTAGAAATAGAAGCGGAAGCTCTTGGCATGAGAAGTGTCCCCTTCCTAATACAGCACTGTTGTCGATCGGAAATACATATTTAATTATATTAATATGATCAGAACACTGCTGGAGATTGCTGTAGAAATCGTAACAGTGGGCAATAGAGTTGATTAAGATACAATTGCACTTAATCCATACTGGACCCGAAAATACAGCCGGGTTAGACCCTCTCATTGTGAGTAACATCCTCAGCAACACTCTCCTTCCTGTGCCTCTCGACCTGCTCGCCAAACTTCGAATCAATCTTCGTCGTCTCCCAAGCCTTCACATCCGAATCAAACATGAGATCAATCTCCTCCAGCGACCTCTGCGCCGTCTCGGGATACAGGAAAAACACATGGAAGGTCATAACGGTACAAAACACGCCGAAAATGATATACGTCTTCCACTGGATATTCGTAAATGCAGGCGCCACAAAGTACGCAAGTGCAAAGTTAAAGATCCAATTGCCCGCCGCACTCAGTCCCACGCCCTTGGCTCGGTATTTCAGTGGAAACACTTCCGAGGCGTAGATCCAGGCCGCAGGCGCCCAGGTGAGACCGTAGACAGCGACGAAGATGTAGGAGAGCGAGATGACGGCCTTTCCGGGGGCGCCGGAGATTTCCCATTTCAGGGAGGCGTTGCCGTTGATTTCGTCGACGGGGTTGCCGTGGACGGCCATGACGGCGGCGATGGTGTAGTGGATTATCATGCAGAGGATTGCGCCGGAGATGAGTAGCAGGCGGCGGCCGATGCGGTCGATGTAGGGCAGGATGACGCCGGTTGTGACGAGGAAGATTACGTATTGGATGATGGAGGAGTAGAGGGATGTATCACCGCTCTACACTAATTAGCAGGTGTCACGTTATAAGGAAAGTGAAAAGGGGGGGTACCATTCCGGCCATCTGGAAGATCCAGACGACGTAGTACATGGCGACATTCCCACCGAGCAGCTGCTGCCAGACCTGTACGCTGACACCGCAGAGGGTACGTTTCCAGATACCAGGCCCGAAGAGCGCAAGGAAGGAGATGTCCTTTGATTCGTGGGCGATACGCGCTGCCTCCTGGACTTCCTCAAACTCCACCTGGACAACGGGGTCGTTGCGGTCCCCCTTTCCATGGATCGCAGCGAGAGTATCGAGGGCTTCCTCCCACCGCTCCTGACCGGCCAGCCAGCGAGGAGACTCAGGGAAGAAGAGCAGAGCCACGCCCAGGATCAGACCGGGGACAGCCTGGACGCCCCAGGCGACGCGGAATGCAGAGGGACCTTCCAAGCCCTTGCCGCAGCCCCAGGAGATCAGGTACATGATCAAGATACCCCATTCTGGCAGAGTTAGCAGGGCATACGAGGGTCGGTAGTAAAAACTCACCAATCGCCCACTGTTGGATTCCGACAATGCGACCGCGGATTCGTGCAGGGGCCAGTTCGGCGAGATACACGCAGACCTGCGACGAGGTGACACCGACTACAAAAATTAGACAAGCCAGAGATGGACAGATGTTGGTTCATACCAGCTAGACCACTAACAACTCTGCCAGCAACAAGATGGGTGACATTCTGCGCCGAACACTGCACAACGGCACCGATAATCCAGACCGCAGACGCAATAATCAAACTCATGCGACGCCCAAGATGGTCAGCAATAAAGCCCGCGACAATCGCACCGGCAAACGAGCCCGCCGACATCGAGGCCGTAATCCCACCCTGCAGATTCGAGTCGGGGTTGTTGAAGTAGTCCAGATACTGCTGGGTGGCCAGGAAGGCGCTCATGGACGAGACATCGAAACCGAAGAGGGCGCCGCCTATCGTGCCAAAGGCAGCGAGGACTGACTGGTCAGTACAGTGACAACTGCATAGCGTCGAAAATCCTACCGTAGATATTGGTGATGCGAAACATGGTGAGCCGTTAACCGGGGAGAGCCTGGAGACCCCGACCCCGACCTGCCGGGGAATCAGCCTTTATATGCGGTCGCTGGCATCTCGGCACAATTCATGCAAGGCCCGATGCAACCTGGCTCGAGACCGTCCAAGAGAGCACGGCCATGGACAAGAAGGCATGGCAGAATGCGGGATTGCGGAGGCAGGCCGGGCAGCGAGCAGAGTGGCCGGCGGTGCGTCACGGTGGAGATTCACAGTCCAGTCGGTTGTTTCTCGCGCATTTATCCGAATTTCTCTTGTCTTGATGATCTTCTCCCACCGGAGACACTGTCGGGAAGGGAGACATCGCCGAGCTGTCGACAGTTGCTCGTCTCATACTGTCATACAGTCAGTTATCTGATGAACGCCACCGGCTAATTGTCGTCGGCAGCTAACACAGTGGCTGGCAGACCCTGGTCAGTGGCTTTTTAAACTCTCGTGTCGACGGCATCCTGCGCGGTTAATGCTCGGGCCGCCGACTCATACGATCCTGCGATGCAATTTAACCGGGGGCTGTTTTGCGGCTATTTCCTGGTCGGTTCGCTTCGAGATGAGAGGAGCACACGCCGATCGGACGACTCGGTTATGCCGCACGAGGCTTGACTGTGAACGGATTTATCCTTGTCGTGCTGTCGTGCTCTGGTTACCCCGTATCCCCAGACCGGAGGGACCCACGCTATCCACAGTCACGCATGACTCGGTCGGGCGTGGAGTTGATCTTGCCGAGCGTCTTGCCGATGTGTCTGTTAATATCCAGGTAGACTGCTCTATATATTAAAGATGAACATGTTGAGAGCCCTTGGGAAGTGCAAAATATGCACCCCTGCGTCCACATCCCTTGTTTGTTCAGTGTTTGCAGATCAGTAATGATAGCCTGTTTTACCGACAGGTTGTAGGGATAGTATTGTATATGAAAGCAACATGTATTTCTTGGAATTATACTAGCGGATGTTCGCATATACAACTTAGAGTTCGAACCGTGGTAAGAGGGGTATTTATAGTGAAATCGAGATAGTATCTAATTGACGATGTTGTGGTGTTTCTTTTCTTTTAATATGTACCAACAACACAATGATGTCGCACAAGTCTAATCCACCACCCACTTATATACAGAATCACCAAAGACTGAAAGTTGAAACATTCTAGAATATATCACATCAAATCCTCGGTCCCTCCCTCTTCGGCCTCAAAATCGTCTCCTGCGTCATACTCGCCAACAACCTCCCACCCCCAAAGACACCCCCCTCACTGAGCGCCCTCGCATTCCCAGCGCGACAAGTCCGCTTCTCCGAAGTATGCCACTCACCCAAATCAAACCGATGCGTTGCGACCCTCAGCGCAAAATCCAGCGTTGCACAGGCGCTCGCGTCGAATAGGCTCCGGCCGGCGTGGTTCGCTGGGATATACGCGAGCCCGCGATCCATGTAGAATGCGAGAGCGGCGACTTGGTCTGCCTCTGTGGGAAGGGCCCCGTTTATACGGAATTGCTCGGTGGATACTATATCTGGGATATTGTGGTTGCTTTTACTCGAGGTAGGAAGGGAACGCACGTCCATGAACGGGTCGATATTCCTGTATAGACCCGGTTCGGACGTTTCTGTTTTTGAATTGGATTCGCCCACAGATGTCGGTTTGTGCGGATGAGCGGAGTAACGCACCAATTCAGCAGACTCCTCGATGTGAAAGTCCGCTGTTGCGATAAGACACAGGTGTTCGCCCTGATACAAGCGGAGATGTCGAGTTTGAAATGTCCGAGTGTCGCGGATGCGCTCGACTCGACAGATAAGATTGGATGAAGGGCTGGCAGGACGCACAAAGTGTCCGCAGATGGAATACAGATGATGTCCGGGGGTGGTGGTTGCGTAGGCGGCGCTCACGGCGACGGCGAGGATGTTACCGCCGTATGCCCAGTCTGCGAGATCGCCCATGCGGGTGGGAGGGAGGACGGAGACGAAGTGGTCTTCAACCGGTTTAACGGCGATTTGGTCTTTGAGAGACGCCATTATGCGGGTGGTCAGAAGGTAGTTTAGACGTATTCGTTGCGAGTCGTTCACAAGTGCCGGATGCTTTATAGCATGATGATATTGTAATCTCGGCATATGATAACAGGCACCGAGGCACCTCAGAAAGGCCCACTGGCCTTGCTTAATGACGCCTGGAAAGCCTTCCTAACTTCTGTCTTCCTGAACCCAGGGGCACGGCCGAGAATCACAAACCCAGCCACAAGTCCTGCACGATTAGCATGTATCTTCATCTTTAGAGGTGCCAGGGGACTTACTCGAAAAGAACCCTTCAACATCCAGCACATACCCAGTCCTGCCACGCGTATTCACCACCGGAAACAGCCCTCCCTGCACATCAACCCCATTCTGCTTAAGATACCCCTCCACATCCCGACTATCAAACCACACCCCCCCAAACCCACAAACCTCCAACAGCTCCTTGGAGCCCCGACTCTGATCAGCCGTGGGCAGAATCCCTAAAATCCGCCCAGGCACGCGCCTATTCCCAGGATACACCACCCTCCCTAACCCATCAATATCGGGGTAATGCATCCCCGCACCGCCGATGGTATAGAACGGAAGACCCGAGACCTCGAGCGGATCATGCAGCCCGCCATTCAACAGCTCCAGGAACCGCGGCTGTGTCTTCTCGCGGTCCCGAATGCAAGGCACCAGGCGGAAGACGCGGTAGATGTCGCGCTCAGAACCAGGTTCGGAGCCAGTGAAGAGCCGGTATGCGTGCTCGAGGCAGTACCGCTGCAGACGCCGCGAGAAGCGTGTTTCCTGGAAGGAATACGTATATTCCCTGGCTGGCATGGCCATGGGGATAGGATACTCTAGATTGGGGATTTGATCTGGACTTGGGATTTGATGCGCAGCAGGCTCTTTTGGAGATTCAGACGGCATCGAGTTCGAGTCGCTGGTTAAAATCCCACGAAGCCGCTGCAGGCGTGCATAGATATCTGGATGGGAGAGATGCAGCTGCGCTTCAGCAGCGGCATTATCCAGTCCAATTACCTCATCGGAGGCCTCGCGCATGCTCGCTTCCAGTTTCTCGGCTCGCGAAGTCGCATTCTGGAAGATGGCTTCTTTCTTCAGGCGGTAGGCCTTTTGGGCGCGACGGAGCTGGTCGCGGCGATCATGAGTCAAGGAGGCGTCGTTGGCTGTGTCTAGACGCGGCCGACCGGGGCGTTTTGATCGTAGTTTTGGAGGCATCTTGCTGGTAATATTTTATGGTCGCGGTGATGGGATGGATGTATATTGTGGAAGAAATGGTGAGATTGAATGATATTGTAATCTGGTTGGGTCCATGGACCTCGGCTTTCCTAATCAGGGATCCCAACGTTTTTTATACTCAACCATCTGACATTAGCAGGAACATAGTACCTGTTTAGATTTTAGGTTAGATTAAGGCAGGTTAGAAAAGCCCAAAACCTATAAGGCTAGGTTTTTGCGTCATGCAACCCCCAGGCGCTGTCCTGATGACTTGAAAGAAATCACGTGATCTGGATGACTCTCGGTCTTTCCCCTCTTGGGTCGCGGCTGTCATCCATCTCTCCCTCTTGAGTGGATCCTCACAGCTACGATCAACAACATTATCTTCTAATTTGCTTAGTGTCTTATCAAGTTCTTGTCTTAGAGATGGCCGAACAATACCCGCCAAGCTTGGTCTTGTCTGCAATTGCTGACCATCTCGACCGTCACCACAGCGAGATTCGTGTTACTCTACCCACAAACCGTTTTACGCTTCAACAAGGACTGAGTGCTATTCTGGACTGTCTTGGTGAACTTTCTGACCATGTTTCACTACCGACCTCCAACCCAGCCCGGCGCCAGGCCCTCAGACTCCAGGCGCTGGAAAACAAAAATGCGTTCGACGAGGCTCGACCTTTCTCATCAACCCGGCAGATTCGTGTCCCAGGAAATCTGAAGCCTGAAGACCATCCACCATCCCCCTCTCCCAACCGCCGCGCCTTGTTGAAGCAAAAGTTCCTGGATGAGGATGGACCTCCTTTTAGAGACCTTTCCTCTTAAAAACCCCTGCTCTGTGCACAGAACACGCACTGCCGGGTATCATCGGGAACGCCACCATCACTGCCGTTGACTGGGAACCGGGTATGCCCAAGTTGAGGATCGACTGCTGGAGGACGGCTGGGAGTTGTTGTCACTGAGAAGTTGATATTTCCTTTGTGTGGGTCAACAGTCCATTGACTCCATTCGTCATCTTGCTTTCATATTACTATTAGGTAGTAACTTTCTCTGGAGGTAAATTGCGTGCTAGAGTTGACCGAGTCCGGCCAACAAAGTTCCCCCTTGTTAGTTTCCCACAATCCATTTGACACTTGTGCTCGTCTGGCCAAGTTAGGTTTTGAGTCTGATCCTGACTACAAAGAATTATGTACTAGCCATTCGAAGTCTGCTTTACCGCGGCGGATGGTTGCCAGTTAGGGCTGTTGATACTCTGTATGCGATACTGATATTCCACTCCCATCCAAGTACACAGACGCCTCAATTCATTCTATTTATCGTTCATTTATCAAAGCCGGGACGCCATCTGACCCTCTCCATCCACTGGAACTGCATTCCAGTGCATATTTACCAGTACTTATTTGCTTATCCTCAACAATTTCTACTTCAACTCACATCGCCAATATGATCATATCCCAACAACTTCGGCGCAAGGTATTTTATTCAACCACTGAGACACATACAAAGAACAAGTATAGTATCAAATCTCCCGCAGTAGAAATCCCCCATTCTGCAACTTCTGGAAGACACCGTCAGGATCATACTTCTCCGCAACGTCCTGCATCCTCTTCACATTCCCTGCGCCGTAACTGCGCAAGACCCCCTGGGAGCCGGTGGCAAAGCTCATACACAAAAAGTCAAGCAGAAGATCCTTTTCCCTGGCTAGGGACTGTATATTTTCAGCCATACCGTCCACGGCCTTTTGAGCTGCAGTGTCCGCGTCCGCCTCGCTGCTGCTGGGCCACTCGCAGGTGCATACCCACCCTATACAGATTAACCACCTATGGTCCAAGGAGGGTAATATTATGGAATACGCACAGCACTGATGTACACATTCTAATCCCATAATATTTCCACCGCGGTCTGTTCCTGCCTTCACACCTGCTGCGCCCATTGGCTGGATCGTGTAATGCAGGACACACTCGGCAGGGAGGGTGGCGCAGGTCTTTTTCCATACGTGGTAGACCTCTTCGTAGAGATCCTGAGACACTCTCGTGGTGACTGTACAGATGGCCCGTCTATTCAACATCAGCATTGAAAGGAACGAGTTAGGGGTGTTCACTTCTTCGGCTCTTGAGCATGCCCCATAGCCTGTGCTAGAGACAGCAATGTCCCATTCGTAGTAGGCAGGACCGTCGAGATCACACTGAGATCATCAAAAGGCTTAAACGCTGCAGGGTGCTCGATAGATGTATCCCCATAGAGCAGACCCACGGCGACAAAGCCCTGGTTGAAATTGGTGAACAGGCCAAGTTTGGGATCCGTCTCCATAGCTTCCTGCACAGCTACCGTGGCCTTGTTTATCTCGATGTAGCCGTCCGGGTTGTAGAGGTTTATTGTGTATTGGAGGTGTATCAGAGGGTGTGTTTCCAGGTCGAATCTTGTTACGATGCCTGAGACTGTTAGGGTAGTCCTTCCAGGGGGGTGTATGAGATACCAAAGTTGGAACCGCCGCCTTTGAGAGCGCGATAGAGGTCGGTATTCCCGCTTGAGTTTGCGTTGACGAGTCTGCCATCGCCGAGCAATATCTAATACAGTTATTATTTGTTTTACCGCGGAAGCAGACCTACCTCGAAATTCTTGACTCCATCTGCCCCAAGTCCATACAGATTAGGAAGGGCGCCCATGCCACCTGGCACCTCACAGTGTCAGCCAGTATTGTATTATGAAGGATATAGATGGTACCTCCGGTCAGAAACCCCCCAAGTCCAACCTGCTGATCTCGACCACCAATAACTGACAACTTGCTTTCCTCCAGCCAGGCATACACCTCACCCCAGGTACACCCAGGTCCAACTCTAGCCACAGCCCCATCCAGGTAAGATCCAGATCCAGAACCATGGACGATCTCAATGGACTTAAACCTCCGCAGATTCAGAACAACACCTGTCTGGTCGGCGCTACTAAACCCAACATTCGGATTATGGCCGGTCGTCTGGATCGCGAACTTGCAGCCTGTCTTCTTGATGATGGAGAGTGCGCTGGCAAGTTCGTGCGTGTTGCTTGGGTAGATGTAGCAGGCGGCTGGGGTCCAGCAGGTCTGTGACCAGGGAGTTGTTACTGCAGTTTCGTACGATGAGGTGTCTGGGGTTATTATCCTGTCCTCCGGGAGGATGGCTCTGAGTTGGGATATTGCGGCGGTGGCCATGGCTGTTGTGCTACCGAGAGTACTTCTGATGTGGGATACATCTTGGTCTAGATATATGTAGGGGAAGCGGTGTTGGAGGCCTAAAGAGGCGCAGTGGATATAAAGGAGGGTTATTATAGTAAGCCATAAGCCATCTCCTGTTATGGCTGGTTGAAGCGCTGAAGGACTTGATAGTATTATCATCACTGGAGTACAAATACCAAAGTAGTACATAACATACTTGATTGTTTTAACATGATTAAACAGTATACATTAAAGCCGTGACGCCATCTGATCCTCTACACCATCCACTGGAACTGCATCCCAGTGTTCATCAACCTGCACCGTTAGCCTTTTCTCTAAATTTGCACCAGTTTCACTCACATCAGCAATATGATCATATCCCAGTAACTTCGGGGCAAGCCCTGGATCTCTCCAGGCCAGACACTCTCCCTCCGGCGTCGGAACCATCCTCATCTTGCTATCCCGCTCTTCCTGCTCCGGCCCGTCATGGAGATGATACAGATACTGCTGGACATTTCCGCGCTTCACCACCATCTGCGTGCGCTCTTTTCTGCAGGTCTCGTAGACAGCGAGGGCATGGCGCTTCTGGGCTAGAAACTCAGGCGACCTCTTGCTAATGGATGGGTCGTTGGGGAGGCGGGACAAGACCTCCCCGATGACGGCGGCGTCCTCAAAGGCCATTCCGGCGCTGCTTCATTAGCATGGTTCGTAAATAGGGTAGCAGACGTACCCAGATGCGAGATACGGCAGGGTCGCATGCACTGCGTCGCCGATCATGACCCACGATCCTGAGGGGTGCGTCCACTCGCATTCGCCTAGGCGGATGCACAGCTTCCACTTTTGCACGGACTGGCATAGTTTCAGGCATTTCTCGATTCTACAGAGTACACATATAAGTATTAGTAGTCTTCAAAGCAGGGAGAGAGACACACCGAGGATCCCACCCCTCGAACAACGAGCACATCTCATCGACATTCCCCTTGACCGTCGTGGCCAGCGAGTCCTCCGGGATATCATCCGGAACCAACAAAACCATATTGAACTGTTTCCCATTGCGCAGGACATAGTTCACTGCATGCTTATCCGGCCCAAGCCAGTAATTCACCTGCGGCTGCTCGACCAGCGTCCTCAACTCGGGATCCTTAACCATCTCCTCCGTCGACAGCAGCAGCCGATACGCCAGATCCCCCGTCTTCATAGGCGGATCAGGCCTCTTCAGCATCAGCTCAGACAACTTCCCAAACACGCCGGTGGCATCGATGACAATATCACCAACAAACTCCCTCCCATCATCCGCCACAGCCGTAGAGCTCACCCCGTCCAACCCAGGAACAACATCCACAACACGCACACTCGTCGTTAATCTCGCCCCCAACTCCACAGCCCGGTCAACAAGACAAAGATGCAGATCCGCCCGGTGGAAATCCCTATACCAAGTCCCCGGATACTGCCTCTCCGACTCCTGAAACTCCAGCGCCGAAATGAGACCCCCGCGCCACCCGCGGAAGTTCACATGCGTAGGCACAGTGGCATGTTTAAGCAGCGCCTCTTCAAGACCCCAGTGCTTGAGGACCCGCGAGCTGTTAGGGAGGACCTGGATCCCGGCGCCGATTTCGCCGATTTGGGGGGCGATTTCGAGTAGATGGACGTTGTGGCCGGCGAGGAGGGAGGAGATTGTCACGCCGACTCCTGCGAGTCCGGCGCCGATTACGACGATCTACATCAGTTAGCTGTGATTGTTTTTTTTTTTTTTTTTTGGATATACTCACGTCCAGCCGGGTGGACTCGTGCCGGGATTGTTTCTGCGCGATGGGGATGCTCATTGTAGCGTATGACTTGTGGTGTAAGATTGTTAAAGTCAGATGCTGTGCTATTTATGACTATCGGGAATGACTACGGAGACCGGCGTATCTCCAACTCGGAGTGAACGGCGTGGTGTCGTGGTGCAAGGGTGGGGGCTGTTGTTACACCAAGATGGGATACTCGATAATGGGATACAGATAAATAAATGGATAGATGGGATGGCGCAACATAAATGGGACATCGGCCAGATTTCCAGTCATACGACACAAACGAAACACACGTCATGTCGAAAGTAGGTTTTTCTTTTATTTTTCTTTTATTTTTTTATTATTTTTGTGTTGACTGGCTCTGACTTTGATAGTTCTCTCTCCAAGGTCGAACAGCGCTGGTTACAGGAGGCGGACGGGGCTGCGGACTCGCCTTCGCACGCGGACTCGCAGAAGCAGGAGCTGATGTCGCGGTCTTCGATGTCATCGAGCCCCATGCCGAATTCCACGCCATCGAGAAGGAGTGTAAAGTGCGGACGGCCTACTACAAGTACACACCATGAATCCCCACTCTACATTCATCACTAACAAACACGGAAGAGTCGACGTCTCCTCCCCCGAATCCCTAGAAGCAGGATTCAGCAAGTTCCAAGCCGACTTCGGCAATAAACTCGACATCTGCGTGCCCTGCGCTGGGATCAATCGCCACCATACCTTCCTGGACTTTACGTACGAAGAGCACCACAATCTGCTGGCTGTTAATGTGCTAGGACTGTACTTTACCGCACAGCACGCAGCAAAGCAGATGATCGCCAACGGCACAAAGCACGGGAGTATCATTCTGGTAGCAAGCATGGCCAGCCATGTTGCAGTGCGCAGCCAGCTGTGTTCTGCGTATTGTGGCTCGAAGGGAGCGGTGCGGGCGATGTGTCCTGCCATTGCCAAAGATCTGACTGAATATGTACGTTTCACTCTCACTGAGTATATTTCTGTCTCTCAGGGGTATATTAATATAACGTAGGGCATCCGGGTCAACACGATCAGCCCCGGGTATGTTCGGACGGAGATGACGGCGGCGTTCTCACATCTGCTTGAGGGCTGGAAGACGGAGACAATCAACGGGCGCATTGCGGAGCCGGAGGATATCATGGGGGCGTGTGTGTTTCTGGCGAGCGATGCCAGCTCGTATATGACGGGGCAGGATGTTGTTGTTGATGGGGGGGTGACTAGGATTTCGTAGTCATATCAATATATTCATGACATTTGGGTATTGTCCGGTTCTGTAGATTATGCAGCAGTTAGTCAATAAAGCATCGGAATGCGAAATCACGAAACTCCCACCATATCAATCGTGCATTAGCTGCGCCAGAGGTGGGGGTTCGGAATTCCCACCGCGACTCCCACTGTTGGCTCAATTCCCGACTCTGCCATCGCATGATTCGCATCTATAACAGCATGAAGCGCTCAGCATCTGAAGCCAATCTCTCTATTCATCCAGAGACTGCCATGGCTCCCAGCGCAGACCACGACCAGGGCTTCTCCGACGCCGTCCCAGGCGCCCACGCGACCGTTGCCATTGCCGGCGCTGGGCCGGCGGGCCTTATGCTTGCGTATGTTCTTATCATATCTATCCCTTGTGACTATAATATTAATGATGCAGAGTCAATCTCGTCCGCCTCGGCATTTCAACGCTCATCCTCGACGACCGGCCTGAGAAGACGACCACCGGCAAAGCAGACGGCATCCAGCCCAAGACAATCGAGACGCTGCGCCAGCTGCGCCTCGCCGATACACTTCTCCGGAATGGCGCGCGCGTATACGACATTTCCTTCTGGGTATGAAGTCTTCCTTCCAGTTTCCCCCCAGCCCAATCCAGTGGTTAATACAGTCTAGGACTCAACACCATCCCACTCCCTCAGCCGCAAGGGCCGCCAGATCCACTACCCAGATCACCTCGTCGGCGCCTCAGATCCATACATTCTGCTCGCGCACCAAGGCATGCTCGAGGACGTGCTGATCGACGACCTGGCAAGCCGGGGTGTGACCGTGCAGCGGAATAGCCCGTTTGTGTCGTGCTCGCGCGATCCCGCGGGCAAGCTGGACGTTCTCTACGAGGACCGCAGCACAGGCGAGAAACGGGCCGTCAAGGCGGACTTTCTTGTTGGGTGTGATGGGGCGAGGTCGAAGGTTCGGGAGTTTATTCCTGATGCGCAGCTGGAGGGGGAGATGACGAATGCTTCTTGGGGGGTTTTGGATGGTATTCCCTTCAATAGCCTCTCTGATGATAATGGGCTGATTGTTTAGGGGTGATTGAAACGGACTTCCCTGATCTGTGGAGTAAAGTAGCTGTGCGCTCGCACACTGTTGGATCGATCCTGTGGATTCCCCGCGAACGAAACATGACCAGGTTATACGTCGAATTGAGCGCTACAGCTGGCGAACGGGTCGACAAGGCAAAGGCCACGCCGGAGTATGTCATGGCGCGGGCAAGAGAAGCCATGCACCCGTTTAGTCTGGAGTGGAAGTCAATCGGTACACCCTTCTATCTATATCTCACCTCTACCGTTATAGTAGATTGAACTGACGAGACAGAATGGTTCGGAAACTACGTCGTCGGCCAGCGCGTCGCCAGACACTTCTCCGACCCGGAGCACCAGATCTTCATCGCCGGTGATGTACGTCCCTATTCTATACAGTATACTGGGAAGCTAATTCAACAGGCCGGGCACTGCCACAGCGCCCTCGCCGCACAAGGCGCAAACACAAGCATGCACGACTCGTTCAACCTCGCGTGGAAACTGAATCTCGTCTCGCGGGGTCTCGCAGCCCGCTCTTTGCTGGGGACATACGAGGCCGAGCGGCGCAAGATCGCCAATGACTTGATTGCCTTTGACGCGGGACATTGTGCGGCGTTCGAGGCGGGCGAGGCGGCCTTGACCAAGAACTTTAATGACAATATCCGGTTTATTTCGGGCGTTGGGGCGGAGTATGCAGAGGGACCGCTTACCACGGTGTCGCCGTCTGCTGCTGTGAATGGACTCCGGCCTGGGGCGTTGATGATCCCGTCGAAAGTGACGCGGTATATCGATGCGAATCCGGTCGATATCCAGCTCGATATCCCGATCTTGGGCCAGTTCAGGCTATATTTCATGATTCCCGATGTCCAAGCTGCAAAGGGGCTCTTAGATTCTGTTTGCGGTATCTTAGACTCGAAGTCTCGTCTATCAACTGCATCAAGTGCAGCGCGGTCCTCATATGAGGGTCGCTCCCGCGGTGACGCAGCCAGCGATGCTTTCCTTTGTTTCGATAGGTACACGGCTGTCTCGGATATCCTGACCCTGGCGCTCGTGAGCGGGTCGAAGAGGGATGTGTTCGAGCTGGCTGATCTGCCCCCTGCGCTGCAGCGGAGTCGGTGGTCGGTGTACCTTGATGATGTGGACGGGTGTATTGAGAAGTGGGTTGGGATGTCAAGACCTGCGACGGTCATTGTACGGCCAGATGGGTATATTGGGGCTGTACAGAATTGGGATGTGAGCCAGGGGGTTGAGGCTGCGCGGTGGGTGGATGAGTATTTCAGCTTTTTGGCTTAGACAGTGATACTTCAGTGGTATACTTTAACAGAATAACTAAGACTATGCCTGCAAGACCAGCTCTCCTCCGATACACCGATTGCATATAAACAGGCTTGTAGGATCAACTCGCCGTTTAATATCGAGCAGTCTCTCATACTTATCCCCCCAGAACACCCTCTCCCAGTTCGGCTCATACCTATATCGTCAGCTCAGAATCAAACAATAGAGTGTACTTACGGATTGGCTTCATTTATGTATGTCCCATCGTCAGATCCAACAATCTTTGAGAAACCCTCGCTCAAATGCACTGCATGAAGTCTCTTCTTGTGCTTCTCAGCCTGGGTGGCATTATCGGCCCAGTCAACAGAGATACTCAGCAAGGCGTGGCTCTTCTTCCAGATATCATGCACCGCCGTATTATCCCGTTCGTCGTCGTTCACTTTGCCAACTGCGCAGGTCAGCATGGCAACATTAGCATGTTGAAGGGACGTACTAAAATTGAACCCCCCTCCTCCATTCTTCACGAGGAACCTCGCCAGATCATCCGCCTTCTCCTGGAGAACATCTGCCGTCAATAGCCTTGAGGTATCCTGGACATTCGTCCCAATATGCGGATCCGTCAGTATCGTCTGTCGATACCCATTCCAGTCTGACGGATACGCCCCAACCATACCCTTTACACCCGGGAGGGTAGATAGATTAAAGAACCCCGCGAATGTCTCATTGAACGCTGCAACAGTGCTGTTCGGCTTCATGAAGAACCCGCCAAATCCCCCGCTGAGATCGGCGTACCCTATGTATCCGGCGTCTGTGACGTCTGGGAGCAGTTTCAGCGATTCGGCCACGAGGTTGGTGAGACTGGCGTTGCTGGAGGCGTTTAGCTTGACGAAACCCATGATAAGATTCTCGGGGACGGGGTGTGTTTTGTAGGTAACCGATGTAACGACCTGATCTGTCAGACTGATGGCACCTAGCATTGTTATAGTTGACATACCCCCCAGGAACTGCCACCACCTCCGCGAACAGCCCAGAAATACTCCGGGTCTGTATACCGATTCAGAACGAGGTGCTCACCGTCCGCAGAGACGATGCTCATTTCCAATAAATCTGCCCGGTTAGCCAGGGAAACATAATATAGTGTGAGTACTGACTATCAGCGGCAAGTCCATGATAATGCGCAAACGGCGAGTGTCCTCCGCCGAGTAGATATCCCCCTGCTGCACCGACTGAGCGTGCTGAGCCTCCTACCACAATAACTCCTTTCTCAGATGCAGCCTCATATACATCTATCCAGTTAGCTAATGCAATCCTGTTAAGGATGGTACCCACCAGACCACTGCTCTCCAGCCTGCAGCGTTACAGCGGGTATACTGTCAGTATCTGGTGCCCCGAGTGGAACAAACGAATCATGCCACTCAATGCCCTTCATGTTATGCGTCCAGATCGAGAACGCGCCTTTTCCGCTTGACCGGCCGAGACTGTTTTATTAGCGGAACCATGCCAGAGCAGTGGGTGGACGTACTGATCATGCCCAGTATTCTTCGTCACCAGATACAAATCCTTCTCGCTGGCGAATCTGACAGAGGCCTGGATATCCTCTACACTTTCTGCTCGGACGGAGTAGTACGGTACTGTAAAGTTAACAATCTATTGAACTGTTGACTAAGATCAGACGGAGCATACCAATTCCCTGGTCACATTCCGCCTGAATAGGCGTATTAATAAAGCATTCCCCCGTCTCACCCATCTCCCACACCGTCGCTGCATACCCGCCCGTCTGGTTTGAGCGCCAGGCACCGTCGAACCAGTTACTCTTTGCCGTAGCGCACTGGTCTGCGTTGTATCGGGAGCCGTGGCATACCGCAGCGGAGGGGACAGAGCGGATTAGTCTTCCCCCGACTGTAGCGTTGAATTCAGTCCATGTTTGGGCTGTTGGCCAGCAGGCGTCATCGGATGTGCAGCGGCGGCGTGGATGGGGTTGGCCTGCTGCTGCGGAAAGCAGCGTTAATGCCGTGAGTGGTGTTTGGATATGCATAGTACAAGTAGTCGATAATAGAAAGAAATTTTGCTAAATAACGAAAGATGACTGCCGTCATTTTATACTTTGTTCCGACCGCGGATGGCACATCATGGATCGAATACGAGTTACCCGATGCGGTATCTCGTATTAGATACGTCAGTCCAGCACATCTTTATTGGTCTTGGCGCGTTGATCCTCGTGTTTCTGCGTCGGCTGTGTATTTGCGTGGCGACGCAATGGGAGAAGAACTGAGACGCGAGTGTTCTGATTGATGTTATAACTGGGACTCCGGAATGTGCTCTGTTGACATATAAAGCAATAGAAAGACGCGGCCTAATAGGGACCGCTACTGGTTTTTTATGGTCAAACGGTATTTCGATATTCTCTGGTAGGTTATATACTTTCAACCTGCAACTTGAGACGATCGATAGTTGGATTGCGGAACACACACCCCGGTGAAAGCACGCGTGCCACAGGCATCATAGAGCAAACGAAGCCGCATTCTCCGCCGTCTACACACCCAGTAATCCACAATAACAACAGCAGAAAACGTTCCCAGGAAGGGCGAATACCCAGCAAGAAACCAGACGCGCTGCTCTGGACATACCACGACAAACTGAAGAGACTGAGGACGGCACAGACATACGCCGCGGCGGGTATCGATGTACCTTGGAAACGCAAGAGAGGTCATTCGCCAACGAGACGCCATTCGCAGTGATATTGGCCCCGATGGCCGCGAGGGCTCAGCACGCGGCGGCGAAGAGCTGCGCGGCGCGGTTCTCCCGGAGCACGACGAGCTCGAGCGGGTTCCAGGCTTGCTTGCCGTAGATAACTGAGGAGGATGCTATAGGATTATGTTATACTCGCCATGGCCTTGATACACCAGCTCTACTGAGCAGACGTACTGTGTAATATAACTTATTCGAACTATAGCTCTTAGCTTGTACGGCTATAATACTACCAAGCTAATTTAGCAGCAGAGCCCCCTCAAACGTCTTGCCTACTGAACTAGAAAAGTGAACATCATAGTTGTTATAGCTGACTTATAGTCTAGTCCAAGCAAAAATGGTACGAATGTGCCCGACTAACCCTTAGAAGCCCCCAGCTCCGTATAGAATAAACGATTACAAAAATACCGCCGGGAGCTCACCACACCCGATGACACTCCCACTGTCCGATACAAGGGTGACTCGGAGCTTGGTCTTGCTAACAGGCGCAATCGGCGATATAGGGATAGCAGCGTCAAAGACAACGGGATCTCCATTCTTGATAGGACACTGGGTTCCTGCTTTGCAGAGATTGCGCTCGACATTGGGGACGGGCACCGAGGAAGCACCTGGAATTCGGCGTATATGACGGTTATAGTATTAGGTCAACCAGACAAATGTTAAGCGTCCCGACAAATGACCAAGAACCACAAGATTGCCACTGGTAGCCACACATGTCGCACGATATTCTGGTAGAAGCCTAATTAGACATTGCTCATTGCGAGTTATCCATTTCTCGTGGATGAAAATTCGAGTCCCTTGCTGCTCGACAAGCTCGGATGATTGATCGTCCAGGGCAAGTGCATGACGGTCAGTGTGCAAATAGCAGCCATCAGCCGAGAATGATAATTTGCGTACTGCTGCATGGCTGTGCAGGCTGCGGCGTTTAACGCCTGTGTCTGCGTCGCAAAGCTGGATGGTTCCATCATTTGTGCTAGATGCGAATATCTGGTTATCAGGTGAGAAGGCTATTGTAGTAATTGAACCTTTATAACCTGAGTGGCTCCAGTATTCAGTACCTGTAGCTAGATCCCAGAGCTGGATAGTTCCATTATTATAGCCAGAGGCAACTATCTGGCTATTAGATGATATAGATACTGCTGTAATTAGGCCTTTATAACTGTACAGGCGCTGGCGTTTAGCACGCAGGGCTATATTCCAGATCTGGATAATTCCATCGCCTGAGCCAGATATAACTAACTGACTACCAGATGAAAAGGCCAATGCAGTCACTGGGCCTTCATTGCCCTGCAAGCTTTGGTGGCCTAGCATGCTATGTTCAGCGCCCGTGGCTGCATCCCAGAACCGGATAGTTCGATCCCTTGAGCCTGAAGCAATTATCTGGCCATCAGGTGAAACGGCTACCGCGGTGACTGAATCTCTATGAACTAAAAGGCTCTGGTGTTTAGTGCGTGCAGTTCTGTCCCAAAGCCGGATAGCTCCATCACTTGAACCAGATACCAGTTCCCAGCCATCAGGCGAGAAGGCCACTGCAGTGACTGGACTATTATAGGACTGGAGGATCCAGTGTTCAGCGCCTGTGGCTATATCCCAAAGCCGGATTGTTCTATCGCTTGAGCAAGACGCGACTGTCTGACTATCAGGTGAGATAGATACCCCAGTAATCCAATCTTTATGGCCCTGCAAGCACTGGCGTTCCGTGCCTGTTACTGCATTCCAGATCCGGATGGTTCGATCATTCGAGCCAGAAACGACTATCCGGCTATCAGGTAAGAAGGTGATTGCAGTAATTAAACCTTTATGACCATGAAGCTGCTTTGTTCTAGCTCCTGTAGCTTTATTCCAGAGCCAGATAGTTCCATCAGCTAAGCCAGACGCAACTTTCTGGTTATCAGGGGCGAAGGCCACTGCAGTAACTGATCCTTTATAACCTTGCAAGCTCTGGTGCCTAGCACCTGTAGCTATGTCCCAAAGCTGGATAGTTCCATCATGTGAGCCTGATATAATTGTCTGGCTATCAGGTAAGAAGGCTATTGTAATAATTGAACCTTTATAACCTGAGTGGCTCCAGTACTGAGTACCTGTAGCTATATCCCAAAGCTGGATAGTTCCATCACCTGAACCTGATGCAATTATCTGGCCATTAGGTGAGAACATAACTGTATTAACCCAATCTTTATAGCCTTGCAGGTTACGGTGTTCAGCACCAGTAGCTGCATCCCAAAGCCGGATGGTGCCATCCCGTGAGCCGGATGCAATTATCAGGCCATCAGGTGAGAACGCCACGGCGCTGACCCAACCTGCATGGCCTTCTAGCACTTGCATGCATGGATCCCAGGACTCCTGCATTATAGATACACGGTGAAGAAAACCCAAACGCTCTTGCCAATAGAGCTTCTTGATTTCACTTGTTCGAGGGCAAAAAGCAAGAGCGGCGCCATATGTCTGTAAAGGCGACTCCTGAATGATGAAGCCGTAACTGGTTGCAAACCTCTCAAATTCTTTAAGAATAGATTTATGTTCACTATGGCCAGTCGGCTGAACAGGGACAAGGTCTTTCAATTGTTTCCTCCCACGGAATATTCTTTGGATTGTCCTCTTCAGGCTTATCGCCTTTTGGCCGCTCCTCTTCGGGCTTGTCGCGCTTGGGCTGGGTCGCGTGGTATCGTGCTCCTATTTTGAATCAGACAGGAGATTCCATTTCTTGATCTTACGTACCTGACGTTGTTGGACAAACTTTCTGAGGGTTAAGATTCCATGCCGGACCTCACCAATAAGGCTAAGGCTTTCTAGCCAATGAAGGAGATGTTCCTTGAGAAACTTAGATATTTCCTGATCGTCTATTGAATCAGACTTCTCAGCGGGTCCAGAATCTATCTCAAGGAAATGATCCAACCAATATATGCAACAATATCGCAGTTCGAACAGCGGGTCAGGGCTGGGTGGGAAGGCCGCTACCTCAGTAGCTGAAATACCCGGATCACTAAGCTCGTAAATGTTGCGCCGCAGTTTCTGTGAAAGGGTTTGTAGAGACTGTCTGTACATCTCGTGGTGAGTCACTGAGCGTTCCTGCAAGATAGCTGTAGACACGTGTATCTCGTCAAGATGGTCCTTGGCCGATTGGTGGATTAGATAGACATATTTATCTCGGATCGTAAGGAACGAACCACACATAGCCACTACCCTCTCAATATCTGGTATTTTGGGGATCTTGACTATGTGTGTCATTTCTGATAAGTGCAGCGGACGGAAGGAAAGTACAACCATCGACAGAACCTTTAGACAGACTTCCCGGAGTCGACCTTTGAGTTGATCTATCTGCTCCACCATTTGATCATACAGCCTGGGAAGATCTGGTGGAGCAGCTTTCACAGTGTCAAGGACTTCCTCTTCAAGTTGGCATTTGCGAAGTTCTTCAACCACTAGGGCCACCCACAAGAAAGTGCCATCCGATTTTTGAAATAGGTGATCTCGGACTCGTTCCCTGAGTTCTTCATTGTGTTTAAGTACGTCCAAGTATGAGATTTTGTGCCCGATATATGTCTCAATAGCCGATGAAATTTGATTAGCATTGAGTTCAAGGCTGAGCTTATTACCTTTATCATCAAGATTCAAAACCTGTTCGACAATGTATATATTGCGGCTGGACACAATCCATTTGAGATGTGTAGATTGCGCGGACACTGTTCTTGCGATAAGGTTAAGCAAGTCTGATACGCCCACTTTGCACTCATCCAGAGCATCAACAAGCAGGTATATTTTAGCTCCCTGAATATCGTTGATCATATTCTCAAAAACAGCAGCAAAGGCGTGGAAAGCATTCTCATTCCTCTCAAACGGGCTCGTCCCTTCCGGGTCATATCTCCTTCGCAAATGTGAAAGAAGATGTGGTCTCTGGGTCACCAACATGTAAATCAATCCCTTCAGAACGGCAGTGGCGTTGTTTATCCTTTGGTCCATTCCCTGGCACAAAAAGAAAGCCAGCATATCTGATGATTGCTGTATTTCCCGTTGCAGTTCTCGGACGATCCCAATCATAAGCATGGTCTTACCCTTTCCAGCATCTCCCTTGATCCAAAGGAGTTGGCTCCCTGGGTTATTGAACCATCCTTGATATTGGGCATTGTCCAGGATCCATCGAAATGAGTCGTCAAGTAGTCCACCCTTGGTGGCTTCGATGCGTCTTAGGTCATCATCAGGATGGCTAAGGAGTAAATCTTGCAGGCAGCGCTGGTCTTCACTACTATAAACTGCAGGGGAGTTAGCGTGCTTCACGGACAGCCATTATTGAAATGGAGAATTGTCATCTTCTACTAACCATAGTTCGACTGTGGTGCAGCTTTGGGGCTAGGCTCAACAGGCACAATGGATAGTAATGATCTTGCATAGGCAGCCGCGGTCAAGGCTGCATACCCTTGCCATTGTTTCTGTTTATGGGAGTCGCAATAATCACATATCCCCCGGATCACGAGGCTTGGAAGCTCATCCATAAGGCCTGCTGCCTCCATCTCGAAGCAGAGTATGTCATGCTGCTGAGCTAGACGGTCTCGTGTCTCCGAATCCTTCATCACCTGATCCCCAGATGCAATCAAGCCATAGTGGATATATGGTGCCCTTGTATGACGTGGTTGTCGGTTGACTAATTTCCCTCTATCACACTTTTCGCAGTCAGATTGAGTATCGGCATGGCGATAGGAGGAATGAAATAGGAGATCTGTGTCCAGTTCTGGGGGCGAGAATATTTCTCTCATGCTCGGGGTTCGTTCCAATACTTCGTATACTAACTTTGAAACAGTTGCCTCGTCGTTAACCATCGAGTTTGCTTGACTTCGACTCATATGTGTCAAGAGAGCTTGTGGTGGTTTATTTAGGGATCCTGCTTGCTCGAAATGCCCGCCCTGAACTGCCTTTCCATAATCATACTGTATCACCCCACCATGCTTCCCATAGGGCTTGCTGACGACTACATCCCCTAATCGAATGTCATTGTTTTTACTCGGAACACCGCCGCCAATCCCCACCATGAGTCCAAACTGGAGCCGAGGGAAGGTCAAGCGCATCCGAGATACAACAGCCGCTGCAGACACTGTTCCATACACGCCATTTGGTAAGTAGGCAATGACTATATAATGCCCGTGCAGTTCACCAAAATCGTAGGCATTGGGGTCTTTAGACGGTTGAAGCGGGTTGTGGATCTTGTCAAGCATGGCGCGGGCCGCTGCCGCTTCCAGGGGTAAGGCACAGATCCACGCGATCGTGTAATCTTCAGGCGTGAGTGAAGCCATTGTCGGTACAGCACGGAGTCGGAGGAATTCAAGCCAAGGTTGCTCTATATCTCACGACTAGGTATAGAATCCGCGCTTGGACTGGTGGACGAAATCATCAAGCTTGGGAAGAGGGAAATTCAACGTGTCTTGCAAAGATGGCTTGCTTGACCGTCTAATCGTCTCATCGGAAGGATCATACACTGTATGGAGTATCAATGGCCGGGTTTCGAGAATTCTCGCCTATGTCCCAGCCTACAAAAAGGTGTTTGTCCGCGAAAGGTAAGGAGTTGTGGGCCTGGCGCTGGTGAACAGCTCCTGAAGCTCGGAGCTGGATTTACTATTGTCCCACATATTAGGTACTCATGGCAGAAGAATCTCATGTAAGCGCTAGTATAGAGTAGTATACCTAGAATGGAAAGTGCAGGGGCCTTGTAAAGAAGATAGGGCAGGGATCGACCGACTGAAATATCTACTCCGGAGGCAAGGCTGAATACGGAAATCCAGGTTACAGCTATTGAGTTGAATTATGCTTTTATTGACGATGTTGGAGTGAAGTTGACCGTCTAGCCAGAATTACTGTTGATGGGCTTGGAATCAGGTTGATATTGTTCGTTAGATAGCAAATGCCTGTCTTTGTGCTAACTGCTATATCGCGCAGAACTTCCCTGACCAACACCGGGCAGACGGTAATCTAAATATACTCCGCACGACTCTCATCCCATCCAGGCCTCAAATACTGCCCATCAAACTTGACGTCCAACGCCGAAGCAAGCACATAATCCACTTGCACATCGACATCAAGCTTGACCTCCCCATCCCCCTGATTCCAAACCGCAAGTCCAACAACATTGTCGCCAGAATAGTCCCAGATCCCAGGCGGCACTGGGAACGTATTCACCGCACTATTGATATACGGATAGTATCGTCCGTACTGGTACCCATTGACATAAAGATACGCGCGGAATGTACTCTTCTCCGAGGCTTCCTCGTCGAAACTGATCTTCACGCTTAGAGCAACATCGTGGCCCTCGGGTGTATCCAAGGGCAGGATACCCCGGTAGAACTTGGCGCCAGCGCCGCTGAATCCGTCACTCGGTGTGCTGGTCGACCATCCCGAGTCATCGAACCCGGGGAGGTGCCAACCCAGACGCTCTGCGGTGAGGCCGCCTTCATTGTAGTACGTGCGGACGGGGTCGATGGTTGTATTGGATGCGCCGCCAGCTGTGCCAGCCACTTTCCAGGCGCTGAAGCGGCCGGATTTGTTGTCAATGAGAGTGGCATTGATGATTCCGCGGACGTTGAGGGAGCCTGATCCCTGGTCATGGCCTGAGTTGTCTTGCATGACGAGGAGGACATTCTCTCCGGACTTGACGCTCTTGGACGGGAGTTCGAGCTCCTTTGATCCAGACGATGAGTCCAGGTCGCCCAGGAAGGAACCGATAAAGTCGCCATTCAACCAGGCGGACCAGCCGTGTGCAGTGCCCCCTTGGACGTCGAGGTACACGCTTCCGGCGGACCCGCTGAAATATCCACGCCAGAGCTGCACGCCAGCATGAAAGCCATACTCATCGGCATACAGGTATGGCTTTGTGGCCTCGTCGTACTTGCTGACTGTTGTCATATGGTCGGCATTGGCCCATGCAGGACCCGAGTCAGAGTAGTTGGCGAATCGTTCAGGAAGACTATCGTGGACTTTCCAGGCCCGGAAGCTGGGAGGAGACCACTCTGCTGGTCCGTCAATGCTAGCTTTGAGGGTGTTGTATTTTGTCTTGTACGTTCTCAGTGTCCTTCCGTTCCATTTTATAGTGCGGACTCGGCTTTCAGTGAACACCTCGATGTCGGTTGCCTCGCTCGAGTCGCCGAGGAGAGAGAGTGTGTGGTTATCGAAGACCGCCGACCTGACAAGATACGGCCCTTGCACAAAGGCTGCCATTGTTAGTAAGTAGTCTCGGGTAAAGAGGGAATGAGGCTCTACTCACCCACTTGGTTAGCAGGCACTCGAGGGTCGTTTGTCAAGGCAGGGGCCCAGAATCGGTGTGCCGTGTCTCGATCCATGACAACAACCCGGACATCGCCATCGAGCAATATAACTGCCATGCCTTTATGCTCCTTGAAACTGACAATCAGTCCTTTCTGAGACCGGGAAAATCTGACATCGGACTTCCCCCCAGCAATCACTTTACCGGATCTGGCACCCTGGACGAAGAACTCCCCGCCCTCTCCATTCGGAACCCATAAGGCGAGCGTTGGCTGCTCGTCAAAGATCCCATAAGTCAGAACCTCCGCTGTCGAGTAGATCAGGTTCCTACTCCCAAACGGGAAATCCGTGACCAGGATCTTCTGGATATGCCCATTGAGAGCGATGGCCCCGTCGTCCAGAGCCGGCACTGTGAAATTCCCTGCCGAAGTCCGAATGGACAGTCTAAACGCCTGCTCGTCGTTACTCGTAGGATCCGTATGCCGAATCGCATAGAACCCAGCATCAGTATCCGGGTTGCGGAGCTCAATCGTCGTCACAGCCTCATTGTCGCTATACGACGTACTATTACCCACGAGATCCGTCTTCGTCAGATCCCTCGCTGACCTGGTAAACAGCGCCAGACTCTTAATCTCATAATACTTGGCTCCAATCGATCTGTTCTCCGCAATGGCAGCGGAGTAGCCATAGCTGGTCGGCACAAACGGCGCAGCAAGCCATCCCCAGTTCGTCCCGCCGTAGAACATGTAAATCCCCAGGATTGTCACGCTCTGGGCCACATTGTCGCGGTAGTAGAAGTTGACGAAGGAGTCGTCCGTCTTCGCCTCGCACCCGCCCGCAGGCCCGTCCCAGGGATTCATCGCGCCGCCTTGGAACTCGGGCATCATGGATGGTTGTTTGGCTGCTACTTCGTTGAAGTGCGCGGTGTAGTCCATGAGCGTGAACGAGGGGTTCGAGGTGCCACAGTCCTCTGGCATACAAGACCAGCAGGACGGCTTCGTCATCAGCATATTTTATTTTAATAGTGAAGTAGTGTAAAACTCACATAATTATCCAGTCCATAGATATGCACATTCCCGCCCGCCCCGACAGTATCATAGTCCACCGACCAGGATTTATACTTCTGGCCGGGCATATTATGCGTGAGGGGCACTTCGATGCCCTTCGCCTGCATCTGCTCAAACAGCTCCTCCATATACGCAATCGGCACAGGATTCGGCACCTTCTCCTCAACATCCGCCCACTGCTCGGGGAACTCATTTTCGATCTGGAACAGAAGCACCGTGCCATTCCGCGACACCTGGTATGGCGCCGTGATCTCCGCCACGCGGTCCATGTACGGTTTCCACTTCGCCTCCCATGCGGTATCATTATCGCGCAGGGCGCCAAACTCCCCCGTCGTAAGCCACAGTGGCATACCACCGGCATTAAGCTCGGCGTTGATATAAGGGCCCGGCCGGGCATGCACGAACAGCCCCAGCTCCTTCGCAATCTCATAAAGTCTGCCGAGATCGTGAGCGCCAGACTCGAAATCCAGCGACTCGGGATTCGACGCCGGCATGTGGAACCCCCAGTGGTTATAGAAGGACATGGTGTTCATTCCCGAGGCCTTGGTCTTCTCCAGGATGTCGACCCAGAGCTCAGGGACGGGGATGCGGAATGGGTGGAATTCGCCGCCGAAGGAGAAGAGGCGCTCGCCGTTGTAGATGAGGCTGTAGTGGTCCCATTTCACGGTTTTGCCGAGGCCTGTGTCGCGGATGGGCCATTCTGTCTCTGTTGCGAGGGAAAGAGTGTTGAAGGAGAGGAGTAAAGGAGTTAGGGCTATGAACTGGAATCGTGCCATTGTGCTGCGTCCTTGCAACCCTACATACCCTTCTATCTGTCAACGACTTTGCCGCTTTATAGTGTTTAAATGGGGTCGAGAAAGACCAAAGACCCTGATCGACAGCAATTCAACCGATCACCAAGATCGGTTTAATTCAGCGGCCCAATCTTTCCTCCAATTCTTCAATGCCGAGCAGCCGACCCCAGATAATAATACCCCACGTATGCTGGTATGTCTATGCTGGTATGTCTATGCTGGTATGTCTATGCTGGTATGTCCCTAACTACAGATCATCGGGAAGCATGATGCCGAGTTGGAATAGAGCTGTGAAAGTCCACCAACCATATCACCGGCCAATCTTTACGGCCAAAGGCAAACATTGGTATTTTATTGTATAGGATACAGTTGACTCAGATATATGCTAACATATATATCTAAGCATGGGGGTGCTTGGCTTAGGGTACGTTGACACCAAGTGCTCAATGAACATCAAAATAGTACTTGAGCAGCTACTAGTTTCCTCTAGGATATATATTGGCGAGGCATAGCGAATAATCTAACTGTTTTTCCCACTATTTTGTGTAATCCGTGCTCTGGCAAGTGATCCTTAAAGTGGTATCAACTTCAAAGACCAGGTTATATCTATACTCTCTCGTATCAGCACTAAGATAACTATCATGCTACATTCCGTGCAGCAGTAACTGTAGGCAGCGAAGCCAGCGACTGTACCATAAAGAAGGAAAAAAAACAAAAACATACAACAGCTGGGATTCGCATGTGGTCACCCACCATACTACTAACCAGCCGGCGTGTGGCTTAAGTACGGCTGAGCGGACGGGAAGCCCTGTTTTCCACACCCTGTGGTCGTATGTACCAGGAAAACCAGAATACGGGTAGTTATAGGCGATAGACACATTCTTATTGTGGATTACTAACGCGGGGTTGCTCGTAAAGCAACCTGCACCTCTTTAACACCATCAACTCTCTATATCTACATCCACATATCGCATCATGCCCATGCCCGGCGGGTACTTCGAAACATTGCCAGACGCAAGGGTGGCAAAAGCAGAAGAGGTCGCCATCGACGCTATAAAAGAACAGTATGGCGGGGATGTGACTGTTGAGAAGGTTGAAAGACAGGTTGTTGCGGGGACAAATTATCGCATTCACCTAGTAAGCCACCATACTCATTGTGTAGCTCCTGCTAACCGGACAGAGAGCTGGTGATACCAAATATCTGGTTGTTGTTTTCGAGAGCCTGCCAATTAACGAGACCACGTTCACCGTATCCTCTGTTGAGAAGTTACCTGATAGTACAGCTAGATAGAATTGCACCGTTGAATCTAAAGTGTCTAAAATGCCCAAAACGAAACACACAACGCAACACCCACCAGCTCAACCAGAAACATCCATTTCCGCGGCCTCCACCCTTCATCAAACGGCAATCGCTCATCCCTAAACACAGCCTCATAGTATTCCATGGGCACACCCCCTCTTATCCCATTCCCAAAGACACACTGCATAGCCGCAACCTCCAAACACGCACTCGCATGCTGATGCACCCCAAACACCAGTTCTTGATTATCCCTTTTATGTTCAGCATACAGAACCTTGCGATACCGCCCTAGATCCCAGATCCGGAACGCCTTCTTCTCCCGCGGACACGCAAGAAGGCGTTTATACAACCCCTCGTCAAGATCCATATAATCCCCCAGCGCGCGGTCCCGGCGGGTAAGCGAGATATCATGCTCCATCGCATTCGCCCGTCCCACCTGGTCAAGGTTAAACACCGGCTCGCCGTGCTCATTAACCTGGTCCGGGTCGCGGAATCCCATCGCCGCCGTGCCAGGGGGCGGGTTCTTTGCGTCGTCGGTGTGTACTTTGAATGCGATATCGCAGAGCAGTTTCGCTGCGCTGCTGGCTAGACCGATTTCGTCGAGGGCGGACAGGAGAGAGGCTTTTGTGATGTTGCGGCCGGACCGCGCGATGAGGCCGTGGTTTGCTAGGGAGTTTAGCACGGGGCATGGTGCGCGTAGATCGGCGAGACCGCCGCGGTGGTATTCTCTAGACATTAATGGCTGAGATGGGTCTGTCATGGTGTTTAACTTCAGGTCAGAGAGCGTAACTTGGCTTTAGTTTGTAGCTTGCGGTCAGGGTGGTTTGACTTGGTATTGGCAGGTTTAGCAGGTTATGAAAGAACGTCCAGTACCCAGCTGAACAAAGAAAGATTGGAAATTGGAACATAAATATAGGACGAGCTGAACGGACAGAAATTAGATAAATATAGGGCAGCCGAGGCTGGACGCCTATCAGCTCGACCTTGTGGCTGATATGCCCAGCTGACTGCGAGTCCAGCAGGCCCCAATCAGCATGTTTATGGTAAGCCAGCATTCTACGAGTCATCAGCTGTCCAGCTGCGTATTAACTATGGGAGATGTGTAATAACTTCTTGAACTAAGCAACAGTAACGAAGAAGTTCCGCTCTCCCTCCCTCCTCTCAGCCCTGCCCTTCTCCAGCAACTCGTCCCCAACCGCCAGCCTCAGCTTTTCCACTGTCGCCGGACTGTCCAAAACCAGAGGCGCCTTCACCCCTCGTTCTCTTCTAGCAAATCCCAAGGCATCCCTCAGGGCAAACAGGACCGTACTACCCAAGAAAAGCGGCGGCTCCCCAATCCCCTTGCTCGACTGGATACTACGCAGCGTTTTCCACCCGACACCCTGGAGGAAACTCACATTAAACTCCTGCGGGATGTCGCAGAAGCCAGGGATCTTGTAGTTCCCTGGTCCTCTGGTCGCGAGCTGGCCGGATTGCGTCCATAGCGATTCCTCCATAGTAAAGAGCCCCTGGCCCTGGACGAAGGCTCCTTCGATCTGCCCGTAGTCGAGCGCTGGGTTTATCGATCGTCCGACGTCCATTTTGATATCTGTGCGCAGGACCGTGTGGTCGCCGGTCAACAGGTCCAGCTCGACTTCGGTGCATGCAGCGCCCTATAACATTAATACTTGAAGATGTAGTCCTCAACGTAGTGCCCACCTGTGTAAAGTAAAAGTACATCGGCTTGACAGTCTCTGGGTCATAATTCCCCCACTCGTATCCGATTGTTGGCATTTTCCAGAACCCAGCAGCAGAGAGGTTGACACGGTCGCGATATGCCGCCATGGCAATCTTTCCCAGTGATGCATCTGGAAACTTCTCGCGGTATGGCTGCAGACGCTCGTTGATCTGGTCGCAGGCATGCTTAACCGCCATACCATTAAGGTCACTGCCTGAAGATGCAGCCGTGGGCGAGACATTCGCCGTTTGATACGAGGACGTTCCCTCCGTATACACCTGGTCAACAGCGACCCCGAGTTCCTGCGCTGCAATCTGCACCATCTTCGTGTACAGCCCCTGTCCCATCTCCGTGCCCCCATGATGCAGCAAGACCGAGCCGTCTGTATAAACCCGCACAGCCGCACTGGCCTGATTCAGATGCAACGCCGTCGCAAACGAAATCCCAAACTTGGTCGGGATAAGACAGATCCCACGTTTTCGCCAGCGGTGCGCAGCGTTGAACTCCTCGACTGCTTTACGGCGCTCATCGTACTTCGCCTCCTGACGCACCTGCTCCAGGACTATAGGGACGTGCCAGTCCTCGTCGATCGTCTGCAGGAACGGCGTGCGCTGCCCGATGGTATATAGATTCCGCCGTCGGATCTCGTCAACGCTTATACCGACCTTCTCGGCAACAGCATTGATGATGCTCTCGGAGATATACATTGCCTGGGGAGCTCCAAAGCCGCGGAATGCAGTATTACTATGCGTGTTCGTCTTGCACACCCAGCCGCGCAGCCACACATTCGGGATAAAGTAGCAGTTGTCCATATGCGTGAGACACCTGTCCATGACCGCGCTGGACATGTCGACTGAATACCCGGCATTATTATACGCATCTGCATCGAGGGCGACCAGTTTTCCCTCCCGCGTACACCCTACCTTCCACCGACATTGTACCGGGTGTCTCTGGCCGGAGGTCATCATGTCTTCGTCCCGGTTGAGCATGATGCGCACTGGCCGGCGGGTCTTCTTCGCTGCGACGGCGACCATGCATGCTATAGGAACAGAGCGAGACTCTTTGCCGCCGAATGCGCCGCCCATGCGGCGTACTTTGGCGTTGATCTTGTGCCGGGGGACGTCGACGACCTGGCTGACGAAGTCCTGCGTTTCCATTCTAACGCAGTTAGCAGCGAACAATATTAGGGCGATGGACATACGTATTCTGCGTGCTCGACCACACATCCATACTCCCATCCTCAGCATTCGGCACCGCAACGGCCGCATTCGTCTCGAGATAGAAATGCTCCTGCCCACCGACCCTCGTCGTCCCAGACAGCACCACCTCACATTCCTTAAACACACTCTCCATCTCCTCCGGCTTCGCCCCCCTCCTCAACTCCTTCCCATGCTTAAAGAACGACTGCTTCTCAATCGCCTCATCAATCGTAATCACCACCGGCAAATCCTCATACACAACCCTAACCCTCTTCGCCGCAGCCAGCGCAACCTCCAACCTCTCCGCATAAACCATCCCAACAGGCTGTCCATGCGAGCTCACAACCCCCCTCGCAAAAACCGGCTCGTCATGCACAACAGACCCCCACAGGTTCTTCTCCCCAGGCAAGGAACCCTGATCCACATACCCCAGCGCTCCCACTTCAAATACCGGAGCCCAATCCACCTCTACTATCCTCGCATGCGCACGCTCAGACAGCACCAACGCCCCATGTAACTCCCGATGAAGCGGGGGCATATCGTCGACATACTCCGCCTCGCCAGTTGCATGTTTCAGCCCGCTAACGTGCGGGATCTGCTGTCCCACGACGCGCTGGGCGTGAAGGTTCACGTCATCCCTCGTCCCTGTTGAAAACCCGCGGTGTATTTCATCCACCAAGTCCGGATCAAACTCGAGACTTAGTTTCTGCGAGACGTAGTGCCAGAACCGCACGAAGAGGGAGAGGGTCAGTGTTCGTCTGAATGTCGCCATTCCACCTGGGACGTTATAAGGGAGGGCGAATTCGTGGCTTAGCGCCGTTAGGGCTGTTTCTAGGGTTGTAGCTGTCCAGGGGCTGTTTAGCAGTGCTGACGCTGCTTTTGGTGCCAGGACGGTGGTGGGCGCCATGCCGCCGAAGGCGAGTGATATTTCTTGTATTTTATGTTCTGGGCCGTTGGAGAGACGGACGGTGAATGCGGCGGTGACGATTGCGATGTCGTCGTCTTTGCGCTTTGCTTGTTTATATGCGTTTGTGAATTCCAGCGTATTCTTTGACGGCATTGGGATGGAGATGGATGTTATAAGGGAGGATTGTGGGAGGGCTGTTTTTCTGTATCCCTTGAACATTTGGCTCATTGGGATGGAGTCCTCCTTTTCCAATGACTTGGTATGTACTGTTGCGTTCAAGGCGAGCAGGACGGGGTTCATATCTGAGATTGGGGACGCGGTTGCGATATTCCCAGCCAGCGAGGCGGCGTTGCGGATCTGGCGGCCGGCGAAGTAGCGGAGGGTTTTGGCGATTGCTGAGAGTGTTGATGCGTAGCCTGGATTTGTACCTTTGAAGTCAGGGATGCGGCGTAGGCATTCATTCTCGAGGTCTGTAAGAGAGGCTGAGCCCCCGACGTGCAGGGTGTCGTCGCTCCAGGTGATGGATGTAAGCTCAGGGATGTCGCCGACAAAGATACTGATCGGGGGACTGAAGTTCTTGAATCGCACGTCCACTTGCACTTCGCTTGCGCCTGTGACTAGAATCGCATTAGGATATCGAGAAAGAATGTCCAGCGTCTCTTGCACCGTTGTAGGCTTCACCCAGGCCTGGCTTTCGTCTCCGTAAGATACCAGCTGAGGCTGGAACTTGGCCAGGCCAGGAGGATATATCAGCTCCGTAGTCGGGACATACGGGATGAAATCGAACTGTTTTGGAGAAGACGGTGGTGAAGGGACTGTTATATCTGAGCTGGAACATGACCCTCCAGGGGTATCACGACAGCAGCCGCCGGGACGACCACAAGAGCCAGATCCAGACCCAGACCCGGAAGCAGACGCAGAATCAGACCCAGTCATGTCCATCTCCGTCTCATCTAAAGCCGACGGCACAATAGCCGGCGTGACGCCTAGATCCTCACGAAGGAACGTCCTCGCCGCTTGGAAGATGGGTTTATACCCCGTGCACCGACACAGATTCCCATCTAGATGTCCTTTCCCCTCGATATCCTGCTCCGAGAGCTGGAACTGCCCCGTGGCAGGATCGAATGCATTACGGACAATCGCATACAGCGACATGACAATCCCAGGCGTGCAGAATCCACACTGCGACGCGTGCAGCTTTGCGATCCTGTCTTGTAGTGGATGCGGGTTGTCGACGCTGCCCAGCCCTTCCACTGTAATGACATGTTTTCCGGTGACTATTTTATCAGTATTTACAAAGTTAAAAGTATGTAGGAGGCGTACCTCCGATTAAAGGGTAAAGACAGGCATTCACAGCGACATGGCGAATACGGCGGGAGGCATCCCTCGTCTGCAGGACGACAGTGCAAGCACCGCACCCGCCCTCGCCACAGCCCAGCTTTGTGCCCTTGAGACCATCCTGCGAGCGGATGAAATCAAGCAAGGTCCAGCGGGGATGGGGGTTTGCAAGGTAAATGGGAGTCCCATTCAGATAGAACGATAGCGTCTGGGACGCGGAGGAGAGGAAGGTATCCATGATGGCATATTCTAGAACAGATAGACAGAACTCCAACTTCTTGCATTAGTATCACATTAAATAAATACCGCTGAAGGGGTCTGATCTCCTTACCTCACCCGCAGCTACTGACGAGTGACGGCAGTGTAACCCCCACCCTGATATGATCCCACTCCTGCTATGCACGTCCCAAGAGTGGTGGACGTACATTATAAGAGAATCCTACAACCAGCAAATCCACAAAAAACATATCCAATTACTTTATACCTTTTGACTCAATTGAATAATACACAATGGGCTCCATCTCCCCCCTCGAACCGCTCTTCCAGCCCCTTCGCCTGGGCGCCTTCGCGCTGCAGCACCGCGTCATCCAAGCCCCCTGCACGCGCATGCGCTCAACCAAAGAGTCCGACGGCGTCTGGGTACCCAATGACCTCAACGTGCAGTACTACGAGCAGCGCGCATCCAAGGGCGGGCTGATGCTGACCGAAGCGACCCCAATTAGCCACGAAGTACCTCCCCTACCCTACTCGCCCAAAACTTACTCCCAGCTAATAAGATAAACCAGGCAGCAGGATACCCCGGCGTCCCGGGGATATTCACGCCCTCACAAATCGCAGGCTGGAAGAAAGTCACCGACGCCGTACACGCAAAGGGCGCTGTGATCCTGTGCCAGCTGTGGCATGTTGGTCGTGCCACGACACCGGGGTGGTTAGGTGGACGTCAGACCGTCTCGTCTAGCAACATCCCTATATCTGGCAAGGCACTGGATGGGTCCGAGTATGCCGATGCCCCGCCGAGGCCGCTGACAGTCGACGAGATCAAGCAGACCGTGGCGGAATACGCCGCTGCGTCGAAGCGGGCGATCCAAGCTGGGTTTGACGGTGTTGAAATACACGGTACGTACCCCTTTAACCTATCTATCCTATCCCATATGGTATATATGCTAACAGTATAGGCGGAAACGGGTACTTGCTCGACCAATTCCTGCACGACAACGTCAACAACCGCACCGACGCATACGGCGGGAGTATCAAGAACCGCACCAAGATCGTGCTGGAGATCATCACCGCCGTAACGGGTGCAATCGGCGCAAACCGCGTGGGCATCAGACTCAGCCCGTACAATTACTTCCAAGATACACGGGACTCGAACCCGCAGAAACACTGGGGGTATCTGTGTGGTGCGATTGCGGGTTTGCCTGAGTCGGCTCGCCCGGCTTATGTACACATGATCGAGCCGCGCTTTGATGAAGTGCTTGACGAGGCTGCAAAGATCCAGGCGCTTGAGAAGACGCAGGAAGTTGTTGTGCCTTCGCTGGACTCGTTCCGTGCTGTGTTGAAGAAGGGTGGTGTTGGGTTCATCGCGGCGGGCAACTTCAAGGCGAATAATGCCGGGGAGAAGCTTACTGGCGATGGAGCTGATGCGGTGGCCTTTGGGAGACTGTTTATTTCCAATCCAGATCTGCCCAGGAGATTGCAGGAGGGCCTTGAGTTGAACCAGTATGACCGGGATACATTCTATGGGGCGAGTCCCCCGGAGAAGGGCTATACAGACTACGCATTTGCTTGATCAAGGTCCATAGAGAATACACAGTAGAAAGCAGTTGAAATCATACATTACAGTTTACATTAACCCAACCCAACCAACACCTTCATAGCGTCATGCACCATCGCCCACCGCACCGTCGCCAACTGCTGCGCCATAGCCCTAACCAACGGCCTCGTATCATACTCCCCAGCCAACGCCGCCAATTCACCCCCATTCGACGTCGTCATGGCCACAATCAATGACGACAGATCCGTCGGTCTCGGCCTCTGTATCCCATCATCCCGCATACCCGTATGAAACGCCCACACCGTCAACGTAGCAAGGTACAGACACCACGGGAAATGAAACGCATCCGTCTGCTCCCAATCATGCAAACTCAGCACGGCATCATGGAGAAGAAACGCCGCATGGCGAGACGCAGCTGTACACTCCGACCCAGGACCAGATAGCCAGCGCGCGAGCATACCACGCGAGCGATCACGGTCACTGGGCGTAACCACCCGCCCTAGAATCTGCGACGCCCCAGCAGCAATCTGTAGATCGAGGACCTCAACATGCAGCGCCAGCGACGCAGCGCGGTATAGAGCCATGGCTGCCGGTTTCAGCGCCGCGAAGCGCTTACATTCGTCTGCTGGTGCTTGCGAGCCTAGCTTCATATTGAGGCAGTCTGCGTCGAAGTCTGCTTTCCAGAGATCGTATGCCCGTCCGACTCTCGGTGTCCAGGCGCCCATGCGCTCGGGTGTTTCTGAGCGCAGTGTTGTTTGATCACGTCGTTTCAGGTCCGCGCTTATAGACATGAGGCCGTGGAGGACGACGAGACGCGAGAGACCGTTTAAATCACGCGGTCTAGGTACAGCTCCAGGCGTGATGTACCCCTTCAGTACAGGCAGGAAGCTATGCTCTGTATCCCGAGCTGCATGGCGGGACCATTCTTCAGCCGTGTGTGCTTCCCAAGCAGCCGCAGAGCAGGGGAGGGACGAGCGGATTTCAAACGCGGACATGCACAGCGACTGCGAGAAGAGGACGGAGTGCTCCGTATCCCACATGAAGCACTGGAATGCAAGACGTTTGCGCTGTTCCGCGTCCATAGCCGATTTCCATGCCTCCTCTCGTTCCGAGGTCGGTGTTTCGAGAGTCGGTATTGTGCTGATATTGCGGATTGAAGTACACGTTGACCGCCGGATAAGCTTGATCAGGACGCAGTGGAAGAGCTGGGCGTTTTCGCGCTGCTTCGGGCCTGCGCGCATCTTGCCGAAGCAGTCGATGAGCAGCATGGCCTGCAGCACCCAAAGGTCCGGCTGCGGGGAGAAGGCGCCGTGGCAGAAGAGCTGGTTGCGCAGGGCGTCGTGGATGCCGACGGCCAGCTGGTGGGCTTCGCGGCTGCTGTAGGTAGCGCCCATGGAGAGGATCGCGGCGAGGAAGACGGGCTCGATGGTGTTTGGGTCGAAGGTTGCGGTGTGGATGAGAGGGTATGTGGTGTTGAAGCGGGAGAAGAAGAAGTCGCTATAGCTCTGCAGGGCAGAGAGCGAGAGCAGCGGCGAGTCGAGGTTTAGAGGCTGTCCGTGGATATCGACCGGTGGACTCTGTGCAATTAATGTTAAAATCCCCCGGCGAGCGTCGTCGTTGAGCTGGGGCTGTAATGAGATGCTGTTGTCCAGTGTTGGTCCGCCCATCCAGTCCAAGTCGGTCAACTCGCGCCGCTGTTCTGGGCTGGACTTTTCTACAAAGGAGGCAGCTTGAAGAAGCACTGAAGAACCGTCTTGGTCGAAAGTGGTAGGGAGGTCGTTCAAATCGAGGTCGAGATTCAAGTCTGCCATGGGATCTGGCAGGTCGATTGGATCGGTGAACGGTACGAGATCAGGACCAAGAGGCAGCTCCAGGTGGTGGAAAGCATCGTCAAGCGAGGCCACATCGAACAACCAGTTGTAATTGCCGGTCGCCGCAAAAGGGAGATTAAAATCGGTTGCTGTTCGGTCAGATAAGCTATACAATTATGTCGCAAAACATACCAGTGTCGTTCATGAACATGTCCGTCTCAAAGCCAGTGCTCCACGAGCCATCAGCCGCGTCGAACTGCCCTGGAATCGGCTCGACATACGGCTCAAACGGACCAGGCATCATCGGCGCCAGCAATGGATCAGGGTCCGTGAGTTCAGTCTCGCCGATGGACATGGTCGACGTCGAGACAGGATCCCCCGATGAGCCAGGAGGAGACACCGGGGCACCCTCAGGATGGCTCGGCGAGCTCCTCACCGACAGAGACGAGGACATGGCCTTCTGGCGAGACTGCGACTGTCTCTTGGGCGGCCGCACGATAATCGAGCCATCCTCAGCCCGGCGCATCCTCTTCCTCGTCTCCAACACACCCTTGCCGGCTCCCCCGGCCTCGGCATCCTTCTTCGCGTGCCGGCTCATATGGCGACTCAGGAGGTCTGGACGAGAGAAATGAGTGAAGCATCGCTGGCAGGTGTATCCATTGTTCGCAGTCTCATGGTTCAGCGAGTGTCGCCGCAGGTGCTCGGCCCGGGTGAAGGCCTTGTCGCAGCCAGGATACTCGCACGCGTGTTTCTTCATGGCGAACTGCACTGCAGAGGAAAAGCCGCAGACCCCAGATTACATATATTCTATCAGTGGAGACGATAAGCGTGCGGGGTAAGCTATTATAGCGTCTTTAATGCTCGAATGACAGTGCTTTGAATGTGGCACTGATAAGCGGTGCTATGCAAGACTAGATATACGAGGCTATACAGGACTGCTGTATCACACAAAATATCGCCACTCAGGGCTCTTCTCTCCCTCTGCCAGCTGCGACGTCTCGACCTGCCCAGCACGCAGACTAACCCCCTGCTCTCGATCTCGTCGCCGATTCTCAATCCGCATCCAGGTCCCCATGAACGCTGTAGCTACAATGCAGACCCCGTTGCACGCACACGTCGCTACCAGCGTCGGAATGTACTTGGGCGCATACTCCGTGCGGAACGTGGCAGCACTCAGTATACCAGCTAGATTACCAAGGCCCACGAAGAATCCCGTATTGGCAGCGCGGGAGTTCTCGTTGGTGTTGTTGTTGTTGTGCCATGCATGCACCAGACAGCTGGGGATATACGCACCGGCTGCCAGGAGGAAACACGCAAAGTACGAGACTCCTTTATTCTCAACCACGTCTATACTTGCCAGTACGAGCATGCCAGCTAGAGAGACCACCAGTGAGAAGATTATATGCAGGGACCGCTCGCGGAACATATCCGACGATTTGGCAACGACGAGCAATATCACCGCGCCGACAAGATTCGGGGCAACCGTCCACAGATTTGTCTTGACAGTGTCATAGCCCAGCCGACTCACAATCTATCTGGTCAGATTTGTCTCATATTGAATGGGAGACATACCAAAGGAAAGAAATTCATAGCAGTCGCATACGCCACGGGATACGTAAACGTGATAACGGCCCAGATCGGGAATTTCCAATCATTCCACGTCTGAAACGCAGCTTTCAACTCCAGCTTCGTCTCAACCTCAGACGAAGTATCACGCAGCAGACGCGCCGACGCAGCAGCACGCTCGCGCTCGTTCAGAAACCACGCTGTCTGTCCATTGTCAGGGAGCCACCAGAACCCGATGATGCCGATGATGAGCGTCATTCCGCCTTCTACGATGAATAGCCACTGCCAGCCGTGCACGGTTGGGTGGTTTATTTGGAAGAGCCCGAATGAGATCAGCCCGCTGAAGGCTGAGGCAAGGACGGCCATGGATTGCAGGATTGCGAGGCGGAAGCCCATCTCGCCGCGGGTGTAGAAGAGGGTGAAGTAGAATGTTGCTCCGGCGAAGAAGCCGGCTTCAAAGATTCTATGTTGTCAACGACTTGCTATAAGCAGGGGGGAAAGGAGCATACCCTAGGATAATGCGAACGGCGAGTAGACTGCCAAAGTTGTGTGCTGCACACTGGCACAGGGCGCAGATTCCCCAAACAACGGTCACTACAGAGTTAGCTATATTTCTAAATATAAGTGATACATACTCAGCGACAGCATGATCCGTGCCGAGTACCGCTTGATCAACAGGTTCCATGGCAGGTCAAACAAGCCGAACGGGATGTAGAAGATCAGAATCAGCAGCGAGTACTCATTTCCCTTGAGGTTGATATCTTTATCAAGCCCATCTGTTTTTGCATTCGCGAGGTTGCTCTACTAAATTAGTTTTCAATGCCATACAAATCTGGACTGCATACCCGGTCCATGCAATCGAAGAAGTACATCTGCCTTGGTTAGCCCTATCACCAAGTGGACACTGAGACATACCAAGCACAGCAATGGTAGCACAAAGCAATCCACCTTGCGGACTACACAGTTAGCACGACATCTCAGCCATCTGGAGAACATACCGAAGCCCTTCTCCGCCTCAGTGTCCACATAGACTCTCGACTCGCCGGTCTTGGTGTCCGGCGGATTATCCGATGCTTTCTCAACGTCAGCCATGGCGAAAACAGCGCAGGACAGAAGGCCGAGTGACCAAAATAATTCACGGCAGAACAGTGGAGAGACGAGAAATGTGGGGGTTTATAATTTGTTTTGAGGCCTCCTTGCAGACGCTGTGTCGCTGCTGTGCAACCCCAACATTCAGCATCCTTACCTGGTCCTCGATGGCCTCGAGATAACGCAGTGGAGTTGAGTTGGAGTCGCTCCTATCAGCGATATCACCCCATCTTTGGCCCATTCTCGAGCTCCCACTCTTGGCTGTCGGCTTTGGAGATGCTTTGACAGCCGGACATCTAAGCGGCTGGGATCGAGAGGGGAAGACGTTAAACAGCTTCACGTAGATATATGCTGGTTTAAACATAACTCATAAGACTGGCCATAATCAATCACTCAATCCGAATAGTTCCATTCAAGACCGTATTCATACAATCAATAAAAATGCCATCTGCACCGCCGATCCTCGACTTCTCGCCCTTCTACGGCGCCGACTCTGCAGCAAAGGAAAAGCTCGTGCAGCAGGTCAGAGAATCATGCGAGTACAATGGCTTTTTCCAAATCACAGGCCACCGCATCCCGCGCGAGCTGCAGCAGCGCGTCATGGCCTGCGCAAAGCGTTTCTTCGAGCTGCCCCTGGAGGAGAAGCTCAAAGTGGACAAAAGTACACAACACCAACCCACATAACTATCCAACCCAGCTAAAACCAATTTGATAGATAACAACACCTTCAACCGCGGCTACGAACTGCTCCGGTCGCAAATGCTCGAAATCGGCACCGCGCCCGAACTCAAGGAAGGCCTGTACATCGGCGACGACATCAGCACCGACCACCCCTACTACATCAACCAGCGTCTCAACAGCGGTCCCAACCAGTGGCCGCCAACCGTGTCCGACGCCGAGGAGTTCCGCAAAACAAGCATGGAGTACTACTACGCTGTCTACGAGCTGGCCAAGGACGTCCTGGGCGTTCTGGCGCGCACTCTCGATGTCGACCAGAGCTTCTTCGATCCGCTGACGGCCGGTGGTGTCGCGACGATGCGCATGCTGCATTACCCATCCCAGCCGAAAGACGAGGATGAGAAGCTGAACCGGGGTATCGGGGCGCATACAGACTTTGGATGTGTGACGCTCCTGCTGCAGGATGAGGTCGATGGGTTGCAGGTTCTGGATGTTCCCACTGGACAGTGGCTAGATGTACATCTCCTCCTTCTATGTGTATTTATGTTCCTGCTAACAAGTAAAGGTACAACCCGTCCCAGGCGCGTACGTCGTCAACCTCGGCGACCTGATGATGCGCATGGCCAACGACAGATACAAATCCAACATCCACCGGGTCATCAACAAGTCCGGGCGCGAGCGGTACTCGATCCCCTTCTTCTTCAGCGGGAATCCGGACCATATTTGCGAGTGTCTGCCGAACTGCTGCAAAGCTGGGGACCAGCCGAAGTATGCGCCTATCACGGTGGAAGATATGGTCAAGGGCGCGTATAAGCAGAGTTATGGACGGGCGGAGGCGTATAAGAAGGAACTGGCTGAGAAGGAAAAGGGGAAGGGCTTGGAGAGTGCGCAGGGAACGGCGATTGCTGCTTAAATTATAGTTCTCTAGTTGATACTGGAGGGTTAAAATATCAGTATTCTAGTGTGACAGTATCTTTGCCTCAGATTGAATGCCCGGCATGTATTTGTTTAGATTCATAACCATCATCAGTCCATACCTATTCAGGGGTTGTCCGTATACGACGAGAGCTCTTTCAACTGTTCAATAGGCAGCATCTATCACGTTAAGATTCATCATGTTAAAGGACGTCATCCAACCCCCATGCTACAGTCCGTGCACTGTCCATCCCCTATCAAAGTGGAGGGAATCCTGATTGACAACCCCACCCTTGCGCTCTGCCGTCCTGCACTACGCCAGCTGTCCCTTCGTCAGAAGAGCCCTAAGTCTCCTAAGCTTTATATCACCCGTCTCTGCGACACCAGATCAGTAGCATCAGTAGCAGAAGCAATATAGCAAAGCTACAATGGACATCGAACTCGGCAAGCGTGACAAGCCCGCAGAGGCGACTGACGAACCGCAGCATGATATAGGCAAGATGGAGCTCGTCGACGACGCCGAGATGGAGCAGTTCTACGGCTCGGCCACCTCGGACGCGTACCGGCTCAAGTCGGAACTGGTCTCGCAGTGCATGACGGAGATTGGGATGGGACGGTACCTCCTTCCTCTCTACGTGTTAAGTGTCAGTCTAATAGAAGCAGGTTCCAGTGGAAGCTATTCCTCGTGACGGGTTTTGGCTATGTTGTTGATAACCTGGCCAGGTGAGTTCAACCCTCAACCTTTATATGCAATGCTAACTTATTCAAGTCAAGGAATAGCGTCTGTTCAACCACCCATCCAGCTCGAGTTTTCCGGTATCAGGCAGGTCAGCTACAGCTCCGTGGCATATTATGTCGGTCTGATCCTCGGTGCCTCGTTCTGGGGCATCTCGTGCGACTTGATCGGCCGCAAGCCCGCCTTCAACATCACCCTGATCGTGGCCGGGGTCTTCCTCTGTGGAGCAGCTGGGACCATGAACTTCGTTGCGTTCTGTTCCATGTGGGCGGTTATAGGGACGGCAGCTGGGGGGAATGTACCAGCCAGCTCCCTGATTTGGTAAACCCAACCCCTGAATTCGAAATGCTGTACTGACAGTGCAGCCTTGAATTCCTCCCCCCGAGCCACCAGTTCCTCCTCACAGCCCTAAGCGCCTGGTGGATGTTCGGCCAGCTGGTCGTGTCCTTACTGGCCTGGGTCTTCCTGGCAAACTTCTCCTGCCCTACAGATGCCACGCCCGACACCTGCTCGCGGGCCGAGAACATGGGCTGGTAAGCTACCTAGCTCTCAGTATAGCGTCAAATCTCTAATCCAGCCGCAGGAGATACACCCTCATAACCCTCGGCGGACTCGCACTCGCATTCACACTCATCCGCATCTTCGTCTTCAAAATGCCCGAGACCCCACGCTACCTGCTCTCGCAAGGCAAAGACCAAGCCGTCGTCGACGCAGTCAACTATGTCGCGCGCCAGAACGGTAAACCCGAGCCCTTGACTCTAGGCATGCTCCAGGCCATCGACAGCAGACTCGGCATGACCCCTGCCTCAGGAGAAACCGGTGGCGGTGGGCTATCAACAATGGAAATCATCCAAGAAAATATAAAAGAGTTCCGGGGCTCACACTACGCCGCGCTCTTCGCAACACGCAAACTCTCCTTCCACACAGCCCTGATCTGGGTAATCTGGCTGGTGATCGGTGTTGCGTATCCGCTGTACTTCAATTTCCTTCCTTCGTACCTTGCGACCCGGTTCACCGAGTCTTCGTCGCTGGATCTCACGTATAGGAACTACTGTATACAATCTGCGGTTGGGGTCGTGGGTCCGCTTTCTGCTGCTTTCCTCGTTAATACATTCCTGGGCCGGCGATGGATGATGGGCATTTCGTCTATTATAACCGGTGTCTTCCTCTTTGCGTATGTGGGCGTCACTACACAGGTTGCCAGTTTGGCTTTTACTTGTGTAACTGGACTACTAGGGAATTTTGGTACGTCCCTTCACCCACCCAACCCAAACCCCTGTTGTCTACTAACGTGTTTAGAATACGCGGTCATGTTCGCATTCACGCCAGAGTCCTTCCCAGCCCCACACCGTGGAACAGGGACAGGAACAGCGGCGTCACTTCTGCGTCTTGGTGGGCTTGTGGCCAGTATAGTCTCGTCGCAGACGGGGTTCACGACCGCGCCGCTTTATGCGAGTGCGGCGCTGTGGGTTGCTGTTGGGTTGATTTGCTTTGGGTTGCCGTTTGAGACGCATGGCCGGTCTGCTATTTAAATTAAGAACTGAGAATACTTGGATGGTATTATCAGAGAGGGAATGGGCTTGGTATATAGGCTGGTTGGTTGACGGATGGTTTGCATAGGAGATTTGTATCGTAGTCTAATACAATACGATTCTATATATCCTTCGCACCCTTTATATCTAATGATAAAACCTCCTCTTCCGATCCAAATCCACCTTGGCCAAATCCACCCACCAAGCCCCCCTATACCAGACCCTCGCCCCAAAATAAACCCCCACAACCAGGACCACACTAACATAATTCGCAAAGAAATGCCTCGCACTCGAGCGCTCATTCAGCGGCCAAACCGCCAGATAAAACTCCACGATTATCAACACAACACACCAGATCAACGCCCACCAAGACGCATACGGATACGCGCGCGAGCGCCAGGGGAGATCCGAGTCGAGTCGGCCCTGCATCTTCCATGCATATCTCATGCGCAGGTGCGAGGCGCTGAGGGCGGCCCATCTGAAGAGGTCGAATAGCGTGGTTAGGTGCGATAGCCAGGTGAACACGTCCGAGCCGCTGTTTGAGACGTTCAGGTATGCCAGGCTTCCGCCTAGGAGGGTTATGGCTAGGCCTGCTAGTGGGCGGCCTCGGGAGTCGGCGTGGCTGAAGATCTGTTCTGGTCAGTGAATCAAGTAGAAATAGAGATATAAAGAATACCTTTGGCGCGATACGCAGCTGGGACAGGCCAACTAAGACGCGCGAGCCGTTGAAGCTTGATATACTCCCCGACGAGAGAACAGAGAGGAAGATGACTGCGTTCGTCATATGTGCTAGAACCGGTATCCCTGCGGTCTGGTAGGCAACTACAAACGGGGAGTTATTATCGCCGTCGGCACCAAACAGGTTCGGGTCCTGCGGAGAGACAGTTATGGATAATGCGAGTGCGCCCAGTATATAAAACAGCCCTAGGCGTATCCAGATTGACCGCACGGCTGTAGGCACGGACTTGCGAGGGTTCCGGGTCTCTGATGCGACAAGGGCAGCGGTTTCAGACCCGGACATGGCGAAGATACAGGTTGGCAGTACACTGAGAAACCCTTTGAAGCCATTAATAAAGGGGGTCGAGTTCCAGTATTCGAAGCCCGTGGTATTGTGGTTTGGGGCACCGCCGGCCGATACAACTGCGTCTGTTAGGGCTGCATGGTTGATACGAATAGAGTCAGACCTATTAACGAGATCACAACGATAAACATCCACCCAAATTTGACGGTCGAGCTGACAACCTCGATCTCGCCGAAGAACTTGACCGTCCATGCATTGACCAGGACTATAACGACCCAGAAGATGGTAATCCACGCCGCAGCCGGCAGTCTATCCGTCCAGAAATGCAGCACCGTCGCAGCACCCTTCGCTCTCAGCAAGTAATCAACCAAACCAATAGGTGAATCGGCCTACCTGCAATTCATTCGCAATACTAATAAACGACCCAAACCACGACACCCAGCCCACCGCAAACCCCACAGACGGACACACAAACATACTCGCCCACTGCACGAACGCGCTCGGAATCGGATACAGCACCGCCATCTCGCCAATCGCCTGGCTCACCGACCACACTATCGACCCAGCCAGGAAATAGCCGATGAACATCGCCGCCGGGCCGCCGTTGCGCAGCGATGTACCGCTCCCAAGCCACATGCCTAGCCCGATGGACGAGCCGAGCGCGATCATGGTGATGTGGCGCGTGGATAGCATGCGCCGGAGATTGCTGTCGGCTCCATAGTCGTGGGTATTCTGGTCTGGACTAGGCGGTAATTTCTCGGGGGGGCTCTCATTGTTGGACGGAGATGCTGCTGATAAGACCATGGTGATGAGTCTGAAGGGTGTGAATGCATCGCTGTCCACGTTCAGGCGGGGACGACATTATATCACTCCGCTGTTGAGACCACGAGCAAAAGCAAATTGTGTAACATTGAGCCCAATCAGTCAATATCTCCGGTCTAATCGACGCTATCATCGGTGCACGAGTAGCAGGTGCGAGGGGTTTGCTGCGGTCACCGGACAGATAACCCTTGCATGGTCTGTACAAATCATCCATTGCGTGACATGCTCAAGGTCTTATGCTGATATCGACTTTGGCCTCTATGCAGTTGTCATTCTGAAGCCAGCGCAGCTGTTGCGGATTTGGACTATGAGGACGTAATACTTAGATATAATATACAGTCAGTGGTATATAACTACAAGATTCGGAACCATCGTTCCCGCCGCGGATTCCTTACTCTTACTCGAGTGTCTAGGATATAAAGGAAAGGAATGCAGGTTCCACTCATCTACAAGCAAGGTTCGTCAGGAGGACGCACGGGGTGCCTACACAATTCTACTAGCTACAGAGAAAGATATGTCTCGCCATCACCCATCCAACTTTTTCAATTAACATCTTAAATCCATTAACGCTGTTCCGTAAACGAAGGAAAAAGAGCCCCAACAATCCAACCCCACAACAAAATAAAAATCTAAATCTCCTCAGGCGTCCGAAGACCAGCTGGAAACCCAAACCCAAGTTCGCCATCACTAAACAGATCCTCCGTCTGGTCATCATCCACATCAATAGGTTCACGAGACGTTCCTCTCCTGTGCTGGGCCTCGTCCTCGCCATCTTGCGTGTCAGTGTCGCTGTCCTCCACCTTAATGGAAACATCATCCTGGTCGAGCGTACGGCTCGAAATAGAAGAAGAGTGACGGAGTCTCGACGAGGCAGGAGTCAGCGGTCGTCGACGAGAACCAGGGCGCACAGGCCCTATGGGCAGAGTACTAACCCAGACAGGGCCGTGCCAGGCATCGCCGGTCCAGGCGAGACCAGGAGCCGCGGGGTTGATCTTAGGGCTAGCCGGGGGAGTTCCCTGCACCCCAGCGGTAGAGTCCTGAACGGACCCATCTGGACGTGGTGGGGGAGTCGCCATGATACTCTGATACTGTGGCTGGGTTTGAGTCTGCGCGGGGGCAATGGTAGCGGCAGGGACAGGCTGTGAGGTCGGGAGCTGGCACTGCGCTTCCAGGTCGTCCAATAGAGCGCCGCTCATCAGTGCGTCGAAATTGCCACCTAGACCAGTGTTAAAGTCATTGAACAAGTCAAGGGTATCTAGACCCACGCCATTGTTCATCTGAGGGCCGGCTGGAGGAGCTCCAGACCAGGTCGCTGGTGCAGGTGCTGGTGCAGGCTCCGGCGCAGGGGCCGGTTGGACGGCGCAACAGTGGCAATGCCTGGCAGATTGATCAGCGCAATGCCTGGCAGACTGGGGAGTGCAGTGCTCGGCAGATTGATCGGTGCAATTCCCGACATATTGTTCAGTGCAATGCCTGGCCGACTGATGATTGTTCTTCCTTGGACATTCATGAGTATCAGCATCAGGAGGAGTGCCTCCCCTGGCATCAGCGGCGTGGGCTGGGCCGGTGCGTAGAATCGTTTTGCGCCTCCGCCCCGGGGTTATGGCTTCTGCCATCTGTACAAGCGATTGCGCCATCTGCATCATAGGTCGCTGCATACAGAAACTAGCGCAGGAGTCCCAGTCAACACCACAGCTAGTGCATTTGTCCGGTGTTCTGCGGCGGGAGTATGAGCGGGAGTATGGGCGACTTGATCGACTGCGGGATTGTCTCTCCCTGCTGAGGCTTCTACGTCGGGGAGAGGGCCTATAGCTAGACCTGCGATTGTCGGGATAGTGCTTTGGAGGTGGTTGTCGGCCCCTGCGGTACCGACGGCGGTAGTTGCGGGACATTGTCAGTAGCAATGGCAGTGATGAAGGTATAAAAGTGTAGAATGAATCGCAACAACAAGAAAATATGGGCGATATCAAGAGGACTTATATACTCGAGAAGATATCCCAACATTTACGACATTGTGCACAAGACCATCGACAGTGAATACCCAATTACTATTAATCCGCCACATTTTTAACAGTGAATCTGACTAGTTACACATCTCACTTCACTCAGCCAATCTCACCAGCTATTCACGAGCCCTGTCACCATGCCGCTCACTACGATGGCGCTTCGAGACTATCGGGGGCGAGCCTTCATCAAAGGCCTCCGGTCGAGACCTTCTCATAGCCCAAATCGGTCCCATAGTCCCACCAGCAGCCCTTCTTTGACGATCAGTGAATTCTGGACGCACATTCTCAGTCGTCGGGTGCTTACGACTTTCGCTCCCTTCTTCATCACTCCCGACACTCGCGCCTTTAGCTGCAGCTGGAGCTGGAGCTTGAGGGGCTTCAGCAGGATCTTCAGCAGAAACGTTAGCAGCAGCTTTAGGATAATTTTTCATAGCAGCTTCAAAAAGTTTAACGGCATCATGAAGATTTTCAAATCTCTCTGCCTCGTGTACGGGTCCAGCCGAGCGGTTCTCGTTCTCCTTGTCGCTGTAGTCGGGGCTGCCAGGTCTGTCCCAGACGCTTCGATCACGAGAGCTGGTGGCTACTGTTGGCGGGCGGCTGCTCTGCTTAGTCCCTATCTTAATAGGAGGCAGCAGGCGCTGGGACGGTGCAGTCGGGGCTTTCTTGGTTTTATCGGTGGGCTGGGGAGGTTCACTCTGTGGCGCATGAGATGCTTGTAGAGGAAGCGAAGGAGCGTTGGCTTCTGAAACGACAATCTTAGGAGGTGGCGTCAAAGAGCGACGTCGACTTGGAGCTGTTATATCCTTTCTCTAGAAACACTGTCAGAGTGAAAAAAAAGAACAAGATCTATACGAATGAACTTACCCTTTTCCCAGTAGCAAACAGCCTGGTCATCCGGCGCGCCTCTCGCTCCCAAAACACGGCGTCACTCCTGGCATATCCCATCTCGAACAGACGAGTGTCGATAATGGCCACAAAGTGCGCGAGGTCCGATCGGGCTTTCAGCAGACGTCTCTCGCTCTTCCAGATCTCCCGTGATATTGGAAACTTCAGTTCGACGCCATCAAAATGACAACGGGGGCCATGCTGCGACGTTCCAATGCGAGCAAATGAGCTATCCAGCTTGAACTCATTGAAGAACCCCGCTACATCTACATTCTCCTTGTCGCTGCTATTCCTGTCATTGCTGCCCTTGTCGTCGTTCCCCTTGTCAGTATCCTCACTTGTTGGACGAACCTCACTTGATGCGTCCACAAACACGTCCCTCTTCGGTGGCTCCGGCAGATCAGGCTGGCTGGGATCTCCATCAATCCAGGCCTCTTCGCGAATCGCATGGCGGAGATTGAACCCATCTCCTGTAAACTGGCTATACACTTATCAGCAAACACGCAGCACGATCAATAAAAGAAAGAAAAAACATACCGAACAGAAACCGAATCCAACGGCAACGTCTCCCCCCTCAACGAACAAGCCTTCTCCTTCCCATCCCAGATACAATTCGCACACGCACCACTCTGGAACGCATACCCGCTGATAACAGGCGCCGCAACACAAGATCCAAATACCCTGCTTCCCTGCTCACACCGCGAACACGCCGGCTGCGCAATATCCCCGCGGCGCTGCAGGACAGAAGCAGTGCGTTGTTTCCCAGCACCTGCGCGCTGCGGACCGGTCTTCTCGTTCCAGTCGATGGAGCGGTTGATTTCGAGATACCGTGCGATGTCTTTTGCTGCGACGCTGAGCTTGCCGCTTTCTTCTGGTGGGTGTTAGATATTCCATGCTGGCAGGTTTGGTAGATAGGTAGGGTGGGTACTTACGTCGCGCTGCCTGGTCTTCCCCTGCGTCGCCGAGTGCGTTTGGGTTGTCGTATGACAGGGTGCGTTCTCGTAAAGGTTCTCGTTTGGGCTCTTTGGCCTGGTTACGGGTTGATCGTGTTCCAACCATGTTGTCTGAATCTATCGGTACAATCGTGTAGATGGGAAACAGTAGAAATATCACAGCTCGAGAGATGTAAACAAGAGCAGTGAAGAGACAAAATATATAGCAACGACGCTATTGTGATTTCTGGCTCCGTGAATAGTGAATATTGCATGTCAAGCTACCGACGGTGTCGGTACACTACTGGCTGGTAGGGAGATGATGAAGTTTCTGGTCTTCACTGAGATATTACTTATCTTCAGAGGAACCGCTAACGATTAGCGAGCTCTTCCTGTCCTACGTTGATGAAAGACGTGCAAACAGATGATATCTGCACTCAGAGCATTAACATAGATATGCCGACAAAGAATCTGCCATTCGGTACTGGCACAAAGCATTCTGCCACGTTGGTGAGCCAACCGGCTTCACAAATATTGTTCATGAGCAGACAAAGGTTCCGACAACTCTTTTTTTTGGATAACTTGGTACTTGTAAACTTGGTAAATATACCTAATTCTTCTAATATGCAGTATAACCTACAAAGCTCCCTGGCTCATGCGGCATCGCCACGGTATATAGGAGTAAACGCATGACGACACTGGAGGATAGATGGCTGGAGAACTTCAACGCCGGCCCAGCCCGTTGAACTTTGTAAGATAATTTACCGTGACTATATCGGATAGCAATTTTCTCCGTTAAGATATTATGTGATAGGATGAACTTCCGTAGATTTAGCGCTATTTAGTGGTGGGCGGCAGATCAACCGGACATAGTGGATAGAAGATCATCATCATCATCATCCACTTTCAGAGATATAACGATACTAATAATATGTCAGTTATCGTTCCTTTAGTTGTCCTCAAACATTCTGGCGAGTTTCAGCATATTTGGAGAACGGCTGCACGGACTGCCCGCAAAATGGGGCTGGTTCGGTTCAACGCCCCAACAGCTCAACCGCGCTTCCTCATCCTTCCAGTTCCTTCATCTCCAACCCTTTGAATCATCAATTCTTGCAAACGAGCCTGCAAAATGGAACCCATCGGAACAAATATCCATCTCCGCATTCCACCCACACCGCCAACATCGCTGATAATCCTGTGCACTTGGCTTGGAGGCGCATCGCCCCGACGCATCGCCAAATACACCGATGGCTATGCCAGCCATTTCCCCAGCGCCGCAATCCTGCTAATCACCACCACTCTATCGGACATCACGCTTCGCTCATTCAGCGCAATCCGGAGCCGTCTTGCTCCCGCGCGAGAGAAAATCGCCCATTTCATCCACCCCAGCTCTGGCTCACCTATTCCAATCCTGCTGCATATCTTCTCCCACGGTGGGAGTAATACAGCGACTCAGCTTGTGCAGTCAATTAAAGCGGACGATCCAGCCGCACATACAGCCTTCATCTCAGCGCTGAAATTGGTTATATTCGACTGCTGTCCTGGGGACAGTTCGCTTCTGCGAAGTTACAACGCTGCCGCTGTTTCTCTGCCTTCGCCGACTGAACAGCCCATCGCGCATTTCGTAGGGAAATCCGTGCTCTACCCGGCCATTGGGACGATTTCGGCCTTGCAGGCAGTGGGTGCGATGCGTAGTGTCGAGGATTTAAGAACCGAGTTGAATGATCCGGGTTTATTTGGTAAATCTGCGCGACGGTTCTATCTGTACTCGCGTGAGGATGAGATGGTGCGATGGCAGGATGTGGAGCGGCATCTGCGTGAAGGGCGGGAGAAGGGATTTGTGGCTGATGGAGTTCGGTTTGAGACGGGGCCGCACTGTGCACTTGCCATGGTTGATGAGGAGCGGTATTGGACTTCGGTTCAACGGGCGTGGGAGGGGACAATCCCGAGTCGGTTGTAATATAACCTCTGGACTGTTTTGTATAGACAATAAATTCTGCCTCAGGCAAACATTCTTTGCCATATCAGGTTAGACTTCAGGGGCACTGAAATCGCTGACTCGAGCGACGTCTCACTCATTCTTCACCAACACCGTAAGCAAAATGCGGTGACTGTCGCCGCAGGATGTCCACATTGGCACGGACAGCTCGAATTTCCAGAATAAAGTCCAGGACCGGCTGTAAAACGTGCAAGTAAGTAGGCTCCTCCCCGCAATCTGCACTGCTAATCGAGACAGGATCCGCCGCGTCAAATGTGGAGAGGAAAAGCCACACTGTGCGCGCTGCACCAGTACCGGCCGGAAATGCGACTACGCTGAGTCTGCTAGGCCCGCCGTCGCCCGCGTGCTGCCTGTTTTTTCAGCAGTATCTCGCGAGCGGCGCGCGTACGAGTACTACTTTTTCCACGCCGCGCCGTCTCTCTCGGACGCTCTGGACCTGGAGTTCTGGCGCGGCACGGTTCTCCAGATCTGTGGCTCTGAGCCGGCGGTTTGGGATGCGGTCGTTGCGCTGAGTGCGTTCTACGAGCATCCTACGTCGTCGGAGGGCGAGTCTACGTATCAGATTGAGCGGACCGACTGTCTTGCGCGTCCGAAATCGCGCAGCCATCGCGAGGCTCTTGTGTGGTACTCGCGGTCTCTGGGGAGAATACAGGACCAGATTAAGCGCGGGGTCGCGGATTACGCTGTTGCCCTCGTGAGCTGTGTGCTTTTCATATGCATTGAGGTTCTGCAAGGCAATGTCAAGTCTGCATTGATGCTGTATCATCAAGCTACGCAGCTCATGGCATCGGCAACGGAGTCAATGTCAAAAAGACTGGAAACGACCATCGCAGCTATTCTTCTCCGGGTCGGAACCATATCCGTCATTGTGGATGGGAACTCTCCACTGCCCAAGCAATCACTCCCCAGTTCTCACACCTTCACCAGGCTATCTGATGCGCGATCTGCCCTCTATGCACTCGTCGCGGACTGGAAAAAGTTCGATCTCGATTGCTTGGCAATTCGCACCGCACAGAGACCAATTTCAGACGCTGATTATTTGCAACCCCGCCAGCGAGCCCTCGAACGAGATCTTCTCTCCTGGGACCGGCAGTTCCAGGCACTACCCGAAGTCATCCAATACAACCGAAAAACAAATCCTTCCTCCGAGCACCGTGGAATCATAGCAGCCTTATCAATGACATACCTCAGTATCCTCACCCTCACACGAACAGGCCTATCTACATCGGAATCCTGCTATGACGCCTACGAAGCCGACTTTGCCAAAATCATCTCCCACACGCCAGCCGCACTATCTGCTACAGCGGCCAGCGGAAACCAACCACCATTCACCTTCGACATGGGGACGGGGATGTCCCTGCTGATCACCATAATGAAATGCCGCTCGCCCACGATCCGGCGACAAGCGCTCACGCTTCTACGCCAGTCTCCAGAGCGACAGGGGATGTACTTTTCGAAATCAGCGTCCAGTTTCCTCGCCGCGGTTGTGGCAGTCGAAGAAACCGGCGGGACGTGCTCGGAGGAGCAACTGTCGGTGCATAACCTACTCAATACGCCAGGCCGGGTTCCCCTAGATAACGAGCGGGTGTTTGCGCTAGATCTTATTCCGTGGGAGACTCCGGACGGCGGGATGGGCACTGCGCTGCAGTATGCTCGAAGGGAAACCGTGGGTGGGGAAATGCGTGTTGTCAACGACATGGTTGTACGGCGGGTGAACCTGTGTCGGTTCTTCAAGCAGGGCGATGAATAACACCGAAATCTCTAGTTTATGTTTATCCGTGGTCTATATACTATATCTACCTCTTTGTCCTGTTATATAGCTCCTTAACCCGCCGTGCCAACTCCTCCGACTCGGCCTTCACCCACGGCATCGCGTGGTGGTAGTTAATCTCGTAGAGCTCCGCCGTATCCCGATCGTAGAACGTCGCCAGCTGGTCCCGGCTAAACTTCAGGTACTCATCCTTATATCCGTGCACATGCAACGTTGGTATCCGGATCACCGTATCAGGGTTATCCAATTCTGCCAGTCAATTAGCACCGTCCCAAATTCAAAACAGCATAATGATGAAAAGAACGGGGAGGACATACTAAATCCAACCTCACTCTCCATCGGCACCCCACCACCATTACACATCACACCAAAATTCACCCTTATCCCCTCCCCCACAGCCCTCCTCGCCAACGCCCCATTCTCTCCCTTCAACCTCTCCCTCCGCTGCTGATCCAGCAAAACCCCACCGGCAACCCTCGTCCCCTGCGAAAACCCCATCACACCAACCCAACACTCGTCCCCAAACCCCTTCTCGCGACCCCTCTCCTCCATAAGCGCCAGCACCCGCTCAATCCCATCCCGGCCGGTACTATCATATCCACTCCCATCATTCTTATCGGGGTTCGTCGCATTCGGGGCGCCTGGGACACTCAGCGGCTCGAACCACGATTTGAAGGGCCCGCAGTCTTCGAAGGCAGGCAGGACGCCGGGCCCTGCGGAGCGGAGGAATGGACCGTCGAAGAACTCGAGTGTAAATGAGGTGGAGAGCAGGTTCGAGAGGAAGGAGCATTGGATTTCGAAGATTGTTGAGTTGGACCCGCCGCCGTGGAAGCAGGCTATGCGGGGGAGGGTGGTGGTGTTTTGTGGGGACATTTTCGGTGTTGTTTCGTTGTATTTGTTTCAGTTTGGTTGGATGTTGTTTGGCGGGATGAGGAGGAGTTTGATTAAAAGTCAATCGTCAGTTGATTGAGGTGATGGTAGGACGACAGGTCGTGTGAAGTTTCGCCGCTGTTGATATCGAAGGTGACATTTGGGGCTGAAATGTGGAGGGGCATCTAGTGCTGATTCCCAACTAGTAGCGTCATCTATAATTAGGCACGAAATACGCAGGATTTATGCCCGGAGTAATTATGAGCTTATCTATCCTTGAATAACACTTGGCGACACTGAAGCTATAAATGTGGTTTATTTCATAGTTCCAATATCATGGTGGCCAAATTCAGTATAAACAATGGGTAAGACTAAATATATACATTCAAACATTCGATAGATTTAAATGGCACTGAATGTCCCACTTTCACTTAGATATAAAAACAACATCGCTACATGCAGTACCATGAGCTACCATCACAATAATGAAACAAATTGACAGTAATTATGATTTACTGCAGTTGGCCCTGTTGTCTGTCCTTGTCTGTTGTGCTTATCGAATCTCTGCCTGAGGCGTCTGCCCTTATCGTCACGTGGCAATATTTACCACCGCCTGCCATTTCCGCACATTCCACAAAAGATTCCCCGCTGATAAGGTGGGATATTTTCTTGACGCAGGGTGACTCACTCCTTTGTTATTCTCTCGTTTATCCAACGCTTAGGAATATATATCACTAGACGGTCTAGACGGCCAATCGACAATCTCTTAAAAACAACATCCGATACTCATCCACCATGGCGGACGCCCTGGCCGAAAGCACCGCCAAGCTCTTCCTCGACGAGGAAACCGGCGAGATGGTGTCAAAGAACGAGCTGAAGAAGCGCACCCAGAAGCGCACGAAGAAAGCCGCACAGGCCGCCGCAAAGGCAAACCCGAAGCCCGCTACACCGAAGTCCCAGACGGCTGCTGCGAAGCCCGCGGAGGAGAAGGAAGCCCCGCTCGACCCGGATGCCATGTTCAAGCAGGGCTTCCTGGCTAATGTCTTCCGTGAGCGCCCTATGAAGCCAGTCGTTACGCGTTTCCCGCCGGAGCCGAACGGGTATCTACACTTGGGACATTGTAAGGCGATTGCGGTGAACTTTGGATTTGCGCGGCATCATGGGGGTGAAACGGTATGTGCTTTTCTTTTTGTGGGGTTGGTTGTTGATGGCGCTGACGGGTGTAGATCCTTAGGTTTGACGATACGAACCCGGAGGCAGAAGAGGAGAAATACTTTACGGCTATTGAGGAGATCATTCAGTGGTTGGGTAGGTAGATCATGCGATGTCAATGTCAATGTGCTGACGGATCAGGATTCAAACCCGCTAGGAAAACCCACTCGAGCGACCACTTCCAGAAGCTCTACGACCACGCCGAGAAGCTCATCCAGCTCGAGAAGGCTTACGTCTGCCATTGCAGCGATACAGAAATCAAGTTGCAGAGGGGCGGAGAGAACCACGGTGCGCGGTATCGGTGCAAGGACGCGGAGCAGGATGTCGAGACCAATTTGAAGAAGTTCCGGGACATGAAGGATGGCAAATACGAGCCCCAGACGGCGTTCTTGAGGATGCGCCAGGATATTGATAACCCCAATCCTCAGATGTGGGTAAGTTGCGCTGAATTCCTTATGACTACGTCGGGTCTAACTGTCTAGGATCTTGCCGCCTACCGAGTCTTGAAGAAGGAGCACCACAAGGCCCCAGGCTGGGTCATCTTCCCTACTTATGATTTTGCTGTAAGTGCCCCAGTCCTGCAGGTGAACACGACTAACAGGAGTAGCACTGTCTCTGCGATAGCTTCGAGGGAATCACCCACAGCCTGTGCACAACCGAGTTTGTATTGTCACGGGAGAGCTACGAATGGCTCAACTCAAGCCTCGGTGTCTACGAGCCGATGCAGCGCGAATACGGTGAGTATTCCACTCCTTTTTTGGATGATGCTAATGCGATTAGGCCGATTAAACGTTAGCGGAACCATCATGAGCAAGCGAGGATTGAAGAAGCTGGTCGACGCTGGCTACGTTAGAGCTTGGGATGACCCGCGTCTCTACACCGTCATTGCACTCCGCCGCCGCGGTGTCCCTCCAGAGGCCATTCTGTCGTTCGTCAACGAGCTCGGAGTGACCACTTCCAACAGCGTCATCAACATCCTCCGGTTCGAACAGAGTATCCGTACTTACCTGGAGCCACGAGTGCCGCGCCTCATGCTTGTCCTTGACCCTATCCCCGTTGTTATCGAGGACTTCGACACCCTCTCCCCAGAACAGCTCGACCTTGACATCCCATTCTCTCCCAAGGACCCTGCAATGGGCTCACACAAGGTCCGATTCGCCAAGACGGTCTACATTGACCGCTCCGATTTCCGCGAGGAGGATGCCAAGGGATACTTCCGCCTGGCGCCCGGCAAGAGCGTCGGTCTCTGGAAGTCGCCATACCCGATCAAGGCCACGACCTTCACGAAGGACGCCGACGGAAAGGTCACAGAGGTCCGCGCCGTCTTTGATAAGGACGGCGGCAAGCCAAAGACGTATATCCACTGGGTACCCGAGGGATCGCGCAAGGTGGAAGTCCGCATCCACGACCCTCTGTTCAAGTCAGACGAGCCCGCCTCCGCCGAGGGTGGTTTCCTTGCGGACATCAACCCGAACAGTGAGACCATCTACCCCGACGCATTAATCGAGTCAGGCTTCGACGAGGTGCGCCAGAGGGCGCCCTGGCCTGAGGCTGCCGGTGAACACAGCGGCGGATCCCTCCGGGCAGAGACCGTTCGGTTCCAGGGAATGAGAGTGGCCTATTTCGCGATGGACTCGGACTCTACCGACAGCCACGTCGTTCTGAACCGGATTGTGTCCCTGAAACAGGATACCGGCAAAGCGTAGCCATCTCATTTATGATAAAAAGCCGAGACCTCACAGCTCACGAGACTTCAATCTATCTCGAGGGCACGTGGTGGTCAAGAAGATATGTCGATATTAAACAGTTTCTAGCGCATGAAATCCAACCTCTAATGCACCCGTAGAAGCACCCAAGCATCCACAATAGATTACCCTCCTTCACAAAGCCTGTCCTTCAGTTCTGAATCGTCGGCGAATCCCGCAGCCAAATTGGCGCCGGCTTGGCATTGCAACGTGGGCATCGTCGCCCAATCTCAGTGGCTGCCGCTGCCAACTCTAAGCAGGTGCTCAGGTACCGCAGATAACAGGGGTCGCAGCCATGACACGGGCGAGACGCCAACGGGATATAAATTCGAAAGATCTCCAGTGCGGGCAGCTGAGAAATCCCCGGATCAGCACACCATGAGATCCTTCGCAGCCCTGACAGCCTTATCCTGGGTCCTGCCCGCGGTGGCAGTGACGATCAGCGAGATCAATGGAAACGCTTATCTCTCGCCACTTAAAGGAGAAAGTGTTTCTGACGTGGAGGGCCTTGTAACAGCAATAGGAGAAGAGGGGTTCTTTCTGCGCTCGACCAACCCAGACTCTGACGATGCGACATCTGAGTCGATCTACGTCTATGGAAGCAGTGCCGTTTCTGAGGTCACAGTTGGAGACGTTATCACGCTTAGTGGTAAGGTGTCTGAGTACCGTTCCCAGGCTGCCTATCTGTACCTAACAGAACTCACCTCGCCGTCGAGCATTGTCGTCAAGTCAAGCGAGAATGAGGTTGCGCCTGTTGTTATTGGCAAAGACCGCTCGCCTCCAACAGAGATATACTCTGGCCTCGATGGTGCCGATGGGGATGTCTATGCTCTGCCGAACAACGCCAGCCAGATCTCTGCGAAGAATCCTGTTCTCGAACCTGAGCTCTACGGGATGGACTTCTGGGAGAGTCTGAGCGGCGAGCTCGTTTCCCTCACTGGAGCGACTATCATTACCAAACCCAACCAGTACGGCGATGTCTTTGTGCGAGGAGACTGGGCCGTCTCGGGCCTGAACGAGCACGGTGGATTGACCATGAGCGCAAATGGTATGTACCACTTTCTCTGAGATAGAGCCTACTGACCACCTCAGATTCAAACCCCGAGGCCATCAAAATTGGAACTCCTCTCGACGGGACCAACAACTCCGACACCTCCAAGGTCGGAGACACCGTAGAGGACATCACTGGCGTCGTCCAGTGGAAGTTTGGCCAGTACATGGTCCTCCCCCTCACAGCCCTAACCGTGACGGGGTCAAACGACACAACCGCCTCCCCCTCCACCCTAACTGGCGACGGAACCTGCGAATCTTTAAGTATCGGCGCCTACAACGTCGAGAACCTAACCCCCAGCTCCGACCACATCTCCAAAATCGCCAACCACATAGCCGACTATCTCAATGGCCCCGCGATCATGTGCCTACAGGAAGTCCAAGACAACAACGGCGCCACAGACGACGGCACCGTCACGGCAAACCTCACCCTATCCAAACTCACATCCCTGATCTCCGACGCCGGCGGCCCATCTTACAACTTCACCGAGATCCCACCCATCAACAACGCCGACGGCGGGGAGCCAGGTGGTAATATCCGCGTGGCATACCTATACAACCCGGCCATTGTACGCCTGCACAATGCTAACCCCGGCACATCCGCCGACGCAAACGAGGTGCTAGTCTCGCATGGGCCAGAGCTGAAATTCAACCCTGGACTTATCGACCCCGAAAACGAGGCTTGGGATGCGTCGCGTAAGCCACTCGCCGCTGCCTGGGAGACGGTTGATGGGAAGAACAAGTTCTTCACGGTTAATGTGCACCTGTCGAGTAAGGGCGGTGGTTCGGCTATACAGGGTGATGCTAGACCACCCGTTAACGGTGGTGTTGAGCAACGCACCGCGCAGGCGGAAGCCGTCGCTGTATGTCCCTCCCTAGTCCTTATAACTGATCCTTATGGCCAAATCTAACTAAATACAGTCCTTCGTATCTGAGATTCTGGCTGCCGATGCCAACGCGAAGATTCTAACAACAGGCGACTTCAATGATTTTTCCTTCGTCTCGCCGCTGGAAACGTTTGTGAAGAAGTCTGGGCTTCGTGAGCTGGACGATATCGTTGAGATTCCTGCGACAGAGCGGTATACGTACATCTACGATTCGAACCACCAGCAGCTGGACCACATGTTTGTGTCGGATGGGTTGGCCAAGAATGCACAGCTGGAGCATGTTCATGTCAACACTTGGTTGAATTATGATGATGCGGCGTCGGACCATGATCCGTCTGTTGCGGTGTTTGATGTTTGTGAATGAGTGTGAGAGTATAGGAGTAGAGCAGTGGATGTTAAAGCAGGTAGTTCATTCAAGCTGTACAATTAAGTGGATAAGCCCATCCTAAACCCTTATAAAACTCCCTATGTAAACCTAAATCAGTACCCCCTTTTCCGCAATATCCTTGTTATTATCAACTGTCCCGGCCTAAGTTGTGTTCTGGCCCGCCCCCATACTGGCTGCCTGGCTAAACCGCCAAATCGCCATCCTCCCTGAAATAGAGGTCCCAGGGTGTTCAAACCCTGTGAATCCCCTTGGGATATGAGGCTAAAGTTTACTAAACCCTTCTTCCTTAGAAATGGTATCAATAACTGAACAGATGTTAGCATTTGGACATGCTCTGGGAACTCTGTAAATCCACGCTATGATACAAACCGACAGGTCAGCATCTGCTACTACATGCGTCCTGACAGCCACGCGTAAAGCAGCACTCTTTGGTCGCCATTTTGGCTTTGTCCTTTATGGCGCTGGTAATCGAGCCGGGGGAGAGTTCTAGTCCTGATGGGAAAGACTTTCACCCAAGTGCCTGCCCCGCCAGTCTTACCTGATGAGCACGTTCTCATTGAGGTGCAACTACTTGAAACATTTATGACGGATTAAGGACCTCATACGAACACCTCTATTCCTATTTATCGACTACACAATGCAGCCGATGATACAACCAAGGCAAGCCAAGTCCATCACACAAACAAGCCCAAACAAAGCTACCACGGTTTTCTGTATAGATGATACGATAACCTCACCCTTCACATCCGGTTAACCTAAACACAGCACTTATCATCATGGGTCCACCACCAATGCGCCGAGGCGCAACCGGTATCCCAGAACACGGACTTGGTTCCGGCGGGGCAGTCCCGGTCACCGTCGTGGCAGGATCCGCCCTGGGCCTGGCAGCTGACGGCGTAGCCTGTAACACGTTAAGGATGGGCTGATGGAGAGGTAGGATAGAGATCAAATCATACCTTGAGCGGCGAAGCTGCAGGATTGTTAGCTTGTTTCTTGACGCAGTATGTCAAGTCAGTAGGGGAATGGAACGTACCCAAGGACAGCGAGGACGATGGGGATGAAAGACTTCATTTTTTGACTTCAGTTAATGTTTTGAAAGAAATTTGAAGTTGTTTGATCAGATTCAGTGGTTTGGATGATGAGCTGAGTGGGAGGGAAACAACGGGCCTTTTATGCTCGTCTTGGACTGCAGCCCAGACATTCTGTTGTGAAATTGATGCCCTTGTATCTAAAAACAGACAGAAAAGATAGTTTAATACGGGATGTATGCATTCCACTTCTCTGTAAAGCAGTGATCCGCAGCCAAATTAGGGAATCACAACCTGGGAACTGTCTCCCCGTGGCCAAAATCTCTAGTTCTGCATGTATTCCCAGACATCTCGATTATATCTGGGGTAGATCGGCGGTGAGGTATTCGCAGACATGGAAAACAGATCTCGTGTCCATCATGCCTCATGCAAGGAGGATACGAGGTTGGGCGATCTTGTCCACAATGGTGATTGAATGGCGCAGGGCATGGACAGGCTTTTGCGGCTGAGGCTTCATTGATAAACTGAAGGGTCATCTCCATTACGGCGTGGCCAGTCTCAGCCATTGCAAGGGTCGATGTCTAGAGCCTTCGACTGTATTTTGGCCCATATTCAATGCTCTCCTAGTAGTAATCATAGAGAGTATGCCAATTACCTCTGTTTTGAGATTTGAGACCGACAAGCAAGGTTCAATAAATGCAAGACAGAGCATGCCTGCAGCAGGCTGATGTCCAGATACGAGAGCGAAGGAAGAGAATAAGCAAAGTAGAGTTTTGGAGCATGCAAGTCAGATGTGATATATGACGCTATGAGTGCTCGTCTTTGTATCCCAATAATACCAAATATGTTCAGCTAATCCTCCATGTCAAATGGTACTCATGCCAGTGAATCAAAGGGGACGGAAATACGAGGATTAAGCTTCGCTATCAAATGAATTCAGTTTATCCCCCCCCTCCCCAGGGTCTCCCTTGTGGCGTGACATTCTCAAGGATCCCTTGCCGTACACAGTAGCAAGGACGGCAGCTGTTCAAACAAGCTGAAGCTGCGAAAACTCCGCCCCTGATGGCAAGGTTCCGCACGCCTGCCAGGGCCGAAGGATTGCCATATTTCCTCGACGCGGCCGCCATGGACCTGGTACTTGCGGATTAGATTCCGCTGTAGCTGTTTCAAAAGCGCTGGCTGTGTGTAGTTCTGCATTGTAGGTGATATCAAGAGAGAAAACAGAGAGTATGACTCTATGAGGGATGTGTGATGATTAACCAAACTCGGTTAGTCTTTTATGCAGGCCACATGCGTAGCTTAGTCATCTGCATATTGTGTCGTCTTGCAACCGCCATCGTCAATTCAATCTCCATGCCCTTCGCCCAACTATACATCCATCCAATTATTTATGATCAGGCGATGGACGCCATGGCGGCTTCCACGCTGCCCTATTAAGTCTACAGCTAGGGCCTCAACGAAACCACTGCACCAATGGAGCACGTTACGCACGTCTCCAAAGCGAGCCATCGCCGCGCAGAAGAAGCAAGCCCACCAACCACCAACACTACTTGGAAAACGCAGCCTCTTCACTGAATCCCTTCCACCTATTCTTATCCCACCAGCCATCTTCGTTGGCCTGTTGGTGGCACTGTGGACATGGAAATGTTTCTGGATCGTCGTGCTCCAAGATAAACTGCTCTATCTGTCATGGCTGCCCCCGCTCTCGCGGTCTGAAAGCATAGCAGACTATGCGCGTGAGTTCCGCGGTGTGGAATGGACGGAGAAGCGTATTCGAAGCTCAGACGGGACGGCGTTGGCGGTTTGCGAGGGGCGCTTTCCAGCGAGCCTACGGCCTGGTCGGTCTGGTGAGACAGGTCTGCGCGATGGGTTGAGGAAGAGGGTGGTCATTTGTTATTTCCAAGGGAATGGGGGCTCGACACCGCTGCGGCTGCCGTTGCTTTCTCAGGTTATGAAGGCAATCCAGGAGACGTCTGGTTCGGCTGGCGAAGATACGGAGTTTATTCTCGTTGCGCTGTCGTATCGTGGGTATTGGAAGTCGTCGGGGTGGGCGACGCAGTCTGGGATTGAGCAGGATGCCCAGGCTTTTCTAAGTTGGGTTTCGGAAAACTACGTGCAGCCGGACAGAGATGTCAGTCTTGTTCTTTGGGGACATAGTTTAGGAGCGGCTGTTGCGAGTTCAGCGGTTGTCAAGACTCTTGCCCGTCCAGCCGAGAATAAGCAGCCGCCGATTGCAGGTTTGATACTTGAGGCGCCGATATCGAGCATCAAAGACATGTTGATTAGCCTCTATCCGCAGAAATGGCTACCCTACCGCTATCTATGGCCATTTTCATGGAATAATTGGGACGTTTCGTCGAGCTTGGAGCAGATGGCTCGTTACAAAACCGCAGCTCCCTCAGAGACAGACTCTTCAAAAAGGATATCGGTCCCTCCGATATTCTTAATGACTGCTGAAAGCGATGAGGTAATTCCATTATGGGTAGCAGATCAGTTAGAGGAGAAAGCGAAAGCATCAGGGTTGGATATTGAGAGAAAGAGCGTGAAAGGAGCAATGCATATTGAGGGTCCGCTGAAACTAGACGGACGAACAGCTTTGGTGGATTTCATGATGAATTCATCGGCTGGACATTGACAAATACCCTAATCCAACGAGTAAGGTATTGATATAGTTCCTCATTCAAGACAAGAGCATACATCCTGATTGATATTGTCAATACCCAATCATTTGCTATCTCAAAGACTTTTTTATTTGAATAGTTAATGTCTCCTATCACAAAGAACCCCATAAAGCCCAAAGCTCGTTTTCTACAATCAAAGTCCAGATTTCTTTGACTTGTGAACAAGGAAAATGTGCCAGCTTACGCAGCACTACCTCGGCGACTAGATCCCTTCTAGACATCTGCTGACCTATACTCGGGCCTCTGTAAGTTATTACCCTAGTTCACTGGTTTACTGTTTAGAAAGGTTATTCTTGCTTTCATTTGCTATGAATATTTACATATGTGAAGCTCCAACATAATAAGCTAGATTCGCCAACATTCTATATCACAAGACAGCTATTCACACAATGCCACGTAACCATGGGTACATAACAATGAACAACAGCAAACAAGCCACTCACAATAAGAATCAAAGATGGCTGGAACGCATCATATAAAACAGTCAACCGCCCTTCTGCTCTATTGGCTTTCCAGGTTCCTTCGATCCTCTGCCGAACTATCATCTGCTTACACTACGCTCTCTATCTCCACCCCAACCCAAACCCAACGTTGCCCTACGCTCGCCACCTACCTCAACCCTTCCTCCTTAACCAATAACTAACAATGTATGGACCAAATCCACAATGTCCCCCCTTTGTTCCCATCCCCACAAGCCCCAAACGCGGCCACCGCTTCGACAGAGCCATGGCCGCAAGTCGCCAGCGCGCGCAGTCCAGCGGAAGCCGCGGTATAGAGCAGACAAACTCTCTAACATCAAATTCAGAAACCAACACCGCCGCGCTCTGTCTTATATCCGAAAAGAAAGCACTCCTAGCTGAGGCAGAAGCCCAGGAATCAGCAGCTAGGGAGATGTACTACTATGCGCAGAACGAAGCCTGGTGGCTAGGAAGCCGGGACAGCTATCAACTCTCGGATTCCGACGACACCACTTATTCTGAGTACGAATACCGTGAAAGACAGGAAGCGGAAGAGAGAGAGAAGGTAGCGAGGAGGGAGCTGGAGATTGCAGAGGCGAGATCCCGAGACCGGTTCGCTGCCGTACAGGCCGTGGCTGCGGTTTCGGGGCATCCGAACGCAGCTCAGGAAGGGAACTGGAGTATATTGAGTGGAAGCGAGCAGGAGACGGTTTTGCCTCGACTGGAGAATGAGTGTCATGATTATGCTACTCTTACGAATGCAGGGTATCTGGCGGGCAGGGTTCGTGCCCCACGCCCAGACCCTAAGGACAGGAAGAGGAGGGTTGTGGCGATAGATTGTGAGTTTGTCGGCATCACGAATGATGATATCAGTGTGCTTGCGCAGGTCTGTGCAGTGGACGCTTTGACAGGGGAAGTGCTGCTTGACTTTCTTGTTGAGCCGGGGCATCGTAAGGTTATATACCGTACGCAGCACAGTGGACTCACCGGCCAGGTCTTCCACCAATATCGCGAGATGGGGCTTGTTCTTCCAGATGTGGCGGCGGCGCGGGAGGCTCTGTTCAACTTTGTGGATAGAGACACCATTTTGGTCGGGTTTGCCCTGGAGAATGACTTTGAGATGTTGGGGATCTCGCACTGGCGTGTATTTGATGCGCAGCTTGCGGCCAGGGAAGCAGAGTACAGAGCCTACGGGGTACGTCCTAGACGGTTGTCACTGCAAATCCTGAGCAGCCAGTTGCTTGGGCGGTCTGTTCAGCAGAGCTCTCGGGGCCATGACTGCCTAGAGGATGTGTTTGCCGCCAGAGAGCTGATGCTTTATTGGGTGCAGGACGAAAATGAGGACGAGGTTGAGGAATGGGTGCAGTGGCAGGGGGGCGATAGAAACAATGGTGTCTCTACTTTTGACATACAGAACTGGCTTTAAATAGTGAAAAACATTCAATAACTATTAATCCTGCTCATTCTAATCCTCATTTTCGTAGGCCATAGTTAGGGCTAGCCTGGTAGTGTAGATACCATTCCGTCTTCTATACACAAGATTCCCTAGGTATACTCATCTACGCACGCGATATACTTATAAACATGTATACCAGCAAAGAGTACAATCTGCCATCGCTGTTCGCGACCGTACACCATTGTAAATCGGGGTAGTATATTGGTTTGAAACTGAACAGGCAGTCTGCAGGCAATCCATTGGAGAGTCGGAATTAGACATGCTATTTACCAGTGTTAGGAAATTCCATTACTCCGTACTGGCATTGGTAGCGATATTCAGGGTGACTGTACTAGTATTTCGCAAGCGCAAGTACATACGTAGGTCACTGCGTAAGCTCCCCACATCTAATCCCCCACAGGCTGCAGCATGGACAGAGTAATAATATCAGCATTTCTTATATCAATACATTGACAGGAATATGGCAAAAAGTTCTTATATACCGTCGATATAAACTCACGCCGATCCAATGTTAAAAGCGAGCACGCAATCCCGCCCTCCCGCAGCAAATCCCCAGGGTCTATCACGCCTCTCTGCAAGTTCCACCGTAATTCCGGGGTCTAATCCACTTTCCGATACAGTGCCTGACAAGGTGTCTGTACTTGGACCTGTAACTTTCTCCGTATCTCCGAGACCCGACTGCCTCTAAAGTCTAAACGAAGCCTCCGCGCGGCACTGATGACTCGTATTTCCGAGTTTGTCGAGTCAAGTTGAACCTTCAGGTTATTAAACACTTTATTTGAACCAGTTCAAGTGTAAAGTCTAATGACGGTGCTTGCACTGAAACCACCAGCTTTAAACTCCTGTTCGCAACCTGACCCATAGGTGGAAATATCTCACGTGCGGACACTTCACTGACAGGGTGTACGTAGACAGCAGTTACATATTAGCTAGTCTAGTCTCTGGCCATTTATATGCAGCTTGACAGGCGTGACGGTGAGTAAATCACTTCGCCTTGTTGAAATGGCCAGACGACCGGTTGTTTAGGGCATAGGAGATGTTTCTAGGATGGCTTCAAGTATAATTTAAGAATTTACTGGTTAAAATCTATCAGCAATAGAGTAAATTCTATCAGTAAGAGATAGTTGTTCTGGCAAAGGGGTATATGCACCAAAGCAGGTGAATATCATGACAGGTACAAGGTTTAACAATAACCCTAACTGAACACGCCACCACAGGTTACCAGAATCAAAGTCCAGAAAAAGTGAAATATGAGTCAGGCAGGTCGAATATAAGTCCAGCAACACCCAACGCATTAATCCCACAACCTAACATACCAACACACAGCTATGGAGCACAACGGCGGTATCAACGTTAGCAGCCAGTTCCTGGAGAAATGCGGCATCGCAGCGAGTACTGAGCCCAGCAGCAGCGTATGGAACACTGATCAGACCAGCGTCGATGCGCAAGAGCGGTTTGCCTCCGTTGATTCCTTGTTACAGAACTACATCGCCGGCTTCTCAGCTACAGACGATATCCTCAGTCTCCATCCCAGAGCCCGCATCGACGCAACCCTCGTAATGTCCCTCGGTATCGCCAAACAGAAGCTTCTCAAGACCTGCGATGCGCAAGCCGAGTCCGATGCTAGAAGACAGCTGGCAACGCTGTTCTGGGCCGAAAATCAGTTCATCTCCGTGCCGGTGGCGTTCTCAAACCCTTGTAGTATTGGGACTTCCGCGCTCGACTACGTTCTATGGTATGGGGATACAGCGGGGCTCCAAACGAAATTTGTCGTGCTTCGAGTGGATGAGGCAATGAATGATGCGGTGGAGGAACGATACTACCTCGCTGCTCTTGCTGCCATATGTTAGTTAAAGCCTCGAATGACGAGAGATATACTGACCAAGTTCCAGCAATGATTCACTATAATCGGGCAAAACGGCCTATGTCTCGAGACACATATGGACTCGTCACCAATGGCTTGAAATGGACTTTTCTTCATTTGAATAATGAGCATGAGGTGTGTGTGTTATTCCTATTTAGTTGAAAGGAAGGCTGACATGGGTATTCGCGACAGTACTCTTCCTTGACAATGAATTGGCTGCAGGGTGGAGACCAATCTATTGTCCACCTTATTGGCAAGATCATGGACCATTCAGTCACAATGAAGATGAAGTCTGAAGAGCCACAATTGGACTGGTTTGAATGTGCGAGGATGGCAACGGTGTGGTGCCCAGCGCAACACAAGCATTCAGAGGAGACGGATTCAGAGGACGATATATTCCCATCTTCTGCCCAGGGTAAGTATCTCAAGCCTGAGTCCCTCACTTCGTTTTGCTTCTCTAACGATACTGAATCGCATCAACTTTTTCTCACGGTTTTCTTAGATTACTCCATACCACATTCTAAATCATACCCCTACGCCAAAATGACCTGGGTATCGGAGCTAAGGGAAGGTATCAAAGACATCGTTAATCGCACAAGGCGCGGCGAGGCTGTGGGAGACCGGGTCGAGATGTTGGTCAAAACAGCCAGCGAGAACAGGAATAAAGGCAAAAAGAATATTGAAACCTTGGCCGTAACAGATATCAAAGACTTCGATGTGCTCACCACCTTCTATCTTACGCGCGAATTTAATAGGCCCGACTATTGGCGAATCAACCCTTGGAACGTTTGTGAGGTTTCAAGCCATCTAAGTAAGTCTAGTTCTAATCTTTTAACATGAGAAATCCAGCTAATATCCAATACTCAGCAACGACCATCAAGCAAATCAACTTGGTTTACGGCAAGGCCCATAGAAATGAGGCCGCCATACGACTCATGGTCGACGCTGTTTTTCTAGATGTACTCTCCTCCGTAAAAGAAGAGTCCGGCCAGTACGATGGCGTAAAGGGCAAAGGAAAGCGCCAGTCAACAGAGATCCCGCCGAGCCGGAAGAGCCTCCATATGGCCCTCGAGACCAACATCGCCTACGTACTCCCAACCTGCATCGAGGGAAAGGTCGCAGAAAGGCTGACCCGGGGCCGCATGGACTACACCTTCTGGTATGGCAATCCAAAAGAGGCCGAGACCAACCTAGTGGTCGTGGAGGCCAAGCAGAGAAGCGACTTGGCAGGTGGCCGATGGCAGGCCGTTTCCTACCTAGGTAAGAAACTTCCTGAATCTGCTAGTATGTTAGATGCTAATCAGCTATACCAGCGCTTATCCAGCACGCTCGCAACAAAGCTGGGCGGGCCAAGACCCCCATATATGGGATCGCAACTGACAGCGAGGACTGGGACTTTATTCGCCTGGATGCATCGGGGAATGTAAGATACCTAATTAACAATATGGCAAACAGGTACTGACTAGTTCAGGTCAATATTGAACAGTTTCACTGGGGAGAAAGTCAGGGCTCTCACATAATTTCCCTCCTGCACAAGATTATGACAGAGGCGTCAACTCTTTCCCCTGTCCCATCACACGAACTGTCTCGTCAGCCGACGGTCGAAGAGGTTACTGGCCTCTGCTTGACAAAGAGTGATGGCAGCCCGGTCTAGGGCCCCAACTTGCTGCATCAAGCACCAGTCTTGCCCGCCGACAAATCTCTTGAGTTGTCATTGTTTTCGCCTTCTGTTCTCTGGGTTTTCTTTTTCTTTTTAGGAATGCCGAAGGCGTTCTCGGGGTTGTTGTTCCAGGTGACTTTTATCTGTTTTTGTGCTTAGCTTGTTAAATACGAACCAGCTTCTTGGCCGTTGTGGATGAATTGATATCGTCACGTAAAAAGCAAAATCCCAAGAAGCCATCCCTCGTCCTGGAGTAGATTCTTGACCAGTTATAAGTATTTCCCAGTCCGGGCTTCCACGTTCCCGACATAACGCCAGGACCGCTGCAACAGGCACCACTGGTGCCTTGTCCGCCGGTGGGGTTTGATAGTATCAGCCCCAGGCTTAATTCCGAGAAGTGGTTCCAGGTGGCTTATGTGGACCATGGTCACCATACAGAACGCCCTACATTATTTGAACTTGGACATGGACTGTCTGCCTGACTGTTTAGCAGCTAACATCAGTAATCCTGGATGACGTCTTAGGTCTTGGACATTAAACGACACCTCTTACTTAGTGGCTGCCACTATCATGTTAGTTGGTTAGTTGGTTAGTTACCGAATAATCGATTATTCGATGAGTAAATATCCATGACTCGCCTGGCCAGGATAGATGCGAGTCGCTTACGATCCAGCCTGTCGCCTTCTCCAAGGCTTGATTCTTGATTCGCATTGGATTCTCCGGTGGATCTGCGCTGATCATCGCTCCAAGTGGTTTTCATTTTATAAATTAATGACCGGGTTATCATCGTTCGTCCAGTCCAGGCAGAGCCAGTATTCATGCGTTGACAAAAGAACTTGCTGTGGTATCAAAGACAGAATAGCTAATGTACATCACAACCAACCAGAAAAGATACAAAAAAATCCAAAAGAGTGATCCCCAACACCATACCTTAACCAAACTCAGTCACTTTTCAACCGTTCAAATTAACGCCAAAGTGGATCATCCCAGCCGAACTCCAGAGTCCAAGTAAGCAAGCATCATAGCAGACCCACGTCATCGCGACCGGCTCCAGGCCCGTCGCAGTGCGTACGTAGCTGCTGGACGGAATAATTCCCATGCATTCCACATCAAAACTTCGCTCGATCGGTCGGCCGTGGCAGTCGCAAACTGTCCTTTCGAGGCCGGTTCGGGTGTTCAAGCTCTTCGCTCTGCCGCGACCGCCAGGCGTATCGTAATACCAGGAGAAGCACCACGACGAGTATATAATACACGGCCATATTTGAGATGCACGGTCGATATGTAAGGAGTCGAGAGGTATCGGGATTTAATGAAGGATTGTGGCTTCTAAGACGCAAGTCAAGTTAGCAAAGCAAGTCTTTTGTTTGTGCATGTCAAACTTGGTGGTTATAGAGTAAACATACGGATTCGTAACCTTGTGCATGGCTTCGTATGAGGCGACATTATCAGGGCGAACGTCTTCACCATCGTATGCTTCATAGGGATCATTCTCGTAGGGTCCGTAGGGAGGTATTGAATCGTCTGAAGGGCGGCGACTTTCGCTCGCAAGCCAGCGTTGGTAATCGGTGTCCGTGCCTGGACTGTAGTTGGGCGGCATTATGATGCTGGATATTTCGCAGAAACGACGAACAGGATAGGTATAAGTACTCGAAATGCAGCAGCAGTGACGATTTATATGGTGTGGCTGCGCCTTCGCAATCCACCGCAACGCAACGCAGCGTCTTTGGTCCACGCGGGAAATTAAGAACTCGTCGCATTAACAAACTAACAGCTTAAGCCAGCCCCACTGCGTTTTGGACTTGGCTTTTTGAGCATTGTGGTTACTGGCTAGTGGTTAAGCATACAAGTGCGTGGAGTGGCTGACTGGAGTGACTGCGGGCGGTTCTCCGCGGAACCAGACCATTATGGTGTCCCTCTCGGAGTTTGGATACTGCGAGGTAATCAATGAGCAGAGCAGGTCGCTTACAGTCCAAGTGTAAGCCAAAGAATGGCAGTGCACAACCAGCAGTGATAGATCGCGGTGATCACCACCACCACGAGGAAACAAGCTCGGAAATCAACCTAAGCAGGCCCACCCTCAACACCCAACTTATCGGACGAAATGGAAATGTCGCAATCGGATTTAAGACTCGTCTAGTGCGATCCCCAGTCAGTCCCTTCGTGGGGGCTGCTTCATACTTATTTTTGGTATTTGATATCCGGTATACCGGCCCTCGCCATTCTTGCGCCCATCCATGAATATGATACTGCATCTGAATGTCAGGGGTAGGTTGATGTACTTGGGTGTTTCCCAATACAAATCGATCGACTTCCAGACAGCGATTGTAACTTCATGCTGGTGGGTTCGGCGCCGCTCATTATTCTTCCATTCTCCACAACACTAAAGCTTTGGTCCCCGATTATGAAAGTGAATGCTACAAATACAAAGACAGACACCACCGGAGGCGCCAATCAGATATGGACTGGCCCAGAGCTCCTTCATCACTGTCATGGTGGCTTAGGTATGTTGGTAAGCCTTTCCAGGTGCCCAGAGGTACTCCGCTGTGAGTAACAGGGTCCTTCACAAGTTCGAGGGCAGCCACGGGGACCTGGCATAATGATAAGAGTATTCTGTCTTCACAGCTACACTATTATTCACTGCCCACCCGTTTCCCACTTTTTTCTGGTCACACCTACGGCATCAATTTTAGTAGCGGTCGTTCGTATTTCCAATGACAATTGCCAGAACCTCTTACTAACATTCTAAGTTCTGTCCAACGAGGTCAATTATTGAATAATAAAGTACCAATGATCAGTAAATCCGTTGCTCCAGCTAACCAGCGGAAACTGGCCCTAGTCACTAACCCAACGGCCCTCAACAACAGGACCCCGACTCGAGGCACTATCAGTTCGTGATTGGGAATAGTTCTACTCATGTGGCTAGCCACGGCGTCTTACCCAGCTGTTCTGAATTGCACAAGCACGGATTCCTAGCCAAGCCGAATCCTGTCTCTTTGCCTTAGATTATGATGCTTAAACTAGGGCTTGCAAAGTCCCAGTGGTCCGTATCCTAACTAGTCCACGACCCGGGTGACTATTACACAGTTGTCCCTCAGTTAAGTCTTCCTGTTAACAAGTATTGACTACTCAAGGTGCAGGGAACGCTTATCCACCACTAGTGACACCAATATCGAGTGCATTCAAGTATACACTTATTTATCGGTCTATACCAAAGATAATTTTTGTAGACTTATAGGTAAAAGTGCATCAAGTGTATACTGCATGCCAAGACCCGGAGAGTTGATTGCGCCGCACGCGGACTCGGATGAACAACCAACTCAATGATGAACTAACGGCTAAATAAGCACACCCTGTCCATTTGTCATCCAACTACTTATAAACCTCCTCGACACAGCCTTTTGCTCCACAAACAAACACAAACACAATTGCAATGTCCCACAACATCCTCATCACCGGCGCCTCAGGCTACCTGGGCGGCACTCTGCTCGCCCGCTGGAAAGCCGCCAATCTGCCCGCATACAATACGCTCTACGCCCTCGTGCGGTCCGACCAGCAAGCCCAGTCCGTAAAGGAATACGGCGCCGAACCACTCATCCTCGACCTCAAGGACCTTGAAACGCTAACTCGCACCATCGTGCAGAAGGAAATCAGCATAGTCTATTTCCTGGTCGACGCATTCAATGTCCACACGCAAAAGGCCCTAATCGGCGCCCTGGAGCAGGTCAAGAATAAGACCAAGCGCGATGTGCATTTCCTACACACCACCGGTGCAAAGGCATTTAGCTCGCATGTTGGCATGGACGGCGCGAAACAGCTGCTCGATACAGACCCGCAGCTGTATGAGATCCAGAAGACCACCGTCTCGCCTTATCCGTGGTTTACTCAGGTTTGTACCATCTAATTACAATACACTGTATGCTTTGTATTCAATAATAATGACTTATTGACAGATTGTGCGCACAAACACCGACATAATCGACACAGCCGACGCCGCCGGCGTACGGAGCTACATCTTCGCCCCATGCATCGTCTACGGCAAAGGCGAGGGATTCGGGAACCGCATCTCAATCCAAGACGTAGCGATTGTACGCGCCGCAAAGGCCGCAGGGCGCGTTTACCGCGTTGACTCGGATCGGCCGGTGTGGCCGGTCTGCCATATTCACGACAACACCGAGCTCTACTTTCAGATTCTACGGCAGATTTTGCAGGGTAAGGACGTTGGGCATGGTAAAGAGGGGTTCTTCCTTGCTGCGTCAGGGAGTGTAGCATGGGATGATATCTACCAGGCATTTGCGAAGGCGTTAGCGAAGCGCGGTGTCATCGAGACCGCTGAGGTCGAGCTTGCGGATGAATCGGGGTTGGAGAAGATGGCCAGTGGGCTTTATTTGGGGAATGGAACTGTTGAGATTCAGCTTGGGGGAGGGTATGTTTCTTCCCTTGCCTCAGTGTGATACAGTGCTAATGTGTGGTGCAGGTGCAATTTCACAGCTGCGCATGGCAGCAACATTGGGTGGAAGCCTCAGTATGCGCCGGAGCATATTCTCGAGGCAGCTGACGAGGAAGTCGAGCAGATTCTCAAGTCGCTTTAGTGACGAGCGATGACTGTATCCATAGATTTCATTGCCCTGCATAGCGAATTAAAGATATATAACTAATATCTGCCTTGGTACCTTCCTTCATCAACTCCAGGAAAGAACGACCCTGGCTTATATCGATGGGTCCTTCCTATTTTGTAGATATCTGGTTGGGAAGGAACCAACAGCCGCACCTTCCTAAGCCTCAGCACATTCCCTTAAGGAAAGCGCTATGGACTTGGTCAGTCAGTTGTTCCTTCCTATTATGAGTATATAATCTCTTACTGTTAGCCTCGGTCTACATTCCCTACAGGATAAATGGCTTGAGTTAGCGCTTCTATCTCGACTGCCAGCACCTTTTCCGCCCCCATTCCACGCCAGGGCTCTCTGGCTGCCCAATCAGCACGATCAAGACAACTTAGCAGACAGACTCGTTATGACCAAGGCGTCCCGTCGGATATGGAAGCAGACGAAGGATCTCCTTAGCGGGGCAACCCCCACTCCAGCCATTTATAAGATCAGCCTCACGCCTCTTCCAACCAAGAACAACGTCAATCCGTCTCTCTCCTCCAAGGAGTGAACCCAAAATGTCCTCCCTTATCAAACACATCTCAGTCAGCCTTCTCTCTGTCATTCTCTTCCTCGGTGCCTTCTCCCGCTTTTCGCACGGCAAGTTCGTACCATGGTGGTACGCCTTTCAAACATACCATGCTCCAGACGATGGCTCGACCGTTGCCATTATTACACCATACATCGACCTGCTTATCGGCTTGGTCTTACTTTTTGGTAGGCAGAGCTTCAGGCTTGCCGCTGCGGCCATTAGTCTGTTCTTCTTTGTCATTGGGCTGGCTATGCAGGTGTCTGCTGGGAAGAATTATATGGGAGATGTTGCCCTTGTTGCAGTTGGGATTGCTGCTGTTTGGGGGGCGTCAACGACGTCTAAGGAGGCACAGTGGCCAGTTTTCAGCGGAGAGTTCTGGGTTGTATGTATCTCTGGTCTACTTCTCCAACTTGTTCGAGCATTGTATTGACGCCTTCTTTCAATTCCTTTTCTCCCTTTTTTTGTGCTGGTCTTTTTTTTCTCCATGCGAACATTCAATGAACCAAGAAACTGAAAGAGTGGCTCTATGATACAACACTTGGTGAATAGATTAAATAACAAACTCAACCCGTTCTGTACGATTATTGGGTACTCCCAAGACAGGAACTAGATATGATATCCGGTTCATTGCAGGCATTTCGAGCCTAGTATCTGGGCTCGCTCAAATAACCTTGTAAGTAGTGTACAGATTTGTCTATCATTGAGTGGTTGTTCTAATGTACAGTGTATTGGCGATGTCGGGACTCCATCCCTTGATATATAGTACAGATGCCATAGTGCTCAATCACGCCCACTCTCCCACGCGCCTAAACGGCCTAACGACCCGCGTCGCCTCCATCGTAACAATCGCACGCGCCGGGTTCACACCGGTAATCCTCGCCTCCACAACACTCAGAATATCAATATCGGACATCTCAGGCGGCGCTGTAATCGAGCATCGCACACCCAGCGAAGTAATCTGGCCCATGTGCACATTGTCGAACTGCGCCCCGGCCAGCAGCGTCTGGTTGAAGGGTCTGTGCACGATACACTCGAAGGTCTTCGGCAGCTCGCACTCGCCAAAGTAGAAGGCGCGGAAGAGCAGCATGCAAGCCCAGAACTGCTTGGAGGCCTGGTCGACACCGCGGATGCGGTTGCGTTTCCAGCGGGACTTCGAGATGTACTCTTCGACCGCCTCGCGGGTGAATGGGAGGACTGAGTGGTCTGTTTCTGCGTCAATGGGACGACCGTGCTGGTGCTCGAAGCGGAGCGCGGCTTCGATCTGGTAGTGGGCCATGAGGTCGGTGTAGCGGCGTAGGGGGCTGGTTGTTTTGGCGTATGCGTCGAGGCCGAGAGGGGCATGGGGGAGTGGATGGGATGATGAGACACCTCGAGGGGCGGCAAGTTGGAGGTACCCCTGGCCGCCGTATTCCGAGATGTTGTCCTTGGTTACGGGAGTGTATTCGGGGTGGTAGTAGGTTCCGTCATATACGGTTGGGATGTTGCGCTCTGCGCACCACTTGGCGGAGACCCAACAGGCGAGGTTCATGATTGTGGATATAAGGTCGTGTTTGGTCATGTCAAGAATTTCGTGGGGGTCTTTCTTTTGCGGGTATAGTTGGATAATCGGGTCGCCTAGCATGTAGCCAGCACTTTCTAGTAGGACGTCGTTTGGTTTCATGGGCACATTTCCAGCGCTGACTGAAACGCGAGTCTCCATTGATTGGGGTAATTCCATGGCGCCGTTCTTCCGGCGCTGTTCGCGGAATGCGAGCATTATTTTTCGTAGAGTGTGGAACGTGTCTTCGTCTTCAGGAGATGGGTTATCACGAAGGCCGGTACGCGCAGGTTGGTCCGTAATCTGCCCTCCGACAGTTAACGGTGCCATGGACTCTGATGGCTTAACCCCAAAGACACTGCGGAGCTTGTCGTGTGTGAGATAGATGACATTCCGGACAATGCCGTTGGTTACTTCTGTGTCCAAAAGCTCACCCTTGAGGTTCATCTTGGCGCTAAATGTCAATGAAGGTCGGCCAGGAGCCAAACTGAAGTGACTCTGTGTCAGACTTTTAGGCAGCATGGGATAGGTCCTTTCTGGAACGTAGACCGTTTGCATTCGAGATGCTGCATAGTCCATGATCGTGCCGTTGGCATCGATAAATGCAGATGGGTTAGCAACATGGACACGGATCCAGAATGTATCGTCCGACCCTGGAATCCGCTCGAGGGAGATACCGTCGTCAATCTCCTCCGCATCGACTGCGTCAACACAATACACGGGTAGCTTGCCCCAGTCTTTCCGCATTTTCTTCATCTTATCATGGAGTCCATGCTTCTCAAGCTTATCGCATTCTTGCTGAACCTCGCTCCACAAAGCATTAGAGTGAGGCCCATGTCCGGGAAGGCCCAAATCTTGATCCAAGACGCTCAAGTTCTCCCACGGCGTAAACACCCCGAGTTCCTGCAGTAGCAAAGCGGCTGTTCCCGCGTTTAGCTCGACACCGCTATACATGGCCGTTGAACGTAGGATGTGCGAACCAGCGGACCGTAGAGCAGCGGCGGACATTCTCCTTGGCGGAGTGCACCAAAGCTGCAGGAATCTGAGAATAAGTTTATCACTGCTGGTGAAAGCTTCGGTAAGCATTTCCCGATACGATGCGGGGTTGTTGTCCTGTCCAGGAAGAAAGCGATGTGACGACGGGCCTACATTACCCACCGTAGTCGGTGATCTGAATTTCCGGCTCTGTCGGATCAATCGCTGTGCTTTGACTACGAATCTTTGCACTGGATTATTTCTCAATTCTGTGGAATCTCCGGAGCCCGAAGATGTGGAGACGAGCAAGCGCTGGTGCTCGTGATACCAAGCCATGACCTTCTCTAGTACCGTTGAGAAGGGAAGAGGATATATGACATATTGGTTGGTGAAAAGGGTACTTCGGTCCTTATCGATTAAGAAGGGGAACTGGCGAGCTGCCTGGTGAACGGCGTAACGAATCACATCATTTAACTGGTCGGTCTCAATTTCTAGCGTCTTGCAAGAGAGCTCATCCAGGGACATTTGTAGTTGCTTCTCGTCGTCAGCAACTATGTCGTGAATGCTGTCGAAGCGAGTGGAATTGGCTAGGTACAGTTCATGGACCTGTGAAGCAAAACTGCCAACCATCTGGAGGAGATGAGCTCCCGCTTCCCGTGGTACTCCACCCTCGATCGCAGATTGCATCTCGGGCTGCAGCTCAGCGATGGTATCTGGAAAATGCCGAAGCAATGGGGCGACGTCGGCCACAGTTGCAAACCCTTTTACCACGAAGTCAATATCTTTCGAATTTGCGATGCGCCATTTCCCCTTGCTCGTGTAGAATTGTTGTTGCTTTTCGACGGACCGGACATATATATTAAATCTCAACACTTCATCAAGGCTGTGCTGCTATATTAGCAACGCCCGGCGTAATAAGATAGGGAGTACTGACGTCTTGAAAGCTACCAGGTCGCCTGGTTCCAGATAATCATGCATACCCTCTCCCGCGTCATCAACATCAAGAAATTCGGACATATCCTCCTCAGTCTGCCGGAGTATATCCTCTGTCGCATCGGTTTCTTGAGAGCCAAAGTTGATCATATTTCCAACCCATGGCGCCTGGTGCCCCGATGGGTTTACTATTTCGATGTGACGAACGGGGTCCAAGACATTCGGAGTAATATCCTGCCATTTCCGTAAATAAAGTCTGATATCCCTGTTCTCCTCAAACTCGTTCTTCAGTCGAATGTCCGCGATGGATTGCTGTGAAAGCAGACTGCTGTCTGCGTGTGCGTTCTGGAGAATGTTAGCGGGATACAATTGTCATAAATGGATACGAACCTCAGCATCATTACTTGCATGCCGCCGAGCTGTCACTGGCGAACTCAGTGCTGGTTTGTTCCATAGAGTTGAACGCGGACGAGCGCCGGCGGAGACCCGACGGCCGAACCTGGAAACACGGCCCAGATCGATCGCCCTACCGGAAGCCCGGGCTCTGGAAAGTATCAATGGCATGTCGCAGTATCCATCATACGACTGAGAGCAATCGTTTTTTGCAGACGTGAGCGGAGAAGGCTATGAGGCAAAGTCGCGACGCTGCAGCGATCAAAAAATGACAATATAACGGGCAGTAAATGGTTCACCGCCAAAGCGGTCTGGAAGTCATATGACATCACGTGTATGTAGTAAACAGTCTTGGCATTCGCAGCTCTACTCAGTCCTCCTCGTGAGTTTTTATCAAGATTATCATAATATCTTGCTGCGGTGTGCAACAATTTTATGGTTCATATCATGGCAATTGATACTGAAGAACTTAGCAGCCACCGTCAAGTATCCCTAAGAAAGCAACCGAACTCGTCACTCAAGGATAAGGACGAGGAGCCATTCATATCGCCCTGATCAACGGAGGACGTCCACTGAATTCGCCTAATATGCGGGACACTAGATCGCAATCGCTCTCGATTCTTCACGGAGGTCTTAGATTTCGGCTCGCGTGACAGGGTTTGAACTTTGAACCTATCGTGGCTTTGCGGTTGGGCCTCTGGAAGCCGCCAATCGAACCCCATTGGAAAGGCAGGGATGCAATCATGCTAGGTTCCTCTCGTCTTGTCTATCTCGGAATACGGCCATCTTCTAAAATCCGAACCACAGCACATACGTACTCACCTTGCAGGTCTCCCGGTTTCGCTCCCATCCCGCCCCCCTTATCTTGACTGTCTCCCGCTATGAAATAGCAATCGAGGGTATTGCTAGCATCATCCTCATCTTGCCGATATCGGGCATCCATCAGTTTCCCATAATTTGTGGGCTTCTGGAGCCCAATCCCGCGAGCAGACGGGGGAAGTGGATGGATCGACCTTCTACAGCCTGAGACCCTCGGTTGACAGCCACAATTCTCCACATGTGATGGACGGAGCCAACGCCAAAGGGGCTTCGCGCCTCCGCACTTCAACGCCGTCGTCGTTTATCTACTCGGAGTAGGTTCTAAATTCGACGGTGCAGGGATGCCCCTTTTTTTTCAAGCAAAAACAGGTTTCTCCCGTCGAGTCACAAAAAATCCTCTCCAGAGCAGCTACTGGTCGCAGGCTTGCAGCGAAACATTTCCAGGGCGTAGTCAACCCGAGCGACGGCTCGTAATCACGTCCAAATGAAGGCTGTCGAGTCAGCATCAGCACGTCAGAGCAGAGGTTGGCACTCTGGTGGTTCCGACTCGGTAGGATGCCACCATAACCTGCTTCCATTTTCGGTCAATGTTCCTGTATAGAGGTAAGCAGCCGGTGCGGAGGCTCATTCCCCGCATTGCATGGGCCTGCTCCCGTCTATGTCTCTACCCAATTCGCCAATTGATCCTTCTCAAGCCCCAGTGGTTCGACATCGCTTAGACAGCGGTTGGAACAGTAGCTCTCCATCCCTAGTATATGTAGCCGCCCTTTGCGGTCAAAATGCTCAAACCAAACCTATTGGCCGGAACCAGCTCAAGATAGGTGTACCGAAAGCCTACAAATGAAGTTATAACCTCGACATATCGTCAGAAACGTGTATATATTTGGCTTCCTTGACACGGTCAAACATGTCACATGCGGCTTAACAGCGCATGCCGACGATGGAGCAAGTTAGATATCAAGCACATCGAAGCAGAATGAGGACCTGTCGATCACCAAGCTAAATTGGCGTCTTTCCACATGCTCGGCCGAAACCATGTTTCCATCATCCATCATCCATCGCCTGAGACCATCGATCCTTCGGCATAAGTTTGTACCTTACTTAACCGCGAAGCGCAGTCGACTAGATAGCCACAAAGGCTTCGTTTTCCAATTCTGGGCAAAGGGGTTCCAGCTCTTACTAGGACCAATATGTACACTGCACCGTGAATTTGGTCGGTATCCCCCGAGAGCCCCCATCAGCTCCACCAACCCTCTAACCGAACGTCGATCGCGTCGATGACTCGCCTTATTGACACGACTGCGAGTTCACGAGCTTCATGAGTCGCCAGTTTCACCCAATCGGCCACTTTTTTTAGTCAATCTCCACCTCCGCGTTCTCGCTCCTTTCCAACGGCCATCCTGCGGAACTCGCTTCGCGTAGTCTGGATTCGGTGTGCACTGCGAAAATGATTCCTACAAATGGCACTCGCCTTTGTACCATGTGGCGTGGTTCGGTCAAATGCCGCTTCCTGGTCCCCTTGATCTCCACTCCACCCAGGGTCGATGTACGGTGTATATATGAGGCAGCGAGTACCCCGGGCTATATCCTGGTCACTAGTCGATTAAACAAGTGACGGCTTCATCGTTGCGATATATTACTTGGATCACGATGACCCGACATTTCAGCTGGCGTGCTAGCGCTGCAGTGGCCCTGGCCGTTACCCCGCTGGTTACTGCAGATATCTGCTCGACGCTCGAGGCACAAGGGATAGAGGTCGAGCGTCCGCTCGCAATCCAATATGGATCCGAACTGAACAACTACTGGTCAGTTGCTTGTGGTGACCTCCGTCCAACATGTATCGCATACCCGTCAAGCAGCCTGGAGGTGTCGGCAGCTGTCAAGGAGTTGCACAACACCGATGGCCTCTTTGCGGTCAAGTCGGGCGGCCACATGCCCAACAATGGCTTCGCCAGTATCCAGGATGGCCTGCTTATATCGACTAAGAATCTTGATCAGGTTGTCTACAACCCGGATGATCAAACCGCTCTCATTGGCCCTGGGCTGGATTGGCAGGATGCGCAACAGGGACTGGATGATGTCAATAGTGGTCGTGCAGTGGTAGGTGGCCGAATGGGTGAAGTAGGTGTCGGCGGCTACATGCTTGGAGGTACGTTAATTGCTCGTGGAAGTGGCAATGGCTGACATGAGCAGCTGGTTTGAGCTTCCTAAGCTCCCAGTATGGGTGGGCCGCGAACAATGTCGTCAACTTTGAGGTCGTTTTGGCGAACGGTACTGTTGTGAACGCTAACGAGGAGGAGCACACTGGTGAGCGGTTTTTGCCCTGATTATGGTCGGCTCTAACAAGACAGATCTCTTCGCCGCTCTCAAGGGAGGTGGAAACAACTTTGGCATCGTCACTTCCTACAAACTTAAAACGCACCCGATTTCAAAGGTCCGCCTCTCGCACCCTGTCGGTCTAGCAACTGCTGACATCTAATAGGTCTGGGGTGGAAACTACGTCTTCACTGCTGACAAGACACCCGATGTTCTGCAAGCCGTCCGCGACTTCACTGAATATTACCCTGACGACAAGGCGGCCGTTATCGTGACAGCCGACCACGCTGCCCTAATCGACACCTGGATCATGTTCCTGTTCTATGATGGCCCTGAGCCACCCAAGGGTGTCTTCGATAACTTCACAGCCCTGAATCCTCTCGACACCACAAAAACATGGGATTCATTCAACGATCTGGTGCGTCCCCTCAGATCTTCTTTGTAGGCTTGGCTAACTGGAACAGCTCAAAAACAACAACCTCTTTGTCTTGAAGTATGTACCTTAAATTCCAACATGAACACACTGAAACTAACTACTCAGGGGCCAACGATACGTAATCACCACCGAGACAACTCCCCTACCGGCCGCAGATGTAGGAGCGGAGGTTATGCAAACCCTGTATGACACCTGGTTCAACATCAGCAACACGGTTATCGACGTCCCGAACGTCATCGCCTCAATGGCTCTGCAACCGATGTCTCGCACCATCACCGAGAAGGCCAGAGCCAAAGGAGGGGTATGTATACCCGAAACCACACCCCCTTAGTACCTACCCAAACCCTCGTTAACCATTTGTTTCACAATAGGACCTGCTCAATTTCCCCCCCGGACAAGACTACCTAATCTTCGAATTCGACTTCTCCTACGCCGTCTCCGCAAGCGATAACAGGATCGACGCTGCGACCAAGAACCTTTACAGCGAAATGAACATCGCCATTTCCGATTTAATAGAGCAGGGCAAGCTGCCTGACGTCTATCGTCCGCTGTTCATGAACGATGCCTACCGCTCGCAGGACTACTGGGGCCGTATCGACCCTCAGTCCAGGGAGCTGGCGCTTAAAGCGAGGAAGGCATATGACCCGGAGAAGTTCTTCCAGACACGGACGAGTGGTGGATTTAGACTCGGATAGACTACTAATTTAATTAGTAATATATAGCCCGTCTCCGCTATTATAGGCGCAGGCGAACTCACATAATATAGCACTATATAATCAAGGGAATCGGAGATCTTCACACTCTCGGAGTGTAATCATATATTTTATACTATGTGTGATCATACTATACTATCCTATTACCCTGTAACATAAACAAAGTTAAATATTAAGACAGAGAAAGCAAAGCAGGAAAGGCAAGAAAGCAAGAAAGGGGCAATGAAAAGAGCGAAGAAACAAACAGGCCACGGCATTACCATTCTCGGGTGTAATTAACATCTTCCCTTCGTCCGTATCAGTAACAGTAGCGGTCTTCGCCATCCATCCTAATCATGCAGGGCCTCAAATCATATATGGAAGAAGCACCGCAAATGAGGAAGGAGACAAGGCAGAGGAGCTCAGACAGCTCACTCAATCTCCTTCCCCAGATTTGCATTTGAAGCCACCTTCTTCTGTCTCCAGAGACAAACACAGCAGATGGTCGTGAAGAAGAACATGATACTATGACAAAGTTAGCCCTATCCCCAGTAAAATACAAGAAAGAAATGGGAACATACCACATAGCAATACTCAACCCCCAAATACTCTTCGCCTCAACACAAACCCCCTTCGACATTCCAATCCAGCTCTTGTAGTCCACTGCGCCGCTGAGGTGGTCCAGGTAGGAACTAAGATGCGTCGCAAAGGTATACGCCGAGCTTCCGTCGTCTCTTGCAAACTTGCCCTTGAGGATGTCGCCGATCTCGCCACACTCCAGGTAAGAGAGCGGTTTCCCGATTACGACTGCGACAACAATCACGGCGATGAGCAGGAGAAAGTCTAGGATTCCGGCGGCGAGGAAGGGGAGAATGTCGTCGATGAAGAGGATTGAGGTTATGATTGTGTAGATGCAGGAAATGCAGGTCTGCAATCCTTTGTTAGCATTCTGATCTATATGAGGTGTTCTGTAACTGGGAACGTACAACGGTGATGGTACCGATGAAGATGTCAGGAGGCTTTGCGTCGTAGCGAACAATCTCGGCGATGAAGTTCGCTGTGAGGCCGATGATGGCGATGAGCGAGCATGCCTGGATAGCACGGGCGATAAGGAAGGTTGCCCCTAGGGCGCCGTAGCGAGGCATGTTGGCTGAAATAATAAATAAAAACAAATTGATATGGATGGCAAGGAAAGTCGTCTCTGACAGTGGTCGTGGTAGTGGTCGTGTGGATAATGCGAGTCCAACTGCCAGCAGAGGATGGTCTATATAGCAACTCTGGGGGATAGAAAGAGAAGTTGAAGGATCGTCGTCAAGTTGAGTCGTATCACAAAGGAGCGGCGCGTCACAGAGTCAAAAATAAGGAGATAAAGAAAAGAGAAGTGAAGGAGTGAAACCTCGCTATGCTATACGAAAGACTGTTGGTGGTGATTGAGATGATGAAACGGATTCTTTGAGCAGAAGACAATGCCCGACTTTATACTCAGCCAGAGTCTAGACTTCCAAAATAACCAGATCCAAGTTGAAGTCTAGACTTTGTCTCTGGATCCAAATAAAGACCTCCATTGCATGAATCATCCTGCAACGCCGATCCATGAAGCGCCTGGATTGCATTGAGACAGCCAAGATGAGGCTAGGTCGAGCCTCGTCCGGCTCCCTGGAGCTGGAAGCTGGGTAGCTCGAGTGGATCCGAGAGCGAGATACTATGGATAGCATCAAGAACCAGGTTAAGGTTCCTGGGGCGACAAAAGTACGGTGCATATTGGAAACGCTGGTGTCCAGTCCCCGCCGCAGCGCTTAACGACGAGCGCTCTCAGCCAACGCCCTTCAGCGCGTCTCCGGACTCTGACGCAGGGTCTGGCGCGTATTACTCCCTGCTCTTCACTTCTCTGCAAATCATTTTCTGCAGATTGAGTGTCTGTTTATAGCTGTGCTATGCTATGATTCTACGGGGAGCCGGTTGGGTCTATAACGTCTAGGCGTAAAAGCAAAAGTACAGCGCTTGAGCTCGAGCTGAGTCAGTTCCAGCTATCTATTTCCTCTTTTATACGGTGCAGAAACAAGTGGTCCATATCGTTCAATTCAAGCGCTGGAGTGCCTATTCCAGACTGTCTCTGGGGCAATTCCCTGTCGTTGTGTCGATCCCCAGACTAGGAGCAGTAAATATAACATCAAACGTCCTAGCTGAGTATAAATAACCCCTCGTAAACCAGGTAAATATAGCAGGTTATAGCACATAAGTATATAGCAGTAAACTCATAATCTAGCTAAAATTAGCCCTCATTGATCCCAAAAAGAAGACTTTCACGACTCACCATGCCAGCATGCCCTTCTCTCTGACCCTCGCAAAGCAGACCTTCGCCATATCCATTCACAGCCAAGCCAACTAGATCATCATATTCCTCAGTCGCTCCATATCGAAAGCATCGAGCGTCAATTACCCCGAGCTAACAGGCGGAATAATCGCAACCTCATCGCCAGCCCCAATCACCACCCCAGCATCACCACCATCAAGGTTCACATCGGCATCAACATACTCATCCCCCAAACTAACACTACAGCTGCTCAGGACCTTCTCCTTCATCCCTGGGTATCGTGCTTCCAGGGTATCGAAGAGGGCGGCCAGTGGCAACGGGGCGGGCAGGCGCTCGGTGTTTTTGCCTGTGTAGGTGGAGGCGGAGGAGAAGTAGTGGATTTGGAAGGACATTCTTTTCCTCTACTTTAGTACCCCTTTCCTGATGGAAAACGAGGTAGAGGGAGGTATAGGGAAGAATTTAGAGGAGAGGGGATTGACGTGGTCGAGGTTGAGGAAGGTTGAAGTGGGGATGGAGATGGGTGCGGGGATCTTATCTGAAGTTCCTACAGTACGCACAGTATCTACAAGTGCCACCATTTACTGTGCATAACTAAAGTGCGTATAACCATTATTTCAGAGACATCGTAGTTATCTGTTACATTCAAAGTCTATTCCTGTGCCAGCGCTCGGAACGCATTCACCAAATCCCGACGAAGATCCTCCCAGTTTTCCAGCCCAACGCTGACACGCAGCAGCCGGCGGTCCACCGACTTGTCAGTCATCGTGCGCCATTCGATCAACGACTCGACGCCTCCAAGGCTAGTCGCGTGCTGGAACAAGTCGAGTTTGCTTGGCAACTTGCGTGCGTAATCTTCTTCCTTCATTGTGATCGAGAAAACTGGCCCGAAGCCATTTGGCATCTGCTTTAGCAGCCATGGCTCGTCCGCCTTTTGCAGACTGGAGTGGAAGACCTCCTTGAGGGCTTTCTGTGTCACTTCCTCGTCGCTTCCAGAACTGGGGTTCTGCGCCTGCAGTGCGTTGTGGAGCCACGATACTAGGCTGGTTGCGTTTTGGCTCAGTCGTTGGACCCGGACCTCCAGAGTTCGCAAGCTCCGGACACCCAGCCAGCTCTCCATGTTGCCCATCACGCTTCCCAGGAATAGCCGGTCCTGGAACAACCGACGTGACCATTCTTTGTTTCTTGTAGCAAGGACTCCACAGAGAACGTCGCTGTGTCCACCGAAATACTTGGACCCAGAATGCATCACTATGTCAGCGCCCCATTGGAACGGATCTTGGAGAGGGGGCGGCGCAAAGGTCCCGTCTACTATAAGATAGGCTCCTCGCGAGTGTGCCTTCTTCGCAAACTCCTCAATATTAAAGGAGGTTCCTTCGGGATTGACCGGAGTTTCCAAGTGTATGACATCCCCGGCCTCCAACTGGTCAGCCGGGCAATTCAAATCCAGCTTCTGCATGCCAGTCAGGCGGCTGAACATGTCGATCACACCATGACATCCGTGATATCCGTTACCAATCGAAATCCGACGAGGATTAAGCAGGACAAGGGCCGCATGGAAGGCCGACAGGCCGGACGAGTAACTGATAGCTTCGCCGCCGAGGAGGGATGAGAGAATGGCTTCGAATCGAGTGGGATTGGGAGCTGATAGGCGGGAGTAGACGTGGGATGTTTTATCCGGTTCGTCATACTATTGGGCCCCAAAAGTCAGAGTCTTATCCGGCCAAAATCGAATAAAGATACTCACTCCACTGAGATCGGCTAACGGGATCAACTTGTCTGGGTCATCGGAGTAACGAAATGTGGTCGCGACATGGATCGGGGGCGCGACATCGGTAACCACGTTAAGAGTATCGTCGGCATGTAGAGAGCGCGTCGAGGCGCCAATTTCATCGTGTGGTAGCATTGCGGCGTTTGGAGAGCAGAACAGGGGATAGAGTAGAGGGGCGGGAGTTCATAAATGAGGAGGGGGGATACACGTGATTTGAGCGGGACAAGTGGAGCTTGCGTGACGAGTTGGAGATACCAGAACAACCCTCGGAGCAACCGTTGAATTTGAAATATCCTACAGCTAATCTACCGCCGCAGGGAACCCATTCTCGAGGGTTCACGGACCGACCCGGGCGCCGCCGATTGGAAGTTGAATCGGTCTGCATCCGTCAGTTTCTAGTCAATTCATCTTTCAAGAGTCAAACTCACCAGCCTCGGTGTCGAAGGCGATAGTAATATCATCGTGCTCACTAGGATAGTCTGGCATGTCAAGACAGACAAAATCTGATGAAGCATCATCATCGGTCTTTGGAAGCGCAAATTTGGCGTCAACAATGCGAACACCGTACTTCCCGGACCGGTTGAAGCCCTCCAGGGTATCGGTACCCTTCAGAACAAAGTTCAAGCACCTTCCGTGACTGAAGTCGTTCAGGAATGCCACCAGTTGGACCACCTTATCATGACGCACAATCTGAACCCTAGCCATACTTGACTCCCATTTCTTAGTGATGGGGACCACCATCCGGCGACGGGATATCATAAACGAGGAAGCAATACTGCAGCACCATTAGACTAAGCGCCAGAATATTGACGGGTTATAATATACGTACCTATCGAAGAGCACTGTGAACCCTGTAATGGCTTGCTGGAATTCATGTAGACCTAAAGCAAATCAGCATCGGGAAAGCCAAATGAATCGGACAACGTACCCTTGAGCGTCATGAAATCAAACCGCCGAACCATTGGCTTTGCCATGGATAACTGGAGAAAATCCGTCAATCGATCTTGCATGTCCGGTGGAATGAGGTTCTCTGCGGCTGAAACAGTCAAGTCTTGTTGAGCGGGCCTATACAGACTAAGGCCCGTCCGGTTGTTAACATCCAAGCCCAATTTCAGTTCGCCGGGTCCTATGACTTATTAGCAGACATATCATAGGCAGAAAGAGAATTACCCAGGTCTTACCAAGATTAATCCGATCCGTTACAGACCCCCAGTCCGATGCAACGAATGCCCGCAGGTGCTCAGAAAGGACTGTTGGGCCATATCCATGGTCAACGTAGTCAAGCTCTTGATCGATAACGCACACCGTTCCTGCAGGAAATTGCAGGTGCTGTTGCGGTGGCTGGCCGGTCGCCTTGTCGGACGGCTGTTCGATGGTATATGCTCGAATCGGGACGTCCGCGACCTTGAGCTCTCTTTGCTTCGGCAACATGGCCAAAAGCAAGGAGTGAAGCGTGGTCCGTTCGCGAACTTCCTGGAAAGTCATCAACATAGACCGGCTGCGACCGTCTTCCTTGACATTGAGGACTAGTGCCGGAGCTCCGTCTTCACCCCGTAGCAGACCAAAGAGCACCGGCGCTCCGTATCCCAGGATATGGCGTACACTACTCAGAGTTTTCACTTTGGGTGATGTCAACACCGTTATTCGGAAACCACGATGGGCGTTTCGAGTGCCGGTGCCTTCGGTCACAACTACTGAGCGCTCGAATAACCGGACACGGCACCGCTCAATAGATTCCGGCGGGAAAGCCTTCGGCGTCCCTGGGTCCATGTACTGGAACAACTTCAACGTGCATTCGAATATCACCGATTCGCCAGCTTCTGGCTGTAGACTGGCCTCCGTTTTCCGCGTGTAATTGACGATGTTCCAGAGCATTTTGAAATCATCCTCCTTAAACATGACGTCTAATTCGAAATTCCGCGGTAGTTTGACTCTCATAGAGTGTGTCCGAATCTGCCAATCAACATCATCCCATGTCGGTCCTTTCTTTTTGTCGGACTGAATCATCACATTGACCAGGTCACTCTGGCTAGTGATTGCCGCAAAAACATACCAATCCGCGCGGTCACGGATTATAGACAACGCACACGGCATGGAGAACTGTTGACTGTCGTCTTCACTTGAGCTCACAGATACTTCAACAAACATACTCCCAAAGCTAAAGTAGCGGCTGTTGTCGCCTAAAGGCATCATATGTACAAAGGTCGGCGCTTTTCCAGAGTTGTCCAGCAACATTGATCTTGAGGTTGCCCCTGAAAGGACTGCGGACACATCGGGTGCGAAAAAGGGATATCTCACCCATACGCTTATATCGGATTCAGTTCCAGGGGGTATAGCAGCGAGGATATTGTTTCGTTTTATCGATACGGTCAACGAGCGCAGGTGACTCAACACGGATTGATGCATCCCTAGAAGGTCCGACAGCTGTCTATCACCCGTTGTGCTGGCCACGGCCAGAATTGCATCAGTTCCCATTGTGCCATATCGGGTTACTTCCTGATGCTGAGGAACAATGTTCTCGCTGATCCACAGCGCCTTGAAGAGATCGATCACAGCCTGCTGTGCCATCTCCGGAGACGGGCGGGAGCCCGGCCTTGAGTTAGAGCCACGCGAGCGTGCGTATGCTTCCAGTCTTTTCTTTCCGCGCATGAACCACCATACCGCCGCCCTCACCCACTCGGTGAGTGACGTCTCCATCAAAGGCTTGACGTCCTCTGCGGCAAGTTGTATCTCCTGTTCATACCCTGCCACATACTGTTTGAATTCGGCATAAGCTACCTCGCCAAATTGGTTCGCAACTGACCGCAGTGAATATTTCGGTGGCTGTGGGCTTGTAGATGTAGTACGGCTATCCCGGCCTGACGGGCGAAGCTCATCGCTAGCAACGTCATTTGGCGCCAGTTGAGGTATTGAGGGTTGAGGTTTTGGGGGTGATAGGCTCTTCGTATTACCACCAGGCGCCAGGCCAGGAGGAAGCATGAGATCATCAGGGTTCGCAGAGCGGTTCATCGGGGGAGGGCTTGGAGCGTTTGGCGGACTTGGAGGAGACCTTGGTGGCGTACGGGCTGGACTCGGCGGAGCTGCAGCCTCTGTTTCAGATATCGGCGGCGTCTCGTATAATGAACTAGGGCTCTCTGGAGACTTCTCATTTTGTGGTGAGGTGGGTTCTTCGTATTTCTGTTGTAATGCACGACCCTCTTCAACTTCCATCTTCGCACGAATACGCTGAGCGACTGAATCCGCCCCGGGAGAAGCCCTGAAGGACAAGCGAGAACCAGTATCGCCGAGATTTAATGCCATCAAGAAATCTGCATCTTGCGTGTTCTTAACAAGCAGTGGTGGTCGGTTTTGCGGACTGCCGCCATCACCTGGCTTTAGGCTATCGTTAAAAGAAGTGTCTAGTCGAAGATGAGGGCTTCCAGCCTGCACGTTATCGGCATCATTCAGTCGACTCGAAGTCTGACTATGGCTACGAGTCCGATTAAATGAAATCTCAATGGTTGGTATCTCAGACTCGTCCCCGCCCTCTCCGATACATTCGGGAGCCCCATTGGCGAACTTAACCTTCAGCCCCTTGTTTTTCCGAATCTTAGGCGGCGGCGCGCTTGGGATGGTCGGAATTGGATAAGCGTCAGTAGACGGCGATGGGGTTGAGACGGGAGATGCATTTTGAGCGTCCCGCGAGGACTTCCATCGATGAGAAACATCCAGGCGAGGGGGGGCGGGTATCTCCCTCTGGGTATAGGACCCCGTGTAGCCAGCGTGAGATACAGACTTGGAACGAACAGGTGCCAAAAATGCCTCAACCTGCTGGTCCGCATTGTTCTTAGGTTTGTCTCTTGAAAACAATTTATCCCTCCAGTGGGGTTTCTTGGCCGCTGGCTTGGGTTCGGCATCCACAAATGAGAAAGGATCGTTGGCAGACATGGTGATAGATATTAGAAAAAGTGTAAATGTATTCCGCGAATCTTGTCGAAGCTACTATGGCGCATCGCAGAAGTGCCAGACGAGATAAGGCAGCAAGGCTCGGGGAGAGTACTTGTCCCTCTTGTGAACGTCCCCGCGCAGCAACACGAGGAAGCCTATCAACGCCCCAGACGAGACACTTCAATTTCGGTCGAAGCTATGACAAAATAAGGGTCAAGGACGAGAGGTTTGCGGATGACGATTGACGATCGAGGCAGTGTCACGTAACCGATGCCGACCAACAGGAGGAGGGGTGGGAAGAGCGGCAGGGAAAGGTACCACCTATCGAGATATCGACCCCTAGCGTTATCTGGGCGGAGCGGGAGGGTGGCTTCGACGAGGAGGGAGAGGGAAGGGGGGGCAGGACTAGCTAAAGTGAAGCACCGGGGCCGACGACTGTTCTTAACTTCTCGGAAGAAGTGAATTGTGCTCCTGCCACCAAGCGTGATTGCTTGCGCTGTCTGCTGTGGAGTCGGGGACGAGCGATCTACCGCGACCAATTATTCAATGACCATTCAGGAACAAGGACGCAGACGGGAAGTTTGCGAGTCGGGGCATTTGCACAACGTCAAGGGGCGAAGAGGGGTTTTAGGGAAGTACCTGGAAAGAGGCTAAGCAGTAGTTCGAGATAAACAAGACACCCCAGATTCACGAGGGACTGTCGACCGGAGTTGGTGTTGGCAGTGGGGATGCCCGATAGTACTAGGTTGGCTGGACAAAAAGCGCACAATAAAGAAAAGTGCCTGAGCTGAGCCAGCAGCTGTGCCCGGGCGATAAACAGCAGGTGCCCGAAATAAAAGAAACAGAAAAAGAAAGGATGAAGGAATGAGGGCGACGAGAGTCAAGGAAGATGGGAAGATCCCCAGGAAAGGTGGGCAGAGTGGAATGGATAACGGGGACGGCAAGCAAGCCCGTGCTGAAGCCTACGAACTTACGAAGCCACGAAACCCTCCCCCGACCGCGGTGCCGCCCAGGAATTCCTCAGCGCCACTGACCTCTCTGCCTCTGCCGTTCCTGACTGGCAACAGTCGTGGCTCCTTTCCACGATCGCAATGGCTTGATTCTGCCCGTGACCCTTTGTCCTCGCCTTAATCGTCTCAAACGCGCGTCTCGACTCCAGTCTGTTGCCCGTCACGTGCCCAGCACCATCCGTCAATTTCGACCCTCACGGGCTTTGTGATTTTCTTAAACCTAGATAGAATTGAGCGGAACTGGGTCGCTTATCGGCTGTGCTTCGCGATAATTGATGCAATTTCATATTGGGGTCTTCATTTCCCTGGACGTGGACGCTAAAACTATGGAATTGAAGCCTCGGGTGGCTGCCGGGAAGCGCTAAACGGTTTCGACTGCTGCACTGCAGTCTCGCCAACGGTCGAAACGGCGATTAGCTTTCCGTCCTACTCATTTCAATGGTTTGGTTTTGATAGTAACTGCACATATCGTTGCGGCCTACGTTTGAAGAAACTGCCTCAGACAACGGCAGAGAAACCCCATTGAACTTGATGGCTGCAAAACTGAAACCGGCTTGGGCTCGTGAGACCGACGAAATCAACAAAAGAAATGAAGCCCCTGTGCAGTGTTAGCGCCAAATCAGTGTTATCTTGGGAACAGATGAGGTTTGTTCTGGTCCAATAACCAGCAGGAGGAACCACCCCCACTGGCGCGCGCTGCCTGTGCGATCCATTGGTAGACGTGCAAAGGTTAAGCCCTCCCGTCATCCTGAAACTGAAACTGGTCGGTGCTCCGTCTCAAACAAGGCCGTCTCTGTTTGAGCACGAGCAACTGTGCAGTGGGCCTTTCTCACGCCCATCAAGCCTTGGCTCATGTGGGATTGGCGAGAGCCGAACCATTTCTCTTCCCCTTTTCGACCAGGTTCAGGAGGATGGCAGCGAAGGGCTGAAGGCTGTGCAGATGAATCCAAGACACCAAGACCTGCTCAAGAACGTGGATGCGCCACAACTCGCCCTATGACGGAGGGAGTTCAGCCACGGCCCACGGTGAGGGGGCAGCTAGGACAAAAGCGTAGGAAGACCCAAACGGGCGTCGTGCACTGAGAGAAACAGAGTGACGTATCAGAGACAAAGACGTATTTTCTTCATGGTTCGGGTCTTTAGGCGTCCCGGTCTAAAGCCGTGGCTCCAGGGTGAGTAGGAGGGATCCAGGTAGGGCATCAGGCATTCTAGTACCTGATCATCGCAAGAGCCAGCCTCGGAGTTGGGTATGGAAAGTCACTCTTTGTTCGAGACTCCGTTGATTGACGATATTGGCGATTTACGAGAAGAAGGTTAAGGTATGCTTATCGTTCATAATGGCAATGATAATCTTGCCATGACAAGTGCTTCGGCAATTAGCAATGGGGATGAGATAAAGCCAAGTGTAGCCAAAAGCACAGACAGCAGCGCTGTGACACCTGAAAGCAAAGAATGAGAGGTGGAATCATTGGATGGCATAGAGGAAGCGAGGGGCTTCGGCTTGCCTAATCCATCGATCCCGGTTACACTCTGGCGTCCAGCTGGAGAGTTATGCATCAGCAGCGGCTGTTTACTTTTTAGTCGACGCTTTTATAGGTGTGCGACAAACTCGGGCATTGTGTGTTTTGAAATATGCACAAGTGAATAAATCCATCACTCGAGGGTATGTTATTTTATGTTCTCCAATACTAATACACTGGGCGTCCGATGCAGTAATATCGCTCCTATCTTCAATTGTTTCGACTCGCAAGGCCCAACTCCAAGCAAAAATAAATGACGTGACATTCCTTTAGTTTCTTGACATTGTATTGAGCATTCCAGGTTCAAGTGAGGGGTTTGTACTTTGCAGAGAGTGGTTGGGTGGATATATATCGTGGACGCGCCCATTGTATAGCGGTTATAAATAGCACAGCCATTTTCGCAAGTACCAACCATATTTGGAGTAGATGATGGAAAGAGTGTTTTGCGACGAGCAGTTTGTATGCCCCGAAATGTTTTCTTAGGCAGGAAAGCCCAGATCTTTCAAGTGATAATGCTTATACCACGGAAACATGACCATTTGTTGTTTGCGATACGTATACCCGACGCCACGAAGGTTAATATCTCATCTTCGATATCAGGACTGGAATTGGTATCGAGCGCATGTTTTACTTATATAGCAGACTAGTAATATGCTCCGTTTAATCAACTTACCAGACCCCAGTCTACGTGGCTGAGCTGCTCGAGGGATCCTCCATCCACAAGCTAATTTCCTACTTGAGAAGTACTGGTCCATGCTTGGGCTCAAAAATTTCCCCCGGGTGAGAAATGATCCACGCCTCTGAAACAAGGGAGATCCCTTTATGTGATCGAATTATCAGGTCACCATCCAGAAAACCCTCACTTCATGGACCACCGAGTCCGATTGATCCGTAAACCAGCCTATTTTTCTGACAGCGTATGGTAGACCGGCCCTCAAGTTCAACACGGGTTTGAGTAACCTCCACGTCGGGTTGACAAATACTCGCATCGTAATACGCGGGGTAAGGTGACAGCTCAGTGCCAGTGCTCGCCGGTGATATTCAATGCGCTTTTGGGCCTGCTCGGCTGGCGAAACATGGCAGATAATACCACCAGCTTCAGCTATCGATTCCGAGACGGCGGATCCCTGGTGGCTCCTGAATAGCAGGTGCCATGCTCGATAAATGAGGAGACGAACTGCCGAAAGGAAGGATCAGCAGCACAATACAGAGTGGCTGGAGTAAGAAAACAGCCAACTCAAAGTCTGAGACACCAGGTGGATTTCAGCCAGCCGTGCTGCCCTGGCGGAGGCTCATACAAAATTAGGTGAAGTGGACAGTGGACATTGACAAAAGTTGGCTGGACTAGTGTTTCCAAGTTTAGAAGATCACCGCCCAGTCAACAGCAGCAAAGTGAGCAAACATGTTGGCGCAGCAGCCTCCGTCCAGTTTTCGGCTTTTCGCATTCCATCCTCTTCACCAAGTTTTTTTCTTCCCTTTCTCTTGACGAATAATGGTTCTCAGGCCCACAACTCCAGCGCGTCCACCTGTGACCTGACTTTGGCCTGATTCCGCGATTCCCTGTCACTGTTTACGATCCTTTCGCCGATCAGCCCTCTGCCTCCCCACCGTTTACCAGAACTGCGCCTCCCCTGCCCTGTCAGTCCCGGAGAATCGGTGGACTCACCACCTTTTTAGTATCGGCGTGGGTACTTGGAGCTGCTGGACGATTCTTTCACCTGCGGAGGCGGCTGCAATTTCTTTCCCAGCTGTTCGATTTCCCCTTCACCATCGCCCGAAGGGGTCCGCGGATACGAGCTTATCAGGCAACCACCGCAACCTGGATCATCGGATTTTGCAAGCACAACGTGGATTGAATTTTCGACACGGGGCTGGCCTCCCCGAGGGGGTCATCCCGTATATACAGAAAGGTCGCGATGGCGTTGGATCGCGGTGCGAGATGGCATGACGAACCCTGGTCTCCGCCTTTCTCTCAGCCGCCCCGATCAAAGCGACCTGGTCAACAACATCGAAAATGGCGAGATACTTTTCGATGGCGCCCCCGGAGATGCACCTCCGCCGGAGTTCGTATAGGATGGACTATAATGGTATTACTGGCATTCCTATCGTCGTCAACCTACGCTGTCTTGCTGGAATTTGAGAACTGTTTGGATATGGCTATCATCGATTCGGAGCAATTGCAGTTCATTCCACTCAATGTGTCGGCTACACTGAACATGACGAACTCTCTGTATCCGTTGGATATTATTGTTTACGGGAACGTAACTGGTACTGCTCCCGGTAATAGCTCCGAAACCAAGATTATCGACCTTGACGTCGCCAATAACAACTACTCGACCCTGAAAACCTCCATCCAAGTCGCCAGCTTCATTCCTTATTCCGAGCCCACGAGATTTTGTGATTCTGTTACCCAGGGGGAGTGTCCGCTGGGGCCTCAGTTCGATGGGAATGCGTGAGTTCTCCGAGACCGAAGCATGGTTTTTATTACCGTCTGAATACTCTTACTGACATGCCTCCTTGTAATTCTAGATCTGACCTCTCTACCCTACGGGCCTTCAAGGTTGAGCATGATATGGCCTCGTCCTACCACTTCTCTACATTGCACACAACGTTCACAATCATATCTGGCGATGCGGCTGCTGATCACCTCGGGTGTATATCCGTCGATATTACACCGGACCTAGGCTTCAGTATAAAGAACGCCCTCGCTTTTGTGCCTCTCGCCGTTCTGATCTTGGTGGGATTGGCCACGATATCCGCTGCCATATACAGCCCATGGGGTACTACAGACCCATTTCGCTGGACCAGCAATTACGGCCGCGATGAAGACGTTCTGCGACTTGTGACCCCAGGTTTCGGAGATTGTCTTCAGTACATACAATTCATTGTTCTAACAGGGGCGTTGTCACTGGACTTTCCTGGATATTACCAGCCGGTGGTCAGCCAGGCTTCATGGTCATCCCTCATGTTCAACCAGAGCTTCTTTGGAACCGAACACAACCCGGTCGTCGACGGGATTTACGCGGTCAACGGTACCCGTGGCTTGGACCGAATGGAGAAGCTTGTCGGTATGGATGGGCCCCGCGATGTATGGCCTGCAATGATGGTCTGGCTGCTTGCGATTTTGGGAATCATCACATTCCTAATTCAATTTGCTTTCGCCTTCCGCTGGCTCTACCGCGAGCTTGCCAGAATTCCCGAAGAGGATCTCCGCGCCAAAAATATGCCGTTCACTGTCGGCAATGTCATTCGAATTGTCTATAATTTCTTTCTTTTGCCACTAATATCCCTGTCTTTCTACCAACTAATTATTGCCGGTGAGGCGCCCGCCTATTGCGTGGGTCTAGCAGGGTTGGTCATTTTCATATTAATATGCTTTTCGATTTGGACTGTCCGGTTCATAATTACTACCCGCCCGAGATCCTACCTCTTCGATGACCTACCCACCGTGCTTTTGTACGGCCCTTTATACAACACTTTCTCGGACGATGCGGCGGCGTACGCCGTGATCCCGATCTTCATATCATTTGCACGCGGCATCGCGATTGGCGCAGTTCAAGCGTCAGGAATAGCCCAGATTGTTCTTCTGGCAATTTGCGAAGTTGTTTCGGTCTTAACAATTATAGCATTCCGACCATTCCCTTCTCCATCATCTATGAACCTTCACCATATTTGCTTCTCCTTTGTCCGGTTCCTGGCAATTCTCCTGAGCGTTGTCTTTGTCCCGTCCCTTGGCATATCGCAGGCCGCCAAGTCCTGGATTGGCTATGTTATTCTCTTGCTCCATGGTCTAGTTCTGGTTTTTGGATTTTTCCTTAATGCGTTGCAGACCTTGATTGAAGTGATTGCCCGACTGCTAGGTGCCGGAGGCAATGAGGCCGGTGTTACCCGTGGAGGCCTTGTAAAGGTTTGTGGATACCCAGATTGACTTTTGTTATCTTTTGTCACGCAGCTAACTGAGTACGCAGGTCTTTGGTATGCGCCAATTGTCACGGCGTCTTCCGAGGCGTGATGTTGTTACACGACAAAGCATGGCTTCCGATGCCGCAATTTTAGCACAGGCAGATGACCGACTTTCGTCTCAATTCGAGGGGTCTCGGCCTAGAAGCTTGTCTGGTAGCTCGGCCCTACTGCTCAACCGAGCGACAGCAAATGAAAGCAAGGGCAGCGCGATTTATGAATCCGGTGAAAGGTCCCACAGTCGTGCTAATAGCGCCGGCTTATATACACCCACTACAGCGGGAGGCTTCCCGGGCTCTGGATATCACACAGCGGGAAGCAACTCTCCAAAGATCGGCCCTGTCTTTGCGATGCAACCACACGACCCTTATTATCGGCCACCGAGACCTCGTAAACGGGGTGAACGGGCCTTCTCGGACGATTCTGGTAGAAGGGGCTCTTCTACCCTCTACCGAGATGTCAGCTTTGCTGACATGGATGACGATGCTGCCGAAGGTCCTTCAGTATCTAGACGAGGCACTCCTACTCCGGCTTATATTCCTGCGCCCAAAGATGACCTGGAGTATGATGAGCCGCCACGCAAGCGCAAAGATTACGCAGTGCGAGAAGTAGATTTCTACTACCGAGTCCGAGGTCCTCCACTGTCACACACGGGAACTCGAAAGCTCAAGACTGGACCTGCAGATCCTACAGGACCTGTCTCGTCCGCCACTGGGTTCTTCCGCAATCTATTGAATGGGAAAACGAAGGATAAAGGCAAAGGATTCGAAGTGGTTCGCAGTAGCAGAGCTCCCCCGCCTGGTATTATTCCCGAGAGAGAAGACGTCCATGAGCCGTACTCGGACGATCCTGCCAACCAGAATAATGCAAACCGCGATCGTTCCGCTCCGGAGGCCAACAACCCTCACGAATCAGATCACAATAGCGATGATAACCCCCGAGAATCCGCTATTAACTTGCCGCTCATAGATGCGGGCGGAACCATTGAGCTCCCGAGTCGTATGGGCTCCCGCCGTGGAACCCAGCCTCCACCATTGCGGCCAAAGACGCCGTCAAAGTCGAGCAAGAGGCCAGCTTCGCGAGGTCCAGACGAGCTTGAAAACGAGGCACGCGACGATTCTTCGCTTCGCGCCGCCCAAACTTCTAGCGCAGCTCGGCTACCATTCAGCGCAGCGAGTTCACCGTCTCGGGATAGGAACTACTCGCTTGCTTCCACTACTGCATCCGCATCGTCCGGCCACGACCGAACCGCGCAAACTCGAGCCGAGCGCCCATCCAGCGTCGGTTATGTTGCCCAGTATCGCACCCAGGATAAAATCCATTCTCCGCATTCCGAACAGCCGTCGTTCAACGAAAGCGCCGCCGAGCTTGTGGATGAGTCGCATAGTGAAAAGAGTCACACATAAATCTAAAGCCCTCCTCCTCGCCTTCTCCTTACGACTACACAATGATACGCACATCAGGTATTTATTTTTGATATGTATGTTGGTGTAGCAGCGTATCGGATTTCTATATCTGTGTTTATATCCATATGACGAATCTCCTTATTATTGTCTTTTTACTCAAAAGAAGCGATATCTTGGTACCATCTATCTATAATCGTCGCCTCATGTCGGTCCTTCGTTCCGATGGCGTTCACTTTTAGTTGTGCTTAGTTCTTGAGAGAAAAGCTCATCCTGTGTATATTTTGGAAGCTGCCTTTCGTGTATTGATTTTCCAGAAATACAATCTTTCTAATATCTGTTTAAACCATTTCCAAGTTCAAGCAATCCTGAAGTAGTTATGGATATCGTAGTGAGGCTGCGGCTCTTTTGAGTGACGTCTCGGGCCCGTTTTCTTAGTCATCAAAACAAATGCCCCGATTCCGTCGGCTTCGGGGTCAGTCGCAAATGATCATACTTCCTGCTTGGGTCTTCTGATCTTTGCGCCTACAGGGCTACTCAACGTTTTATGCAGTGCATACTGTATCATCAATAGATTTATGAATTGTCTAGTTACTGCCCTTCAACAAATTTCGCCTCAGCGCTGGTAGCTCGTTGGTCTGTTGTCGAGCCTGACGCCCCGCGGCAAATTCTCGGGCACGGTGCGGTGGCGGTGATAAGGCCAGGCACACTTGTTGCAGGCTCAATCAACACTGGAATTCAGCCTTCTCACCCTCAAATTGATCCCGCCATATTTTCCCGTTTTCTCCGTTTTTCCCTCGTGCAACGTTTCGTATTAGTATCCCAGTGCGGTGTTGGTCTTGCGGTCGCTGGGTGACCGTCACGAGACTATCCCGCCTGTTGACACTGACCTCTCGAGTTCCGACAAGAAGTTAACGACATTTCCCCAATTATTCTTATCTTTCTCATCTTTAGCCCCCGGTGCGGTACCAATATCCTCTACCTGCGTTTTAATCCTCTCCTATCCTTACGTTGCGCGAGTCCTCGTTATCGGGGCTCCCTATACGGTATTCCTTCGCTCCCATCCTGGAATCGTCGCGCCACCCATCCCATGACCGCCCCTTGTGCAAACGACGGAGATTGGTCTCCTCTCCAACATTAAGAAACAAGATACACTCGAATCAACCTTTATAAATTCAGTTTGCGAAGTACATGTCGTCGTTATCGAGTTCCGCGTCCTCCATCTCCGGCCCGCCTACAGTCACCGCACCCGGACTTCGGCTTCATGCGAGCTCGGAAAACCTCAGGGCGCGCGAGGCTGGACCTTCCTTTGATCCGCGAGGAGGAAGAAGGAGATCTACGCTTGCGGGACCCGACCGGAAGAGAAGGCTTGTGAACCCGGAGTTGGCAGCTGAGACGAGCTATGCTAGGCCTCTTGGAATCGGGCCTAGTAGTAGTCGAGCAGAAATGGATAGCAGGCCTATGTTGAATACATCGTCGCGCACACAGTCAGATACACCCGTTGCCGGATCTTCCTACGAGACTGCGATCGACTTATCCTCCTCACCACCACAAGCGCCCCCTCCGAGGGCGCTCGACCGCCGCCAGAGTTCATGGACTCGGGAGGACAACCAATATGCAGAATATAACCGGCCCCTGTGGCAGCCTGACGCGGAGGTTACGGAGTGTCCTATATGTCGAACCCCGTTTAGTTTTTGGTACAGGAAACATCATTGCAGGAAGTGCGGCAGGGTTGTTTGCTCCTCATGTTCACCTCACCGGATTACGATCCCGAGGCAGTATATTGTCCATCCTCCAGCTTCTGATCGCCCCAGCGCATCTGCAATTGCACATCGCGCCACACATATTGTGAACCTAGAAGCAGAAGAAGAAGATGATTCTTCACAGTCGCCGACGGCAGTGAACCCGGCGTTGGGTGGCGGCGAGGAAGTGAGACTTTGCAACCCCTGTGTTCCTGATCCGAACCCTGAACCGCCATTTGGATTTCCATCTGTTCGAGCGCCTGGTGCTAGTGGCTCTGGTTCAAGTTGGGCGCGACATCGGTCATATCATTCCCTATCGACTCCGTCCCGGCAACACCTATATGATTCAATTGTAAGTTCTGGTATATATTGAAGTGGTTCCTGGAGACTGACATATTACCCCTCACTTCTAGCCCGATACATTCCAATCTAGACCATCGCGCAGGACTGTTGGATCTAGCGACTACCCGGGGTTTACTGGATTCGGCAGCGCATTCGCTCCATCTTTTCAGGGTCGTCCTATAGGCTTCGGCTCAATGTCTAGCGCGCGTTCACCTCCACCCGTACCGTCGAGACATGCGCTACATTATTCGAGGAGCGGGCCGTCGGACGCTCCCTTTGCAACTCCAGAGTCGTCTAGCAGCAGACCTCGTGCATCACGCCATTCTCATTCGCGCCCAGCTCAGCCTATTGCTGAAGGCGACCTTTGCCCAATCTGCGACAATCCGTTACCACCAGTTGGCCCAAATGGGGAGGAGGACACTCGGGAAGCGCATGTCCGGGAATGTATTGAAAACCACGGCCGCGCATCTAGCGGAAGCCCAGTTTCACAAACGCCTCTTCCCGTCCGCATGCTTGCATTTACATCAACCGAAAAGGATTGCATTGGACAGGATGGCTCAGAGCAGGAATGCACCATTTGCATGGAAGAGTATGAGGTCGGGCAGTCGCTGGTACGTCTTGAGTGCCTATGCAAATTCCACAAGCGGTGCATTGTGGAGTGGTTTGAGCGAAAGAAAGAGTGCCCGGTGCACAAGACATCCTAGGCCGGTCCTCGCCGTCTTCGCCCTGATACAGCTTTTAACTACCTTAACTATGGGTCGGTTGGACTATATATGAACTCAGTTTATAGCCGGCGTTTGTTTTTGATTAGTTACCCAGAGCCTCTCCATTGACTGGTGTTAATTTTCTGCTCTACCCATCTATCCTTTGCGTTGGCGTTTCATGCGGGCGCGGCATATTCTGGCATTTGATGAATTTTACCATAGGCTGCTCAATGTTAACGACGAATATTATACACGAAAGACAAGTCCAACTGTAAAGACTAGCGATTGTCGACATTTGTGCTGCCTTGGGTACTTTTATTCGGCCGTAGAGTACGTTGCTGCTGGATGCCTGGGGCCGGAGCTCTTGATTGGCTCGTGGACGCCAGGATCCATCTGGACTTCGTTTTCGTGAAGTGACTCAACCTCAGCTCTCTCCATAACTATCTTTCGTCCAAAAGGCGTCTGGGGGTTAGGGTATGAAAGGGTTGTTATCTGGAGATTACTTTCCCTTTTCTTGTTCAACACACCTACTGGCCCCTTCATTATCAGATTCTTGTGACCGGTCGGCACTCGGAGACCGATTCACCGTTTCTCCGGCACCGTCTCCCGGCAGTGGCACCAAGAGCGCCTTGGGCACTGCATATTCTTAATAATTAACTGGGGACTCTGTTAGTCGATTAGCAGCTAGGTATGCGCTATGATCTTCCTCGTCGAAACTCGAAATTTGGCCCTGCATCGTCGCATTCTCAGCGATGCCGAAGCTGATGTCTCCTACCCACAGCGTCCCCGCATTCGATGGAGATTGATCCGCGATTGCATTCAAGAGGGGAGAGCAGCTCGGAGAGTGCGGAGTCCGGTAAGAATTGTTGCCGTTGCCCGTTGGGCTTTCCCCAGCTTCATGGCGCCACGTGCTGATGCACCTGTTCTTCCGCATATAGACACAGAATACCCCGAGCCTCCGTCCCAGTCGGCATCGTCACGGCCGCGCCTCCCCGCGTCCATCCTGGACCCTTATACCCAGCCTGGACAATCGGCGTACCCTGGCGAATCGTCTTCGGAATACCGTGTCTTCCGTGGCTCCCCGCACCATGACATCGACCCTAACGATCCGAATGCTGACGCGAAAAGACCACGGGCTTGTGAATCCTGCCGCCAGCTGAAGGTCCGCTGCGAACCAGACCTTGTCAACCCGGATGAGCCGTGTAAACGGTGCGCAAAGGCTGGAAGGTCGTGTGTTGTCACGGTGCCGAGTCGAAAACGACAGAAGAAGACGGATAGCCGGGTTTCAGAGCTAGAGCGCAAGATCGACGTCTTAACGGCGACCTTACATGCGTCGCAGAAGGTTGATTCGCTCTTGCCGTCAAACAGCAGTAACCAGTCGTCGTCACTAAGGGACGAACCCGTGGGCCGGCGATGGTTGGTTCCAGGGCAGAATAACTCGGACCGCTCTATACCATCGAGACCAGGTCCATCAGGGAATAAGCGGCATTATGGCGGGGAAGTTAAAGATTCGCGGGATACGGCCCCTCTCTCAACACCGTCGCAGACTAGCAACCCCAGCCCAGCTGCGGGGAGTATTGAGGCTGCGGGACGGCATTGGCCTGCGCCATGGTCTACTCCGAAACCTGCCACCAGGGAAGTCTCGAACGGCCCTGATATCATTGACAGAGGATTGGTTAGCCCCGGTGTCGCCTCGGATTCATACGCGCGCTATGTCGATTCGATGTGCCATCATATACCTATGGTGGTGTTCCCACCTGGCACGCCCATGAGCGAAGTCCGGAAACATAGGCCAGTCCTGTTTCATGCCATTATTGCCATTTCGGTTGGGCCGTTTGAGCCGAGTGCACAGAACACGCTTCTCGTGGAGCTGTACAGGACGATAGGGGAGCGGGTTATTGTTAAGGGCGAGAAGTCACTTGATATTGTGCAGGCGCTCCTTGTAGCGTGTGCATTTTACACGCCGCCGGAGAATTTTGAAGAAATTAAGTTCTATCAACTGGCGCAGCTGGCTGTGGCCGTGGGGATGGACGTAGGGATGTATCGGAAAGCACCAGGAAAGGGAAAGCCCTTCAACTTCATTCGTGATTTTGTGAAGAATGCCCCGGTTACAGATCCCGACTCGCCAGAGATAAGACGGGCTTGGCTTGGGTGTTATTTTATATCTGTCCAGTAAGTCGTCATGCCTCCTAGGGAAGGAGATATCTAATTAGCCCCTGTAGGACATCGAGCGCTCTGAGGAGACCGATTCTGGTTCGATGGCTTCCTTATATGGACGAGTGCATTGAGGTTCTGGAGAACTCTCCTGATGCGCTACCTTCAGATAAAAAGATCATACACTGGACTAAGTTGGCGCGGATCATCGAGGAAATCAGTTCGCGGTTTTTCGCCGATGATCTGGGGGGTCCCTCATTTTCCGAAACCAAGTTCCAATTCACCCTAAAAGCGTTCGAGAAGCAGCTAGAGCACTGGAAAGATGAAGCCTCCCAGAACAATAACTCTGGTAAGCGATATCTTCACTCGTATGTGCTGTTTATTAACGACTTCAGCTATAATGACCCAAGCGCAAGCCATCGTTAACATTTATCTTCACGAAAATGCCATGATTTTGGACAACTTGAGTGAGGAGAGCAAGACGGCAGACATCGACATCTCGAATCCCGCAGCAGCAGCCCGCATAAACGCGTTGAGCTCCACTCTAGCATCTATCCATCTGGCGATTGATACAATTTGCTCTATTCCCCCGAGAGACTTGATCAGTGTCCCTACTGTCGCTCTCGCACGGACGGCTTTTGCAATTGTTGCTTTGATCAAACTCTACTCTATCGTGACGGCACCTGACTCGTTTATCGGGCAAGTGATTGAGCCTCAAGCTCTGAAGGTGGAAGCATACCTGGATAAGGTGATTGCCCACTATACCGCTGCAGGGTCTCTCGCTGGGGGTGTTACACCTGGCAAGTTTTCAACCGTCATGTCCATGCTGCGGGAGTGGTTCAAATCACGCAAAGACCAGCATGGAGACTTGAAACAGGCCCTTCAAGTTCCACCGGGAAATGCCCCAGCATCTGAAACTGACAGGAATAGGGTAATGCCATTTATACCCCATACTGCATTTGCCTTCTCTAACGAATTGTCACAGAACACTACCTCTCAAGGAAATACTCCTCAAGGGAACACCCCCCTCCACCTCCTCAGCGAAGTCGCCTCCGGAGAGAAAGCCCAATCCCCAAACCAGCAACAAAAATACCAGCAAACCTACGCACAATCCAGGGCTGGCTACCCTCTCTCCCAATCATCCCCAGACACAATGGCGCAAGCGCCCGTTCTCCCGCCATGCATAAGCCCGTCCCAACTGCCCTCTCAACTCCATACAAACACCACATCCGCTCCCGACTCCTGGGGCCCCTACGACTCACAACGCCAATTCTACCCAGCACAAACACCCTTCGACCCAACCACAACCGCAAGTCCCGGCCAACAACCCACAGCCTCAGGATACCCCGACTTCTCCGTCTCCGGGAGCAACACGTTAATGATGCCGCCATCTGCCTCGATGGGCATGTTTGCGCCTGAGCTAGGTCTTGGTCTTGACGAGCAGTTCTGGAGTACCATGGGCCATATCACGGGGGATATGATGTTTTTTCCGCCGCAGGGTAGCTGGCCTTTTTAAGTTTTCCAGCTGTGAAGGCCGTGTCGTGTTATAGAGACCCATAACTTGTAATTTTAGCTATAGAGAGAGAAGCAAATATATCTCCGCTTCACGATCCGATACACGGGTAGTTTAGTGCATATATTGTCCTTGAGGTAATAGTAGCCTTTCTATATTCCTAGAGTAGAATGGAGGATTGAAAGGTTAAACGAGCGTTTCGTGGATATATATATATATATATATATATATATATCTCGTAGAGCATTGACCATCTGGGGTTGCGAGAGGCGGAAATTGATTACCTACACAGTATACCTCGGTGAGCTGGTGATAGAGAACCTCGAGACTCGAGAGCTCATGAACAGAAATTCTGAGGGAAAATAAGTACGAGATAGTCTAAACTTTACGAGTTTACCTTGACGCTTGAGTTGGGTAAGATGGCGTGGCAGCACCTCATTGCGTCTGCTGTCCGTTCGCTAATAATTTACTCCCCGGGACGGGACGAAGTTCCATAATCAAGGTGCTCTGAGACCCGACACCCGGGAAAAGCAGAAGGATCCCCAAGAGCTCTCAGTCTGGGGGCCAAGTCAGACCAGACCTCATGCACAATGTCGCACAGACCCATACACAATGAAGGAGCAGGTCCTGGTTTCGCCAATTGCATGAATCAGAACGGACAGAAAGTCGAGAATAAGCAATCATACCGCCTGTGCAATTGCGAGATCAGACCATGGTCCTCGTCAAGGTAACTGCAGTGAGACGAGATCGGCCAATCTGTACTCCGTGGTTCGATTCGTAACCCCACCCTAGAACACTGGGCGCAGACTGAACTGAACTGCCTCTTCCAGCTGGTTCTGGTATTCTTGGGAGTGATCGTGTGATTTGCTGGCATGGCGAATACAGTTTGCAAGTGCTACAGAGTGCAGTGCAGATGCAGATGGAGGAAATGCCCAAGGGCCGAAGAGGGAATAATCGGGGGCGGAAACCGATACAGAACTTTGCGTGGAGTAAGAATAACAGAATAATGGGGCTGGGCCAACGGGCTGGGAGTCAGGTCTTTCGCTCACCCGGGAAGGATGGATATGGCGGGTGCGAGGATTGGTCAATGCCAATGGAGAGGATCAAAGCTAGAGATCTGGGATGGAATTGACTTCGAGTGGCGGGAATCCTTAAGTGCGCAATGCAGTGGGGGGAAGCATGCCGACGATGGAGCTTTGGAGGCAAGATGGGTGATCAGACCCAGTTCTGCATGCCACGTGTAAGAGAGAAAAAAAATAAAAAAACCGTGACATCTTGACAAGAATTCGACTGCCTGGAGCAGACTCGGGTTGTTCGCGCGAAATGAGACCTGGAATTGCTAGATTGCAAGGAATTGGGAGGCCAGGGCAATATAATTCGGGGGCTGTAATTGGCGTTCGCGCTCAGTTGTGTGAGGGCCGAATACCAGCCACACTGCGAGCCTGATCTCGGCCGGAACCAAACCTGGTGTCAACTTGGAACCCCCACAGAATTGCGCATGCTCTTGGCAGGGCACAGGTCCACAGCGAAGCGAAGTGAGAGCCAGAGAGAGACGCCCGTCGAAATTCAAAATCCGAGGTTGAAAAGTGAAAACCCTTTGTGCCGGCTGCTTCTTTTGTGTGGCGTACGTGGCGGTGCAGTCAATAGACCCAAGTCCGGCGTCCATTAGTCCACTAATCGCGTCGATCCATCGGGGCTTCAAACGTAAGAGTGCGAGATCGATGATCAAAATTGGCGAGCAATTGGGACTGGTTTGGATGATTGCGATTGTCTCAATAAAGTATGTGCTGAAGTATATGTGAGGTTGAAGAGCCCCAGTGACAGCCAGAAACTCCCCAGCAGTGTGGGAGACAGGGAGGACTGACTTCCAGTTCCGTTCATCGTCGATCGGCGTTCCCATCCATTTCTGTCTTTGCATCGACGTCACGACTGGCTTGGCTTATCTGCCTGCCCAGTTCTTTTCCATTTCTGAGCTTCAGCTCTTCACAAGCCACATGCGTCGTCACAGCGGCTCCTCTCCTCGTCCACTTTCGGCTGCCCTGAATCTCTCCTCACTCTCCACTTCCACTTTCTCCCTGCCTTCTTTTCTACCTCGTCTTTTCCCCTCTTGATTTTCTTTTCCTTCGCCAGCCCTGTCGCAATCCAGCCCAAAGAGCCTGGGCAATTGCCGCCTTCACATGTGAGTGATTCTTTCCCCCCGCTAGCTGTCTTCGTTGCGGCTGGCTACGTATCTCCGAGCGTCTGGTCCTGCCGCTTTTCGTCCCCGCTGCCGAGCTCCCAGCGGCAAGGCAACCACCCACTCGCGTCTGCCCACCCACCTCACTCGATCTTCGAGCTTGCATCCCAGCCCTCAATTGCGAGCTGCGAACATTTGATGCATATTTTCAACTCCTGTCCCGTGCCCGAAAAACCGTCACAACAACTTTGACTGATTTCCGCTGCCCAGATTGTACAGCTGAATCGAACGAAGTGGGCGACTCCACGCCGGAGGACCAGCGACTGCCATGGCGTCAGCAAACACCGAACAGAAGCAGCAACAAGTTATCGATGCCGCCGAGTCTTCGTTCCAAAATGCACAAGCCGAGACGAACCCGGACAAGGTCGAAAAACAGCTGGTCGACGAGACCCGGAAAGCAGGTCTGCCTGCCTACCAATTCGACCCGGATGCATCACCCGAAGAGAAAGCCGCCGAGGCGGAAGCTGTACGTCTTATTTACTCGCTGATTGGTCCTCGAGATGATTCGCTGATACTTATTGCTCTGATAGCGCGTACCCCCGGGCTTCCACCATGAGCGGAAATCAAAGGCAGTAGGCGTAGTTACAGACAAGGTGAGTCTACAATTGAGGCTTGCTTGAACTCGACAGTTTCCTAATCACATATCTTCTTAGGATGATGGCACTCCGTCTCCGTATAGTCTTCCTCCCCCGAGGTCCGCAACTACATTACTCAAAGAGGACAAGGCCGAGGAGGTAGCAGAGACCAAGGAGGGAGAGATTGACGACGATAGGCGATGGGCGCGCAACCGAACAGGGTGGGCTCCTCAGTTTGTCCGCGAGGATGCCCCGGAAGACCAGGACGAGGCCACTCTGTTGGATCATCAGACGTTTTTGGAGGGCAAACTTGACGATAAATTCTTTGGCGGTAGGTAGCTTACGGACATCCCGACATTGACATTTACTGACTATCCGCTAGACTGGTATCACAATGCCGGTGTCATCATGTTTGCCTGTCTCTCCTCGTGGATGATTGCTGTTCTAGGTGGTGGCCTGGCGTGGATTTTCCTTGTCATGGCCGCTTGTGGTACTTACTATCGCACTTCGCTGCGGCGAGTTCGACGGAACTTCCGCGATGATGTTCACCGCGAGATGGCAAAGCAACGCCTGGAGACTGATACCGAGAGCTTGGAATGGATCAACAGTTTCTTGGTCAAGTTCTGGCCTATCTATGCACCGGTCATGTGTGATACTATCATCAATTCCGTTGATCAGGTTTTGAGCACGTCAACCCCGGCATTTCTGGATAGTCTGCGATTGAAGACCTTCGTCTTGGGTACCAAGCCACCGCGCTTGGAGCATGTCAAGACCTACCCAAAGACGGAGGTTGACACTGTAATCATGGACTGGAAATTCAGTTTCACCCCTAATGACACCATGGATTTGACTGCTCGCCAACTGAAAGACAAGATCAACCCTAAGGTTGTCTTGGAAGTGCGTGTTGGCAAGGGCGTTGTCAGCAAGGGTCTTGACGTGATTGTTGAGGACATGGCCTGCAGTGGCTTGATGAGAGTGAAGGTCAAACTTCAGATCCCCTTCCCGCATATCGAACGAGTTGATGTCTGCTTCCTGGGACGGCCGGAGCTTGACTACGTTTGCAAGCCCCTCGGTGGTGACACTCTCGGTTTTGACATCAACTTCATCCCCGGTCTTGAGACCTTTATCAAGGAACAGATTCACGCCAACCTGGGACCCATGATGTACGAACCCAACGTCTTCCCCGTTGAGATCGCTAAGATGCTTTCTGGAAATGCTGTTGATCAGGCAATTGGTGTTGTTGCTGTCACTCTTCATGGCGCAGCGCAGCTCAAGAACCCCGATAAATTCGCTGGTACACCAGATCCATATGCAATCGTCTCTATGAATAACCGAAATGAGATTGGCCGCACCAAGACTATACAAGATACGGACAGCCCCCGATGGAATGAGACTATTTACGTTATCATCACATCATTTTCGGATACTTTGACCATCTCTCCATATGACTGGAATGAGTTCAGAAAGGACAAGGAACTGGGAACCGCAACTTTCGCGTTGGACAAACTGGAACAAGAGCCTGAGCACGAAAGCATATACCTTGAAGTCTTGGCAAGTGGCCGAACCCGTGGCTCCATCCATGCCGACATCCGATTCTTCCCTGTTCTGGAGGGAAGGAAGCTGGAGAATGGTGAAATTGAACCGGCGCCAGAGATGAATACGGGTATCGCTCGATTCACTGTTGAGCAAGCAAAGGACCTGGACGGTACCAAGAGCATTGTGGGACAGCTTAACCCTTACGGTGTTCTCCTCCTGAACGGAAAGGAAATCCACATAACCAATAAGCTCAAGCGAACAAACAACCCCATTTTCCAAAATGCTTCCAAGGAGTTTTTGGTCACGGACAGAAAGACTGCCAAGCTTGGTCTAGTGATCAAGGATGACAGAGATCTAACCAAGGATCCGATCCTTGGAAAGTATCAAATCAAGATGAACGACATGCTCAAAATGATGGAGAAAGGCCACCAGTGGTTCCATCTTCATGGCGCCAAGACTGGGCGTGCCAAGTTGGTCTTGGATTGGAAGCCTGTTGCAGTGGGAGGTATCGCGGGAGGCGCCGGCTACCTCGACCCTATTGGTGTCATGCGCATCCACTTCAGGGACGCAGCAGGTCTCCGAAACCTGGAGAAGATGGGCAAGTCTGACCCCTACGCTCGTGTCCTGCTCTCTGGTTACATGAAGGGTCGAACCGTCACTTTCAGAAACAATCTCGACCCCGACTGGGATGAGGTTGTCTATGTCCCTATCCACAGCGATCGTGAGAAGCTCACCCTGGAAGTCATGGATGAAGAATCTGTTGGCAGTGACAGGTCTCTTGGTTCAGTGGAACTCTCTGCATCTGACTATGTCCGCGAGAATGAAGCTGGCGGATACGAAACCGACGATGAGAAGCAGCTCGTGTCTCGGACGCTCCGCCTCGGCAACCGCGAGAAGGGAGTCCTGAACTACACCGTCGCTTTCTACCCGACCATTCCTGTTGTCAACCCTGACGATGAAGAAGAAGACGACGAGCAACTCGATGTCGATGGCGAGACTGGGGGATCCGTTGACCTGGCGAGGAAGAGTACTGACTCCAAGCGCAAGAGCTTCCATTCCAAGACCAGAAGTGTGGACTCCAAGGCAGCAGCGACGAACGGCAATGGCACCGCAGATGCGCAGACGAACGGTCGCCCGAGCCTTGAGTCGCGACCCGGTACCGCAAAAGACTCCGAGACTATGTCAGTCAGATCCATCAAGGAGGCGCCCAAAACATACATATCAGTGGAAGATCTTGCGAGTCACCGTGAGTGCAGTACCTTATTTTATAGATCATATTTCGAGAAAAGTAACTTATACTGATCCTGTCTAGAATCCGGTTTCCTTGTGTTCAAGCTTCATGAGGTCAATCTCGCACAGACCAATGTGCATGTGGAAGTTTTAATGGACGACTATATGTTTCCAGTGTGGTCGTCACCCAAGATCCGTACAAAGGCTGCTGCGGTGGATGACAGTATGTTTGAACCTACCTTAAACAATTGCAATAAGCTAACAGATGATGCAGTCGGTGATGCATTCGTGCGAGAACTCGACTTCTCGAAAATTACCCTTAGAATTGTCGACAAGGTTAACGCGAAGGGCGACGATGCTGATGAACACATTGTGGCTAAGCTAACTGGCGATACCCTTTCTACCCTTCAGCGCATCCTGTACACGCCCACCGAGCTCAATTTACGATCTAACGATGGAGAAGTGAGCAAGGTCACTGTTAGTGCGCGATATATTCCTGTTACTATGAAACTTGACCCTACAGAAAGCATCAACAACATGGGTACCCTCCGCGTGGATGTTTTGGATGCTGCGGATCTTCCTTCTGCAGACCGAAACGGATTCAGTGACCCATACTGCAAATTCCGTCTGGAAGATAAAGAAGTTTTCAAGACTAAAGTGCAGAAGAAGACTCTCCATCCTGCGTGGAACGAGTTCTTCGAGGCTCCTGTTAAGTCGCGCATTGGCGCCAATTTCCGCTGCGATGTCTATGATTGGGATTTCGGCGACAAGGCGGACTACCTTGGTGGAGTTCCAATCGACTTGGAGATGTTGGAGCCTTTCCAGAACCAAGAGGTTTCTCTGACTCTTGACGGGAAGTCGGGTGCCATCCGATTGAAGCTCCTCTTTAAACCTACCTATGTCATGCGTTCTCGCCAGGGATCGTCAACCTTTTCTGGTACATTCGCTACACCCGGAAAGATCGTTGGGGCCCCCGTCAAGGGAGTTGGTTTTGTTGGTGGCAACGTGATCAAGGGCGCTTCCTTCTTAGGACGAGGAATCATGTCGAAGATCCGAAGAGATGACCATAGCGACGATGAGAACGAACAGAAGGAAGTCCCGTCGGCTATCCTAGTGGACGGAGAGACACCACCTAGTGGGACACCCAACAAGAGCGAGCTTAGCCATTCTCGATCCCGAAGTGGCGCCTCCCATTACGGCGATCGAAACAGTATCGGTGGCAGGGGAGATACCGGAACTGCCACCATCTCGGTTTTATCTGCGAGCGGATATCCTCCATCGGCTAATGTTCGGGTGTTCATCCGCGCGTCCGGACCAAAGGGCAGCAAGGAGGTGCTCAAGACCAAGGCTATCAAGAGCAGTAGCGGATCCGTACAGTTTGACTCCGCGAGCGAGACTTGCCAGCTGCACAACACGACAGCGGATGTGTATTACCATATCAGGTTAGTTGACCATTCAACTTTCGGCTCTGACACTGTGTTGGGAGAGGGCAACTTCCTCGTCGCCGACCAGGGATCAGCTGTTGGACAAGAGAAGACGGTGAATGTTGGCAGTGGAACTGTTGTACTTCGAACCGGCTTTTCGGGTTCCGGAGACAGTCTCCGCCCCGGGACAGCGTATTCGACTGCAGGCGACAATGCATCGGAGGTTCATGTGGCGGACAGCCCAGACTCGAGGAAGCCTCGACGGAGCTTCCTGAGCAAACGCAGTGTCAGCGGGCGTGAGTAGTGGCCGATGGCACCTGTGATGATTATTTTCTGATGCTCGTGTTTTGATCTTATTATTTTCTTTTTTTTTTTTTCTTTACTTTTTTTTTCTTCTTGTTCTCTCTCCTTAGCATCAAACGTTGTGGACTCCCACATGATGTAGCGTTTGCACGACGGGTTTTGGCGGAGGCTCTTGGATAATGATTGTTAGATACCTTAGTTGAAATGCAAATATGGGAGTTCCAAACTTGAAGCCCCCAGTCGCTCTAGTACACCGCTGTACGGACATGGCAGTGACAGATCCAATCCCTTGCTGAAGTTGCTGTGCTTAAACTTAGTGAGTAGTGACACCCGTCTAGCCGTATGCAGTCTATCAGTAAGGTAAGCATGTCCACGGAGTCATAATATGGTCCAAATGAAGAAAAGTGAGACATGAGACAAAAAGCATATTTTTTTATTTTTTATTTTTATTTATTATTATTATTATTATTATTATTTTTTGGTGCGATGGTTTAAACAATGTCTTTCTTTAATATACGGTGGTGGTTATATTTAGTCGGCGTCTCGCCACATCCCGCGGCGTAACCATGGTTCAGGGCCTGACTCTTGACACGCTTAACTATTACGGAACTAACTTGGGTTCTCGACTCAAGACGAGGCTCTAATTTAGGGCAGGCAAATTATAGCCCAGGGATGAGGGTAACTAAGACATGGGCCTTATGGGTATATTTAGCCGCGGAGTTCATTGACTATTTGGTGCAATGCAATGAGTATGGATGTCTCCGTCAGGCGTCAGTCAATACACTCGGGGGGGAAAGGGAGTCGAAGGAATATGCGTAAATATTAATGATACGAACGAGATTGACAACATCGGTCGGGCAGGTGGATACCTGGGTTTAAAATTAGCAGGGCGAGAACCATAGTGGCTTTTGTAGTTCCATTCGACGCCGGATGTAATAAAAGAATAATATGTCCCATACAGACATGAATAATGAGGATGTCCTGTCAGTGGGTGTGTACATCGGCGACTGAGCTCCGAGAGAACGGAGCATGGGGACAATGGGTGTTTTGAGTGGGTAAGGCTGGAATCCATATTCGATAGTCAATTGACCACTTCACTTATCTTTCCGCAGCAGTGGAGGTTGACTATTGTACAGCTGCAGCAGATGTAAGGTGGGTGTAGATTGCGTATCTGTCATTCCATTATTGATCTCGAGAACTTGCTCTGGCTTACCCGGTCTCTCACAGTCTTTGTCTCTCTCGCCTCTTGTCTCATTTGTAAATTGTGAACTGTTTGAGAGACTGAGTGATGACGAGGCGGTGGGGCACGTTTTATGAGATCGTTATTTATTGAACCCTGGGAGGGGGGAGATGGGCCCGGCCCAGGGAAAGGGGCTTGGATCACTGGAGCAGCCTGAGTCTGGTCTGGTCTGTCTGTCTGGTCTGTCTGGTCTGGGTTTGGAAGAAAGGAGGTTTTCGAGCTGTCAGATCTTGCTTGGTGGATGACTTGACTCGAGGCAGGGTTCGGATAGTGCAAATACCTACAGATAACCACAGCCCTTTTTCGCAGCCTCTGTATCCTGTCGGTCTGGTCATCTTGCGATGCCTTGTCATGTCCCAGAATATCTTTTGATTCCGGCCAGGAATGTTTCCAAATTAATATTAACTCTGATGCTCACATAGTTGATGGTGGTGGTGTTTCGTACTGTCACAGAGCTGGATACCGCATCGGGCGGGGCCTGGAATGAGCAGGCCAACGGTGGCCCTGTATGGTCAGGTACGGTCACAGGAGCTCCCCTCCCCTGAGTGGGGAGCGCCTACGAATGATTGTTTTCGTCATTGTCTCTCTGGGCCTTCACCAGCAATAAAACCATCCTGCCCGCCAGCTCCAGCCTGCATCTCTGTCTTCTCTTCTCTCTCTCCCCATCTGTCCTTGGCTTTTGCCTCCAACCCTTCTGCCTGCCCGCCATTGGATTGTAAGTGTGCCCATTGCCGCTCCTTTCGTGCTTTCGCGTCACATCGTTGCCGTCATCCCTCCTTTGCCAGGGATCGACACCTTGGTCGACACACCATCTCTGCTGTGGCAACGTGGACCAAGGCAGAGACGGAACAGAGCGTGCCTCTGCCCGCTCAATTCCCCAACCCCAGTTTCATATATATCTGCTGGCCTCTGTTCTTTTTACGCTCCTCACTAACTCTGCTGTCCACCCAGTTGGCCTGTTTGATTCTTCAAAGTTCGAGGTTCCTCCGCATACCGCATTAATACCAGACACAATGGCCACAAAGGATCTGCCAACCCACCTGTCGTCAAATGCAGGCTTTGGCAAGCACCATGGAAAGACCCAGTCTCACATGGTAAGTTCTGAGCAAACAGGATGTGTTCTGGTTTTTTTTTGTTTCTTTGTTTTGTTGAGATTTGCCGTTGGGAAAGCGCCGCCCGCGCGCATGACGTCTGTTCTGCCCCTCACGAGTCTTTTAAGTCTACGCCGGGAGAGACCTCCACCACGATTCCAGTGGATAGAGATATCCCTGTGAGTGAGTACTGGTTGCGGTTTCCGCAATTAGATGCTGCTGCTGGTATATACCTACTGAGCCTAATCGCCTTTTTCCTGCTTGCATGCTGCGATTCGGAATACCCCTTCCTCTGTTTTTAAGATAGCACCACGCTTTAAGCTACGATATTCCGCATCCTGCAAACAATGTCGTATGTTGTGCGTCGGGGGTTCTTTAATGCTGCACTGGTCTGCTTCTTTTAAATCCACTGGTTCTTGTCTCAGCCCACTATTGTGGTCAATGTTTGGCGTGGTTTATATTTTCATCTCTGGATCTGAAACTAACGGTTTTAGGCATTCGAAAATGCCTCCACCAGTGTTGCTGCCTCTCAGATGCGTAACGCCTTGAACGCCCTCGCCGAAACTGTCCCCGATGAGAGCGAGCGCAAGCGGTTCGAAACCGAGACCGACAACTTCTTCGCTCTTTTCCGCAGATTCCTCAACGACAAGGCCAAGGGAAACGCTGTTGACTGGGACCGCATTGCCCCCCCTCAGCCTTCGCAAGTCGTTAACTACGATGAAATTGGCAAGGATTCCTCCGTCGAATTCCTCAACAAGCTTGCCGTTGTCAAGCTCAACGGTGGCCTGGGTACTTCCATGGGCTGCGTCGGCCCCAAGTCCGTGATTGAGGTCCGCGAGGGCATGTCATTCTTGGATTTGTCCGTCCGTCAGATCGAGCACCTCAACCGCACTTACAATGTCAACGTGCCCTTCGTTCTCATGAACTCTTTCAACACCGACCAGGACACTCAATCTATTATCAAGAAGTACCAAGGCCACAACGTCGACATCATCACCTTCAACCAGTCTCGCTACCCCAGAATCATCAAGGACTCGCTCCTCCCCGCTCCCAAGTCCTTCGATGCTCCTCTGCAGGACTGGTACCCCCCTGGTCACGGTGATGTTTTTGAGTCTTTGTACAACTCCGGTACCCTGGACAAGCTTTTGGAGCGTGGTGTCGAGTATATTTTCTTGTCCAACGCTGACAACCTGGGTGCTGTCGTGGACACCCGCATCCTGCAGCACATGGTTGACACCAAGGCTGAATATATCATGGAATTGACCGACAAGACTAAGGCCGATGTCAAGGGTGGTACCATCATCGACTACGAGGGCAAGGTCCGTCTTTTGGAAATCGCTCAGGTGCCCAAGGAGCACGTCAACGAATTCAAGTCTATCAAGAAGTTCAAGTACTTCAACACCAACAACATCTGGATGAACCTCCACGCTATCAAGCGTGTCGTTGAAGAAAATGAGCTCGAGATGGAGATCATTGCGAACGAGAAGTCTATTCCTGCCGATAAGAAGGGCGAGGCCGACCAGGCTATTTACCAGCTCGAAACCGCTGTTGGTGCTGCCATCCGCCACTTCAAGAACGCTCACGGTGTCAATGTCCCCCGCCGTCGCTTCCTCCCTGTCAAGACTTGCTCCGACTTGATGGTGGTCAAGTCTGATCTGTACCGCCTGGAGCACGGTCAACTAGTTATGGACCCCAACCGATTCGGTGGTGTTCCCGTTATCAAGCTCGGATCCGACTTCAAGAAGGTGTCTGACTTCCAGAAGCACATTCCTAGCATCCCTCGTATCGTCGAGCTGGATCATCTTACCATCACTGGTGCAGTGAACCTGGGCCGCAACGTGACACTGAAGGGTACTGTCATCATCGTTGCGACTGAAAGCAGCACAATCGACATTCCCCCAGGCTCCGTATTGGAGAACTGTGTTGTACAAGGCAGCCTGCGTATTCTCGAGCACTAATTTGGGGACCAATATGTATCTAGCTTTTCCACGAATTCTGAGCCTTGTGTCGAATGTTCCGAACAGTCTTCTGCACCAAACCATGTAGAGTTTGGGCTTCATGTATGCCTGGGATTGTTGCCACTTAACGTAGGAGCAGTTGTTCAACTTGACGTAGAAGCTTATTTGCAAGTGGTTCTACGCAGAGTAGTTTACCATCGCCCTCCATTAGCTTGTCAGCGCCTTCCTTGATGCTAATAAGATTGATAGACAAATGTGAAAGTCACGCTGGAGCTCATTCAACCGAGCTCATATCACATGAGGCGAATGCAGATGTATAGATCTATACGTTGCGTTTGACGGCAGTAAAAGCAGCACCAAGCCGGACCAAACATGGGGGACAGGGCAGATTTCCGACCATGGCAACATATCATTCGCTGATCTCGAGCCCCGATAAAATCAACGGGACGATGGTGGCCTGGACCTCATCGACCCCGGTGGTGCCACCTGCAGCATCACGTGTGGGTCTCCCCCCTCGGCCTTTGTTGTGGCGGAATTCTGATCCCCAGTTTCCCGTTGGATACAACCGCAGCCCGCAGTATCCCTCTGAATAACAACCACCATGTTCACGGACCACGGTCTTGTCTCTCACCCTGGACATGTACCTTCGGAACTATCTACAACCCGCTCGCAAAGCCATCCAATTGGCAATTCTTGCGGCTGATTCCGGCTTCCCTAATTTGCGGATTACTGCTCCACGGTTCCCCATATACCCGTGTGTAACGTCACCAGCGATCGCAACCATCTCAGTCATATATGAAGAGGATGCTTCAACTGTTATCTGGCAAAATGATCGTCTCCTCTTGACACCCTGGTCACTCGGCCCATCAAGCATGTTACCATGTCCGAGTCTCCAACGCAGCATCGACACCTGGTACCGGGACCCTCTCCTCGAATGGAGAGATCCTCCGGTGAGTCCATTATAGAGGAGCGTCGGGGTTCCCTGGATCCTACCAAGAAGCGCGTGTCTATGGCATGCACGGCATGTAAAAAGTCAAAGCGAAAGGCAAGCGTCCTCCTGGGCGTTTTCAGATCACTGTCCTGACGTCCAGCAATCATATAGTGCTCCGGCTTTCGACCATGCGACAACTGCCGCGCTTTTGACCGAGAATGCATTTTCGACGAGACACTGGATCAGAGGCGCCGGGTGGCAGCAAGGCGGACGGCTGACGAGCTGAATTACCACCGCGACCTGTTTAATGATCTTCTTAGGGCTCTACGCGCAAAGGACCGGTCGTATGCTATCAGATTGTTAGATATAATACGCCGGGATGCGACAAACGAAGAGCTACGCACGTATATTGACCAGATACTTGTAATCGAAACCGGAAAGGTTGAAGAGAGCGAACAGGCTGTCCATAAACTCGAGGATATACGGTCTTCCTTGAGCGAGGGTGCAACGCAGTCATGGCGGCCCCAAGTTATGGATATTCATTATCTGTGCGATGAATTACCCTTCCGGGTTCCTGCACAACCGTGGACAAATGTCACGACAGACTCTGATCTCGTCTCGCATCTTGTATCACTGTACTTCACATGGGACTATCCATCTCACTCCTTCTTGGACCGTGATGTGTTTCTTAAGCATATGGCCCAAGGGAATTTGAGGTCGGAGTTTTGCAGTCCGTTCCTTGTTAATGCACTGCTTTCCAACGCATGTGTATGACACACCCTCTGGCTTGTAATGTCGGTAAGATGCTGACCATGTCTAGCACTTTTCCAACTACTCGGAAGCCTATACCAAACCAGGCGATATCGTGACCAAAGGAGGTGACTTTCTAGCAGAGGCCGAGCGGTTAAAAGACGAGGAGCCTGCAAAGATAACGCTGACCTATCTACAAGGCCTCCTGCTGCTATATGAAAAGTTCGTTGTTTTGACCGATTTCGGCGTATCCTATACTGATACCGCGCTAGGTACTCTCTGTCTGGAAAGAATGATCTCGGATATAGAATGTTACACGAAGCAATCTGGACTGGACAGAATCTGGGACTTGTCGGTAACAGAAAGCCTGAATTCCCGACAGATAGCAATTTCTCGGGGGATATGGATGCATCTCTTAGACAAACTGCCTGGGGTTTGTTCCACATTGATACGTGTGTCTCCAACTCTTTCTTCCCTAATCCGTGCCGGAACTGATTTCGCAGAGTTGTGCACACCGACTTCTTACGGGCCAGTCTGATAATGTACGTCTACAAAAAGCGGCCTGACAAACATGATCAGACAACATTCTGGTGGCCATACCCCACCCACCAAGGGCCGCAGAAGTCGTACCTTGGTGAATACTTTGACATGTTGTATGATCTGTGCGTGATCGCGCGGGACATGTCCCAGAGTCTTTTCAAAATCGATATTCGAAGGCCTTCCGCAGACGAACAGGTCAAGATTAAAGATACTTTTTATGAGAGGCTGCGTCATTGGGCCGACGGACTGCCTACTACTTTCACTATTGACTATGAACCACCGCCATACATCCTTATGCTCAGGATGCGGTATCATACCCTGGTCATCAATCTCTTTCTATATCACGACGAGGATGAAATCTTAGGAACTACCTCGAGGGTCATGAAGACCCCCGAAAGCCCAACAACTCCCAGTCTCTACAATAAGCGCAATGTCACCCAGTCAGCTGCCAGGGCAATCGCCTCCCTTGCGCGCCGGTACCGGCAAGATTTTGGTATGGCTTACGCCCACCATTTCGCCCTCTACGCGGTTAATCTGGCCTTATTCGTGCTGGTGGAGCAGTCCGGCACATTTGACATACTTGATAGTGACTTCCTGTCCCTTGCAACTGCGTACTCTAGTATAGCGAGTCGATCCCATATAGGACGGAATATGTTTCATCTCTTCCGGCAAAATGTCCGCGCCAAATGCCAGGGAAGTCGACTGCGCCACTCGAATGAAGTAGTTGAAGAGGTCAAGACCCTGTTTGACGAGGAGTGTACCTCGCCGTCGGTTTTCGACGAGTTTGCTGATGGGTTGGAAAAGTTGGACACAGACGAGCGATATCGCGTGCTGGGCGAGCACCGTTTGTCTGACATGCTTGATCGATACGAAACTCTAAGTCTCGGTAAGGACACAGTCGCGCTTGGGAGGTGCTTTGAGGGCCTTGCTCCGGTGTAGGATATCAAATTGCGATCCAGCTTAGGAGCGGGGATTATTTGGGAAGGTCACAAAATTGCGCGGTCTACGCGCGCGACCGCAACTTGACGATCCCTGGCGATTTACTGCGAAATAAATTATGTTTTTCCTTTTACTTACTAAGTGATACCATAAGTCGTCACCGCGACCGCGATTTGTTTTCAGTGCGCGGTTCATGACATCATGGTTAGCTCTCCGCCACGACGTTTTGTGAGCTCGTGCCTCTGCCCCTCTCGATTCAAAACATCGGATTTCTTCTTCTATTAATATTCTATTCTATGCATTTTCCTTCGTCGGGCGCATTGTTTGCATATCTCAACCGCTCATGGGGGACAATCATCCTTACCGCTCGGGTCGTTCCTCGTTCAGTTCAGCAGTCAACCAGAATGTTGGCAGCCTGAGTCCCAACCCAGTGGCCGGGTCCTCCTCAGACTGGATGTTGAGGGCCGGATCGCTGGGCGCTCCATCGACGACAACACCTGGTAATCCGGTGCAAGCTCAGCCGCAAGCCCAAACCTCGATAAACTACCAGATGTATCCGTACGGCCAATACCCCGATCTCAACACGCCATTTCCACCGCAGCCTCCAGATGCGATGGCTGCACCGAAGATCGCCATACCGCGCGCTACAACAGCCAAGGCGTCATCGCAGCGACGTCGGTCAGCACGCGCCTGCGAGCCCTGTCGGCAGCGGAAGGTCAAATGTGACGGCGGGCGACCGGAGTGTCGAAAATGTCGGGAACATGGGATGGCCTGCTCATACATTGATATCAAGCGGATCCGGGACCAGAAGCAACTGGGAGTTTTGTCGGAGAAGGTAAAGCGGTACGAGAAGCTGTTAAAGCAGCTTGAGACGGAGGCCGACCATTCAACTGCAAAGAAGATCAAGAAGGGTTTAGCGGTGCGTAGGCCCCCTGTTACCTTCTTTTTAGGTTTTCTTGTAATGGATAGGGCCGTGCTAACAGATTAGACTCTTCAGCAGACACAGTCTGATGACGGCGAAGAAGCGGACGATAGTGACGCAGACTCGACGACATCGCACGGATCGCTAGATGAAATTGACCTGGTCAAAGAAGACTTAAACCGCAGCGACAAGACGGTAGCGATAGGGTTTTTCGGCAAGAACTCGGAAGTGGCGTGGATGCAAAAGCTTGAGGATGTATCAGGCCAACGAGTATCCGAGTCAGACGGAGAGAAACCGTTCTTGAATAAGGATGTCCCGATCATGTCGATGAGCTACCACCTAGATGACCTTTCCATCCCATTCCCGGAAACGATTGATCCCTTTGCTGTGCCGGATAAGGACTTGGCAGACCAGTATTTTAACGCCTACATGGAGTCTGTGCATCCGTCATTTACGATGATTCGAAAAAACACGTTCACGACGCAGTATGAGCAGTTCTATAAGAAGAAGCAATTCAGCCCGCCGCCACGCAAGTGGCTCGCGGTGTTGAATATGATATTCGCGCTGGGCTGTCGGTATTGTAAATCTACGGGAAAGGTTTCTGCTGGGGGAACTGATACGGATGATACCGTGTTTTTGAACCGTGCTAGGAAGCTGTGCTTGTGTGGTAATGTGCTGTTCCAGCATGACGACCTCCAGCAGATTCAAGTGGTTTTGCTTGTGGCGTTCTATCTTATTGCGTTGGGGCAGGTAAATGGGTATGTATACAATCTATTTCCAATCTTTACTCCAGCGTATATTGACTTATTTCAACCAGTGCATCTAAGTTCTCGAGTTTGGCGTTGCGCTCGGCTATCTCACTCGGTATCAACCTGAAGTTCAAAGATGATAGAACACATTATGCATCAAAAGAAGCACGAACTCGTCTCTGGTGGTCAACATTCCTCCTTGAACATCTCGTCACTTCAATAACCGGTCGAATTTCTGGCTGCGGCGAAGGTCTCAGTGCGGTCTTACTTCCTGTCCCGTTTGATGAAGATGGAGCCGAGCGTAACCCTAGCCTTAATGAAATCTTCCGTGACCCAAAGCTGCAGGCGAGTCGTCTCCAGCTGACGTTGTTCCAAACGGACGATGAAGCCCAAGCCGCCTCAGCTTGGCTATCCCAGTGTGAACCATCCTCGACGCTACTATTCCACTGCGAAGTCGACCTCAACATCATTTCGCAGTCCGTCATAAACAGTGTCTACAGCATACAAGGCCTCCGCGAGCCCGCTGGGCAGTTAGAGAACCTCCTCCAGAAATACAGCCGATGTATGGATATCTGGCTGCGCAAAGTTCCCATGCCATATCGATTTACTGTCTCCCCCGAGGATGACACCTTCCTTCCTCCTGGAATCGGACATGTCACGACCAACTACACCCGCGAACGGATTACCCTAGCGATCTACTACTACAGCGCCCGCATAACCCTCTGCCGGCCCTGCCTCTCCCACGCCCAAGTGCCGCTCCAAAAGGCCAGCGAGCGCAGCTCCCGGGCCAGCTTCCGCACCCTGATGACCCTCGCGTGCCTCCGCGCAGCAACAAACCTCCTCTCCATCCTCCCCGATACCCCAGATACGGCCTGGCTCACAACCGTAACACCGTGGTGGGCAATCCTCCACTTCATTATGCAAGCAACAACGGCCCTCCTTATCGGTCTCTCCACTCCCTCCGCGAACGGCACCGAGTCAACTGCCACCACCACCACCACCACCATTTCCTCCTCAACAACAGAACGCGGCAGCATTAAAGACGAAAACACGTCTTCAGAAACAACCCCCGGGAGCCCACCCCTAACCAAAGAAAGCATGGTCGCCCAGACTCAAAAGGCCATTCACTGGCTGCACCATCTCGGCTTCAGCAGCCGCGCCGCACGCCGCGCGTTCATCCTCTGCGAGCGCTTCGTATCGCGGATGGGCCCGAAGCTCGGGATCGACATCGATGCGCTACCTACCAGCGAGGAGTTCCCGCCTGTTGGTGACGTGGATATGGTTGGGACGAGTGATTGTTCTGGAACTGATAGCGGCGGTTGCGACGATGGCTGTGGATTTGGGAATGGACTTGGGGATGGGAGTGGGCTTTTTGCGGACATGTTGATGTCGAATGCGTTGGCGATGGTTGATGATTGATTGAGGGTGTTTTTTTTTTTTTTTTTTTTTTTCTTTCTATTTACTGATTACCTTTCGGATTGATTTGCTTCACTTGGGTGGATTGTATTGCAGTGGTTAGTGGTGAAAACGTGCTGTACATTATTATAAGAATACCTCGGGGCTTAGATTGGCTGGAATATATTTTAATGACATCCATTTTACAAGACTGGCTATCGTTGTAGACTGGAAATAACTCTAGGCTGGATTACCTGGATTAACTACACATTTTCAAGATACCAGCAAAGTACTATCGTAGCAGAATTGGATTACCTACAGTTAGGCAGACACAGCTTATATCCAGGATTCAATATAATCAGGAAACAGGTAAGCAGCTAGATAGAGGAGCCCTGAAGCTTATGCAAGATGGCTTGTTAATAAACCAGATATATTCTTATTACTTCTGTTGTAAGTATTCAAGTTCTATAATTCCAACGCTTTCTCAAATATAGCAGTAATTAACTGCTCGGCCATCTGCACCGTCCACAAATATATTAGGTTCGCAGTCCATGGAAACTCGCTAGAGGGGATTGGTCAACCCCCACTATCATAATCAAGCTTAATGGGTTTCTGAAGAAGTATGTTGGTAATGAACCATGGATGCATGCTTTCGGAGTAACCCGGGGTAGATTTAATCAGGAGACCCCACGAAAGCCGTTCACGCCGTGGAATGGGGTCGATGATGAGGAATCTGAAGGTCTTGTATATTCCATTACGTGTTTTGATCCATGAAAAAGGATTACAGCAAGTCAGGCGATGGAGAAGAGCTGGTTTGAGGGCATTTTATCGGGATATCCGGGTCTGTCACGCGGAGGAGAAGTCGATGTTGAGTTTATAGACCGAAGGGTTGTATATTTTGTGATTTCCAATTCGTCAAACCTGTCTTTGCGTTTGTCCCTGACTCGGGAGATCACCATCTGACCATGAAGAAAATAAAGGTTTTTAGAGTTATCTTTTCCCTATCGGAGGGACAGCCGGCTAGCAGCGGGAGGATTAGCTTTGTGGGGGGAAGCTGGGGTAGAATGATCTAGACTGCGGCGAATATCTGCTCCTGAATAAGGCCACTCTTACTGTTTTCTCGGGGGTCTCCGATGTCCGATGTGGCGTGGATGGTTGTGTGATGGAAATACGTATAGTGACTTCATGAGTTGGGATGGAGGGTTACCGTTTTGGGATATAATTATCTATTTACCTTGGTTATTTGGTATTGCTGGATTAGATGGATTATTTAACAAGCCTACTCCGTATACTAAGTAAGCTTCGTATTCTCAAACGTAAACCCATACTCCTCAAACACCGCACACCTCTCCGTAACACCCGGATTCTTCGCCCTAGACGGCGGCATCCCCAGCGACGCCAGCGTATCTGTCTCATTATCATACCTCTCAATACGGTACCCCCGCTCGCCAAAAATGCGATACGTAGCGGCATAAGCCGGCCCACGCAGCTTCAACATCTCCACGTCCGGATTGGGGTCGTAGGTCCGGAAAAACGCCCCAAAGACATCATTCAGGTACTGCGAGTGGTGCAGGTCACGCACGCCGTGGTAGGGCTGCACATTGAGGGTCTTGCTGTTCAGCGTTCCCCAGGCCGGGAGGACGTCGCTGGCGTGGCAGGTGGCGTTGTAGTTGGGGTTTGGGAAGCAGATGTCGGGCACGCTGGCAGAGTCGTTACTCTGGGCGTGGCCGTCGGTGATTTCGACGTTGTAGAGCGTGGGGAGGCTTGTGGTGCCGCCGTTGCGGAGGAGGTGGGAGAGTGGGCAGGTCCATTCGCTGGCTGTTAGGGCTTCGGCGCCGAGGATGCGGACGGAGTCGTCTTGGGTGTCGTTTGTTTGGAAGGTGGAGGAGGTGACCAGGGCGTTGGCAAGGCCCGGGGGGTATGCGAATTCGAAGAGGAAGTTGAGGAATGTCTGCGAGGAGCCCAGGTTGTCGATTAGCCTGTTGACGTAGAGGGATGATTCATCGGAGACGGTGGTGAACATTGTTGGGACGCGGTTGGGGAGGCGGTTTGTGGCGAGCAGAGTGTGGAATTGGTCGTCTATCACGCCGGTGCCAGACGCGTCAACGACGGGCATGAAGGGCTCGATGGAGGCCAGGAGCGACGAGACGTGCAGCCAGTTGGAGGATACGTCGTCTGCAATTGCGTCCAATGCTTGTGAAAAGGCACTGGAATTACTGAGGAACTTGGTTGCTGGGACGGAGCGGAGGCAAGATACCAGCGAGGACTCGCCGGTGGTGTCGTCGCATCCAACAGCTTCAGCGATATGCGGCGTGATGAGCTCCTTGTATACTTCGCGCGTGTGCCAGGGGAGGTCGACTGGCGCAGACTGGACGAGAGCGCCAGAGAAGAGGCCGCGCGCGGCAGTCGACGAGAGCACGGCGACGACGCTCTGGCCACCAGCAGACTGGCCGAAGATGGTGACATGGGCAGGATCACCGCCGAACGCTGCGATGTTGCGGTTGACCCATTTGAGGGCCTCAATCTGGTCCATGATGCCGTAGCTGCCGGTGGTGAGATTCCCAGTGGAGAGCAGCCCCAGGGCACCAACGCGATAGTTGACCGTCACAACAACGACGTCGTTCCGGCTTGCAAAGTTGCCGCCATCGTAGTCAATCATGGACGCAGTGCCAGAGGTGAAGGCACCGCCGTAGAAGTAGACGGCGACAGGCCGCCGCACAGTGCCGGGGCGGTTGGGCACGACAGGGGTGAACACATTGAGATACAGACAGTCTTCGGAAATGCTCTGCTGGGCTCCGAATGCAGAAACTGTCTGGGTACACGAGCTCCCAAGCTGCGTCGCGTCAAGGCTCTTACGCCCGGAGTATTCACGCGGTGGTGCAAAGCGCAGCTGGCCAACAGGGGGGTCTGCAAAGGGGACCCCAAGGAAGCGGAACGAGCGTGCATCGCGGTATCCGGTCAGAGTGTAGTCGTTCGATCGGACAGTGATCTTGGACGAGGCCACGACGGTTCTATCGATATCCTTCGTAGGGGGCACATTGGAGGTGCAGATAGCCGCGAGTGGGCGGTTGCAGGGAGCAGGAACTGCGCGTCTTTGGCGAAGAGAGTATGCCTGACAGTCGCCGCCAACCCACACATTGTCGTCCGGACCAAGATCCTCAGCATAGACGAGATAGTCTAGCTGATACACTAGCTCGGTGCGGTTGGCATCGGGGGCTGTGTGGAAGGGAAACAGCCTCTCTCCGATGGCCGCACAACGCTCCTTGGCCTGGGAGTTGCTCAGGCGGTCGTGCACCAGGACAGCAGAAGTGCCGTTATTTTCCGCGCTCAGATAGTTGTATTTGAGCGTCTGAAGAGTGCCGAGAGAGTCGGGCCCAGCGGGCTGGCCAGGCGCAGGGCAGCTCGGGGCCGCAAGAGCCTGCGCGCAGACCAGAGTACCAGCGAGGAGGCGGAAGTGCATGATGACCGAGGCTTCACGACTCAGGGCGCAATCTGGTGCAGTTGGATCCGAGGGGCGCCATCTCTTTTATAAATTAACTCTTGCAGCCCGTGCTGGGGCGCATGGCGGGTCAGCTCCAGCGTCAGCGGAGCAGAGGCACCTGCAGCCACGGGGGAACGAACCCCGATCCGTTAGGCATTCCGTCAATCAGGCCAAGAAGGCCAAGCAGGAACAGTTTAGCGAGTGGTTTTGAAGGTGCCGGGACATCCGAAGAGATGGCGTCGTCGCTGGGCGTATCTCGTATCACTAAATTGCGGGGAACAGTGGATGCGACCCAGCAATATCGGCGAGCACGCTGATTGGACACTTCGGCAAGCATCCGTCTGTCCAGCGAACTGTTGTTGTGCCTGGTTGTTGTTTGTTGTTTGTCTTTGGCTGTGAGTCTTAACCCTAACTGCGCAGCCCTGCAGCCCTACTGGCTGTACAACAGCAGCAGCATTCATCTCTTCCTGGACTCAACCGCAACTAAGATCTGACCTAGATCTCTCGATGCATGAGTTATACTTCATTCAGATTCTGAATCACCGGGCCACCACTCATCTGAATTCGGCATAGTTATTCACTAATTATACGGAATAGCAATTAATATGCTGTGATGATGGTTAAGCCAATCCTGATGCCTGATGAGTCAGCATGTAAATAGTGTTGCCTGCACTGCCTCATCCATCCACGGCATCCGCTGCATCCTGCATCGTAACACCCTGCCCGAGTGTCACTCTTCCACGCGCCAATTGCCGAATTACGTTGCACAGCGGTCGAACTGTATACAAGCGGAGTCCAAAATGGGCGAACCCACCCTTCCATTACTTTCTAGGCGCGAGGTGGAAGCTTTAATCGCCGAAGGCGGGTTGGTCTTCATCCTCAACCAGTTCGTCATCAGGGCCAATCCATGGATCCCATACCATCCTGGCGGCGAAAAGGCTATTATGCACATGGTCGGCCGCGATGCCACGGACGAGGTCACCGCGTGTGTTTGAATTTATCTTGTGGTTGGTTCGTGCTCTGACATGCTGTATACATAGTCTACACTCCGCCGAGACAAAAGAACGGATGAAGCGGTATCGCATCGGGAGAATCCAGGGCCGATGGACGAACTCCATCCCGCCGATCCAGGGAGGCAAATTCAGGTCGCTTTCTGACGAAGCCGAGGCAGCCGACGGTAGCGAGGCCAGCTCGTCTAGCTCTCGCGACCCATCACCGGTCTTCGACGGGACATTCCGACGCCGCGGTGGAGCAGAAGAGGGTCTATCCAGCTCGGCATCGGTGACCTCTGTGTCATCTGCTGAAGAGGACGATGGGATGGCCCACCTTGATACCGTCACTCGAGAGAAGATCAGCCTGGACCTGGACAAATACCCTCCGGTCGACTACGAGACGCAGGACACTATCGTCGCCAAGTACCGGCTGCTCAACGACCGCATTGAAGCAGAGGGGCTATACCAGTGCAACTACCGTGCATACGCAGTGGAAGTATGTCGGTACCTCCTCCTCTTCGGCTGTATGCTGCTCACGCTGCACTGGGGCTGGTATGCTGTGAGCGGAGTATTCATGGGCGCAGTCTGGCACCAGCTGGTCTTCATCGTCCACGACGCCGGACACATGGGGATAACACACAACTTCCAAATCGACTCGTGCATAGGAATATTCATCGCAGACTTCATCGGCGGCCTCTCCGTCTGCTGGTGGAAGCACAACCACAACGTCCACCACATCGTCACCAACTCGCCCGAGCACGACCCCGACATCGAATACCTACCTTTCCTCGCCCTCTCGCACCGCTGCTTCACCTCCCTCCGCTCCTCCTTCTATGAACACATCATGTCCTATGACACCCTCGCTACCTTCCTCATCCCCTTCCAGTCCTACACCTACTACCCCCTCATGCTCTTCGGCCGCTTCAACCTCTACCGCCTCTCCTGGTCCTACCTCCTCAGCAAGAACGTGCCCCGCAAGGGCCCAGCAAAATACCACTGGTACCTCGAAATCCTCGGCCAAACCGTCTTCTGGACCTGGTACGGCTACGCCATCCTCTACCGCACAATCCCAACCCTCTCAGGCCGTCTCGCCTTCTTCTTCATAAGCCACATGGTCCAAGCCCCGCTACACGTGCAATTCACCCTCTCGCACTTCGCAATGAGCACAGCAGACCTGGGCCCATCCGAGTCCTTCCCGCAGAAAATGCTGCGGACAACAATGGACGTTGATTGCCCGGCCTGGCTGGACTTTTTCCACGGCGGGTTGCAGTTCCAGGTTATCCACCATTTGTATCCGCGCATCCCGCGCCATAATTTGCGCAGGACGCAGGTTCTTGTTAGGGAGTTCTGTGACGAGGTGGGTATTCCTTATGCGCTTTATGGGTTTGTGGATATGAATCGGCAGGTGGTGGGTGCTTTGGGCGAGGTGGCGAGGCAGGCGAGGGTTTTGGCGAAGTGTCAGAAGGTTATGGCTGGTGGGCATGAGCATGCCAATTAATTCGCTTGGATATATAAGCTTGTATAGTAACTACAATGACTAAGTAAATAAATCTCTTGTTTGTCTTGTTGGTTTCTGTGCTATACATACTGGTTTTATACTACAGCGGGAAAGACCGGAGCAACTGGAACTACAGGGACAGCTTGGTAGTAGATCCAGATGCGTATCAGATTACGCATTTGGATGCTGGATTCGCGGATTATACTATGTAAGATATAGGTAAATATGCACAGCCACCTCCCTGGAACCCGACAAATAGCAACATATAATCGAATCAAGATGGATAGAGACAGATTATGGTATAGAGAACAGGAAACAAACATGCAGCAGACGATGCCGGCTATGGAACAACAAACTGGACAGGCATGAATCAGTGGATCAAGACAAGAAATGTAAAAAATAAAAATAAAAATAAAGCAGGCAAATCGTTATGAATCAAATACGAAGATAACAATGATGAGTGATGCGCCGGAACTGTACGTATTACGCGGATATAACTGAATAATCGGTATGTATGTATGCTCAATAACACCAGTCAATAAACAATAGAAGGTTGACGCCGAAGAGAACAAATCTCTAGTGCTATAGTTGATGTGGCATTATATACGCTCGTTTGCGAGGGTCGTCATCGAGGACCGAGCCGGGGCGCTTTTGGCCCTGGTTCAACGTCATCGGTGAGCCCGGTTGGGCTTGGTGTTGTGTGTGTGAGAATTGCGGGTAGTGGAGAGGGTGTTGATGATGGGAGAGGGAGTGTTGGAATTGTGGATATTGCGTGTGATGCATCTGTGGCTGCATCTGCGCATGGAACTGCGTTTGATACGCTTGTGGGTGGGAGTGAGGGTATGGAAGAGAGTTGGCCGGGGCTTGTCCCTGTCCCTGAACATGGCTATGAGTTGGAGCCTGTGAGACTTGTCCATGAGCGTGAGCCTGCATTTGCGGTTGCGGCATTTGGTGGGAAGGCCGCTGGGTTTGGGCCTGCAACGGTGACGGCGCCTGTCGTTGGGACTGAGTGTGCATTTGGGCCTGCATTTGAGACTGAGGCTGAGTTTGCATCGGCGACGGCACCTGTCGCTGAGTCTGGCTATGCATCTGAGCTTGCATTTGAGGCTGCGTCTGAGGTTTAGACTGCATTTGCTGAGCTTGAGGTTGAGTCTGAGGCTTGGTTACCTGCGCTTGCACCTGGGGTTTGCTCTGCATCTGCTGAGTTTGCATTTGAGGTTGAGCCTTCTGAGGCTGGACCTGCATTTGAGGCTTAGCATGTACCTGGGCTTGCATCTGAGCTTGGGCCTGCACATGTGACTGAGGCCTCTGGCTCGCCGCCTGCATCTGCGGTTGCGCTTGCATGGGTTGGGCTTGTCGCTGGGAACTTTGCATTTGACCTTGCATGTTCTGCATTGGGTTTTGCACCTGCCGTTGGGCCTGCGTGTGTTGATTGTGCTGGCTATGTTGGCTATGCTGGGAATGCATTCCCTGGGCTTGCATATGAGACGTTTGCATTTGGGGTTGTGTCTGCATCTGCGCCTGCATTTGAGCCTGCATCTGGGGCCTCTGTATTTGAGCTTGAGGTTGCTGAGGCTGGGTCGATGCTTGAGCATGCGTTTGAGCGTGGGGATACCCGTGCGTTTGGGCAAGCGCATTAGGCTGTGGTTGGGCCCCAGCTTGAGTTCCAATTTGTGCCTGCTGGTTGACCTGGCCAGTTTGGAGGACCTGACCAACATGATTTACCTGTCCGGTTTGGTTAACCTGCCCAGGTTCGCCAGACTGACCGCTCTGAGACTGTCCCGCAGCGGCGGCTTGTTCTGCTTCCAACTTCTTCCTCGCTTCCACATCCACCTTCCTCGGCCGGCCGCGAGGCCGTCCCGTGCCTTTCGGCTTTGTCGGATCCCGTGGTGGTCTTGGCTTACGAGGCGTATCACCTGTCTCAGATTTACGTGGACGTCCACGTTTGCGCTTCTGAGGGATGGGGTTGCCATCCGGGCCAATAATCGGAGCTGGAGCTCCTGGCGCACCAGATGTACCAGAGGCGCCAGCAGACGCAGCTGAAGCGGGCGGCGCAATTGAAAAAGGTACACCCACGCCTGGAATGGCAGCGAGACCGGGCGGCAACGCGGCGATCGCAGCGGATGGGTCACCTGGATTCTTCGGCTTCTTGGGCTTCCTTGGTTTCGTCTCGTCCCCGGGCTGCTTTCGCGGACGGCCTCGCTTTTTTGGCGTATGATTCGGGTCACCTGGTTTCGTCGGCTTCTGTGCTGAGTTTTCCGAAATAAACGTCATGGGCGCCTTCCCATTCATGTGGTTGGTTGCCTGAGCTGACGGTTGGGGTACTGGTTGACTGGCTGGCTGGTCCTGGGGTGCGTGATTTTGGGGCACTGGCGGTTGAGACGCGGGGAATTGAGAACCGGGCAATTGGGATCCAGGGACCTGGTTTGTGGCAGGGTGAGGCGGGGCGTTAGCCGGAGTGGGCTTCGGCTGCTTTTCCTTCTTGACAGCAGGTTTCTTTTTCTTAGGCTCTCGAGTCGCGGAGCCCTGGGAAGCAGTCGGCTGTTGCGATTGTTGTGGTCGCGGTGCCTGTTGCTGCTGCAACTGCGGCGTGCTCTGCTGTGACACCTGAGGTGTTTGTTGCTGCGGCTTCTGCAGTAGTGATTGCTGGGGAGACTGAGAGCTATGAGACTGTGCTTGCAAATGGTACTGGTGTTGTTGGGGAGTCTGCGAAGTGTGCATTTGCGGCGACTGCAGCTGGTATTGTCCCTGGGGGTACTGGCGTTGGTATGCATATTGGAGCTGGGGGTTCTGCATCTGTGCCTGGTATGGCGACCGTTGGGCTTGCTGAGCTTGTTGAGCGTAAAGTTGTTGATAAGGCTGCTGGTTCGACAGATTTGGTTGATTTGGTTGTGCCTGCTGTGCCTTCTGGCTCTGCTGAACTTGTTGGACCTTCTGGGGCTGCTGAGTTTGCTGCTGGGTCGTTCGATGTGCTTGCTGGGAGTGCTGTGCTTGCATATTATGAGCATTTGAGCCTTGAGAAGCCTGTCCTGGTTGCGCCTGTTGGCGGGCATGCACTTGCGATGATTGAGAAGCCTGCAAAGGTTGTGACGCCTGTGAAAGCTGGATCGGAGAAGCTTGGGAAGATTGAGGGAACTTCTGAGCTTGTTGGGCGTGGTTTTGCACTTGATGTTGCGGCTGCTGAGTGTGCGCTACATGCTGAGCGGATTTTGGTGCCTGTTGTTGATAGCTCTGGTGTACCTGCGGGCTCGACTGTGATGCCTGGGCCGATTTCTGTACTTGTTGCTGCTGATAGCCTGGCTGACTCAATTGTGGCATCTGCTGGGCTGGCCTCTGCGCCTGCGGCTGCTGGTAGCTTTGCTGAGCCGGCTGGGTCGATTGAGGGACCTGCTGGGTCGGCTTTGGTTGCTGATAACTCTGCTGACTGAACTGGGGTACCTGCTGAGCTGGCTTTGGAGCCTGAGCTTGCTGCTGTTGGTAGCTCTGTTGGACCTGCTGGTTTGGCTGTGATACTTGCTGCGCCGACGGCTTTTGCACCTGCTGCTGATAACTCTGTTGACCTTGCTGACTCGACTGCGGTACCTGCGAGGCTGGCTTCTGTACTTGCTGCTGCGCTGGCTGCTGTTGTTGTTGATAGCTATGCAGCTGCTGATACGGAGGCTGCTGTGCTTGTGAATACTGCGGATACTGAGTCTGAGACAGATACGGGGAATGCTGAGGCTGTGCTTGATACTGAGCCTGCTGGTTCTGCCGATATTGCGTAGGCTGCTGTGCTTTCTGTTGAGACGGTTGATACTGAGAAAGTGATTGCGGCTGTGTCTGCTGCTGGTATTGGGTCGACTGCTGTTGTTGATATGGAGAAGATTGCTGATACTGCTGCTGCGTATATTGATGTTGCTGTTGCTGTTGCTGTTGCTGTTGCTGTTGCTGTTGCTGTTGCTGTTGAGGGTTAGTCGAGAGCATTGGTGAGGCAGCAGAGGTAGGTGTTGATGTTGATGCTGTAGGGTGTGTATGTGGTGATTGTCGATGTTGGACGTGCTGCGGTTGTAACCGATCTAACGACTGCTGTGGAGAAGACGTACTCATCGCCTGCGTATGCGGCGATAGAGCGGCTTGTGAGTTCAGTGGGACATGCCGGTAATTGGCTACCGGGTTCGTGTTCCTCTGCAGACTCTGCAGCGAAGAAGAGAGATATGGGCTTTTCAGTTGCCCGATTGGGTCCGTGCTCCTGGACAGCAAGTCCGATGTACTCGTGGGCTGCTGGAACTGCCCAGAGAACGAGCTGAAGCTCGTCCCGGCTGGTAGACCACCTAACGATTGCGACGTCGTGGTGGTCATGTTGCGGAGACTGGGCGAGAGAGCCGTTATATCGGCTTGCTGTTGCGGCCGAAACAGAGAACTGTTAGTGCCAAACGCATTGGCGTTCTGCCGCTGGGCGGCGGCCGCGCCAACGGCCGGCGACTGCATGTGCTGCTGCTGTGGATGAGCATTTTGCTGGGATTGCTGTTGCTGGTAGTAACTGTGGCCCCCATATCCCATCATTTTGAAGAAGGTACTCTGACAGATACACCGACTTTAATTGATGGTCAGAGTCGGGCCACGTTTAGACCAGACATGCAATCGGGCGTGACGAGGACACGATTAGCGGCGCAGGCTAGTGCAGTGACAATTAATCGGCCCAGTCAACGCTCCCCCAGCTCCACCAGCAGCAGCAGTCGTCGCAGGAGAATCAGTAGTCAGGGTGGAAAAGCGCCGCCGCGAAGACGCGCAGAGAGAACGCGTTTCTGGGCGACAATTTGCCGTGTTGGTCGGCAACAACTGGAGAAAGTCAAACGTGGAGTCGCTCGGCCTGTCAGCGCCGGATCAGCGAATGAGCGGGCGCCGTGCGGAGAGGGTCCCGTGACCACTTTCCGGCCTCAGGCAGCGAATGCTACGGCAATCGGAAGAGGCCAGGTGGCGCAAAATGGGGAGACTGAGCGAGAAATCTCAGCTCGCCCCCGACCGGCAAAGAGAAGGGCAAGAAGGGGCTGCCAAACCGCGGGACAGCCGTCGAGAAAAAGATCCCAGGGCGTTTCTGAGATCTGGGAAGCTGGGGTCGGCCGAGGTGAGGTGATGGATTGCGGTCGCTTTTCGATGGGCGCCGTCCTTTTTTTTTATTTTATTTAATTATTTTCTTTTGGGATTTTTGAATTTTCTGAATTTTGATTTTCGATTTTGCTGGCACACTCCGCATCACGTGAGAACCCCCTGGCTGGCCACTCACAGGCCTTTCTCGTCGGGCACGCAACCAGGCACCCATGGGTCGGCGCCAGATGGTTCGACAACTTATCTAATAACGTGTGGAAGCTTGAGCTAATGCTAAATTTATCGATATTAGCTCTGTTACCCCAGATATTTATATACAGTATCCAGCCTTATATATCGCCGACCACGAACCCACCCAACATTCCAGACCTTACATTAGTGGATTAACCCTCGTATATTAAACCGTCCCAAGCAGCCGGTTATGGATTCTCGCCAAGATGCCCTATATATATAATATATTTCCATGCGCTGAGTAATGGCTATGCGACTTTGCTATCATCTTTTCCATCCTCGTTGACTCCTAGCTCTGCTAGACATGGCGCATGGAACATTTGGCCGGATATTACGCCCTTTAAAGTCCCTACACTGACCACAATCCATAACGCAACCACGCAAAGCGAAATGATCTACTTAATGTTAGGGAAAAGCTATTTCGAAGAAAGCAGAAGGGCAAAAAATGACTTGCCGTCCCTAAAACCCGGAAAAACGCCGATGGAAGCTCCGCTCCGATCTGGCAAGTACATGAAGCATACGCCCCGATGGGAAAAGTGAACCCCCACCATCCAATATTGAATGGGAACGTCTTGCACCGTGCAATAGAAGCGGACGCAAAGAAGAGCCACACCAGACCAAAAGCCCACAAGATGAGCCCGACCAGGAAACCCATCGCCTGGAATGTTGGCCCGGATAGCTCCTGGAGCGTGTGAGTCTCGGGGAAGATCGTTTGTGCGGCTTTCCCAAGTTTCATCGCCCTGTATAATGTAAGTCGTTGGTTTCCTAAGCCATACGGACAAGGTGTACATACGCGTATCCTCCCGATCCAAATGGTCCTAGAGGGAGAAAGACACTAACGATTATGGCCTTTGGAGGAATCTTGTGCAGCGTTAACCGCTGCAGGTATATCACCATGACCATTAATGCCAGGGGCAGCCCAATACCCCAGAGCACGTAGCTGGCTATCACAGTCCAGAGGGCATGTTGTGGATTTGGTAGGATATCGGCCACTATTGCTCCTGACGAGGCGGCGACGGGGCAGCTGACGATAGGAAGCAACCATACTGCTGTCATTGACGAGAGCTGTGTTTCATCTTTTCTGGACATTCTGTGAATGAATTAGCTGTGCCACATAAAATGATGAGACTGTCATACAGCGCAAATGGTAACGATAGAGCAGTTACTACAGAGACAACGGCGTCAATAATCCAGATGGTCCACGCGAATGTCTGCGCCCACGAACCCCAGGCGGGAACGCAAATAAAGCAAAACATGTTGACGATAGTCGCAAATCCCATCGGTACCGTTCCGATAAACATGGACTGCACTGGGTGCGAGATCATTGCCCAAAATATCTCCGGGTATAGCGCATAACGAAGGGCCGATATAGTGCAGGCCACAGCAAAGAGCAAGACGTTCAAAGCAAAGACAACGGTAGATACCCAATACAGCCATTTTGCATTATATGGTAGCATGTATAATAGCATTGACACGATTCCGGTGCCCATGGTGACGGAGAACCACCTGGTCTTGTTAGTTTGGTTTTCATAGATGCGGCATGCCAGGAGCGTACGAAGGTGTAAAATTGCGCACCACTCTCCTCCATCCCACATCATGCTTGGTGATCTCTGGTGGTATCGGATCGGGACCTTCAGCTGCCATGGTTTCATGAGCGATATGTTGGGCCGATTCTTGAAATATGTGCCTTCCGTCGTGGTTAGTCGAGGCAACTTGACTTCACGCTTCAAATTACCAACACGCAAATTAAAACACTCACCCGCGATAGGCCGCTGGGTATGAGAATAACACTGGCATAAGGCTGAGCTGTTGATATTGTGACTCAAGTCTGGTCTGATGAAAATTTGATAGCGACCCGCCGGCTACTCTTGGGGATCCACCACAGATTGCGTGCCGTGAGAAAACATCGAAACAGTGCAAGTCGAGAAGCAGAAGGTATTCTCGTCTTCTCAAGAGTGCACAAGTTGGTATATTTGTACAAGGTGTGAAAGACCCATGTTCAAAATTGAAGCTTAATTGTCCTCCAACTGGCTGGTCCAAACTAGATAGTTCGATGAGGAGCCCTACCTGTAGATCCGCGATTTCAACATTCGTCACCCAACAAAGTTATCTAATTATTCGGTACGATAAGACCTGAGTGAGGTTTAAATTTTCTGATTTTGGCAGTGACTGGATGTCATTGCCCTTTTCTTGAATTATTTGGTCGAAAATAATATTACCGGCGGAAGGCAGCGGAAGAAACGACAACATAGTTCATAGCTCACCCTTCACGTATCCCCTAGAGATGGGACATCCGGAATGTTTCATGGCCGGCTTTTTCCAGAAATTGATCGTATCACTCTGCCAGTATCTTCCGCCGCGTCTCGGTCTAGAATGGCGGGTCGCTTGTCAAGTAAGCTTAATATAGATAAAACAGCCCAACGAGCGCCTAGCTAGTGTGCCTGCGTTTCATCTTGGCTCATGAAAGTTCTCAATCGGTTAAACGCTTATCAGACTGACACAGTCGAGTTCGAAGAAGACCGAGACTGGAGACGGAGACGCAGAGGCTTTCTCTGCACCAGGTGGAGCCCCATATCCACCGGCGAAAGCTGCGGCGCCGACGGCTTCAGAAGAAATACACAAGCCAATAATATCGCAGTCAGGCTCGATGGACCGTGCTCCAGTTGTCAAGCTTTAGAGAAGCTTGTCCCCACTCTGTGGGAACGGACGCTTTCTCGGAAGCGATGAGACGATGGCTTTCAAGCTCAAACAACCGTCCTTGGTAATTTCTGCTATATCAAGAAAAAGGCCAGGCCGGGTCTATATATAAGGATGGAAATGGTACTTGGCGAGCGCGCTGTTTGACTTTTGCCCGAGCACTCAATATCAAATCATTATCGTCGCAATGCATGTCGGTCGCCTTTTGCTCTTTTTGGCCCCTTTGCTTGTAAAGGCCCAGCTCTCTGGTAGCGTTGGGCCTCTTACATCGTCCAGTGACAAGAGTCAGACTAAGACTTGCAATGTTAAGGATTACGGCGCAGTAGCCGACAAGTCTACAGACATTGGGCCTGCGCTCTCATCTGCCTGGGAGGAGTGCTCCTCTGGAGGAGTTGTCTACATTCCCCCAGGCGACTACGCGATTTCGACATGGGTCAAGCTGTCCGGCTGTGAGGCCTGTGCTATCCAGCTTGACGGAATCATTTACCGAACTGGGTCCGACGGCGGCAACATGATCATGATTGAGCACTCCTCCGATTTCGAGTTCTTCAGCAGTACCTCCAAGGGTGCAATCCAGGGGTACGGGTATGAGTTCCATGCCGAAGGCTCCTCGGATGGTCCCCGGATTCTGAGGCTCTACGACGTATCTGACTTCTCCGTGCACGATGTGGCGCTTGTGGATGCCCCTGTCTTCCACTTCTCGCTGGACACCTGCTCAAACGGCGAGGTATACAACATGGCGATCCGTGGTGGCGATTCAGGAGGATTGGATGGGATTGACGTCTGGAGCGAGAACGTGTGGATCCACGATGTATGTTGGGTTCTGGGTCCATTGCGGCTTGAGAGAAGCTAACGGGAGTAGGTCGAGGTCACAAACAAGGACGAATGTGTCACTGTCAAGGTATACAGCCCGTCCGCTTATAACAGTCTTATAACAGCAGATCTAACAGTGTGCAGAGCCCGGCCAAAAACATCCTCGTTGAGAACATTTACTGCAACTGGAGTGGAGGCTGCGCGATGGGGTCCCTAGGAAGTGACACGGAAATCTCCGACATTGTCTACCGTAACGTTTACACCTGGAAGTCGAACCAAATGTATATGGTCAAGAGCAACGGAGGCAGCGGAACCGTGTCCAACCTCGTGTTGGAGAACTTCATCGGTATGTTACTCCCCCCATGCAGTCGTGAAATACTGACGGCTCAGGCCACGGAAACGCGTACTCGCTGGGCATTGATGCTGAATGGAGCAGCATGAGCGCCGTAGACGGCGATGGGGTCGAGCTGAACAACGTGACGGTTCGTAACTGGAAGGGCACCGAGGCAGACGGAGGACAGCGAGGCCCGATCAAGGTGGTCTGCGCGTCCGGGGCTCCATGCACGGAGGTGACGATCGAGGACTTTGCGATGTGGACCGAGTCCGGAGACGAACAGACGTACCGCTGCGAAAACGCGTTCGGCGAAGGCTTCTGTCTGCAAGAGGGCGACGGCTCGTCTGGATACACAACAACACAGACCGCCTCCACCGCGCCGTCTGGCTTCCCCGCACCCCGCATGCCGAACGATCTCGACTCGGCGTTTGGCACCGACAGCGAAATCCCCATTCCCACCATCCCAACCTCCTTCTATCCAGGAGCGACCCCCTACAGTGCCCTCGCCGGAGCTGCATCGTCTGCAGGCTCGTCAACCCCTGCTGTGAGCGACCGTGCAAGAGCCACCCCGCCCGCGACTGGGTCGATCAGTCTGTCTTTGTCATCCACCGCCGACCCAACACGTGTTGTGAGCACTGCGACCAGCTCGACTCCCCTTCCTTCCTCTCCCTCTTCCTTGGATGCACAAGCCCCTCTAGAAACACATGGGCACTCTCATCATAAACACCATTGTCGTGCCCACTGACCGGTTACTACTGTCTTTGGGTTGAATGCGAGGTCGACCTCATTTTTGTTTGCTAGCTTTGGTCAATCCTACTTTTGTTTATGAATCCAACGCTTCTAAAATTATCCTTGGACCGTGTCACTTTTAAATGCTACACATCTAAAGGCGAATAACGACCGTGTCATTGAGGAAGCTACGATGTTCCTCTCCTTTAACCCATAAGCCTTCGGCCTCGTGGATATCCTTACCCTCATCCTCAGCGTTCCCTTCGTGACAAATCTTTCAAACTTCCAGAACCATATATATATATCAAAATGTCTTTTCACACGGATTCCGAGCCCTCCAGCCCCAATCTCGCACCGGCGTCCGAAACCGTGCCTTTGAATCGTTCCGCAGACCTCGACGCCCCGTCCGCTTACAAGCTCAATGCGAATGTGCTGAATCGCGCCATCCAGGATATCGGCATGGGGCGGTATCAATGGCAGCTATTTGGAGTTGTCGGGTTTGGATGGGCTTGCGATAATCTATGGCCTATTGTTACATCTCTGATACTTGTTCCCGTTACATACGAATTTCACGCTTCCCAACCGCCCCTCCTACCTCTGGCACAGAACCTAGGCCTCTTGCTTGGTGCACTGTTTTGGGGATTCGGCTGCGATATTTTTGGCCGACGAATGGCCTTCAACGTGACAATTGGAATCACGGCCGTGTTCAGCTTGGCCGCCGCCGCGTCCCCAGGTTTTACAGCCGTCTGTTTATTGGCGGCTCTCTGGTCAACAGGTGTTGGTGGAAATCTTCCTGTGGATTCGGCCATCTTTCTTGAGTTTCTTCCTGGGTCACACCAATATCTGCTCACTATCCTCTCGATCAACTGGGCCCTGGCGCAATTCCTGGCGAACATCGTCGCATGGATGTTAGTGGGAAGGTACACTTGCGCCTCTGCCGATGGATGTACAAGATCCGAGAATGTGGGCTGGCGATACTTTATCGCCACCATGGGAGGACTGGCGCTGGTGATGAGCGTCACCCGCTACTTTTTCTTCACTCTCCTCGAGTCCCCTAAATTCCTCATGGGGAAGGGAGAACATTACCAAGCCGTTGCTGTTGTCCATGAAGTTGCTAAACGCAATGGGAAAACCTGTAACCTGACTACCGATGAATTGTATGACTGCTCGATTGGCGAAAATGGAGATGGCAGACGGGAACATTACTCCCACCGTCGGGGATTGACCTTACATGACCGGTTGAAACTTTTGCTAGAGCCCTTCACACTCACACAGCTTCAATCTCTATTCTCCACTCGGCGCCGCGCTTTGGCAACGACTCTCCTGATCTGTATCTGGGGTTTGATTGGCATCGCTTTTCCTTTATATAACGCCTTCTTACCGTACCTGCAGCAGCAGCGTGGGATAGAATTCGGAGATGGCTCCACATACTTGACATATCGCAATTCGCTGATAATTGCTGTCGCATCAATTCCCGGTAGCCTTGCCGGTGGCGTGATGGTGGAGATGCGCTCGTTGGGGCGCAAAGGTACGCTGACCCTCGCGACGATAATGACAGGGGTGTTCCTCCTCGCATCCACAACCGCCACGACATCCTCCTCCTGGTTGGGCTGGAATTGCGGCTACGGTTTTAGCAGCAGTCTTGTCTATGCTGTGCTGTACGCATACACGCCAGAAATCTTCGAGTCCAGAAATCGCGGAACGGGCAATGCCATTGTTAGTGCTGCAAACCGGCTGGGCGGCATTCTGGCGCCTCTGGTAGCGATGGGCACGGATTTGAAGAGCACAGCGCCGGTCTATATGAGCGGGGTGATATTCTTAGTAGCTGGTGGGTTGGTACCTTTGGTTCCGTACGAGTCCCGCGGAAGGGCAAGTGTGTAGTAGACTTGTAGCCCTCGTTTAGCTAGCATTTATCATTTGAATAGATAGATCCAACCAATTGCGAATTCTCAGTCCTGGCCGAGGTCCTGATAAACTTGCAGTCTCCATGCAACCGAAGGCTGTCTGGTTCTCGAACAGGTTCTGAATGGCTACAAAGAACCAAAACGGCGGCGTGCATGAAGCGCGTGCATCTTGGGCTCCTTATGCTCCCAATCATACGACCAGCAGACAGGCCATTGTCCAGTCTCCGTGGTTTTTGTTGCAGCGCGAGGCTTGAGTTGTCGAGTTGGGCTCCCCCGCAGTGGAGCAGCAGCAGCCACGATGGGTGCCTGACCGCCAGACAATGATGCCTGTCAGAAGACAACCTCGCCCTGTTTATCATTGCTTTGGGTGAGATTGGCCTGTTTTCATTTCTTTCACCTCTTTTGCACCTCCGGCTTCTCTCCTGGCCTGGCCTTCTACAAATCTTAATGCAACAACAGTCCTTGCTGCTGTCAGATGCCTGCGCTGTATCTTGAATCTTGTCCGACCATGGCCTCCTTCGCCTACGATCATGAGGCGGAGTTTTGGGGCACGTTAATCAATCCCGACAAGAGTCCCTCCCCTTTGCTTGAACAGTTGTGTTTAGGAATTGCCCAGGTGATAGTAAGTTGGAACGAACCGGTCGGAGATATTAGAGAGCCATTGAGCACGGCGCTTACCCAATTGCTCTGGGTAGACCTCGTTTGACAACTATGCGATTCCCGATCTCACCCCAGAACGCCTGGCTGCATTCTACCGAAAGGTCGGTGGCAACTACGATGTCCTGTTCCTCGATACCAAGCCTTCGGCCCTCTCCTTCATTTACCAGCGCCTCGGTTGCTTCCACAGCATACAGCCCACCGCCGATCCGTACAAACCCCCATCGATCCCCGCCCTGCAACCTCACGGTTTCGTGCGATGGCAGACGATCCAGATCCTTTTAGACCCCGACGAGCATGTCTCCTATATCCAGAATGCTGTTGCGCGATGGGACATCTTCAGCCCTAATGGAACCGTGTTTCCAAAGTCGATTCCCCGCGAGGCATTCCCCGCAGAGCCAGACCCAGAGATGATCCAGTGGCATGAGACCGTCAGCCAGAAGTTCGAGTTCGACTACTGGAAGAAGAAGTGTGTTCGCTCGCCCCCTTCCACATTCGGTGCATACCAGAACCAATTCAGCAGCCCAAAGGAAAGCCCAACAAGTAAGGAAGAGGAGTTTGTCCAGAGCCACCACCCGAGATCGTCGTCGTCTAGTTACCGTTACCCAGCCCCCGCCGACCCGCAAACATCCCGCCGCCATCAAAGACGCCAGAGCGCTGAAGTCCCTCCAAGCAATCTGCACAAACCGCAGACCAGCGTACCTCGTCGCTCGGCCGAATTCGCTCCGACCGGCTACGACTCGCCTCGCGCTCCATCACCTCCAGCATGGCCAAAGCATGCATCGTCAAAAAGCCGCGGCCGCGAGCGCAAGACCTACTCTCGCCCCGTTAGCCCTGACCAAATCCACGGGCATAGCTCCTCAGATGCATCGTCAGAGGGCTCCGGCACCGCAACGGGAGAACCAGCATCGCCTCCCCCACGACACGACTACCACCGCAACCTCTCCCCGCCGTACGCGCCAAACGCTCGTCGACACTCACACGAAGCATACTCACGCAGACCGCGGGAGGTTTCACCAGAGTCCCAAAGACGTTACGCTTACCGCGATGCATACAACTCCAGCTCCAACAGGATGTACGACTCAGATAGCGGGCGTGGGGCGCGACAGCCTCGTGTATACATCGACGAAGTGCGCCAGTCACGAACGCCAGTACCCGATCCTGCCCCTGGCCCTGGCCCTGGCCCTTCAGGGTATCGAGATCCTGTATACGGAGGGTCCTCCACCGTCCCGACAAGCCCAGTCTATGGACACGTTCACCCGGTACATCCCGGTCATCCGCGATTCGTCAATGTAGGCAGCCCTGGGTACATGGTGCACCCGCAACCCGAGCTCGACGCAAATGTCATGGACGATCCAAGACGAAGTAGCTATCGCGGTGGCAGCTTGACCCCGAACCCAAGCGGGAGCGCGACGTATGGGCGGCCGCGATTCGCTTCTGTTGGCGACTTTCAGCCGCCGCGGTGGGCGAGTATGCATGTACCCGGGCCTGGACCTCCGCCTGGACTCGGGTCTGGACCTGGTAATGGTGGACGGGGGATTCCTCCTGGGATAATTGAAGCGGATTACGGTAGACGATCGACCTTTTATGACCGATAAATATAATTTGTATCGATGAATTGTACCGATTGCTTTTGGTGGTAAGAAAAGATCATATATTTACTGACATTCTAGTATGTGCGTTGGCGTTTGGTTGGATGGTATGGGCCCGTTATGATATGACGCGATGCACGACTTGACTGCTTACTATTTCTTTTCCCTTAGTGTTTTAGGTGCAGGTATTGATTTGACTGACGCATTGCTTGCATGTGCCGATGGACACGACTTACCGAGCGGGGTTCTCGACCCCAGCCAGCTTATTTACGATTTACGACGTGACGAAATAAAGGGTAGAGGGCGTTATTCTACTCGCATGGGTTGCCCTTGTCTTATGATTTTTCGTTCTCTCTTTGTTAGTTATGCTGTTTGTATCTAGCGTTGTCGGTTTAATATATTTTGATGGGTTCTACTCTGTGCACACTCGGTCCAGCCTCAAGAATTCTCCGATCTTCACTATGTTTTAGACTCTAGATCGTGAGAAACATGCAAAAGAACATCTGCATAGAATCTGTGTATTAAGTTTTCTCCTGTAAACTTACCCAGGGACTCGACTGAGAAGCAGCTGAGTTGGTGCCAACTGAGGCAAGGGATGTAAACTCAATCCCTCATTCACCACCATCCAGACATCCTCCACAGCCAAGCCAAGCCCACATCTTCTCGAATCGCAGAAGGACCGAGACTAAAGCTGCAAAACCCTGAAATCGCGAACAAGAACTTACGAATCAGTCTTCCGAGCCCCGATTCCAAGTCTCCATTGCGCTATGATCTACAGTGGAGGCTGCCAGCGTTGACGTCAGTATGAGACAGCGGGAACAAAGGCACAGAATATATCCTGGTTGAGGCCTCCAGCCCCGCGATTATTTCGGAAGACCCTTTTCTTTCTCGGACCTTTTCACTCTGCAGGTCATACCCTAGCATCGGGGTGTTTCTGAGCCTCGATTTCTTTTCATTTTTGCTGATTGATTGGGATAACCAGTCACTTTACGCTGGTTTCGAGTCAATATGGTATGTCTATACTATACCTTGGGTCTATACCCATGGTTCTGCCCTCCACACGGTCCATCGGACCTGACCCTGAGTCTGGCCCTGACAACGAACCACGGTTTCCACCGTTTACTCCCTTCATGTACGAAAAGAGAAAAGAAACGCATACTAACCACCTGCCAAAACCAGGCCCCAATCACCTTATCATCACTGCCCTCCCTCTCCTCAACGTCCTCATCAAGACTAGACGCAGACTCAACCCCGCACCTCCTCCCTCGACAATCCTCCGGCTCCGGCTCCTCAGGCTGCAACTGCCCAAGCACAATCTCCGGCGGCGCCATCGCCGGAATCGTAATCGGTTCAATCGCTGGAACACTGCTGCTCATCTGGCTGTGGCGCACATGCATGACCACCACGGCCCTCAACGAGGCCGAGAAGACGGGCGCGCCGATCTATACCAGCTCTTCGGGGTATCCGACGAATGAGACGACGACGCATCATAGACGGAGGAGACGGCGGGTGAGCCCTAGCTATGAGTATGCGGATGCAGGGAGGAGTAGGAGTCGTGGTGGGCCGAGAAGGCCGAGGAGGGTTTATCTTGCTTCTTGAGTCTAGGCCTTATTTTTGACGCCTGCATACTTACTATGCCTGGAGATATCCATGAGGGAAGGTGTGTGTGTTAAGGTTTAGGTTGATGGAATGGAGGAGATTGGTTCGGTTGTACAGAGGATGGGGTGGTCTAGGTCGATGTATATGAATGTTGGGATATGTTTGTTGACGATAACACGACCATGTTTATGATGTTTATGTTTATGTTTATGTTATGTGGGAGGATGGACTGATTAGGTCTCTCGCTTATGAGTTAATAAATATTATCCGGGTTCTGAGTTCACCAAGAATGTTTAAGTTCCCATTTTGGTAACGGCATGCTTATATTTTGTTATCACTATGAGCAGAAAGCCAGTATCGAGAATTACAACTACCAGCAGTTTAATAAACGAATATAGAAGTTATTCAAGGGTTTCTCCAAATCCTGAGTTTTCTAACCACGGTGCCTGCCAATTTCCAGCGAGACTTGCATGCATATGCATTGCAGAAGTGGGTCTTTTTTTGGAATCTGAAACTGAAGCTCCAGACCCGAAGAGTCCGCTGTTAGGCATACCTGCTATCGCTGGAATGTAGGGATTTTACCATTGCATATTCCCTCACACTGGCCGGTCCCCCGCAGACACACAGCATAACAAAGCCAGTGCCCGCTCAATCTTGGGCCGGTTCGGATGTTTTGGCCGCAACTTTCGGAAACTGGGTATCGACAACACACGACATGGGAGGGATATACTGCACAATTCACTAACCCCCCAGCTTACATTTGAAGTGAATCTTTGAGTGTTATCACTATCTTCACCGTACATATTTTTGCTTGTCCTGGTCTCCGCGGATTACCACAGAACGCGACTTACCTCTTCACTCACTACGCTTGACCTCGATACGACGCGTATATTCTGGAATTCCCTCGAAGGACTTCAATCTTAAACACTTCTCAACGGTCTAAACGCGTTCCTTCCCCGATACCGAGACAGATGACCGACTCTCATCCCAAGCAACCTACAATGGCTCTTGTTCGCGACCCTTGGTTCTGGCGCCGATTCTCACGCGCTGTACACTTGGACGAGGAGGTCAGGACTCCAACCGAGGAGAAGGAAACCGCAATTTTGTCGTATGTCCCAGCGAGCCCGTGAAGAATGAAGGTTGAATGAATGTTGACTAGTGATATACAGAGATAACTGGCTGGACAAGGAGCGCCGGAAGCGACGGAAGAGTGCGCTATGCGGGTGCCTGATTTGTGTTGCCATTGCGGTTTTTATTGCGGCCGTTGCCGTTGTTATTTGGTGGTTTTGGGCACACAACTGGTTGCAGGATAGGCCGTCCTGAGAATTGAGGAACGAACTGGTTAGCGGTGGTCTTGACGTGTCTCCAGGCCTCAAATCCTGCGATTGATGACACAAATCTACAAAAAATGCTGTACAGGGTTGATGGCTCGTGGGGAAATCCAATGGTGTGACATCGAGCTGGTCTCGCGTTATTTCATGGCGTACGGAGTTGCATTGAACCAGATACCCAACTTGACGGTATTTGATAGCTTATTAGTGTTTCGCAATCAGATAAGAAACATGAACAATGGCAGAAGTTTCCCGCCATCATCCTGGATCGAGATAGATGCTGAAGGGGGTCCAGAGTTGGAGAGGGCGACTCCAACTCGGCGATTGTTATCGCAGCGGGGCCGCTAGGACCTGCCGCATTGGGCGATCGCACGGTTGTCCGAGTCGGCTAGAGAATCGAATACTTCATGTTTTAAAAAGGCGATTCCCTGGAGCCGTCAGGGGTAATTATAGCCAGAGTTTCGATAACATCTGCTCAAACCCACAGGTGTTCACAGTCCATTCACTTGGAGTCGAGACCCCGGATTCCGCCCGACTGCTGCAGCCGAAGCCGCTTATCTGCGGTTCTTATCGCTCTCTCCGCATCTCCGCATTATAAAAGCGGCCCTGGCATCCCTCGCTTGGACTTTCGCTCTCCAATCGGCCTTTCTGCTTTCTCAGCTGTCCTCCCCGCTACGTTGAAACGACGTGAAGATGCTTCCGCCATTTGATTATTTTTCCTACCGCCGTGCTCGGTAAGTCCAACTGAAATATTGCCCTGATCCAAGTCTGATTTTTGGCCTTCGGATAGGAGCATCAAGCAGCAAGAGCGGGCTGCGCGATTCGCTTCTTTGGCCCCTCACTACCATGCGGCATTTACACAAACAGATAAAACCCTCGTAAATAAGCCAATCGAGGAGCTCGTCCAGGAGGTCCAGAGTGGCTCTCTCTCCGCAACAGATGTTCTTCAGACGTATGGCAAGATTGCCGTGAAAGCACAAGAGAAGACAAACTGTGTCACAGAAATTTTGCTCCCTGAGGCCGAGACCTGGGCCCAGAACGAGGTTAACCTCAAGGGCCCGCTAGCCGGCGTGCCAATCTCATTGAAGGACTCGATCCAGGTGAAAGGCTTTGACACAACGCTAGGCTACTCCCGTCTGGCAGGAAAACCATATGCGGAGGACGGGCCGCTTGTGAAACTCTTGAAGGATGCAGGTTGGTTGAAGTTGTCTTTTCTTTTTGTTCAACCTGCCCGAGGCGTACTAACTGCTTGTAGGCGCGGTGCCTTATGCAAAGACCGCTCTTCCTGTCACGCTCCTGTCCTTCGAGTCGGCCAACCCTGTCTGGGGAGCTTGCCTTAACCCTCACGTCCCACAGTATTCCCCTGGGGGTTCAACAGGCGGGGAAGGCGCCTTGCTCGCCCTCGGTGGTCGGATTGGTATTGGCTCGGATGTCGCAGGCTCTGTCCGTGTGCCTGCTGCTTGGAGTGGAATTTACTCCCTCCGCTGCAGCACTGGTCGATGGCCGAAGAATGGCGTCAATACCAGTATGGCGGGCCAGGAAGGAGTAGCAAGTGTTTTTAGCCCTATGGCCCGCACGCTAAATGATCTAACGTACTTTTCGCGATCTATAATTAATATGAAGCCGTGGAAATATGATTACACGGTCCATCCTATCGCCTGGCGAGGTGAGGAGGAGAGTGATGCAAAGAGTAAAAAGTTGAGGGTTGGGCTGATGGCAGATGATGGTAACACGGACCCCAAGGCAATCAAAAAAGAAAAAAAGCCCAAGAAACAAACTTCTGACCTGTCATAGGCGTTATTCCTGCAACACCTGCTATCCAGCGCGCCGTCGCGACCACCGCTGCAGCACTTTCAGCTGCAGGTCACGAAGTCGTGGAGCTCAGCCCTCCATCGACCGCAGATCCTTTTACTGGCCTCCACCTTGCATCCCAATTGCTGAATGCGGACGGCTGTGAAACCTTCAACTCGCACTTTTATAGTTTTGAGCCCTCCGATCCTGGCGCCGCCCAGCTCTCATTGATTGCCAACCTGCCTCGTCCTTTGCGATACCTCTACTACCTCTATGTGCGGTATATCCGACGTGACGAGAAATGGGCGGCATTGATACGAACCTTTGGCCCCAAGAGTGCAGCCCACCAATGGAAGCTTGTTGCCCGGCGTGAGGCTTTCCGCTCAGCCTGGCACGCATGGTGGGACGCAGAGTCGCAGCAGTACGACTTCATTCTGTGCCCAGTGAACGCGACGCCAGCACTCCCACATCGGGCGATGAAGGACGCAGTTTCCTCCTGCGGGTACACTTTCCTTTGGAACCTGCTTGACTATAGTGCCGGCGTGCTGCCGGTGTCGCATGTCGATCCCAAGAAGGACGCTCTTGCGGCTCCATACAAGACGGTGTTGAAGCAGCTGGGTGCCAACCACGCACTCTCTCGGGGTGCCTGGAAGCACTATGATGCGAGTAAGATGGCGGGGCTCCCCACAGCAGTGCAAGTCGTAGGCAGGAGATGGGAGGAAGAGAAGGTTCTTGGATACATGGCGGCGGTCGAGGGTGCGCTGGAGCAGTTCCACGACCCTATCACCGGTGAAGGAGGCAAGTATCCGCTGATCGAGCTGGATTGATCGAATGGATTGGTGCCGAATTTTGCCTGAAGAGGGAATGTCCGTGTTCGAAGTCGACTTTTTATGTGTGTTCGTTTCAGCAGCGAGAGCAAGATTATTCCAATAAGAGAGTTCAAAAAGACAGTTCGTGTGTCTCGCACTCTTGTCAGAGCGTGAAGTTTGTTCATGCCCGACACCAATAAGAGCCCAAGCGAGCGCTAGATCTGGACCGAGCACCTGGGAGCAGAATACAAGGCCGTACGAGGCTTGACGGGCAGCTCGTTATAGGAGGACTCTCAGCAGACGGGGCTGGTTGAGTGTGGGTCCGGCGGGCGCTGGGCGGTTTGATTGGCACGTTCAGCCGTGTGGGTGTCAATGGACAGCGGATGGTGCCACCGGGCTGGGAGTCATTTATCCGGTACCTTCGCATGTATACTCCGTAGCATATCAACAGCTGCTCAGCCTCGTGCAGGAAGCAAGGCTGAGATGTGCGATCGTTGAAATTTACAGGTTTTCTGCTAGAATTTGCATTATTACCAAGGTCGCCTTGGACTGGAGCCGCCCTCCGTGCTGGCGCGTCGATTGGAGACGTTTCCTGAAGGATCGCATCCGTAATAGGCGTACGGCTGACGTATCCCCACCGCAGCGATCAGCGCAGGGACTGAAATTACCGGTATGGATGGTACACCGTCCAGCGTTCGACGCGCTGTCTCCAGTTTCCAGTTCCAGTTCCAGTTCCAGTTCGCTTCGCTGTCAGTCAGTCAAGCTCTGCAGTCTCGAAGTTCTTTTCTGTTCCGGCTCTCTGGTTTCTGCAGCGCTTTCCGACCCTAACGAACCTTGACATCGTATTCGCGTTGGGACCCCCCGAGCCTCTCCATCTCACGCTCTTCGTCTCTCCCTGCTTTCCTCGCCCTCGCTCGCCTACTCCTGATGATGCCGCCCCCCTGTGCCACCCCGGATAGCGACTGATCCCCAGGATATTAACTTGACGCCTACCCCTCTCCCTTTCTTCGACTTCGCCTGCGCCTCTCACCTCCCATTCTCACCCTCTCGAATCCTCGATCCGCTCGATCCTCATCTCACATCCACTCCTCCTGTCCGGGCTGATCGCAGGATGCTGCTCTTGGTATCCGCCCTTCCAGCCCCGAGTTCGATTGTCTCGTTTTGACGGCGTGCCGAAGCTTGAGCAGTGAGGCGGAGATGGCCCCCCCCAAAGGCGCTCAAGGGCGCAAAAAAGACGCCATTCACTTCGTCAACGCGCGCCCCGCCTCCGAGACCGAGCGACTGGACATCAAGCGGATGGTACGCGCTCATGTTGGAAAATGGATCTCGACTCAAACCAAGGACCGTGCTGCCGGTCCTGCCGTTGTCGTCGACCCCCCGCTTGTCCCTTCCGCCGAACACACAGATCCCTCGCAGGCTTTCGAGCTGGACTCTGACGAGCCCTACCTGCCCTCTACCTGTGCCTCCTCGACCTTATCACCTGTCTCCTCCGCCTCCTCGCGCGGCTCCCCCGAGTCGTGCATCTCCAGCTCCTCACATACAGCCATTCCCGTTACTACTGCACCGCCGCATACACAGGCGGAGCTGACGCTCGCTATTATTCCTCCCCGCACTATCTTCCCTCCATCGAACCCTAATTTATGTCACTCGCAAAGCGATGACCAAGACGGCATTGTGTATACATCGGATGGATCAGACACTCCCAGCCCTCCACATAATGGAGAGTACATTGAAACCGTTGGTGCCGGCCGGCTTGATCCATTCCGGGCCTATTCGTCACAGTTTGAGCCAGAGTTTGTACAGATATCGGAGGAATATTGTATGTTTATCCACGTTTTGCCTCTTTCATCAAAACCGCAGCTGCTGACTTTTGTAGGTTTATCATGCCTGTGGCCTGGCCTTACCCCTGGGCCTTCGGGAACGAATATGCAGTCGTGGTTCCCGATGTCCCTGTCCGATCCGACTCTCTTCACTGCATTCTTATACGGATCCCTCTCACACATGCGCGTTCAAGCACTGAACGGTTGGATCCCTCGACATCTGTTTCATCACCGACAGCAGCGCCTTCTTGAAAACGTCGAAATGGAGACAATTAAGATGGTTAGTCGCGAGATGGACAATCCGAATCGTGCGGTCTGTGATGCCATGATATTCAGCGTTGTCTGCATGGCACATAACAAAGCAGACGACGATTTGACCCAGTTTCAAAGTACCCCGTTCACTCCGCCGATGCAACGATTGCAATGGCTCGATGTGTACGGTAGTCTTAAACCGAACCTCGTTCATATCGGAGGTTTGGTTCAGATGGTCAATTTGCGAGGTGGAATCGAAAAAATCGAGCTACCTGGCTTGGCCTCGGTGATATCCTTGTGAGTTTTCATAACTCCATATATGTGTGTTAATACTAACATTAAAAAAGTTCCGATCTTGTAACTTCTAGCACATTCCTTTCACACCCAGTTTTCCCCTTTATTCCTCTCGAAGCGCGTCGCAAAAACCTGACTATGCAGGAGATGTTGGGATACGCTACTTCCAGTGTTGATCAGTATTATGCGCACTTTCAACACTTAGGCCTGCCGCGCCTCTTTGCAGAACTTCTCTGCGCCATGAATACATACACTGCTCTTGTCGACCACTGTATGGATCCTCAAGTGAGCTACGATTCTTGTCTCCTTGCCGACCAACGCAACATCGTCCACTTCAACCTCCTCAGCCTTCCTCACGCAGCCATCGAACCCGATCCAAACAACCCCTACTACACACCTCAACCCCAAGATATCGTCTACGAAACGTTCCGCCTCGCTACATTAGTCTATGGTATCGGCATCATCCTTCCCCTGCCGGCACAAAGCACACCTCTCACCAAACTCGCCGACCTCATCCACAATATCCTCCGAATCCCGAATAATCTTTCTCTATGGAGCGCCCCACAAGCCCAGGTTGGGCTCCTCTGGATCCTCACACTGGGTGGTATTGCAGCGACTCATACCCCACATCGCTCGTGGTACGCTGACATGCTGCGTCGGGTCGTGGATCACAATCGGATTACTTCGTACGGCGACCTAAAACGGTACCTAACCTTAGTGACCTGGCAGCCATCCTCATGTGACAAGCCAGGCGCTGATTTGTGGGCTGATGTTGAAAAATCGCGTGAATACCTGTGATAATTGATTTGCATATTTCAAAAACTATTTTGATATCCTACGAATATACCCGAAAAACAGTCTCCTGGATTACGCTATGCTGGTGCTCCTCGCAACTTGACCAGGACCGCGTCTCCCAAATGGTTGACTAAATCACCGCAATTTACGGCTCAACCCTGCGATACGGGATTATTCTTGAAGCCTGATCCTGATCTTGACCTATTCGATGATCTACCCTGTCGCTCGAGTTCGCAAAATAACATAACGACTATCTCCACGGCCCCAGTCGGCGCCGATCGTTATTGAATCCACATCTTAACCGACGCTTACCATTCACGCGACAGGAGAAAAAGACGCGCAAAAAAAACAAAAAACCAACAGGGAGCCCCCTTCAATTCGTCTATATCTACGTACCATGGCGAGGAGGGATGATACGAGACATGATTATCATGAGAGCACTTTCTCTTCGATCCGCATCGCATCGCATCGCATCCTTATTTTTTGATCGCTCCTTAATATTGAATACCCATCCGTTTTTATGGACGGTGTTTATTATATATGCTGGTTTTAAACCCTGCTGTTTGTCTTGGAGGTGACAGTGACACATATGTCCATTTCTCTATTCTTTTATGAATATATATTTTTACATAGCAAATTTTCTAGTCACAGATTTCGTATATCCAGAGCAGAAAAGAAGAAGCAAAGACCAAAAAAAAAAGGAATACCTAATATTTGGAAAAAAGAAAATGAGAACGAGAATCATAGTAATATATCAATCGCATCGCAATTTATGAGTACTGGAGTGGGTATAGCATAACAAAAAAGTAGGTAGTGGGTACGTTATCGTGCCAGACGAGTAGTATAATATCGGTCATCGATGTCGTTGTCATAGCTATCATTAGGTTATACTCGAGTAAAAACGTGTAGCAATAAAGTAACTAAGAGGGTCAAGGGGTCCTTAAACTCCCATAAGAAGGTGACTGCGGCTGCGGTCTCGACGGAATCGAACGCGGCTGTAGAAGAGGCTGGTGCTCCCAATCTCTTGCCACAATGCCATCGTAATCCTGGACAACGACGGCGAACTCGGGGTCGGTGATACCAGCACTAAACTCGTCTGAGGCCGCCATGCCGACGGCTTTGCGCCAGACGAAGAGGACGAGGGCGGCCCCCGTGATGGCCGTGAGAGCCGTTAGGATGAAGTTTACTGGGATGGGGTTTTGATCAAAGACGGTGAATGTGAGAGCGTCGAGGCCTGCCTGTGCGAAGTTCCCTAGTCCTGCGATGCAGATGATGAGCCCGTAGACTTTGCCGAAGGTCTGGAAGCCAAAGACTTTGGCGGCGTAGTCAGACACGGCAGTGTAATAGAACGGGCGGTAGATGACGAAAAGGATGACATTTGCGTAGGCTGCCTCATGGCTATCTGGGATGCAGCCTAGGGCGCCGATGACGGTTGCTGTTGCGGAGAGAACAAGGAGGACAAATGGGGTGCTGGCGGTATCGAGGATTGTTCCAATGAACGGAACAGAAGCGAGGCCGCCCAGGGGGAGCAGGAAATCAAAGAGCTCGTTGATGCGACGTGCTTCTTCCACTGAGTCGAAGAGGTACTCGTACTGTTGGCGGATGGATGCGACAAAGTAATTGATGCGAAGCATCTGTAGGACAGTGAAAAACGCAATCAGAGCGAACCACGGAGAGCGGATCTGCTCAATCGCGGAGCAGCCATGCATTGCGCCCCAGACGCCGCCGGTAGTGTGCTTTTTAGGTGCATTCGAGCCAGGGAGGGCGTGTGTTGCATTGGTCTCGTTGATGTCCTGACCGTCATTTAATGCCTGACCAAGATCGGTAATGGTGGACGCGTTGTCGTCATCGGCAAGGAGATCCTGGATTTTGCTGACAACGCTTTGGCGGTGCATACGGCGATCATTTCGTTGACGTTCGCCCTCGTCTCGGTCCAAAATATGGTCATCGACACGATCGGCAGCTTCGGCGATAATGTGATCTTCCGCTTGCTGCACAAGTTCCCCAGCCGTTTTATATGACGTCTTTGGCATGATCGACAGCTGCGCAATTAGTATAAGCACTGGGACCACAAGGTAGACGAGGAAAAATCTCTGCGACGAGAACGAGGCATGTGTTTTCTCGTTTATGATGCGGAAAATCAGGAAAACGGCGCTGGATGCATCGAAAGCACCCGTCAAACATGAGAGTATCAGCCCCGAGCGAGCTGGGAAGGTGTTTGACAGATGAAATGATGAAATAAAAATGAAAGGCCCTCCGAGAGCTAATAAAAGGTAGCCGGTGACGTATCCATCCAAAGGGAGACGGTTCGCGAGTGCGAGGAGAAGCGATCCCACGAAGAGGAAAATACTCCCAATTATTCCACATACTCGAGGCCCGTATGTATCAAGGATAGTACCAACTGGGAGAGCGGACACATTTGTGACCACTGCCGCAATCGTAAACATCAGATTAAGGCTACTTCGTGGTTAACATGGCATCGCCATACCCAAGTTTGGGTGCTTACTGGAGTTCCTGCCCGTAGCAGACATCCTCTTCTCCCGAACAAAAGCCACTGTAGACCCCTTCCCTGATAAATACCGGTTTGATAGCTGCAAACCCGAACACTGTCCCTGCTGCAAAGAAGCAGTATATCACGGCAACAATCACCTGGACTTTGAAACTTGTCAGCCCATAGAATAGCAAGCTGGCAGCAGTAAGTTCAACATACAAGCTCGTCTTATACCACCAACTTCGAAAGCCCCAGTGGTTTCCAACGGCCCCCGGTTGTCTTGCTCCAAGCCAGCAGATTCCGCTGTTTCCCCGCCCTCTGCCGAGTGATCGGCGGGGCCGTACTTGGAGACAAGGGAGGAAACTCTTGACAGAGAATTGTGGTCGTGGTCTGCGCCATCTCTGGTGGCCTGGGTCCAGCCCAGACCGGAATACGGATTGAAGGTTAGGCGGTGCCTTAGAGATGGCAGATCGGTGACAGATGGAAACGATGATGCTACTGAGGCGTCGGGAAGATCGTTGTACGATTCTTCATCATCGTCATTGTACGGTTCACGTATGGAGCTCTGATCCCGATCCAGTTGACGGCGAGATAATGCTGGATTCGACTCCCAGGACTCTAGGTAGGAGACTCGAGGGAGGGACATTCTATGTATGTACAGGTATTAACCTAGACTCTGACCAGTGCGATGAATATGGTACTACCTTTGGGAAGAAGGCCTTAGATGTCCAGTCTCTGACCGCTAACTCACGTCAATTGCAAGGGTTGCGATAATCAGATGAAACAGCGGTGGTGATATAGAGGGCAGTAGGGAGCAGCCAAGGTGCGGGGATTCCAAGGACTAAGGCCCATTTACGGCGAGGCACGAGAGTATTTTATACAGGGGTGTTGATACTGTTGATACTGGATAAGGCCACGACGGCGAAAGCAATAAAAGAGATGATGTGACCGGCGACGACGATGATGACAGGGAAGACGAGAGCAGCAGAGCGCAGGCAGAGCTCCGTCGCAAATGAGAGTTGCGACGTCACCTGACTGGAGCTCTCCCCGCAGTGTTCTGTTGTCGCGCTTCCTCCTTGCGTCGTTTCCAGGATTCCTTCGGCCTCACCCAAGGTCCTGCCTCCACTCAAATGGAGCCATTGGCAGCCAAGTCTTGATGAGAAGCTGCCATCCCCCGGCTCGTTCCTCATCGCCAATCGCGGCTTTTCCTCGAATGTTGTGCCGTTGGTGAAACGTGGACCTGCTGACTCGTGCAACTTATTTGGCAGTAAAAATTTACGACCTCATAAGCTCCGGAAGCTTTTCCTGGAAGCTTTCCCCAGAAACCCTCTGAAGCCCAGTGTTGTCGAATTATTCTCGCGTTTGGCCTTGCGTCTCTCGGGAATATCCTTGCGAACCCAATTTTAACGTACCTCACCAAAAGCAAATTGAATTTCACTTGTACACTCTCCGGGCCCATATAACTCCGGAGGAAAAGAAAGGACAAAAAAAAAAAAAAAAAAAAAAAAAAAGAAAAGAAAAGAAATGCAAGACTGCTCTAGACTCGTAGGGCGTGAGCTGAGTCTCGATCAGCTATCTCCGTTTCATAACGTTTTCCGTCTCGGCCGCGACGCGGCTCCACGACGGTCTCGTTCTCTCGCGCTATTGTTCAGGGCACGGGAACAATTGGAAACGGTCGAGGGCCATAATGGCCTGATGGCGCCACGAAGGGTCGCAGGCGGGTGGAACAATCTGCATTCTTCTCGGCAGCTCTGCGAGCTTCAACTCGGCGCTGGGGCGCCGTTGAGCTGATTGGACCCAGCCAAGCAAGAATCGCCAGAATGAAGGACTCTGCTGAATGGTTGCTGCTGAAGTATCCGGGTTCCCCAAACCTTTGAGAGTTCAGCTACTGCAGCTAACGGGGGGGTCATCAACGTCTTTTGGGCCCAGATGACTCTGTGATCCAAAAGGAGTTGCGATAATTCGCAGAACTTCTGCATGCGATGCACAGGCCAAACTCAATTTAGCAGCAAAGTCTTCCCCCCTTAAAGGCTGAAATTTGAAGATCAAAGGAAGCTCCGCACTCGTCGAGCTAACGTGCAATCAAAGGTGCGCAAATGCTCCTGAGAACCCCATTGACAGACCGAAGAGATTACCGGGGCTTTCCCTCTTGAGCAGTGAGGATTTCCTTGTTTGGGCAGTGATCGGTTGTTGGCGTGCCAATCGCCATGCGGTTCTCGGGGACAATGCGAGCGGCGATCGAAAAACCTCAAGCTCGAGCCACTTGGGAATTGCGGATGGGCTCGGTTTCATTTCCAAGACGAACATCGTCATTCCTGAGAACCTGCCATGTGGACGGGACTGACACCAAACCAAATTAACAACAGCCGCCCCTGAAGCTGCGAGCATGGCGTCAAAGCCGGAGCTCTCTTGGAGGGAAAGATCTGCCTGCCCTTTCCCTGTTCTCCTACTCACCCAGGCTTGGTGCCGTTATTTTCTTGGTATTTTAGTTATCAATGCTAATTTGACGGCTCCACTTTGCATGAACGGTTCATCCACACTTGAGCCGTTGTACATTATTTTGCCCATCGCAATCACTGTCACATTGCGTTAAGCTGCGTCTACACCTTTAGTGCTCCTTATTCTTTCGACAGCCTTCTCTTCATTATTAGCTTCTTGAGTTCTTCTGTCGTGTTTCAGACATGGGCCTGCTTCTTCCGAATCTCGTATTTACTGCCCATGGTTGCTTCGCCCAGCATTGATGTTTCTCATCTATGGCTTTTACCAGCGTCTGCCGAAGACAGCTCTGCCGATAGCGTTATGAGGGGTTGGTAAGTGGGATGCGCTCGCCTCGGCATACCTCGGACATCGCGTCTATTCTAACGCCATTCCTTGTCCGACAGTCTGACTTGCCGCAAACGCCATCTGAAATGTTAGCCCTCCCTCTTGGTGGCCCTTGACTGCCATTTCTAATGGTTACTATGCAGGTGATAAAACCGGAGCTGAATGTCTTCGCTGCCAACGCTCTGGGCGACAGTGTATTCCCGCACCAGCGAAGCCAGAGGAGGTCACCTTTCGACATGGTCAAAACCCGTCTATGCGATCGAAAGACCCTCCTCGATATGGGGAGAGTGACTTGTCGTTTCCGGATAATCAAATTTGGATGGAAGTGCCCTCTGAATGTGAGTATCGCACCGCACCTAGCCCTTGCGGTGTACGTAAGTAGCTGCTTGGATCAATGGCTAATTTAACTAGTAACTTTCGAAGATGAGACAGAACAGACAGCCGCCGATTATCACGTCGTCTCGGGGGGAGAGTCGCCAGTAGTCCCGAAGACGACGCGCAAAGCTCGATTCAGCACATCGACTTCGACCCTACCTTCGATACCATCTCCTACTCAAGCGTTTACTTCAAGCGCTGGACCGTCGCGCAATATGCTTCATTCACGAACTCATTCAATGGATTCGATCCTGCCACCGGACACTCCGCGCGACCATCCGAAGTTGGCGGATTTTAACGAAGCTTTCCTTTTACGACACTTCCAACGAACTCTCGGCCCATGGGTTCTCCACCCCTTCCTCCTTTTGTACACAGCAGAATAACTAATTTGGCCGCTTTAGCTTGACTCATGTGACCACGAAAGACAATTCTCGATGGATGTTGTGGAACGAGCGCCGTCCTACCCTCTATTGCTCTATGCATGTTTGGCCACCGCCGCCCGCCACCTCTCTCAAACGACGAACCTCATTCCCCCGAATACTGCAGACGAATACCACGAGAAATGCATTGCTATCCTGCTCCCCGGTCTTGGGAATTGGGAGTCGAGAATAGGCCTAGATATTTTACTGGCGTCCACAGTTATTCTGCGCTTTTTTGAGCAGATTTCATGTATGTCGAACCGTCATAGTTTACCCTTGAGTAAGAAAAAAAGCACTGACAATTGAGTAGCACATGCCCCTTCGAACGATTCACAGCGCCACCTCTTAGCTGGTTCTGTATATATAAGCTCTCAAGTTGATTGCGCTGTGTCTGGTGGCCTTGCAGAGGCATCCTTTTGGGTGTTTGTAATGCAAGACATACAATTTGCGCTAGCTTCCCAGAATCCCCTGCGCCTCACACTGAGCCCGTTCAACGAGAGACTACAGCTCATGTGGACAAATCGGGTGTCCCAAACCGACCGCGACTGGGCGCATCGCGCAGTGTGGCTCTTGGCCGGGTCTATCAATTACTGTTATGGTGGACGAGACCCCCATGCAAGTGCGACGGAAAGAAACATGTTGAAGCAAAAGATCAATGCCTGGGAAGCACGAAAACCAGATGGGTTCCGTCCGTTACACTTTTCACTTGCCGACTCAAGGATTGGTAGACCCTATCCTGTTGTTTGGTACACCAAGCCACTTTACGGTAAGCCGTTGGGCGCCTGGTTGATATATACCTCATAATGCCATTTACTTACGAGGACTAGCAACTGCTGCGCAACATATTTGCCTAGCTAAAGCTTTAATACAGGAGTACGAGCTCCAGAATTTGTACGCAAACCAGAATCCACGGCAGGATATCAGCACAATAGAGGTTTGTTTGCCCTATTCAAAGCCCAGTGGAGCAGGCCTTGATACGACAAATAAGATAAAAGAACGGCCTCACTAATAGAGCTCTAGGATGATGTTGTCAAGAATTTGGGTATCCTTTTTGGTATTGCTCTTTCAAGCGATGGCGACCCATCTACCCGCGTCATGGCATGCCATGCACTCTGCGCTTGTAAGCGTCTTTTTTATTTTGATTACTGCTTATTTTACTAACCAATGCTGGCAGGTGGTTCCTGGGTTCGTGATCCACTTTCGCGGAGATGTCTCCTTGATTTGCTCCAAAAAACAGAAGCAGAAAACGGATGGCCATGGGCTTTTGTATCGCAAAGGCTAGGCCAAGAGTGGCGCCTCACTGCAAGCTGACCTTGCCCGTAGGCTCACCACACTCATATTCGAAGCTTGAATATTTGCATTAGCCTATCAACATATCACTCTGTAAAAGAGCGAACTCACAGGTGATTACGTTGAGAACTCGAAATTCGAACCCACCACCCTAGGGCTATCGGCCCCAAAGGCTGGAAGCAGCAAAGCATTTTTAGAAATAGAGAAGGCTGATGCTGCTCCTATTGCCTACCCAATTGCCTTGGCTTCGGGAATAAGAAACCTTTTGAAGGCAAGCCCCGTTTGTTTATGCTATATGATCTTCAGGTTTCATGTCAGTTGAATATTGTTTGCCATATACCCTGCGCGTCCTCGTGATCTGTTTTGCAAACGTCCGCGAGGACGAATGGCCTATTTCTTTTGTATATTACGGAACGAATATAAACATATGCTTTACGAATACTTCGATTTTTCTTTACAAGATTCGAGAATTTTTCCGTGCGCTAACAGTACGCAGCCTTGCGAAGGATGGATTCGTCCCCTAACCAGGCCTAGTCCTGCTCCGCCTCGAAGACCGCGCCAAAGGCCAAACCGATAAGTACTAGCAAATTGGCTACAGCCAAAGACCAAGTTCAGTGTTTTCTTCACTGTTTTGGCCTGAAGCCGTTTTGAAAATTTCCCAAGACGTGCTCAAGAAGGGGCCAGCAGCCTTTGGCATGGCTTGGCTTTTACAGCCTTGTGCTTGGTTTGCTTGGCTTTTTTTGCTCAAGTCTTGGGCCTCCTTTTTTAACCTTCACGATTGGAATATGATTAGAGGCCAGGATCAAGCGGTCCAAATTGTGCATTTGAGGCTTCTGTATAGTCGAATCGGCTGCTGTGGCTCCTGCGGATTATGGGAAGGCTGTGTCTGCTGGAGACCCTCGTCGCGGTTTTACCAGCCACGTTGGGGTTATACCTATGATAAGTCAGAGAAACACTGCTAAACCCAAAGTTTGATGTTTCAGCTGAAGATGGGGCCGGTATTGGGGGTTCCCAAATGCGTGTTAGGGCTCAGGTTGTTTAACTTATATAAACCCCGTTTCCAAAGCCCAGAGCTACGTTCATCCAAACTCGCCTCCAATTCCTTTTGATTATTCTTCAGATACCTCCACAGGTTCAGCCATGGGTTTCTTCGGAGGCAGGGGCCGCGGCAAAGGCCGTAATGGGCGCCAGAACCGAGGCGCACAACCATACAATGCTGTGCCGCAAGGCGTGTCTCATGGGTATCATAAACCCGGCGGTGGCAAGAAAAGCCGGACGTGCAACCCCAAGGTAGCATGCTTCGCGGTCTCGGTATGGATGGCCGTAGTGGTCATGAGTGGTTTGTTATTTCCCAAGTATCCAAGAAATCCCCGGTGGATAGCCGCTTATTTGACGCCAGTGATCACACTCGTCGGATGCATGAGTAAAAGCCCCGGAATTGACCAGCTCTACCTCGTCGAACTGCGCCATAACACATCTTATGAGTTCCGATTCCGCATTGGATATTTTGGTTAGCCCTCCTAAACCCTACCTTAGAAGAGCCAGCTAACTTTACAACCCTATGCCTAGGTGGGTGCATATCCACAACATCCCTAGATGAAAGCGCGAGCAGTTCCTCCACTCACTGCGTCGACAATCTCCGCGCCTCCGACATCGACGACCTCACCGAAACCTTCGTCGAGAACCTCCCAAGTGCAGGTGATCTCGCCCCAGTTCTAAATACCACTCTTCCACTAGCTCGAGACCTCCAAACCAACGTCTTCTTCTTCCCCCTCCCCCCAATCCACCTCTTCCTTTTCGGCCTCAGCGGAATCATCCTCTTATTCGGACTAGGCGGCAAAGCGCGCAGCCGCGCATACAACCTCGGCATCATTGTCGCTGCCGTATTGGGGGCACTAGCCACGACTACAGCATTCATCATGTGCATTGGGTCGCTGCAAGCCATGAACGCGCTGGAGCTGCTCATTGGCGGCGACAATACCGATGCCAACAGTGATGCAAATCTAATAGCCGACCCTGTGAGAATCAACATTGGCAACGGGATAAGGCTACATGGTGCGCATAGGCTCGCGCACGTGCAGTATGCGCTGGCGGCGTTTACAATGCTGTTCTATGTTTTACTCGGGGCCATGTATGCAAAGAGGAAGCCGGATGAGCCGATTGTGGTTATAGGTGCGAATCCTATGCGGTGGGCGAGGAGGTAGAGCTGCATTCTGACTTTGTATCGATTCTGTGATTTATCTATGTGGATTGTGTTGCTTCGGTGGTTTGTTTAGTACTTTGATTATGCACGAGTGCACTCCATTACTTGTTTTATAACTTAAATCTAGCTAGTAATGCGATAATCATTTATACAGTGGTCTACAGGAATTAAACGCCCTCGTGGGCAGCCCTATTTCAGGTAACGTCCACAACGCGCATCTCAACAATCTATCTCTCTCAACACTATTAATCAAGTCTAATGCAAAGTTACGAGAAAAGAGAGAGAGAGAGAGAGAGAATAAAAAAAAAAAAAGAAAAAAGGAACGACAGCACTGCGGTTCGAACGCAGGTCCCCTAGGGGAGTAGATAACTTCCTGATTGAGGATTCACTAGTGAAAGCAATTAGCTAAGAGGTTTTGCAGATTCTAATTGGTTAACGCACAGTCTACCGCCTTAACCACTCGGCCATACTGCCTATTCGGCGGCGATTTTTCTCTTCGAGTGTTTTATCATCAGGCAGGTGATAGTCCGTTCTGAGATTTATTGCCAGCAGATTATTGCAGAATAGGCAGTCAACCCCGAAGGCCGGTGAAGGCGGTGGGGAATGCATAACCTCGGCATGATGGCATAGCATAAAGTCCCCGGCTATTGGTATTGTTCGTATGGTTTCTATCCATGTCTGGTTGTTTATCTGGAAGGGACGTGAACCAAGCAAAAGTGAGACGCCATGTATCCGCATTGACTTGTTGAAGCCTCCTTAAACCACAGGACGGTCGGGTTTGAACTACATGCAAGCAACATGCACTTACTGCCCTGGATATGCGTAGTTCAGAGGTAGGGCATTCCACGGCTGATGATAGAAGGGAGCTTGGCTTGAATGACTCTGAATTTACTTCAACCTTATGCTAGGCTAAAGTGGAAGAGATCTAGAAGTCGAGATACTAGACCATCGTCGCTAAGAACTGCTTCACTATCAAAGTGATGAGGTTTAGCCGGAATTGAGCCCTAGGTCTTTATCACGCTATTGTCACAGCGATATCAGCAAAGCTCTAGCTGCTAATTGCGCCGTATTTCTGGGTAACGTAGATAATCAATATACCCTTCGCAGTGGATGCGGTCTTGCAGACCTCTTGGCTCATCAACACTTCCAGCATTGCGCCGAATGTTATGCTGAATAATGCGCCGATATTCTATGACTTCATTGTTGGGGGAAGCAAAGATGGTGATCCATGTACTCCAGGTCTCTTAACGGATTGTGAAGTAATTGTGCTCACCGAACAGTGGCCAAAAGTATTCATAGCTTCGGAATAGTGAGAGTATGTCTTGGAGAGCATTGAGGTGTATGGATGAGCACCACCAGGACCAAAAATTGGTTGAGCGGGGACTGTAGCCACACTCCACGACGACGCCACTTCGCTGGCCTTTTTGCATGAAGCAAGAAACTGCGAATGGTAAGAATGGTCCATGATCGTGAGCACGCTCCGCTCATTGCGTGCGGGGGAGACAGATATACGTGGGTCCAGCATGTCAGTCTCTACCAAACAATTTCAGTACCGCTGCGGTTCCGCGCATTCCCCTCCCATCGGCGATGGACACTATGGGGCATTCTCTGGGCCTTTGACTGTAGCCTCGGCGCGGTTGGGGAGTGAGGAGGGGAAGGTATTTTACACTTCCAGATCTCCTCCCATTTTCTCAACCAATCCAGCTACTCCTCACCTAAACACCCAACAGACATTATGGCACCCTCCGAGTACACTTCTCTCCCCAGCTTCGACGACCTCCCAGCAGTAGAGGGCATGCCCCAAGGCTGCGCTTGGGGGGTCTTCGACAAAGACGGACAGAAAGACCACATCGGGTGCCTGAACCTCCTCACGCCGTCTGTAGTCCAGGCGGCGCTCAAAGAAGCGGAGGAGGGTTATTCGGTGTCACTGAACTGGCCGATCAACGCGATTCACACGCCCGGATTCCAGCGCGCAGGCCTGCAGCACAAGGTGGCTTCATTCCAGGATACACCGTTTAAATTGCACGGATTTGACGACGAGGTGTCGTTTAACACGCAGTGCTCGAGCCAGTGGGATAGTCTGGTGCATTATGGACACCAGCCGACTGGGTGTGGCTACAACGGGGTGAAGCCGAGTAAGGAGGCGCTGATACAGGCGGATACGCCGTTTGAGAAGGACCGCGAACTACCGACACTGGATCATTGGCATTCGCGGGGGGGTCTGGTTGGGCGTGGTGTTTTGCTGGATTATAAGGCTTGGGCGGATGCGCAGGGTCGTGTGTATTCACCGTTCGACGCACATAAGATTACGGTGAAGGAGCTGGAGGAGATTGCAAGGTGGGAACGGGTTGAGCTGCGGCAGGGAGATATCCTGATCATTCGCAGTGGGTTTACGAAGGGGCTGACGGAGGCTGCGACGGGAGAGAAGCAGCGCGAGCTGATGGCCAGCCACCGCACGGTTGGGGTGGATGGGACGGTCGATAGTGCGAAATGGTTCTGGAATCATCATTTTGCAGCTGTTGCTGGTGATGCTATTGCGTTTGAGCAGCTGCCTCCTGTGAAGGAGGATGGGACTGAAGGTGGTGTGGGTGACCTGGGTGAGTTCTACAGCCTTCACTGTCTGTGACCAATGCTAACCATTTGTAGTATTGCACCAGTACTTCCTGGGCATGTTTGGACTCAACATCGGAGAGCTCTGGGATCTCGAGGCCCTGTCCAAGACCTGCGCTGGGAAGAAGAGATACTCGTTCCTGCTCACCAGCTGTCCCTTGAATGTTCCTGGTAGTGTGGGCAGTCCGCCAAACGCCCTAGCCATTTTCTAGCTGCACTAAATATTTATTACTGGAATTTTATTAGATATGCACGTCTCTTATTACTATATTGTAGGGTGTTTCAGTTGTATCCTAATCGGGGTAGACTTAGGGCTCAGCTGCGCCCTCCACGCCCTTCGAATGATCCGCTGCAGTAAAAGGAGAACCAACTCCTCTTTCGCTCCTCACAGCCTGAAGTCTCCAACATAATTGCAAAATGGACGAAATCACAGTTGCTCAACCTCAAAAATCCACCCTTGGTTCGGAAATACCAGTGCAGCAAGAACCAGTTACTATTCCCGCCATGGAGCCTCTCCGGGTGTCTGAAGACCCGGCCAGCTCTCCCCCAGCCAGATCCAAATTGCGCATCTTTAGTATCATACTCATGCTCTGTGTAAGCTGCTCTCATGTGTTCAGTGGGGCTGCTTGGAACTAACAGCCGGATAGCTCGTCCTCTTCATCGCGGCGCTCGACCAGACCATTGTTGCAACTGCCATCCCCTCAATGACCAAGGACCTGAACTCCGCTGCAGGCTATACGTGGATAGGTGCTGCCTATCTACTCGCAATGTGCGCCGCAAATCCAACGTGGGTGCGCATCAGCGACATCTGGGGTCGCAAGCCGGCCATCCTTGGTGCAAACATTGTCTTCACCATCGGCAGTGTCATTGCAGGTGCAAGTACCACTATGCCTATGCTGATTGCTGGACGAGGAGTGCAAGGCCTTGCTGGTGGAGGGATCATGTCGCTGGTCAGCATAATCATCGCAGATCTCTTCAGCATGCGGCATCGGTCTCTGTATGTCAGTGCGACTGCACTTGTCTGGGTCCTGGCTGGGACCACTGGCCCTGTTATTGGGGGCACTTTGTCGCAGTATGCAAGTTGGCGCTGGTGCTTCTGGATTAATCTACCGGTCTGTGGCGTTGCTCTGATCGTCATATTCTTTTTTCTTGACCTGCATAACCCACATACGAATCTGCGCGACGGCTTGAAGGCCATTGACTGGTTTGGAGCCGTCTCGACTGTGACAATCATTCTTTTACTTCTCCTTGGCCTCGACTTTGGCGGCGTGACGTTCGCCTGGGACAGCCCAACCGTCATCTGCATGGTCGTGTTTGGAATCTCACTGATTGGGTTCTTTATCTTCGCCGAGAAGCGCCTTGCGAGGTACCCCCTGTTAGATTTGAGGGTCTTTCAGGACTGGTCCAACAATGCTGCTGTTCTAGTTGCCATTTCACATAGCATGGCTACCACTGGCACGGAGTACTACCTTCCATTATACTTCCAAAGCGTGAAACAGGCTTCGCCTAGCAAAAGCGGTGTTCTAATTTTACCCATGATGGTCACTGTATCGCTTTGCGACGTCTCGATAGGCGTTCTTGTCCACAAGACAGGCCGTTACCGAGAGGTTATCTGGGCTGGAACAATGCTCCTAACTCTGGGAACGGGCCTGTATATCACATTTGGAATCGATACGTCCCTGGCACATATTATCGGCTTCCAGGTTATAGGCGGTATCGGGTTCTCCATGCTCCTCGTTACGCCCATGCTCGCGCTCCAGAACAACGTTGCGCAACCGGACGTGGCAGTCGCGACAGGGACATTAAGCTTCATGCGAAGTATAGCTACATCTCTGTCCATCGTTATTGGTGGTGTAGTCTTCCAGAATAGCATGTCTAACCAGCAACCATCTCTTGTCTCGGCTGGTCTTGACGACGCCCAACTTATGTCATTTTCAGGACACGATGCGGCAGCAAGCGTGGAGTTGGTCGCGTCAGTCAGGGACCCAGCTCAGAATCGCGCTGTTTTGGAGGCGTACTCTGTGAGTATCCGCAATATGTTCATTCTGTACACGGCTGTCGCGGCCGTGGGGTTGTTCGCCAGCCCGTTCATTAAGCAGCGCCACATGAGTGACGAGCATCAGGAGACCAAGACTGGGATTGAAAATATTACGGCCCATAAGCCGAATACCTGATCTGAAGGATGCCGTTAAAGTGGCTTCTAGTAGCTGAATGCTCATTACTCTTACAGCGTGTAGTAAACTGGCATAGCAGCTTGTTCATGAAACGGTTAATGACCGGGCATCTAGGGCTTCCTAATGATAATATGCCTTCCCTTTTTATGAAAAGGATGGGCCGTTCTTTTATGATATCGGTCCCAGTTGATAAGCCCTTTGGTGGGAACACGCATGTACCCAAGTAACTAAACCTCATGGGCTAGGTGGGATGCTTCAGGGCCCTACGCCTGCAGGTTTTCAAAGGTACAGAGTCACATTAAGATATTCCTGACAATATTGGTGATTTCTATATCTAATTCCGGTTTTATAGACCAATCAATGTATCTGTATCATTTGCCTGGGGAGTGAGTACGCTGAGGAACTCCACCCTGAAAAGCACAACCCTAAAACGGACATCGTTAGGGCGCGTATACTACGAAATTATCAATGATCAAATCTCAACACCAGGTCATATTCCCTTTGTCTTCAATGTCCAATCTTCTAGCATGGTATCTCTCGACGAACTGCACGAGGACATTCTCCACCAACTCGCCCAGGTTCGCTATCACCTCGACACAGTCCATCCCAACGCAATCAAGTAACCACAGACTAATCCTTGACCTACAGATATGCAACAAATCAGACATTCTCTCTCTCCGGCTTACATCTCGCCGCCTTTTCACATTATTCGCCCCTTATCTAGACCAGGTTCTCGTCTCCGAGATCTGTGCCGGAACACACACCCACCTGCACCGCGCAGCGGCAGCACCACCACCACAATCACCAGCCCAGGATCCCTATGAACACCGAATCCTTGAGCGGTTATTGAAAGCAAACGCACCCGCTCATCAGCATGACAAGAACTCCGAAACGGCACTCCACGCCGCATCGCGCAGCGGGAATCTGGCTGCAGTACACGCTCTCCTTGACGCTGGCGCGGAGGCAAATGCTCTTTCTTATCATGGCTGGACTCCGCTGCGTCTCGCCTGTCGGTATGGCCATGCTGATGTTGCCCGCGTATTACTGGATTCTGGGGCTGGGGCTCATGAGTCAGGGAGCTTTGGGTGGACGGCGATGCAATACGTACTCTGGAATGGACATGAGGGGTGTATGGAAGTACTGCGCGAATATGGAGTGACTAGTACCGATGCTCTTACTGCGGTAGATAGGGTGAAGCAGCAGTGGGGGGTATACGAATTTCCTAACTAGCCCTCCTAGGCCTAGTAAAAGCATACTATATCCTAGAACGAGTTATCCTGCCTCAGCAGCGCTACACTCCAAAGCCCGAACCAAATCCTTCTTTAAATTTTGCGTATCCTCCAATCCAATCCTAAGTCGAACCAAGCTCCCAAAGACGCCGCTCTCCTCCCGCGCTCTCACCGGCATACCCTTGTGCGTCATCGCCGCAGGAACCTCACACAAACTCTCTACACCACATAAGCTCTCCGTAACAGTTAACAATCGCGCCGTCTCACAGAACGGTACAAATGTACCGTCGTCTTGTTAGGAAAGATATCGCTTGAAAAAGAGCGGGTGCTCAAGGCACTAGGTGCAAGGGTTATCCGCACGCCCGCCGGTGTACCAAGTGAGTCCGATGAGTCTATTATCGGCGTTGCTAGACGTCTCATGGAGGACACGCCGAACTCGTGGATCCTAGACTAGTATAACAACCCCGAGAACCCGCGTGCGCACGAGTTCGAGACTGCAGAGATATGGTCCCAGTCAAATGGTGAGGTTGATATTCTGGTTGTTGGGGCTGTCACTGGGTTAGCGAGGGGTTTGAGGAGGAAGGAGAAGAGGAATGGTCGGAATTTAGTTGTTGTTGTTTGCGTGGATCCTGTTGGTCGGTTCTTGCGCGTCCGGGGGTGTTGAATGGGCAGAAGAGTGAGTATCGTGTGGAGGGGATCGGGTATGACTTTGTGCCTCGGGCTCTGGGCCAGGCCGCACCAGATGCCTGGGTGAAAACCAGTGATGAGGGTTCGTTTGGTTTGCGAGAATACTTATGAAGGAAGAGGGAATACTCTGTGGTGGCTCGTCAGGAGCGGCTTTTGCTGGCCTTGTCCAGTATCTTCGTGCGCATCCAGAAGACAACGTCGACGATAGAAGCATTGTTCTTATCTTTCTGGACAGTCTCAGGAACTACCTGATCACGTTTGCTGATAATTCCTGGATGGAGACAAACGGGTTTTCGAAAGACCAACTAAGTCTTCTGACACGGACTTGGACATGTAATTATAACTCATTATCCAACAGAAAAGAATCGAACCCCGCGAAAATATCCTCTTGTTCACATTGTTCAGGTGAAATTGGCTGCATATTCCGCCGAATCTGAACAAGGCACTCGGGGCTCTGCCATGGCCAGGGCATGTATGTGTTGTCCAAGTCCAGGAGGTCCATCCCAGGGCTGGATCTAAAAGGTGTCCATTGATCTGCCGACCATGGGAGAAAGAAGCTCGGATTATCACTGTTCAAATCACCAGAAAATTCGGTCTGCTCCATACCAACCGCTTCCTTGAATAATTTCAACCACTCGGCATTGTCTGCTGGCGTTTGATTCCACGGATCATCATCACAGTATAAAACACAGCGCGCTTCCTTTTGCAGCATCTCATCGGTAACAGCCTCTCCGATGTTGATCATCCTTTGCACATATTCAGCCAAATGAGCCGTAAGGTGCTCAAAAAGAGTCGGCTTGGAGCTTGTGGATGCGTCTCTGTAGTCCATATCGCCAGAATTATCCGCTAATCGAGATGCACTAAATGGATTCATTCCTGTCGATTCGTTTCCAATCAGATACGGCGGCATAGCATTTTCCACCCCCAGAGCCACAGGGGCATCAAGTCCGCGGCACCCTTGCCAGTCTTTCATTAATGCTCCATCGCGAAAATGCTGCGCGATATGATCATTTCGTTCAGACCATAATGTAAATGTCTTGCTGCAGAAGCCGCACCTCGAGTTAATATGCTGAATTTGCGACTTCCACGTCTCTATAACCGGCAACACATGTGTGACCCCGTGTATTAGACGGAGATGCTGAATAAGGTGATCCTTGCGGTAAAACGTCCGGAAATTCGACGGTCTTTTCTGACATCCTGTGAACCTGTGCCCTTCCATATGGGCCTCTGTTGGATTGGGTTCGTCGCAGAAGATGCAGTGGTCAGCAGTATCTGTCGTGTTTCTGTAAACGGGACCAAATGGAGCACAGGTAAAACTCTCTAACGACAGATGTAGCGTCTTCTCGTGCCGCATCCAGTCATGTTTCGTACGGAATTTGTCAGTGCAGAATGTGCACTGGAAAGGTCTTTTTTCTGTTTTCACCGTTTTGGACGTCTTCTGTCGGCGCCGGCGGCGCCGCCGTGTAGTTTCGTCGAGATAAAAGCGACCGAACGATCCCCCAGAAACATTGGAGCTGTGCGCAGATGAGTTCGAGCTGCTAGATAGAGCCGACCAGGATGGGTTCGAAGACACTACCGACTGGGCGTCGTTACCAGCCGAAGCTGAGTGTCTGCGTTCACTACCCGTGGAAGATGCAAGCCTAAAGTTTTCCTCGGCCAGTTTATTGCTGTCACTATCCGCCACAGCGCTCATGATGGCTTCCAACGGCGCAGGCTCGATTTCCGGAGGCGAGTTCTCCCAGCGATCGAGCGGGTTCATGGTAGACCATTGCTCGGCGGTTGGCAGTTGGAAATCACTGCACGACTCAATGGATTGGGACGTCAAAGATCCCTTCCTTGATGTGCCATACTTACGCCGTCGTCGTGCATTGGCAAACCAAGTCGATACTTGGGCGACGCCGAGACCAGTCCTTTGGGCCAGGAAAGTCTTGTCTTCTTTTGTGGGATACGGTTTGTCAGAGCAAGCTTCCAGCCATTGCTCCAAGATTCTAACTGTATCGCGGGTGAAATGTCGTCTGGAACGATTCGATGACTCAAGTGCTGGCGGAGATTGAGATGGAGCGTATCTAAGTGTAGGTGACGAAAATATCGAATCAAAACCCAAATACATCGATTCTGCTCCTGGATCCAGAAGTGGGAGGGAGGGGTAATCCTTGTCAAGTAGATTATCTATTTCTTTGCCTGCCATTGTGTCGGGTAAGGAGAAATTGCCTGTCCATGATGGATGCTGGAGAGTTGCAAGTAAGTATATGGGGGATTGATCATTGCGCCTTAGTCGTTTCTGCTTTGGGAATAGTGCGCCAGATCCACTGCTTTCCCTTCACTGACCAGGCATGGAACGAGGCGGATTACGTGGGAGCTATTTTTCATCGAGCATCAGAAATTTTTAATTTTGCTATCTTGAGGTATATCCATGAAGATAACATCATATTAAGTCGCATTCGTTAAGTATAGAACATCATATGCATTGTCATTTCGAATGTACGTGAGTGGAATATAGCATTTACCGTCCAAGGCGGATGACCCCAGCAGCCATCAGCTTCTGGATTTGGAGCCGGACCTGTGAGTTCTTCATGTGCTCTTGCAGGGCAGCGGGGTCACCCTTGGCCTGCTGCAGGATGCTCTGCATGACTGGGTCTTGGAGGATAGACATGATCTGGGAAATTAGTTAGCCTAAGAAAGTACAATTTTTGATACCAAAGACAGGTCATACCTCTGGGTCTCGCTGGATGCGCTCCATGGTCTCCTGCTCGGTTTCCCCAGAGCGAGCGCTGAATTGCGCATCAAGAACTTTCTGCTGTTGTTGCTCGATTTCGCGAGTATGACTTCCGTCGTCGTGCTGCAACGCATCGCTGCATGTATCAATGGCCCGGCTATACTCCTTCATGGCGACAAGGGCCTGTGACTTGCGGATGTAAGCACGGAAGAACTTGGGGTCACGGGCAATGGCCTCGTCGCAGTCCTGGACGGCTCCGGGGAAGGCCATGAGCTTGATAAGGGCGGCCGCACGGTTGCTGAAACCACGGGGGTCGTCGGGAGCGCGTTTTGTCATTTCGGTAAAGGCGTCAACAGCACCGGGCCAGTCTGCCTCCTGGAACTTCTTTTGACCTAGCTCACGGGACTTCTCAGCCTCCTCGGGGTCAATGTATGCCTCCTTCTTAGCCTTGTCTCTAGCCTTCTCAGCGTTACGTAGCTTGGTAAGAGCGTCGGGTGTTCGGTGTTCGGTAAGTGACTTGTTGTAGTTGTCGATGGCCTTGTCAAGGTCTCCTTGCTTCTCGTAAGCAGTACCGATTCTTGTGAAAGCCCTGTCGATCGTTAGCATACAACAATTCCCCTCCCATATAGTGACGGATCTTACTTGGCAATGAGCTTAAAGTCCGCCCGGTGCTCACGGCCTTCTTCGATAGCATCTCGACAAGTGTCAATGGCACCCTGAAGATCACCCTTCTCAAACTTGGCTGCACCGATGTTGTTGAGGTATGTCACGTCCTTGTTCAGTTCCCACGCCTTGGTGTAGTGCTCAATGGCTTCATCAAACTGCTTCTTCTTGTAGAAATCGTTACCAATCTTCTTCTCGGCATCACCAGCCTCCTGTGCCTTCTTCTTGGCAAGCGTTTCCTCATCCTCGGGCTCCGGCTCTGGCTCCGGCTGCTTCTTCGGGGCAGACTGGCGGGCGTCGGGCATTGGCACATCTTCAGAGGGCTCTGTAGCACCAGAAGGGCCAGCACCCTCAGGAGGTTGCCCGAAGTTCATGTCGATACCCAATAAGACGCTCATAACCTGCAAAAATCGGGGGTCTCTCATCTCCTCTCCGATGTTGTTCGGGTTCTGCTGAAGCTTCTTCAGCTTTGCCATGAACTCGCCGTCGGCAAGCAGTGCGGAGGTCTTGGGGTTGCTGGCGAGCTTCTGGAAGAGCTGAGGGTCGCCGAAGATGTTTCCGAGTCCTCCCATGGGGTCTCCGCTAGCACCATCGGCCTGGGCCTCGGCGTTTATGGCCCTTTTCACGGCGTTGAACCCGTTCTTGGCTTGCTCGTTGCCAGGCTCCAGTCTGACGGCTTCTTCATACGCATCGTGGGCGGACACTAGACCATGTCAGCAATCTTCGATGTATGATGCACAAGAATAGCTGAGACGTACAAAGATCTCCGAGACCACGGGAAGCTGCTCCCTTACGCTGGTGGCCCTTGGCCCAGTCTGGTTTGATCTCAATGGCTTTCTCGGCATCGGCCAAGGCTTTTTCATAGTCTGCCTGAGCAGCATAGACGGCGGATCGGTTGGAGTAGAGGACATGGTTGCTCGAATCGAGTTCGATTGCCTGGGAGAACTTCTCACTGCTCAAAATTAGCTGTTGTTCTCGGCCTCAAAGCTCTTTGGCAAAGCGGGGTAGACTATACATACACGGCGGTTGCGTAGTCCTTAGCAGAGAAGGCTTTGTTGCCCTCGGCCTTGAGAGCGTCAGCCATGATGGGAGATGCCTAACAAATGGTGGTTAGATGGCTGAAGTGCGCTGTGTGGAGAGAAAGATTGATCAGATTCGACCTGGCGCCGACGCAGCTAATATTGAGGGATCTCAGAGCTTCTGGAAATTTCCGAGCCCGTGCGTCATCGCCTCAGGCGCTCAGGCTGCAAGGCCGACAATGAAATGGGGGAGCTTGAAGACGCGCTAAACCCGATGTGACCCCGACGTTAGCGCTAGTCCAGAAAGAATTCCATCCGCCAAAAAACATCTTCGGCTCTTCACTGCTCCCGCATTTCAAACCTCTCTCACTCGCTGGCTTTGGACGCGGAAGAGTTGTCGCGATATCTGGATATCGACTCGCACTTTCTGCCCTCGAATGTATCTCTGAACATGCTATTCCGCCAGCCTCTGCGGTGACTGACGCTTGGTTTCTCGAAACATGGCCTCCGCGGGGCCGTCTGGCGGCTCTGTGACTGAGCTCGCCTCCAGCCTTTACGATGCATGCGTCAGCAAGTTTCCTGCCGACCATAACCTCTCTCAGCAAGACTTGCTAGGCCTGGATATCATTCCGAAGAATGATCTCACACTCCTGCTCCAATGCACCCAGTCACTTGTCAATCAGAATCTGCTCCGACTGCTTCAAACCCGAAATGACAAACTCGCATGGAAGATCATTCCTAGGGAGGACGCTGAAAAGTATGCGTATCTGGCGACCTGTCTCTCGTGACAAAGAATGCTGATTTTCTTTTCCCCTTCAACAGGCTTCAGAACCTCAACCCCGACGAATCTTTGGTGTATAATGTGATTCATTCAATGGGCAGATCAGGCATCTGGGTACGGGCCATAGTGAATCGTACAAACTTGCACAAATCCATCCTCGACCGATGCCTCAAGTCCCTTGAAGGCAAAAACTATATCAAAAGCGTCCACAATGTCAAGTTTCCCAGCCGCAAGATGTACATGCTGGCCGGCCTAGCGCCTAGCGAGGATGTTACGGGCGGCGCATGGTTTACCGACGGCGTGCTCGACGAGAACTTTATCAACGTCGTCTCCGGATTCATCGAATTCTCCGTTGCGCGGAAGAGTTGGCACGAGATATCGACATCCGACAAGTCCCGCAACAAGAGACTAAAGACCGCCGACGGCAGCGTGGCCATCAAGAAGGAGTCAGGAGGCTCAAAAGAATATCTCCCCTATCCAGCGGGGTACCAGGGCTACCCAACAGTCTCGAGTTTAACAAACGCCGTCAACCAAAGTGGAATTACTCCCGTCCGCCTCGGCGAAGAGAGCGTCACCCAGCTCCTCGAAATGCTGTGCTTCGACAATAAGCTTGTCGCGTTGAACAATGGCGAAGTCTACAAATCCGTGAACAACCCAGAGCAGGTCAAAGCGCGCCAAGCGCGTAAACCAGACGAAGACCCTACTGCGGCCGACGACCGGCTCGTCCGAAACGGTATGACCGAGGTGCCCTGTGGCCATTGTCCTGTCTTCAATCTCTGTGTGCCCGGCGGTGCGGTGAGCCCTGAGAACTGCGAGTATTTTGAGGCTTGGATTCATGAAAAGAGTCAACTCTCGTTCTAGTTATAGTTCAAGGTCTTTGTACTGGCTGGTTGTTTGGTGTGGAAAATACGGTGTTTTATTTGCATAGCGATGGCGTTGCATTGTCTGTGATTTGGGGGCAGGATAGGTCTGTTTTCTGTCGAATATAGATAGGTAGTTGAGATACCTAGGTATTACAGATTGTGGTTGAGTTTGAGTTGATTCTTTTCCGAAGTATCAAAGTCTACAAATACCGTCGCCCAAATGAGATTTTTAAGCTTATAAACTCGAGAATAGAACCCACGTGTATGTGGTAGGATATCATTAAATCATAAGAATATATAGACAGGCCAAACTATTCAGATGCCTTCGCAGCCAAACAATCAGGACAATACCACTTGCCCACAGGCTCCCTCGTCAGCCCAACGCACTTCCAATGGAACCACTCGAACTTGCAATCGTCGTTATCGCACGCCACCATGTCCCCGTGGCTGACTGTACGACACGTACAGTAAACCTTGGAGTCTTCATTACCCTCATCCTCGTCATCTTCATCCATATCGTCGTCGCCGCGGCGAGCGTCGCCGTTCTCGGAGTCAGAGAGCTCGGCGCTGCTGAGGAGGGAATCGTCCTCATCCTCATCGCCACCAGAGGGCGATTTCTTGTGTGAGCTAATCTTCAAACGACCGCTTGCGCTGGACGAGCGCTTAGTCGGCTTTCCGTTGATGGATTTGAGTTTCTTGAGTTGTTGGTGCGGGGCGACTTTCTTCGTTAAGGCTTTCTTGGTAATTCCTGTTGAGCGTGGGCCGGCGCTGCCGGCGCGGCTGGAGGCTGGCGTCCCGGCCTTGGGCGTTCCGGGTCCTAGTGAGGATTGGCGGAGGTTGGAGGAGGCTGCGGGGAGTGTCCCGAGGGAGGCATTGAGACGGCGCCGCTTATTCTCGACAGCACCAGCTGAGGATTCACGTTGGCGTTGTTGGAACTGGGCTGCGGCGGAGGCTGGGGTTGCGGGTGCGGAACTCCGGGCGGCATTTGGTGAGGACAATGTGGATGCTGAGTGTGATCTGTTGAGCGAGAGGTTGAGTCTTTGAGTGGCTCCTAGCGGGTTCGCGTTGCCTGTCGACGCAGTAAGAGGGGAGGAGTATGAGGCGGATTCGTTGGACGAGTCGGGGAAGAAGATCTTCGGGGGGTCGCGATATGAATCTTTGCTGTTGAAGAGGGAGGGAATTGGAGGATCATTGGAGAGAACGCCATCGTTTTGTAGGTCGCGGATCTTGACGTCAAGCCGCTTTATCTGCCTATCCAGCAGGATACACGCCTTTTCGCTGAGGTGAATCTTTTCGTCTTGTAGCTGCTGTGACCTGTCGAGGTTCTGTAATACGGCCTTCGAATACTGCTCCTCCTTTGGGTTCGGGGTAAGGCTGCCGTTGAGTTTGATGAATTTCTGTATACTGGCGTCTCGCGAATTGATGATTGAGCGACAGTCTTGAATAGTCTTGTCCTTGGCCTGTATTTCTTCCATCAAATGGTTGATCTCCGCTGGAAGGTTCGCAACATCGTGCACGAACTGCTCGAGCACCGAAGCGCAATCTTCCTGGCCGTGGGCCATCTTTCGCAGCTCTTCCTGGGCAAGACCAACAGCAACTTATCTATTGCCTGGGTATTAGCGACGTAATTAGCGGCCGACGCGAGATGAAAACCAGGCCGTAAGTTCGTGAGTGATGGCTGAATATTGAAGGCTGATCTGGCTCCGGAATGCGCCCTTGAGTGTCGTGCTTAGTCATTTGGCGTTCTTCTGGCCGTAACTTACCGTATTTATACCACCGAAGTATCCACGGGCATCTACACAAAGTTAACTATAGAAGAACCTTGAAAGCTGATTCAGCATTCATCATACGTTGAGATGTTTAACTTTCACCCTTCATCACTTCTTTCTCCTACGTCCTTCACATTCTGCTAGCTAGGACAAACACCAACGCAACTACTGACGCTACACAGACCTACCACTGCCTAGAGAGACCTTCCGTCGTCTCTTACCCTAAGGGCTCTCATATATGACTTCTGGACCTCGCGTGTAGATTATGACGGTGGTATAGACTTCTACGGCCGAGCTCCGGGCGCTTATGACGGCAGTGCTACACTGCCAAAGCACAGATTGCATAAAGTAAGTACAGGTCTTGCTCAATAGTTTCACAAAGAACCACATACCTCGATGATGAGATCAACCAACTCAAGGGCTCGGCTTGGGCTCGGCTTGGGAATGCTTAGGAGGGACAAATGTCAGCAAAAGCCGGCGTCAGAGGAACATTGTTTCGTCTTTGACAAAAGTCTCAGATCGTAACAAGGGACTGGGATATCTTCACTCGCCTTCACAGTACTTCCCAGCCGACTGCCAGCCCTATGGAACTGAGAGGCCGTTGTTCTCGTCTCAACTCATTCTACTGAAGAAATTTGACTTGAAGCGTGCTAACAATCTCGTCGACATATTGTATCAAAGGGTCAAACCGTGGGCGGCAAGAAAGTGAACGAAGAAAGGACTCGTCGAATGGCAAAGGTGGGAGAAAGGAAGGTATATAAGGTACGCCTGAGCAACTTCCTTAATTCGGGCTTATATATTAACATGGAAAGAACTATCTAGTTGCTTGGCCAGGGCTGTGGCCTCCTTCTTCATGATACCGTGAGAGAACGAACTGGCAGGTGAGCCGGTAGGGCTCGAACAGACATTCAAACCAAACTGGATATCGCTCGCTGTCTATCTTATAAGAACTATGTGAAACATGAAGAATAGTTGACGTTATATCTGTTTGACTGAAGGAGTATATCGCTATAGTATATATCGGGTAGATGGCCGCAGGGTATAAAGTATTATACTATTTGTATATACTCGAACCTGCCCTAACTATACCAAAGATTAGGCCGCGGAACTCGAGGACAGCTTGACATATCGTGGCAGGCATTGTCGTTCACGTTCAAGCCTCGTTAGCCGGAATTGGTTATTCTTAGACGCTTTATCTATCCATCTGCTGCCGAGTCTCTATATTCGCTTGATGTTTGCGTCAATCAGTGGGTCAATCTGAGCTCTACACCCCTCGATTATCTCCGAGGTATCTATGAAAGGTAAGGCACACAGTATACTACATGTCTCCATAAGTCTGTTTGACTCATACTTGACGAGAATTTCTGGAGCACGAATTTGATGGACATCTTGGATATATCAAAGTGAGACGGCCGCTGGAAAAATCCTTGGACTTTCCATGACTTCACAGCATTGACCATGAGCAACAGACTAGCTGACCACCTTCGTGAATTTACAGCCAAATATGAGTAGTAAACCTCTCGGCGTCGCCGCCCGCAATGCAACAAATGCAATAAGAACCCCCACGGCGCTTCCAAGATCGGCGGATTTGGCGGACAGCCAAGGTCCTCGACTCGCAATGCAATAAACTCTCTATATCTTGGCAAGTCGGTTCAGGCCGGTGATAAATGAATGTCCTGTGATTCTCCTCTAATAAGCACCGAGTTTCAGCATTCCACCGAGCCCCCAAGGTCCCTCCCAACAGCATCCCCTTGCAGCATTGGTCGAGATCTTTTTATATCCCTGGCATATAAAACGAAACAACCCACGCCAAGGCCTTGGCTGACTTCCATTACCATCAAGGTACCTGGATCTGGCCGTCGTTGTGCTGTGGAAAATGGAGGTTTTTCGCAGAATAGATATGATCGGAGGCCAGCCAAGGCAGACAAGAAAAGCCAAGTTAGCTTAGCAGTATCTTATATAAAGCCAAGTCTGGTGTCCGGATTGTCCAGTAACGGACACTGGGCCTCTATTCTCTTTCTTGAGTGAGCATCATGGACACGAAGCGCGAACCTGACACGCACGCAATCGCGGCACCAGATGAGTCTTTGCCAAATCATGTTGTCGATGAAGGCGATGCCGACGACACGACAATATTCTACAACAAGAACAAGGCCAATGCTCGACCTCTTACTCCCGAGGCCAGAGGAAGGCTTGTGCGGAAGAACTTCTGGTTCCTCCTCATCCAGACGTGGTGGATTTCCTTCCTCATCCACCTAGACAAGTCGACGCTTTCCCAGGCCAGTACGATGGGGATCTTTGAAGATGTCAGTATGTCCAAGAATGAGTACAATCGGCTGTTCATCTTGTTCTATGCCGGGTATCTCATTGCGCTCTGGCCGGGTGCTTGGATATCGCAGCGCATCGGCCCCAAATACTTCATTACAGGGTCGTTGTTTCTGTGGGCTCTCTTGATCGGGGTTCATCCTGCTGTGAGAACTGGACGGCAGATGATGGCAGTCCGGTTCTTGTTAGGAATGGTAAGTTGCTGGCCACCCTGGCTTCTCCTCAGCATACTAACAAACAAAAGACTGAGTCCCAGATCATACCCTCAACCGCCATCCTCCACCAGACTTTTTTCCCTCCCAAGCAAAGCCCATGGGTGCAGCTCCTATGGTGGGCGTTTGGAAGTATGGCCAACGTCATGCTCACCATGGTCGCGTACAAGCTCATTCTCGACGATAATGCCGGGGCTTTAGCTGGCGGAATCAACTCATGGAAGTGGCTTCATATTATATGTACGCTTTTGACCTTTTCGGTTTTTGTGCCTCTCTTTATCTTCCTCCCCAACTCTCCCCTGGATGCGAAATGGCTATCTACCGAAGAGAAAGTGCATACGATCGAGATCATCCGTGAGACTCATGCCGGGATCACAAATTCTACGTTCAAGTGGTCGCAGGTGCGAGAGTCGTTCGCTGACCTGAAAAGCTGGCTGTTCATGTAAGACCCTCGCTGGAAGCCCTAACCGCCACTGACAACCATCCAGCTTCCACATGTTCTTCAACGAACTCCCAAACAACACCTCCCAGCAGCTCCCCCTTATTGTTGTTGGATTTGGCTTCACACCGGCAGAGAGTGCTCTATTTAATATCGTGAAACCGCTCTGGGGCTTCGTCCTGATTCTCGTCTCGGCCGCCATGTTGCACGGCACCAGACTCGGTACGGGCTATACATGTGCCATTTCCTACATCCCATGCTTCATCGGCGGAATTATCGAGGTGAGTCTGCCACCTAGAGAGGTACTGCTTATCACTAACAAGGTATTCATCCAGCTGGCATCCCCCTGGTCCAACAAAGTAGCCCTAGTCGTCGGAACTCAGATTTCAACCTTCAAGCCATCCTACCTCCTCGGTCTCAACTGGGCTGGAACAACGACGACAGGACATACTAAGAAGCTAACGCTGATGACTTCGTGTATTGTCGCAGCGTCTGTCGCTAACATGATCTCGCCGGAGTAAGTGACCTGTCCAGCCTAGTATATACCAAGCTAGACAAACTGATCTGGATCAGATTCTGGGAATCAAAATACCAACCCCGCTACGTCCTCCCATGGGCCTTTATGACTGCATTCTGGTTCATATCACCCGCGATGTGTCTGATAATCCGATTCTACCTGCAGCATGAGAACCGACGCCGGGTGCGGCTACTGGCTGAGGGTGCAGTAGACTCTGAAAATGAGGGCGATGCTATTGATACTGGAAGTGAGATTGTCAAGATTGACAGGATGGATTTGGATAAGACGGATCGCCAGAATCTGAGGTTCATTTATCCACTTTGAGGGGTGATCAGTATAGATTGCTGGTGAAGAAACTGGACATATTCCTGGTCTCTAGTAAACAAGGACAAAATACCAAGATAGGGGAATATCGCGGCCATGGACATATCATATATTCAATCGTATAGCTCAAGTAACGCTTACATCCACAACCCCCACCCCTCAACCAACCCCCAACTTTTGCATTAACTACATCATAATCACATCTCATAGCATCGTATTGCATCGCATCACAAAGGTGACGGCACAACCGGGGGCTTCTTATCCTGGAACCCGCCATTCGGGTGAATAATGACCTTGGTGTATCCGTCAATTCGCTTATCGAACTTGTGGTATGCCGTCTCTGCGTCTTCGATCCCGATCTCGTGCGAGACAACAAAGCTCGGCTTCGCTTTGCCCGCGACGATCAGGTCGCGTAGTTGGCGGTTGTAGGCTTTTACATTGCATTGGCCGGTTCCGAGGGTGAGGCCCTGTATACAAAGGGTTGGTTAGATATCCTCTTTTTAGTGTCCGTGGTATAAGGGCTTCATACCTTTTCGAATAGCTTGCCAAAGCTCAAGCTAATCATCCCCTTTGCAGCGGCAGAGTCACCAGCACCAGGGTCGCTTTCGTTTTTTATCGAACGTTAGCGGAATGCCGTATATCAGGTAGTAAAGCGAGACAAACCTAGGAACATAAAGCCCCGGAATCCCAAGACCACCACAAGCCCTCGTCACCCTAATCATATTCTCAAGGACAATATTCGGCACCTCAGTCGAGTTATCATTCCCAACAGCCTGGTACCCCACCGCATCCACCGAGCGATCAACCATCTCGCCCCCGTTGCCGGGAATAATCTGGTCGACGGCATCGCCCGCTGTGAAGTCGACAGCGATAGCTCCAATCCGCTCAGCGGCGCGAAGACGCTCTGGCACGCGGTCGACAACGAAGACGCGCGATGCGCCGCGCAATTGTGCGGAGTACGCGGCCATCAACCCGACGGGGCCGGCGCCGAATACTGCCACGCTGTCGCCGGGTTGGAAGCCGGAAATTTCGATCCCATGCCAGCCTGTGGGGAAGATGTCTGTAAAGTGTTGCTTAGCTTTGTCTTGGTGTTTGGGGCAGGAGTGGGGGTAGATTGGGTTGGGTTACCTGCGAGCAGGATGAAGTCGGCTTCGTTTTCGGTTCCTGCGGGGAGCTTTAAGGCGTTGAAGTCTGCATATGGGACGCGGAGGTACTGTGCTTGGCCTGCATTGTGGTTGTTAGAGAGTGGGGGTTCTATTGTCTAGGATCGCAAGTATACGCACCTCCGCGGTAGGGCCCCATAGCGACGTATCCTGTAGGCGTCAGCGACAACCCCCCGACATCAGTGTAAGTGACGAACCGTAAGCACCGCCTGCAAAGCCGGGATTGACTCCAGTGCAGAATGCAGTCTTTCCATCCTCACAGTTCCGGCACCGTCCGTCCGCGACGTTGAATGGCATGACCACTCGGTCTCCCTTCTTGAGCAGTGTGACACCGTCTCCGAGCTCCTCGACGATACCTAGATTCTCATGACCTATTACTTGTCAATAAACAATTGAGGAGTGACCCTAATGTCCAACCCGCGTACCAAATGTGATTCCAGCCTCAGCTGCCGTTCTCCCCTCGTACATGCTGCTGCTGTGAGTATGAAAGCGCACATCCGGGTATGCGACTTACTGCAAGTCCGAGCCACAGATAGCAGCCTGAAAACAGTCAGAAAATGTGATTAATTATTCGAGACCAAACATACACTGGTAACCTTGACGATGATGTCATCTGGATGCTCCAGCCGGGGCATATCGACCTCCTGGACCTTGACATTGAACGGTCCGACGTAGTTCAGCGCTTTCATAGTTCTCGACGCCATGGTGATTGAGCGAATGTCAGAGAATACTGGACACGAAGTGCAAGAATTATCCCACCCATACTGCGGACTCCTCCTGCTGTATATTTATCTGAACCGCGTGCGGGGTGAGGAGTCGCGCGGGGAAAATTAACACTCCCAGCAGGGACAATCACGTCGTCTGATTCTTTTTCTCTCGCAGGATAAAACACCGCCCAGGCTGCTCCGCAGGGGAACGGGGCTTGAGACTTCCTAATCCAGACGCACTTCGGGGAATGAAGCGTGGCAGAGAGGAGAGAGGGGTGGGGGTGGAGGAGGATGCGGGAGAAATTACTGCGTTGGGGGAATCACCCTGTTTGTCAATGAAGCCCGCGATGAGCCCTAATCCGGAAACGCAAATCCGACCAACAGGGCAAGTATCCCCTCGGCGGGCATTGTATTTATATCGAGCAGGGGGGAAGCGATTCGTTCTGCATTTGCACAAATCTTAAATTTAACAATCATGGTCGTCGTCTCACGCTTTAGAGCTACTTGGGGCATTGAGCCCGGCCCCCAGCTGTCGGAGTGGAGGAAGAAGTTCGTCGAGTGGAAGGCACATGGATACGGTAGTTATTTAATGGTCCTTTATCGCAGAGAATGAAGCTGATTGCTGTTAAGACGGAATTGAGCTCGACATTTCTGGTCTGAGCGATGAGGAGCTTCCGCTTCTACGCCGCAATTGCGACGAGGCGGGCCTCGAAATAAACGTCATGTCCGTATCCAATTGTCCTTTATTCGCAATTTAATCAACTGACAATAACGTAGCTTGTTCTCAGCCTGGCCAGGTTATGTCGGTCGTCGTCCTCCCGGCCTCACCCCAGACGACCATGCCGAGCTCTTCCGGACACAGCTTCGACGTGCCTCAGTCCTAAAGCCAACCGTTGTCAACGCTCAGTCAGGGGCGTACGTATATTAAGCCCCTCGGATAGTTAACAACTCCTAGCTAACTGTTCTCCCCCATGCAGTGATCACTTTAGCTTGGACGAGTCCGTCGCATTCTACAAAAAGGCCCTACATATCGAGAAAGAAGAAGGCTTCGCTGGACGAGTCTGCCACGAGACTCATCGCAATAGATCTCTCTTCACCCCATATGCTGCGGACTATATCCTGCAAAAAGTGCCAGAGTACGTAGTTGTCCCGGTTGGCCTCTCGGTAGCCTGCTGACAGACACAGATTAACAATCACCGCTGACGTCTCTCACTGGGTCGTTGTATGCGAAAGGCTTCTTGATCTCAATAAAGAGGACCAAGAGATTCTTACTCGTATCATTCCACATGTGAGACCCAGTACAACAAACCAAGAACTCATTTTTCAGTATCTAACGAGCACCAGGTCGGCCACCTCCACACGCGCATGGGCACGACGCAGTCCTCACAGTGCCCAGAGCCCCTAAACCCAGCCTTCGCCGCCGAAAAGGAATTCTTCGATAACTTCTGGCTTCGGGTTGTCAAGCACAAGCAACAGACAGACCCCAATGGCCGGCTAACCTTCGTGCCGGAATATGGGTGAGTACCCTGTCGCGATCTTGTGTATTCTAGCTCTAATTATTGTTCAGTCCGTTCCCATACCACCCCATAGGTACCGCCTGGAGCCATGGAGATCTAGCAGACAGTGAAGGGAAGCGGTTGGAGGCGCTCTTTAAGAGTAGCCTTGGGCAGTAGAGTTAGGGTTGCCGGTTAGAACGGGAACAGATAGACACGCCAGAAATATATATCTTGCCATCTCATACAACCAATAGAAATTCTATGATTCTGGCAATTCCAACCACCACCAGCTACCATAACAGCATCGACACTTCGACAGCTATAATAGACGTCCCCCACCTTCGGAAGTGCTGTTCTCTCGGCCTTTGGCCGGTGCTCTTGCCGATGTCGCACGTCCTCCGAGCCCCGCTATAAGAGTATGCGCACTACGAATGTCTGAAATTACAGCTACCGAGCCATTGCCGGAGAGAAGAAAACATGCCGCCATTTGTCAATAACCCAGTCTATACTAGAAATAATATAAGGTACCAGCAATGACGTCGCGGTGAATGCCCCTCGTACTCCAATGCAAACACTGCAAACTTTCCTGTTCCGGAAATGCTCCCCGCGGCTTAAATAACTTCACGGGCGCTGCAATTCTCCAATGACTCAAGTTCTCGCGCCTGGCCGTCTGTCTACATTTCTTGCGTATGATCTCAGTTAGATCTGCGACTCGATTATTCTAGGACCGGACCAATTGGTGTAGTTTGTTTCTTGTCGCAGAACTTCACCATGGGCGAATCCTCCCCGCTCCCGGAGGGGATCACCTCTCTGCTTGATACGGATCTGTACAAGCTGACGATGCAATGCGCGATCCTCAAATACTTCCCAGACGTCTGTATGTACTAGCCATCGTGTTTCTATACCGGACCGACCGGTCTAACAGTTTTGCGCAGACGTCACCTATGGCTTCACGAATCGCACGCCGGATATGAAGTTGACGCGGGGCGCATACAAATGGATTCTGGCTCAGATGGACAGTATGTAGAGAGACTCCGATCTAGTCCTGACGACGCTAAAAAATATTATTTCTCTACAGAACTTGCGAATATCCGGGTTACGAGCGACGAGATCGAGTTCTTGAAGAAGCGATGTCCCTACTTCAACCACGCCTACTTGGACTACCTCACGACATTCCGCCTCAAGCCCTCAGAACAGGTCGAGATCAAATTCACGCCTGCAAAAGACACTGGCAGCGACAGCGACCTCGGCGACATTGAATATGTTGTCAAGGGTATCTGGGTGGAAACCATCCTATACGAGATCCCGCTGTTGGCATTAACCAGCCAGGCATACTTCTTATTCAGCGATAAGGATTGGGACTACGAAAACCAGGAGGAAAAGGCATACCGGAAGGGCTATGTCCTGCTAGAGAATGGCTGCACGTTTTCAGAATTCGGAACCCGGCGGCGCCGCGATTACCATACCCAGGACCTAGTCATGAAGGGACTGTGCCGGGCTTCGCGGGAAGGACAGGCCAAGGGTGTCCCTGGTGCCTTTACCGGTAGCAGTAATGTCCACTTCGCAATGAAGTATGATGTTGCTGCTGTCGGCACAGTCGCGCACGAATGGTACATGACCATCGCCGCGATCACTGACGACTACGAGAACGCAAACGAGATGGCTTTGAAGTACTGGCTCGGCTGCTTCGGCGAAGGCGTACGCAATCCCCAAACCCTCCAACAAAACGCCTACGATAATCAGGTACTAACAACTACTGCTAGGTCCTCGGTATTGCTCTAACAGACACCTTCGGTACTCCCGCCTTCCTCGACGCCTTCCGCAAGCCTATCCCCGCATACACCTCCGCTGGCGCTGGTGCCGTCTCAACAACCCCCTCCGGACCTAGCACAACAACCGAATCAAACATCCAAAGTGAGGCCGAGACAACGCCACCCATATCCGCGCCTCTAGAGAACCAACACGCCAACCCAAGTACCAAGTCGTACGCAGATGTCTATACTGGCATTCGCCAGGACTCTGGAGACCCAACGTACTTTGTAAAAATGGCGCGCGACTTCTACGACCGTGCAGGTATCAAGGAGACCAAGACGGTCGTGTTCTCGGACTCCTTAGATATAGAGCACTGCCTTGAGTATAAGGTCATTGCGGAGGAGGCCGGGTTTAAGCCTGTTTTTGGAGTTGGCACCTTCTTTACCAGTATGTTTCTGTTCTCAGTCTCTATAAACTCACCCAAGATTTCATAACGAAAAGAAACTAACTCTATAACCACAGACGATTTCGTCAACAAAACTACCCACGAGAAATCTAAACCGCTCAACATCGTCATCAAGATCTCGTCCGCGAACGGCCGCGCGGCTGTGAAACTCAGCGACAACATGGGCAAGAACACAGGCGACAAGGATACAGTGCAGTCTGTGAAGAAGAGACTAGGCTATGTTGAGCATGAGTGGGAGGAGGGCGATGAGAAGAATCGGTGGGCGGGGAAGTGATTCACCAATCTGTCTATCTGTTTGTTTTTTTTTTAAACCTGATACCGATACCGATACCCGGGCATTCTCAGCTACTTGAGTGGGGTTTAGTACCTAGTACGTCTGTTATGAATGAAACAAATAGGTCCGAGGAGGGGTGAATGAGCGGAAGATATTGCATTAAGGGGCATTAGAATAGATACAATATTATGCATTCATTGGGTTTGGGATTAAAGTATGCCAGTACAAACCCACTATTCAAATCTTCACTGGTTCATAAGATTATGTATTGCATGGTGTACATATATATACGGAAAATGTCGATGCGAGACAGGGGACAAAAGGCCCAAGATGCAGTAGAAGAATAATCATCACATCGTAAACGTAGCCAAAGCCATTCTAAAACATCTCATCACCAGAAAACGATATTCCCAAATCTCGATCTAGATCTCCTGTGATCCCGCCACTTAAACTCCCCTGTCCATGGCCATGGCCTTGACCCTGATTTTGACCAAGGCTAGTCGTTGGACTCTGACCTGGGCCTGTTGGAAACGAGAAAATATCCCTGGCTTCGTTCGCGTTCGTGTCGTAGTATTCCGGGTTGGCGTCTGCCCAGCGGAGTAATTCGCTGGTCCAGTCTAGGTCAATGTCGAGGTCGGCGGATGGGTCAGGATTGGGAGGGGTAAAGTTGGAGGTGTATGTATTCAGGTCAAGTTCGAGGTCAGAGAAAGAGAAGGGTCCAGTGGTTGGGAGAGGTTGAGGTCGGCCATTTGCAGTGCTGTTGCTGTTGTTAACCGGCTCCATGATATCGCTGGGTGGAGTGGGTTGATTTTGTCGAGGATTGGGATGGGCCCCTTCTGCAGTGCTGTTATTACGCGGACCACTTGGAGAGGCTGCTGATGGAGCTGGCGGGGAACCAAGTTGATGTAGAATAGGATGCACAGTTTCAGGTTCTTTCTCGTCGTTGGGTGGCGTCCAGCGCCTAGGGTTGTCATCTTCCATTGGCGACGGTATGTGTGATGGATTGGGAGCAAAGCTCGCTTTGCGTGGCGGATTCTGTGGTTGCTCCGGAGGAGAGCCGTTAAACTGCATGATTTTCAAAAGCGCACTCGTGCTGGATTGCGCTTTTACAGCGGCTTCTATATTAGCCACTTCCATATCGGCTGCGGGATATATCTCTTTCAATCCTTGCAGAACTTGGATGCACCGCTGGAAGTTGGAAATGCTGTTTCGACGAAGAGTAGGATCGTTTGACATGGAGTTGGCCAAGTGAGCCACAGCCGCCGGTAAGATAACAGTTACACCGGACTGAGGGAGGTACCGGGTAAGATTAAGTTGGTTAAGACCCTGGATAATTTGGGTGATTCCAACAGCAGCATCCTGCATCTTTGTTTTCGCGACGTTTGCCAACTCAAGGCGAGATTTTGTTTGGTCTTTTACAGGTCCATATGCCCAGGGCCGATGCAGCGCACTAACTGTAGCATGATAGAGCATCCGTATCATGGCACCATGGAGAAGCAATACATCTTCTCCTTCGTTGAAATTCGTCCTCGAGGCAGGTATAAACTGGGCGTCCTTGGCTAGACCAGAAAGCCACGCATCGAGTCGCTGACTGCATCGAGCCAACTCTGATTCGGAAGCATGGCGGGGTACAAGGGTGATTGTTGTTCTGTTCGTCATGCCGAATTGAAACTGGGAGGGAATGTATTGGGCAAACAGAACTCGGCCAATACACTGGCATAGTTTGGTTTTCTCAATGAACATAGTAGCAAGGCGCTTCCGATGTGAGGCATCCTCCAACTGCCGGCAATGGAACTGCTCAATGACAGCTGGGTGGAATGGCTCGGAGTCAAAGTCATCCAACGTTAACATTGGGAGGTTACTTGAACCTTCGTTGACCTGTGTTGGGCGCCTCAAGCCCATAGCTATGAGTCGATCCCGCGCAAACAAACACCACCATAAACGCGCCCTCAACCGTTTTGTCCTTATGTCGAGGTCGGTAGGTGACGGATCTCTGTTCAGTCCTATGGAATGCGCATTGGTACTGCAGATGCCAATCCAATCCCATATGTCTCTCTGCGGGTTATTCATATGGTCGGTCCAGTAGGTCATGAGAAGGAGGGTTTGCACAACAACTAAGCGATCTTCCTCGCAATCAAGCGAATAGAGTAACTGTGCAGTCATAGGTGTCAGTTCTGGTAAATAAAACAGATGCATGGCACTGTCGTTTTGAACATACCCTTAATCTTGTATAGAATGCAGTTCGTGCGGCTTTTCGGGTTGCGTATCCAGCGGCCTGTAAGTGCTTCAAGTCGACAAAGGCTGTTGCCGCAAACATCACGGCCTGGAATAGCATGAGACTAATGTCGCCCTCTGGGTCATTCTCAGCAACGCGCCGCAAAAACTCCTGTAGGTTCAACACCGGCAAGAAGCTATGAACCCATTTAATATAGCAACGCAAAAGTTCAGTCCGTAGCCCGCTCTCGGGGATTGTCAGCGCCCCTCGAAAGCGCAGAAACTCCAGGTCCTCCGGGGATATCCGGGTAGGCAATGGCTTCAAGAAACGCGGCTCTTCGTCCAGTATCGCAATCACTGGATCAAAATCCGGATCCAGTAGGTCTTGCACGGTCGACACCATATTAGCAAGTGGTAAGGAAGCCGCGTGTGCGCGATTCCCTACCGACCTCCGGGTTGCTGAGAATGCGGAATCATGAAGCCATGGAGTGCGGGCATCGTAGCCCAAGGGGTTGCTGTTCCTCTTCATACTAGGCCCGTCATCGGCGAACCCAGCAGCGGACTGTTTCCGCTTATCGGTGAACATTTTGCTCACAGATGATACAGGTTGGCCAGGCGCGTCCGGCGCACCGGAGGTCAACGGTTGGGGGCGCTAATCAACGAGTCTGCAAGGGAAAAGCAGTAGTGGTTTTTTCGGATATCGACGAAGGTCAAGACCCGCAGCTTTCTCGACGCACAATAGCTCGGTGTTTGGAGAGTGAAAGGTATGAGCGCTGAGCTCACGCAGCTCATCTGCCAGCGAAATGGGTGTGGAGGCGGGGTTCCTCCGTATTTGCGGGCCATCCCCGCCAATTTCCTCACATTTCTCTTTAGTCCAATGAGTTGGATCGCATTTGACCGGTGAGAAACTGACATTGGACGAACCAAGTTAGACGGGGGGCCGGAACGGCCTTCGTTCCACACCGAGGCATGGTTGTTGGCCGGGGATGGCCTCGATTTGCCGAATCAAGTATCCGATATTTGGCCTCAGGCAGCAACCACATAATGGGGCTAAACTCATACACAGCCCGCTAAGCCATATTAAGGACTATGCTTGCTGCTAGGATAGCTCACCTTCTGATATTACAACCCCATCGGGCCGAAGAAAGAGGTCCTGATGAAAGGTATGCAGGGTATTGGACGATATATATGAGATCCTTTTGGAATCCAGCAACAGAGCTCTCTCTTATCGAGCAATTTTTCCGCCGGCAGTGCCTCAAAGACGGTGTCAAGCCAGAGGCGGTTTCGAAGATTCGAGGAAAATATCTCATAAAAACCCCGGAAGCGCTAGCAAGAGATGCCTGTATTGTTACAGCTGGTATATGCAGGATATATGCGCTGATGCAGCCTCAAATCCCCGAAAAGAGCGTAGTCGTGGCGGCCATGCCGTGCGACCATAGCGTTGACTTCGAGGTGGTCCAATATCAAAACTCGAGGTGACCAGAAACTTCTCCCTACGGTTCAGAAGGCAAGTACCAGCCGCTACGGAGGACTGTTGCCAAGGACACAAGTAGTGCAGGACGGCTACAACGGAAGAAATCCTCACAGGTTCTTTCCACAGCTAAGCCTACATTATGGTTACGTTGTGGGGGACAACGAGGAAACGGAAGTGTAATATATGAGATCTAACTTCCTTCCATCTTAAACGGACATCGCCTAGCAGTGAGCCAGTTGAATCCAGTTTCACATTGTCCAACACCTTTCAGTCTCTGAGACCACAGCTTCGACAGACTACAGAATGCCACTCCATAAATAGACACGAAAGATCATAAAGAGAGAAGGGTGCCGAGACGACAAAAACTTCCTAACAAGGCATGCTGAATTATAATATGTCATATGTTGTTCCAAATAATTCTATCAAAACGCCAAACGGTATAGCGCATGCCCATAAAACACACCATATACTAGTAATACATGTCCGCTTCGAGCGTAAAGAGAGGTCGTTCGGAAATCGCTTGCGTCGGTAAGCGGCGCAGAGCGCTTATTTGCAACGTCCGAGGTTCATTTCGACGCGGTAAGGATTTGGAGGATTCGTTTAAGCACTTTGTTCATCAGTGATGGCGCAACTAACAGAGCGGCGACTGGGAACTTACGGAGGAAGGAGGAGCTCAGAAAGGCTGCTGTGGAGGAAAGCAACGCCGGCCTACGGAGCGAGTTAGTAATTTCTCAAGAAAATAATGGAAGCAGTGACACGCAGAAGCGATGAACGAGCGATGAACGTACGCCGAAGACAAGGATGCTCCTAACGATGGTGGTGTGCTCAGGCGAAGTAACCTGTTCGTAGGCGGCCTGGAAAAGGCCCTTCTCGGTCTGCTTGGGAGCCATTTTGAACTTTATGGGCGGATTTGAATAGAAAGGAGGTCAATCTTGATGTGAATGGTGCACTTGACTGTTTGTTGGAGAGGTTGAAGATGGACGGTGTTTGAGAGTTGTTCCGAGAAATCTGACGCCGATCTTGGCGCCATCTTGCGCTGAGAGCTTTTCGCGGCAACCGTAGTTGTCCCCGACCAGCTTCGCGGTTGATGCGCACGTTGACAAGAAATACGTCCAGTTATTTCGGAATTTGAGATATAATCTGCTGCGATTTATTGCTTATCTAGCATTGACTCTGTTTAAAACCCCCGCACCGGTCGTCCTCCAAGGTGTGTGGTCGCACTTAGCTGCGAACAGCCTTGCGCAACCATGACAAGCGTAGATGAGCTTTTCAAGGTAAGCTTGCTTTCCTACTTACACTTGATATCCTGATACTCACAAATAAGAAACCGCTATCGGCCGCGAGTGCGAAGCGGAAACTGGACAGCACCGACCCAAGTACGTTTGCATGCCAATGATCTAGAGAGTCCGAGTTACTAAACCACGAGGATCAGATGAGCTATACAAAGCCGCCAAATTAGACGCGAACGGCGATGTCAAATCAAAAGGGAAGGCGCCAATGGTAGAGGATGAGGAGGAGGAAGACGATGGTGCTGCTGGCCCAGAGCTCCCACCCGATTTCGAATCAGAAGATATACCCGATGACGAGGAAGGGCGCTTTTTCGGTGGTGGAATGGAACGGGAAACAGCCCAGGCCATGAATTATATCGATGAGCAAGATCAGGGAGAGGTCGTGGTATGGAGTGGCGGTCCCTTCAGATTGTCGACTTGCACTGACTCGGGCATAGAACGAGAAATTCGACACCGCGTGGTTGAGGCGCTTCGCTTTAAATTTCGAGAAGAAAATATCCAAAAACGCGGAGCTGCGTGGAAAGTTCGAAAATGATCCTCAAAAGTAACCGTCATCTTGGTTCTCATGATGTGGAAGATATTGACGGGTTTTAGGTTCATGACCTCTGAAGCCGATCTAGATACCGAGATCAAAAGCCTGTCTATCCTCTCGGAACACACAGATCTATACCCCGAATTCACAAAGTTGGGCTGCGTTGGCTCTTTGATATCTCTTCTTTCCCACGAGAACGCCGATATCGCCATCGGTGCGATCCAAATCATTAGTGAGTTGACGGATGAAGATGTGGAAGCGGAACAAGAACAATGGGATGTGTTGGTGAATGCAATGGTAGGCTGTCATCACCGGCCTTGGAGGGCTGTACTAATGAAACTAGTTGGACGCGGATCTCATCGAACTACTTGCACAAAACCTGTCGCGTCTAGATGAGGAATCAGATGCCGACAGAGCTGGGGTATACTATATTCTCGGTTAGTCAATGACTCCAAAGGGAGGGGTGTAATGACTAACCTATCCAGGTGTGCTCGAGAATCTTGCCTCCCAGGCATCTATCGCAGAGAAGATTGGCCAAGATTCAAATACAATGCCATGGCTCCTCGCGCGTATCCAAAAGAAAGAAAGACCCGTGAGCCAGAATCAACAATACTCGGCCGAGATCCTAGCCATTCTATTACAGTCTGGTTCCAAAAATCGAGAACGGTTTATTGGACTTGACGGGGTAGACGCCCTACTACAATTATTAAGTCAGTACCGAAAGCGTGACCCTGAGAAGGACTCGGACGAGGAAGAATATGCCGAGAATTTGTTCGACTGCTTAACGTGCCTTGTCGATGATGACGCTGGGAAAGAAAAGTTCCTGGAGGGCGAGGGTATTGAACTTGCCCAGATCATGTTAAAGGAGGGCAAGTTCAGTAAAATCCGCGCTCTCCGAACACTCGACCATGCTCTGGGTGGCCTTGGTGGTGCGGCTGCCTGTGAGCGACTCGTCGAAGTGGCAGGGCTGAGAACTGTATTCAGCATGTTTATGCGTAAGGTATTACTCGACGCAGTCTGGCTTGAATTTTAGGGCAACGCTAACTTTTAAGCAGCAAGAAAATCAAATAACAGAGCACCTCCTTGGCATCTTCGGATCCCTACTACGGCTCTTACCTGGAGGCTCAGCGCCCCGAATTCGCGCGCTGGCCAAATTTATGGAGAAGGACTATGAGAAGATTGAGAAATTGGTTAAATTGAGACGTGACTATGCTTCCCGAGTATCGCCGGTCGAGCAGATCATCCAGAAAGAGCGAACAAGGTTTACGAAAGAGGAACAGGAGGTAATGGAAGCTGAATGGCTTTCCCGGAGGTTCGATGCCGGCCTTTTCTCTTTGCAACTTATCGATGTCATTCTTGCATGGCTGGTGGCTGAAGATGATGGAGCGAAGAAAAAGATTGTATCGATCCTATCAGATCGTGATGAGGATTTGACTCTCATTCGGAACACACTCCAAGGTAAGCTAGTACTTTCCATTATATGTCTGGCTGTTTACTAATGGGCATCCAGAACAAATCACAGGGCTTTCAGAGGATGAACCAGGAGAGAAAGACCACAAGGAAATGCTGCAAACTCTATTGCAGTTTTTGTAGAATAAGCTATAGCATAATCAAATAACACTTGCACAGCATCGAACTCTCAGTTATAGGTTGCTTCAGTTGCTGTCACTATCCTGGTAGAATAGGTAGTGTTTCTGCCTGAGGCATAAGTATACCATGCACGTGATTGAACTTTCTTTCACGCTCGCTTTACCGCCTTCCCCCTGGGGATCCGCCGCTAGTGGCGCTTTGCTTCATCTCGACTGACCGGCCTTTCATCCATTCAGCCTGTGTTCCTCCAGCATCCTCGACCAGGCTGGGGTATCTAACACTCCGTCCATTTGAGGTTCTCGCCGCTTTACTCAAATTTAATTCACCCATTCCAAATATTTGGCAGAGCTTTCGGTATTGCAGCCAAACGACCTGCAGCGGATTTCTCTCGCTGAGCGCGTCGCGCCCTTTGCGCTCTCCGATTTTCCCTTTGTTCGCCCGAGTATCTTAGATCGGTAACCGTCAAGATGGCCGACTATGGCGATGCCTACGATGAGGAGTATTACGATGATATGGATGAGGGGATTACGTCAGAGGATTGTTGGACGGTGATTTCGTCTTTCTTCGACACCAAGGGTCTTGTCTCCCAGCAGCTTGACTCTTTCGATGAATTCATTTCATCAACTATGCAGGAGTTAGTGGAGGAGCAAGGCCAAGTGACTCTCGATCAGACCCTCCCTCCTTCCGAAGATGAAATCGATCCCGTCGTCGTCCGCCGATACGAGCTGAAGTTCGGAACCGTCATGCTCTCAAGGCCATCAGTCACCGAAGGCGATGGCGCGACCACGATTATGTTGCCCCAAGAGGCTCGTCTTCGTAACCTTACCTACGCCAGTCCTTTGTATCTCGGAATTACAAAGAAGATTATGGAAGGACGAGAACGCCTAGTGGCTGACCGCGACGATGATGATGTGATGGATTCAAACGAAGATCGGAAGGCAGCGGGGACTTACCTTCAGTGGGAACAGAAGGAATTATCTGCAGACCAGGCCAAGGAAGAAACCGTCTTCATTGGAAAGATGCCGATTATGCTCAAGTCCAAATACTGTATTCTCAAAGATCTGAGCGAACAGGCTCTTTACAACTGGAACGAGTGCCCTTATGACTCGGGTGGCTATTTCATCATCAACGGAAGTGAAAAGGTTTTGATCGCTCAAGAGCGCAGTGCTGGAAATACTGTTCAGGTTTTCAAGAAGGCCCCGCCAAGCCCGACACCGTATGTTGCCGAAATTCGCAGTGCCGTCGAGAAGGGTTCAAGGCTGCTCTCGCAGTTGGCTCTCAAGCTGTTTGCCAGGGGTGACAGTGCCAAAGGAGGCTTCGGTCCTACCATTCGGTCCACGCTCCCCTACGTCAAGACCGATATTCCTATCGTCGTTGTTTTCCGTGCCCTCGGTGTAGTGTCCGATGAAGATATCCTTAACCACATTTGCTACGACCGAAATGATACCCCTATGCTGGAGATGCTGAAGCCTTGTATTGAGGAGGGTTTCGTCATTCAGGACCGAGAGGTCGCGTTGGATTTCATTGCCAAACGTGGTTCTTCCCAGTCCAGCATGAACCATGAGCGTCGTGTTAGATACGCCAGGGAAATTATGCAAAAGGAATTGTTGCCTCACATTTCCCAAAGCGAGGGCAGTGAAACCAGGAAGGCATTTTTCCTGGGTTATATGGTGCACAGGCTTCTTCAGTGCGCTCTTGGACGTCGCGATGTCGATGACCGTGATCACTTTGGAAAGAAGCGTCTTGACCTTGCTGGCCCACTGCTTGCCAACCTCTTCCGAGTGTTGTTTACCAGGGTTACCCGTGATCTTCAGCGTTACGTCCAAAGGTGTGTGGAAACCAACCGTGAGATTTACCTCAACATTGGTATCAAGGCCAGCACCTTGAGCGGTGGTTTGAAGTACGCTCTCGCTACTGGTAACTGGGGAGAACAGAAGAAAGCAGCCAGCGCCAAGGCTGGTGTGTCGCAAGTGCTCAGTCGCTATACCTATGCATCTACATTGTCACATCTTCGGCGAACAAACACGCCGATCGGTCGTGACGGAAAGATTGCCAAACCTCGACAGCTACACAACACTCACTGGGGTCTGGTGTGTCCTGCAGAGACTCCTGAAGGCCAAGCTTGTGGTTTGGTCAAGAACTTGGCGCTCATGTGCTATATCACAGTCGGTACACCCAGCGAGCCTATCATTGACTTCATGATCCAGCGAAACATGGAAGTTCTTGAGGAGTTTGAACCTCAAGTGACGCCGAACGCTACCAAGGTCTTTGTGAACGGTGTCTGGGTTGGTGTTCATCGGGATCCTGCTCACCTTGTCAACACCATGCTTTCCCTTCGCCGGCGGAACATGATCTCCCACGAAGTCAGTCTTATTCGAGACATTCGTGAGCGAGAGTTCAAGATCTTTACCGATGCGGGTCGTGTCTGTCGGCCACTTTACGTCATTGACAACGACCCCAAGAGTGAAAACTGCGGTAATCTAGTCCTGAACAAGGAACACATTCGCAAGCTAGAGCAAGACAAGGATCTCCCACCGGACATGGACCCAGAAGACCGCCGGGAGCAATACTTCGGGTGGGACGGTTTAGTCAAGTCGGGTGTTGTTGAGTATGTGGACGCCGAAGAAGAGGAGACAATCATGATCGTCATGACTCCAGAGGATCTAGAAATCTCGAAGCAAATCCAGGCAGGGTACGCCTTACCTGAAGAGGAGCACGATATCAATAAACGTGTGCGGTCGATTCTCAGCCAAAGGGCTCATACATGGACACACTGCGAGATTCACCCCAGTATGATTCTTGGTGTTTGCGCCAGTATCATTCCTTTCCCCGATCACAACCAGTCGCCTCGTAACACCTATCAATCTGCTATGGGTAAGCAAGCTATGGGTGTGTTCCTGACCAACTTCGACCAACGCATGGAAACCATGGCGAATCTCCTTTACTATCCGCAGAAGCCGCTAGCAACGACACGATCCATGGAGTTCCTGCGTTTCCGTGAACTTCCCGCTGGTCAGAATGCTATCGTGGCTATTGCGTGCTATTCAGGATATAACCAGGAAGATTCGGTTATCATGAACCAAAGCAGTATCGATCGTGGCCTATTCCGCAGTCTTTTCTACCGTACATACACAGACAGCGAGAAGATGGTAGGGTTGACAGTTGTTGAACGGTTCGAGAAGCCGATGCGGTCAGACACGATTGGCATGCGGAAGGGAACCTATGACAAGCTGGACGAAGACGGCATTATCGCCCCTGGAGTGCGTGTTTCTGGTGAGGACATCATCATCGGAAAGACTGCACCACTGGCTCCAGATGCAGAGGAATTGGGTCAGCGTACCAAGGCTCACACTAAGCTTGATGTTTCGACACCGCTCCGTAGCACGGAAAATGGTATCGTTGATCAGGTCCTGGTGTCTACCAGCAACGATGACCTGAAGTTTGTCAAGGTCCGCATGAGAACGACCAAGGTGCCCCAGATTGGAGACAAGTTTGCCTCACGTCACGGGCAGAAGGGTACAATTGGTATCACATACCGACAAGAAGATATGCCGTTCACTCGCGAGGGTGTTACGCCAGATCTAATCATTAACCCTCACGCCATTCCCTCTCGTATGACCATTGCTCACTTGATCGAGTGTCAGCTCAGCAAAGTTTCTGCGCTGCGTGGATTCGAAGGTGATGCCACTCCGTTTACCGATGTCACAGTTGACTCGATCTCGCGTCTTCTTCGCGAGCACGGTTACCAGTCACGTGGATTTGAGGTGATGTACAACGGCCACACTGGCCGCAAACTAGTAGCGCAGGTCTTCCTGGGGCCGACCTACTACCAACGTCTGCGACACATGGTGGACGACAAGATTCACGCACGTGCGCGTGGCCCAACGCAGATTCTGACCCGCCAGCCTGTGGAAGGTCGTGCTCGCGACGGTGGTCTTCGATTCGGAGAGATGGAACGCGACTGTATGATTGCGCATGGTGCGAGTGCCTTCCTGAAGGAGCGATTGTTCGACGTGTCCGATCCGTTCCGAGTCCACATTTGTGATGACTGCGGGCTGATGACCCCGATCGCGTAAGTGCTTCTAAAACAGTTTGATTTGTTACTATAAATTTGGCCAGGATTCGAGCTAACGCAAGTTACCCCACGTTGCAGGAAACTGAAGAAGGGACTCTTCGAGTGTCGACTCTGCAACAACAAGCACCGAATCTCTCAGGTGCATATTCCGTATGCAGCCAAGCTTCTGTTCCAAGAATTAGCGGCGATGAATATCTCGGCTCGAATGTTCACCAATCGGTCCGGCGTGTCCGTGCGGTGAGGGGCACGCTCCGGTGTACAACAGCCTTTCTTTTCTTCCTCTTTTCTCCGTCCACTACTTAGTTATTTTTTTTTTCCCCTCCTACTTCCCGGGCCGGCGATGTTTTTAATGTTCTGAATTTTGGGGGATATCAAGTAAAAACAGCCTTTGGCATTTCCTGGCGTATATGGACCGAGGTTGATAGCTTATTATACAATACAACCGATGATTGTCTTCAGAGAGCATTCTTCTGGTGTGAGCCGTGTCTGGCTGTCAAGCTGACGCTAAAGCTGCGCAATTGGGGGTTGAATCCTTCGAATAATTTGTAAGGTGCGGAGTCGTCCACTGCAGAGACAGGGAAGATGCCAGACGACCTCCTCCAACAAGGCCATTGTCTGCACGAGGCTCGTCAGACCGAAGTCGAGCCGTCCGACCACGTCGACGACCACTGCAGCATGACGCGCAGAGCCAGCCACCTATCATTCTGTCGTCAATACATCGTGATCGACAGCTGCGAGATGCTCCAATGGTGATATACGGTGTATGCCGGACGGCTGCATCATGAAGAAGCTGTCCCATCCTATTTTCCTTATCGAGTATACAGTGTCTTGAAGAAGTCGTGTTTGTGAACGAGTCTACGGCTGTTTCCGTGTCTTCTTCACAAATCTTAGCGAACGAGAGATGTTGACTGCCCACCAGCCGTCTCAGTCTGCGGGCGAGACTGTCTGGATGAGTCTCAGTTGACGACGCTGCAGGCGGAAAGTCTATGTGGTGATCACAACGCCCATTGGCCGATCGAGTGACGGGCTCATCACGGGCGCTAACTCGTTGGGGCTGATTGGCTCGTGGCCGGCCGCACTGCAGGTGACAACGGACCAATAGAATGAGCTATCTTACCGCCGCACCAGTCCACGGGCCCGCCTGCTGCCCCACAGCAGAAGCGGGGCAGAGGCTAAAGCACAGTGATTGGCGGAGGGCAGTGGACGAAAATAGACGACACCAATGGGACTTGTATGCAGTGTGATGAGAGGATGAGAATGAATCTTGCGCTCAGAGACCGCAGTCTGCCTTAAGAGGCTCGCAAGCGCCCGCCTCGACTCTTCTCTTTTTTCTCTTTTTTTCTTCAGCAAGCAAGTCTTGTCGAAGCTGCCTTAATTTGAGTATCCTGTGCACTGGTTGCACTTGTTTATTGTTCTTTTCTACTTACTTACACGCCATCTTTAATCCCCCCCACCCTTTTTTTACTATATCCAAAAATCCCAGACGAGCTGTGCTCTCTGAATTGCCTTTACTATTTATCTGCTGTGCAGGATACTCCAAATTAATCAATCTTGACGGATTCATTGTCGTTGCCGGTCAACGTGCTCTGCTCTCCGTTCGCCAGCTCCAACCAACTTGCTCCGCCTCAATCTTCGTTATAATTCAATTTGCATCTTTCGTGTCGGGACTGGATCCTTGCGACAAAGAAGAAAAAAAGCCTCGTCTGTTGCTGTGCCACCCAACAAACCAACAGACACGCTGTGAACTGCTTAATCCGGCTCTGGTAGTCTTTTTAAATCAGTTCATCGTCAACGACCACTTCGACACGCTTTACGCTACTATTTACACCTTTGTCTATACTTAATATCTATTGCTATCAACATGTCCGCTGTTCAACTCAAGTTCAACCTGCGCACCTCGTCCAATGTCAAGACCGTGCATCTTGTCGGCTCCTGGGACAACTACGCACGCCAGATTCCCCTTTCTCGCGATGGCTCCAAGTCGGGCTCGTGGGTGGGCAAGTTCCGCTTCCAGACCTCGATGCTGAAGCTTGGTGGCCGCTACTGGTACTACGTATGTCACTATCCATTCTATGCGTTCTATGCAGTGCAAACTAACAAGATCAGTACATCCTTGACGGCTACCACGTCTCGCACGATCCCGCTGCCGAATACACCGTCGAGCCCACCACCGGCCGCAAGCTCAACATCCTCGACGTGCCCGGAGGTAAAGAGTCTTCTTCTTCATCGTCGTCCAACCGCCGCAGCAGCCGCCGCTCTGAGGTTGCCACCGGCCGCGGAATCTCGCCCTCGCGCATCCACCACCCCAAGCCCTCCAAGCCCTACGCCTCCCGCCAGCTGCGCGAGGCCGACTTCGCCCCGCAGAACATGGAGGAGCTCACACGCCGCTTCGCCTCGTCCCGCATGTCCGACGACTACAGCGACCTGTCCTCATCCCCGCCTTCGTCCGTGGGCTCGTCGCTCTCGTCCCGCTCGTCCGGAAGCACCTCGCCCTCTTCCATCAGCTCCATGTCGGATTCCTCCGCGTGCCACTGCGAGCGCTACGGAATCACCCGCAAGGGAGACCGCGTCAAGCTCGACTGCGGCGGCAGCAAGTGCGGCTACATCTCCGAGTCGTCTGAGGACTCCTGCTCTGAGGACGAGTCTGACTTTGATGAGGAGTACAGCCGTGCGCGCCGCGGTGCCCGCCGTCAAGGTATTGTTGTTCGTCGTTAGATGGAGTGAGAACTGCAACTTAGGAATATTCTTCCTTCTCTCTCTCTCATTTTATTATCATTATCTGTGACCGCAACAATGTCCGGATTGACTGGCTCAGATCGGCTTCTTGGCTTTGCTTTGCTTGACATGTGCTTGTGCTTGTGCAGTTGAACACCTGCAGTACTTCGGTACCTTCAGTACAGTCACTCATTTAATCTGCTGTTGGTCTTGTCGAGTTTGTTTAAAGCTTGACACCAACATGCCCATACTAGTTATATATAAAACCCGCAAAAAAAGGATGACCGGTCCAGACGGTCCTGTCCTCACCGGATGCGGGTATCACGAGCTGTGCTCGACTCGTGCCCGGTGAGTGAGGGATCAGAAGGGCTGGATGGGATATGAATGAGAACAGGCATAAATCAGACAAGGACCGCTCTGTTGCAGTTTCTGCAGTTTCTCAGACCTGGCTGCACAGCCTGGCGGTAACTTGGTGAAGTGGAGGAGGTGGCGGTAGATAGTGAAGGAGATAGGATATGAATCATGAAGATGATGTGATGAATAACGACTGTTATCATACTTAATTCTCCAAGTGTAGTTCAATTGTAGTTGATCGTAGTTCGTAGTCGGACAATCCGTCGGAAAACCCGAGACGCGACAGTTAAATATCTTCCCTTCCACTCCTTCATCCTCGCCCATTAATCACCGTAGTATTTATTACAAAATGCCTCCTCTAACAACAGTCTACAAGCAAATCAACTCCTCCACAATAACAACAGACGTCTACCTCCCAGAACATCCACCCTCTCAATCAAATAATGGCCTCTACCCAGTCCGTACGTGCCCAACTCCACGCCTCAACTGATCTCTTTCGCTAAATAAAAAAATATAAATAAAGTAATAAACATCCACGGCGGCGCCTTCATGCTCGGGCACAGCAGCATGGTGTCAATGCCCCAAATCACCGACTGCCTCGCCCGCGGCTGGATCGTGCTATGTCCGAACCACAGACTCTGCCCGGGCATTGACGTGCGGAGCGGCGCAATGGCTGATATAAGAGACCTGTTGGGCTGGATATACGACGGAAGTCTAGATAAATTCCTAGAGAAACAGGAACAGGGCGAACATAAGTATAAAACTGATACGGACCGCGTTATGGCATTTGGGACGAGCAGCGGTGGGTTCCTGGCTTTGGCTTTGGTTTGTTTCCCCTATCTAATAATTGATTAATATCATTGATACCAGCCTAGGGCTACGATACCCCCCGTCCACCACGTGCAATCTTAAATTTCTACGGCGCAGTGCACTTCACACATCCATTCTGGCACGCTCCCCTCCCGCACGTCAAATCCAAGCTCCCAGGTGATGGATTCGCGCCAGAATTCCTGCAAAGGGTGTATACCGAGTTTCCGATCCCCACGACAAGCGGGATATCACTCGAGGGCCAGAGCGAGGGCCAGAGCGCGCCTAATAAACCAGATTTCAGCCGTCCCCGGGATGCATTTGCGCTGACGCAGATTGCGAATGGGACGGTTCTCGATGCTATCTTCCCGAGTGCTTGTGGGGATGTTTGTGAGATTGACCCTGTTGCTAGGATTGAAGAGGGGTTCCCACCTACGGCGATTGTGCATGGGGATGCGGATAGGATGGTCCCGGTTGATGTGAGTAGGAAGTTATTTGAGGTCATGAAGGAGAAGGGGGTGGAGTGTGAGCTTGTAGAGGTTCCTGGGGAGGACCATACGTTTGCGATGGGGATGGAGGTGGGGAGTAGGGCTTGGGAGGTTTCGAGAAGGGGGTTTGAGTTCTTAGAGAGGGTTATCTGGGCTTAATCTGTCTGGATGGGAGTGGACTGTTTGGTATATAGTATAGTACAAGAAAGGAGATTCCGAAGTTACCAGACCAGCTCACGCAACGAATCCATAAGCGCGATGGACAGCACGTAGAAATGAGATCGCATCATCAAATGCTTTCGTCCGGAGAGCTTCGTCAATTGCAAAAGACGGCACTATATCATGCATTGGTTATTATGATCAGAGTTATCAGGGGCAGAATAGATGTATAGACTCACACTCGGTCCACCCATGAATCTGCCCTTCCACCACATTCATTCGTACAACAGTGGCTGTTCCATCTGCCTCATCTGGCGTGTCAATCTTCCTCTCCCGGTTACTAGCCTCCGCCTCTTGCTCCAACCTCTCCGCCATCTTCACCGTCTCATCCCGCAGGATATCCGCTCCCCCAACAACAAAGAGCACATTCTGCGGCAGCACGCTGAGGTCCGCCAATGTAGGATGTAGAAGCGGGTTCCCCATGTCCCTCGCTCTGTTCGGTCCAGCATACGCATCAAACAGCGGCTGCAGGATAGCAAGGGGATCCACCGCTGGGAAGTCAGGCGGCTTGGGCTTGTCCCAGGGTGGGAGGCGGAAGTCGACCTTTAATTCATTAGCCACCATCCTTAAGCAATAATATATATATATATATATATAAATAAGGGAGGGGAAACAAACCACCCCCTCAAAACTAACCAACCCCTTCACCGCACCAGAACCCGATAACTCCTGCGCAACAGAAAATGCCAGATTCCCACCAACCGAAAACCCACTGACGGTGAACACCGCCGGGTCAGCACCCCATAGCCTCTCGGCATTCTGCAGCAGGTACTCTGCAACGTCACGCACATCCTCATGCGAGGCAGGGAAGGTATGCGCCGGCGCATACCGGTACGAGGTTGAGACCACCACGGCGCCGGATTTCTCGGCTAACCGGTGACAGAACCGTGCGTTTCCCTCGGGGAGGCCGCCGAGGAATGCGCCGCCGTGGATGTTGAGGTGTAGTGGGACTTTCTGGGGTTGGGGAGATGCAGATACAGGCACCTGGGACTTGGGATTTGGTTTGGGGGTGTAGACTACAGCTCGAAGGGTATGCCCTGATTTTCGGGTTCCTTTTATTGGGATGCGGATCTCGCTGGAATGGGGGAATTTGCGCGAGACGGCCCATTCGATGGTGTATGTGAGGAGAGTGATGGGTTGGAGGATGAGGAGGAGAGCGCGGGTGCGGAGGGGGAGAGAGGGAGTGAAAACGGCGTCTTTGAAGATGCGCAGTGCTCGTATTAGAAAGGACATTGTAAAAGTTGGCAGAAAATTGCCAGAAGATGGAGGGGAAGCAAGAGAAAGACGACAAGAAAAAGTGACGACTTTATATGGCGATGACTCTTGGAACGCTCGTATTCGGTCAGCCGAGCTTGGCTCCAAGCTACACCCGATATTCATCTTGGATATAATCTTGTGATTGCTGTAATATTAAGAGATCTACTCTGTATTGTATATTCTTGAAGACATGGCCCATCGCTCGTCCAATCGTACCTCATGCTCACAACGCTGTCAACAGCTCCTCCTCCTCCTCCTTAATCCTCACTTGAACAAGCCAAGAACAGCCGAGATGTTCGCATTTTCGTTCCAGAACGAATACGCAAAAGGACAGGATAATGCTCTGGCCGGCAGACATCGAATCGAACGGAATCGAAAAAAAAAAGAACAAAAAAAAAACAAAGACTGAATGGGATATCCGAGCGTAACAGACGAGAATAGAAGCAGGCGAAGAAAAGAGTAGTTGCGCTTCAATCAAATGCGAAACCGACTGCAATGCGGATTCAATGCGATGCAATGCGATGCGAGGCTTCATCGTGAACTCGCACATGAGGAATTGCTGTTTCGTCGTGCCATATGCTTCGGGCAGGCGTAGCCTACCAGCACGGTCTTCTCTTGTGTTTGGTGACCGCGTTGCCCGTATGCCGTGCAGGGATCAATGGCGTGCTGGAAGTATAGACAGCCGCAGACGGAGTAGCGTTCGACGAGTTGGTAGCACATTGTGACGGCTTGTCAAAAGCTTCGATGTGGTGGTGAGGTAAAAGGTTCGCAAGCGAAAGGAGAACAGAAACACGCAGCAGAAGCAAGCAAAGAAGCAAGCAGAAGAGAACTAAGAGAGGGAATGAGTAGTGAGTGTGGATATCCGAAGCTCCAGCGGGCACATTGAACTCTTATAGAAACAAACCTGGCTCTTCAGGCGCACCATGTCCAGCCCTAGAGGACCCCGATATCTCTCCTTCAGGAAGCGAAACCGGCAAGGGAGCACAAGTAGGAAATGAGGTGAAGAAAGAAAAAAGCAATAATCGTCAAATCATAGCCGGTGGACGCCTGTCGTTGACACCTATTCTAGTCGGGTCGTACCTTTTCGTGCCATGACAAAGCTCCCCCCATGCATGCGCCCATGGCTGCAGGATCCAGCAGAGCAGCTACGAACCCAGCAAAGGATCACCGGCGTAACGGCTGGAACTGGTGAATGGGTCCCATAGGGCGGGCGAGCCACGAGAGCGACTGGAGACGAGTTTCAACGGGCGGCCATCGCCGACCCGGATACTCGTTAGGCCATACAGATGGGACTCGTGGTAAGGCTGCAAAGCCTACAATTGGAAAGAGAATCAGGTCGAGTGACGATCGGGGCTGAACTGGCGCATCATCCATCATCATTGATCAGCCTGATCCACTGCAGCACTGGCCCTTGCGCCGGGCTAACGCTGTTCTCCAAGCGTGGATATTCAGCGCTTCCACAAACAGGGCTTAGTGTGCTGGGCCGGGGCACGACATTAGTTTCATTTCGTGGGAATTGGAGCAATGGTCCCGGTTTTTGGTCGGCGCCTTGCGGCTGGCGCTTCTTTTTCAGCTGTCATGGTCTGTAGATGACTCTTCCGATGCATTCCGCCGGTCAGCAATCTCGCTGCCTGACAGACACCCAGGAGTCAGTAGATACCTCGGATCAGGCCAGACGTTTCAGAGCAGTTTTAACTTAGCAACTCTTGACTCACGCTGACCCAGCGACCGCCCAGCGACCGCCAGGGCCCGCCCAGTGCCCGGGGCTCCATTATTCACTGGGACGAATTGGTGGCTGTGGAGGCTGCGGCCAGTGAGGCTGAAGGATAAGTCATCGCGGTGGCAAATCTCATGGATTAGGTAACTGCTGACTCCGCTCCCGTAGTTAACGGTGCAATTCAATACGACAAGCTATACTACACAATCAAAGCAGACTACACCTTCCCCAGGGCCCCAAAGCTCAGCCCGCTCGCCAGTCCCAACCGCAGCATCCGGAGGATGTCTTCTCCCGTCGTCTCTTCCGTCAATCCGGCCCGCCAGTCCCACTCCCGCTCGGTCTGTACTGCAGTCCCTTCGCTGCGAGGCACAAGCACGCCAGATCCCTCCCCAGACCCAGAGAACGACTGTGTGCGCATGTCGCTGCCGATGAGTGAAAAGGTGCTTGATCCCGTCATCGACGACACCGACTTTTTCAGTAGTTCTCGCGGTGAGGGCAGCTGCACGTATGAGTCTGTGGCCCTTCTGGAATTTCCGTGCTTAGAGTAGTACTCGAGCAGTGTCGATCGGAAACACTCCTCGCATTGTGCGTAGACACGAGGTGTAACAGTCTCGAGATCCTCAATCGCTGACAGTACCGCAAACTGCTGAGAGGTCGTCAAAACAGACATCGATGCTACTGTGGTCAGTGGTGTATTGCAAAACGAGGAATACGGGTACGTACGGTGGATAAAAGGTAGGGCCTCTCCGAGAAGAGCAAGCAGCCCGTCCACCTGGATGGCGGAATCGCGATCCGGATCGTAGAGTCCTCCGTAGATGCCGTCCGCAGCACTGCTGATCACCGCAACCAGGGCCTGTGCTGCAGCCCGACGTCTAGCTAGTGGCTTGTAGCGCGGCTTCTGTCCTTGCGGAAGCCCAATCGCCTCGTCACGGGTCTCGTAGAACCGCCGCAGGGTCGCGTATCCACTAAAGTAAAACTGTAGGATCGAAGCAGCGTCTTCGTCTACGTTTGCGACTGCTGACAGGCACGTTTTCGGTTCCCGAATCAACGCCTGCAGCTGCTCATCCAGGTCTGCCGAGGCAGGATACGCCCGAGAATGGACGAGACTGTACGAGATGAGCAGGTCGACTACAGATTTGACCTTGCGGCGGTTGTGTGCACGAGCATAGCAAATCAATGCCAGCCCATATTCTTCCGAGTTGGAAACAGTGAGGTCCCCATAGCGCTGGGAAAGTTAACATCACGTTCCAGTATGCCTTGGTGCGCGACTTACCTCTGAAACTCGTCGTCCTTCGTTGTCCAGCCCCAGTTCCGAGCACAATAGGACAACCTTGTCCATCTGTTCCGCCGTGTCGAGCGGAAGTTTGTCTAGCAATTCTGAGACACTCTTTTGCATCTTCTGGTTGTCATCTAGCCTGCTCAACACTTCGAGTGCAATCTCCCATCCTTTCCGAGATCCGGTGGCATTCCTAATAGTCTCTTTCTCAGATAGACCTGTAGCGTATGCGCTAAGCACATCGTCTCTATTGATCCCTCGCGTAGATGCATTATCGTTTTGGCCGTACGAAAGCACCATCAGGTCATCCTCACTCAGCCCAGGGGGTGCACTACCACTGCTCTTCACGTCTAGCCAGCCACCAACGGATGCCACCTCCGCCACAGCTGAAGTCACACAGAGCGACCAGGTCTGCAATAATTCTAGCACTCCCTCAACGTCACCCTCAAAAACGGACCCCAACCCAACTTCAAGTGGGCTGAGCGCGTTGATGCGGAATCCCTGGTTGCCCCCAGTGTCGGTTGCGCTTCTAAAAGCCAGGTTCAAACGGCGAAGATATGGGTCTGAACGTGTAGCAGACCTACGGTTACGTAGAAAGTTGCCAGCGCTACCGTTGGCGGCCTCTTCGTCGTCTTCGCCGTCCCACCAGACAGTTAAACCAATCGTTGCTTCAACCCAGCCCTGCGAATGATTCATGACAGCGGCCGGGTCTCCGAGTAGAATTCGGTACATCGACCGTAGATTCTGGTAGATGGTCCACGGCACCCGACTTTCGGCCATGCGCGCAGACTCGGTAAATGAAGTCCCCTGATTGGGATTTGGGCCCAGCCCGAAATTGACGGCTTGGAATGGATTGCCCATCGCTGCCGGCGCTGGTGCTGGCTGGTCATCTCCTTCGGCAAATTCCTCCAAGTCTGACACGGCGGTCAGAACTCGCTTTCGGTACAGTGCCCATTCTGCGCCACGAACATCCCAGTCATCATGTTGGACACCGGGGCAAGACTCCAACACTTGAAGCATCTTGTTGACGCATCTTTGAATGTTTTGCAACTGCGCTCCGCGGTAACCGGCCTGTGGTAAGCCATCCTCCAGCGCCGAACGAGCGTAGTTAAAATCAGAAGATCGCAGAAGATTTGCTGCCTCAGAGACTCGGCCTCGTAAAACAGCAGCATTGACAATTTCCCAGAAGCTTGGAGACGCGGTTGGGTCGGGTGCGATTTGTCCCAGGGCTTGAATGTCACCTAACAGAGAATCGTTCGTCTCTAGCCAATCTAAGAGCACTCTGGGAAGGGGAACAGGTGCTTCAGAACGATTGCCAAATACCAGAGAACGGGGCGCCGCGAATCCAAAATTGTTCGGGAAACCGGCCGATTTGGTAGAGGCGGGTGGTGGGTGGTGAAGTTGCAGCAATAACGACCCCAAAAAGCCAGCCTTTGTAGCATTCGCCGCATTGTCTCCAGGGCCAATTCCTGCACCTCCCCGGGAAGGATCACTGTTTGCAGGCGCGCTGTACCACACTTTGGATAGCGCGGCGCAGATCTTTCCGATAACCTCCTGCGTATACTGGTCGTTGTACTGTGCCTGTCTTGTTTCATCGTACATCCGGGAAATCTCATCTTCAGTTTGAATAATAAAATCATCCGGCTCTCCTGCCTTTGCTTTGCCACCTCTTGACGCGAGATTTCGCACAATGGCTGGCATCGGCGAATTCTTCTTCGGCGAGAGTTTTGTTTTGCGCAGAGGCGACTGCGCTGCCCACTTTTCGTCAAGTTTGGGGCGTTTGGCATATTCAGGGTTCGAGTAGATCGACTTGCGTTGTGGTAAAGCCGCCGGTGCGGGCGCGGTGTTGCTGATATGAGAATCGAAAAAGTTCACACTTGATCCTGCAGTTCTTCTGCTCTCTTCGATGAACTCGTCCTCATACTCCTCCTCCTCCATCGGCTCATCGTTTTCTTCCTCGTAGCCTAGCCCTCCAGACATCCGCGATGACTGCGGACCATTCGACACGCCCCAGTTCATTGAGTTGTCAAACCGAGGAGGACCCGCAGACACGTCAAAAAGGGATTCCGAGAACGGTTTCGCCGGTGCGGTCTTTTTTGTCCGAGACGCGAAATTGGGGGAGTCGACGGAGGAGCCGAAGATGCTGTCGTTCAGCAATTCAGATTGGCTGAAGATAGGCTTCCCAGAGTTGTCTGGGGATCGCGCGCTCATCTGGGAGCCTCCGTAGATGGTAGACGGGGGAGGTCCTTGCGGAGTGAAAGAGTTAGTGGCAGATGGCGGTTGAGCCGGAGTCAAAGAGCCATTGCGAAGAGGGTTTCGTGACTTTCCAGGGGTCGAGGGAGAGAAATTCGAGTCGAATTTGAATGAGAAGCTCATCTTGGCCTGTGAAAGGATGATGAACCTAAAAGCGTTGGTTCGTGAAGTTTAAGGTTGCTAGTTGGGTACCGCGGAAAAGAATCGCTCTCCACGCGGGTGTTAAAGTTGAACACGCCGAGGAGGTGAGAAAGTAGATTAATTACGTGCCATGGATTGCAAGATTCTGAAAACTCCACCACGAGGTCGTGAGTTTCTTCTTAACAAAAAAAAGCTGATAGCGGAGCTCCAACACGCATACTTTTCGCTGTGTTATGATGGTTGCTTCGAGACCGCGGAGCCTTGGCGGTCACGTGATGTCACGTGTAGTATACTTGTTACTTGACAGTGAATGTCATTCAGAGCGCAGTGAATAATATGCCTTCCTCAAGCCTATATGCGCAGGATTTACTCTCATAACGGCGAAGCTAATCGTGATATCCCTATGGGAATATCTTCCCATGTGGCAGTCGTGGGAGTCAGTGAACTCTCTGGGCAGGCTTTAGATGTGGGTTAAAAATGGCATCATAGGTAGAGCTCGTATTTCCCAAAAGGTCTACGTGATCCTTCAGCGAATCAAATCATGTACTGCCACAGATATCCAAATCCACGGGTCTGGTGTTCTGGAAAGAAGGTGTCTATTGAGGCTGTGCCAAAGGCCAGGGGTCTCATCAGCTGACTTGCACGCTAGCCCGTTCGAGGTGCTCGTATTCAAAGGGCCGTCTGATTGGACAGAACACCAAAATGGCAGGCCAAAAAGGACCCTCACGGCTTCGCCCATGGACGAACAGTTCGCATCTGGAAAAGGGCCATCGAAAGTGGAGGAGATCGACCGGCTCAGCCTTGTACCCAAGCATGGCGAGATACGAGGAGGAAAAAGTATATAAGGACGGAGGATGCCCTCTTGAAAGTTATCTATTCCTCCATCACCAACATTACCAGATCCTCCACTCAATGAAGGGATCGCAAACATGACTTCCAACTTTCCAGAGACCAATCCATTTCGCACCAACCACGTCAAAACGTCAGATGTTGATATGCGACCATCGTCAGGGAGCTCAGCTTCCGAACATCCTCCAAGCAATGACCTCGAGTCGTCCTCGTCGCGTCTATACCACATCTACCATAGCGCCATCCGGTACGATTACCGTGTGATGGACGCCAATAAAAACCAGCTTTATTACGTGTACAATTCTCACCTAACACCAAAAAAACCCGACATCACCTTCCATGCGGGTGAGAACAACAAAGCGCCCGTAGCAGGCGTCTGCAAGTTCATGAAATTCTCACAGCAATACAAAGTCGGCCTAGGAGACCCGGACCGTGCGGGAGACATGATCTGGGAAGATCTTGAAGGCCAAAACCTCGCCCACTCCAAGTACCGCTGGTCAATGTCTGTTCCTTCGCCCAGCGGTGGGACTGAACGGCGGTGGTTCCTCTGGACGAGAACTCATTCTCAGGCCGTGGAGGGCGAGACACCGTCGGCCTTGAGCATGCGCAACTTCAAGCTTGTTGACGAGCTGACCGGGCAAATTGCGGCAATCTTTACAAGCAATGGCTTCAAGAGCTTTCGGAAAAATGGCAAGCTCCAGGTGGCTAGTGGATACGGGCCTGACTTCGACCTCATGGTTCTCATCACCATCCTCGCTATCTATGAGAAAACCCGACGGAGAAGGGCGGCCAAGGGAGGAGGTGGTGGCGCCAGCGGAGGCGACGGCGGCGGCTGAGAATGGCAGCGACCGCGATGTATATTATTTTGAATATTTATATACCCATTAGCGTTTTCGAATATTCAGGGGAATTGGAGTCAAACTAGTAACGAAGCTGGCCCTACGGAGGTGTTTGGCATAGAGTAGTTCGCTAAGAAATGATGCAGCCTAGAGCGGCGCCAGCCTTGGCTATATTAACTCCCACTAACCTGATCCTTCACGAAGCTCCCGGATCTATGAGGACGAGAGCGCCGGCCGGTCCAACTCCTTTATTTGCCTGAGCCTGCGACAGCCCTCTCATGGCCCAACGACGGTCTCACCAGAAATCCCGCCATGGCTGTCTGGAATGCAAGCGACGTCGAGTCAAGGTACCATCATCACCTCCCGCCCAATTCTCCCTGCACCCTGCGGCCCCCTCTCTCCCCCCGCTGGCCTCAATCCCTCCCAGCCATCCAGCCCTACGCTTGCTTTGCTCTTCCTCATTTATTGTCCCTCCCAGTGCGATGAATCACGACCGGTTTGTGCCAATTGCGCCCGCCGTCAGACTGAATGCGAGTACGATTCGTCCGGGCCGCTTCGGTGGATGACCGACGAGCCTTCGCGTTCCCCGCGTCCCCTCTCCGACCGACAACAAGCACCGCCATCCCCGGACTTTAGCCTGCTTGGCCAATTTCGCAGCACCGCCAGCGCAAACAATGGCGATGCATCTCTACCTCCTCTAAACATCTGCGACCTTGAACTAATGTTACATTGGGTAAACGAAACCCATACGATTTTTACACGAAGCCAGCAAACCGAGGCCATCTGGCGCACCCATGTCCCCGCCGAAGCTCTCGCGTATCCGTTTCTCATGCACGGCATTCTCGCCCTGTCAGCCCTACACATCGCATGCACACGATCACCAGTCATCCTAGGAGACACCGCCCAAAGGGACTACCTCCAAATTGCTATTTCACATCAAGACCAGGCGTTGGCGCTCTTCCGCGAACAGCTCGGCGATATCAACTCTCACAACGGCAAGGCCATGTTTGCTTTTGCTAGTATTACAGTTCTCTACGCCTTTGGCTTCCCGCGCACTCCGGATCCAGGTGCCACTGCGGTTGGTGATCTGGTGCAGGCCTTTGTGCTGGCTCGTGGTGTGCAGCAGGTCCTGAGTCGAGCAATGAGCACTATTTTCGACGATCAAGTTTGGGCGCCAATACGAGAAGTGAACGACTACGAGCCTATTCTTCCGGGCGAAGCTCAAGCTGCAGTTGAACAACTGCACAAGGCCAATGAAACATGTACTCGGCAGGACCCGATTCTCCATGACTCGTTCCTATATCAGGAGGCAATTGACCACTTGGCAGAGCTCATGGCAGCTGTCCATGCAGGCCTGGGATTCGCGCTCGCATGCCGCTGGGTGATCAAACTACAATCCGCCTTTCTGGATCGTCTTCGGGATCGTCGGCCGTTGGCACTGGCGATTCTAGCCTATTTCTGTGCCTTGCTTCCGCAGTACCAAGACATATGGTTTGGTACCGAATGGGCCAGGCGTGTTGTGCAGGAGATATGGTATACTCTGGATGACCATTGGCGGCCATTAATCCAGGGGTGCATGGAAGAGGTATTCGGGAAACAGTATTCTGGGATAGAACGATGAGACACTTTCAAAAGGCTTAATAACATGGCCTGAACGCATGGCCTGAACACTCTCTGACAAAGGATAGAAATCTTGGTCTATTTCTATATCGATATATACACTCCTTACTAATCACACGGTAACCTCGCTGATACTCAACCCTCCCTTGGTCGTCATAACGCGTCCACGACCCAAGAGACAGTTCACCTCGCTTGGATGGACAACCACGAATATTACCATCACCAGCCACATCAGCAGCGCGTCAAACACATATATGAAAGCCTCGTTCCGCAGCAAATAGCCATCCCAACCCTGGAGATACTCGACAACACGGAATATAGATCGGACCAAAATCAGGATGCTAGAGCCATAGAGCGCCCACATATGCTTCATCCAAGGCGTCGTGCTAGCGGTTCCGAGCGCAGTGGGGTGGCGGTTGATCCGTCGCTGGAATATGAACGAGCAGACAACAAAGAAGCCGAAGAAAGCGATTTGCACGAAGAGACCGCCCACGATGATATTCTCCCCCATCTGCTGCGAGTCTGTTACGAGGATCCCAGCACCTAAAACACCGTTAGCATATGTTTCGTCCAACACGAGCGTGAATCCGTATAATACCCGAGGACTGCATCAAGAAACTGAGGACGTCGCCAGCAACGAATATCTTGGTCATCCACCCGACCCGGATTATGGAGAATTTCTCGCCGCGTACGAGAACGATGAGCCGACCCAGGTACATGTAGATACTTGCGGCGAAAAGCGCTGGTGCCACAAGGAGCAGAACGCTCTGCATTATATAGGGTCCGAGCGTCCAGTCAGGCGTCTGGGATGCCGATAGCGCGCGGCCAATGTATCCTATAAACTCGACTGTTTCTGTCAGAAGTGTTTCATACGGTATTTGGAGCCTCTGGAAAGGGCGGGGATCGAAACTGACAGTATCCTCCAAGCACCATAGGGATGAAGAACCATGTCCTCGTTCGGAACAGGTGGTAGGTATGCAGGCCGGTCACTATTCCGTAGAGGATGATGAAGATGACCGCCGCCGCCATGGAGGGGTCGTAGAAGTAGGGCTTCCAATTGTCGAAACCGCCGGACATCGTTGCGAGCAATAATAATGAAGCGAGGTACGAGAGAAAAATAGAACGAAATAAAAAACAAAATTAAAGAATCTGATTCCCTTCTCCCCTCGACTCCTTATAATCCACCCACTCTGCACTATCTGGATCCATCGCAGACTTAGCCTCGTATTTCGTGACTTTCTCCTGATCGGGTATAGTGGGCGGACTCGGCCATGGGCCCGATTAAGTAATCCAGCACTCCAGGCTACCAAGATTGTATATTGCCTATATTAAACTTCTCTTCCATCAATTTGCCATCAAAATACGATTAGTCAATCGAGAAAGTCTTCATTATGAATGTGTCGGCTGACTCTTTGTTGTCTCGTACGCGGGTTGATTGGTTGATTACAGACAAAACAATGAAAGAATGTGAAGTCGACGCAAACGGGACGACCCAAGGTTACATACTTTAGACACGCCATCTTCAGAGCAATTCCCTTTTCTTCTCTTTTTCCAATTCAACACTTTTTAGCCACATTCAACACTTATCCATAACGACCATGGCTGAAGCCAACCTCGACTTGGCTTCGCGAATCAAAGCTACCATCAAGTAAGCCCATTCCGTTTCCGACATACATCGATCGAACATTAACCCGGACAGAGAACCACATGGCGTGGTAAACCACCTGAATACCGCTCGCATACCCCTATGTTTGCCGCCCCAAGCGAATACATCCGGTCTTTACAGTCTAGGATTTTCCCGATACGCGCAGATCTACCTTGGATTCGAAGAAATATGGCATTCCATCATCGGCGATTACGCGGACTGGCCTACCGCGAGTGAGATCGGTGACGACCCGACGGTCTTTTCCAGTGACGAGGAGAGGATCAAGGCCATCTTACGGTTTCTGTACATGCCCGAACTCTACAGGACCCGACGCCTAGAGTCTGACTTTGCCGCGCTTGACTCGCTGGATCCCAGTTTCGCCAGTCTCGACACCGGGAAGGACAATGCCGGCGCTGAGTTCCGGCAATACATCAAACAGCGCATACCGGAGAACCCTCATCTACTTGTTGCATATATCTGGATCATGTACCAGGCTCTCTTCAACGGAGGGCGATTCATCCGGGGTCAACTCCTCAAGGCCGGGCCCGAGTTCTGGGGGCTGTCACCAAAGGAAATGGACCCGACCAACTTCCCTTCACCACTCTCATTTTGGTGTGTCGAGGGTGATGACGCTGTAAGGATGGAATTCAGGAAGCGGGTCTTAAAGGCAGATAAGATATTGACGGAGACTGAGCGACGGGAAATCTTGGACGAAGCGCTAGAGATTTTTCGCCGATGCGAGCTCATTACGTTGCAGCTTGATGAGCAAGCTACTACTGCACTCCAATAAAATTGGATAGCAAAAACATACAACAGCTGGGATTCGCATGTGGTCACCCACCATACTACTAACCAGCCGGCGTGTGGCTTAAGTACGGCTGAGCGGACGGGAAGCCCTGTTCTCCACACCCTGTGGTCGTATGTACTGACTTCATCTAAACAGTGGAATATATGGTGCGTGGTACGAATTCTGTGTTTTCCGGAAAGTCGAGGCCGCATTGATGCTGCTGGCCGTGGGTATCGTGTAAGCGCCTGCTCGTGAATGCATATCCTGTAGGCCTTGTTATGTCTAGAGTTATAGCTTAGTGGGAAATATAGTAATAGTAGGCCTATAATACCCTGCCTCAGGAGGCAGGGAATTATATCTATCAAGAGAGTTTGTAAATATAATATGACAAACACGTATGCTTGGAAAGAAGCAGGGCCTACCTGTATAATACTCTAGCAGGACTGTTATAGTGAAAGTAGCTAGTCTTCGCCTGCTTATAACTGGAGTACAAACCTGCCCCAAGGTTTAAGTTAATTAATTACCTAGGGCTATGGGCAGTCTACTAGCTATCTAAAATTATTGAAAATATACAGTCTACTCCCTCCTCTCCCGCAAGCCAAACTCCGTCTCCAGCTCCTCCCTCAACCCAACCTCCCTAACCGGCAGCGCCAGCACAAACCCCAGCGCCCCAAACACAATCCCCATCAACCACACCCACCGCAGCCCATCCTGATACAGCCCCAGCACTTCGCCCTGTAGCACAGGCCGATCCGCCAAACTGCGCACCAGGCCTTCACTCGCAACGGCATACGCGCCCCCGCCGCCTAGCATCGCCCTGATGACAGGGTCACTTACGCGGCTCAACCCGGCCTGGACGCGCGTGTTGAATATTGAAGTCGGGATTGCGATCCCCCAGATACACCCGAAGCTGCGCATGAATGCCCATGTGCCAGTGGCTGTGGCGACGTCGGATTCAGGGAGAACAGCCTGGATGGGCGGGAGAGTGGATGAGAAGATCATACCAGAGCCGATACCGTACAGGACCTGGAAGCCGGCCCACTCACGGGCGGGGGACTTATCATCGAGCAAGGAGAAGAGACCAACGCCAACGGTTATGAGGATTGCGCCGAGGAAGTGGAAGGGGCGGTATTTCCCTGTCTTTGCGAGGAGGATGCCTGTTACGATGCCGGAGGGGGCGATTGCGCCGGTGATGGGGAGGACGGCGAGGCCGGAGGATGTGGCGGAGAGGTTGCGGAGGGCCTGGAAGTAGACTGGCAGGAAATAGCCGATCCAGTAGAGGAGGAGGTTCTGGAGGAAGGCGATCCAGAGGGCGCAGATGGCGGTGGAGCTTTTGAAGAGCTTTAGCGGGATGGAGGGTTCGGGGCAGAAGCGTGAGGCCTGGTGGGCGAGGAAGAGGGCAACGCCGACGAGACCGAGCAGGAAAGGGACGAGAACACGCCAGGAGGACCAGGGGTAGGCGCTTCCAGCCCAGGTCAGGGCGAGCAGGATGGCGACGACAGCAGTAGTGAGGATGGCGTTTCCGAGGAGGTCGACGCGGGTGAACTGCGTCCAGATGGAGGTATTAGGGGGTCTGGGGGGGTGGGTGACGCGGAGGAAGAGGATGAGCAGGATGAGAGAGACAGCACACAGGGGGAGATTTATATAGAAGACCCAGCGCCAGGAGACGTGCTGGGCAAAGGCACCACCAAGAACTGGCCCGATAGTAGTACCGACAGCCCAGACGGAGGCCATCAGGGCGACGTACTGGCCTCGCTGGCGGAGGGGGACGAGGTCGCAGATCACAGTATCAACAAGCACATTGATGCCACCGCCGCCGATGCCCTGGATAGCACGTCCGGCGATGATGGCGCTGATATTATTAGCACCGCCGGCCATGCCACTGCCAATAGCAAAGACAACCACCGAGCTGATCATCATCCAGCGGCGGCCGAAGATGTTGGCCGTCTGCCCGAAGAGAGGGAGCACCACCGTCGACGACAGAATGTACGAGTTGGTGATCCACATGTACAGCTCGCCGGCCTGCAGGTCGAGGGCGATGGTGGGCAGCGCCGTCGACAGGATGGACGTGTCCAGGGCGGCCAGGAAGGTCGTCACGCAGAGCGCTGGGAAGACGGCCCAAAAGCGCCATGATTTCTTGGGCTGGGCAGGAGATTGCTCTGCGTTCTGGTCGTTGCTGTCGTTGCTGTCGTTGTTGTCTTCTGTGTCAGTTGGCGCATCGTTTGGCTGGCCGGGGGGTTTTGACTGAATGGCCATCTGGAGGGGACAGGGAAGTAAACAGGGACAGTAAACACTGAACAGGAGAAAGAAAGGAAAAAAGGAGAAAGAAGAAAGACAAGAAAGAAGAAAGACAAGAAAGAAGAAAGACAAGAAAGACAAGAGACAAAGAAACAGAAACAGCCAAAGGAAGCGAATCCCTGCAGCGGCGTTGTCCCGCATGCACGATGATATCGGCTGATCTACCAGTATGATGGCAATAAGCAACCATGTATTACCGTACAGATTACACTGGAATTTATATATGCAGTACTGTATGTACAGTATTGGCCCCCATTCCAATCCATTCCATGTCTAGTTAGTTGTCCAGTTGTCTACAGCCAACTCCACCTTCGTGCAGATCCAGCAAGACGCATACATGTTAACCCGGTCAATACAGATCCCCTCCATCCTCTGCCCAACACACTCAGCCGCAAAGCCGCGCGTCGTGAACGTCGCAAGATACCAGGGTCTCAACGCGGCAGAGCGCAGCAATACACGGCCCCCCATCTTCATCGCACCGTTGAGCCGGACAACCTGCGCAGTGGCACTGTCAGCCCCCGGATCAAACCAGTCCATGCTGTCCATGAGTACTGCAACTGTTAGACTCGCTGGTTCGATCCGCGCGAGGACTTCCGCGATCTCGTCCGTGTGGAGGCGAAGATTGTCCAGTGCGCCTGGCTGCGAGAGCAGAGCGTGGGACTTGGCCGAGAGATACTCTGGATGGCACGTCCGGCCGAACTGCCCGGCTAGACAGACGTAGTAGTACGGGTTATCCTCTGCAATATGGGTCTGCCGGGCTACCGGGTCGAGGGTATCGATCATGTAGCGCCAGACGGCTTGCGAGCGACCAGACCCCCCACCACGGGAGGTGGAAGTGGCTCTATGGTCAGCCTCAATCATGGCAAGTTGGTTCTTTGGCACGCCGAGAGCGCTCCAGAGAAAGGATTCCTGGCTGACGACCAGCTTGCAGAGGAGCGGGGAGAGCAGGGCTGGGCGGAGTAGGGCTTCCCATGTGTGGGCCTGCTCGGGGAGACTCGCGGCAGCAACAAACTGGCGGATTGCAGTGCGGCAGCGGAGAAGACGAGCCGTCCAGCGGAGGGCACGGAGAGCATGCCGCGATCCCCCTGTGTCGTAGAGCCCTCGAATGTTGTGTCGTTCGAAGATATCGACGCGCGCCAGCCAGTACTGGAATGCACGGCTGGAGAGATGCGGCGAGAGGTGGTTGAGCAGCAGGTGGCGGAAATTAGGATGCTTTCCTTCGCCGAAGAGCAGCCAGAAGTCCTCGTATGGCAGTGCAGCATAGCAGGCCAGTTTGAGCTCGAGGAGATGGTTCTGCGCGGGATTGAGGTCGACGGCGTGGATGCGGGCTGGGCTCTTCGTGGCGTACGAGAGGATGTTGTCGCCGGCGCTGGTGATTGCGAGGACCACGTCGTCTGCGTGCAAGTTGAGTAGAGTATGGTCCTGCCGTGCGTCTTCCCAGGTGAAGGCGTAGATGTACTCGTCGTGGAACTGGGTGTGTTTGGGCAGCTGGTCGTGATAGTGAGCCCGCCAGGGCTGGTTCTGGTAGAAGGCCGCAGGCAGGGGCAGTTTCGCTGCACGGTTCTGGACCGCGATGTCCAAGTCTCTGGGACTCAGTGCCTGGTCTATACTTTGCATGCTCTCCCTGCGTCCCAGCCAGATATAATACGGGATCCAGCCCAGGCCCTGGTTGCGCGCGTTGACAGTAAGGACCGTGCCGAATTTGAACTCCAGATAGTCCCGGCGCGCGGCATCAACAGAGATATGGTCCAGCTCAAACCAGGCCCGCCAGAAGCTGCGCAGGAACCAGTTGACGTGTCGTCCAGCATGGCTGCCAGTGTAGTTGCGCGCCCCGAACTCGCGGCCAGACTGCGTGTAGAAGTCGACGACCCCAATCACCCCGTCGACGGCGAGGAGGTGGACAAGCGAGTCTATCACAGGATAGTAATCCGGCTGAGCTGGTCAGTAACGATTGCTCGAATGAGTAGCGCTGTAGCGGCTCTTACAATCATGGACAGACTGTACGACATGGTAATCAGACCCGCCTTCTGCAGTGGACAGAACGTCCTCGCATCCTCGCATACCACCTGGACATTCTTCCAGCCCAGACGACGAACCCGCTGCCTGGCAACCTCGCAGAGCGACGGCGACAGATCGACTATAAACACAGTCGAGAAGAACTCGGGGACATCGACAAAGGCCGCCATGGCCTCTATACACCATCCCGTCCCGCCCCCAACCTGCACGATGTCAGGACATTTAACCAACAATTTGAAGGCTGGTGATGTGGTGACTTACATCTATCCAGACACGCTCGCTCTTAGGCCTCGCCTTGAGCTGTGCGGCGACCAGCGCAAGCATCTCGGTCCTGCCCTGCAGCAGGCGGTCCCGGGTGGTGTCATACACAGCGGCCTGCCTTTTGTAGAAGCTTTCCAGGAACCCCTGCTGGGTGCTTCGGTCGCCTTGGGGCTTGAGAAAGCAGCAGTAGACGAAGAGCAGGAAGGCCTGGAGACGGCCGGGGGTTGCATTTGCATTTGCATCTGCATCTGCATTTGCATGATCATTGCTTTGCGCACGCCGTCGAGCGAGGAGCCGCGAGAGGAAGAGACCGCATAGGGCTATTGTGCTGAATCCAGTCAATGTCAAAGGCGATGCGATGCTGATGAGCGACAGGCTGTTATCTTCGGGAAACGCCATTGTGGATGTAGTTTTGATAAAGTCCAGGACACATACAGGTACTATATAATCTACTTATATACTTATATTGCTACATATCAGGTCGCAACCACCGACAGAGCAGACTAAACGGGAGTATATTCCCCTCGTTTATCCCCTCTGCAAAACGACAAACACGTCTAGCGCTTGAAATTTTCATAACGCATTTCCGACCAGGGTACGTGTCGCCCGGTTGCTCTCCGCGAAGACCACCAGAACGCGAGAGAAACGCAGAACGGCTGGAGAAACGAGAGAAACAAGAGAAACGCAGATTTGACAGTACCTATTGCTCGCAAGAGTAATCCATTCGAGCACTTGGCCCTCCACGAATCACAGAGCCAAGGCTGATCTGCTCGGCGCCTAGTCGTAGTGCTATTTTAGCCAGAATTCGAGGCCAGCCACCCGCATAGAAACCCCTTTTAGTGCTTATTTGCACTATCGGTGAGTCTTGCGAGGGCTGCTACGAGGGACCCAGTCCTGCATGATCCAGGGCGTCCCGTCGAATCGATAGATTGCGAGCTGTATTGGCGTGCAGGCAGCACTTGGAGCTCTCGATGAGCGAAAATCACCAGCCTATCGCTTCTACATGCTTCGATTTGTGTTGGATTGGAGATTATACTGCTGGGCCAAAAGCCATGCACAGCCGGTGGTCAGCCATCTGTCTCCAGCGTTGCATACACATCAATATGACTCCAACAATGAGCAGGGATCAATCAGGCCACCCGCAGTCGGTACTTCTGCCGTACTTCTGAGCCTCATGCAATGCCTGGGTAGGACCATTCTTTCTAATTCCTGAGAACCTCACCATGACTGGCTATCTAGCTAGAATTGGATCTTGAAGACTTGGATCTTGACGCGGACGTGAAGCCTAGACGGCATGATATTAAGCGAACTGCAGGTAGACTTTCTCTGCCACGGAGCATGCATCAGCTCTTGGCCGAACATGACTCAATATGCCCTGCATCTAGAGTTGTATCAAGGTAGCAAAGCCATCCCGCACTCTCCACGCCGTCTCGGCAGTTGCAAGGGGATAAGACAAGGACCAACCCGCCATTACCGCCAGCATCCTCCCCCGCCGACAGGTCTCACTTCTTGCGAGCTGAGTGTTGCTTGGCCAATCGAGTCCGCAGACTTAGGCGAGTGTTGGTTTGGCCCCCGGAGTCCTGATATCGAAGGCATTCATAGAGTCAAAAGACCGCTCCAGAGTTGGACCAGACTGGGAGCTGAACGACAACCCTGTCTGTGAGATCTGACATGCATTGGAACGCGGGTTGTTTGCAAAAAACACCCTTCCAACGGTTCTAGATGAGTGAGCACTAGCAGGACATGCTTCAATTCCTTCCAGCGGGCTTTGCTCCGTGAGGGAAGAGGCCATCTATAGCAACCGGGTGCTTAATATCTATATAAACCTACTTGCCAGCAACTGTCTACCCTCAGCAGGCACTTGACACTGCTTGACAGAGAGAGAGAACTGCAGATTGAATATTAGCTGAGGAAAATGAGTGACATTCACGACGACGGCATTGCCATCGTGGGCATGGGCAAGTCCATCCTATCCATCCGTCTAGATTATATTAACAACCCCTAGCATGCCGCCTCCCCGGAGACGTGCAAGACGCCCAGTCCTTCTGGGACTTGCTGATGAGCCAGAAACTCACGCGTGCTCCCTTCCCCGAGAGCCGCTTCAACCCTAAAGCCTTCTACAACCCGCAGAAAGGGCGGCCGGGAAACATCCGGTACGAGGAAGGCTACTGCATCTCCAATGACCTGGAGGACTTTGACGCCGGCTTTTTCAACGTTAATCCCACGGACGCCCAGTTCCTGGACCCCCAGCAGCGCGGGTTGCTGGAATGCTGCTTTGAGTGTATGGAGTCGGGAGGCATTACCCTGGAGGATGTCTCTGGCTCTACGACGGGTGTGTATGTTGGGAGTTTTGCTAGCGACTATGAGACGCTTGCGTTCAAGGAGCCAGAGCGTATTGAGGGCATGGCTGTGTTGGGCATGGGAAGGACCACGATCAGTAACCGTGTGAGCTATATGTATAACCTCCACGGACCAAGGTTTGTCATTCCCCCTAGCATCCTACCTAGATACACCTACTAACAAGTGTCTGACAGTGTGACCATGGACACAGCATGTTCATCAACGCTGTACGCTCTGCACTTCGCCGTGCAGGCCCTGCGCAACGGCGAGATCCCCGCGGCCTTCGTCGGCGGCGTGAACCTGATCCTCACCCTCGAATACCACTTCGCCATCGGGCAGATCGGGGCTCTGTCGCCGAGTGCACAGTGCCACGCCTTCGACACCTCTGCAGACGGGTACTCGCGCGGCGAGGCAATCAACGTGCTGTACCTGAAGCGCGTATCAGACGCCATTCGCGACGGCGACCCCATCCGCGCTGTCATCCGGGGGTCATCCTTGACTGCGTAAGTCCTCTCTACATATATTCTGTTAGGCTTTGACTGATGATACAGAAACGGCAAAAACAACGGTATAACGCTCCCCAGCGCACAGGCACAAGAACTCGCCATCCGCACGGCCTACGAGCACTCCGGGCCTCTGGACTACAATGCCGTGGGCTACGTCGAGTGCCACGGCACCGGCACGCCCGCGGGCGATCCCATCGAGACAACGGCGATAGGAAATGTATTTGGCGCCCACCGCGAGTGGTTCGAGCCGTTGTATATCGGGTCGACGAAGCCGCAGGTTGGGCACGGTGAGGCCTGCTCGGCGATTACCAGTATTATGAAGGTGGCGTTGGCGATTGAGAATGGGGTGATCCCGGGGACGATTGGGGTTACCAAGTTGAATCCTGCGTGTGAGTTCTCTTGATACTGATGGTGCAGCTGCAGCATAGATATAGATAGGGCTTGGTCTGACGTGCTGCAGTGGATCTCAAGGGTGGTGCGCTGGCCGTACTCACCCAGAACACGCCGTGGCCAAAGGACAAGGCAAAGCGAGCATCTGTGAACTCGTCTGGATACGGAGGAGCGAACGGCCACGTCGTGATTGATGGAGTCGATCAGTATTTCCGCAGCATTGGGATGGAAAACCCCTGTAGTCAGGGCTCAACTGTAGATGCCGACAGCACAATCCTCCAGAACCGGTTCCTGCTGCCCGTCACAGGACATGACGAGTACTCTATGCGTGAGAGCCTGAAGAACCTGACGGCCGTCGTGGACAGCCAGGCGTATGACTTCCACGAGTTGCTGCATACCATGATAGCCCGTCGCACACGATTCCACTACCGCGGTGTAATCCCCATTGAGCGAGGGAGCTCGCGCACTCTGACGATGGGAGAGCCTGTCACTGGGCGTACGAACAACAGCGTCCCGGTCATTGCTTTTGCGTTTACCGGCCAGGGCGCTCAATGGGCTGAGATGGGCCGCCAGCTGCTGGACTGCTATCCGGCCGTGCAGCGGACATTCAAGAAGCTGAACCTGGCCTTATCCCAGCTCAAGCAGCGTCCGGACTGGACACTCGAGCGTGCGTATTGGACCTCTAGTCCGCTGACCCCTTCTAAGTGAATGCACTAACATGGTATGATAGAAATCCTCTTCGAGCCCGCCGAAACAAGCAAAATCGGCCAAGTCTCCTTCTCCCAGCCCATCTGCACCGCAATCCAGATCGCCCTCGTCGACCTCCTGCAAGAATGGGGCGTGAAGCCGCAGGCCACGATCGGGCATTCGTCCGGCGAGCTGGCGGCCGCGTACGCAGCGCAACTCATCACGGCCGAGGAGGCAATTGTCGCGGCGTACCTGCGCGGTGTGCATGCCACGCTCACGCAGGCGCCCGGGGCAATGATGGCTGTTGCGATGGGCGCACAGGAAGCTGAGGCGTTCCTGGCGCGCAACGAGATCCCAGCCTCCGATGTGGTTGTTGCGTGCGTGAACTCGCCGCAGAGCGTCACGCTGAGTGGCAAGACGGACCGCATTGATCTGCTGCATGGGGTCTTGAAGGAGCAGGGGGCGTTGTGCAAGAAGCTGCCGACGGGTGGGAAGGCGTATCACTCGCCGAGTATGAAGGAGGTTGGGTCTGCGTATAGTGAGGCCATTCTGGAGGCGGGCAATGAAGGTGGTGCCGTGCGTGCTCTTGCTCCAGTTGTTGAGGGTGAGAGACCTGTTATGGTTTCTTCGGTGACTCTGCAGCATCTCCAGCCGGGCGATATCAATGGCACATACTGGCAGGCGAACCTGGAGAGCCCGGTGCTGTTTGACCCTGCGATGAAAGAGCTGTTAGGGCTGAAGTTCGGCCCAGAGGAGCGCCATGTCGACTGCGTGATTGAAATCGGCGTACGTTCCTTGAGATGTTGATATTGGTGTGTTGCTAATTGTAACTCGAACAGCCTCATAGCGCCCTCAAAGGCCCCATCAAGCAGATCATCGCCTCGCAAGAAGTGCAGGACATCTGGAATGCGTCGCTGGGCACCGCAGCCAAAGTGACCTACGAGCAGACCCTCGAGCGAGGCCACGACGCCGAAGAGGACATGATGCGCCTGGCAACCAGTCTGTTCATCAAGGGCTTCCCAGTCAATATGCTGCATGTCAACGGCCATCTGGTCTACCGTCCATCGAAGGTCCTCATCGACCTGCCCAAGTACCCCTGGAACCACGAGACAAAGCACCCCCTGATCGTCAACCGGGCCACGCAGGACTACAAGTTCGCAACGCACCCTCGCCACGACCTCATCGGCAGTCGTCTTCCTGGTGGAAACCGCATGGAGCCTGTGTGGAGGAACTATCTGCGTCTGGACGATGTACCGTGGATCAAAGACCATGTGGTATGTCCCCTATAAACATACTAAAACTCAACTACCTCCCCAAGCCCTAACACACATACAACATACTAAACCATACTATGTATAGATCGGAAGCGCCATCATCGTCCCCGGCGCAGCGTACCTCGCCATGGCCGTCGAAGCCGCCGCCCAGTTCGCCGAAGACACAGCCCTAGGCGGCCCCCCCTTCTCCTTCGAAGAGGCCAAATTCCACCTTCAAACAGTCACCATCAAAGCCGCCCTCGTCCTCCCAGCCAGCGGCACCGCCGACATCATGATCAACCTGCGGCCCACCGAAGCCTCCGCGGCGTTCAACCGGCTCGAATTCAAGATCTGCTCTGTGGCCGACGGCCGCTGGATCGAGCACGCACAGGGCATCGTCTCGATCGAGTCCACGCACGGTAAACGAACGCCCAAGGCGCCCTTCAACGACGAGACCGAGGAGCCCGTCTTCGAGCAGACCTTTTCCAAGGACTCCTGGTACGAGCGCCTCAGATACCGCGGATTCGACTTCGGGCCGCGCTTCCGCGTCATCGACGAGATCCAAGTCCTGCCTAGTGCGTCACGCGCTCGTGCAAGGGCCCATATCCTGCAGACTGCGGAGCGGCATGCCGCCAATTCTAGCGAGTCCCGGTATGCTATCCACCCGCTGACCATTGATGCGGTGCTGCAGGGCCGCGTGGCGTCGGTGTATACGAGCCGTGCGGACCGCGAGGAGGCTACGCAGATCCCGGTCTTCATTGATGAAATGACCATCAGCCCGGCGGGCTGGGCCAAGGACGAGCCAGGGCTGATTGACAGTGTGGCCTGGACGGAGGGGGCGCGCAGCGGAGGCTCGCACTCTGCGCTGACGACGGAGAGCGGGTTTGAGATTATCTCTGCAAGGAACGTGAAGTGGCGCCAGTTCGAGAACCAGGGGAGTCAGGAGAAGATGAGCCAGGACTCGTCCGGGCGTGAGCCGTACTACCGCATGCACTGGAAGCCGGATATCGACTTCCTGGATACGGATGGCGCGCATAGACTGTACCACAGCGACTTCCAGGCTGCGGATGGCAAGGCCTATCTGGATGAAGTGCACCATATCCGCACGCGGTTGGAGACGGTGACCGTGCTGTATGTCTGCGGTGCACTGGATATGGTCCGCAGGGAGGATCTCTCGACAGACCCGACGCTGAAGTGGACGCATGGGTTCTACGACTGGCTGTGCCATGTCAGGACTGAGGCAGCTGCAGGGCGCATGGTGCTCTGCGAGCCAGACGCCACGAGGCTCAGTCCAGAACAGCGAGAGCAGCGCATCAGCCAGCTGCTGGCCGAGCTGCCAGAGGACTTCCCCCAGCTCGAGTTCAACGCGATTGTGTATAAGAACATGGTCGAGATCATGGCCGGCAAAGTGTCGAGCATCGACCTCGCCGTGCAGGCCGAGATCCTGGCGCGCGTGTACGCAGACGGGTCGATCCACGACGCAGCACGCAAGAACCTCGCCTCGGTTATCGATATCATGGCGCACAAGAACCCCACGATGCGCGTGCTCGAGGTCGGCGCCGGCACAGGGAGCTGCACGAGCGTTGCGCTGGACGCGCTGAATGCGTACGACCGCGATATCGCCGGCCCCCATCACCACCATGCGAAGCGCTACCGCGACTATACATTCACGGACATCTCGCCGGCGTTCTTCGAAAAGGCCGAGGAGCTGTTCAGCGCGTACCCGCCCATGATCTACCAGACCTTCGACGTGTCTGCGGATCCGGCATCGCAGGGCTTCGAGCTGGGGGCCTACGATCTCATCCTGGCGTCGAACGTGATGCACGCCCCCGGCAACACGGACCAGCTGCTGCGGAACTGCAGCAAGCTGCTGAAGCCGGGAGGCAGGCTGGTCATGCTGGAGATCACCAAGACGGAGAGTCTTACGCCGGTGCAGTTTGCGTTTGGCACGCTGCCGAGTTTCTGGGAGTGTCTGGACGACGTGGATGCGGAGCGTCCACTAGGGCCCTTCCGGAGCCTGGAGTCGTGGGAGAAGCAGCTCGACGTGTCGGGCTTCAAGGGCCTGGATATGGTCCTGACTGATTTCCCTGAGCCGTTGGCCCTGGAGAGCGTGATGGTGGCCAGCACCCCCGCTGAGCCGGTAGAACAGGATATAGACCATCTTGTCATTGTACGTATCTTACCCCCAGACTGTTCTGACTATTCTGACTAACGTTACAGGTCCATTCATCCCCTCAGGACACCCTCGCCCAAGCCATCGAACAGGAATTCCTAGTCCAGGGCAAACTCACAGCCAGCAATATCAGCCACTACACCCTCTCCTCCCTCCCAGAGCCCGAAGACACCATCACCTCAAGGAACACGGCCTACCTCGTCCTCGAGGAAGTCCAAACCGCCATTCTAACAGACATGCGCCCCGAGCAATTCTCCGGCCTGAAGCGCCTCGTCACCTCCGCCTCCAGCATCCTCTGGGTCACAGGCGGCGACCTCCTCTCGGGCCGCTCGCCCTCCCTAGCCCTCGCCCACGGGCTCAACACCGTGCTGATGAACGAGCACTCAGCACGCAACCTGCGCTTCGCAGCACTGGACCTCGACTACACCAACGCCAGCCACGCCAGCCACGTCCCCGCCGTTGCACGGACACTCACAGCCGCCAGTGTGGCCGTCGCGGCGGCCACCACGCGCGCCGACTGCGAGACGGACTTTATGCTCAAGGACGGCGTCCTGCACATCTGCCGCGTGGCGCCGGATATGGCGCTGAACTCGGAATTCACGCTCGACACGGGCAGTGACGGGCGTGCGGACCAGGAGTTCCCGGCTGAGGGGAATGTGCAGCTTGCGATGGGGACGCCGGGGCTGCTGGATACGGTGTATTTCCGCGAGAGGCCAACGTGTGATATGGCGTTGGGGGATGAGGAGGTTGAGATTAGAGTCCAGGCGGTTGGATTGAATATGAAGGTGCGTACTTCATTACATGCAGTATTGAGGTGATGAATGACTGACTGTGCAGGACTACGTGATTGCAATGGGCAACTTCGAGAGCGTCAAGTCCAGCAACGAGAGCACCGGGTATGTTGCGCGGGTTGGACGCAGCGTCTCGCATCTGCAGCCCGGCGACAAGGTCATCTGTCTAGAACGAGGCCACTATGATACATTCCTGCGCAGCCCGGCGCAGAAGTGTCTGAGGCTGGCGGACGACGCGGACCTCGTTGCGATGGCCACTGTCGGAATCGCGCATGGCACGGCCATCTATGCTCTGGACTACCTGGCGCAGCTGGAGGCCGGCGAGAGCGTGCTCATCCAGGCCGCTACGGGTGGTCTGGGTCTGGCGGCTATCCAGTATGCGAAGCATATCGGCGCAGAGATCTACGCGACAGTTGGGACGCAGCAGAAGAAAGACTACTTGATATCAGAGTGTGGCATCCCGGAGGAGCGCATCTTCTGGTCACGCTCGCTGCAGTATAAGGACGCACTGCTGAAGCAGACCAAGGGCCGGGGGGTGGATGTTGCTCTCTCGACAATTTCCGGGCCTGGGTTCCATGAGACGCTCAAGTGTCTGGCGCCTTGTGGACGGTTTGTTGATGTTGGGAGAGGAAATGTGCTGGATAAGGGCTCGATGGGGCTGCACGTCTTCGACCGGAGCATCAGCTTCTTCTCGTTCGACCTGAACTTGGTTCTGGAGGAGAAGCCACGCATTGCGCAGAGGTATGCCAGATTACAGACCATTGGATGTCCATGGCTAACATATATAGACTCTTGTCCGATGCGATGCGCCTCCTGGATTTGGGCCGCATCACGCCTATCAGACTGGACAAGACCTTCCACATCACCGAGATGGAGAACGCCCTCCGCTACTTCGGCCAGGGCCAGCACATCGGCAAGGTCGTCTTGACGTACGGGCCCTCCGACAACAAGATCACCATAAAGGGCGCTCGCCAGCCACGCGGTGTCGACAACCAGTCCAGCTACCTGCTCGTCGGATGCCACGGAGGGCTGGGCCACAGCATGGCCGACTCGCTCATCGAACGAGGCGCCAGGAACCTCGTCTTCCTGGGCCGGTCGAGCGAGACGAAGCGCGAGATTGCCTCGTTCTGCAAGCGCGCACGCAGCAACGGGGTCAACATCGTGACGATCCAAGGCGACGCCTCGAAGATGGAAGATGTCGAGCGAGCAGTCGCGCAAGCCATCTCCATGGGGCCCCTGAAGGGCGTCGTCCACGCAGCTATGGTCCTGCAAGACGCCTTCTTCGACACCATGACCCTGGACCAGTTCAACATCGCTGTGCGGCCCAAGGTCCACGGAGCCCTGAACCTCCACCGTGCGACGATCCAAGCCCACGCTGCCCTCGACTTCTTCTTCATGACCAGCTCCGCCGTCACATATGTCGGGCACATCTCGCAGGCCAACTACGCGGCGGCGAACACCGTCCTCGACAACCTCGTGCGCCAGCGCATCCGCCACGGACTGCCCGCTGTGACGGTCTCGCTGGGCCCGATCAAGGGCGTCGGCACCCTGAACAACAAGCCCGAGTACGCGGAGAACCTGCTGCGATCAGGCCTGATCGAGGCCGAGGAGTCCGAGTTCATTCGGCACTTTGAGCGCTTCACGACGCACACACAGCCAGAGTCCAAGCAGTTCGACCCGCTGACGCAGGGCCATATCCTCACGGGGGTGGAGTACGCAAAGCACGACCTCAGCATGGTGCAGGTGAGTCGGATCGAGCAGGACCGGCGCTCGGCGCTGCTCGTCACGACGCTCGAGTCGCGCAAGGCTGCCGCTGGGGGAGCCGGGCATGGCGATGCAGCGGCCGACGGCAGCGGTGATGACCAGCTCATCGCGGATCTCCCTGATGACCGGGACAAGGCGGTTATTGTCCTTGCGGAGGCGATTGGGCGGCGTCTGGCCAAGCTGTTGTTCATTCCTCCCGAGGATATCGATATCAGCCGGCCGTTCTCGCACTTTGGCTTTGATAGTATGTCCGGTAGTGAGCTGATTCACTGGTTAAGTCAGAGGTTTGGGGTCGGTATGTCCTTCTTGCAGCTGCTTGCGCCAGCTTGCACTCCGAAGAGTCTCGCTGGGACGGTGTATGAGACGCTTCTCAAGAACAAGGCGCTGCCGGCCGCGAATGGCACGGAGGAGAAACCCAACGGAGTGAATGGGACATCGCAGGAGAAAACTAACGGGGTGAATGGGCATGCTGTGGCCAATGGTTCTAGTCATGATGCCAATGGTGTTGATGCCAATGGTGTTGATAGTACGCCCAATGGTCGTACTCATACAGATGTCGTCGTCAGCAACGGCTCAAAGACCAAGATGGACAAGTTCACGCAGGCAGTTCGAGCAGCCATTGCCGATCCGAAGCCCGTCATGCACTCATACGTGTGCACTGTTGTCGGCCGCAAGGGTATGTATCTCCTTCAAGTCCTTCCATGTCACGCTCAACCCTAACCTCCACAGGCGAGCAACTCTACAGCCTCTCCGAAGGCACGATGGCGCCAGGATCCAGCGACAACGCCGACTTCGATTCGCTCTACTGCATGGCATCCCTCTCCAAGCTCATCACCACGGTAGGCGTCATGATCTGCGTCGAGCGCGGCCAGATCTCCCTCGACGACGACGTGGCGTCCATCCTGCCAGACCTATGCTCCCTGCCTGTCCTCGACGGCGTTGACGCCGATGGGAAATACCGGACCAAGAAGCGCACCAAGCCCATCACCCTGCGCCTGCTGATGAGCCATCAAAGCGGCTGTGGCTACGACGAGAGCCCCGGGCTGCCCCGGTGGGCGCGACAGCACGGCATCACTACTAAGACATTCGACAGTGACTTCGTAAGCCCCTTCCTTTCCCCAATCTCACCAATATGGCCGATCTAACCCCCCACAGGAAGCCATGAAGACCTACCCGCTCCTCTTCGAGCCCGGCGAGGGCTGGATGTACGGCTCCGGCATGGACTGGGCCGGCGAGCTCGTCGCCCGCATCAACGACACCACCCTCGAGGACTTCCTGCGCACCAACGTCTGGGAGCCTCTCGCGATGGACTCAACAACCTTCCACCCAGAGCACCGCCCAGAGCTCCTCCGCCGTATCGTACCCACCTACCAACGCACGGAGGACCAAAGCCTCGCCCCGTGCGAGCCCCTCTCGCGCATCCCCGCGCTCCACGACTGCGCCGGCCATGGCATCTGGTCTACCCCCCGCGACTGGACTCGGTTCCTCTCAATGATCCTCGCCGACGGCGCTCCCCTCATCACCCGTTCCAGCATCGAGGAGATCTTCCGCCCCCAGACGGCCGACGTCCCCGAGCTCCAAGCCCTGCTCTCCGGCCCGCTGCGCGCGTCCCTCCTCTCGACCGCAGCAATGGAAGCAACCAACATTGAGATCGCGCTGGGCGGTCCCGTCTATCTAGACTCAATCCCTGGCAAGCGCTCTGCTGGATCGCTGCAGTGGGCGGGCCGGCCGAATCTGTTCTGGTGGATTGATCGTGCCAGGGGCGTTGCTGCGACCACGTTTACCCAGGTTATCTCACCCGCTGATGCGCGGTTTGCGGCGTTGACGAATGCTTTGGAGATGGGTGTTTATGCGGAGCTTGCTTAGGATATAATTTTGTTTTTAGTGGTTGTACTATGGCCAGGGTATGCTTAGTCCTGCCAATGTCATTTTTCAATTGCATACACTGTAACTTTCATTGTCTCCTCTGTACTGAGTAGAGGACGTACAATTCTTACAGGCTTATGATATAGTCCAGAAAGTTGTTTCCCCTGTTAACTGTCTCCTGCTCATACCGTCTTTCCATCGTCAATCACGTGTCCCAGGAGCCCTACCTGCCTGCCTGGCTGATAGACCAGTCTACGCAACCAGGGAGCAAACAACCTTATGTTCAAATAGATAGCCATGTGGATTCCTAATTAAGATCATTCATCAGTATTCTGGATAACAACAACCACTCCTGCCAGGACCTCAACCGATCAGCATTCTTGTCTTTATTAAACACACGATGCTGCATCCTGGATACAACGTAATTCACAGGCCTCTCACTAGACAGGCAAAATACTTCAAAAACAAAAACATACAACAGCTGGGATTCGCATGTGGTCACCCACCATACTACTAACCAGCCGGCGTGTGGCTTAAGTACGGCTGAGCGGACGGGAAGCCCTGTTTTCCACACCCTGTGGTCGTATGTACTGACTGCAACTAAACAGTGGGTTAAGTATGGTATTTATTCTGTTCTCCACGTATTCTAGTATATCGTTTCTCCAAGTCCATGGCCACAAACTCTCTAAACTCATCACGCCGGTATATCGTATATCATGCAGTCTACCTACTCCAACGCCACACCAATAGTCAATCAATCACAGCTTCCCCGTCTTCGCATTCTCTAAGACATAGCGATATCTGGCCTTCCCCTCATGCATCTCCGCCAAAGCCAGGTTGACCTCCTCCATCGGCCTCCTCTGCACCCACGGCTTCACTCCCTTCTCAGCAGCCAACTCCAGCATCACTCGAATATCCTCAGGAGATCCAATCGTCGACCCCGTCACCTTGACACCCTTCTGAATCAACGAGAATGCCCGCAGCGGTGGCAGTGGCTCCTCCGGTGCTCCCACCTGGACAAACACCCCATTCCGCTTCAAAAGCCTCAGATACCCCGCCAGCGGCATATTCTCCCCAGAGACAGTGCAGATAATCACATCCAGCGACCGCGCATGCTTCTTCGCCCAGGTCTTATCCTCCCCCGTCGCAATAAAGTCATCAGCACCCAGACCCCCCGGCGTCTCACCCACCGCATCAGCCTTCTTCGCCGACGACCGCGAAATCGCCACCACGGCATCACTCCCCATCGCCTTCGCAAACAACAGGCCCATATGACCTAGTCCTCCAATCCCCACAATCCCAACCCTCTTCCCAGGCCCGGCCCCAAAGCGCCTCAGCGGCGCAAAAACCGTCACACCCCCACAAAGCAACGGCGCCGCCTCCTCACTGCTCAGTTTCTCGGGAATGCGAAAGACAAAGTGTCCCGGCCCCCGCCACCGATTCGCATACCCGCCGTAGGCTTTACTCCCCTCCGGGTAGCGCGAGTTGTACGTGCCCACCATCTTGGGGCAATAGGACTCTTCATTGTCGGCGCAGGCCTCGCAGTCTGGGCGTAGGCATGCGGAGCATTGCGCGCCTATGCCGACGCGGTCGCCCGGCTTGATGTTCTTGGATGAGGGGATGGCGGTGCCGATGCGGGTTGCGGTGCCGACGATCTCGTGGCCGACGACGCAGGGATAGTCTGCTGGGGCCCAGCCGGAGCGGATTGTGTGGACGTCGCTGCCGCAGATGCCGCAGTGGGAGATTTGGACCTCGATGTCGGTTTCTTCAAAGGGCTTGGGGGTGAAGGGCTCGTGGGTGAGGGGGGATTTTGGGTCGTGTGCTACCCAGCCTGTAAATGTGTCGGGCATTGTGGAATTTTCGTAGACAAATATTCAATTGCGCGAGGGAGGTGGTTGTACCGTTGTCTGCATTGAAAATGCGGAGATGTTTTATATGTATGGAAGTTGGAGACAGCCGACGGGGCGCTTATTACCGAGGTTGTGAGTTCCATGCCGTCACATTCATTACCAGCTTGCTATTCTTGGCCAACAATACAAACACGAAAATATTAAACAGTGAAGAACGAAAATGCAATGGGTATATGATGCTACTTCATCCCCATCAGCTCCCCTAGCTCATTGGTCGTCAACGTGCTCCGCCGTCGGTCCCCAGTCCTCTTTCGCGCAATCTTGCCCCCACGGCTCCTCTTTCGACTCTCTTGCTCGCGGCGCGATTGCTCAGCCGCACGAGCTTCGCTTTCAGCGGCCGCCAGTTTTTGACTTACACTCATCCGAGAGGGGCCCTACGGTTAAACACAATGGTTAGCTAGAGTTGGCACAGATGCATTGCTCGAACTTTACCGGACGTGGCCCCTTGGGCTCAACCCGTCTTCTTGATGGCCTTCGTGTCACAGCATCTGACTGATGGGCTTTGATTGGCATTGTGTCGTCCTCTTCTTGCCGGTGTTTAGACGGTGATTTACGGTCTCCGTCAGAAAAGATCACCCCTTTCCGCGGCGGCTGCGCTACCAACGTCGCGTTATCGGTCCGTTCCTTTAGAGCTCGGCTGGCGCTAGTTTGAGGCTGTTCCTCTGGAGGAGGAGCGGTGTCTTCGCGACTGGGCGCCGCCTCTGTCATCTCTTCCTCACACTCAACTTCATCCTCATCTTCGTTCTCTTCATCTTCTTGGTCTTCGAAAATCGGCGAGTGCATGGCCACATCGCTGTCCCTGACTCGAGAGTGCCCCGAGTCGACCTGAACATCGAGCTTCAGCCCCATCCGAAGCTCTTCCGCCCGGATGGAGCCTCCGCCTTGCGCAATCCGCTTATGCCAGCTGTCCATCATGGTGACTGCTTGTCTCCACCGGCTTTCCATCTTCTCCCAGCCCTCACGAAGTCGTTTGATCTCTTCATCACGCACCTCAACCTCTTCCAGCGGTACAAATGACGGATTGGTGAGTAGTGTTTGTAGATGCTCGAGCACCTGCTCCATTTCACCGGATAGTTCTTCGCACGACGCAGGTAGGTTTGTGACAGCAGGGCCGCCATGCGTTGACCTCTGAGGCCCTGTACTGGCTGTCCCGTGTGAGTGCCCATTCTCAGCGGCCGAATCTTCTGTCGACGACAATCCTTGTACCTCCTTCAGCGTATCAACGGTGTTTCGTGCAAGGAGGATCAGAGAATCGTTCTCATCACTAAGAGTCTGGCACAACTGTGTGAGAAAATCATTCGTTTCCTCCTTCAAGCTGTATCCCGGATCGTGAACTCCCTCACCCCCTGATGGATACCGGGCCCGAGATGACTGGCTAGCGGCAGGATTGATATTGATGGTGGTCACACCCAATCCGTCGCGCTTCCCTCGTTGTCGGTCTGCCAGGTGGGCCTTCAGTTTCTGTAGCTCGAGATCACGCTTGCGAATATCGTTGGCGCACTGGGACCGGACTTGCTGCACGGTAGTCTTCATGCGCTGGACTTGGTCCTTCAGTCCTCGAACGGTTGCTTCCGCACTCGACATATTGGTTTTCAATGCTCGTTCCTGAGCCTCGGCCAGCGCTAGCGATCGCGATAATTCCGATTTCTTCGTTTGGAGTTTTTCCTGCAGCGTTTTAGCCCTGTAACCCACCTAATCCTATCTGGCCTAGAATTAGATGTCCTTCGCACATACAATTTCCACAGTCTTATGAGAGTCTTCTGCTCGTAGCGTCCGGATCGTTGTCGCTAGGTTCTCTCGATGTTCTGCCTCGCGCTTTGAGTTCCGTCAGTCGGGAACGCCGGCATTGCGCAAGGACGAAACTTACATCTCGCCTTAAAACCAAATCATTCACCAGGTTGATGATCCTCGCCATTGTGCTCGTCACCCCGCCCTCCTCATTCTCTGGGGTTGCGAAATCAATCGGTCGGCCGGTCTTCACCAGGCCCCGGGCCAGTAAGACATTATTAATGTATGTGGAAGCAGCATGCAGATCACCCTGCGGTTCCATGATGAACGGACGTGCTTGTCCTGCAAGCAGCCTGAGGTATTAAAGTAGAAGTAGAAATAAAACCGAGGGGAATGTCCTCGGATGAGGTTTTGTTGAGATACAAAATTATGTGATCTCGAACCACCGAAAGGGGAAGAATGTAAACACCGTTAATTCTCGGGGTGGCGGCGCAGACCAAAGCCGCTTTCCCCCGCCCGTTCTGTGGCGTCCGTTGCCAGGTTGACCACACTCCATCATTTGGAGATCTCAACGGCTTTCAGCACAATGATCTTCAGAAAGCTAGCTGCAATTCCTGTGAATGGCTGATAATGGGCTCTCGAGGTAATCCTTTCGATGTCTGAACACGTAATGCGGAGTATTGTTGACCGCCATGTAGGAGAAGCCGCGCTGCTCCAACGGCAGGGCCAGAATCTGTATGGCCAGGGTAATTTGGATGGCGCTTTACGTGCCTTCACGGAGGTAAATATACCTGTATTCTGTCATTCCATTAGCTGCGTTGCGGCTTTTCGCAACTCGACAAGTCGTGGTGACTTTTCTGACTTCGATACCTCAGGCACTAAAATGTCCTGATGTAGATGCACTCTCGGTGCTGGATAATCGAGCAGCGACATACACGAAACTCCTACGGTATGAACAGGCTCTGAAGGATGCCAGGCAAATGATAAAGCAAGATAAACAAGATGAACGAGTGAGAAAGCGCCCGGCTCAATATTTCCATTCTCCGCTAATCGGTCTCAGGGATATCTACGTTGTGCCAAAGCGCTATTGCTGGATGGGAAGCCCGAGAAGGCTCGTGAAGTGTATGCGTACGCGTTGAAAACCTTACCAAAGGATAATCCACGACGTCAGGTTTGTTTCATACCTCGCAGTGTCTCCTTAAACATCAATGCTAATCTGACCTAGGTACTGGAGCAAATGCACTCGAAACTGCACGATAAGTTGGTATCAAAATGCTATGATCCGTTCACCGTGTTCCCGCTTGAAATAGCGCGGATGGTTTTGGAGCATTTTGACTTCAAACAGATAGTGTAAGTAATTATGCCGGCTTGGCTCTACTTCTCTGACCTGAACAGGGCTATCTTACGGGTCTCAAAAGGATGGGATCGGTTCCTTTCATCAATGCGGGATTTATGGATGCGTATTGATTTCTCTGGGGCACGCGGGAAAATTCATTGGTCATCTGCTCTAGCCTACATCCGGCGATCCAAGGCCATGCTCACAGAAGCCATTGTGGCGAACCTCACCAAGGCCTCTATACGGAAAGTTCTGGAGTATATCAGTCGTTGCCCAAATCTCCAACACCTTCAGATCCTGTCACCCTCCTCACCCAACGACATCTACGAACTCTTCAAAGGATGCAAGAAGCTTAAAACTCTTTTAGTCTCCTCAGACACTACCATCCCTCAATCTACGCTCACCAAACTGCTAGCCAGCTTCCCCAAGCTCGAACGCCTCGAGATCCATAATGCTACAAAGTCTCGCGCGTCCGACGTTCACTGGCCACCAGCCCTCCCCAACTTGCAAAGCATCACGCTCGGCACAACTGAGTCTGGTGTTCACGAAAACTACATCCCAGCCCTCTACATCCCTCGCCTAATCGACCCAACAACCCCGCTCCCAATATCAAACCTCACCGAGCTCCGCCTCCACTCAAACCCCAAAATCTTTGTCCCCTATCCGCCGTCTTTCAACCCTGCAGACCTCCCCCACCTTCAAAAACTAGACATAAGCGGCCTCTACATCGGCGGCACCTTCGGCCTCCCACCTACTCTCCAATTCCTCCGAATCCGCGGTGGCGCAGCAATCGAGGCGCTCCCCTTCGCTACGCCAACCACAGATGAAAGCAACGGGCAACTCCAACCCCTTCACCTCCCAAATTTAACGACACTTATATTCAGCGACGTCCCCTGGGTCACACATCTGACCCTAATGGCATTTGTGGCGAACGCGGGGGCGCCGCTGGAAGTGCTGCATGTCGATAGCTGTTTCAGGGTTCCGGCTGCGATACTAGTTTCGATTCTCCGTGAGCATGGTGCGCATCTGAACACTTTGAATCTTGCACATGTCATGGGGGTTCAGGACTCGACTGTTGCTGTTTTAGTTGAGGGAGTGCGGTCGTTGAATGTTCTTAATTTGGCGTATACTGACATCACGGGTGTTACAATCAAGGCGCTTGCAGATTCGCAGATGGCAGAGGATACGGCAAATGTGGAATGCTTGTATGTCAAGGGGTGTGAGGGAATTTCGTCCGATGCTATTGACTACGGACGGTCTAAAGGACTTGTTATTGTTACTTGAGCGAAGCTTACGTCTAAAATTAGTTGTATACCAGCCTTCCAGGAATAAAAATTTTGATTGGCTAACCAGCCGCTTTTTCAGTGGCCGTACTTGAAAACTGATCTAGTAAATGAAAAGAAAAAAACAAGACGGGGGGGAGACTAAGCGAACACCTTCGCTATCTAAACGCCTCTTTCCTGGCACCATTTCTCAACCTCCTTTGCCAGTTTCACCTTCTGATCTCTCACGACGTCCATCATAGGCTCAACTAGCTTCTGGCAGGAAGCATCATACCCTGCGGTACCCTGAGCCTTGTTAGGCGCAAGTACGCTGTCGTAGACGGACATCATCAACTCCATGACTGCGGAGAGCTGGTTTGGAAGCCACTATTCATCTAAATTAGCAAATAGGTTTGCCCCAGGAGCGGAGGATGTTTAAGTTAACTCACAGTAACAATCGGGCTGCCTCCAGTGGCAGTAGGGTGGGGAGTCCGACGAATGATGTACTCTCTAGCGAATAGCCAGTGCCTCCACCTGAAGCTTCGCACATGGTTCAATGTTCGTAGAAACAGGATAGCAGTTTCGGTATCCTGAAGGGAGAAGTTACGGACGCCTACCTCCTCCGCCTTGGTACGGACGTGAGTAAGGAAGGTTCTATGCGGGAGAGGCCTGTAGGCGCGGAATTCGTGAAGGATCTCCGTGAGCGGTGTCTTAGGCATGGGAATCTGGCAAAGATGATCCAAGAGTGGGATCTATTTTTTTTTTCTCAGATTAGTGATTTATCCTTCACCCTGCATTCTTTGAAATTTAGAACTTACTATGCTGTCGTTGGCACCACTCTCGCCACGGAAGAATAAAGGGTTATTGTCCTCGACACCCTCATATACGACACCGTCGGGGAACATAGATTGAGAAGTAATGCCGAAAATGAAAACACGGAAGTGGAGGTACTCGGACGGTTTGGAGTTCCCCCACATATCTTCCATACCGGCTTCAATTTTCTCCATGGAAGCTAGGATGTCCCGGAACCCATCGTTAACAGCCGATCGAGAGCCTCCTTGTTCAAGCGTGTCGATGACTTGAAGAGCACCTTTGATCAGGCCAGGTGTGTCCTTCACCATGTCAACATGAGTCAGGATAAAGCCCGCTTCAGAGCTGCGAGGGTCGAGACCACGCTCGAATGCTCGGACCAGACGAAGGTTGGAATAGACCATGCCCTTAGACGGGTCTTCAAGGGTATAGTTGAATAGAGCATACGAGGCAGCATATGACATGAAAGGAGGGATGTTCAGACTATAGAATTAGTGTTAGACATTAGCCATTAAGAGGTCGATAAATCAGGGGGCAGCGGACTTACATCTGTCCACAGCGATACAAAGGTCTAGCAACAGCCTTGGGCAACACCTTATGACCCAACCCGTACCCGTTGTCGGGATCTGTGCACCAGTTCTTCCAGCAGGGCTCAAGGAGGTAGGATGAGGCAAGGAAGGAATAGTCCCGAAAGACGGCCATGATGGTGTAGAGGTCTAACGCTCCATCCGCGGTGACCAGCTTATCAACCTCATCAGTCAAGTCAGGGAGCTCCTCCAATACAGCTGGGGCTAGCTCATAGGTGGCCAAGAGACCAGGCTTCCCATCATCTTTGACGACCGGGAGGCGAGCAAGCAGTGACATCAAAGGCTTGAAGACATCTGGGAGGGTTGTTGGGGAAGTGAGGTAAGGCAGGAACCCAGTGGAGGTAGTGACAGTAAAGGGGTCAATAGAATGTGGTAGTGTGGCAGGGTCATCATGAATGTGAGGAAAAGCCTCAAGGGTGGTGGGGGAGTTTGAGATCACTTTGGCAGGCGACATGGTATAAAAATGAGAAAGAGGCGAGGGCAGTTGGGAGTAGGAAAAGAGTCTTCAGACGAAGTGTTGAAGAAAACAGACAGAAAGTTGGGGCAGAGACCTATTCTGGTTTTTTCTCTGATGAGGAAGGATGAAAGGGAGAGGTAATTTGGCAGGAACTCAGGGGCTTCTTATAATGACTTGAGGCCGGTATCAATTCCGGCCTCAGAGGGTCTATTACGAAAGAGAAAAGAAGAGCACATACACACCAGAAAGGCTCTTGTTACTGGTGAACATTCACGTCCCATTCTTTCCAGGTTGACACAAATTCAGTATAAACCAGCCCCGGCCCTCCTAGGCTTCACTTCCTGATACACTAACACAATGACATTCACTTCTATCTATACAAAAGCTTGGCGTTTATAGGGCTGCAATCCATCACGTGATATGAGCTTTTCAAGCAGTTGCTCTCTAACTCCACATGCTAAACCGTCAAAGCAAGAACGAGAGCGAATTAAAGAGGCTGAGAGTGTAATCGGGTCAATTTATGAGCACTTAATAGGCGATCTAGATAGAAAAACAGGAACCTTCCATCCCATCGGAGATCGCCACACGGTCGTCATTGGGTAAGAGGCCGGTATCATTCCGGCCTCCGGCAGTAACCGGCCTTTGCCAAGTCTTTCAATGCAACTCCGGAGAACTTGCGCGTGACCTGGACAGGCCCGGCCGAAACCCAAAGATTCTTTGTTTGGTCTTCGTCGTCCTGGCCTATCCCCGCAAAGGACATCCAATTGCCAAGACTCATCTCGTCAACGCATCTGGCTAGGCCGTATATGTCTAAACAGGTATAGGATCAACGCCGATTGAACAGAATTGATATACTTGACGAGTAAAACGAGCTTCGGACGCCTTATGGAAACGAGATATACGGGTCCAGTTCATCGTCTCTGCGACTAGTACCATCAACGCTTGTGCTTGGACCACTTGATCTTCTCTGCTCGCCAACAGTGCCCTCAAATTCGGTTGGTCGTGTGCTATTGCACATAAACTATGTTGGATTGAATAATGGAGTATCTCTATGTTGCAAATAATGTACATATCGTGTCTATATTACAATTGTATCACTGGATGGCGGAGTGTTAGAGCTGATAGTCATGCTCCCAAGGGTCCGAACTCACAAGTAACATCTCTAATATAGAGAATCATCATGACCCTTGATTCAAATTTGGATGTCCCCCACTTGTTGGCGGCCCGTCTATGCTCGGAGAGACCTTCTGGAGCTTTAGATATTCCTCCTGGAGCGCTTTCTGCATCTCGAAGTCGGCCTTTCGCTCTAATTGAACGCGTTGTTTCTCCATGTCCCGCTCGACACCTTTGTGCATGGACTATAAAAGTGATCAGGTTAGCTTCAATTCCCATCAAATCAAATCAGTGCTCCCAGCGTACTGCTTTTTCCTGTTCTTGCGACCAATGGACAAAGTAGACGATTCCCGCGGTGGCTAAGCCGGTGCCGGCTAAGGTCAGCTTCGAAGCGCGCGACATGATGTAACAAGTATAGATAATCAAAACAACCGAAAAGAACGAGAGAATGGGCAAGGAAATTGGTTTTCAATGGCAGCTGGAAAAAAAGGCATCCAGGTGGTTCGAGACTCCAAGTGATAGCGGTGGCGTGTGGCAGAATCTCCGACCGCCCGAGGAGGGTCATCCGTATTGCGGAGATCCAGCTTGACGCCGCATCACAAGCTTCACTCTTCGGATCTTGGGTTCGGTCGCTTCTTTTTCAATAGACCTTTTGTCATTCGACTAGCTCTTATATATCTGAAAGTATTTATCTGTCAATATGGTGAATATGCAGTTGAACTCCCCTCAGACTCAGGAGATCCTAACTCTTTTATAGTCCGCCCAGAACTCCGGAGGCATTCAGACCCTCCTCGATGTAAGCTCTGCTGAGGTTCTATATCAAAGGAATATATGGAATTAATTTGTTCGATTCAGGCCGAGAGAGAGGCTCAGAAGATTGTCCAGCAAGGTACGCTATCTCCATCAAGGTCGTTTTGATACATGCTGACGTGTCGCATTATTTAGCTAGAGAATGTACGAACCCAAAAAAAGCCGATCGCTAAATGTATAGTCTTCGTTAACGATATTGGACAGACCGTACAAAGCGGATAAGGGACGCAAAGGCGGAGGCGCAGAAGGAAATCGAGGAATACAGGAAGCAGAAGGAAGAGGAATTCAAGAAGTTCGAAGCCGAGGTGAGAACTATTTTGCTTGACTATAACGTGCAATGGGATAGTTTGCACACTATCTTACAATCGGATGTGCTAACCTTGTGTTCCCTAACTAGCACTCAAGCGGTTACAAGAAGGCCGAGGAGGATGCGAATAAGGAAGCTGAAGTGAAGCTTGACGAGATCAAAAAGGCTGGAACGGACAAGGGTCCCAAGGTTGTTGAGAAGCTGATTCACGCGCTGGTTGATGTGAAGCCCGAGCCGTCTGCGAAGATCGTTACCAAGGCATAGAAATATTCTGCGAGCGGTTTCGTTGGCGATATGAGCATACATAGTCCATTTCTTTTTGCTGCTTTATAGCCCATAACGTTATCATCATTTACAGTGTTCTGTTTGATGTATCATACTAGTACCTATGACGGCTTCTCCATAAATAGGTCAGCTTCAGGTGCCTTTTAGGATGCTCTGGAGGCCATGTATTCAGTAGGTTAATATTTTGTTATATTCAAGATATTAAAACATTATACTCCTGTCTAAAGAATATCTGAATACTAGCATAGACTAGCAAGATATTGAATGCCTCTAATGCACCAGACATCTCAAATATTCACATGCTTGACAAAGGCTCGATGTCTTTATTTGCAGCCTCAGGCATAAAGGCACCAATTGCGTCACCGCGCATTGTCGATTGTTTTGCGATCGGCTTCAACATCCCGCGGATTCATTTCTATATTTTCCATAATCAAGTCGCAAAATATGGGATTTTCCCCCAGCAGTGCCTCTATTACTCTGAGGGCTGCTAGTCGCTGTTATTCTTCGTCGCTATACCTGTGTCTAAGTTGTTCCATACGACATTTCCACTCTTCGCGGAGCAGCAATTCACACGCGGGTCCCGACCCCCGACTCGAAGCCTTCGGTAAGGTCATTAGAGATGAGTACGCGGTAGTTCGAGATCACTATGGTACGTCTTAAAAACTGTGATTGTTGCTTCCTGAAAATATCCTATTCATCAGTGCCAACAGAGACCCCAAAGCACCCCATCATCCTCGCACATGGCCTGCTTGGATTTGATGAACTACGACTTGCTGGGCCTTTTCTCCCAGGAGTCCAGTACTGGCGTGGTATTAAGGAGGCGCTCTCAATGAAAGGCGTTGAGGTTATCACCGCGACTGTGCCGCCATCGGCATCTATTGAAATGCGAGCGAAAGCACTAGCAGAGACGATAACGTCTGCGGCGCCGGGGAGAGAAGTAAATATAGTCGCGTGAGTCGACTTTTCCCCTGTTTATTTTTTTAATGTCATCTAACATGACATAGTCATAGTATGGTATGTTATTATGATGCCCTCGGAAAGATAACGATTTTGCTCACGAAAGCCTGCAGGGGTGAGATAACCACGAACTGCATTAAATTCTCCTACCACATATTAATCGAAATGAAGCGGGCTTGATTCCCGATATATGATCACGCATTTAAAACCCAAAGACTTCAAGGTCTTGTCGTTGACCACCATCGCTACTCCACATAGGGGTGCGTAGCTGCTAGTGTTCTTTCGAGAATGATTGCTGACAATTAGCAGGTTCAGCAGTAGCAGATTATGTATTTCAGCAGATAGGCGGTGCGCATATGGCAAATCAGCCTATAAATTCATTGCTAACGGGATGCGTTACCAGATGAGCGCTTAGCCCAGCTCTACTACGTTCTCGAACAGATCAAGGTCGAGACCGGGGCATTTTCTCAGCTGACCCGCGAATATATGGAGAAATCATTCAACCCTTCTACGCCAGATGTGGAGGATGTTCGGTACGTGTTCCTCTCGGGTTCGGGTTCGGTAGGGCTGATGTCGCAGTTATTTTTCCTATGGGGCGGTAATGGAGGAACGGTTCTGGTCAATGTTCCGGTTGTCCCACCGTCTCCTTCAACAAATCGAAGGATACAATGACGGACTGGTCAGCGTAGCGAGTAGCAAGTGGGGAGGAGAACAGGGCTACAAGGGGACTCTAATGGGCGTGAGCCACTTGGACCTCATTAATTGGAGTAACCGACTCAAGTGGCTTGCTGGCGAGCTCACTGGCCAGAAACCGAAGTGAGTGCTGTCGAGATACGGCTATCATGAATCGTTGCAGGTCGTCTCATGGCTAATTTTGGCTAGGTTCAATGCCGTTGCCTTTTACTTGGACATTGCTGGTACGTGTCAAATCCTGCTTGCGTCATTATGTCTTCATGCGCAGCACTAAGCTGAGCTTCTCCAGATATGATTGCCAAGGAGGGACTCTGAAGAGTTTGGATAGAGCAGTGTGGACTGGCTGGGGCGTTGAGAATTTTGGTGCCTAGAGAGCCCTACCAGGGTGTCTCTCGGCTATGCACATTTTCGGGGAGTGGGTGCACCAACAACATGCATCTGGCCATTGTCATCCCTTTTTTCCAATTCGCCCTTGTTTCACGAGACGACAATCAAGCAGCGTTCTGGTGGGCTCACAGGCCGACCAGGCTTGACCAAGGTGGCGGTGCAGTCTGGCTGGCCATGGATGCACCCTGAGTGGCTTAGCCCGACTGCCGGCCCATAATTGGAACTGGTGGAAGGCAGCCAAATAGGAGATGATCTCAAGAGTATATCAACCATAGAAAGTAACCAAGGGCCCTTCAGCCCGTATCTAATTAATAAATCTGCGCCGCGTTGTTCCCAACTCCCCAATCCGCTGGTTGTCGCATTGGACCGCCAGCGCCCGAGCCCGCCGAGCCGTCCGTTTTGTTCTGCCCCACGACCGGCGATTCTCAGCCTTAACGTCATCCTTCTTCCGTATATTGTAGCTCGTCCCGAATTACCGTCGTTTCCTCTCCTCCATCCCGCTCCGTGCATTCCAGGCCATCCGTAGTTGAATATTTGGAGCCCCCGAGAGATAGCCAGATCCTGTGCTGCGGATTGTGGCGTCGCGTTGGCCGTCGTCCTCTTCCGCGAGTAACCCGAGCAGCTCGCCATGTCTGTCGCTCTCTACCTAGACCACCTGGAGCGGCCGCATACTACGCATCTCACGAACCTCGATTTTGTTTCCGGGAAAGTCATTCTCACGCTACAGACAGAGGCGTCAATATCCGGCATCCAGGTCAAATTAGAAGCAGAGAGTCGCACCCGCCTGGCAGGGCCGCGATACCCGCATAATGAACACTCCGAGAAGAAGCGCACGGAGCTTGAAGTTCATAAGGTATGGCTTTCTTTTATTATATCCTTTGTCTCAGAACGCTGTGTATTAATTGAGTTTCCCAGCTTCTGTACAAAGTGACCGACCTCTTTCCCGACCAAGCGTTGGTCAACAATCAATCGTCTCCCGCGACAGCATGGACCTTTGCCGCGGGCAGATATGAGTATCCATTCCAGTTCAAGGTGAGCTGAACTTGCGTAGCCTGGATGTGATTCAGAAGCTAATCTGTATAGTTTCCATTCAATAATTCATGCAACCTACATAATAGCATGCTCACCAATCTCAATATATCTGGACTGAAGGTTGAGATGGCCAAACAGGCGAATCGCCATGTGAAACGAACTCTTCCTCCATCCTTGACTGGTTTCCCTGGGGTGGCCGAGATCAAATATTACGTGAAAGCCACCGTCGTCCGTCCGCAATTTTACAAGGAGAACCTAAGAGCTGTAAGCTTCGCTCCCTCTCAAAGTCCTGATATACTGCTCTTGCAGCCAACTAATGTCCGGAATTAAGATACAAAACCTGACTTTCCTCCCCATCGAGCCACCAAGGGCTGGTAACCCCAAGGAGGAAGCGTACGCCAGACGACAACACCAATTCGCGAGTGGTCCAACTCCTAAGAAGCTTTTTCATAAAAGTTCGAAATCATCTCTAAAAGACCAGCCGGGGAGCTCTCTACGTGTTGCCGCTGATCTTCGACTACCAAACCCATCAATCCTCACTTGCAATGAGCCGATACCGATGCGTGTTCTAGTCAGCAAATTGTCCGAATCATATGAAACTGTGTTCCTGCAAATGCTGCAAGTCGAATTGATTTCTTATACCCATATTCAGGCCCATGACCTGAAGCGAACAGAAAACGGGTCCTGGGTACTTATGAGCAGTAGCAATATGGGTATACCCCTTGGGAGAGGTGGCGATCCCGCGGGCACCGAATGGACCATCGATCCAAAATTTTGGAGCCGCCTGCCTCTCCCGCCATCTGTTGCGCCCTCTTTCCAGACTTGCAATATTTCAAGAAGCTACGAACTCGAGGTGCGGGTTGGCCTGGCTCATGGCACGGTAGGGAAGTTAAAAGTGCGTGATCCTGGATAGCGTCCATTGATTTCGTCTCGGAAGATCGCTAACTCCCAAAAAATAGTCACAACTAATCATCATTCCATTAAGGGTACCTGTCCGGGTGTACTCTGGAATTACTCCTCCACCAGCCTTGTTGGAGGCAATGGCCACAAACACGCAAGCCAAGGAAAACAAAGAAAAGCAACCTACTCACCCGCCTCCAAGTTCTCCAAGTTCACCACAGAGGCCACAAAGACAGGATACCCAACGACCACCCATTCCACCAAGGCCGGCTGTGGCCCCTACCGTCAATCTGGACGACGGCTATGACGAAGCTCCTCCAAGCTACGAGGACGCAATGGCTGAGACTCTCAGTCCCTTGGAAGGCCCCCGCCGCGAGTATTACCCACCAGATGCCTCCTCCTCTACCCGACCTCGTGTTGAAACCGGAGCTGATGCGAGATCTCCAGCTGGAGAAGCCCCTAAACCGTCCAACGCACTGTATAGCAACCAAGGAGCGAATTCCTCATCCGAATCCTTTGATATGCTTCCTTCATCGCCGCCGGAATCTCGATCTGGATCTCCCCTGGGTTCCCCTGTCGCCCGGCAGCAGAGTGTACTAAAAATCCACAAGGCACCCGTCCCTGTGGAAGAGAGCCCCCCACAGTATCAGCTAGTCGCTGAAGAACAGCAACCGGCACAGGAGCCCGAGACGCCGAGACCATCGCGCCGAATGAATCTTGGAGTTCCGAACAGGAAACCAGTGCCTAGCCCGAGTCGAGCTCCGAAGCCGTGAAACGGAATATTGCATATCCCTCAAGAACCGCCTTTACAAGGTAGGTCAATGGCCCTGTGCTGAAAACGAAATTCATTCATAAACTGCATATACGGGAGTTTTTGGGTTTCCATGAGCATTTTTACCACTTGTCATCCTACACGCCCCGCGATACCAGTCTATCTTCAATTTGGATGGCGATACCTACGATGCCTCTTTAGTTCATGATATTCAATGAGTCAATGGCGGGCGATTGCAAGAGGTTCACGGTCCTTTTTTTCTCGAATAGGTCGATTGTCGGAGTAAATCCCGGTATTTGTACGACGTTGCCCTTCCTACTAGTTGGTTCGTGGATGGGCCCTACAGGCACTATTTGCGGTTTGCAGGTCAGGAGGCTATACCATGAAAATACACACCACTCCGTACACCCACGAGATAATGTTTGTATATTTATTAGATAACCGTTGGCCAACGATTTTTTCAATCATTAGTTAAGAGAACCGTTACATATCAGTTGCCTCCCGTTAGAATATATAGTTTCAGACTAGGGAGCCCAGATGCGCTCGCCACGTTGACAAGTTACAAATTAAACCTACCAATTCTCCAAGCAGAAAATACTTCAGCGAACAAAGAAGCAAAAGAAATATTGGAATCCAACAAAGAACGGCGAAAGGTTTCATGAGCTCCGTTATAGAAGAGACGCCGTTGGCTGCCTGAGGCGGCGCCGATCAAAACAAACCCGAGCGGTGAAGAGCAAAAGAGCAAAGAGGCGCCGGGGCTTCTCAGGCCTCAACTTTCCTCCCTCGTGCTCCTCTACATCCCACCATCATGCGCGCTGCTTTCAGTTCCTTGCGATTCATTTAGCGGTCCGGATCCTGCATATATCGGTTTTGGCGTTTTTCTGCTTTCCTACCTAACACCCCGTTTAATCCAGTCGTCGATCGCACGACTACTTCGGATAATAAAATCTCAGTTCACGCGCGCCGGGTCGCCGATACACGAGCTGTTGAAGTTCTCGACTCGTAACCAGTGTTTCTTTCCTGCGAGCCTCTGAGAAACACCACTGGAGCTACAGAGTTTTTGACATTCCAGTCATGCGGCTCCACCTCACCGTCCAGCGTCACGGTTTGCCCGTGTCGCGCATTCTCTGGACTACGTCACCGCCATCGCTATTTGGGCATGACCTTCGGAGCCCTTCCTCCGTATTACCAGCTACCTCCTCCGCCGTCACATCGTCGCGCATGCCCAACGCGTTGTATGCAAATGGAGGATACACTGTCGCACAGCTTCTGGAAGACGTGAACGAAGTCATTCCGCTGGAGACAGAACCGCAGCTCTTCGACGATGAATCAAGCGGCCAGTGGGGGCTGGAAGACTATGTGGTTGAGGTTGGAGGTTCAGAATGCTTGCACTTTATGGAGGTGGAAGGATTACTGCGCGACGGGGATGAAGTGTTAATACGTGCTCTTCAAATCGATGACCTACGAGCGCGGCGAATCTCTGGGCGGCATCAAATATCAAATGATGGGAAGCACCTAATTGACGGGATTCCGTTCGGGAAGCCGTTCCTTAAGAGACCGACATCATCGAGGCCAGCTATAACCATTCCTCCTAGGAAGAAGAGACGTACTACCCTTGCTATGTGGGGCGGTCGCAGTAATTACGAGGAGGAGGATACAGAATGGGCTCCTCGCCAACATATTGGGGCTGGGAAGGAGCTTTCTCTACTACGACCTGAAAGCGAACTTGAAAGGGAGGACGAGGACGAGGATGAGGACGAATACGTGGATGCTTACCAGGATGACTATGAGGACTTTCACGAACCGAATGAAGACGGTGATGGGACTGTTATTCGACATCATATCGACAAGACAAGCGAAACGTCATATAGCGACAATGCCGCCTCCGGTTCTGAAGCTGGAGGAGATATTGGAGAAGAGCTTGAGGGCCTCAAGGAAGATATGGATAGCTTCGCAGTGCCCGAGTTGGAAACCCCAGATGTGAAGGCCCCACGTCGCGGCTATTCTCTGCGCTCAAGGCCAAGCATCCTTCAGCCGGCGCCGAGAAAGAGCTCTCTTTCGCGTCGCTCAACCGGAGAGGCTTCTCGGAGAGAGTCCAAGAGTGTTACCTTCGACAAACAAAAGCAAGAATTGCCAATGGCCAAACCTGACGTTACCCATAGGGCTGGCTCAACCTCAGAAGAACTGGAGGGCGCTGCCTCGAGTGATAGTGATAGCTCTGTCAGTGATTCTAGTGCTTCGGAGTCGAGTGATGAGGACTCGTCCGCTGATGAATCTTCCTCTGGCTCCTCGGCTGCTTCTGAATCTTCCTCTGACTCAGACGATGATTCTTCAGAAAGCTCTACCTCAGAATCCGAATCCGAACAGGAAGAAGTCCCTAAGGCTACCACTGTTCGAAAGGCTTCTCTCCCAACTAATCCCCCTGGGGCAGGTTCGGAAAGGACCAGGAAGTCTAATCAACGAGCTAAGCTGCGACGAAGACTTACAAAATTGAAACAACTAGGTTTTCTTGAAGAGGATGCAGATTTCGACGCCCTCCGAGAGTGGGATTCAGGTAACGGGGGTTCTTCCACCGGCAACGGGGCTGCCAAAACGTTAAGACAACGTGAGCAAGAAGATTTTGAGGCGAAACGTCAAAAGTTGCTCCGTGACCTAGAGTCCGGGGGCATTGATGTGTCTTATGTGTCTGAGAAGGAGAACATGCGCCCGAGTTCTGTTGCACCAGATACGGCAGAACTGACCGAGGATCAGGACGAGCAGTATGAGACCGCCAACGATACAGCTCAAGCTACTCCTGAAGTTACAAAACAGCGCCGTTCTTTGGATGTAGCCAGCTCCCGGCGACTTCTTTTCGGCTCCCTCGGAGTGAGAACCCCACGTTCTAAAGCGGAAGAAGAGGCCACTCGGAAGAAACTAGCCGGACAATTTCGCGAGAGCACACTTCAGAAAACAGAACAGCCTCCTGTCGAAACCCAGGAAATTGAGCCTGAAGTGGACTGGCGCGAGAAATTAATACTTGGTGCTACCGAATGTGTCTTTGACGATATTGAGTTGAGTACTCCACCCTTCCCATTTCAGCAGCGCTGGGATGAAGATGCTGGGTATATTATACAGCAGCGGAAGGGACGGAACAAGAAAAGAAAGAGAAGACAGCAGCAGCTCCAGGTTTATGATGAGGAAGCTGATGTAAATGGGAATTACTACGGCGACGATGACATGCAACTCAACTACGACGACGCCGAAGAACCCGGTGAAATGGATGAGACTACAACTAGAACGGCTGAAAATACCGAGGATGACCTGCCGGAACTCCCAAGTGATACAAGTAGCCTACCGGTCCTCGCGGCGAAGGATCTGAAGCCAGGTCTAGTACTCGCCTTCAAGCAGCTGGATGTGTCAAAAGAGACAAACTGGCAGCCAATGGTGTCGGACTATCGAATCGCCGTGGTCAGCGACGTCTTTGACAACCATATCCTCAACATCCAGCTCGCTAAGGCGTACAGGAGACAACCCAAAGACGAAGACGACGAAGAGGGCCCGTTCAAATACAGTGGATTTGAGATGCCCGGCATGGATGATGAGGGAGAGGACGACGGATTTCGTGAAGTTCCCTTTGACGATCTAATCGAACCGAAGCTGCTCCGCGCTGTGCCCGCTGCGGATGCTGGGGACCAAGATACCGCCAGCATGTCAGTCAATTAACCTTCCCTTCATGTTCATCGATCTCTGGCGCTTACACGACCAAGCTTTCCTGTACACGATGAACAGCCTGCGCGAGAGGCCAGCCAGTCTGCGATCGACGCTTCAACCGCAAGCGATGCGCACGAGAACACTCAACTTCCACAAACATCGAGCCAACAACCGGCTTCTCCTAATCACGACCCACCCCCCGTATCCGACCATTCTCATGAAGAGAGTCCTGTTCGATCACCTCGATTTGAAGGATTTGAGCCTACTTATTCCGCCTCAAGTTCTTCATCAAGCAGTGCCCACTCTGAGACGAGTTCGAGCGATGGCTCTGATGAGGAACAAGGGGGAGCTTCTCCTAAACGGGGTGACGACGTGCAATCATCGCCCCACTCTACCTGCCCTTCCAACGCCGATGACCATGAGTTCCAAGAGACAGGCTTGACCGAGCAACTTCAAACGATCAGCAGCCCGGGAAGCGTGGGATCTTACCATAAATTAATGGACTTTTTACTCAGCCAAAATCCATCCTCCTCAGCCTCTCCGATGAAAAGCGAAAGGAAGAGTAGTCCTGTTGAAGCAGGCTCTCCCACAGTTCCAAATCCGTTCTACGAAATCGATAAAGCTTATGAGGAGCGTCGACAACGCGCCCGTGCCAGGACAGAACGAGACCGGTCATTTGACAATACTTCAAGCCGAGGGTCATCCCCCAAAGCGATGAAGGTGGAAGTTCCTGCTTCGCCGAAGCCCACCGACCAAACACAAACATCCTCCGATTCCAAACAAGAGACTTCACTTCTCAGTGTCATCCCAGATAGCGTCCGGCCGGAAGCGCGGGACCTGTCTCCTCCCCCTTCCCAGATGCTAGATTTCGTCGATTTAACACAGTCCAGCCCGCCAGTGTCGCCAGGTGGGAGCGATAAGGATTTCGCAAAAACCCATCGGCTTCCGCGGGGATCAGGATGGGTCCAAAAAAACAATCCAAACACGCGAAGGCAGACGAGGCAATCGTCTCAGTCGAGTAGGGGAATCCGGACATTGGAGGAAATGAGCATTAGCCCGCCCCGACGGAGGCGAGGGCGAAGGTCTGGAACTTGAATTAATATGTATCACTACTATGTCTGTATATCAGCTACCCGTGAATATATCCTCTATTTTTGTTGTTCGTTGAAGCATTCATTGTATGATGTTCAAGCTGGAGCAGTCTGACAAAAGAGCTGTTGCTGATTGGTGGAAACCTCGGGAGAGCTGCACAACAATGGCGTCATCTATAGAGAGCCTGAAAGCAGCACTTCACTGTTGTGTTGAGATGACGCATTGGAGACAGCATGGTCCGGAGAGAAAGATTCAAAGATGGATGCGGAGCTGCTGGCCAGCCCATTCTTCCTCTTGTTGACTGCATTCCTCTCCCATAACCGCTGTTCTTGTGACTGATTCTTCGCCGACATATACACCGTCCTTTCTCCCCAGCACCCTTTGTAGGAGCCACGACTTATGCATGTGCCCCTCCTCTCTTTCCCCCCTTCCCGCCAGAAGCTCGTCCGTTGGCCCTGTCTGTCTCGCCAGTCAGCGCTGGTCTCGACCGCTCTTCCGGTCTCTCGATCACCACTAGTCCCACGTTGTCGCTGTGGTTGTCGCAACTCCTCCTGCTGTTCATGCTCCTGCTGTGTCCATCCACCGTCCCCCGCTTCCCTGCACCAGAGTCAGGCTCAACTCACTACGCCATCGATCCATCAATCTCCTTTACGCAGAACCAATCAGCCCGTTAATCAGTCAAGGCTATTCTCCTCTACAATTTTCCCGGCATTGTCTTATACTCTACCCACCATGGCCCAGGAATACAAACTCAAGGATATCTCGTCCCTCTCGGGAATCAACAACTTTGACAAGGTCGAGGCGGAAGTTGAGGGCGTGCAAGATGGCAAAGTACTGCTAGTGAAATATGACGACAAAGTACATGCCATTAGCCCTAAATGTACCCATTACGGTGCTCCTCTGAAGCTTGGTGTGGTTTCGCCTGAGGGGAGAATCACCTGCCCATGGCACGGAGGTGAGTATTTTCATTAGGTATTATTCGGTATATGTTCCGTGTTCTAACGGTATGTTGATAGCCTGCTTTAATGTCAAGAGTGGGGATATTGAGGATGCGCCTGCACCCGCCGCTTTGAATACGTTTGGCTTGACGGAGAAGAACGGCGCCGTTTACATCCATGGTGAAGAGTCTGCTATCAAGACCGGCCAGCGCATCTCAGAACACAAATGCAGTGCCCATGGCCCGGGAGGCCTGGTTATTGTAGGAGGGTAAGGCGTCACCCCGCTCCTGGCTTATACAACGGGCTAACACGGTTTTGTTTATCTAGAGGGTCTGGTACCCTGGGGGTGATTCTAGCCATTCGAGAATTGGGATATAGTGGAGCTATTACGATTATCTCGCGCGAGCCCAACCTTATAATTGATCGTACGAAGCTATCCAAAGCTCTGATTCCAGATCCAGAGAAGATCCAGTGGCGCTCCCCTGAGTGGTATAAGGAAGTCGGGATCGACAGCGTCTCTGATGAGGTTACTTCGGTGGACTTTAGCCAGAAGAGTGTTGTTACCCGCTCTGGCAAGACTTTCCCTTATACCAAGCTTGTTCTGGCCACTGGCGGTATCCCGCGTAGCCTTCCCTTGGAAGGCTTCCAGCTCCTAGAGAACATCTTTAAACTTCGCACAGTGACGGACGTTCAACACATTCTCAACGCAATAGGCAAGGAAAAGAAGAAGAAGATTGTCGTCATCGGTAGCTCCTTCATCGGTATGGAAGTCGGCAACGCTCTGTCTAAGGAGAACGAGGTCACCATCGTCGGCCAGGAACAAGCCCCAATGGAGCGCGTTATGGGCGTTGAAGTTGGTCGCATCTTCCAACGCAACCTAGAGAATTCGGGTGTGAAGTTCAAGCTTTCCGCCGGCGTTGCGAAGGCAACTCCGTCTAATGAAGAATCCCGCAAGGTTGGCGCTGTGCATCTCCAGGACGGTACCGTGCTCCCAGCCGATGTTGTCGTCCTGGGTGTCGGTGTCCGCCCAGCAACCGACTTCCTCCAGGGTAATCCAGCCGTCACACTCGAGAAAGATGGTTCCATAAAAACAGACGAGCACTTCGCTGTTCCCGGCTTGAACAATGATGTCTTTGCAATTGGTGATATTGCAACGTACCCTTACCACGGACCAGGCACAGACCCCGAGAAAGGCACATACACTCGCATCGAACACTGGAACGTCGCTCAAAACGCTGGCCGTAGCGTCGCCTCCTCGATCCTCCATACTCTCAATGACTCGTTACCCTTACAGAAAACCAAGCCAAAGGTCTTCATCCCCATCTTCTGGTCCGCGCTTGGTGCGCAGCTGCGTTACTGCGGGAACACGCCAAACGGATGGGACGATCTGATCCTGAAGGGTGAGCCTGAAAATGCTAAGTTCGCAGCTTTCTATTGCAAGGGCAATACGGTTGTTGCTGTTGCCACCATGGGGATGGACCCAGTTATGGTAAAGAGTGCGGAGTTGATGCGCAGGAACAATATGCCGTCGAAGAAGGAAATTCAGGATGGCGTAGATGTTTTGACAATCGGGATGCCTCAGGGTGTGGGAATTTAGCATTTGGCGACTTAGGTAATGTTTGAATGAATACCATTACGAAAGACGGATGTAATTCTCGGTGGTGCGTGCATGATTATCGAGTAAATCAAATTGAAGCAAGCTCTATGTACCAAGAAGCTGTATAAACAATGCAACAAGCAGATTTTAATCCGTACAACGCCGAGCATGAATATGAACATGACCAGTACAGCGAGTAAAAACCATCAGGGCTAAGCACTTCATCTCTGCATATACAACATTCACTTTCTCTCTCTCGCTCAATCATTATTTCTTAGCCTTCTTCGACTTCTTACTCGGAGTCTCCAAGATCACATCCTCCATCTGTGGGACAATGATTCCCCCCGACGACACGGGCACTGTCATTTTCCTTACCGCAGGCGTACTCGATGCTGGAAGGACCCCGTTCCTCTCATCCTCAACGACCTTCGCTTCCTCGTCTTCGGAAAGCATCGTCCCTTCTATACTCAAAAATCCACGATCCCGCTCTGACCCGGGGATGACGTCGATATCGACGACGCGGAACTTCACTGTCCCGCGGACCCGGTGACCGGAGATAGACTGGAAGTAGCCTTCATACGTGTCTTCGTCGCTGCCTTCTCCTCCTCGCTCGGCTGTACCAGCATCGATAGCATCCTGGTCCTGGTCTGGAGTGTCGGATGCGAACGGGTTCGAGTCAGAGGCCGTGGGAACAGGGTTAAAGTGCTCCTTTGCGGGGTCGAAAGGTGGAGAATTCGAGGTCTTTTCGTCATCTTCATCCTCGGATGTCTGTGCGGAGGTATTATTTGATGTCGGTCCGCTGTCCTCGGCGTAGTCCTCTTCGCCTGGTGGGATCCATTTCCAGGTCCGAGGGAGGCGTTTCCGCTCGATGCCCACGGAGAAGAGGTTGAGGACGACAGCGCCCAGGAAGCCCTCGGACTGCACGTTGACCCAGCCCTCGAGGGTCTGGCCGCGCTGCGGGCGGAAGACGAGGAACGTCGCTGTGAGGTAGACGTACATGACGCCGTATTCGCCGGCAGAGGCGGCTAGGGTTAGTGGCTGCGGGTTTAGAGATGTCGAGGATGAGGGTGAGGAGGACGAAGGTGGTTCGCTTGATATCGACGCATTGGAGTAGGCGAGTACGATACCCTCGAGCGGCGGGTAGTATGTAAGGAGCAGAGGGGAGAGGTGCTCTGCTAGTAAGGAGGCGAGTGCATGCGTTGGAGAGATTGAGATGGGCGAGAGAGGCAGATAGAGCGTTGCGGTAGTGAGAGAGTATGGAGAATCGGGAATTGATGCCGCTGCCGGTGCTAGTGCTGATGTCGCAGCAGTGTCTGATTTACTCTTGTCTCTGCTCTTCTTTGAAGATTTATCTTTCTTGGATTTCTTGTCGGCCTTTTCGGCCTTTTCTTGCTTGCGCTTCTTTTTTGATGGAGATGATGCTTCGTCCTTGTGCTTGTTTTTGCGCTTGCGCTCCTTTTCAGTCTCCGTAACTCCCGCGAGGATGGGGCTTGAGTCGATCTCCATTGTGTCGACGGCCATTGTTACGGCGGAGCAAGCTGTGGAGGAAATGCGCGGGCTGGTCAGGCTGGTCGTGGGCGAGAACCGTGAAGCTTTTTTTTTTACTACTTTTTTTTATTCTTCGGCCGAAGAATTATTTGGGGAAGGCGGTCTTCAAGGCGGTCAGATCAGGACAACAAATGAGCGGAGGAATAACGAGTGACCGCGGCATCTCTTTATTAGCCAGGTGTTGGGTTCAAAGGCATTTAACCCTTGGGATGTGCGATCTTGAGGGCGTTGGATGTTAATATATTCAATAACAAAATTTGTTGAGCAGCCATGTCAATCCTGTCACTGATCGGCTGGTATACTCTACCCAAGGTGAGTTGATATGTTACCCGCTGCGTTTCGTCTCCGCGCACTGCTAACATTGCGAATTACCAGTATGCAACAAACACAGTCCTTTATGTCTACTATGGAATCACTATTCGAGCAGGGGACCCCAAGCCGCAACCGGGCTCCCCTCGATATGCCCGAGACCGCCGTCGTGTTTTCATCGCTATCGTGATCGCTTATCTGCTCTACAATCTCTATGAGAGCTACCAGAAAATCCAGAACGCAGGCAACTTTTACGAGGTCCTAGGAGTGTCGCCACTATCAGACGAGAGGACAATCAAGACCCGATTCCGTCGTCTGGCTGCTCAGCACCACCCAGACAAGTTAGAGGCTGGTAGTTCCGGTGACGTCTTTATGTACCTGAAGCTGGCGCAGGATACACTCACAAGCCCCGTAAAGCGATATGCCTACAATATGTGGGGACCCAGGATTAATGAATGGGGTAATATTGACACAGCGCACGGTTATTTTGTTGCTGGATTGATGAAAACTATCCCGACCTACGTGATGTCATTCTTGGGGCTTCTTCTTTTGAATTACACTTGGTGGTCTGATTGGGGCCGTTATGTGAGTCGCATTTTGATATTGAATCGTACCAGGCCTTTGCTGATTGACATCTCCAGTGGCGTTTCTTTGCATTTGCTGCGCTGTTCTCATTGAATCTGTCCTTGATCAGCCATCAAGGTCCGGTCTTTATCACCTCCACATTCTTTCTGCTCCCGTGGCAGATTATGACCATGGCAGAAACCATTTCTGTCAGCCTACATATATTCATATCGCAGATCGCTCCTCCTGAGCCAAAGGACACGGGAGCAGGCGAACGCCTCCATCCACAGACTACCCAGCGTCTTGCACAGCTCCTACACCTCAGCAGAGCCACGGACACCGAAGCAACGCGGCTTCTGCAGCTGGGGTTCGCGCCGTTCCAGGGCGATAAAGACAGTGTTGCAACCCTGCGGAAGGGCATGAAGGAAGGCTTGGTCCTCAGCAGTGTACGAGGCAGTTCGGGGGTGCAGCAAGCCGTGAGGCAAGTAGCAGAACGTAAGAATCAGGAGAAGAAAGACGGCTAAGGGTTGACATATCACATGCATTTATATACATACACAGCGTTGCCGGGCAATGTTAATTCATTCTTGTATTTATGAGTATTTGGAAACTGTCTAAGTCAATATGAGAGACTGAGGAATTGGGTGTGAATTGATAGAAGTTGAGCTTCAACCCTGTCTTCACAGCAAATGAAGAATGAAGTACAGAGTATTGTCTTGGAGTTGGGACTAGCAAGCATGATGATAGTGTAACCTGGTTATGTGCAGTGAAGACTTGATGATTTTAGCCTCCATTGAAAAGAGGAATGTAGGAACGGCAGCGTTGTTGGGCCAAACGCGGCGAGGCGATCGGAAAAGAATTCTTGGTTCGCCGGGAGTATAGGGAGCCTGCTCCATCCTGCATCGTCTCGTGCGAGGAATTCCCGCTGACCGCGGTGCTGTTCCCATCGACTCGTTAATTAGTTCCGAATCTCGGGGAGGCGAATCGTAATCACGAAGCGCTATGATCCATGATCCATGACTCCGTCAGGAGAACCAGCCACATGATGGTGGTGTAGGCGTGATCTATCTAACAGTCCATTCAGACCAGCACCTAAAGTATCTACAGAGTACAGAAGTACAATGGATGTACTGAAGCTGACCTCAGGTCGTTGTGTAAGGCAGCTGAGGCAGTGAGCTGAGCTGCACGGGCAGCAGTCCTGGTTGCCGGTGGAGAGAAATTTCAATTCGATCAAACCTGGTTGCGGCGGGACTGGGCGATCCATAACTGGTGATAGGAGCGAATGCCCTGGGAATGGCGAGATTACGGAGAACAGCCGTTTGACTATTGTCCGGCTACGCGTCTTTTGCTGCAAATTGCCAAATACCGCCCGGATGGGCTCGGATGTCCTGGAAGACCGTCGAACACGGCGGACTTGTATTATATTTTACTCTGGATAGGAGATAATTCGTCTACAAAGTGACGGCTGCGCGAGTTGGACAAGAATAGACGCGCTTGGCAGTCATCCATCCTCCTCTTTGCCGGGCGATGAAAGAATGGGATGTATTGTTAATTACGCTAGAGCCTGCATACCAAATAATACCGTATGTTACGCGCTCGGGTTAGCGTCCTATAGTTCAGTACGTGTATCATACACTGAAGCACAGATCAACCTCTCTCACTTCTGGCGAAGTTCTCCTGGACTTGACCGCACCGAAAGTCTGGCTGTTCCCTAGACGAGACAGAGAACACACACAGCTCGCCCAACAATGAAACCACACGGCGCCTCAACATCCCCATCCCTTCCATCACCATCCCTCCCCCCTTCCTCATCCTCCCTCCTTTCTTCTCCTCCATTCTCCCATCCCACGTCTCCATCCCCATCGTCATCTTCACCATCTCACCTCACCACCGGACTATGTCACTGCTCTTTGCCTCACGTTTGCCTTGACAAGACTTTCCGAACTTTCGCCGCGTCCTGACTTCAACGTCGCCGCCACGTTTGACGCCCGAGGTGCCCCCAATCCCGGCTCAATCCAACCTAAACACCGCAGCCTGCGTCTTTAATTTATCATCATTTAAATCGGACACTGCCACCTCGCTGCCCTCAGACCCCAGCCAGCTTAACCTTCTTCTCCTTCCTCTCGAACCCACCGACCGCCCGACCGGAGTAATAAAGCGGAAGGAAGGGGAAAAAAAGAAATTACAAAACTCTACGGAAACGATCATCACGAGTCGTCTTTCGTCTACATTGTCGGCCGAAACCATGCCGGCTGCTACCTCCACATCGCGCGCCAACGGTCGCTCCAGCAGCGCTGGAACTCCCAAGCTGCTTGTTGTCCTCAAGCTGTCCTCCAATCTTCTGAAGAACTTCGCGCCTGTCCCTGACATGAAGGACAAGAAGAAGAGGAATAGCATGGCGGGTTCCAATAACAAGAAGAACGAGTCGGTTGCCGACTCTCCCCCCAAGAAGGAGGATGCTCCCTCCTCTCCCGCATCATCCGCCATAGAACCGCCGCCACCTGCGTCCTCGGTTGACAATGCCTCTGATGTTGCCTCGACGCCCGCGCCCGGAACCTCTGCGGATGCAACCCGGAAGAGCCTCCCTGGTCCGAAGCCAGGTGCTAAGAGAAGCCTCAATCCAGCGTCTGACAGTTCCCTTAAGCCGAGAGGAAAGCCCGGACCTAAGAAAAGACCTAGACTGTATGTTGCAATCGAACCCCACCCGCATTCTTCTACTCGGAATATCAAACTAACATTGCTGTCATAGTGAGGACGGAACCACAGAGAACGTGAAGCTGGGCACAACACAGCGACTAGGCCCCAAAGCAAACACAGGGGCAATCAACGCCGGCCTTCGCGCCCTCGACCGTACTGGAGCTCCATGCCGCAAATGGGAGCGCAAGCCCTTGCAGCTCAAGAGCTTCACCGGAGTGCAATGGCACCTTCCGTCATGGCGCACACCTCGATCACAGAAGCAGGAAGAAAACGGAGAAACGAAGGAATCTGTTCTCGAAACTGGCGACAGTGACAGCAGAGCCAATCAAAGTGCAAGCGCTGTCCCCAGCGAAAAGAGCAATTCTGGTGACGGCGATATCACGCCGGCTCCCCCCAGTATGGTCGAGGCATCCTCGCCCGCTATCGCCATGGCCGCGTAGGCCGATATCAACTACGTGCTTTATTGTTATCTTCTTTGTATATTATACTTTGACCTTACTATGTTTACTTTATTCCCTTTGTGGGCTCAGGAGCGCATTTTGCTATATTATCATTGGAGTTGGTTCGGTTATTGGATTGGTCGCGCGAGGTGTCTGTTTCAACCAACAGCAGGCTATTCAACACCCCCAGGCTGTCTGGGGTGTGAAGACCTGGAACACCTGGCATACTTCACTTTATTCCATTGGGCTTTTTTTTCCATGTTTTCATATTCTCTGCTATGTATCATCATGATTAGGGTTAGGATGTCTTTTCGAGCAGATGAGGCTGCCCTCAAAATAAATTTGCGATAATCGCACTGGCTTTTCGCTACAACCATGTTGGCTTGAACATTACCGCCTTCAACAATAATAAAGGTATCCATCTCTAATATCCGATTCCGGGCACATTGGTTGGGGCCGGTTGCCTATGACAGGGGTTTTTTTCCCAGTGTGATTGAAGATGCAACTGCGATCCGGTATTGCTGGGGGCCACAGATATTCAGTTATTCGGCGAATGACCCGGCAATCCAAGCAACGTGATTAAATCTATCTTTGGCATGCGTGACAAGGCTGTGCACGGTCATCCCTGCTAGGATGCTTCTCCCCCGGATTGATGGGTAAAATGGCATTTCCAATAAACCATTGTAATACCGACGTAGACATAGACGAATCGTTCTACATTCAGCGGTGTCCAAGCCCGCTTTGTATGATTTACTTAGGTTGACAATATCACCTTAGAAAACCGTCCGTGTCGGCGGATTCGCCAGTCCTGGATTTGTCCAGGGCTACTTGCAAACAGACATGATTTACGCAGCATGGTTCACTGACAGCCCATGTCCCTCTTGAACGGCGGCATTTTCAAGTCTCAACCGCCCTGGTAGACTGAATCTCTGAGCCATGACGCTGTCGCGTGGTTTATGAGAAAGGGATTACCCCTGGCACCACGCTGTTACTTTATCTTTGTTAATATGCTTCCCCGGGCTGACTGGCGATGAACTGGAGGGCTTCTCCCAGTACCCATCACATACGAAGCTGGAGACTATAGTCCAAATCTCCAAACATACAACACTGAGCCTGCCGGTCTTCCCTTCAGATTATGCATCCCAGGGCACCGAGGTGACGCTAAAGCTCCTATTACTGGCTCACCTGTGAATATCTTAAGATGTCTGTCAGATCACTGCAATTATGACGCCCAGAATGCTGGAGCATACTTTACATACCAAGTCATGTAATCCACCACAGCACTTCTTAGTCTTCGAGGCTTCGGAGCTCGTGATTTTTTTTTTTTTTTTTGTTTCCTTAGCTCGGTAGGTCTATTATACGATCAGGGGATGCTTTAAGATTGAGTTGTGATATGAGAAAAATAGGGTCCTATTACCAACTCAGCTCGTGTTTTTCGATAGTACGAATAACACAAGAATTAACAGCTGCAGCCAGGACCAGCCTGTAACATGAATAGAATGAGAACAATAATCTCTGGTCTCCTCGTTGTTTCCCCTCAGCCGGCTGTGCGGCCGTTAAGGCCTTTGACCTTCCCCCGCAGTTTGGTCATGCCATCAACAACCTTGTCCATTTGCCTTGCGCCTTTCTCCTTCATCTCCTTTTCGTCTCCTGGATTGTTTCGGAGCGCTCCGTCTTCTCCCTTTTGTCTGACGAGAAGTTTCTTCCTTTCCTTCAGCGACACGAATAGTGATGTCTGTTCTCGTCGGGAGCCAGTTCCAGATTTGCTTCCAGCTACTTTGGAGTTGAATAGACCTTTTGCATCGTCCTACACTGCTTCCAGCGAAACATCCCTATCGTCCCGCTCCATTCTGCCTTTACGGGTTGTCCCTGCATGGGGTGTAAGGTGATCGTGACCGTGACAGCCTGCCTTATTTTACTCCACCTCCCCACCCCCAATCACGGATAGCTTCTGGGAGCCAGAACAAGATACACTCGAGCACAAGGCGACCACGACAGAAAATAGGCGAAGAGAAAGAGAGAGAAAAAATTGACCACGAAACGAGTTTAATTTTATGAGTGTTTCTTGCGGGTTGACTGGGGTTTCTACGCCCAGTCCCAACCTTGATAGCAGCGCGCGTGAGAGGGCATCATACATCGTACCCGCCTTAGGCCTGGTCCTCCACTGAACGTCAACAGCATGACTGATACACCTTTTTCCCCTTCCGGTGGAGCTCCTCGAGCTCCTCTCACCACCACATATTCGGCACCGAGCATCTCCTCTTTTCCCCGTCGCTCTTCTTATGCCTCTGTCCTCTCAGGAACAGCCGGACTCTCGTCTTCACAAACTAGCACAACCTTGTCGCAGTTGAACTCCACCTCGTCTTATCCCCCACCGTCCTACCCCGAAACCCGCCCCCAGAGGCATTCGGCCGCCGTGGATGCAGAAATGCAGATGAACTCCTCCTGGAGGTTATCCCCAGGGGATTCGCTTCCTCCGTACTCCCGGAAATTTGCCAGCTTTCCGGCCTACGATCCCTTTTTCCAAAATGTCGGTCCCTTCTCCGAAACGCCTCCCTCCTTCACACCCTCCTACCTCCGCAACTCTCGATACATATCCCGCCTCGATGCCGCCCGTCGCGGAAAGCCGGCATCCCAACGAGACGCAGCTTCGACTTCTTCGGGCCAGGGCAGTTTGCCTCGGATTGCGCCTTCATACCGAGGAATGACGTATGATCTCATCGACAGGGAACCCATTAGCGAAGAGGATGACCAGCCGATGCCGCTTCCGTCCCGATGGAGCGATTTAGATAAATACCCTGGATTAGAACTTCCAAATGATGGCTTGGAGATCCGGTACACCGGACCTGTTCATAAACAGGAGCATGAAGCTGCCTCCGTCCGGGCCGATCACCCTATGCCTCCACAATGCGGAATTTATTACTACGAGATCACAATACATTCCAAACCGAAGGAGGGGTATGCTTGGAATATCCGAGCCTTTCGTCGTGTTGAATATTTGCTAATAGGATCAGGATGATTGGAATAGGGTTTTCGAATAACAAAGCGTCGGTCGAGCGGCTTCCCGGCTGGGAACACGAATCGTGGGCATACCATGGTGACGATGGCAAGTCATTCTTGGGCGAGAATCAAGGACAAGGGCGACAATATGGGCCAACATTTGGAGTCAACGACACCGTGGGATGTGGTGTGAACTTTTCCACCGGTTGTGCCTTCTTTACGAAAAATGGGGTCTTTCTAGGTATGTTGTTGCGAACTCACCGAGTTATAACTAACGACAATGTTAATTATATCTAGGTATCGCATTCCGGGAACTGCGAAACTTGAAAGTCTATCCGTCTGTAGGGGTAAAGAAAAACCCGCCAGTGCATATATCTGTCAATTTCGGTCAGCAGCCTTTTATGTATGATATTGATGGGATGGTCAAGGTAAGTTTCCCGGTTGACTCTATTGACGGCTTCTGAGTAGGTGGCTAATTAATCGACAGAAAGAAAAGGCTGCAATCCACTCAGAGATTAGCTTGACGAGCATCGCTAACATTCAACCATCGCTGGACGAGACTTCCTTCCTTCAGGAATTAGTTGCACAGTTTTTGGCCCACGACGGCTATGTAGAGACTGCCCGGGCGTTTGCAGAAGAGGTTGCTGCCGAATCTGCAGCCTTAGAGAATGGGCGTGAGACACAGCTCAAGAAGTACGAAGTAGAAGAGGACGTTGAAGCAATCAACCGGCAGAGTATGTACCGATCAATGCTTATCACTGTTTCATACATCCCGCTAACCTTTGGCAGAAATCCGAGCTGCCATTCTTGACGGTGACATCGATAAAGCTCTCAAATACACAAATGCCTACTATGCCAATGTTCTGCAACAGTACCCTCATATACATTTCAAATTACGATGCCGCAAATTCTTAGAGATGATGCGGCGCTCCACTGAACTATCGCCATCCGCAAAGAAGGGAAAGGCTACGAATGGGTTCTCCGAGAGTGCTGTATTCGACGGAGAGATGGAGCTTGATGATCAAGGGCAAGATCGTGATAACTGGGAGGTCGATGGCATGGACATGGAAGAAACAGAGACGGCCAAGTCCAATCAGCTCCTTACCGAGGCAGTGCAGTATGGGCAGCAGCTCCGAATGGATTATCTGAATGATGAGAGCGGGGGCGACAAGAAGATGCTGGATGACATTTTCTCCCTAGTGTGCTATTCAGACCCTAAGCGGTCGGTACATGGCCACTACCTGGACCCGTCCGGGCGTGTAACTGTTGCGGAAGAGTTAAACTCGGCCATCTTAGGTACTACTCACCCAATCCCTTCGCCTCTGTGAGATCCATAACTAACGTTTTTAGTGTCACTTGGAAAGTCATCAGCAGCAGCTCTAGAGCGGCTGTACCAACAAACGGAAGTATTGGTCAATGAGATAAGTGAAGAAGGAGGCGCTGGGGCGTTTATTAATGTACGCAATGATTTTCTGCAATGAGCTTCTGGGTTGAGTCTCTTGGCGGCGCGTCTCGGTGGAATCATGGTTCAAGTATGTTATGGCATTTGCAGACTGGCATCTGAAGACTGGTACCCGTGTTTATGATTATACTCCCTGACTACTTCACTCAATGTTCACTACCCCCTCACTTTTCTCGGGACTGGTTTCTCAATTGTTGTGAGCTTGGACGCCTGTCTCGGGTATATGTAGGCCCAACTGTAACCCATAGCCAGCAATATATCAAATCAATGGCTATACTTCAGCTTCTTTGTGGTGACTCTCGGATAGCTAGTAAAAGCATGACCAACCCCTGGACTGACCTGCCACTTGGCTGAGTTGCTGAGGCTTTCAAACTTGGTGATGTGATCAGAGGTGATCACCATCACATGGAGCCCTGTGGTATTGTATTGTTACATATTAATACAACCAGTTCTCACCAGAATGATGTGTAATAAAAGCATAATACACGGCATGACAGGCACCCATAGTAATTTGGGCTCGCCGCCTTTTCTGTTGTTCTATTTTTGCGGTCTGACTGATGATTTGGCTGTGCTGGTGAGGTCATTTATTTATCGCAGAGTAACCAAGCCAATCTATCTCTGTATAGTTATGGTCGGAGAAGGGGAACAGCCACAATACAACCTTGTCGGATTTGAATAACCTAATCGTCTCTTGTCGCCCGAGCTCCAAGTGCAGGGCTGTCTTCCCCTCTCTTTCTCCTCTCCCAACTCACTTCCTTCCAGCCACCCCTCTACGGTGTATTCCGATGACTTGGTAGATCTTGGTAGGCCTGTCTAGTGTCTACCTTACCAGTTCATCGCTCCACAAAGGGGGGTGCCACTGCCAACTCAGACCTACATTTTTGCTTGTGCAAGACCCAACTTTGCACCGACAGTCCACCCAGCAGGGACAGAGCTGCAGCTATGGAATCCACGCCGATTCCGAGCCATGCAGAGGGGCACATTCCTACCCACTCTTCAACCAGTCGGGCAGACCTCCACTGCTGCTGTGGCCGGGAGGAGTGCGCATTCCTCCGAAATAACCACGACGCCCTTGAAGGATTGGAAAAGGACCTCAAGACCGCCGCGCGGTTAGGTCAGGTACGTCAATGTTTCCTGCATGACTCTTTTCCTGCATGATTTCTTTTTTCGGATCTTCGGGTTGGTTGACCTGTTGGGCCGTCATCTTGCCGGATGGCTGGCTGGGTTGGGTTGATCTGGCTCGTTGGCTGAGCTGAATGGTATTTATCGTGGTGGATGTTTATCATTCTTCACATTCTTGGTCGTACATTGTACCTGTCATTTTTGTACCTCATCTGCATTTCTTGTTGACCCTTAAATTCCTCACTTGTGATTTTCATTATTTACTCCCTTTGATTTAGCGTGGACCAGGGTTGCTTCGCTATCATGGCCATGGATGCGAAATACCAATCCCCGATTTTATCACGTTGTCTAGTCTGTTGATACACTTCTTACCGTGCAAACCTGCAATGAGCTCGCCTTCGTCGCTAACCTTTGCTCTCCAGGCTTTACTTCATCGCCATGAATCTTACATGGCAGAGGCGGAAGAAGACCGCCGCAAGTTGCACAACAATATCGAAACGCTAGAGCGCGAAAAGCGCGAGGTTGAGGCTGAGAATTCTCGTATTGTCGAAGAGAACCGCAACCTACTCGACGAGCTGGAGGGCCTAAACAAGGCCGTTGCCGACTCGGACTCTTATGCCAAAACACTGGTCACAGCGCTTGAGAGTAGCGAGGCAGAACTGCGCTGTTTGACAGCGTCGGCTGCCCGCGCAGCTGACCTTGAGGCGCAGTTGGCTCGTATGGAGACCGAGCAGTCTAAGTTGCAAGAGAGCTTATCGGCGGTCCAGGAAGACGAGAAGTCGGCGGTGCACCGGTGGAAGAAGGCGGAGTGCACCCTTCGAGATTTGAACGACCAGGTTGATCGAATGGAAAAGGAAGCCAGTGAGGAGCGCGAGCGACATGCTGAGTTGGTGCAGCGCATGGAGAGACGACGCACAGTTGAGCGAGAGCTTGATGGCGCCGCTGGTCGACTGAAGGGAGCGGCGGCTGCTCAGAACATGAGTCGGACTGGTGGTACGAGCGTGGTCTCCCGCTTTGTGAAGGACATCCTTCAGGATAATGCGAATTTGCAGATGGGGATCGTGGAGCTGCGAGAGATGCTTGAGAGCTCCAATCAGGAAGTTCAGAACTTGCGGGATCAAATTGTGTCACACCAGCCTGTCGCAACGGCAGCAGAGGGTGACCGGCCGGTGACAACGTTAAGCCAGGAATTGGATTCTAACGAGTCACGTCGTGTGTCGCAAGAGTTTCACATCCACCACTACTATCATACCCCGCCGGCCGCGAAGAAAGACAAAAAGGAGAAAAGCACTCTTTTTCGTCGGCCCAAGAAGCGCCGTTCCTTGGGCAATCCGCCTCTGCAAGTTACCTCAAATTCACAGTCGTCCCGAAAAGCCAAGCATCGATCCCAACCTTCTACATCTTCTGCCTCAACGATTCTATCACAGACATCAGTTTCGATTCCTCCGCCTAGGTCGCACCGTTGGTCGTTGCAATCTTCTGTTCCTCCTGATTCCATGGCCAGCTCGCCTCAGTCGGCTTATCGATCGTCTATGTCTATCTTTGATCGCGTGGAGCGTGGATTTGATACGTCGCAGCCTACCAGCCCTGACAGTGCCATCTTCACTTCACCATTGAGAAATGGTCGCTTCAAGGGTGGCGGTGGGCCTTCAGACGCCTACCGCGCGTTGGACGGGCATGAAGGTGGGCCTATGAGTGATGATGAATTCAGCGAGTTCCAACTGCAGTCAGTGATCCCCGAGGAAGGAGAGGATTCAGGGTCAATATCTCGACCGCAAACACCTGTCGCGGATGATGATATCTTTTCGACATCCACGCCATATCGAAAGCTCCGAAGAGCCGCGTCACAGGAGAGCCTGTTTTCAGTCGCAGGCATGGACATTCATACCCCTAGCCATCGTCCGTCTCGCATGAGCGACTCCACGCCTGGTGCTCTACCGCTACGAGTACAACGCCGGATCATGTCATCCGACCTGTCCTCAACACCACCCACGACCTCAACAAGCACTATCACTGCAGGAAGGGAGCCCGCCAAACCATCACCTTCCCAGCAATCACCACAATCCCTCCTGGCTTCCGTAGCTGGGCCCCGTCAATCTCAATCCCCAGCCGAAAGCCCGTCCCCTTCATCGCTCGACGACTCCTCCATCACCCCAACCCGGATCCTCTCGCTTGGGAGTCGCGTCGGCGGCTGGGTCCGTGGCCGTTGGGGTACCGTTCCCGTGCCGTCACGTCGTAGCCTTAAGCCACTCACAGAGGAACCGTCACCAACCCAATCCTGCGCCTCCTCCACACATTCCTCTGAACATCAGCAAACCCCATCCGTTCAAGCTTCAACCGCTCCTCAGAAACGACCACACCTCCGGTTCCGCTATCCTGGAATTAACCAGAAGGGTCCAATCATGGGGTTCCGCCCTCCACCTCCCCCGCCTGTCTCGATTCATGCTGAGCAGCTGGATGAGGGTTTGCTTCGTGAGAGTTTAGCCGAATAGAGTGATTCATCCCGGTTCTCTTTCTCTCGCTATATATCTTCCCTTCTTCCTTTTTCTTTCTTTCTTTCTATCATATACTTGCATTGCGTTGCGTTGCGTTGGACCATATTGCATTACAGACTGGACTTTGGTGGACTGACTCGGATTTTTCCCTCTTTTTTCTTTTTTTCCTTTTTGAAAATTTCACTCATAGATTATGATACCCACGAGCCATGGATCCCTCCTTCTTATCTCAGGCTATATATTCAGAATTGTCTCCGAGGTCGGGCACTCGACTTGCCTTTCTTTGCTCATCATCCTGCATTTTGCTACATGTATCTACACATTCGGGCTCGTATACTTTGATTTACTAGGTCATAACACACGTTTAATTGAGATTAATAATTCATCTACAGCATTTACTCTGATCGTGGCACAAGATAACATTTCAACTGTCTTTCTTCATTCTTTCGGGTACTCATGCATAGCTAGGAGAATACCTAATAGTCTAAGGAGACTTACCTTCCCAATTCATGCCAACCGAGCTAACTCCCCGAAGAGGTCGTGTGGACTCGATATGTCCGAATCGGGATACTGGTCGAGTGGAAGAACCCAGTTTGCTCTTCGCTCGGTGGTGACTGGAATGGTATCTGATCTACGGCGAGGGAATTCCGTGCTACAGTATAGCAATTGGGATCAGATGTCTACAAGACAAGAGTGGGGGAAGAAAACTGAAGGCGGGTGGGCGGTAGGTACTTCTTCACCAACAGCCCCAGCCGCCGATTGACGAGTGAAATGGCAGATAAGGGAAGGGAGCACGACTTACCGCAGACATCTAAAAATGTGTTGAAGGTATCTTCGTTACGTACTGTTGCGGCGATGATGAACTCCTTTATGAAGTAGTTGTTGAATAGATCCTTGATGGTGGAGACCAGGAGGGGGACGATGTCGGTGTCGTATATCTAACCAGGTATGTTAGAGACTGCCTCGTTATCCTTTAGCAGAGGGAAATATACCAAGTCCGCTCCGATGGCGATATCAAACTCTGTCCGGGCGTTATCTTCACCTTCCTCAAAGGGAGGAGAGATCTGAAGTGGCGCCCCCCACTCCCAAATCCCTGCCTGGATTTTCTTGCTATCCAACCCATTTTTCCCAATACAATCATTAATCTGCTCAATAAGTGCAGGCTCTCGATCCGTAGCGGTAACACTTTCGGCACCTAGATGTTTTGCGCAAAGGAAGGAAAGAAATCCCGTGCCGGCACCAAGTTCGAGAACGCGCTTGTTCGCTATGAGAGATCCCCCAGAATTTGTAGTGGAGAGGAATGTGCCTAGGTGTAAGGCTGCTTCCCATGTGCGGAACCCTGTTGTTCCTGCAGAGAGAATGAGGGAGCGGTTTTCAGAGGTGACGATCGTTTTTGGATCGGAGCTTTCGCATCGTTCTGGGTGTGTTTCTGCGTCGGGTAATGAGGATGTCGTAGGGGTGCTGTACTTTATGTAGGTGAGTTTTTGCGCTTGCTCGAGGGCCGGGGGTTTTGGTTTTGAGAGTAGAGAGGTCCATTTTTCCATCAGATTGTCAAGGATTTCCTAACTATAATTAGCTTCGGTTTCCATTTGAAGCTATAGTGCTTTGTAGTGCTGCGGAAAATGCGTAGGCGTACTCATACATCCTCCTCAGGATCGGAGATAGAGTCTTCAATCCGTGCGATAATTGTCTTTAGGACGCGCGTCTGGTAAGGAGCTGGAGGGAGAGGCCATGCTGTGTCTTCGTTGAACATGCGCTCATAGATGGCGGATTGTATGGTGGGGGAAACGAGGGCGGGGCCATCGGGCAAAGAAAGGAAGGGGGGGTCGACTTGTTGGAAGTACTGCGCTGATAAAAGCGCGATCGTATCCATTTTCAAACGACGCGAGAACCTCCGAAGAGACCTGGAAAGTAGGATATAGCAATTTCACTGCTGATCGTATCTCCGACAAAGTCCTTTGGTAGGGCGAGACGGAGTACGGAACAGTCACGTGTGGCTCTAGCCGAAATTAGCTAGCCCGCCCTAGCCGAGCCCACAGCCGACTGCACAAGAAAACGAAATTGAACGAAGCGCATCTCGACGCCCGCCAGAATCGACAGTCGACAACGACAACGACATCCCAACCACCCGCCCCCTGACCTTGTCATTCTCGCTGCTGGTGGTTCAGTCTTGTCAAGCACACAACAACCACAACAATGGCCGACGCTCCCGTTACCCTGCGGACTCGCAAGTTCATCCGCAACCCTCTGCTTGCCCGCAAGCAGATGGTCGTGTAAGACCCCTTCTCCTGCACCGCTCTACACCTGAATTACACACTGGATGGGGGAAATTCTTTTCGAACGTGCCTGAGATGGATCCGAGAACGCACAGAAGAAAAATTTGATGAGGAAGAGATGGAATTGCGGATCTTTTGGACAAACACACGAAGCGATCGAATTGGAACTGGATACTGATGTGAAATGATAGGGACGTCCTGCACCCCAACCGCGCCAACGTCTCCAAGGACGAGCTCCGTGAGAAGCTTGCCGACCTGTACAAGTCCAACAAGGACCAGGTTTCCGTCTTCGGCTTCCGCACACAATACGGTGGTGGCAAGAGCACCGGCTTCGCTCTCATCTACGACTCCACTGAGGCCCTGAAGAAGTTCGAGCCTCGCTACCGCCTTATCCGTATCGGTGCTGGCGAGAAGATCGAGAAGCCCAGCCGACAGCAGCGTATGTCCATTTACCCATTTTGCGCACTTTGTGATACAAAATTCTGTGGTCGAGGAGGAGCTAACACCGTCCAGGCAAGCAACGGAAGAACCGCTCCAAGAAGTTCCGCGGTATCGCCAAGGTCAAGGGCCCAAAGAAGAGCAAGGACTAAGCGTGTGCTGCACACAAATGATTGTGTTGGTGCTCTGGGGTTGGGGGGGATATTGTGGCGAGAATCTGGCGTACTGATTCTGATGATTTTGGACTCGGCTTCGCACTCGGACTTGGACGCAGCAAGACTGATGTCCACGATGATAATAATGATGAACCCAACAACCCTGTGATTAGCAACAAGAGAGAACAACAAAAAAGCATGCTCGTCCAAGGTTTCTGCTGCGGTGTATCTTTATTTATTATCTCCCAATTTCCAACCATCCGTTCTCATCATGACCAAACGCGGATAGACAGGCTTCAGAGAATTAAGAAAAAAAAAATTTCACTGGATTCTGGTCTGATGAGATTCGTTTCGTTTACATAGTCGGCTGTCTCAATGCATTTCTTTTCACTCAACCTGCCTGAACGAAGCCATATCGAGATACCCCGAAGCATATTGGATCAGGTAAGTGAAGTACTCCGTAGCTGTGGTACTTTTTGCTAGTGCCATCCCACGAGAAAGAAAAAAATAAATAAAAAAATAAAAAAAGTAGAGCTATGCACAGTCGCAATAACAACAACCTCTGCTACACGTAACGAAAACAATCTCTCACCGTCTCCAACCCCAGTCGGACAACACATCCCACAAACGGACGCCAGCCATCGAAGTAGATAATTCAGAGTATCTGTCTCAACAGGGGTTATTGCAGGCTGCTACTGCAAGTGCTGAACCGATCGCTTGGAAGGATATCCCTGCCGCGCATTTGCACTCTGCCCTTCCGCCTTCCAGCTATATCGAGCCCTTGACATCCCTGTGCACGCACACACAGAGTCACACACTCTAGCGCAAGGCATCCTCTCCATTCATCCATCCTCCAACCTGCAGACATCCACTAACTAGCTACGAACATCCCCTTGAAACTTCTGCATGCCATCCCCGGCCAATGACAGCTTCCTGATCTGCTCGAGTCTCCTGCGGCAAGACGGATTGGATTCCCTCAACGCTTCCAACCTTCCTTCCCCCCGACGGGGCTGCGTGCGGCCCTTCCGGCGGAACGGGACGCGCCTGGAGAGGATGGTGGGTATGTAAAGGAAAATGTCTTCCTTCGGTCATTCTCCTTTCCTTTCTTTTTCCTGTCAGCTGGGAGTGGGAGTGGGAGTGGACTCTGGGAGATACAGAAAGTACGTACAGTTCCTCAGTTGGCTATATGTCAATCGACCAATGGGAAAAGGGATGATATGCTTTGCAGAGGCTGAGATCATCTTGGTTACGCAGGGCAGGCCTCCGCGGTGATTCAACTTTATGCTGCACGCCAGGTTGGATTCAGCTGTGTCTGCTGCAGTATGCCCTACCCTTCTTAGTATAATGCAGAAAGGCAACATGTCGAAGTCAACTGTTCAGCAGGTGGCCTAAGTCAGACAGGGGCCTAGATCTTGATGATGGGCACTAGGTATGGTGGGTGTAGTATCATACTGCGTGTAGCATGTCCTGACCCTTTCCAGGTTTCATTTTGGAGCAGGCGATCTCAGACCCTCCATATAACCAGGGTTTACCGGTCTGCTTTGGTGTACAGATTTCTAATAGGAGATCATCGCAGGTCTGTCTTTCTTTGTTCAAACCATGGTCGAAGAATAGTTGCACATGCTATTAGGGTATTAGACTAAAAACCACACAAAATGCAATTCAAACAAAACGGCAGTGTCTAAGTCCCCGAAGCCCGCTACAGGAGAATCGAGACAAAGAACAACCATGCAACCGGCGAAGACCGTAACCGGCGAGCATGCCACATCGCCGTCCATGGCGGCAATGACATCCATAGGCTGGATTCAAGTTTCAACCTCCGAATTAATAGAAGAAATAAGATCGTATGAAAGGAAGAAAAGCACTGCATATATCGGCGTCAGCGGATTTACGCAGTTCCATTAGGGAGAGTAGACAACTCCAGCACAACCTAGACCGGATTGTCCAATGTGCCAAAGTTCAGAGCGCGATAGAGATGAGAGGAAACAGGAGAAAAGGCGGCGAAAAGAGGGAGAAGAAAAAAGAAATAAATGAGGGCCAGAGAAAAAAAAAACGCATTATCCCGAAGCTGACAGGATTCAGTTTGGCTCTTTTTCCTTTTTCGGACTTTTTTGGCGCTTTCTCTAAAATCCGATTGTTTGTCGCTGTTGTGGTCTTTCCCAAATCATCATTATACAGACAATTGACGCATCTCCTCTCGCAGCGGTTTGCCAGATCTTAGATAGACAAGAATCTACCGCTATTATTGAGAACAAAGACCGGTGTACGAAGGGTGTCGGGTGATAACTTGTGGTTCGGGCTTCTCATCAAGCTGAGGGAGGCCGACTGAATGAGTCGGCCGCGTATAGGGAAGTCCGTTAATCAATGTGCTCTCAGAATTTGAGTCGCCATTCTCGGATCCGTTCCTGTAGGTTGGTCTGGAGTATCCATAGGTACTAGATCGGTAGTCTGCAATGGGCACCATTCGCCTGGTGTCGCGCGAGAAGGACCTGTATCGATCATCTCCATTTCCGCGGAACTCGTCGCTTGTTTCGGCAGGGTATGCTGTAGATTCTAAGCTCGAAAATGCTCCAGATGACGGTAGAACCGATGACGGTGCACTGTTTGACGCTAATGGTAAGAAACCAAACGTCACGTCCTGCCCACTAGAAGGGATCGGCTTTGGTCGATCCATTGTGGCGGTGTTGAAAGACACACTCGGTACTCGGTGGTCGCACCTTGCGATCCAGCGGCTACTAGGTTTATAATCGTGGGCAGGTGGTGGACCATCCATGTTTGCGGGAAGACCGTCGCTGTTCTCTGGGAACGGGCTTCCGTTGGTAGGGTTGGGAGGTGTCCGCTCCGTCTCCTGAGCTGGAGAGGTCAGTGGCCCTTGGGTATGCACCATGCTAAGGGCCTCGTTTGACTGTGATACTTGTCCAGAGATCACGTATGGATAAGCCGCAGTGGCCAGGGGGCTCCCGGCCTCACCCTCCGAAAACACGATTCCGGGAGGGCCTCGATTGCCCTGCAGAGCTGCAGCCCAGCTTTTCGAACCTAATCCCATTCCGCAGTACTCTGGCATGAATACTTGGGGTGAATTTGGTAACGTATAGGCGGGTGTTGATTGAGCGTGGTACGTGGTTGAGGGCTCGTCTTCGTAGTCTATTGTAGACTCAATGCCAAAAGCTTGTCGACCGTAGAGGTGCTGGGTATCCGGAGTAGCCTCGTATTCTGGGGCCCGTAAGAATTGGTGAATGCGATGCTCAGGAAAGCTTGTAGGTACATTTCCCATCTTCGACGAAGACGCGTATGTTCCCAGCCTCTGGGGTGCCGTCTCGTTTGCGGGATATGGCCATCCCGACGTGACAGGAGCTCGAACCTTGGTCTGGCACATCGCAGAGTTTACCTTCTCATCTGGTTAGTCTTCATCATTTAAAGAAGTATCTATCGGCCATAGATTAATAGAGCTAACTTGCCCTTAGGAACTGGCACATGCTTCCAGTGCTCTGGCAGTTAGAGCAACCTAAACCATCACCAGCGTCGCCACTGCACCGAATTTTCCGCTTCCGACATCTTACGCACTACAGTATTGTTGTTAGGCACATCGGGTATCTTGTATATCAGTGACGTGAGTTGGGAACTTACTGCAACTGGGATCCGTCGTCTCGTCGGGGCTCGACACTTCGCCTCGATCTCTTGAGCCGTACCGGCGCAGGCCAGGTTTCTGTCCACGATATCTGGGCGGCCGTCGCCTTGGATGGTATGCTGTATCGATAGAGCATCCCGCTTGGGGTGTGAACCGAAGCTCACCTCATCATCCGCAGGATAGAAAGGTTGGGCCATTGCTTCACCAATCAGTGGGTTGGAAAACATGCTGTCTCTCATTCTGGTTGACGCACATACGTAGTGAACAGGTAGGATCAGGTGAGTAGAAGTACTTCCAATGTTACTATGAGGCCAACGGTCAAGGATCATCCGCTTGTCTAACCCTTCTGTGACGCTCTGGGGCGTAAATGATTAAGGCGCCGACAACTATACACCTGGGCGCGGGGGAGGGAAGGCAAGTAGCTTATAACAGTGTGGTGTTAGAACAATGTTGCTCCCTCCACGCTGATTGTCGACGTTCTTTTTTCGATTTTACTGGATTTATTTTCTTGTCTTTTCCTTTTCTTTCTTTTTTCTTTTTTTTTGGGGGAGGGGGGGGGGGGTCTTTTGCTACCGTTCATGTCCTTGTCGCTGTCGCCGTTCTGCTTGGGAATCTCCTCATCTGGAATATTCCCACTGTCAAAAGCTAATTCCTCTATTGGTCGATGATTGAGGGCCAGTGGTCAGGGAGTGATCACCATGAGACACCTCTTTGTTTTCGTCTGTGCTGTGCTACTCACTGCAGGTCTCCGTTTTTGCGGAACTCTGGCCGGTTGGGCCAGTGGAAGCTCGTTGTGAATAGCCAAGACAAAGTAAGACCATCCCGGTGTTGGGAGACGTTTTGTACCACGAAAGACCCAGTAACGTTGCACATGCCTCATTTCAGTGTCATATCGTCACCCTGATGGGATGCCATCAAACCATCATCTCTCTTGGCATGGAAATTGGGGATTCGTCGTCATGGATCTGACCAATCGTCCGTCTGTCTCATCCATAAGCTTCTCTCCCTATTTCACTCTGATCTTGCTAAGCGCGATGAGTTCTCACTAGTGTCAACCGGAAACAAAGTTAGCGATGCGAGCACGATTACTGTAGCGCCGGCAGCCGCCGACAACGTTTGCATCAGTGTGTTTCAGCGCACTATGACTGTCATTTATTCCTCAGCAAGAGACTTGGGGAATCGGAACGAATGTTTGCATGTTCCCAGAGGAAGGATAGCTATTGAAAATCCCGTTGGGCCAAGACGTAGGTATCCTTCTCATCAAACAACTTCGAGGCGGAGCGGTCAAAGCCCGCGGTACTTTTGACATGTCCTGAGCATCAACGAGGTCGAATAGCATTTAGAACAGCATAGCTGGGACCCACACTTCCATTCAGATATTCGGGTTCAAGGTGCAGGAATCGTGCAAACGAACTACCACCCATCATCCAGATCGCACTAATGTCTCAGGACCTCGAGCTCCACGTTTGCATATGAGCATTGAAAGAGATTCCATTCGTTCGGCCGCGGCCTTGAGTTTCAGTGACACATGAATTTGAAATGGTGATCCAAGGCAGTTTAGAAATCTAGAAGTATGAGAAGGGGCTGTTCGCCCAGGTGCTTGGATGTGACGAGGCCGCATCGCGCATAAACCTGTCTCGAATCGATCTTACCAGTCGTGTCGGGATACAAATATCAGCAGCTGGAGGTAGCCAAGCAAAACGGTGTCCGGGATGGTTGAAACAAAAAACGAGTCCGGGGAAGGAAACCAATTACAGGGGAATAATCGAAGAAGCTTTTCAACTGACCTCCAACCCTCTAGGGAGTCTAGTGTGCTGTCAATCCAGTGAGATCCAGCACGTGGGGCAGAGGCCTGGCTGGCCTCGTAACATGCACAAGGCTCAGGGGGCGCTGGACTAAGTACCTATGTACTCTGTGCCGGACGTGCACTGGGGACGAAAGCCAGGTCTCCCATCTGAGAAGCTTGCACTACTCATGTACGTAGAATTGACGATTTGGGAAATCTGCATGTATTCATTTCGTAGCCTGGGACCTGGTAGTCCGCTATAGTGTTGGCGAAAAGTCGGCTTCTACCCCATGAACACACTGGGGGAAGAAGGGTGCGCCTCAGGTATTCCAAGTCGGAGCACATAAGAAATAGGGCCCCAGTTGGGAAATGCATTGCTTCGAGGTCGGAGCAAGAGGTATCAAGTTGTGGAGAAGCAGACAAAGGTGGCGTTTGCAAAAAAGTCCGTCCATACCTTACATCTGTGTCTCCGTATATCAGCCAACGACATCCACAATTTGCAATAAGACTAACCGCAAACTCAAAGCGGCCATTTAAGATGGCTGGCAGCGCATCGGAAGGGTTATGAACTGCCAGGGTTCTTACTTGATTTGAAAAGCGTATAATGGTTGGAGCAAACACCGAGAACTCTACCACGTGCATTTCCCATATTCAGTTCCGCAGAATCTCGAACTAAAAGAGTTGGACCCCCATGGTACAGTCCAGCTCGATCCGACTTGGTCGTCTTCGTGAGCAGCTGCGGGAGACCGCGAGCCGTTTTTTTCAACGTCTGTCGTGGAACTCAAGGTAGATGCGACCAAATGGGCCCAGAAATATTTGGACGTCGTTATTTTTGTGCCTAGACATGGTCCTCCTGCGCTGACAGGCTTGGAGACGGAATTCTCCATCGGTACGCCGTATAACCTTGCGGTTGGTTACAGTTGGACTGCGACTGCACGTAATGTAGCAGTGATCCAAGCTTCTTTCCCTTTCAAGGCATATTGTACCAAAAATAACAATCTAGGCTATGGCAAATAAGTATCGATTCCAACAATACGCCGCAAGTTTAATCACAACAGCGTAAGCACCTATCGACTACCGAGTATCAGACAGGGTCCGCCTCGTTTTTGTGCGAACTACGGCCCTCGTTCTCATGATTTGGGCCAGCAACAGGCTATCCAATAAGCCTGGCTTAAAAATAGGCCCTTGTCGTTAAAGAGGGTTTCCCGGAATAAGTTTTGCTGGGATGAGGACGCGGCGGTGGTACGAGACAGCCCCGGATGGAGTTGGAAGGGGACCAACGACGTCAAATTGGATATAAATCAAATAATGTCGTACCGGAAGAATCAGCCCGTAACGACGCACCCTATAGGGGCCTGCAAAAACTACATCCCCGGTAGGTTCGGTGTGCCTGGAGTTGTGGTTGACTTGCGGCGGGTGTTGGTGGATCGGCGAGTGGACGAGCCCAAAAGGCGGGAATGGCAACGGCTCCGCATTGGGACCTTTGCCAGCAATTCCTTGCTCCTTCGATTGAAGCTGTTGCAAATCTCTCTTTTCTCAAGCCGCGAGCCAGATTGGACCATTGACTTACATTCTTGCATATTGTTCGCTTTGTCACCTCTGTTTTAAGTTCAACGTCCATCTTCCCTGCAGCTGGCGACAGGGGCAATGAGCGTCCTCCTGGAAACGTCCTTGGGTGACATTGTCATCGACCTCTTGGTCGATGACTCGCCGAAAGCATGTGAGAAGTAAGTACCCCTGGGCCTTTGGGCGGAATTTGCACACTTTACGCGATTCTTGCCCCGTATCATGTCGAGTGGCTGAACGAGAAACTAAAGCTGTCTATCTCTTATGGCACTAGCTTCCTGAAGCTCTGCAAAATCAAGTACTACAATTTCTCGCCGTTCTTCAGCGTCCAGAAAAACTTTTCCTTCCAAACCGGCGACCCCGTTGGACCCGATTCTGCAGATAGCGATGGCGGATCATCGATATGGGGCGTGCTGGAGGGACCCTCGAAACAAACCGTTCCTCTCGGACTCCCAAAGAAATTGAAGCATGATGAAAGGGGCACTGTGAGCATGGCAGCCGTTCCTTCTCCACATGATCCCGACCTTCGCCTTATCACGAGTCAGTTCATCGTTACACTTGGTGACAATCTCGACTATCTGGATGGCAAGGCAGTGATTTTTGGCAAAGTGGTGGAGGGTTTCGATGTGCTTGAAAAAGTCAACGAAGCCTTTATAGACGACCGAGGGCGGCCACTCAAGGATATCCGTATCCGTCACACAGTTATACTCGATGATCCTTTCGACGACCCGCCAGGGTTGGTGGAACCGCCGGAGAGTCCCTTGCCGACAAAGGCGCAATTGGCGACTGTCAGGATTGCCGATGATGAAGATCTCGCTGATGATATGGATGAAGCGTCTATGGAAAACCTCCGACGGGAGCGTGAGGCGAGGGCGCAAGCCCTGACTTTGGAAATGGTTGGAGATCTCCCATTTGCCGAGGTCAAGCCTCCAGAGAATGTCTTGTTTGTCTGCAAGCTGAACCCGGTGACTCAAGGTATGGCGATTCCCGTTCTTAATTTTCTGGGAGTTATACTAACGGGCTGTACTAGATGAGGATCTCGAACTTATATTTAGTCGTTTTGGAAAGATTCTGTCCTGCGAAGTTATTAGAGATAAGCGGACAGGCGACAGTCTGCAATACGCTTTTATCGAATTTGAGAATCAAAAGGATTGTGAACAGGCCTATTTCAAGATGCAGGGGGTCTTGATCGATGATCATCGCATTCATGTGGACTTCTCCCAGAGTGTTAGTTCCTAATTCCGCTCCCCGTTCAAGCTATTGTTTCCCGTCTTTTCGTTGCTAATAAACGAATAGGTGTCTAAGTTGTCAGAGAGCTGGCGAAATGCAACTGTATCTAAGCGGAGCTCACAAAGAGGTGGTTTTGGTGGAGTAGCAGGCCTTGAGAAGAAACGCCAGTACAGAGCAACCGAAGGTGCTAGGGAACGCGCCGATTACAACATGGTATTCGACAAGAAAGAGAACAGGCAATCTGTGCCTCGCGAGCGGTCATACAGCCGAAGCCCCCAAAGAAGCAGCTACCGAGATAGAAGGGATAGTCGGAGTCCGCGGCGAGATTCTTATCGGAGCCACCGTCGCGATAGGTCATATAGTCGAAGTCCCCCTGCGCGAGACACTCGCCGCGACAGGAACAGGGGGGAGTACTACGAAAATGATAGACGCGGCTACCGTGATGATGATAGACATAGAGACCGCCGACGCCGGTAGGAGAGCTTCAAGATTGAGGTATGGAGCAGCCAGCATGTACTGTAATACTCCGCGGCATGATATGACAGGAACGAGCCTTGTAAAACAGAGAAATATACCCAGCTACGATTAAAGTATCTATGTAGACTATAGCCAGGATAACCATCGGGCCCCTCATCTGTTGATTTTCTTTCTCGATATTCGACAAGCAAGCTAATCCATTTGAATGGGCACCACCCAGCCAGCTGGAATTCTATTTGTAGCGGCGCTATTTGGAGTGGCGCAGAGGGATCTGTCGGTGAAACCAGCTGAGATGGGAGCTCTGGTCTTGCGCCCCGCCTCTAAGGAAAGCCCCGCGTAGATTGGTTGTTCCAAGCAAAACAAGTGTAAAAATGGGCCAAGTCGAACGAAGGTAAGACCAAAGCCTGGATAATGGGACTGTTCCAACTAAAAATAGGCGAATATGGCCAGGTTGGTTTGAGGTGAGAGCTCTAGCGGTCAATAATAAATACGTACGTAGTTCGGTTACCCGGACACCCTCTTGAGCCTTCACTCTGATGCTCATACCAATCAAGAACTCACCCCGCGCTTCCTCGTTAGAACTTGGTCATCCCTCCCCTCCCCTTTTTTTTTCCCTGCCCTCCTGCTTAACCTCTCTCCCCTCAATTTTGCTCCTCCTTCCTCCAATTACCTCAATCCCTGCTATATCATGGCTGCTGCTATTAAGAACCTTGTGGACAAGTTTCAGGGCCACTCCGAGCCCGCTCTCCGCGAACCTTCCGCTGAAGAGGTCCAAGAGCTAAAGCAGAAGTACGAGCAGAAGGGACAGTCACAAGTATTTGCATTCTACGATCAACTGAGCCAGACGGAGCAAACTCAGCTTTTCCACCAAGCGTCCAACTTTGACCCGACCCGCATCAATGAGCTCGCCGACAAGGCTCTCAACCCTCCTAAGACCGAGGCCACTGGCCCCGCCTCTCTCGAACCCCTCCCCGAAATCGCTACTGCCTCGATCCTAGATTCTGACCCGAAAGATATCCAGGGTTACTATGATGACGGACTCAAGCTTGTCGCAGAGAACCAAGTTGCCGTTGTTTTGCTCGCAGGTGGGCAGGGAACTCGGTTAGGAAGCTCACAGCCAAAGGGCTGCTTCGACATCGGGCTCCCTAGTCATAAATCTCTTTTCCAGATCCAAGCGGAGCGTATCAGTAAACTACAACTTCTCGCAAAGAAGTCTTCAGGCAAGGATGCCGTAATCCCTTGGTACGTGATGACGAGTGGGCCGACACGCAAGCCCACTGAGGACTTCTTCGGAGAGCACAACTACTTTGGCTTGGACAAGAGCAACGTCTTTATCTTTGAACAAGGTGTCTTGCCATGCATTTCGAATGAGGGTAAGATTATGCTAGAGAGCAAGTCCAAGGTACGTTGGGATGTCTTACTCCGTAACCGTACTCGGCCAGCATTTAACATTTACCATCTATAGATGGCCGTTGCTCCCGATGGCAATGGAGGAATCTACCAGGCTCTACTCACTGCTGGTGTGAGGGAAGATATGCGCAAGCGTGGAATCAAGCACATTCACGCCTACTGTGTCGACAACTGTCTAGTTAAGGTTGCTGACCCTGTTTTCATTGGGTTTGCTGCCTCCAAGAAGGTCGACATTGCCACAAAGGTGGTACGAAAGCGCAACGCTACCGAGTCGGTGGGCCTGATTCTTCAGAAGAATGGCAAGCCAGACGTGGTTGAATACTCCGAGATTGACAAAGAAACAGCAGAGGCCAAGGACCCCAAGAATCCCAGCCTGCTGAAATTCCGTGCTGCCAACATCGTTAACCACTACTATTCCTTTGAGTTCTTCGACTCCATCGAGAATTGGGTCCACAAGATGCCTCACCACATCGCCCGAAAGAAAATTCCTAGTGTTGACATTGAGAGTGGCGAGATCGTTAAGCCTGAGAAGCCGAACGGTATCAAGCTGGAGCAGTTCATCTTCGACATTTTCCCCATGATTGCGCTTGAGAAATTCGCCAGCATTGAAGTGCGCCGTGAGGATGAATTCTCGCCTCTCAAGAACGCACGAGGCACCGGAGAGGACGACGCAGACACTAGCAAGCGTGATATCATGAACCAAGGCCAGAAATGGATTGATAGTGCTGGTGGGGTTGTTGTCACTGAGGGTGATGCTGTTGGAGTTGAAGTGTCTCCTTTGATCAGCTACGTAAGCTTTTACAACCCCTACTCAATGGCTAGTACTCAACTAACGTTCATTTCTAGGGTGGTGAAGGACTTGAGTTCCTCAAGGGCCGCGAAATCAAAGCGCCTGCTGTTATCGAGAAGGAGGAGTAAATAATATACCTAAAATATGTTCCTTTTCTCTTCTATATTTTCGGCCGCCTCGGGACTTCGTTTGAACACAATTTGTATGGAATATCCCTAGAGTAGTCATATCCGGATGCATTATGAATTGATTCCATTCTTCAATGTCATAAAACGTTGTCCCTCCCTCTTCTGCGTCATACATTATTGAAAGTACTGTATACCCCAGTAGATTTATGCCTAAGGCAGGCACATGCCAGAATCTGGGGAGAGCACCGAGCACCTTACGCAATGCGGGAAAGCCCGGGAGCTAAAGTTTTCCCTCAGTCCGTTTTTCTTTTACCTGCCTCTTGGCTGTTGGTCACTTCTAACAATTTAAGAATTCCAGAATACCATCTACCGCCTTCGTGGGTTACAGGAATTCTTTTGGGTCCGCTTCTCTGTCTTGGAGGGCTTGGTGTGTGGTGGCTTTTTGCTGAATATAAGTGGGTGGTGCTGTCCGTTTTTGTGCGCCTTTGGAGCTCTCGTCTTTGTCAGCCCACTATTTTTTTTCGAGTCTCGAGAGTGGGCTGTTGGAGCGCTCCTCCTCCAAGGTTCTCAGGCTGACGATCAAACCAGCGCTATTGACAAGGAGATATCGAAGTTAGTTGGTCTCAGGAAGGGTGAGTGAGCTGCCCGTACCCCCCGTGACTTCGTCCTATTTATTGCGATCCTCCTGTACCATCATTTGCGCTCTGGTTGTGCGTGGGCCAATGCTTCACATCCATGATATTGAGCTATGCCATTTTACCCCTCCCATCCAAAGAACAACGCTTTTCTACCAAAGCCGCAATACTTATGCCATACATAATAAACGCCTACCGCATTTATCTCGCTGGTTTTCGTTTGCGCATCCTCCTTGACACCATCTATGCCATGTCGATCCGCATAGAAATGATCGCATCTCCAACCCTTGGGCTATTTCAGTATCGCTGACCGAAGATTTGTCTTACCATCTTCTAGCTCCTTATACAGACAATATGCTGCTCTCTCGACGTGCTTGCTACAAGTGTGGCAACATTGGCCACTATGCTGGTTAGTTGGGGGGAAAGAATACAAGTTCCGAGAAGCGGGATGTGCTAACGGCTGGTTAAGAGGTCTGCTCTTCCTCTGAGCGCCTTTGCTACAACTGTAAGTGATAGTGTTAGGCCTCCATGCTCAAATTTAGGCTTCAATTGGCTGACTCGTTGGGGTTGATAGGCAAGCAGCCTGGTAGGTCTCAGCCGTGGTGTACAACATTGCACGACCATGTATCTGATCATCTATAGGACACGAATCTAGCAGCTGCCCACGCCCTCGTACTACCGAAAGTAAGAGCTCCAGGCCTCATCAAGAGAAACGGCTAGGGTACTGATATTTTTTGCTTCCAGCCAAGCAATGCTACAACTGCCAGGGTCTCGGCCACGTTCAAGCGGATTGTCCCACGTTGCGCCTCAACGGCGCGAACGGTCGTTGCTACAACTGCAGCCAGCCTGGCCACCTTGCTGTAAATTTTAAAATTCCGCTCTTGGATCAATGGAACAAAACTAACTATATTCTTTCATTAGCGTAACTGCCCCGCCCCTGCTTCTGGTGCTCCCCGTGGCACAGGTGCGCCTCGTGGGGGGTTCAATGGTGGTTTCCGCGGTGGCTATGGTGGTTACCCTCGCGCTGCTACTTGCTACAAGTGCGGTGGGCCGAACCATTTCGCCCGTGACTGCCAGGCTCAGGCTATGAAGTGCTACGCCTGCGGGAAGCTTGTAAGTGCATCTTAAGGCTGCCTTCTATATGCTTCAACATACTGACGTACTTTTCAGGGTCACATCTCTCGCGATTGCACGGCCCCCAACGGTGGCCCGCTGAGCTCCGCTGGTAAGGTCTGCTACAAGTGCTCTCAGGCTGGCCACATCTCTCGGGATTGCCCCAACAATGAGGCCACCGCAGACTCTATTCCTGCTGCACCCGTGGCCGCCACCGGTGTTGAGACTAGTGCAGATGCTTCTGTTGCGGCGGCGGCGCCTACCACCGCTGTCGCGTAGAACAAAAAAGGGGCTATTTCGAGCTATTAGCACCGCTTTATAGCTATTCATTTCTTCTTCCCATTTCCTTTTTCTTTTTTGATCCCTACAAACCCTGACTGGGTTCAATTTCTTGTGATTCTTCGTTTGCATATATTTCGCCCCCATGTTTCATTTCTCGGCACGTCCTTTCCTTATTCCTCTCATGTATACGACGGACAAAAGTTTCACGAAGACTTAGGTTCCCTTACTACTTGGATCCTATGCACGATTCAGGGTCTTATGATTGGCGTCTATTGTACTCCTCGGATATCTTTCTCATTTATACTATAGGTGTGGCAAGGAGAGAGGCGAGGCGGAGGGTTAATCGAGCGCATGCGAGACGTTGGTGGACCGAGGCAAGTGTGTTGGTATGCAGTGGAATAGGCTTCGAGACCTGTATGGACAGTATTGTTTTGTTCAAGTTGTGCTAAAGATCGTCAGTGAGCAAGAAAGGGTACCTGGTGCGGTGGTCACCCGTTCACTGTACGTGCGACGTCCTTAGATTCGTCGAAAGTGAAGCAAAAAAAGAATAAAAGCAAATCTCAATTCCTAAATCCACGGTATCCATCTACTTATGTGTTTTCGGCAAATATCTACGGCTAACAGCCCCCTCCTGTTTGGGACTGGGCCTTTCAGGTTCAGTATTTCCAGTGCTTCAATTGGGAATCGCTTCGTAGTAGAGACGCCTCTCTTAACGGTCGCCGAGACAGGAACTCGCATATGCTTCCACGGTTGCTTGGAGGAGGCTGTAGGCTCTCTTCCAGGTTATTCTTGAGCGGGTTATCCCAACCTAACCCACCAGGCCTGAGTATCCCGTGACGCTGGCCATTTCTCCCCTCTGCTATTTCAGCCCGTCCCTCACTTCTTCAGTCCTATCACCATAAAGACTTATTCGTCGTCTATACATACTCATATCTATAAGCTTTATCGAAGTTAGCACCCTGGGTCCTTCACAATGCCGGCATCTGAAGCCAGCGACGAATTCCCGGGAGATGTGAGGCCGTATTTCTTTCACTCGCTCACTCTCTGGGCACTTCTGCTGCTTATGCTGGTTCTAGACAGCTTGCTAACTATTCCATCATTATTTCCCTGGCAGGATTTCATCGTCGATATCGATTGCATCCAAGCCCATGGTACTCATTCATCTTCATTTGCGTCATTCTACATTCAAAAATTGACTATAAAAGGAATTGGTGCTGCCGATATCACTAAGCTCAAGGCAAATGGATACTTTACTATTGCCGTGCGGTCCCTGGCAACTTCAATTCCTTTTCTCGAACCGTCCTGGGACTTACTATTGTGTTATTTAGTCAATCCACGGCGCGACGAGGAAAACTTTGCTGAGGATCAAAGGTTTCAGCGAGATCAAGGTAGAGAAGGTCAAGGAGGCCATCAATAAATGTCTAGTATGGATTCCCCAATGACTCTTGGAGGACCGATTTCAATAGTTAATCGGGCTAGCCTTCGGCCTCTGGTTTCATCACAGCAATGGAACTCAGCCATCAGCGGAAGAGGGTTGTTCATATCTCAACAGGTAGCAAGCAGTTCGATTCGATTCTGGGAGGGTATGTTTCCCAACAAGATTGAAAGCAGATTATATAATTGATGACCCTCGTAGTGGGTTTCAGAGCATGAGCATCAGCGAGGTATTTGGCGAGTTCCGCTGCGGCAAAACCCAGCTCTCCCACACCATGTCCGTTGTCGCACAGCTTCCCAAGGAGATGGGAGGCGCGGAGGGTAAAGTTGCCTACATTGATACAGAGGGAACTTTTCGTCCAGACCGCATCGGGCAGATTGCAGAACGCTTTGGGCTTGATCCCGATTCCACCAAGGAGAACATTGCTTATGCCCGTGCTTTAAACAGCGAACACCAACTCGAACTACTCAACACCCTCAATAAAGAATTTGTTGGGGGGGAGTACAGACTGTTGATCATAGACAGCATCATGAACTGCTTCAGGGTCGACTATTGTGGACGGGGAGAGCTGGCGGATCGTCAGCAGAAGCTTAACCAGTTCTTGATGAAACTTGCTCATATAGCTGAAGGTGTGTGGCTTCCTGGGCATATACCGGCATACCGACAGTGCTAATACGCTGTAATAACAGAGTTTAATGTTTGTGTCTTAATGGTAAGCCTACTACATCTACTGCTAGATCGAGGCTCACATTGCCGTCCAGACAAACCAAGTGCAGAGCGACCCCGGTGCAAGTGCTCTTTTTGCTGGAGCTGATGGCCGCAAGCCTGTTGGTGGGCATGTTCTTGCTCATGCTTCCACAACTCGAGTTTTGCTTCGAAAGGGTCGTGGCGAGGAACGTGTAGCAAAAATACAAGATTCGCCAGGTTTGTATTCTTCCATTATATGAGGTTGACTTGCTAATATATATTTTAGATTGTCCTGAGCGCGAGGCGACATATGTTATTACAAATGGCGGTATTAACGACCCTGACAAGGTATAGGAGGTAAAATGAGACGCATAATGGAGTGACGATTATGAATATGCAGTGATAGCGGCTTCTTTTTTAGTGTTCGAGTAATAGCTTGTTGCTGAGCGAACTACCAAGTAGTTAAATGTACCGGTTTAATTTGTGAGAATAATGCGAGTTATGCACTACGGTACCCATCCTAGCCAATCACCTCCGCCCTGTAAAATTTCCGTGAAACCTCCGCGGACAGAGTCCAAAAAGTTTCATCGCAGCACCTCAACCTCCTTTCTTTCGCACGCAATCCCACAAAACACACGCCCAAAAAAGGACAAGAATGAAGAAGGAACTTGAGATAGCAGGCTACACGGCCTTGCCTCTCAACCTCCCAAGCACACCCTCTTTTCCAACACCGGCAACACACTACCTCTACCTCCGCCCCCATGAACCACGAATCCCAGACCCCGACACCCCTCGATCGCTGTTCCTCGTCAACACCCCTATCGACACGACAGAGACACATATCCGGTATCTCTTCGGCACACAACTTTCCGGCGGCCGCGTCGAACGCGTCGACTTTGAGTCCGCACGTACAGGGAAGAAGAACGGCGCTGCCCAGATCGCGCTAGTACAAGGCACGAATGTCGCAAAGGGCAAGAAACGCAAGCGCGTGACGATCGATGAGCTGGAGAAAAAACTGGATGATATTTCCCTCCCCTCGACATGGGACCGGCAGCTACATCAAAGCGGATCGCATGCAGTTGTGGTCTTCGTTGACAAAGCTAGCATGGAGGCAAGCCTGAAGGCTGCGAAGAAAGCATCTAGGAAGGCATCTGGCGGTAAGGATACTATCACCTGGGGCGAGGGCCTTGACGAATCCCGGGTTCCCTCGCTGGGATTGCAGCGGTATATCTCCCACCATCGAGCGACGTATCCACCCCGTGCGGAGCTGCTGCGTACAGTGAGTGAGTATATGAATGCGTTCACGGAGGTTGCGGAGAATAGGAAGAGGGAGTCAACTCGGCGGGCGGCGGAGCCAGACGAGGATGGATTCGTTACTGTTACAAGTGGGCCGAGACTTACTTCTGCGGCCGGCGAGGAGGAGGCGAAGCGGTTGGTTGAGAAGCAGAAGAAGCAGGCGGAAGGATTTGGAGACTTCTACCGGTTCCAGTCTAGGGAGAAGAGGAAAGAGAGGCAGATTGACTTGTTGAAGAAGTTCGATGAGGATAAGAAGAAGTTGGAGGAGCTGAAGCTGCGGAAGGGGAAAATTAGAGTGAGTAACCCTGGGCCTTCTGTTTATTTGTTCATTTTCACTGACCGATGCTAGCCTGAATGATGGGTTTTGCTATGATGGCTTTGTTGCATGGTTTAGCATGGCGTTTGGAGGTTACAAAAGTTTAGATTGCATTCTTGTTAATACCAGCAGCCCATGGGATTCACAGGACTGAGATATTCCTGGTCAGAGACATGGTAGGTTTCTACACTCTTTCTCCCTAGGTCTATTTTCATGATGAACACGCTGGGGCCAGAGTAGCAAGACTCATTGACTCAAATCAATCGATGTCATGCACTGCCTTCAAAAACCAGCATTACACAAATCTTCTCACCATTCTGAGCGAGCTCAGCTGCATCTGCCGATTCAGTAAATTCAGTTTGGCATTTGCTGACCAGTAATTAATATAGGTTCGCCAAAATAAACTGCATACGGATGTCTATATAGACGTTATCCAATTATTCCAATGAATCACACTTCATGAAATAGAATATCCTGTTTCTGAAAACTTTTCCAACTGCACAACATACAACCTCCTGGGTGCCACAGGTCTCAAATTGAAGGTTCAATATATGGACAAGAGAACCTTGATTGGGCTACGCACGGACCATGCCCGAGTGAAGCTTGGCATGACATCTTCCAAGTTCAAACTGAACTGCAAAAAGCTCGAGGCTTATCGATCTTATTATAACTCAAAATGTACTATTACCGTGAACTGCAGTCAAAATACGAAGACTGGTGACTGCCCAACCGCAACTCTACATCATATAATTATAACTCAGTTTTCAACTTTAACCCCAACATCGAGCTGCAACCACACTACAAACCCCGCCGCGGGGACTTTAATACTCAGATCGCAATCGCAATCGCAATCCGCCAGTACTAACGAAGTTCCACTCCGCTGTATTTCGAATAATGGCATCAGCTTCTGCCTCCAGCGGCGGCGGGGGATTCTTGGAAACATCAGCCCTATCCCCAGCGGCGTCAACGTCAACAGTTACCCCATCGATGCTCCCTAAGCAAAGATCACACCCGCTCCGAGCAGGGTCTATGAAAGAGACAACAGTGATAAATCACGTTGATAAGGCAATATTGGCGATTAATCGACGGCACGCGAAGAAGTTTAGTAGTGTTTTTGAGCAGCCTCAGGAGCAGGGCCGAAACGGTGCTAGCACTACGTCTACTGGGAGAAGTGGGAAAGAAGACGAGGGCGAACAGCGTGGGGAACAGGGGTATGAAAGCTTTAAGGAGGTTGTGAAGGATGTTGAGGCGATAGTTGATGTGCTTTGGGTCAGTGGGACTCGTATGTTTTCGACCCCCTTTTTAGCTCTCTGGTGTCTTGAACCAGACAGACTAATATTCTCCGAAAAAAATAAAATAAAAATTGACGTGCTGGAAAAGTACTAATTAGTCTACAGCGTCTCTTCAGATACCCTACTTAATCTCAATATCCGTCCTTGTAAACACCTACCTACCAGACTACCCCTTCATGGCGAAACCTACATTTCGGCTTCTCCGCAAGCTTGACTCTTTTTTTGCGTCGTTGATACTAGGCGAAGATGTTGAGACCGGCCAGACTCTTTCGGGGTTTGAGGAGCGGCGCAATATTGTCTCCATGACGGAGAAAGTGAGGATAAAAAGTATTGCGGAAACGGCGAGAGTTATTGTTGTCGAGGCTGGGGAAGGGAGGGATCCTGATGACGACGACGATGACCTTGACGAGGATGACGAGGAGGATGACATGTATATGGACAATGATGGGTTTGGGCTGGGTGATGCCCCTGGGAAATGGGAGATGGAGACAGCGAGGGTATATGAAAGGACGATTCAGTTGTTGGGCGACGAGTTAGCGACAGAGGTTGAGTTTTGTGACGAGGACATGGCCCGTGGTGACGAGACGGAGAATGTTATATCTGCTGATCCATGATGCAATATCTTTCCAGATTATTATTATTTATTATTATTATTATTTTTTTTTTTGCACGTCTCGACCGCGATGTATACCTCTATGATCTATACAGACACATACCAACTTCCAAGGAACTTGGCCTTACTATCTAGTGCAATAACCATTGGTAGACAAACTAATAGGCAGGTCCACGGCTGCGGGTGGGCTCTGTGGTGCTAGTAGCTAGGTCCGACGGGATCGGAGGTGGTGGTTAGAGCTTTCTAGATTTGGATTTCTAATCCCAAGGCACAGTATTATGTATACTTGTTTATTCCATGTGCACCGCGGGCCAAATTTCTAGGGCTTTAGAAGCGACACGAACCATATACTACCCGCTGGGAGAAATTTGAATTGGATAGTTAGTCCATACTGAGAGAATTTGGCAGGATTTGTTCCGTTGATTAGCTCATAGTCCAAATATCTTAAAATTAAAAGTGCAGTGGGCTGATATGCTGGATCCGTGGTTCTTCTGTGGTTCCGCAGCTCTTTGCTTTTGTTATAGACGCCACGCCTGAGCAGATGTATACTTGAATTATGAAGGGGGAATCTGCAACGCACGGTAGATGCATATCACCTTAGCCTGGCAGCAGGGGTGGCTGGACGAGGGGTTGGAGTTGATAGTTGCAAGGGCTCCTGTAAGGGACAACTTGCAGGGTTCAGCTGAGCGCTGAGTCTGGGGTCGTAAGCATACAGCACACAGCATACGGCATACGGCATGCCGTCATTAATGTAAGCATCGGACTGAGGAACTCGCAATGGAACGGGTGATCTCTCCAGGTTCTTTAGTCGCACAGTACGGGCATAGGGCAGTTGCTTGCGGCCTAATATCGTAGATGAAGGCTGAGGCACAGCATTGTGACGCATATGCTCATGTTTGTTGGTATTTGGAGAAGCAAGGTTGGCTTTGCCCTTGCTCAGGCTAATATTATTACGATACATCAAACACACTCAACTATGGAATTTAATTTGAAATTGGAAGAATCAAAAAATTGTGCCTGAGGAAAGGATCACGTCGCGCACGCGTCCAGCAATTATGCCCAAACGGGATTAGGGGGCGATTTACTAGTAATGCTGCCAGGTTTGTGCCCATTTCAATCAGGCCCTCTGTCTGTGGGCACCTGGAGCTCGGACCTGCGTTGGTCTGACAATAGCGAGGCGGGAATTGAGCGCGGCACGGAGTTCTTAAGAGCTCAAGATCCAACTGGTCAAATCGCTGGCTGCCCTGCTTTCTCGTGCGATTTCCCCAAGACGACCGATATTAAAATGCTGCAGTGTTCGAAGTGCGATTTGGAGAGGATGTCTCGTTGCGAGGATCCGGCCAATGAGGACTGTCCAGACTGGTCTAAAGAGTCAAGTCCATGGGTTGTGCCTCTGGATGTGGAGTTTGGCCCATAGTTTCTCAGCTTCAGGCCGCTTCTTTCTTTTTTTGCTTTTGTGGTGGTGAGCTGAGTTCTCCATGTATGGTAACATGATGTAAATACACTAGGCTTACTGCAGCGCAAGGATCAACTTAGTGCTATTGCTGAGTGGGAGTTTGTCGGTGCAGATTGTTTCTGGCTTGTCTGTGCGAGCATCATGGTACCGTGGTCTTAATTTGCAGCCTTTTGATCGTCTTGGAAGCCTGGTCTACGTGGAGCAGGGTCGATATTGATGTGTGCACGCACAACAACAATCCAAGGCACACACGACCAGCTCCACGATCCAAGGTTTCGGGGCTCATCGGTGGGGTCAGTTTTCCACTGGTCAGCCCTCCTTTCGAGTCTTTTTGCCGTTCAGGCTTTTCAAGTTTAGTCAAGCACCTCTGAAAGGGATCGCGGAAAATCATGGCTGATGGCGGATCCAGGGAACAATGAGCACTGGTGTGACTGCAAGCGGCAACGGATCTACGAATTAACTGAGAGCATCCACTGCCATCCAGAGCCGAGGCGGAGACACCATGACGAGAGGGCCCATGGGACACGAATGAGACTCGACGAGTCACAGGGCGAGTTTCCGCCCTGAGAAAAAGTCCTCACCACAAATGCGCATGTGCATCAAGCCCAGGTCCTTGCAGATTCTTTCCTGCATGTCCTCAAAGTATCACTGTTTTGGATGGCTGCCCCTTGATTGGCTTGAGCGCGTCGCGTTCTCTCCTTACCTTCAGAAGTTCAGGCAGTGTCGACGACGGCCAAATGTATCAGATGAGCATCCTGGCAGGACGGACAACATGGGTTCTAGTTTCTTTGATTGTCTTATAGTAGCATCCACAACGCATGACAATATTTACAGATCCAGATTCTTGGGTCGATCTTAGCCAGGCACTACACGCTATATCAAGTCTCGACGGCCCAAGGCTCAGCATCATAGACTTAGCGCATGTAATCGAATTAAGATCATGTCAGGACGCAAACCCGCAGGATGAGACGGTCATCTGGTTTGCATTGATTGTATGCTCACCAGGCGCACCCGTTACCATGACCGTAAATACTGTTACCGTACATGTGTTTTTGCGGCCGAACCCTCCTCGGCGATCAGAAACAGCCTGGAGAACTTGAATCTTGAGATATTGTTGAGCATTAATGGACAGGAACAGGATTCTCAACCTGCATCAGCACTGTTCTGTAGAGCCGATAAGGGCAGTAAACCTTCTAATGGATTCATGCTGTCGGTATGGTGATGTGAAGTCGGATGAAAGAGGGAAAATTCTTCGTCCCACCAACTTCGCCCCTCCTCACAGACAGGCGCAGCAGCAACTCGCAGTCGCAGCTTGTGCCTGTGCGTGTGTATAAAATTTTCAAGGAATTATTAGCATTTCCGAGTTGCTGCGATCTCGTTTGGTCGTCTTTTTTACCGATCCTCATTCTTTCTTACTGGAGTTCCCGTCATTTTCTGGTCTGCCCTAGTCGTCTCCAGTCTCCAGTCTCCAGTCCATCCATCGTTCTTCCCTTTCCTCGTTTCGTTTCTTCCTTTCTCCCCTCCCTCCATCTGAAGAATTATCTTCATCCTACCCCTCCTCTTTCCTCCTTCTCACCTCGCTTTTCCTCTCCTGTTTCTTGTTCTTGTCGGAAAACACGGAGTCGTTCGGATCAGTTCTGTAACTCTGCTTTGTGCCTTTTTTCTGCCCTTTCTCTTCCTCTATTTTCTTATTCTCCGCCTTTGGGCTTTATCCTGCCTGTCTAGTACCTGCTATCTTACCCTCTGTTCTCAAGCATACAAATCTTCTTGCCGCGCCACTCGCCTTTTTTTTTAATCGTCCTGCGAACGTCAATTGTTGAGGTTTCTCCCATTTGATATTGCATTGTCTGGTAAGTTTAATATTTTAATTTTGCTCCTCTGGACTGGACTGGACCGGTCTCTTCATTTCCCGCCGTTCCTTCGTCCTTTTGTTCGCTTGAGATCGCCCTCGTCTCGTCTCGCGGATGGCCCGCCAATACCTCCCTCTTGATGCGCTCAACGCAACCTGCCGGTTTCACAATCGCCGCCTCGAAGGCTTGCCACTACACCACTGGCCAACGTTCTCACGCCGCGTTGACGGGCTTATTTCATCATTGGACATGTCTCATCAATCGTGATATGCCACTGGTTCCCATCGCTTACCCCCTGCTGAAATGGACGAGCTTCGACAACCATGTCGCTGAAGTCGCAAATCACGGCCCATGTCTATAAACCCTATTTCTCCAATACGTGCGGCCTGACCTTCGGGGGGTATCCTGTGAACGGGTGGATATTGGCACCATTTTCGCAAGACGGTCGCAGTTGGGGAGGGGTGGAGCTTGTATCGACGGATGCGGCGATAATCTCCCAGTGAATAACTCACTGTTCCTGGTTTCGCACCACCAAGGGCTGCTGATATTTTACCTTCACCTTGGTCGGCACCGTCGGTCGCTTTTTCCGGCACACTGTCATCTTGCCTCTTAGCGAATTTTGACTCGGCGCTGGGAAGTGACCGGAAGTGACTGTAAATGAGGAGGTGTTGGCTTTCCAGTCTTCAACCATCTCCCCCGGCTGAGAATTGTCTTCAGCAAGCCATTGAAGATTATATTCACTTTCAGTTTTTGTCGGCCTGTTTCTCCTTTTTCTCCCGAGCCGGTTACAGTCCAGTTGCTGCTTTTACTCATATTAACCACCAAATCAACTCACAACAAAGTTGATTTAGTTCGCTTTGCTAACTGCGACGTTGTCGCATTCCCAGAAGTAGAACACCTCTCTCTGTCCCTCAAGTGATCAACGATCGTACGACACGCTCCTTGACGACCTCAACGAATTCCCCGGCTATTTACGCGTTAGAAAAGTTTCTTCCTCTGGGGTTTTAGTTTCTCGTTTAAAAATTTGAAGGTATGCAGGACTTCTAGTCGACTTTTTTTTTTCGTGGCGTTTGCTGCGGCGCGTGAGTAAACACAGGCAGATTCAACTAACACAAGAGTTTTTAGACAGCACTATCGACCATATTTTTACCAACGTCCGAATCGCAATCAAAATGTCTTTCCAGAACTTCGATACCTTCCAGAACCAGCACCCAGCGGCTGACGCAGCCGCCGCTGCTCCTGGTGCTCCAGCTACCGCTGACACTACCATGACTGGCCAGGCCGACCCTTCAACTGCTCCGTTCCAGGGTCCAGCCCCAGGTGATGGTGCCCCTGCTGTTCCTCAGCAAGGAAATGAGGGCAAGACTACTCTCTGGTATGTGCAACCATAAACGCATTTTGCATCGAATCGTTCTGTTTGCTGTCGTTGTAACTAACATGATTTTATGAAGGATGGGCGAGCTTGAGCCTTGGATTGACGAGAACTTCGTCCGCAACCTTTGGTTCCAGATGGGTGAACAGGTTAACGTGAAAATGATCCGCGATAAATTCTCTGGGTGAGTACATTGTAATCCATCCGGCTACCAAAGAGCGACGATCCTAATGTTGGTAGTAGGAGCAATGCCGGCTACTGCTTCGTTGACTTTGCCTCGCCCGCCGCTGCGGGTAAGGCCCTGTCTTTGAACGGCACCCCGATGCCGAACACCAACCGCCTTTTTAAACTGAACTGGGCTACTGGCGGAGGCCTTGCTGACCGTAGCCGCGATGACCGTGGCCCCGAGTACTCCATCTTCGTCGGTGACCTAGGTCCCGAGGTCAACGAATATGTTCTCGTCTCTCTCTTCCAGAGCCGCTTCCCGTCCTGCAAGTCCGCTAAGATCATGACTGATCCCATCAGCGGCATGTCTCGCGGTTACGGATTTGTCCGTTTCTCTGACGAAAATGACCAGCAGCGTGCGCTCAGCGAGATGCAGGGAGTTTACTGCGGTAACCGTCCGATGCGCATCTCCACAGCTACCCCAAAGAACAAGGGTCCTGGTGTCGTTCCTGGTGGTATGGGCATGCCCGGTCCGGCTGGCATGTACCCTCCTATGGGTGCTCCTCCTATGGGCTTCTACGGTGCTCCTCAGCCCATGAACCAGTTCACCGACCCCAACAACACAACCGTCTTCGTCGGTGGCCTTTCCGGATATGTTACCGAGGATGAGCTCCGCTCGTTCTTCCAGGGATTTGGTGAGATCACCTACGTCAAAATCCCGCCCGGCAAGGGATGCGGCTTCGTTCAATTCGTTCAGCGTCACGCCGCAGAGATGGCCATCAACCAGATGCAGGGATACCCAATCGGTAACTCTCGCGTGCGTTTGAGCTGGGGTCGCTCGCAGAACAACTCCGGCCCTGCCGGCAGCCCTTACCGCCCCGCTCCCCCTCCTCCTCCTATGTACCTTCCCCCTCAGCACCAGTATGGTGGCGGTTTCGCACCTATGAAGGTAAGTTTTCGCTAGCTCCCCCGATTTTATTGGTCTTCTTTGGTGGTATGTTTCTAATCCGTTATACCCATAGTAAAAAAATTTAGCGTTCCTTCTTGTCAAAAGGAGCAACAGGAGTTCCGTTACCCCTTCAATGATGGGTCTTTTGAGTTATACCGCATTAACTTTGCTATTTATTTCTGCAAGTTTTCCTCTATAGTTCTTGATGGATCCACATCTTCTCCTGTGTTATGTACTTCATGTGTGCAGCGCTTCCATTTCTTAGCCATACCTGCCTGGGTCTTTCCATTCCACAATATTTTCTGCGATTCTTTAGGTCCTCTTACCCATTTCTCTTTCCATACGGAACCAATCTTTGCTCTTTTTCGTTTCTTTTCCCATGTCTTTCGAGATGTCCCCTACTTTTTCCAAGTTTCCTTTCATGTGTCCTGTTCTTGAAATTTACATCCCGAATCTTAGCTTCATTGTTCGTATGGCCAGCAGCAATTCGACGCGCGTCTTTTTCTGTACTCCACGGGAGGCAATCTGCAAAAGAAAAAAAAGTTTGCTCTGCAGCGTGTCCTGAAAGGTAACAAGAATTCTTCATTTCTTGCTTTCGTGATGCTCAACGATATTCTGTTCTTAGACTGTCTGTACAACATTGTTTTGTTCGCATTGTCCATCCGGCCCACTCAAATTTTATCTCGTTTGTGCGATGGTTCTGAGCTTCTTCTGATTCGCCTGCCCTCTCTACTACGTATGGGCGTTTATGGCCTGATCGCTCTTGTTACTGGGTCCTCGTTAGCCTGCAACTGCTGAGTTTGGCGGGGATAGTTTCTGCAATACTCTTTGCTTCTGGTTGCCTTTGGAGTTCCGGTTGAAGGCAGTATACGACATGCTGATCTGATAAAGGACGGGTGCTTGATCCGCTGTTGGACTTGCGGCAATTTATGGTGTTCTGCATTTCACACTTCCTGACTAGTATGTCAATGTGAGCTACTTCTGGTTGAAGCCTTTCATTGCTTCTTAATGTTTGTGTCTTTCAAGGTTCTTATGGATGATTCCCCCTTCGCCATGCAGAGTGCTCCTTTCATTGTTTAGTACTGGCGCCTTTATTTGTGCTTGAGTCAAGGTCGCGAGGTATGTATCTGTCACAGCATACTGGTTTTCAAAGCATAGATTCCTCAGCAAGGGCCTGATGTTCTTTGTTCCTCTGGGTCCAGGTCAACTGTCATAGATAGGGTTCGTCTGCCACCTAGCCACAATATATCCTTGCTGATTACACCTGTTTTGTTACAGTAGTAGTAGTAGTAGTAGTAGTAGTAGTAGTAGTAGTAGTAGTAGTACTAGTACGGACGGGAATGGATTGGCTTATTACGGCAGGAGCTCCCATGGCCCGGAAGCATTACTCCCACCTGCCCCTTTCCGCCAATGCCTAGCATGGTGCTCTCTGGAGTCATCGAGTTCCAGCTTCGTTGCAGCCCCAACTCGTCTCCCTCTGAGTTCTGCGAACCCATCCTTCTCATCCATTCATGCGGATGCGGGCGTGGTGTTGTTACCGCTGATATTTTCTACCTCGCTCCCAGTCCGGGCTTCAGATTCTTCGTTTCTAATCTTATTACGAAAAAGCGAGCGGCAGTGTTACGCGGGTCATTCATCATGCGGTACGAAAACTGGGACGTGCTTCTATTTCCAGCGAATTCCAAGGTGCCTATCCAGGAATTCAAGACGCAATGCTTTGTGACCCGTGATCGAGGCACGTAACGTTTCCTACCTTTAGAGGTTTCTATTTTCCATACTAACGTCGAGTCCCTCATCCAGAGTCCCCTTATCTACACAACCCTGCGTTCATTGGCCCCGCTACCTATTATCAACCACACGGCAACTTGGGCCAGTTGCCAGTTCTTACTACTTTCGTCCCGAGCCTTCCTGCAAACAGCCCCTTTCGAGTGTCCATCCATAGCTGGGAGCAACCCCATGCTAGCCGCCTGATGGAAAGCCTCCTGCAGCCGGATGATACTTCGCTATTTGAAGTCAGGGTCTTTGTGGATGGTTTGTGCGTGGCGTAAGTCACCACGACTGCAGCTATCGGTGCCATATCTAACAGCTGATTGATATCAACCAGGGGAAGCGTGGTTTCCCAAAGAACGAGCTGGCCGCATGTGATCGGTAAGCTCTCTCGGTGTCTCGCAACGCCTGGAGGATGAAAGTTAACGTTGATTATCTCTTGGTTAGAATTAAGCTCCCGTAGGCTATTCTTCCTCCGTACTCCTGGGCTTGGCCTGCTGTCTTACTAACACGTCGTTGATGAACCCTATAGATGTCGACAAAAACGGTAATCAAGACACCCTACGCTTTCCCCCGTTCCACCAGGAAATCTTGGAACAAAGGCACTGGGATGCGGGGGACCTCCATGGCAGAATCAGAGTAGTTATCGCAGAGGGATTTGCGCGGCCCCATCGCAGCCCTCCTTTTGAACGAGTCAAGGAAATCATGGCGTTTGCGTTCCAGCACGCTCCGTTGAGTGAGTTTTACCCGACACGTTGGCCAGAGTTGGAGTATGCCGGCTCACCTTGACCAGATGTTCTGGAGTACTCTAGTATTGCCTGGCCGAATACCTCAATGTGGAGCAAGGAACCAAGACTTTTCAAGTACAATGCAGGAAGCGGAGTGAGCGACCTCAAGGAAGCTGACGATGCACACGCCCATTCACCATCTCGACATGAATCTCGGCCTCCGGTGACTACTACCGGACAAATTGGTAACCCACCCGCGCTGAATCTCTGGAGAAATAGAAATTACCAGGGCCCTGTACCACAATGGCAAGGTAACTACAGGGAATCTCGGTGGGCTCCTCCGGAGACAGCCTTCGCCGACCCATTTGTCGATCCATACATGCTAGACCCAGCGGCGCGTCACCGGGGCGCGAGACAATCCTGGGAGGACATATCAATGCCGGACTATATCTCGAGTTCCAACAGTAGTCGCGCGATCTCAAGCATGACGGGTATTAGCTACGAGCATAGCAAACATCCCAGTCTTGTTGCCCCTATGGACGAAGACGCGTATAGTCAATTAATCCAGGCCCTCAGCCCGCCTAAGCCGCTCTCTTTCAGTACTCACACTCAATTGAATTCCTCCACTACTGCTGCTCTACCTATGAGAAGCAAGCTTTCGGCCGCGGCAGAAGCCCGATCCCAATCCTACAGCAAGAGTGGGAGCCGCCGCGGCTCCATCAGTGTTTTAAAAGACATCTCTTACCCAGGCACTCGGGACGTATCCGAATCAAGTGTCAAATCAAATACCGCGCCATGCGACCCTGCTGCAGCCACTAAGCTTCACCCCAGCCCTAATGGACCAGTTAAGAGTAGAAAGGAAGGGCTATCTCACGAAAACAAGGAAAATGAAGCGGAAACTACTAGTAAAGAGAGTGGTAAATTACACCAAACCCCTTCGAAACTCAACGTTCGGACCAGTGGCAGCATGGAAACCTCCACTGAGGGCAAAAGAAGACGCTCGATCGGCTCTAGTCGCGAAGACTGCCTAAACATTGGTAGAATGGAGCCAACACCTGTCTCACCCGCCCAAGGTCTTTCCACGGTAGAAGGCGACGATCACCAGAACGAGTTCAATGGTTTCCTGAGTCCGCGACCAATGCTCATGAGTGCCACAGCTGAGATTGGTGAGATGGAGTGAACCCCGACGTACCTTATCTTTGTGATCATTGATTCGGCCATTATAGCAATGTTGCCTTTCATTTTGCTTGTTTCGAACTACAGACCTCACATGTGGCAAGGCCGTTAAACCGGTGTGGATGTTACTAGGGGTGGTAGTTTTGTACTGTTGCACTATTCTTTCTATTGAGACATACAATTAATCATTAGTTACTCGTACTGCTTGATGGCTCTACAAATTGCGGGCATTTACAAGTTCTTGCCTCATTTAGAAAGCAGCAGCAACAGCCCACGCACGCCCTAGGGGCACAGCTCTCTTCACCATCCAACTTCTCACTTTAATCCCTTACTTATATCGCTTGTTGCTTGCCCACTAACTTGCCCAAAACCACGTACTCTGTCTACCTTCTACATCAAAACCGCAGGTTGTCCATCATGAAAAGCAAGGAGCCAGCAGAACAACCAACATTTGGCATAGCCTCCTGCCCATCCTCGTCTTACTACTACCCAGAGTCGTCGAACTCTACAAGCTTTGTCACTTGGTCAAGTCAACATTCACCCTACCGAGCCCTGACCCCTTGGATAAGTTACGGCAGCCCTTCCTATATGTATTCTACGTCAAATATGCCTGCGCCTACTACTTTTCATCCGTCCTACCAGTCCATCTACAGAGGTTCACCATACTCATATGCCACGCCAAATATGGATTCACCCATTCTGACAGGCTCATTAAACCAGGATCTAAATCCTCCTCTTGGCCCGAACTACGACACTACGTCACGGGTTGAAATGCATGTTAAAGTGGAGGATCAGGAACAAGAAATCGACAATCCTCAAAACACCCAGCTATGTGCTGCTTCCACGGAAGTAGGCAAGCTTAAAGATCAGGTATGGCGAGGCTTGGTCATTTTCAAACTCATGTGGCTGACTTCTGGTAGTTTCGGACAGCATCCACGCCTCGAGCGGAATTAGTAACACTTGATTCAATAAATATTGATTCGATCAGCGACTCTAAAATACTATACTATTTTGGGATGTTAGCGACAAAGGCACTTCTAATACCTAGGTTCCACTTTACAAGCAGCCGGAAGTCCAAATACTGGGATGTAAAGATGACAATTTATGGCATGACATTCGTTCGCTCACATGTCTATACGTCTCGAAGAGTTGCAAAAGTTTCCATCTGTAGGGAAGCTTTGAAGAAGCTAAAGAATGAATTCCCAAACTGGATCGTGCCCGAACGACCCAAAGATTCAATTTCACCACCTGGCTGGGACTGGGTAGAAACGCTACATGGTAAGAAAACGGCCTTTTTAAAAACACCTATATAGCACTCTTCTAACAAGGAATGCCAGAATACTGCGTGCATCAAGGTCTTCCCGAGCCGAAATACACGAAGTATGTTCATCACAAAGGATACCGCCACGAGGTAGAAGTGGACGGCGGTACATACTTTGGTTCGCTCAAGTACTACTCGCAGGAGCTGCAGTCAAAACAGGGCGCAGCACATGTAGCCCTCTATGATGTGCTTGTGAGAGATGACAGGGATGGAGTCGAAACAGGGGGCCTTCCAAACTTGAGGAACTCCAACGAAGCTTTACTGGCCGTTATTCCCCGAGACCCGCGCCATATATCCACGGGATGGGTTGGGTCTAGGGGGGATCTGAGCCCGGAACAGTTCAATGAGACTCCGTTGGCCGTGGCTCCTCAAAATCCCTATAGTCCGCCGACTGAACCACGTGTGTCATCAAAATTTCTTTTTGATGAGCACGAAGAGTCGAGAAGAGTAAAAAGACATGGCGGTAGAAGCAAACCGCCAATTAATTCTTCCCGGGCGTGCAAACCAACTCCAGGAAACGCCAACTTACAGCCACTTGAAAACTGCCGATTGGCGGCGGTTGAGGCTCCTGTGGTCGAAGAACAAAGGCGCTGGAAGGTTACACCTTCAGAGATATCACGTAAACTTCGAGAAGTTGGAAACTGGGTCGCAAAACTAGAAAGTAAAAGTTAACCTCTTTCTTCCTTCCATCTTCACCAGATCTTGAAACCCGGGCTAACGTACCTATTACATGTCTCCTTCCTCTACGGAAGGGGCCTTGTGGTTGAATGTATCAAGGAATTTGTGATCTGCTCGCGCTGGAGCGTCCTGAAATTCGTATCAAAAGAACCGATGGACGGCTTATCGAAGCTGACGGGGAATATACCGCCGCAGCATACTTCAAAGCTGATCCATTCCTAGCAAGAGCAGGAGCAATTGGCCAGACCCAAAGCTTTAGCACCACTCGGAACGCAGTGCATGAAGCATGTGCTTGGAAGGTCTGTGATTATTTGATTGACATGGTCAAGGAAGACATGATGCTGGAGCAGAAGGCGGCCAAAGAGCGAGAGGCAATCACCATGTGGGGTGAAACGGCTGCGAGGTAATCAAGGGCTGGAGGGGCCAGCCAGTGCCCCCGACAATAAATTGTGATGTCAGATGTCTTTCTCAACTTCTCAAGGGATGGATCAGGGCTACGCCACGCCCTAAATTTAGCTAAATATAACTAAGTTCAATCCTGAGCTGTCTCTCTTCGCACTGACAGGCCAGTTTTGGAAGGAATTTTATTATTCCAAACTTGTTGACGGCCCAGAAAAGCTGGCAAGCCTTCATAGTTTGTCCCTAGAAGATGGACAAAGAAGATTGGAAGAGTTTGCGCAGAACGCGAGAAGGTAAGGGAGCAAAACAAGAAATTTGATTTTTGCCTGATTCATTGAACCATTCCTAACGAGCCCAAAACCAGTGAGAACCCGTAGCTAAGGTATTGACGCAAGCCCAAGTTCAAGGTAACGCCACGAAAACCAAAAAAAAATGTAGCACAGAAGTAAATAGAAAAAAGAATAAGAAGGATTCTAACCAGGTAATCTCAGATAGGTATTCTGAAAGAGCAGAACTGACGCTATGGAAATAACAAGCGTCGACGGTCCTTAGGAGTTTCAATATTAACCGAGCAAGGGTAAAGTCGATAGTAGTAATATAGTAAAGAAAGAAGAAATGAAAAAGGTAGAGAGCTGGAAAAGGCTCAAACAGGAACAGTTTGGCCAGACTAATGGCGCGAGCGCAAACCATTTCAAACCAGACGCAACGTGACTCCTCAGAAAGCAAGCAAGGAAGGATATGCAAGAACAATATTTCACCAACGCCAGTCTCACGGGCACATATCCATATCCAAGATCATGTCGGTACAGAAAATAAAGGCGAAAAAAGTGGGAAAATAGAAAGAAAGCAATGGGGGGTTAATAACCAACCAGACACAAGGTTGAGTGAAAATTTACAAAACATGGGTATATGGGAGATGGGGTTAAAAACCACTGAGTTCATTCAGAGACCATTCTCGGCGCCAGTCTCTACACCGTCGGGGTATGTTATACTTGGGTCAAACCCAAACCCTGCTGTATCGGTATCGGTGTTGAGGAATGTATCGAAGTCGAAATTCTCGAGAATGTCTGGGTTCTCCAGGGCACTGAAGTCAAGGCTGAAAGTAGAGGGCTGGGTTCAAGATTAGCATGAAATTTTTGCAAAGAACGGACGTAAAAAACTTACATCAGGCATGGTAAGATCACCGAATGTTTGCTGAGTCTGATCAGGCGGCGGAGGTTGCACCAAGGTCTGTTGGGCGGGAGCGGATGTCGGCTGCTGTGGAGCGCCCGTAGTGGCATTTGCACCTGATTTGTTAAATGACTGATGGTGTTGGGGTGTAATCGGTGTCGCGGGTGTAGGAGTCGCGGGTTGTTCCGCCTCCGAGGACGGGGTAGCCGCGGTGTTGGCTGCTGCCGCTGCCGCTGCTGCGGCGTTGGCGTTCTTCTTGTTTGGTCGCTACGAATGGTCAGCAACGGCGGGCAAGGTTTAGTGGATGAAAACTTGAAACAAACCTTTCTGGCTTCCTTGGGTTCCTTTTTCTTCGGTGCAGCCTTAGTACCCTGTTGTGGCGTTGGAGGTGCAGCAGCTCCAGTCTGTGGAGATGGAGGAGGTTGACGGCCGGTGTTGCCAGCCGGAGGCGCCTGAGGCGGCGGCATCGAACCAACGCTTTGAGGTGTTCCAGTCGTTGGGGGTTGTTGGATGATAGGAGACTGCTGCGGCACCATGGGCTGGCCACCTTGCTGAGGTTGCCAGCCCCCATTTGGCATCCGGTTGGGCCCGCCAGCCGGGATCGCTTGGCCCATTTGAGGGCCACTGAACGCCGGGTTGGAACTGGGTGGCCGCATGCCATTGGGGCCCTGCATACCGTCCTGCATGTTCTTCATGAAGAACTGAGGTGCCATTTCCGGAGGCATTTGGCCGGTGAAATTCATTGATCCGGGAGATCCACGGCCCTGCATCATCGCGTCGGGAGCGTTCGGGGAGCCAGGGAGACCGGACTGCGCAATTTTGGGTGTGTTGCGCTTCATTTGATCGTTGGGATTTGGCGACGCCCCTGTCCTACTGCCCTGGGGAGAAGTGCCCGGTGGCATTTGGCCCGGTGGTTGTTGGCCCTGCTGCCCAGGTAGTGGCTGGCCATCGGGGCCACGGGTCATGCTGTCCTGCTCTTGACGAGCCATCATGAGTCGGCGTTTATTCTGCTGCTCGAGGAGCATGAGTTGCATTTGATAGTCCTGGAGTGCATGGTTACCATGCTGACCACCAGGAGTTTGGACCCCAGCCCTAACCTGCGCCATTTGGCCATTCGTGCCATAGAAGTCGCTATTCATCGGATACATACCCTGGCCATCTGGCATAGGTACCAGATCGCCTTGATTCGGCATCACGCCGGGGTTCATCAAACCATTAGGCATGCCCTGGTTATTCATTGCTGAGCGAGAGTGATGTAGAGCCAAGTTTTGAGCATATACCTGGATTGATTTTGGCTGTGCAGCCGGTCCCGATTGCTGAAAAGCACCAAATTGATTCGGGTTCATTGGACGTGGCGTAAGCCCATTCTGCATCAGCAATGCTGGGTTCGGTTGGCCTGGCATGGCCTGTCCCTGTCCTCTTCCATTGGGAGCTAGTTGCTGCCCATTCATGGCGCCACCTTCGAGGCGCGGTCGCTTCGACGGAGACGGTGCGTTTTCGGCGGAGGACGGAGACTGCGGTCTATGGCCGTTCATATCAATGTCAGAATGTTCACGTTGCATCTGCATCATCTGCATCTGCTGGTTCTTTTGAAGTTGCGCGAACTGCTGCTGCGAACTATAGAATGGATCAGCATCCGATTGCCCAGCTGGTAGGGCTGGGAATGATAGATGTTTCGGAATATAGAAGGGAAGGGGGTAGGGGGCAGTTCGTACAAGCCACCGGTATTGTTCTGTAGGGCAGTTTTTTGTAAGTTGGCTGGAATCATCCCGTTTCCACGCATGTTGTTCAGCCGCCCCATCTGACCTGGCATCATTTGCTGCTGGTTCCGAAACATTTGATTTTGCTGTTGTTCTCTAATGCGCATCAAATTCTGCAACGTAGATATGATTAGACATATGTAGAGGGGAGTTGAAGTATGGCATTCATACCTGAGTATGTTGGAGATACTGTCTCACATCAGCACTGTTTCCCTTCTTTCTTTGAGACCAGAAGAACTCCCAGAACAGGCTGAACCAGTCCAATAGGAAGGACTGCTGGCCTTCACTAGAAAGATTGGGGCGAGGCAAGTCGTCAGGGATCTTCAGTTTGTCGCCATCTTTACCGTCTGTCATCATCGCGTCACCATCAACGCCATTCACCTCACCCTCCCGGCGTTGACCCGGGCTCGTCTTAATAGGGGGCTCGGTATTGAGTTTGATCGACTCATCTTTCACAAGTGCTCTTGCGCAGTCGTGGTAGCCACGTTTCAAAAAGTAGTCGTAGATATACGTGTTAAGGTTGTTGACCATCACCTCGGGGAGATTATTCATATTGCCATCATTACGGGGTGCCATCGAACCGTTGTTGATCATTGGGACACCGCCAACCGGACCGCCGACGCCGGGGTTCATCGCACCAACATTCATTTGGTTCATTATGGCGCTCCGGTGACACAATCACCTTCACCTAATCGGTTTGTCCTCGGCGGAAACGACGAGCTAAGAGGATTCCACACACATCCACGGACTTGGAAGGGGAGAGCTAAGAAAAGACGAATTGGGTGCTGCGATAGGAATATGAGAGCGCGAGGAAAGGTGTCTATTAAGTGGTGAAGAATATGTAGCGTGCAGCGGAGAGAATGTAGGCGTTTGCACGCTCAGGTGCAAGTGCAGATAAAACCGAAAAACGGTATCTGCGGCTCGCAATTTCTTTTCGTGCACGATAAGGAGTGTTCGCGAATCAGTCTGACGGTAGCCGTGAGAAGAGGCTTTGGGGGTATAGAAATATGCGGCTATAACATTTGTTAAAGGCCTCGACCGGAGAAATCAAAGGCGCGAACCGGCTGGGTTGCAGCAAGCGATTAGCGACACGAAAAGGCGAATGAAATGAAATCGGCGTTTAGTGTGCAAGGAAATCGGGGAAGGCGCGAGAATAATAAGCCAACAGTATACGAAAAGGTAGGTAATTCAATAAAAAAAAAATGACGATGATCAGACCGCTCCTATAGAAGACGGGAGGACAAGTGATGAGGAACTCTGGCGGAGATCAGGCCAGAGAGAAGAGGGGGCGGTGGGTGGAGGAGCGAAGTACAGTTGAAGGCGACCGTCAAAATCAAGTATAGAGGTGGATCTCAAAAAGACAGCGAAAAGAAAATATGCTATGAGAAACGCGAGTGGAAAGGGTGTAGGAAGAGGAAGAGGATCTGAAGGATAAAATGGGGCGTGGATATCAGGCGCGGTGCCTGGAGAGGAGAGGAGTGAGTGGTGGTCAAGTTCTCAGACCGACTTGGACTTGGGGACTTGGGCGCCGCTGGATTCCCTCTTTCTTTCTGCTGGGCGGAAATCGCTTGTTCGGCGCGGATTAACCTGCTCGGAACAAGGCGGGAGGGCTGGGAGATGCCGCGGACAAGCGTAGATCTGAGCATGCGGCCCAGAGGCGGCGAAAATGATACAATCACAGCTCGAAAAAAAGAAGTACAAAGAGGATGGAAAGAAAACGGTGAAGATCAATGACAAGAAGAAGACATTAACATACTAACGGTAAGCGCCAAACTTGCAGGTTGATTACAAGTATCGGCGTGGAATTGTAAAGCGTAGATGTCGGACTCGGAGGTTGGGAGAAAAAGTGATCAGGTAAGGCGGACTCGTACTGTCGCCGCAGAACTGTTTCAGCGACGGAGTGTCCAATTTCCCTCAACCAAGCAGAAGTACGACCCAAATCCAATAAGTACGCGAGAGGGAAATAGCGAATATGCTGGGGGTGCGCAAATTTTCAGCAAGATGGAAGAAGAGGATGGAACAATCGATCGCGAGTTGATGGACTGATCAAGAGTCGATGCATCAGTTGTTACACTCAGGGTCTCTTACACTGCGTAATTACCAGCACAATGGCTGGATTTCCTGTCTACCTTTGGTATGGCTTATCACGTGGCCCACCTCCTGGCACATGAACTCATCTTCAGCATATTACATTAGTCACAACCCAAAACTTCTCTTTTCTGGTTATTTATTATCCATAGAGTCATGTAGTTAAAAGCTCATATATTTTCCAAGTAGCTGTCAACCCGATGATGGTCAATGCCGATAAATTAATGGCTCCGTATCCCTCGGCGGTATAACCCGGAGTTAGCATCTATGGGGCTGATGATTGAGCACTAAGCGCTTCAATATTAGGTTATTATTAACTTGGGAGGGCGATCATCGAGGACGTCCAGCAAGTATAGGTCCATATAAGGTCGGTCTCTTGTCACCAGTATCAATGTCTGTTCAGCTGTTCGGCCGTCTAAAAGTAGAAACCACGTCGTTGTTTTCAGATGCCGCCGCTCTTTTAGATTAATTTGCAAATCGCGAGTTATCCAAACTAGCACGATGCACGGGTCAGACCTTTAAATCAGAACTTTAATATATATATATATGTCCACTATCATAGGTCACATGTCAACAGATATGTGGCTACACTAGCCCGAAAGTAATCGGCTGCAAGTTGTCTGAACAATTTGTATCAATCCGTGGCCCTCGCTCTTTACAGGATATATGAAGGGTATGAATTGGTTCTGAATTTCCTATTATGATGATAATGAGACTGGGGTATGTTGGAGCATCGCTACATATTGGAGTACCCCTAAAATCCGGCTCCACCTATATGATAAGCTCAAGCAAAGACGGTAAGCAACACCTGTCTATTTAACGGGTTCCTTGTTGATATCATCGAAAGTGTTCCCCGTGAGTTCAGACACCTCTAACGGCATAAATGAAAACGATATCGCAAAAACCGAACACCATACGCCGTAAATTGCTGGTAAATTGGGCCTGCAATCAATCTTCCTCCGGCGGCATCTCATCCTCGATATACCTCACAAGTGATACTCGCATTTCTGTTGCGTCGTCTCCACGCAAAATATCGCTAACGAAGTGTGCTTCAATCTGCATTTGCACCTAAAGAGTAGAAAATGAGTATAAATATATCAAGTTAGCAAGATTAGGTACTCACCATTTCCAGTGCACCTCGGAGAACGCCACACAAGATATTTGAAAACCAAAGCTCATCTTGTGCTCGCCCATCATCCGGTAACTCAACGAAGTCCGCCAATGGGTTCTCATCGAAGATGAGGGAAAATTGATTGTTATCGCTCGTCCAATTCGTCACCGTCGGTGTGATGTTTAAAAATATTTTGAATCCGACCTAATCCAAATTAGTAATTCCAAAGGTTTCGTTGAGAATATTGGATACGTTAGCTGACACCGTACCTTCGCAATCATGTCTGCCGTTTCGCGGAAGTTGGCACATCGGCCAACGTTCGACTTTGCCAAAAAGTCCTCGATAAGCCGCATCCCGATGTTATAACCCATTTTCTCCAGCTGCTTGTTCACTTCGTGATAGTTCCCATCGTAGTCCTGGCATAATTGTGCGACAATTGTGCCGTAAGTCAACGTCACTAGTTCCGCGTTGACTTTATCAACCTTCGTTCTGCGAATAACGACGTGGATTAGTGTGCGCTCATTGGCTCGCAGCCCGCAATATTTGTGAGATGACAGGCGGTGGCTTTCAGTTTACTTACTTCCAGAGTCTAGAAGGTTGACGTGTTAACAAGCTGCTCTATTGAAGATTGGGTGAATAAACTGCTTACTCTTCTCCGATTCTGGATACTTTCGTTGTGGACGACATGCTTTGGGCTTTTCTCGGAATGAGCAAGGACCAGATTCAACAACATCCGAAATTAAAGGGTCCTCTAAATACACTTGACGGAGTTAGTTGCCAATACAAGAGGCCCCCGCTGGCTTAAGCTGGGGTGATGGCGGAGCTGTACGCGCTTAGCGTTTGGCGGCTAGCGTCTCAAGGACACCGCCCGAGAACTAAGGCTCCTTCCGCAGCCGCGTTTTTCTTGATCGCGATACTATCATTTTGCTCTTCTACCTCCGATCTTACACAGCGACGATTTACCATTCGCCCTTTCGATTCAAAGTTGCGTGCTCTCAAATAATGTCCGGAGAAAAACGACCGGCCCAAGCGGCATTTGGCTCCTCGAGTCAATTGGTTGTGAAACGAAAGAAGTCCGATGCTGGGCTCAATGATAGCGGAGCTGTTGTCAAGACTTCATCGCAGGATGGAACTATCGTACAAGCCGTATGGATACTTCATAGGGTCCAGTGAATATGAATATAGTACCGTGGTTAACTTCAATCCCAGGTTCCCCGCACAAGTGGCCTCGAGGCGCCGATTATGGAGCTTACAGGTGAGATAGAACTCTTGGATATCAGATAAATATGCTGACTTATAATATAGGCCATTCTGGCGAAATTTTCACCGTCCGATTTGACCCAACAGCGCAGCATATTGCATCAGGATCAATGGATCGGTCTATATGTATGTCACAGAGCTTAGGGCGCCACACCAAGGCAAAGCTGATTCGATGAACAATAGTACTTTGGAACACTTATGGACAATGCGAGAACTACGGCATCCTATCTGGTCACAAAGGCGCAGTGCTTGACCTCCAATGGTCTCGAGACTCCAAAACGATGTTTTCCGCATCAGCCGATATGACGCTAGCGGGCTGGGATATCGAATCCGGTCAGAGAATTCGTCGCTACATGGGTCACGAAGAAGTCATAAATTGCCTTGAAATCAGCAAAAGAGGCCAAGAGATGCTGGTAAGCGCTAGCGACGATGGCACAATAGGAATCTGGGACCCTCGGCAGAAAGAGGCCATTGAATATTTGGAAACGGAGCTACCTATAACAGCGGTTGCGCAGTCTGAGGCCGGAAATGAGATATTTAGTGGAGGTATTGATAACGCGATCCACGTATGGGACATTCGAAAGAAAGCTATAGTATACTCTATGGCCGGACATGCGGATACTATCACCTCTCTTGAGATTTCACCAGATTCACAGACTCTTTTGTCCAACTCTTTTGATTCGACGGTACGAACTTGGGATATTCGACCTTTCGCGCCGACGACTCGACACATTAGGACCTATGATGGTGCGCCCGTTGGGTTGGAAAGGAACCTCATCCGGGCTAGCTGGAATCCGGCTGGTGATAAGATCGCAGCAGGAAGCGGCGATAGGAGTGTTGTGGTATGGGACTTCAAGACCGGAAAGCTCTTGTACAAGCTCCCCGGCCACAAGGGTACTGTAAATGATGTGCGATTCACGCCAAATAACGAGCCGATCGGTAAGTTGAGCCATGAAAAACCTCGATGCCACTGTGCTAACCATCCATCAGTTGTTTCCGGTTCATCTGACCGAACATTGATGTTGGGTGAATTAGGCAAATGATGATACATGTGCGAAAGGCCTATCCTTGGTCGCCACTGATTACTCATAATTCAAAGGACGACTTACTTTCTGATACCAAGCAGAATTAGAAGAACGAACCGGCCGCCACGGTACAAATAAGAGTGCCATGACACCCACCCAACTCGCTGGATATTCTACACGTGGGGTGTATCAAAGGGAAAGTGGCAGGTCGAATAACCCTGAGACGGAGGGGGAATGATCTAAATCGAGGCACTTTATAAAGATTGCCCTCCTTGAAACTAGAAGCAAGCCAGCTCTTTGAGTCTAGGATGTATTGATACAGAGTACAGGCTCACATGTGCTCAATTCTCGAGATATTCTATTCACTGTTGCCAGAACTGCTCATGACGTGTGTTCTTGTGTAAACTCGATCTACGGCGAATCTTTAACCCTGATAATAATATACATTGGATTCTAGAACACGCATTCCTTCGTGGTATAATTCGTACGACGGGGATTCGATTAACATAATACTAGGCCGCGCCGTTTCCTAGGGGTGGTGTGCTGCTAACCTTTGACATTCTCTCTAGCTCGGCTCACTCATCAACTGGGTGGGGTCTATCCACGAATGAGCTGGGGAAACTACTTTTGTTTAGATTCATACAAAATTGAAAACAAGCGCAGCTGACATGACTCTGCGCCACCCTTTAAACTGTCTTGCTGGTTTTGTGGGTTATGAAAGCTGCCATGTCGCGTGTTTGTGACGGATGCGGAAATTTGTCTACAAACCCGCCTACAGGACAGGATCTACATACCGATTCCTCAACGCCGGAGACGGCCAAAAACACTGATTCTGCTTGAAAATAGCCCTTGTGCAGCAAAATTCTCTTTCATATACTCATCCTTTAAATATCGATGGTATGGACACTTCTGACAAGTTTAGCCAGGCGCACCTTCTCCAGGCGGTTCATTGGAGAGTATTGGATTTCCACACGTCGCAACCAGCTCTGACCATGCGCGATAATTTGACGCTCCACAGAACATCGAGATTAAAACCTAAGTTCGAACCTGGTCTGAGATACATGCGAGGCGACCTCTGAATGCAGATGTTGTCACTCTCGTCGATTTTAAACCCACTGATGTCGTCGCATTTCGCTCTGGGAACCACCGCTTCCTCCATTCATTTACCTTCTTTTCCAGCTGAAACTGGTACATCAGCATTCAGCTCCCGAAACAATGGTCATGAGCCGGTCGACTCCCCGAGTGAAGATGCACAGGATGTACAGCCGCAAAGGACACTCCGCGCGCGGTCTTGTACCTCGATGATCAAAGACCAGGCCATTCGTTGGAAATTATTCAATTTAACCCTCTCCACAGTCCTTCTTCTGATCAATCTCTCTATCTGTAAGGTGCCACCCGAATATTTATGTTCTGATCGCACTGACATACTTAGATATTGCTTTTGTTGTTGTCCGCGCCATCCACGGGCCTTGGCTTTACATTGTTTTGACCTTCATACTCTTAACTCTTGGGGTCGTTTGGTGTCATTCTCTATGTCGCTTGATTGTAGCGGTCTATCAGTTTCCAAACCACGCTACCGAGCCTATACTGCAAATTGGTACGGCGGAGGCTACTGGTTATGCCCAGCCAGAACAGCCTATCCTTGTTACCATGGCAGGGGATGAAGAGCATCTCGCTGAAAGCCGCCCAATTCCCGCCATGAAGGTAGTTACTCCACCGCCAGCGTACGGGCTATGGAGAAGTAGTGTGGTAAGTGGTTATACCATGAGTGATAACAGAGAGAACACCACTAATCTACGCACAGAGGCTAAACCCTGACTTGCTCTATTGGCAGCGTGTCGACAATCACCCACCTATCTCTAACACTGAGAGGGCCGAGGAAAGCCTGTACCGCAAGACTCATGGACGCCGGCCGCCAAGTTATCTATCTGACGACGGAGTGGACTATGTTATCGAGGCGCAGCCTAGATCACTAGCGAGATACTCACAGTGATAAAGGAGCGGGCCGTCATGTTAATTCATGTGCTCTTTATCTTCTTCTAGGCGCGAGGGACACCGCCTATTCTCTACTCCGATATCTTTAGTTTTAAAAGGCATTTTGTGCGTTGGCGAAGGGGTTTTATGAGACTTGTCTTCCGTTAGAAACTCTAGTCAAGCGATAGATAAAGATTGTTATCAGCTTAAGTTGGTCTGAGATTAAACTTAAATTATCGTGTCATGAATATTGTATGCGCCTCTGCAGATCGGAGTGGGATATTATTTGGTCCTCGGGCTCGAGCTCACGTGCAAGCTCGTTCCTCCCCAACAAGCATATTCACGCTGTTGCGTCAAGCCGCGATTCCAAGGGAGCTTCGGGTTAGACACCAGGGCCACCGACGCGAGCGATATTATTTTTGAATTCGTCGCCGCTACACTCCCATGCCGTCTGCGGCCGGTTCGCTTCTGCGGTAATGCGCTCAGGATGCAGGAGACCACAAATGTCCGTCTGTTCAGCATGGATGATGGGTTGGGTCTTTATTCTGTCACTATGGATCTCTGTGACTCAGGGGATGGGATTTGATCAAATTAGAAGCCTGAGGTGCGTCTATATCCAGATTATTACTTTATTCTGAGCTTCATTTTCTTTTGGTGCCGTGAAACTAATTAAATCGTCTGGGGATTGCTAGGACCGAGACACAACAGATGTTCTACCATGGGTTTGAAAACTACCTCAAACATGCGTTTCCCGAAGATGAGCTACGCCCTCTCTCCTGCCGACCGCTCGTCCGCGATAGAAAGAATCCTGGCCACGCCGAGCTTAATGATGTTTTGGGAAACTACTCCCTGACCCTGATTGATAGCCTGTCAACCCTGGCCATTTTGTCCTCGAGCCCGGATGATGGACAAAAGGCCTGGGGATACTACCAGGATGGAATAAAGGACTTTGTGAGGCTATATGGAGATGGTTCTAATGGCCCTGCGGGACAGGGCGAACGTAGTCGAGGATTTGACATGGATAGCAAAGTCCAGGTTTTTGAGACTGTTATTCGCGGACTGGGTACGCGGCTGGCCTTCCTGCCCACTCAATTAAAATCATACCTCCTTCTAACGTTGGCTTCATAGGTGGGCTGTTGAGTTCGCATCTCTTTGCCGTCGGTGACCTTCCTATAACCCGATATAGCCCACCCCCCGCAGAGGCGGCATATGCAAAAGCCTGGGACAAGGTATCCTTCACCGGTGATAAGGGAGGAATACGCTGGGACAATGGATTTGTGTACGACGGTCAATTCCTTCGACTTGCGGTTGATTTGGCAAATCGTATCCTCCCGGCTTTCTATACCGACACTGGCCTTCCTTACCCTCGGGTAAATCTGCGGCACGGGGTGCATCAACAGCCATTCTACGCTAAATCGCCATTGAATACGGATACTACACATGGTTGTCGCGGCAGAGACAATGATGTTTGCGCGGCCTCATCACCAGAGGTCACTGAGACTTGCAGCGCAGGCGCAGGTAGTCTCGTTTTAGAATTCACTGTTTTG